ATGTCTCGACCACCAGGAAATGATGATCCATTCTCGTCTCCTTTGTGATAGTGTTAGAATGTCGACGGGATCGCTTGAACAGGCCATTTGCACCAGTGTCTCGCGCGAAGACACCCTCCTTGGCTTGGTGAAGGTCATGCTGCGAACCCTTGGTTGTAGATTGGAAATCGCGGACGGCGGTATTTGAGTCCAGAGCCACTATTTGGAGTAATGTTCCAGTCGTTGTAGGGATCTCTGGAAACTTCTCTGAGTTGAAGACAATATCATCGCGTGAGAAGTTGTCGTCATGGGTCCAAAGTGTACATACTTTTTGTACCCTAGTAGTCCTGGCGTCCGATACTGATTTCGACATGTTGATGCTGTATCATTCACGTCTAGGTGCTGGGTATCGCCTGTGCTCTTCATGTCGCAGCTTCAAGCGCGCCAGTAAAACGTAGAGCAGCGGTCATTGTGCGACTGGATATACGAAGATCGCTAGGAGCTGTTTTCTAATTCCTGGGTAGGATGTTGCACATATGATATATTTCAAGATGAGTATTGTCGAGAGATGGTGAGGAGGGAGCGCGTGTGCTTATGCAAGGTACGGGGCAAACGCTAGGAAGCTGCCAAGGCGCGCTACATCAGCCTGTTCATACCAATCATAAGGACCATGCGAAGAAAGAAAGTGAGATCTTCGCATTACACGACTGTTTCAAAAGTTGGTCCTACTTTAAAAGGCTTGCTCAAGTGTGTATATTCAAAAGGCAATGCAAGCTGATATCTAAACACGCTTCATGTTGCGCAGCTGCGTGATATGCTTTGATGCTGAAGCTTCCCTATCGCAAGAGCAGATCCCGGGTTACAGTCCAGATCCCAATATTCATTCAATGAATGGGTCCCATGCTACAAAGACCGTGGCCCCTCAATTTTATCATGACGCAGAGTGCCGAAAAAATGACGAAGTACGGCCCTTATGCTTCTACGCCTGCCCATAAAACGCCTTGTAGTTTAACGCCCCAGGTCTCGCATGCCTGTTGTAAAGATCTCATGGAAGTCGTTGCGCTGGTGCTCTCTTGTTTCGCTGCTCGAGGAGACGTGGTCGACATGATTCTTGGCCGTGGTTCTGCACTCGTCCGGAGGACGAGTTACATTCGTTGCGCGAGCGTGGCCGATTCGTGCGTCCGTCGTTGCATTCAGTGTAAGTTCACTCTTCGCGAGACGTTCCCATAAAGGCTGCGAGTGTGGGTATCGGAATGCCATTTACATTCGTCCATCTTATCGCCGCGTCGCCTACACCGCCTGCCTCTCCGGATGACTCTGCGCCGGCTTCCACCTGCTTGAAACTCGTGAAGCCCGCCTCTTCAAGCCGCGGAGACCAGGTTGGATGTGTGCCTGTCAGAACGCGGTGGACTTGGTACGAGCCATAGATCATGAGGACGGTGGAGACAATGGGTAACCGCGCGGCGTGCTGGGAGATGATCGTGGTACTCATGGCAGCAATAGTTGTACTTTGTAGAGGCGGCGAAGTGATGATGCGATGTGTATCAAGTCTTGTGGCGAAAGTGACCTGACATGAGTCTGGAGGCAAAAGGCGGTGCGATGCGGAGGCTCGTGGAAGGTGAGTGGCTGCACGCGGGGAGGGCCCATGGTCGACGTTCTCTTGGCAACGCATCAACTTTCTTGAACATCTAACATCGTCCTTCACCACCTTCACCGCCACCCTCTCGAGGGACCAGTCGCAGCCATGGACGATCTTGCGAACCTCGAGTTTCTGTCGCTCGTTTCAAAAGTCACGTCGGAAATACAGAATCATGTTGGCGTCTCGGACAAGACGCTCGCGGAATTCGTGATTGACCAGCATGCGAGCTGCAAGAGCGTCACCGAATACAAAGACCAGCTCGAGGCCATGGGCGCGGAGTTTCCGCAGAGTTTGGTAGAGAGCATCGATCGCCTTATCTTGACTCTGCATCCCAAGTACAAGAAGAGCGCGAACGGAAAGAAGACAGACGCAGAAGATGGACAAGACGCGAATCGCAAGACTCGCGTCTTCAAGGGTCTGGCAATACCGGATAAGGAGGTTCAGTACGAAGTGGCAGATGAAGAGCCAGTGGCTGGAGCGCCGGAAATCGATGCGCTTGACGATACCTTTGCGATGCTCGAGGGACTGGCAGGGAAGGCACCGGGCAAGCCCAAGGAACGGTCGCGAAAGAGGAGCATGAGCCCATACGACAGCGACGACGATACAAACAGGAGCAAGAGGCACAGGCGCAAAAACAAGTCACGGTCACGTTCACGGTCACGATCGCGTAGTCCCAGGCGACGACAGGAAGAACACGATGAGCTGGTCTTCCAAGACGAATTTGGCCGCACAAGAACCGTCAAGCGCCAAGACAAGACACGCAGCCGGAAAAAGTACAGAGACGAAGACCTCGACGAGTTCCGACGACCGCCTACGCCCGAGCTTGACGATGAGCCCGTTCTATACAAGGTTTATGACGGCAAGGTTACGGGCGTCAAGGACTTTGGCTGCTTCGTGAATCTGCAAGGCGTGAAGGGCAAGGTCGACGGACTCGTCCATGTCACACAAATGGTCGAAGGCGCGCGCGTCAACCACCCGTCCGACATCGTGTCAAGAATGCAACAAGTCAAAGTGAAAGTGGTCAAGATGGAGAATGGCAGGATATCGCTGTCAATGAAAGAAGTGGACCAGCAGTCTGGGCGCGACCTCGCTCCTGGGAAGCGCATTGCAGCAGGTGCACCAAACTTTGCCTCGGGCGCAAACTCTCAGGGATTGGGTGGCATTCCCGGTATTGACGCAGCCGTGCCCGTCGTAGAAGACGGCTACAACGGCCGCAAGAACGGTACGAGAAAGCGAATGACTTCACCTGAAAGATGGGAAATCCAACAGCTTATTGCTTCTGGCGTAATACCCAAGTCAGACTATCCTGAACTTAATGAGGACTTCAACGCACATGTCAATGGCGAGGGCGGCTTCGAGGAAGAGGAAGACGTCGACATTGAAGTACGCGAGGAGGAACCGCCATTTTTGGCTGGACAGACCAAGCAATCCCTCGAACTTTCTCCGATTCGAGTCGTCAAGGCGCCTGACGGCTCGCTCAACCGCGCTGCCATGGCAGGTGACACGCTTGCGAAAGAGCGTCGTGATCTCAGACAACAAGAAGCACAAGAGAAAGCAGCGAAGGAGGCAGCGAATGTCGATCTCAGCCAGCAATGGAACGATCCTATGGCCCAGACAAAACAATTCGCAAGCGATCTCCGCAATACACGCACAAATCAGCCCAGCGAGTCGCAACCAGAGTGGAAGAAGATCTCGGCCGGTAGTCGAGATATCTCCATGGGCAAGCGCACTGACATGAGCATCAAAGATCAAAGGGAGTCCTTGCCTGTTTACAAATTCAGAAAACAGCTTCTCGAGGCCGTAGCACAGCACCAGATATTGATCGTCGTTGGTGATACTGGATCTGGCAAGACTACGCAAATGACTCAATACCTTGCTGAAGCCGGATATGCCAACGAGCTGGTTATTGGATGCACACAGCCTAGACGTGTTGCAGCCATGAGTGTAGCCAAGCGTGTAGCAGAAGAAGTAGGCTGCAAGCTTGGAAACGAGGTCGGATACACTATTCGATTCGAAGACAACACATCACCAGACACAAGGATAAAATACATGACGGACGGTATCCTCCAGCGAGAGATTCTGCTGGACCCGATGCTTAACAAGTACAGCTGCATCATGTTGGACGAGGCCCACGAACGTACGATCGCTACGGACGTGTTGTTTGGTCTGCTGAAGAAGACACTTAAGCGCCGGCCTGATATGAAGCTCATCGTCACCAGTGCCACACTCGATGCCGACAAGTTTTCTGAGTACTTCTACAAGTGCCCCATCTTCTCAATCCCTGGTCGTACCTTCCCGGTTGAGGTCATGTATAGCCGGGAGCCAGAGTCGGATTACCTTGATGCTGCGCTCGTCACGGTCATGCAAATCCATTTGACTGAACCAGCTGGTGATATCTTGCTGTTCCTGACGGGCAAGGAGGAGATTGACTCGTCTTGCGAAGTATTAAGCGAACGCATGAAAGCTCTAGGACCCAACGTGCCGGAGCTGATGATTCTACCCATTTACGGAGCATTACCGTCAGAAGTTGCGTCTCGCATTTTCGAGCCTTCGCCATCGGGTACACGTAAAGTCGTCATCGCCACCAACATCGCTGAAACCTCTCTTACGATTGACGGTATTTACTACGTCGTCGACCCAGGTTTCGTCAAACAGTCTTCCTACGACGGCAAGCTTGGTATGGACCGCTTGCAAATCACCCCCATCTCACAGGCACAAGCACGCCAAAGATCTGGTCGGGCGGGTCGAACAGGACCAGGAAAGTGTTTCCGCCTCTACACTGAAGCCGCCTTCCAGAACGAAATGCTTCCCACTACGATTCCTGAGATCCAACGACAGAATCTCTCGAATACCATCCTCATGCTCAAAGCCATGGGCATCAACGACCTCCTACACTTCGACTTCATGGACCCACCCCCGACCAACACCATGTTAACCGCCCTCGAAGAACTCTACCAACTCGGCGCCCTCGACGACGAAGGCCTCCTCACGCGTCTCGGCCGCCAAATGGCCGACTTCCCGATGGACCCGTCTCTCTCGAAGTCCCTCATTAAATCTGTTGACCTCCAATGCTCAGACGAAATCCTCACCATTGTCGCCATGATTTCCGCCACGCAATCCGTCTTCCACCGCCCCCGCGACAAGCAGCAGCAAGCCGATCAAAAGAAGCAGAAATTTAACGACGCATCGGGCGACCACATCACGCTACTCAACGTGTACAACGGCTGGAAACAAGGCGGATTTAGCGTGCCGTGGTGTCACGAGAACTTCGTCATGCCCCGCAACATGCAGCGCGTCAAGGATGTGCGCAATCAATTACTGCAAATCATGGCGCGCCACAAGCACCCCGTCGTGTCCTGCGGCCGCAACACAATCAAAGTCCGCCAGGCTCTCTGCTCAGGCTTCTTCCGCAACAGCGCGCGCAAAGACCCGAGCGAGGGCTACAAGACGCTCGTCGAGGGCACGCCCGTCTACCTGCACCCCAGCTCCAGCTTGTTCGGCAAACCCGCCGAACATGTGATTTACCACAGTTTGGTCGAGACCACCAAGGAGTACATGCATTGTTGTAGTGCGATTGAGCCCAAGTGGCTGGTGGAGGCCGCGCCGACGTTTTTCAAGGTCGCCGGCACGGATAAGTTGAGTAAGAGGAAGAAGGCGGAGAGGATTCAGCCGCTGCATAATAAGTTCCAGGGTGAGGATGATTGGAGGCTGTCAGCGCAGAGGAGGGCGGGGAGGGGAGGTGGTGGGACTTGGGGATAGGTTTAGGTTTGGGTTTGGTAGGATCTTGGTGGGCGGATTTTGTAAGAGGTATTGGACAGAGGCGAGGAATGATATCCAATTTTGTGTGCAACGTTGCGTTTATCACGTGTCGAATGTACTTTCATGTGGGGTTACAAAAGTCATTCATGTAACGTCGTTTGAGGAATAGTGCTCATATCTAATACATTCCTAACCAAGAAATACGTTTACAATAAAGCATAGTATCAGCGATACAACGAGCACACAAGTGGTACCCATCTAGTGCGCTACCCAATGTCCTACGTACGACCCCCCAAAACACCACGAACCCTAAAAAGTCCCAGTGCGGGCAAGAATGGTTTGATTTGACTTCGCTTTTATAATCAAGAAAATCTGCCTCGCCGTCGTTCTTTTTGAGTCCCGATCCATATCGCCAGGGCAACAGTGACGGCAACGAGAAACAATGTGATTTTGAAGAGGAGCCAGACGGCTTGTTTTGCGGAATAAGGTGCACTTTGACCAAAAGTCAGAGGGAATGCGCGAGGAGAAAAGAAGGTGAAGATGCATCGATCAGAAGGCGCATGGTTGGAGACTAAACTGATTGAAAAATTTGACGAGCTTATTGCTCCTTTTCGTACCCTGCAGGTTTGGTCATGTCGTTGATTTCGTAGAAGCGCGCCGTGCCTGTTGATTTTGTTAGTAAACGTTTTGCGTAGTGATATTTAAAAGATCTTACAGCTGTAACCGTTCCAGTCAAAGTTGTCCTTGGGGTTGCACGAGCACTTGTGGTCGAGGCGGTATTGCTCGCCAGTTGGGCAGTGCGTGAAGGGGACGTGGTAGTAGGCAATATCGTTAAAGAAGTGAAGCTCGTCCTTTTGCAACATAAGGCCAGCGGCGATGGAGTGGACCGGAGCATCGCCCCAGCGCTCGTAGAAGAAACCACCCGCATGGTCAAGGGAGGTAAAGAAGTCAACGTAGGCATCAGATCGCAGCCAGTTCAGGTTGCCAATCTCGAAATTGGACCAGAAATGGCATTTGTTGTAGGTCTCGCCACCGTCGTCACTGAGGAACTTCATCGAGTTGTCCTTGGCGATGTGCTGAGGATAGTGCTTGGTGAAATTCTTGGTGGCGTCCCAGAGCGTTGGAATCGTCTCAACGTATTCGTACAAGCTGAGGGTGAAGCTGTACTTCTTCTTGTTGTCGGCCATGAACTTGAACGTGTCGTAGTTGATGTCGCAGTACAGCTCGATGCTGGGCTCCACGCGCCAGTACCACTCATAGTCGAGCATCAAGGGGTGGCGGAAGAAGAAGCCGGATTCATAACGGCACATGTGCCTGTAGCTGACGGAGTCGCCGTAGATGATCTTCTTCTCCTTCATCTCCTCGCGGACCCTGGCGGCCCTGTCCTGGTCAATCCATTCGGGGAACGACCAGTGCTCCTTTGGAATCTTGCCGTACTTGGTCTTTCCGGACACGAGCGCGGTTGTAACCCTCTTGAATTCGTCGTCGAACTCGTCGTCGTTCAGGAACACCCAGTCGTAGTTGAACTTGCGGTTGAAGCGGTCCTCGACGTGGCGAATAGACTTGGCAATCTCCCAGACGTCGGAATTGCGGGCGAGAGTGACGAAGGTAGCGTTCATGCGAGCGCCGGGCATGGTCTCGGCGAGGGGTGCTTTTTCGTTTGGCGTGGTTGGCGTGAGCTGGCGTGACTGGCGTGACTGGCGCGACTGGCGAGTCACCGTGATGGCGGCATTGGGTGTGCTGGCGTGATGGCATCTTGTAGATGCGGCCAGCTCGCAGTCGGCACTGAGGAGGAGCTGATGAAGTAGAAGACGATCAGAGCCTATGCAAGTCAGCCATAGTCATCAAGTAAGCCTGCGGCATGCGTACAAAAACAGCAAAGATAATGTAGCGTATGTAGCGCTGGGAGCCCGACATGGTGCTGGAGTCGCCAGGACTGTTTCCGGAGTCCTTGCGCTTTTTCCGTTGCTGTGTTCTGGTGGTGCTCTCCACTTTGGCTGCGGCGCAATTGTCGACGTCTCTGCAAAGGGATTGGTGGCCGAATCGGGTGCTATCGAGGGCTCGCTACTACAGCTAGACCTCGGATGCGGAGAGGTCGAGTTTAAGGGACGAGCGAGCGGAAGGAGCGACTTGTGCGCATCAGAGGGAGGAGAGAGGACAGGTATAACCTTCCAGGAGACAAAGTGTTGAGCACGTGGAATGCAAAAGGAGAGATGCGATGGATTGTCGTACGCCTCCAGGTGTGGCTGTCGGCTAGAGTGGAACAGGGTTGTGGGTGCAAGGGCGGCCAAGGAAGGCGGGACTGATTGGGACTGGGGCAGACAAGGAAGGCGCGCCCAAGAGAGAGGCGCGACATCACTACCACTATCATTGACCGGAGCGTCGCATTATTAACCCTCACCCGTTGCATTGCGTGCCTGTATTTCTCCGCTCTATTGGGCTTTCACCAGTCCACCGAGCCCCATGCGGCCGCCGCCTCCTGCTGCCTTTACCTTCGCTCGACGTCACCACACCCAGCTCAATATTTGATACACTCATCTACCACCAACAAACACCCCACCACGGGCACCGCCTACCATGTCGTTCTTCGGCTTCGACACCAACATGCCACGTGACCGCGGTCACGCGGCCAATGCGCCCGGGTTCGGCCAGCACGATGCTTTCGCTGGGCTGAGCAGTGGAGGGGCAGGCGATGATGATGTGTATGTTGCGCCTCGGCCGCCCGAGTCACTTTTTCTTACAACGGATACAGCATCGACTTTGAAGAGACGTACGATGGCCTCGGCAACCGCCTCGATGATGCCGACGACGCCTTCAACGACGACACGTTTGGAGGGCCTCCCATCCAGCAGTCCGTTGACAAGCACTTCGACTTCGCCGGCCAGACTTCCAAGGTCTCCAACATCCTGCAGGAGGAGCAGATGCTCTTCCAGGCCCGCCAAGGCCACCCCCAGCAGCAGTACAAGCCGCCAGTCCCGCAAGCTTCGAAGCCCAACAGGAGTGGCTACGAGAGCTACAAAGACCCCGAGTATATCCCTCAATTGGAGGCCCGCGCAGACATCTGGGGTCTCAAGCCCAAGCAGCAAGCTCAGCCAAGCCACCATGAGCCTCAGCGCCAGTCACACTCCCCCGCACCTCAAGCCGTCCCAGCCCGGAAGTTGATGAGCTTGGATGAGGTCGAGGCTATGATGCGCGCTCAGAGCATCGGCAACGAGCCGCGTGGCGCTCCGCCTATGCAGCATCAGATGCAACAGCACCAAATGCAGTATCAGGGTCCTCCCCCAGGCTATTCGCCACAGCAGTTCCCCCACGGACAGCCGCCGTTCCCTGGCATGCAGGGTGGTCCACCGGGCCAATATGCGCCCCAGATCCTACAGAGGCCTCAACAGCATCAGCAGCACCAGCCTCACCCCCAGCAATCACAGCATCAAGCTTCGCAGAGACAGCAGCAGATGCGTGCAGAGCTACCTGCTCAACCCGTCCACCCCCAAGCACCTCAGCAACCTACTATTCTGCAGCGACAAAAGCCCCAGGCAAACGAGCCAAGCGCCCAGCAACAACGCCAGACCCCCACACCTCAGACCCAAGCGCAAGGTCCTCCAACCCAGCCTCGACAGATCCTCCAGAACCCTAACCGTCTTGCTGGACAGGGTCAGCCGATGGCCCAGCCTGGCCAACAAGCTCAACGAGGACAGGGGCAAGGACACAACCGCGGTCCGTCTTTCCCTGGCATGGTCATCACTCACCCCGAGCAGCTGCTTCAACTTTCCGAAGCTGAACGTGCCGCCTTCCTCGAGGAAGACGCCAAGCGCGCAAAGAGGAACCACAAGATTGCTCAGCTTGCCAAGGATAACGGCCTCATGACACCACAGGACAAGAATTTCATTACCCGTATTCAGCTGCAGCAATTGATGACTGCGACTGGTAATCTAGATGAGAGGGGTCCCGAGGCTGCCATCGCCGAGGATTTCTACTACCAGGTCTTCAGCCAGATCCGCGGTGCTCCTCGCCAGAACCCCCAGCAACCTGCAAGTCAATTCGCGCAGACGTATCTGTTCCAGACCAACAACCGCTTCGGTGCACGACGAAACGGGCGTGGAGGTGACAACCACATGCAGCGCATGGAGCAGCAAATTCAGCGCGCTGTTGAGGCTGCCAAAGCTCGACCAAAGGCCAGACAGCTTGTCGTGGAAGGTTCATTGGGCAAGATTGCCTTCAGCAACTCCAAGACGCCGAGGCCGCTTCTCAACATCAAGCGTTCCGAGGCTGGCCAAAAGCAACCCAAGTCCACCATCGCTGATCGAAAGGAAGCTTTGCGCAATATCGAGAACGTTTATGTTACTCTAATGCAGATGGAAGACCACGAGCGTGCAATGCCACCACCAATCAACCCAGACAGCAACCCAGAGGCTATACAGGCACACATGGAGTGGCGATCGAAGATAGATACCCTCCATCAACAGCTATGGCAGAACACGAAGATCATGGAGCCTCTCAACCCGAAGTAAGTCGAAGAAAATTTCTGAGCGAAACTTTACTGACCTTCTCATCAGCGCCGCTGCACCTCATCCGTTCATATCCATTCTTTCACACGCGAAAGGAAAGAAGGCAGTTCCTCGCCTCTTCCGACACATCGACGAACAGGAGCGAATAACAGTCGTGACTATGATTGTCGTCCACCTTGACCAGCTTTCCGTGGTCAATCAAGCAATCGCCTTACCGGAAGAACCATTGAATCCTGCTGTACGCGAGGAAGTCGAGCTTTTCTCGGCCACAGTCCTGCCACCACTCTTCGCACACATGTCCGAGTCGCCACTTAACATCATCATTGGCCTTCTGGGACTTATCCTCGATCGCACAAACTTGCACGTGGTTGCCCGCAGCAAGATCGGGCTTTCTTTGCTCACAATCTTAATCTCTCGTGCCGAGCTCCTGAAGCAGTCTGCCCCAGAGACAGCCAACGCTGAGTGGGAGCAGTGGAACGTGCTATACAACCGACTTTTCGACTCAGTCGAGCCTGTGCTCCCATTCCTGTTCCCTGGAAGCATCAATGAGACTGACGACATGTACATTTGGCAATACTTGGCAGCCATGGGAGTTGGAGCCAGCCCTGAACAGCAACAGAGACTTGTACTTGGTGTCAAGGATCGCGTCATGGAGACAGTCAACGTCAGTAAAGCTTTGCCAACTGATATGGCAAGTGCTCGTCTGGCTAACGTCAACCTCTTCATGAGGGCCATTGGATTGGACGTGGAGCTTCTTGGATGAAGAGTTGATCTATAGACATCATCTGAACCACCGAAATGATGCAGCAGTAGGGTTGCCGAACTGCTGACGTCGACAAGTAGTCACGAGCTGATGCTGAATTCAAGACGACGCTGCGAGGAGTGAAGGCATCAGCTGCGCCGCCATCAGTGCGCGTTTGGGAAGACAATAAGACATGTATAAGATAGGATAGTGTACAAAGCTCCATGGTGTTGGAGAAAGAATCGGTTGGCCGCCTATACCCATTCCACATGAACTGGCAGGAAGGTGATGACTTGCTGGCTACGAACTATTAGTTGAAAGGGGTTTGTAGCAACAAAAGCGCTAATGATTGAATATTCCATTGCAAATATCTTTATGCATAACTTCCGTCCTCTCTTATTCTCATGCAGAAACGGGGCTCCGCCACTCGGCTCACCTACGGAGCATTTGCCAAAACTGCAAGCCCTGTACCGAAGCCTCAAGATGAGGGAATCAAAAACGGAGCGCCCAGCATGTTTACTTGCGTGATCGTGGCGCTACGATGTTTGATGGAGGCGGCACGGAAATGGGAGCACTTGCGGATCCCGAAAACATATCGTGACAGCTAAGCATTGCCGAGTTGCTTGTTTCGCGCCCAGGGACACAAGGATCGCGCCGTGCATGCATTGTTCCGGGGCATGTTGAGGGTGTTTCAGCACTGTGACGATGTCTCCACTAAGCTTGTCTGGCCTTGGCATCCGAAACACCTATCGACGAACCTCTTCGGCTTGCTCTTCATGCTTCTGAGACGCTTTGCCGGATCCACAGCCACCGCGCGGCGCAGCTTCATGCCTTGGGACGCAGACGAAATGGAGTTGCTATGCCTCAGCGTGTTCTTTGCGAGAGTAAGGAGGTTGCGATTGGGCTGTCTTTCCTCGACGGCTACACAGCAGCTGCAAAACATAAGTTATGTCTCGGCAATTTCATCGAACGCCACAGGTACGAGACGTTTGTGCGTCCCTACGGCGCAACCTCCCCACAATTCCTGAACGGTAGGAGGGAAAACTCAGCCCATACGCGTAAGAGGTTCACCACTTGTTGGCAATCTCAAGCAATGCTGGATGCCTTCGTGGCCAATCGTGGCTGGTATCGGATATCCATCGGGCCCATCTTGATGCCTGCGCAGCCAATACAGGATCTAGACTTTGCGCCTGGGCCTACGACTACAGCTAAGGTATCCTGCGGCACGCACTGTTCGGCTACGCGCAGCAACACACCCACTGCCGCGTGGACCACAAACTGGGGTGTGGCTGCGCTAAGGCTTGACACATTTGGTGATTGATACTCATGCACCCAAGTCGAATCAGGTTGTGTGTTTCATCAAGTCGAATTCATTCTTTGTCATTTCGTTTCATTGCCAATCTTTCTTTAAGAGCGCTGGCTTCGCACACCCAGAGCTACTCCATCAAGCCAAGCCTTGTGTCCTTCCTTGAGAAACGTTGTTTCTTCTTTGCTCTTCTTCTGTTCATTTTCTTGTCTTTTTCTGACGACAGGTATCTCGTCGGCTGCCGGTCAGCATTTCGCCCATCATGCCTTCATTCAAACTCTTTTTCGTTGTCGCTCTTTTAGTAGCTATCGCATTTGCTGTGCCTGCTCCGTCGCGTCGGAGTGTGCAGAAGCGTTCCTTCAAAGTCCCAAGGCAGTTGAACACCGCCCACCCTACTGGTCCTAATGGCATGGCTGCTATGAGAAAGGTGTTCAGAAAGTACAACTTCCAGGTCCGCGAGGATTTCATGTCTCGGGAGGGTCTTATTGGCCTTACGAAGGCGAGCAAGAACGAGAGTTCGGTACAGACTCAAGCCGCTGCTGGCAAGAACCAAAGTGGCACTGTCATGGCCACCCCAGAGCAGAACGCCGCGCTCTTCCTTTCGCCTGTCAAAGTTGGCGGACAGACTTTGAACCTGGACTTCGACTCTGGTTCCTCTGATATGTAAGCATTTCGTTCATACACAATGCTGCATTTCGCTAACATCACATCAGGTGGTTCTTTAGCACCGAGCTTCCCCAGCAAGCCATCCAGCAGCACTCAGCCTTCGACCCCGCAAAATCAAATACATTCAAGTTGACCCCCAACGCCAAGTTCAAGATCAGCTACGGCGATGGTTCAGGCGCAGCAGGTATCGTCGGCACCGACGTCGTCGAGATCGGTGGCGTCAAAGTCGAGAACCAAACCGTCGAGCTGGCCAACGCCGTCTCACAATCCTTCATCCAAGACGTCAACACCGACGGCCTCGTCGGCCTCGCCTTCTCCAACCTCAACACTGTCAATGACGGCACCAAGAAAACCCCCGCAAAGACCTTCTTCGACAACGTCATGGGCAACCTCGACCTCCCCGTCTTCACGGCCGACCTCGATCCCGACGGCACGGGCGTCTACGAATTCGGAAAAATCGACGCCACTAAGTTCGAGGGCCAAATGGCCTGGATCCCCGTCAAGGCCGAGACAGGCTTCTGGCAATTCCCCTCCACCAAATTCGCCGTCGGCGACAAAGTGATTGAAAACCCCGGCGCGTCCGACGCCATCGCCGACACGGGCACGTCGCTGCTCCTCGTTGATCAGAAGGTCGCAGAAGCGTATTACTCACAGGTCAAGGGTGCGCAGCTCAACGCACAAGTTGGCGGGTTCATCTACCCATGCAAAGCCGCTCTACCCGATCTATCTGTCGCGATTGGTGACAGCTACATGGCTAAGATCCCAGGCAACCAGATCACATTTGCGACAGTGGATAAGGCGAACACTACGTGCTTTGGTGGCGTGCAGGGAAACCAGGGCGCTGGGCTGCAGATTTTTGGGGACACGATGTTCAAGGCGCAACTTGTTGCTTTCAACGGCGGTAACCAGTCGCTTGGGTTTGGGCAGAAGCCGCTGGCGAAGTAGGGTGATGAAGAAGTAGTGGTAATGAGGTGGCTTGTAGGTGAATGAGGTGTGAGGTATGAATTGTACATATTATTATTATGAAGATGAAGAGGGGTTGGACACAATCAATATTTACTCAGGCTTGAACACGATGATCTTCCCTCATTTCTGCGTGATATCCCTTCCTCTCGTCGCCCAGATACTGAGGCACCCAACGCAACCGACATCCGGGCATTGCTTGACGTACATTTGTCATTTGTCACTTAGCTTTCGTGGGGTATTATCGGAAGAACTTGCAACACATCCGAGGATCATGTTTTGGAATATTGTTTCGCACATCATGTTCCGAGATGGGAGGTGAAACGGATGGCTGCAAGCCGAGCCTGGGCGAGCCCTGATCTCGGAAAGAGTACCTTGGGGTTGGGAAGGATTGCAGATCCTCCGGTCTGAGATAGCGTGAGAATGATGCGACGCTCTTAAGAGTTGTCCACGACAATGTAGATGAAGCACGTGAACACGTGAACGCGCTAGTGGGTGACGTGAGGAAAGCGCGATGGTATGTTCCTCAACAATGTCTTCGTCCAGCATCAGCGGTGCTACATCAGCCTCACCTGTAGTATTTCATCTCACATACTTCCAGCTGTGCTGTTGTTGTCGGTCTAGATCGATGCGCAATCCCGCATCGGCGCGATGGAGGACACATTAGACCCCGAAGGACGGAGCGCGCTCGATTACGCGCGCCACCATGGGCTGTGCACGCCTTACGATCACGAGCAAATTCATCACGGCAGCTTACCTACACCTTCCGTCGACAATTTTAATCAGGACTTATGTAATCCCTCGAACATGTCCATCGCTAACACAGTTACCACACTAATCAGAGAGCGCCTCGCTGTAAACAGGGGGGGTATTCTCCTTCTAAAAGCAGTGCATGAACTGCAGCAGAAACCTCCGGATGAAGGACTAAAGCCAGATCGGTATCAGCAGATACAAAGCTTCAACCAGGAACTTCCGGTGCTACGAACAGACCATGAACTTGATCTGCTACACTTCGGCAGCTCAGCTGTGCCTGACTTCAAAGACCTGAGAATCCCATTCGAATCGATTGACCAAGAGGATGGCGAAGGCTTTGAGTGGCCTACAAAGTATATAGCTTACCCTATACAATGGGAAAGGAAGATCAAGGCTGAGAAGCTTGCCGTCTCGAAAGACGTCTTACTACATCTACAAGATGCCATTACCGACACGTACACTGACGACGACTACGAAAATATCAAGGAAGAGAGCTTGCGATACAAGCCCGTAGGTACAGCATCAACTCTAGTGACCCTTACTAAAAGGATAGAACATTGCCTGTCGACCCGTCACTCCGCCATTACTACCGCTAACACCACCACTGACGCCTTACATACCGTCTTCGCCATCTAATCGTCTACCACTTCCTTCTGAAGGTAACAACTCGGCCATTGCTGAAGCGCGAGATCTGGAGCAACGAATCATGGATGCAGATTCTCTGACTCGTATTGATTCGGATAGCAGCGATTCAATGCTGCTGGACCTTGCGCATCCTCTACCATGCAGTTCTCCCTTCTATGGGCAAGCGACAACCATCCTGAAACGCAAGGTTGAAGACCTCAAGGTTGAAGGGCCACTTACGCCTCCGATATTGTCCGACTCACCCATGAAGAAGCTGAAGTCAGTCACCTTCTCGGAGACTTTGCACAATTTCATACCAGACGCGCTTTGGGGAAAGGGTTTCAAGGACGACGAGGACTTCCTCAACGACGGCTCGGACATCGACATTGATGAGATCTTTGAGAACTTCGCGCCCTATGCCCAACAAGCGATGCAGAAATTGGAGCATGAGAAGTTGTCCGGAGCAGACACCACTGCTCGTATGGATGTTCCAGAGGTTGACTTCACACTCCCAGTCGCACCCTGGAGTGAATACAGTCAACAAAAGGGCAGCAAGCGGAGACCTGGCGACACAGAACTGGGCGCTCAGACTAAATTTCTCCTAAGAGTCAAGCGCGAAGACTTAAAAACATCAATATCGTGGCACGGTCTTTCGAGTCTTGAACGAAGCTTGCCGTGGGGTATCTTAACCATCAAGACAGCTAAGATAAACCTGACGGAGCAGCTGCATGGTGAGACGGACTTCAACAAGATACACGCTGATATCAATGACGGCAGCATCGCGACCAGTTCGTCTCAAGTCTGGAAGTTGGAAGGACTGCGTATATTCAATGAAGGTGAAGACGAAGATGAGATCGAAACAGATCAATTTGAGGAGAGCAGGGACATGGAATCTCTAATCCGCAAGCGCAAATTGGAGATAGAGGAAGAGGCGCCAAAAATGGCACAGAAGCACACAGCCTCGCAAACACCAGTGAACCAATCCCAGCCGCAATTGCCTCGAGATATACTTGGGAGCAACCACTGGGACAATGGAAAACCTAGCACTCAGAAGTCTAACATCTCACGCTCGAATCCCCTCCGCCACCAGGAGCAAGCATCACAATTGGCAGCGACTCGGCACAATCCCAGGCATGCATCAAAGGAAACGACCGACGACTTGATGTTCGGAGGCTTCTCAGCTACTTCAGCTCTTCACAAATTCATGGAAACTCGAGGGAAAGCTGTAGAGTCAGCTGGTGCTAAGAAGACGATAGGCCGGCATGGAGAAGACTTGACCAACAACACGGCACAGACATTACCAGTTCGCTCAACGAAGCCACCAAAGGAGCATATTGCAGTTCCCTCACGTTCGCTTCCGCGTTTACCAGATGTTCCGCAGCACCTTTCGCCATGTTCATTCATCATTTCAGCTGCCTTCCTACAGCAAAGATCTCTTATGAAACAAATTGAACAGTTATACGAGCGCGCGGAAATCGTTTATAGAGATTACAACCGACCCCACGCCCCAGCAAAAGAAGCGGACATGGTGCTCTCACCATCTACAGGTCTCATATTGACGACATTGCAGCAGATCAAGCAGCAGCCTCTTCCCGGACAGCCTGATAGATCCCCAGTCAAGGAGCGGATGAATGCGTTGCAGGTACGCTACGAGAGACTTCTGGTTGTAGTTAGTGAAGGACTAAGTGCCGAGATGGAAAGCCACGGATCAAGTCGGCCAGACGATGCCCGTGACAAGGAAGCACTGGCACGATTTAACAACTTCGCCGAACAGCTCGAGGGCGAAGTGGTCGTCAAATACATCCCTGGAGGAGAGCGCGCATTAGCCCGCTCTATTGTTGTGGAAATGGTGGAGTATGGCCTTCCACACGGTTCAAAGGACATTGGTGATATCAAACTCATGGCTGCTGAGACAACGGTAAGCTTTTCCCTACATCTAATCACTTATATCCCGTGCTTGCTGACGCGTCACAGTGGGAAGTCTTTCTGCGCCGCGTCGGCATCAATCCCTTCGCCGCTCAAGTCATCGTCGCCCTGCTGAAGAATCCTCTCGATGTGCGTTTACCGGAGACATCAAGCTCACCTGCATATCGCAACAGATCTCGAATTATTTCGGTCTCGGGCCTGCCTGCATTCCTTCTCATGAGTGAGGACGAGCTGATCAAGTCCTTCCAGGCGCATATGGGTGGTAGCAGAATTCTTAGGAGAGTGAGTAGGCTATTGGGCCAGGAGTGGGTGAGCGCCGCGCATGGGTTTAGGCTGGGATGAAGATGAAGTGTGAAGGATAAGATTTATACAGGTCGAGTAAGTGTACACAGCATCAGCAGTTCATGGCTTCAGCCTACGATGGGCTCCGTGTGTACGCTATTCCTGATTAGGTATAGGTTGCAAACCCCTGTTTCGATCCGTGAACCCGAAGTTCGACCTAGCTGTCAGCACGAAGTCACAACCTGTAATCCCAGGGCGTCAGCCTACTATTTCGTGATGCACTCGTTATGCCAATGAATGGTTCGTCTACTGTACTGGCCAGGAGACCGCGAATCAGGACGGGTTGCGCAACATGCAGGTACGATGCCAATCATCATCCTTACCGGCTCAATTGGAACGTGAGCTAAAACACACGTGATAGAATACGTAAAGTCAAGTGCGGTGAGGAGAAGCCATCTTGCTTGAGGTAGGAAGATTGCTTGTATCATGCCACTTCGTCACTAAGTCAAACAGATGCACTAGCACAGGCCGTAAATGCGATGGCTACGCCCTGGACCCAAATGCGGACACCATGGTGATCGCTGGCAGGCAGCAGACATCGAGTATGGTCAAAGTAGTTTCCGTTCACCAGGTCCAGGGGGAAAACATCCAATACCTAGAGTTCTATTACCATTGCGGAGGGCCAAGGATCTCTGGCAAATTCGACCACGACTTCTGGGCCCGCACAGTTCTTCAGATGGCGCAGTCCGAGACAGCTGTACGGCATGCTCTGCTTGCTCTTAGCTGCCTCGCGAAATCGGAGTCTGGGACGCTCAAGGACGCTCGCTCCGGGCTTGTTGCGGTGTCGAAACAGAAGACCATGATCACGCACTATAATAAGGCTTTGACACAATTAGTCCAAAGAATGGCCGAGCCATCGTACTCTCCGGAAGTTGGACTGGTCTGTTGCTTGATCTTCATATGCTTGGAGTCGCTACGCGGGAACTACGACGCGGCATTGACCCACTATAAAAGCGGTCTTGATATCATTTCCGCCTTCAAGAACAGGAGCAGGTGCATAACAGGACCAGCCGAAAATGTTCGCCCTGACATGATTGAGGAAGTCATACTCCCGTTGTTCACGCGAAACATCGCAACAGCTATCATATACGGTCTTCCATCTGAGCATGTCTCGTTCAACTCCCAGTACCCAATCGGAACGCAAGAATGCATCTTCAACACGATCCTCGACGCCGATCTATCCGCACACAACCTGCGCAACATGGCGTTTCTCCTCATCCGAAATCTCGGCACGAAAATCATCACGCAGGAACCTTACACCGAGGAAGAACTGCAAGAGCTAGCGGACTGCATAGCACACCATCAAGTCTGGCTGCGCGCACTCGAGAAGTTCGAACGCGAGACAAATCTCTCCGAGGAAGATGTCGTGGCGGCGACTATGCTCAAGGCCATCCACGTCCTCATGTATGTCTTTGCCTCGCGCCTGTTGTTGCAAAGTCAGACGGATTTCGACCAGCACCTCGATGACTTCAAGGCTATAGTGAGATACACCAAAGCCTATATCGATGCCACTCAACACACTTCATCTCCCAATGCTGCCGCAAATTTCACATTTACCATTGGTATAATACCCGGCCTATACCTCACCGCGTGTCGGTGTCGCTGCCCAGTGACTCGCCGCGAAGCACTCGCGTTGCTTGAGCGCGAGCTTCCGAGAGAAGGGCTCTGGGACGCACAGCAGCATGCCGTCGTGGCGCGACGTGTCATTGAACTTGAAGAGAGAAATGTGGACCCGGTCACTGGGTGGCCCGTGGAAAGTGCGAGGATCTGGAGCACGATGATTCATGGAGAGATGGATGACAATGGGAGGTTTCCGGTGTATTTTGTTGTCGGACATTGGGGCGAGGGGAGGGGGACGCCGCCGATCCCGCCGGGTGGGATACTGCCTCATGATCCGAATGGGAGGATTTGGAGGGAGTGGTTTGTGCTTTGATTTCAATATATAGCTATAGTTGTGGGCACTGTACTTGTAAGTTCGTCGCGTTGCGTGTCGCCACTGTTCATGTATTCACTGAGATCTAAGCTCTATGTATATACATCCGCTATTCAATGCCTATCGATCCCTCCCCAATCGTTCTTCATAATCATCTTCCAATTTCCACGCTGGTAGGAACTTTACTTTCGGTGCGCCATTCGTGACGGCTGTTGAATCCTTCAATTGTGGAACTTGCTGCGTCGAAGGCTGACGCGCAAGTGCGGGGTTGGGATGCGTGTCGGTGGTGCCACCCAACGATGTGTATCCCATATCATAGAGGCAGCAGTATGGTATATTGAGATACCGAATGAAGGTCCATATGTCGACGTAGTGCCAGTCTATGACTGGATGCACGCGAACGAACGCAGGCCAACCTTGATCCGTGGGGTCAAAGTGCTTCAGATTCGCGCCGTGCGGGTCTGTTCTCCGTGTCCCAACCAATATCGCTTTTACCGATGGGGTATCTTTCAGATAGTCTGCAAATGCCTCCTTCATTGGCTTCGCGTATTCAAGTAATGCCAAAGAATATATCTTTATGCTCTTTGCAACAAACTCCTCCACCTCAGGGAACGGATGTTCATCTTGTATGTAACAACATTGGACGGCGGTTTCGATGTTCGACGATGGATTGGGCGTCTGTGCCAGGCCTCGCCTATGTAGGGCACATAGATATAGTATAAGGAGAACGAGGCAGTCTTTGCCACCGTTGTATGCTAATGAGAGCTCTGGCAGGCTTCAGTCACTGTCAGCTTCCAGCACTCCCAAACAACCACGCACTACCCACCTATACCGCGTCAGTGCCTCATCTATGACACCGAGTGCCAGATGAGTCTGGCCCTGCACGCTCTTCACTCTCTCCGACACATCCTTCGCGTCCAAGAAGGCAGCTATGCGGTCATGTATTCTCGCGCATAGCTCGTGAAATGGTAGTGGGGTCTCGGAGACGAGGGGCTCGGCAAATCCAGTCGCAGAGTTCATTGCACAAGCTGAAGGCCCGACATCAATGCGGGCGGCTGCAATTGCAAAAGGCTATTTGTCGACTATTGGTCGTCTGGGAAACTGGTTTCAAGGCATCTTGCATGGTGTCTCCATGGGACGGACGCCCGTGGGTGGTGTAGCCTATTCCTTATCGATATCGGCACCTCGGCATATCTGAATCCGGCATGGCGCGATGCTGCACCTCGCCTGGCCACTCAGGCATCGTGCAGTAAGCGTTTCAAGAACGCCATGTTGGAGCCCACCGCAGAGCGAACATCGGGGCAATTGGCCTGCTATGCGTCTCGTGACGAGCACTTTCCGGTGCTAATCCAGGCGAATCTGATTACACGGCGCGCTCGGCGCTAAGGGTCTATGACTATTGTATGCTCCGCCACTGGTTTGCGGATTCTCCAGACCCTGAGAATGCGCTAGCATCGATCACGCAATTCGGCGCGGCCATGGTCACGTCTCTTTGAGAAAAATTGTCCCAACTGCCAATTGCCGCTGCCGATGGTGTGCTGTGGACGGTCGCCGACGAGCCGATATAGTTATTACACCATCCGGCCATCTTAATAGTTTATTCCTCCACTGTCCTCCGCCATCAATTCGCAGTCACAATGAGTTCCATCAAGACTGCTGGAGAGGCTGGTATGTTATGTCCCCGCGATTACTTCCCCACCGTTGTCTTCCCCTCGCCATTGCGAACACCGGAGGCAATATTAGACTTCAGATTACTAACTTGATGTTCGACAGTGGCCCGAATTGCCCATTTGGCCTCCGACGTGGTTGTGTCCGTCGTGCCTACCCTTGCTTCTGAGTCCGAGTTCTCAGAGGCTCTCAAGTCACTGCAAAAGAACAACGCAACTAGCATTGTTGCGAAGGGACAGACAGAGGTATGTTGCAACTGATTTCGTGCTTTTGAGTGGCAATTCTGACAATTGCACCAGCTCATCACTGTTCGCCAAAATGCGGATCCGCTCCTCTCGGTCTTCCAGCCCATCCGCGCGGGCAAGCTCACCAGCGTCACCACCACCTCGTCTATTCTCGTAAAATCTATACCCCACCTCTACAAGCTCGCTCAGTACCCCGTCGTCCTTCACGTCTCGGTACAGCCATCTGGCTTCCCCGACTTCTCTGATATCACCTCCATCAGAAACTCCGGCTTCACATTTATCCAGTCCGAGACGCTACAGGAGGCGCAGGATTTGGCCTTGACTGCCCATGCTCTAGCAGTAAAGTCTGGCAAGGGTGTCATTCATTTCTTCGACTCTGGAGCATATGCCTTCAAGAAGGAGATCGACTACGAGGATGCTGAACTGGCACGGAAAGTTTTGGACTTGGATACTGTCGCAAGCTTCCAGAGGACCAAGTCAGAGGAGACTACCCTGTACGCCGACGATGGCAGGAGCGCTACACTTTCACTCGCCCGCAGCCAGGCTGCCAACATTGGCTCCGAGCCAGCTCCACTAAGCTCTTCTGAGCATGGTAGGTCACTGCCGGTTTCTGAGAGAACGAGCGAGCGAGCAGACTCATCTTCTGGTTCATCACAGCGCGACGCCAGCACAAGTGGCGCTTCCGTGTCATCGGCAACCACTGTCGAATCGCTTGTCTCTAAACCCATCTCATCGGAGGATATCTATCGCTTCGCCACCCAGATTTGGGGAACTATTAGGGATGCCACTGGCCGATCATACGACGCTTTCGCGTATACTGGAAGCGGCCAAGAAGAGGCTGCTATCTTCTTGTTTGGTGCCGACACTGGTCTGTTCGCCACGGAATTGGACACAGTAGAAGACGGTGAGGAGTACGCTAACACAGGCATCATCACAGCGAGATTGTACCGACCATGGTTGGGTGCTTCATTGGCGCACTTGCTTCCTCGCTCGCTGAAGAGAATCGCCGTCTTGGAGCAAGTCCGACGAAAGACCACCAAGTGGGGCCCATTGCTTCTCGATCTTTTGATGTCCATGAAGTCGACTGGAGGCGCATCACCGATCATCGTTGGATACCAACTCGGCTACATTAACGAGGAGACTGTCCAGCAGGCACTTCGTGGTGTGCATCAGAACCTCATGAGCGAGACGCCCGTACAGAACTTGCAGATTGGCAACATGGACGGACCGGAGCCACAAAGTACGAAGCCCGAACAGCCTGCACTGGAGAACGCTTACATGAAGATTCTCAACCAGGTCTTCGGGGATAAGTTGCACATCGCCAACCAGCTTGGCTCACAGCACGCCGGCGTCTCGAACGAGCTCGCTGCCAGCCCTGAGTACGGTTTTGGTTCCCTGGTAGCACGCAAGGAGCATCGGAAGCGCTTCGTCGACGAGGCTGCTGCGGCTTCCAAGGACAACGCTTTCACCACATCAGCACCTCAACAGTGGCTCTCGAAGTGGGCCTTGAGTGCGGAAGACACCGACAAAGCTAACGAGTATGCGCCTGAGGTCATATCTCGTTTGAGCACCGACGGCTCGCCAGCCGCGAACCAGCTGTTAGCATCGAAGAAGCTATTCTACAAGGAGTCACCCTGGCTGGTTGGATCAGATGCCTGGGCATACGACCTCGGAAACTCTGGTGTGCATCACGTACTGGCGTCCGGCGAGAATGTGAACATGCTCATTGTTGACTCGACACCTTACTCTGAACGCACCGCTGCAGATGCAGAGAGGAGAAAGAAAGACATTGGACTATACGCCATGAACTTTGGTAACGCTTACGTCGCATCTGTTGCTGTCTACAGCTCATACACCCAGGTGCTTGAGGCCATGATCGAGGCTGATAAGTTCGATGGACCTTCCGTCGTCCTTGCCTACCTCCCTTACGAGAAGGAGAATGACTCTCCCTTGACTGTCCTGCAAGAGACCAAAAAGGCTGTCGATCTCGGTTACTGGCCGTTGTACCGATGGGACCCTCGCGGCGATGATAAGGGTGAGCCTAACTTCACTCTTGACTCCGAGAGGATCAAGAAGGAGCTCGAAGAGTTCCTGGCCCGCGACAACTATATGTCTCAGGTCATGAAGCGTCACCCCGAGTTCTCATCCCACATTTCTGGCTCATATGGCACCGAAGTCAGGCAACTACAGAAGCGCAAGGCCAAGGATGCTTACAGCAAACTTCTCGAAGGTCTTCAGGGCGACCCAATGACGGTCCTCTTTGCTTCAGACAACGGTAATTCCGAGAACCTTGCAAAGCGTCTTGCCAACCGTGGCAAAGCGCGAGGTCTAAAGACCATGGTCATGGCTATGGACGACTTCCCTCTCGAAGACCTCCCCAACGAGCAGAACGTCGTTCTGTTCACGAGTGTAGCTGGCCAAGGAGAGTTCCCGCAAAACGGAAGAACTTTCTGGGAGACCGTCAAGGATTCTACCGATCTGGACCTGGCGACCATCAACTTTGCGGTCTTCGGTCTCGGTGACAGCCACTACTGGCCACGAAAGGAAGATAAGATTTACTACAACAAGCCCGCAAAGGACCTGCATGCTCGCTTGCTCACCCTTGGAGGTACCCCTCTGGTAGAGTGTGGTCTTGGAGACGATCAGGATCCGGACGCGTACCAGACGGCGTACGCCGAGTGGGAGCCGAAGCTCTGGCAGAAACTTGGCGTTGATAATGTTGAGGGTCTTCCCGAAGAGCCTGCACCGTTGACCAACGAGGACATGAAGGCTGCTTCGAACTTCCTCCGTGGTACCATCGAGGAGGGTCTGAACGACACCTCCACTGGCGCCATTTCTGCAAGCGACCAGCAGCTCACCAAGTTCCACGGAACCTACATGCAAGATGACCGCGATCTTCGCGACGAGCGCAAGGCGCAAGGTCTCGAGCCAGCCTACTCTTTCATGATTCGTTGCAGGTTAGCCGGTGGTGTTGCCACTCCCAAGCAGTGGCTACAGATGGACGAAATCGCCACTAAGCTTGGCAACGAGACCATGAAGTTGACTACTCGACAAACCTTCCAGTTTCACGGTGTCGTCAAGGGCAAGCTCAAGCCGGCCATGCAAGCTATCAACAAGTCTTTGATGACCACCATCGCCGCTTGCGGTGACGTGAACCGAAACGTCATGTGCAGTGTACTGCCTACTCAATCGAAGTACCACAGCCAGGTTCACGAGGCTTCACAGAGGATCAGCGACCACCTTCTGCCTTCCACATCTGCCTACCACGAGATTTGGCTGGAGGACGACGAGACAAAGCAGAAGCGCAAGATTGCTGGTGAAGCTGTTCAGGATCACGAGCCGCTGTACGGTCCTCTTTACCTGCCGCGAAAGTTCAAGATCACCATCGCAATCCCGCCTCACAATGACACTGATGTCTATGCACACGACATTGGTCTTATTGCTATTAAGGGTGAAGATGGCAACTTGAAGGGATTCAACCTTCTCGCTGGTGGTGGCATGGGTGTTACGCACAACAACAAGAAGACGTACCCGCGCACTGGATCCATGTTCGGTTACGTATCCAACGAGGATGTCCACATCGCTTGCGAGAAGATCATGCTTGTCCAGCGCGACCACGGCGACCGCAAGAACCGAAAGCACGCCCGTCTCAAGTACACCATTGACGATATGGGTATCGATGTCTTCCGTGGCAAGGTCGAGGAGCTCTGGGGTCAGAAGTTTGCTGACCCAAAGCCATTCAAGTTTGAGAGCAACGTCGACACCTTCGGCTGGCAAAAGGATGAGAACGGTCTGAGCCACTTCACCTTCTTCATTGAAAACGGTCGTATTGAGGACACAGCCGACTTCCCCATGAAGACTGGCCTCATTGAGGTGGCCAAGGCACACAAGGGCGAGTTCAGATTGACTGGTAACCAGCATTTGGTCTTGTCCAACGTAGCGGAGGAAGATTTGCCTGCGATGAAGGAGCTGCTCAAGAAGTGGAAGCTTGACAACACCAACTTCTCCGCTATGAGGCTATCTAGTTCAGCTTGTGTTGCGTTCCCCACCTGCGGTCTCGCCATGGCGGAATCAGAGCGCTACCTCCCAGAGCTCATCACCAAGCTTGAGGGCACACTTGAGGAGAACGGCCTGCGACAGGAAAGCATAGTCATGCGCATGACCGGATGCCCTAACGGTTGCGCCCGTCCATGGCTGGCTGAAGTTGCTTTCGTTGGAAAAGCTTATGGTGCCTACAACATGTACCTTGGCGGTGGCTACCATGGTCAGCGACTGAATAAGCTGTACAGGAGTTCTATCAAGGAGGACGAGATCTTGGAGATCATGAAGCCGATGATCAAGCAATATGCAACGGAGCGTAACGAGGGCGAGCACTTTGGTGACTTCGTCATTCGCAAAGGCTACATTAACGAGACTACGCACGGAACGAATTTCCACGACAACGTAAGTACCTCTTTCTATGCAATATTATATACAATGCTTACCAAATCACAGACTGCGGAAGAAGAATCAGATGGCGAGTAAATTGGGAGACATCAAGATACCTGAAGATACTGGCTCATGGCATTGCATTTGATCGCTTCGGCGGCTCATGATCATTTTGGCGTTATATTGGAAAACTTCAAGCGTTGAGATCTCACTGCTAGTTTTTGTATTTTTTTCCATAATTCAATAAGATTATGGCTGTTCTATTCGGCCACAATCGCTCAATAACACTCTGCGTGAAAATCGTGTTTGAAAGAGTCAGCTTAAATGTGCAAGCAACATGGAAAGCTCTAAAAGGAAATTGCGCTAAAAGTATTACGTCACCCCACTTTGTTCCAATCGAGAAGACCCACAGCCTTTCAGATGTATGTATTGACTCACCTGATATATCTTGCCGCACTCCACCCTCACATGTCCTGCTAGATTTTCAATGCTGATGCGAAGATATCTGGGCTGCCTCAAGACACCATCCCCTCGATCAAGACATTACCTTGGTAGTGCTTTGCACTGGAGCCAAACAAGCATCTATCACATTACTCCACTGCACTCAATCAAGATGCTTCACTCAGCATCTGAACCTGCGAAACGCATCTTCGCACCAACATCCAACTCGACCGATCCCGGCCATGCAACGCAATACACCAAAGGCGCACTCGACTTCAAAGACCTCCTCCCCTCACCAACCGACCAATTTCATAAATGGTTCCAAGAAGCCCAAGAGCAGAAAGTCTACCAACCGGAGACGGTAACCTTTTCCACCGCCGAACTCCCATCCGGCAAGGTTTCGGCGCGCATGGTTTACATGAAAGAGCTCGACGCTAAAGGCTTCGTCATCTATTCCAACTGGGACACGAGCCGCAAGGCCAGCGACGTGCGCTCAAACCCTTACGCTGCGCTTACTTTCTGGTGGCACGAACTTGAGCGCCAAGTGCGCGTCGAAGGGCGCGTTGAGCGCCTGACGTCTGAAGAGTCGCAAGTGTACTACGACACGCGCATTCGGGGTTCGCGCATTGGTGCTTGGGCGAGCCAGCAGAGCAAAGTGCTGGAGAGTAGGGAGGAGCTGGAGAAGAGGGTGGACGACGTCGAGAAGAAGTTTGATGGCAAGGATGAGATTCCTGTGCCTGAGTTTTGGGGTGGGTTGAGAGTCGTTCCTGAGGTGGTAGAGTTTTGGCAGGGAAGGCCGTCGAGGTTGCATGATCGGTTTAGGTATAGCTTGAGTGAGGGTGGGGAGTGGAAGGTGGACAGACTGAGTCCGTAGACATCGGTTCAGACTATCCTGAAGGTTAGAAAAATTTTGATTTATTCATCGTTGGTTGTTCTTGTGACTGCGTACATGCCCGTGTCTGTCGCGTCATCGTTCGCGATGGCTCCATTGGTCAGATTTTTGGCTACTCAACCCCGCTGAACTACATCTCGCCAACGCCGACTCTGAGAAGACCATCGTGTCAGCTTGTCATCACGAGACTTGAACCTCATTCCAACATCTTCTAATACAGGTTATCCCCGTCAAAATCAAAAAATTGTAGTCGCCGCGATGAGCTCGAGCCACGATTATCAGTATGACCTCGGGTCATACCACCGCAAAGTCTCGACGAAAAATGCCAAAGCGCAACTTTGGTTCGACCGAGGTCTCACATGGTGCTACGCATTTCATCATGAAGAGTCAGCTCGGTGCTTCGAGCGAGCGATCAGCGATGACCCGGCCTGCGCAATGGCATACTGGGGTGTGAGTTCATCATCACCCAGAATGCACAAGAGCTGATGTAGCTAGCTTGCCTTTGCTCTTGGGCCGAATTACAACAAGCCGTGGGACCTCTTTGATGAGAATGAACTGGTGTCGACAATAGACAAGATCAATGACGCGAATGCAAAGGCCCGACAACATGCTTCGGAAGCATCGGAAGTCGAGAAAGCACTCATTGATGCTGTTCAATTACGTGTACCCAACGGGCTTGATGAGAAGGCCTTCAAAACATGCAACGAAGCTTATGCCTTGGCCATGGAATCTGTGTACGCAATGTTTCCCGATGATCTGGACATCGTCTCATTGTACGCGGACTCCATCATGAACCTCTCAGCATGGGATCTCTGGGATCTGAAAACTGGTGAGCCCACGCCTGGTTCGCGATCTCTCGAAGCCAAAGAGATTCTGGCAAAAGGCGCTGAAGAAAGATGGTGTTCACAAGCACCCGGGAGTTCTGCATCTGTACATCCATTTGATGGAGATGTCGAAGACGCCGGAAGTTGCACTCGTCGCAGCAGATCATCTACGTACATTGATACCTGATGCTGGTCATCTAGTGCACATGCCATCGCATCTTGACATTCTTGTGGGCGACTACAGACGGGCTATTGCCTCGAATGCAGATGCATGTCTAGCTGACGAGAAGTATCTTGCCGAACACGGCGGTGACAACTTCTACTCGTTCTATCGCATGCACGACTACCACTCCCTCATCTACGCCGCAATGTTTGCTGGTCAGTCCCAGGTTGCACTAGAGGCAGTCGATCGTATGGAGAAGTCACTACCAGATTCATTGCTGCGAATCCAAAGTCCGCCCATGGCAGACTGGCTCGAGAACTTTGCATCAGTACGGATCCACGTCCTAGTGCGTTTCGGGCGCTGGGAGGAGCTCATTGCGCTCGATATGCCCAATGACAGACATCTGTACTGTGTTACATCTGCGATGTTCCACTACGGTAAAGGCGTCGCATACGCTGCGACTGGCGACATTTCGCACGCAGAGGAACACCGTGCTGCACTTGCCGAAGCTATCGAACGTATTCCATCCTCTCGGATTTGCGGAGACTTTCCAAACCGCTCCAACGTCGTGCTAAAAGTTGGGGTTGCAATGCTAGACGGTGAACTTGAGTACCGTAAAGGAAATTTCGATAGTGCATTCAAGCACCTGGAGACTGCTATTGAACGCGACGATGCGCTAACGTATGCGGAGCCGTGGCCATGGATGATGCCAACACGACATGCATATGCTGCGTTGTTGATGGAGCAAGGACGAGTCGAAAATGCAGCTGCAGCCCACCGAGCGGATCTGGGGTTTGACGATACTTTGCCAAGGGCTAGACAGCATCCGAACAATATCTGGGCGCTGCACGGATATCACGAGTGCTTGCTCAAGCTGGGCAAGATGGACGAAGCGGGGATCGTCGGTCAGCAACTGAGGATAGCAAAGGCAGTCGCAGACGTTGAGGTGAAGTCTAGCTGTTATTGTCGAGGCGCTGGGGAACAATGAAAGCTTTGGAAGGGACTCCTGGTATCGACAATGGATAGTTCGAATTGGAGGCGCAGTAGTCTAGACTCCCGATTGGATCTGCATTTGTACAGCCGGTGTCGGCTTAGAACAGCTAGAATTCAGCGCCTCAATTAGAAACAAGGTGCGCAGTGATGGTTGAATGATTGTCCGTGGGATGGTATGAAAGAAAAAGAGGAGATGTCATGATTTGTTGTTTTGGACCCGTAATACTGGATGCTTCCCCGATATGCGAGCAGTAGTTCTTGGTTGGGAAGGCTTTCTGCACTGATCCCTACTTATCTGAGCAGTTCTGGAAGGCTTATGTCAATCATGGCTGTTTCGGGATCATAAGAATGCACACCTCTTTTCAACGAATGATTGCCAAGCAATTGCATCGTTGAAGACCAGGGATCCTGTGTCGGGACGGCGCAGTGACGCACCCACGTGGAAGCAGATCCCTACACCGCACGCGCAACCCCTCGTGAACAGGGAGTGACAATGGACATATCTCGGTACATCGGCAGCAATTGTAGGTCCATCGTGAATATTCCACGACAGTTGGAAAGGCCCACATGGGGAAGCGGTTCGACGGTGACCCGCGTGGAGCAGTGACGAAGGTTTAGTGCTCTCTATGTTCCATGCTGGCCGTCTGAACAAGTCAAGCTTGCGACGCTATGAATAACGCGGGTTGTCAACACTCGTACGAGCTAGGCTAAATGCCATGGCACGGTGTGTGATGGTACAGTAGCTGCCGTTGAGTTCATGCACATGCAAGAACCGAGGCAGCTTACTCAACGATGATCGAAATTTGCAGTGCTTACACAACGGCTTGGAGATGTTGAGTTTTGGGGCAAGGCGGGAATTCGAAGTCGCCGACCACGACGTCGAGCATCTTATTTCCAGGTAACTCTCATGGGTATGTTCCAGCAATCAGGGAGATGTGCTGGTGACCCGCAAAAAAGCGGTTCGTCTAACATGGGTATGGAGATGTCGACATGGGTGTGGATCAATGCAAAGATCGTGAGCCCGCCAGTCTGGTGAGCTTTGGCACTACAATAATGAAGGAGAATGCCGCAATCGTTTGGTCAGCGTGTGGAAGATCGTCTTGTGAATGCACGTCCTAAGAGGTCGGGGCGATGTTTCCGGCAGGCGTCTCGGCATTCCCATCGAATAGCCAACTCTGGAGAGCATGTCGCCTTGGTCAGAAGGACCCCTTCAGACCATTTCATCGCTTGGCAGTTGTCAAGCTATACAGCCCTACCCGGAGTCTCTTCCCGACTTGTTGAGTGGCGAGCTCTGACTCGAACCTCCCTACCGACGTCCCCGAGCAGCATTCAGTCCTGGGACTTGAGTCAAGCCGCGCAGAATCGACATGAGACGGACCTATCAATTCTCATCGGCAGTTCTGGATTCTGAGCATTGTGTTTCAAAATATGAACGATCAGCGTCGTGGTGCTCCACCTTGGTGTTCGCCGGACAGTCGAGCTTGCTTTAAAGGGCTTGCCCTATGTCGTCGAAAGCATGCTAGCGAGCCTCGCTTAGCGGAAATTTCGTTCTAAAAGGGCAAGTGCCTAAGACGTTAAGCCTATGACGAGCTAATCATCGTGTTTTCCATCCGACGGTTCCTGGTTTCCACGGCTGTCTCCCGTCCCTTTGACACGCGAGACGCACTTGTGTGGCCGGAGTACACCGGCGTCTGTTAGCTCCACGAATAGGGTGATGTGAACACCTCAGCATGAAAGAAACGCGGACGCCAGTGAAGGCGGCAACGGGAAGGGGAACGAATCTTGGGACCGGAACTTCTCGAAAGCGGCCACCAGGAGATATGGAGACATTGGTATGGAGACGTTGGGCGGCTATCATGTCTTCAATGGAGAATATACACCCCGCAAAACCAAGATGAAGAGATTGATGTGGTGATTGCGCATCGCCGGGGCGTCCTCCGCGGACGCCTGCAGATTTCCAGCGGCTGGATAGATGAATCTGCATGGGCCCTGGGCCCTGTCGTCTTTCATTCTGGCAGCCTGTGGATCGGGTCTTAACGTGGATGTTTTCGAGTCAGCTGTTCCTCGCTTTTGGTATAGTCCTGGGCCTCTGTCTTATCTCGCCCCTGGCACTGAAGTGACTACCCGGCATCCGAGGAGCATGGCGTGTGGAGTGGCTGCATTGCTTTTCTTGCCCTGATCCTTCGTGCGTCGATCTGTTATATCTCGCCGAGCCGGACTCTTTCTTTAAGTATCCTCTTTAGTGCATTCGAGTGGTGAATTGTGGTGTTTTTGATAATGGCGGACGAGACTCGTGGACCGGAGTTGCAAGCAGTATGTCACTTATACATACTCATCAGACATACCATGAGGTCGACTAACAATTCTAGGTATGCTCAACCTTTGTTTCCCTGGCGTTTACGGCTACCGTTTTGAGGGTGTATGTTCGAACATGCCTGGTGAAGGCATTCGGATGGGATGACGCTTTCATGGTGTTCGCTCTGGGCTCCCACATAATGTTTGCAACATGTGCCATTGGTGGCATTCACTGGGGGACTGGACGACACATGAACACCCTGTCGAACGAAGAAATTTTCATGGCAATGAGGGTAGGGGATAGCATACCCATAACGAGACGCTTCTGTGGCTAACTTGATGATTAGTACTGGTGGCTATGTTACATTGGATACTGTCTGGCCATGATCACCTCAAAAGTTTCGATTGGGCTGTTCCTTCTCCGTGTCACGATCAAGCCCATGCACAAGTGGATCATCTACGCTGCTATGGCCATATCAGTCTTCACTGGAGCCGTCTTCTTCTTCGTCACAGTTTTCCAGTGCACCCCCATCAGCTATTTCTGGAACAAGCACGAACCGGGATACTGCGTTCCGATCGATGTGATCATCGGCCTCACCTTTCTGTACAGTGCATGTGCGATCATTTCGGATTTCACATTCGCAATCCTGCCTATTTTTGTTGTATGGGGACTGAACATGCCTGCAAAGACAAGAATCTTGCTGATTCCTATCCTTGGGATGGCCTGCATGTAAGTTGATCGAACAATCCTGATTGCATACAGCTACTGATAGAATGCGTGTAGTGCCAGTATCGCTGTTACCGTGCGATTAGCCTATGTCATGAAGTTCAGAGATCCCGACTTTCTCTGGGCTACCGTTGACGTCGCCATCTGGAGTGACATCGAACAAGGCCTCGCCATAACTGCTGGAAGTCTCGCAACACTCCGCCCACTGTACCGCGTCGTCACTTCGAAACTCGGTCTCTCCTCGGGCGGTACAGACGACAGCTCAAAGCCGACTGGCGCGCGTACACCTCAATGGAGCCCTCGACTATCCAGCCCACGTAGTGGATTTCCGAGCTTCAAATCGTTGTTGCGGTCGGAGAAGGGAACTGTCAGAGATAAGGACGACGAGTATGGCATGGGCGATCTTCAGCCTGTACGACTCAGGGATGATCTTGTTGATGCAAATGGGAGAGAGAAGAACGACAAGGGATACACAACATGGGAGATACAAGCTAGCAAGAGCTCTGATGAAGAGTGCCGTGCTGGCACTGTAACGGTGCACACACAAGTCCACCAGGCTTCCGAAAGGCGATAACGGCATCCGGATTACGAAATGTACATTACACGAAACAGGATTATGAATGTGCAGAATGGGAGAGATCCAACCATTCGTTCGAAATATCCAGGCGATGATCAAGGCGCAGAGCAAAAGGAATAATTAATCGTTAATTAGGAATGACAGCATCTTTGAATCACATCATCTCCCTCCATGATATCACTGTCGCTCGCATCATCGATCTACATTGCTGTTCTTTGCACGGAGGAACGCTTCTACCTGCGCGTTGGTCGGCTCGCCGACTGCGGGTGCTGCCACGCCTTGCGCGAGTTCCTGCTTCTCCAGAGGATGATCCTTTCGCCCGTCGACAACACTAGGCTTCTCGCTTATCACCTCAGTCGCCCCATTCGCAGTGCCATTGGACTTGATGGGATCATTTGCCCTTACTGCACTATCAGACTTTGATACTTTCGAGGAATATCCTGCTGCCGCGAACGCCTCCCGGTGCGAGGAGTCAATCTGAATACTATCCCTATTCGTTGTCCAGTCTCTTTCAGCATGTTGGATCTGCTCATTGGTCGGCAGCAGATCACCATGGAAAGGCCGTTTGACTGTCTTGACAGCTTCTCGATTGACTTTCCAGAAGCCTCCTGTCTTGTCGACTGTGAACGATCCGGGATCCAGAGCGGACAATTTTTCGAAAACGGGGTCACCCTCCGTCCTCTCGAAAAAGATGGGTTGCCAGTGCTTACCGCTTGCCACCTCTGCGTCTCGCATATGCCGCTGGCCCTCTTCAACGCGCGACTTTGCGTCCGCTACACGCTTCATGTCGCCTCGGTGTAGAGCAGAAATGACCTCTCCCCATGCTTTTCGTGATTCCCATGGGTCTTGCTCGGAAAGATGAGCTACCTCAATGCTTGCGGAGTCGAGATCGTTGACATTGAACGTGTAGATCTCCTCTCCCGTCCTGCCATTCTTGAATGTCAACTCTCCATTCCAAGCACCTTTGACTGTGTATAAAGTTTCGCTTGGCTTGTCTGCATGGTACAACTTCGCCTCGAGCCCATTCTTCTGACCTCCGCCCAAGAAACTCTTTCCTGTGAATTTGAGGTGGGAGACGTATCCATTTGAAGAGATGAGGGAATATTCGCCAGCCAGTTCCGGGTATGGCGTGCCAGTCAAAAGACCTTTGACTTTGATGTTCGGCACCGGGATCAGGTAGTCTTCATCCCATCTATCGAGATGCAAAAGTGCATAGCCCTTCTGTTTGATGTTCACATTTCCAGAAAAAGTGATCTCTTGTTGAGTGAACCCTTGCGCGCGGACCCCATGCTTGTCGTTCCAGAGGTAGCATGCTGTTATAGGTGGATGATGGCTAACCTGCTCGGCAACTAGACGTGTCTCTCCTATTTCTTCATCTTTCCAATGACCGAGGAAAAGTTCTCCCAAGAACGCGTTCAATGGCTTCTTCACACCATCTTTTTCTCGTCGGCCTGAATACTGTTGATTCCGCAACGTGCCGATGAAGTATTTCAGGACACTCAAAGCTCGCTTCTCCGCATCCTCCTCGGCCGCCTGGGATATGAACAAAGTCGGATGGTCAGCCCAATATTGCGGTATCTCTACCGTGGAGTTTTCAGCTAGCACAAATGGAGGCGCTGTGATGTTCGATAAATCGCCGGATACCGTAGCTACAGAGCCAAGAAAGTCCTTCAGAGCAGAGCGATTGTTCGCGATATCGTTTGACATGGTGTATAAGTGTAGTGTTTATATCTAGATGTATTTGTATCACTTTGGCATGGGTCACCGTAGTTATGGAACTACGCGGATGGCTGCGAGAAGTGATGACGTCGTTCGCGCTATGACCTACTACGCCCACTTGTTACTCGTTGGTGGACGCCTTTCGAAGGATTTCGGGTCTGGCTGAGGGGCTGTGTAGCCGTGGACGCCAAGTTTGCTTCTGGCGCACATTCAGCTGCATTTAGTCAAGTATTTTAAGTCGTGGAGATCGTTCTCGACTGCTTCGGTGTCAGTGATAGACTAGTATGTAATGAGACTAGGTAGCGTTGTCTAGCAAACTTCGAAACCAGGATCGAGCACAGGATCGAGCACAGGCTTGCGAAGAACATCGTCACGTCTCACTCGATACTTGCACGTACCCATAGGACAGCCCGTCATCAATATTCCAGACTTTCCGATGATCGAAGCATAAGTACACTTGTACTGCGGACACTAAAGCGGGCAACTGAAACCATTTCAAGGAAGATAAGCACAATCTTAGCGAGATACCAGAGGCTCGCAAGATGTCAAGACTCATTCCAAGACAGGGCAATTCGGGTATGCTTTACAGTTGCACTAGTTAGCCTCGTAGCTTTCGTTTACCGCTTGGTGGAGCAAACGACGGGTAGATAGCAGGGGTTCGACAAGAAGCACGATAAACCCTCATTGGCTCAATTTCTGCTATCCAGAAGCTCATTTGCCGGATGAGCTCTGCTCTACCCCTGTCGCACTCTGTTCTGTGTAGGAAGAGGCGGTATGTCTACTTTTTGTACGCAACCTTATGCAGTCTCCCCTACGAATCATACATCAACCCAACTTGCAACTTCGGCTGCCTTTCCAGTTAAGACCTTCTTGGCAATCCTTCTCGAGATGTTCTAGTGTCTTTGTGTGGTGGGTTATCGCGATAACGGTGCCGAGTCGCAACGATCATCCGGCATGTTTACATAACTCGTCCTTCGGTTGCTGTATCTATCTCCGCATTTGTATGAGTTCAATGATGCTGACGGGCGAAAAACTGCCATCATGCATCTTGGCACGAGATAGGCATTACTAGGACTGATTACGACCGATAGCAATACTGGTGCCGAGAAGCATGATAGACTGGTATAAAGTAGACGCAAATAACTTCAGTTCAATTGACCTCGAAAACTTTACTTTAGTCTGATCTCTTTCAGATCGAACACAGTCCAGTAGCATACATTCACTCAAACTCTTACACTTTGACTGCCCATCAAACCCACAAAAAGGTTAAAGATGAGGTGTCCGATACAGCTTTTGGGTCTCTTTACCTCCCTAGCATTAGCTTCACCCATCGACTTCACTAAACCTGATCTCCACAAACTTTTCATCCGACAAGACATCCAAACCTCCATCAACGCCTTCCCTCCCGAACGTCACCATCTTCGCCACAGGCGGCACCATCGCGTCCCAAGGAAGCACCAACACACAAACCACCGGCTACTCCATCGGCCTCGGAGTGCAACAACTCGTCGACGCCGTCCCCGGAGCTCCTCAACATCTCCAACATCGCCCGGCTACCAAGTCTCCAACGTCGGTTCAGGAGACATCCACCCAAACCATCAGTTTGACACTCGCACACATGATCAACGAAGAGCCTAGCAAAAGACACCGTCTCAGGCGTCGTCGTCACCCACGGCACAGACACGCTCGAAGAAACCGCCTTCTTCCTCGACTCCACCATTTCCTCCTCTAAACCCGTCATCCTCGTCGGCGCCATGCGCCCCGCCACCGCCCTCTCCGCCGACGGCCCGCTGAACCTCTTCCAAGCCGTGACGCTCGCCAGCTCGCCCGCGGGCCGCGACCGCGGGGCTATGATCGTGCTGAACGACCGCATTGGATCGGCATTCTACACAACGAAGAACAACGCCAACACGCTCGATACGTTTAGTAGTACGGAAGCTGGCCAGCTCGGCGTGTTTATTAATCAAGTCCCGTTTTTCTTCTTCGCGCCTGCGAGGCCCGTTGGGCAGGTGCACTTTGATGTTGCGAATGTGACGGAGCTTGCGCAGGTCGATATTCTATATGCGCATCAGGATATGGATCCGTATCTGTTCAACGCGACTGTCGATGGCGGCGCAAAGGGCGTAGTGTTTGCGGGTGTGGGAGCGGGTGGTACATCGTCTGCTGCGGCGCTGAATATGGAGAGGGTGTTTAATGCTACGGGGATCCCGATTGTGAGCAGTCATAGGAGTGCGGATGGGTTTGTGCCCCGCCGAGTACAGGGGATTTTACGATTGCAAGTGGGTTTTATAATCCGCAGAAGGCGAGGATTTTGGCGCAGTTGGGGTTGAGTACGGGGTTGGGGGTGGAGGGTATTAGGGAGGTGTTTGGGAGAAGTTATCCTATGCCGTGAGGTAGAGGGGACTGTTGAAGATGGATTGATGAATGTGATGAGGTTACGATCGCACTCGCATGTTCTCCTACACGATGCATCAATCTCTGTGAAGTGAATAATTCATATCCGAGGAACAGACTTGCTGTCGTCTAGCTGTTTGATTCGCTTTGTGGTAATAGAGGAGCGGCTTGTAGCGGGGTCTAGTGACGAGTGGACCCCACTTATCCTCTTTGAGACGCAAGTGTACAAGAAGGCGTGCTTCTAGTGTATAAGTATCGACATCCTATGCCGAGTTTGAACAACTTGTGGAATTCATGCACTTCTTCCTACTTAACACTCAGTTTTGCAGGCAGACCGTAACCCATTCGCAATTCCGTCACCATGTGTCCACCCTCGTCTTTGGTGGATAACGCCTCCAGAACAGGTCCGACGCCCATTGATGCAACCAGTGTGATCCCAGAAACACAAATATCGCGGTCCGCCTATGCCCATGCGTCCTCTCTCCTACCTCCATCGATTCTGAACCACAGCATCAGAGTCTATCTCTACGCCACTACGCTCGCGAAACACACCAATTCTACATATGTTTCCGACGCATCAATGCATGATTTCTTATTCACTGCCTGTCTCTTCCACGACATTGGGACCACGGACACATACGACGGCTCGCAACGGTTCGAAGTCGAAGGGGCCGACGCCGCTGTAAAGCACCTGTCACAATTCGATGTGAGCGAGCGAGACAAGCACGATGTCTGGACGGCGATTGCAATCCACACGAGTCCGCAGATTGCAGAGAGGATTGGGCAATTATCGAAGCTGGTGCGGCTCGCAGTAATTACGGATTTCGGCCGGAAGAGCGAGGCGTGGGATGTATTGCAACCGTTGCGAGGGAAATTGGAAAAGGATTTCGAGCGGTGCGGGATCGAGAAGGTGCTCGGTGATGCTGTGGTGGGGCAAGCGAAGAAAAAGCCTGAAAAGGCGCCGATGGTGTCCTGGCCTGGAGTCATGTACAAAGCGCATCTGGCGGAGCCGGAGTGGGAGGGTGTGAACAAGGCGTTCTGAAGCCGTGGTGTTGCATTGTCGCAGTGGTTATCCAGTCCTACGCATCCATGTGTGACCTCTGCTTCATTCCTGCAACATATTGTGCTGTCCGCGAGTTACCGTGACTCTTCAACCACCATCGCTCCTCTCCAAGAAGCCAGGATCCCTCTCAATCTTGTTCTCAAACTTTGTCCACCAGGCCTGGAATGCCTTCAAGGGCACCGTATCTCCACTGCCCCAGCTTGTCAAGAAGTCGTAGCAATTCTTGATGATCCTCTGCGCAAGCACCTTTGTCGTCACCGTTGCCTGGCCCCTCAGAACAATCTCGTTGCCCGTCTTTGGTGCAACGGCAGCATTTTGCGCCTTTTGTTGTTCCAACGCAGCTGCCACTTGTTGCGCCGGCTCAATGGAGATGCCCAGTGCAAGCACACCATTGCCGTTCATGCTCTCGTCTACCATGACATCTTCATCGCCAAGGCCCCCGCCTGCTGGTCCGCCAGCTTTGTCTATGACTTTGAATATCGCGCTGGGTTTCTCGTTTGCGATTGCGCCCAAGAGCTTGACTTGTGCTGCTCCAGGTAGTTGCGCGTATACGGCGGCGGCGGTGCCATCTGGTAACGTGATACCGGGGAGTAGGAAGACGACGATATGCGAGAAGGACGGTTGGGACGGGATTTGGAACGCAAATTGGGTTTCCGATACGGCGCGCGCGTCTGTAAGGACTGGACGACCGGAGATGATGACGCCGATGGGTACAGTAGCCATGGTGATAAGGAATGTGGGTTGTTTGCTGTGGGTGCAACTTAATGCGACTGTCGCAGACGGGGCAGAATGAAGACACACATGAGTTTGTTTGTTGTCAAAGAGCTTGTTGTAGAAACTTTCGAGAGCTTTCTTGACATTTCTGCGTCATTGGTCAAAGCTCCGCTTCACCCAACCCCATGTTCATCCTCGCTAACGCCATTAAGACACTCCGCGAATACAACACCAAGGCATCTTCACACAAGTAGTCTCAACATTCACATCCTCGATTTTTCAGATGCTGCGGGTATCTACTTCCACCACTCTATGTTGAATTCGGATCGACACATGCCATGTACCCCCTCGTCTTACTCATCTCCTTCACGCACCCATTCGGACACGGATAGCTCTCATTATACTGCCAGCTAAACAGCGGATCCGTCTCATTCGTCAAAATCTGCCCCAGCATAACCGTCTGGTAACCCGGTAACTGGCGTGTCTGCTGAAACACATCGTAGCTGGACATCGTGATCACGCCCCAACCAGCATTGTAGTTGTGTTGGATAGTGGTGCCGTAGATATACTCCTTGAAACCCGACCAGCGGATTGCAGACGCGCACATGGGGCATGATTCTGCGTTTGTGTCTGCATTGGGTGTTAGGAGATTTTGTGGGAGCGAGGGTGCGTTCGTACAGATTGACAAGTCTGCCCATGCAGCGAAGATCTGGGTGGCTGTCATGTTGCGGGCCTGGAAAACAGCTGTGCAGGCATTGATTGCGGAGATTTCGCCATGAATGCTGAAGTGGAACATCAGTATATGGTTAATTGCTCGACGGGAAGGATCATACGTTGGGTCACCGGTGCGGAAGTTTGCGCCTCGACAAACAACCTCATCGCTTGTGTGGTTCACAATGATAGTGCCGTATGCAGCAAAAGGACATGGGCCGCTTTGCTCGAAGAGAGCTTCATTTGCCTAGCGATGTTAGTCAATCAACAACACTGAGAAAGTGTTCGAAGAACGTGTAAGGCATACTAGTCGCATATACTTCACACGAGTGCTGTACGGGATACCATTGACGACGATCCCCGACATATTCTGGTCGTCATTTGGGACAACGAAGTGCGCAGCAGCCGAAGCAGCTAGAAGTGCAAGATGTATGATTTTCGGAAGAATCATCTTGTGCAAACGTCTGCGAGTGAATTTTGCTGTTGACTGATGATGTTGACTATAGCTAGGTATGGGCCCGACACAATGGTTCTGTAGTGCTCTTATATGAGCCCAATCGCTTGACTCGATATGCGCGGCTACATATGGCTCGTCCGATATCTCGAATCATGGCTATGCCACTAACAATTGCCGGTATCCTTGGATGGAAAAGGCTGTGCTTCAATCCGATCTCTGTTCACACATTGCATCTGAGAGAAGAACCCGTATAGGCCCTTTCACATCGAGGAGCGCGCGCTCGGAAATCCAATCTGTCGCCTACTTGCCCCGTGAAAAGTTTCAGCAAACATAGAAGATGAGTACCGTTTTTTTTTTTTTGAATTCCAGATATCCTAAGCAATAGCACGAGATGAGAACAGAAATAGTCAGGTTAGCTGGGGTGATGTGGAGCATTGATAAGGAACGATAAGATCGGAAGGCTGAGCCGATGGCAATTCTTGGTCACAATTGCCGACGGCAACTTTTGCTTGTGCTCAAACACAACACCAAAAGCAATACCGTTGAACTAGTCTCGTGGGCTCTGATGATGACATCGTGTAGAGACTATACCATAAGTACCTAGCATGAAGGTGCTTGGGTGTACTTAGATTTGCGCAGCCAAAGCACTAAGTCAAATTTTAGGTCCTCAAGGATCTACATAGCGACATCACAGCCTTCCGATTCACGATGTATGCCGGTGTCTGCTAGCAGCACATTACTTAGCGTACCGAGTGACTGAAGCAGGTCCCTATGTCAGGTACATGGACTTCGTTGAATCCCCACTGCACATTGCCATCGAACACGTCGATCACTCCTTCGAGAAGGCGATCAGCATCCCTTTTACATGCAGCACATATTGTCCTCAGCCCTAGCAATAGAACACACGTTCCCTCGCAAATCGCCCAAGCATGAAATTCCCACGTCATTGCCGAAAACCTCGGCATCCATTCGGAGTCTCTCCCCTTGGCAGGGGCACAACTCCCCGAAGCTTGCAGTTGTAATATTATGCACTGTATAAGTCCAGGGATAACTCATGAAACGAGGAAATTTCCGAGGCTGTTGGTTCTCTTCTGGGTATATGACGTCCCTTTCGAGAAGAGTTTGTGCGTGCGGGTGTTTATATTGGGCATGCATAAGGTCAGGGGTGGTCTTGCGACATCACACTGCCGACGGTGTTGGTATGTATGCTAGGGCTGAGGGGAATAATGTATGCAGGAGGCTGCTTGCTGTGCACGGAGAAGGTAGTTGAACAAGCGCGGCAGGCGCTCATAAGATCGTCCGGCAGTCGAACCGGTATACACACTCAAGAAGGGCATCAAGACTAAGATGTGCATGCGATGGCAGTGTAAACAGTTTCCACTGCATGTCACGAATTCAACGATTGAATATAATGTTCAACACACCAATATATATTTTCTCGTCGGACTTCTGTAAAATACCGAAATTGAAATATTACTGCCATGCCACCCGCTAGCCAAACGCCTCCAACACACTCCAATAGTCCTTCCAAAAAATCGGCCGATAGGGTATTCGCGTTAAAACAAAAGAAAGATCTAAAGATGACAACCCAGTGGTATCACTGCAACCCCATACACCCACGAGGCTAGTATGAAAAGTGAAATTCAATATAAAGAAAAATGTACGACAAGTACGATGGTTTTTTTAAGGGCTGGTGGTTGGCCTGCTCTTCACTTCCTCCAACTCATTGCTTCCTAACAGCGAGATAGTAGACGCAAGTGTCCGCCGGTATGCTGCTGTCTGGACGAATTGCTCTTCGTAATGGTTCTTGAGGTCTTCTTTGACGCCGCCTCGCTCTTGTGCAGCCAGAACGCGAGGCATGCGAGGGCAACTATAATGGTACCGAAGAGACCACCAATGGTTCCTCCTACGACTGCGGTTTGATGCCTCTCCTTTGTGCATGTGTCAGGACTAGCTGCGGAGGTAGCTAAGAATGTTGAGCCGGTAGACACTGCGGTAGCGGCGACGTCCTTTGGTGATGATGATGGTGATGATGTTGAAGAGGGTACTGGAGTTGCTGTGGCGACGGGTAATTGAAGTGAGCCGAGCGAGGATATGGTGACTTTGGGTGCGGATGAGCTATCGCAACAGCTTCTTTTGTCATTGGGTGCTCGACAACAGTATGTTCCAGAGTCGCATTGTTGGATGTTCCACGCTTTTATAGCGGTCAGGCCACCGAAATTATTGGACACTTTAGATACTGTTAGCGTTGAACGTAATGTTGAGAACAGTGATGCAACATACCACCAGGACACACTCTTGGACATTCAACAGCCTTTCCGGTCTCGTCCGTACACCCAGCCTGCCATATCATGCCCGTTGACTGCCCGGTTGTTGACATGCATAGACCAGTATCCAGGCAGAGTTCGGCACTAGAAGGTCGATTGGTGGCGCAACAACCACTATGTTTTGCAGTCGGGTTGCATGGCGCAAAGGTGTCGTCGAGTTTGCTGCCATCAAGCCCGAAGCATTGTTGACTGGCAGAGAGGGCGACAAAGGTCGCGAAGACTGAAAGGAAGGAGACACGTGAAAACATATTAGACAGGACGTATTAGGCGTGTGTAAAGGAAGGACTCGAGTAATGAACGACTATGACATAAAGCACAAGTTCGAGGGACGAACGCGTGGTTATACACTTAACGAAGGGTTAGAATCTAGGGCGGTTCGGTCTTGATATCAACTCCACATCAAAGCGCCATAATTAGTCTGGGACCTCCATTTCCAATGTTATCATGCGTTGAGCACGCCTGTACCACCACCATCAGCGCAACAACCAGGGCTTGCTCGTCTCCAGATGAAACAAGGTTGCGCACATCCCCGTATGCAAATCACGGGGAGATCCTGGTGACACAGCCTAGTCGCAAATTTGACGCAAACGCGCAGGTTCAAGTTGCGCCTCCAGTAGCACAGGACTGGATCGTAAGCTCTACGGTCCGAAGCGTGCGTCTTTTTGGAAAGGAGAGCGAAAGGACTTCGTGGCTACCCGAAGTCCGGACATGGGCGCGAGCGCTTGGTGATGCAGATGCGCGGTGCGCGGTACGCGATGCGCTTTGTTGTTGGCAAGTGTGGATGTCACCATGGCGTTCTAGCCTTATGCGCAGCCTGCAAGGCAGTCGACGGCTGTCTAGCAAATGGATACGTTGTACGACCAAGAACTAAAGGGGTGGAGACGCCAAGAAGGTTTGAGGTTGGGACGATGAGTTGGAAGGTACAAGGGGCCATTGGCTACAAGGTTTAGCGGATAGCCCGTGCATTCGGCCAACACCACCCTGTCGTCAGGCCTATTCCTGGTACCTGAATTCGCAAAAGCCCTTTCCCAACGACATGTCTACGCTGAAATCATACTAGGAACGATTCGGTCTTACCTTAAGAACTGAGTGTGCACTCTGGGCACGACGACGCGTTCTCTTCGACCCTCTTTACTGAGTTCGACAACCAGGTTCGACGGCTCAACACCAAAGACCAGTATCTCGACCCTTGTCGATCATGTACACAGGGCTGACCATCGTCCTTTGTTATTCATTCAAGGACCTCGCCGGGCCAACCTGGATGCTTCGGATGGCTGTCGCGCGGCCCGCACCAGGGTCAGGCCGCGACACCAAATGCCACTGCGGTTACTGCACAGCTCCCACGGCGTTTCGTGCACTTAGCACATTTCGAAGAACGTTTTCTGCGCAAACAACGTGGGGGCCTCTCTCTGTCCGAGCACATTGCTGTAGATCAGCTGCTCACCAAATCGTGCCTTTTCAATCTTAGCGGCCCGCTAAGTCTTCTAATGGACAGCAGCCTCAGCCTTACGACGACTCATGCTTCTATCTCAATCTCAGCGCAACGTTGTTCACGACATGTTCTTTGCTTCAAGCTCCAAGCTCCAAGCTTCAAGCCTGCTAAGATATGCGCGAATGCTGCAGTTACAATGCTTGTTTTCCAATGGGTATCCTCTAAATATCTAAGCATTTCAGCAGGCATTTCTACCTACCACCTATCTGACTCATATTGCTATTCTTGAATCGTATCTCTCCGTCAATAACCCATTTGCGGGTAATACACAAGATACAGCTGAAGTCTTGCTTACAAGCTATGTTCAAGAATCAGAATCGGAGGCATCAGATCCCGAGGCATCGGTCCTACTCAGTTCTCAGACCAAACTCAGCCTCCCAACTCGAGTAATAGCTCTTCGATCCTGCGGACTTCATTACGTGGCCCTCCGTCAACGACCTTCCATTCTAGCAAACTCTCCATTGCCTTTCCGGCCCACATTTTTGCCTCCTTTACCATCCCATGACTGGCGTACACGTACGCAAGTCTCTCGTAATCCGCCGCGAGGAGCACATCTAAACCCTCCTTGGAACTAAGTTCCATGACCTCCTGTTCCCAACTAACGATTTGCTGCGCATTATATGTCTCGGGCGTGAGATTTTCCAGCTTCTTGCGCACTTGCGCAAATCTCGCTCGGCGCTGATCGCTGCCTGCAATGGCATACTTTGAGTCTGTACACATGTCGCAGGTGCATCCAAAGTTCCAGCCTTCCTTGTAGAGTTTCTGTCTCTCGGCATGAGGGAGATCGACCCTACCATAGCTGATGCCGATCTCTTCGCCAGGCTTGATATCTTGCAGCGCTTTGATTTCCATCACCAGTGACGTTGGAATGAACCTGGCATGTGCATTTGGACGACAAGCGTGATTGATCCTCGCCACGGACGGGAAGAGACACATGTACGAGTCGTCTTGTCCGCCATCATGTAGCTGGCATGCAAACGCATTGGTCTTCATGACGTCCTCAATGTCAGAACCTCCAAGACTCTTGTCAAGACTCAGCACAAGCTTGCGATCAACGTCCGGTAACTGCCGTAGAGCATGGTTGAATAGCTCCGCACCCTGGCCGTGCGACAGGTATGACGGAAACTGAGCGGATGCAATAATCCGAGGAGAGTCAAGCAGAATGGTAGTTGTCTTGGGAATGAATTGGGTAGCAATGGCTCCAAATCCCTTGCCTGCGATGGCGCGCACCTCAAACGGTTCGACGGAAGCACGTCCGCGGGATTCGGTGAATGACAACGGGGCGGCAATGGCATTGGCGGCTGTTGGCGTGGAGATTAAACTTAGACCATGGCCGCGATGGAAGTTTAATGTGGTGTGCGTGCAGTATTCTTTGCCTTTTCGGGAGAGACAGTAGGGATCGTGTGACCAGATGCGGTATTCGTAAGGCTGAACCGGCTCGTGCTGACAGACTGGAGCCCGATCTGACAGGATCTGTTGTTGGGTATGTGCGCATTGGTGTTGCAACGTCGACGCGGATGCATTAACTGCAGCCCCACAAAGTAGGACAGCAAAAGAGGGTACCGACTTCATTATGGTTCCTTAGCTGAGGAAAGGGCGAGGCGTGCGAAGTCGACATGTTTGTTCGTCTCCTGAGGCCTGCCCAGACGTCCGTAACGTGAGTGAAACACAACATCTGTGTCGCGTACCTGATTGCGCAACATCCCCTCCTATCTGAACCTGAACGTGTCTCTCTCTGCCCGAGGTAGTAATTCACATCCCGAGGTCCTCTGTGATTACTTCCGATCTCACTCAGCTCGGAGTCCCATCGGCAGTGTCTGATCGCCATAACAAAAAGAACCGAAGCCATCTCGAGATCGCACCCCAGGATATCCCAGGCCCCACAGCCAGCCCAGCGACCCGGCACTAAACCGGCCCCATCTCCAGCGATCCCCCGTTACACCGTCGCACGTATCCCGAACGCGCGCCCGCAAGCCTCGGGGACTCGACATAGGCTTTGGATCCTCACCACATCCGGCTCGACAAAGTGACGGCGACACGTCAATGCGGACGCAGCCGGCCAGCTCGTGTGGAAATTGAACGACGCAGCCACCAACGATGGCACGAACCTGTCAAATTTCGCCTCGTTGCTATATTATCGTCACACAGACAGCCGTCGAAGGAAATTAAACCCGTGCGACTAAAAGCAATATGCTGTTGGGGGCACAATTGGCTTGAGAAGGCAATGACAGGTGCCACAATATCATCGACAGGCAAAGACCTGGTTACTGAATATGGCAAGTAGATGTCTTTGACCTGGAACTGGGGATGTGTTCGTGTGTGCACTAGGCATGGCGCTGGAGCCGTGTCGCGTGCTAATTTTGTGAAGCGCCGACGCGACTTTCTCTGCTGGAGGCTCTTCCGATCGCTCGAGAGCTGTTGTCTTTGTGCAATGAGGATGAAGCCATTGGCGTACCATACCTAGCTCCTTGCGACTACCTTTCTACACATCCACCTAGTTTACCCATGAGCAGCGCATCTACTGTTGGCGCCTTTCTTCAGGCTGCCGTCGCCCTGAGGGATACAGAGTAGCGCATTCGCACCCTTGAAGCTTCCGATGCGTGAGCTTCTCTGTCCGCCAGTGGAGGTTGCATACAACTGCCCGTCCTCTTTGGCTACCACGAGTGCGCGATGATACTCAGGTCGTCCCTTGTCCATCCTGATATCCCCGTCCAGCGTAGCTTTGACTCTTGGCAGTCCCGTTGGTTTGATGCCAGCCTGATGATGCAGGGATGGGAGTACGAAGAGGTGGAAGCAAACGATGGCAGATGCCGTGTTGCCAGGAAGGCTGAAAATGACTTTGTCCACGCGGCGCCCGTCGTCATCCTTGACGGGCACAGTGGCAAAGGTCGTGGGCTTTCCTGGTTTCATGTTCACGCGACCGAAGTGGATGGTGCCACCGAGACTCCGCTCGATGGTGGGCTTGAGAAGATCGAGCTCGCCCATCGAAACGCCACCGGACGTGATGACCATGTCGCACTTGCGGAGAGCATCGCGGAGAGTTGCCTCTAGACTCCCAGGCCTGTTCAGTGTCAGCGATAGATGCACTGCAGCTGGAATAAATGGCATACTTGTCTGATGCGACCCCAAGATCGATAGCATCGAATCGATGACTTCGAACAGCAGTGATGAGCGTTGGTCGATTTGTATCTCTGACCTCACCCAGCCTCAGAGGACCTTCTCTATTGTGCTCAATGAGTTCGTCACCTGTACTCAACACACCTACCACTGGCCTCCTGTAGACCGAAACCTTCGTAGTGCCCACTGAAGCCAGCAAGCCGAATTCGCCGCCTATGACTGTGATGCCCTCGCCCTTCTTCAGAATGATTTCGCCTTCCTTGACATCACTTCCTACTTCACGAACGTTTTCACCCGCCTTGATCTCATCAGTGAGAATCTCAATTTCCTTCTCTTCTTTCCCATCGTCCGTCTGACTTTTTAGTATAGTGTCCTCGACCATAACGACAGCGTCAGCACCAGGTGGTAGTGGTGCACCGGTCGTGATACGCGCAATTTCCCCATCCTTGAGCTCCTTGACTTCTCCTGGCTGAGCATGCGATATGATAGTGACTGGATAGACACCCTTTTCAAACTTGCCCGAGCTCGGGATCTTGACAGCATAGCCATCTACGATACTTGCTCTAAAGGCAGGGACAGACTCGGCGGCCTTCACATCTTCAGCCAGTACAGCGCCTCCAAGCTTCATGTTGACTGGAACCTGTTCGACGGTGGGGGTCGGTGTTTGCTCGGAAATAAGCTTGAGAGCATCTGGAACTGCAAGCATCGGGTACGGCGAGGACCTATACCTGCTACTGGGTCCTGCAGTGGGGTCATTAGACTGAGGTCGCTCTTCCGGCTTTGTGTGAGGTCGCGGGCCGGCATGACTGCCAGGTCCGTGGGAGTGTCCATGTCCGTGTCCATGGTGGTGATGGTGACCTTGTCCTGCTGCACCTATTGGAATTTAGTGGATGTCTACAATCCGCATTTGCGAAGAGATGGTGTACTACCTGTCGTTGGGCTACCAGACGAGACACCAGCATCTTTCTCAAGCTTCTTCACACCGCCAATGTGTAAGAGCCTCGTATCAGCACCAGCTGCCTGAATGCACGCGTGTGGTAGCAACCTCAGAATTGCCTCTAGATTCTCTTTTGCGCCCTTTGGCGACCCAGGCAGCGTTAAGATAAGAGTATGTTTCCGAACACCAGCTACAGGTCTTGCCATAAGGGCGACTGTAAAGAGTTAGCCGGCGTACAATATAATGACGCTGACTACTGACAAGGTGTTACAGCATAGGAGTTTGCGAGCATGCCATGACTACTCGGAGTAAGCAAACAATGATTTAAATCAATTGCTGAACATACACAAGTCCAGAGGCATGTCTGTCTAAAAGAAGTGTGACTGCCTTTCCATTGTTAGCCTCAATTGATCAATTGATCGTTCATGCATACCTCGGGTGTAACATCCTTCGTGGCGAATCCTGTTCCTCCGCTGGTCACGATTAGGTTGACAGGCTCGGGACCATCTGTCCACCAGCGAATGGTCTTTTGTATCGCGAGGACATCGTCCGGTACGATTTGGTTCTCGGTAAGCTCCCATTGGTTATCCCCGACGCTATCGAAGACGTCTTTGAGGACCGGAATGCATCTATCAGTCGACGCATCTTTCGATGCAGTATCGGAAACGATGAGAACCGCTGCTTTCAACTTTGTGCCACCTTCGCTCATTGTGGCGCTTCTGACTTTGGAGGTGGGGAGAGGTGGAGCTCTTGTTCTGTAAGCCGGCGGATGACATAGGCGCACGGACCCATAATCGGAGGGTAACTCAGACAGCTTTCAAAGCCAATGAATTCCTATATAGTCTAACGCCAAAAGGTATTGAACGCCTATGCTCGCTCATGATACATGCATTATACAAGCAACCTATGTGTACATCGTACAATCTCCCCGGACCTCTGTTTGATAAATTCTTTCCAACCCCGACAAGAGCGCTCGCGCTAGGCTCCCGCTTTGATGTTGCGATGCTGTCTTGAACCTCATTACTCTCGACGAACTACGACCTCGTGTCAAATGACCCGCAGGATTTCCCACCAGTTTCTTCACTCAAAATCGTGCGCGTTGCTTTGCATGAGCAGTCCAATAATGAGACCGAATAGTCCAAGAATAGCAGCGAAGATCTCAATGGTGAGAATCTTCACGAACCTGAGTTTGCGTATTAGTGAACAGCAACAAGAGACTCAGCTGAGTACACGCACAGGGAGGGGTCAGCAGCATCTGCTAGGGCAGCACTACTTCCGTTGATGCCGACACAGACACCGCAGATCAAGTTGCACATGCCAACGGTCAAGCCAGCCCAGAACAGTGCGTATCCGGTGAAGATGTTTGATGGGCTGAAGATTTGTTCAATGTCATCGATCTGGTTCATCTTGGAAGAGAAGATGATGGCCATGATGACGCCGTAGATGGCGACGACTTCGCAGAAAATGATGGAGATCAAGTTCTTCGTTCTTATCCGGGGTGCCTTGACACCACCACCGACGATCGAGACACCGGTAGTCCAGATTCCCCTATTCTCGTGTCAGATGTGAGCTTCCATGCCGACGCGCGCTGCCATACCATGCTGAGCCTACAACGGAGAGACCGATGCATAGCGCGATGCCCAAACTGGCGAATGTGTACGGCGAGACGGTTTCGAGAAATTGTCCGACCTGGAGCGGTATTAGAGAGCACGTAAGAGACGTTCGGAGGCATTGGCGCGTACATTGAAGGCTTCACCCTCGTTCTGGAAGAGCATGTCTGCTTGTCATTAGCGACTCCCTGCTGCCATGTCCAGGCATCACGTACAAAGCCCAACCACGCCAAGCGCAGCTGTGGCGCCGCCGGTTCCGTAAGTAAGAGACATGGTGAAGGAACGGGTGGAGGATGCTGAGATGGATGGAAAGGTGGCGGGCTGGAGCTCTTGCGATGAAGCTCACTGAGGATGACGGTTGCTGCAGCGGCTAAACCTCGGGCGGAAGCCACTAGCGTCGCCGCGAGACATGCGACTCCCGACGGTAGGCTATCACCATCTCTCAACCCCCAGTGACGTCGCAATAGCTCGTCAACATGGCCGATCAGACAAAGTACTACGAGCTGTACCGCCGAAGCAGGTACTGCATGCGCCTTCTGGGGAACGAGTTGGAGTGCGCTGGCTGACCAAGGACAGTCTGGGCGGTGCCCTCACAGACACGCTGGACCACCTTATCACTGAGCGCCGGATCGAGCCCCAGCTTGCCATGAAGATCCTCATAAACTTCGACAAAGCGGTTGCGGACGGGCTTGCTGATAAGGTCAAGACTCGCCTGACATTCAAGGTGAGCTCGATGTGTATGTGGTAATAGCATGGGGCGCATGAACTGATCCGCTGTCTGTGTAGGGTCACCTTGACACGTACCGATTCTGCGATGATGTCTGGACGTTCATAATCAAGGATATCAACTTCAAGCTCGACAACTCGAACCAAGTTCACGCCGACCGCGTCAAGATCGTCAGCTGTAATACAACCCGTCCCGGTCAAGCCTAGAGCTCAGTCTCTGGTTTTACTTGAAATTATGTAGCTGACCATTCTCCAGTACCCAACAAGAGCGCGACAGCGGCGCCAGGAAAATAGATACATGCAGCAAATTGTCACGACCCAGACACGATGGAGAAGTGCTTATGGGATGTCGTCGACCGACATGCGTGTTTTTGGGCAGTCTGAGATCGCAAAGGAATGGGAACCTGTTTGGTTGCTACGGGCGTTTGGGAAGACTGCGGCAGTCATGGATACCTTGAGCATGAATTCGGAGTTTTGAGATTTGCCAAACCAATTTGAAGTTACTTTTTGATACCAAAACAATGATCTGATAATCACGAGACAGCTGATACTCTCAAATGGCTCGACATGTGTATGTGCATAGGTACTTGAAATGTATTGACCATGCCCAGATATGGCATCCGTCATTGCACTAAGCTCGGTAATGCTTCCGGGTACCTTGCAGATCAATCTACGCAAACCATTGCACAACACCATAACGACATACGAGTCAGCCGGAACTGCCATGTCTCTCCCACAGAGTAAGCCAGCATGGCTCTTGCTCGCAATAGCAAGCGGAGGATGCGCGGCCTTCAATGGCGTATTTGCGAAGCTGTAATGCTCCCTCTCATCCCATGTCAAACATGCTGCTAACAAACGTCAGCACAACCACCGAGCTCACGACCTCCTGGTCCAGCGCAATAGCTTCAGCATTTGGCCTTAGCCCTGAGAACAAACTCTTCGAGTATGCGATTCGCGGGGTACATATCTCCCTCCTTCTATGACACGCGCCTGCTAACACCACCAACAGCTCTTCTTCGCATGCAACCTCATCTTCAACGCCATAATGTGGGGCCTCTTCACGCGCGCTCTTACACTCGCTTCGTCCACCGTACGCGTCAGCATCATCAACACGAGTGCGAACTTCATGGTCACGGCCGTCCTCAGCGCAATCATATTCAGCGAGAAGTTGCCGGGCGTGTGGTGGCTGGGGGCAGCGATGTTAGTCGCTGGCAGCGTGATTATCGGGATGAGAGATGAGACGGAGAAGAAAGCTGTTGTTACAGGCACCGGCGAGGCGCCACTACTAGACCGCGATGGCGATGCGAATACAGAGGGCTTCCGAGACGAGGACGACGAGGACGAGACGGATAGAGTGGAATTGAGGGGCGTGAAGAATACGGATGGAGACAGCAGTGATGAGGATGGCGTGTTGAAGTAGTCTGGATAATACAACGTGAGATTGCGTGCTCAATTGAATTGGTACATGGAAGTCGGGCGCATACATGGAACCTCCAACAACCCACGGAAACCACAACGCACACACAAACATCACCATCCGATCGCACCATCCAACACCCTCCCCTTCTCCTACCACAGATCCCTGGCACCTACCCACTCCTACAGCAATTAACTAGCAACCCGCATCATACGCATAAACCTATCTCTTTACCACCTCGCATCATTATCAGCCTAATTCGAGTACCACATCGTTACAACTCATATTCAATCGCTACCAACACTCACCCATCGTTACCCTACCACCAAACCCCACTCACAATGTCCCTCCGCCCCGACGCGCCCGCCTAGTACCCGCGCGCCCCCAGCCCACCCCCAAATCCCTTCCTCTCTTACCCCTGGCCATCAGACGTCTACTACCACCCGGGCCCCGGCATCCACCACGCGCCAGGCTTCTATCCAATCGTGCCGGGCTACGATTACACCTATTTCCCGCCGCCGCCGCCTTATCAGCAGGAGTTTTACGACGCGAGATGGACGTCGAGTCAGAGTGAGATCGTGGAAGGGAACCAGAGATTGGACGAACGGGTTGAGGGGCGAGAGAGCGCGGCCGGTGATGGGGATGGATGGGATGGTGCTGTGACGATTGTGAGGTGGAAGCAGAAGGGGAAGAAAGGGGGGAAGGGGAGGAGGGGGGATAATGCGACGAGGAGGGAGAAGGCGAAGGAGAAGAAGTATGGGGTAGGGGAGGATGTGGTGCAGAAGATTGAGAGGGCGGCTTCGGAAAAGCGGGAAGAGAAGGTGGTGATGGTGGAGACGAGGGAGAGGAGTCAGTCCATGTCTGAGAGGAGAGTGAAGTTGTGGAGTGAGCTTTGATGGAAGGCAGTGGTTGCGTGTTGGCGGTTGCTATTGAGAGCTCCATCGTTTGAGGGATTGACTACCTCTGGACACATCATTAGATGGCGCAATAAACTGCTTTCATCACTGCATATGCCACGCTTAATGCAACCTCCTCAATCCCTCCACCAGACTCCTAATGTCCTCCAACTCCACGCCTAATCCTTCAATAGCCTTCCTCTGCACATCTTCTTCGCAGTCCAAGAAGCGCTCAATCAGCTCTCCATCGACAAATCGATTCGGCTCCTCTTCTGTCCTGACTTGGTTCTTGAAGGCGCGGAATTTGGCGAAATCCATATTTCCTGGTGAGACGACGAGGTTGCCTAGGTTTGATTGTAGTGTGATGAGGAGGTCAAGGTAGTTCTGTGAGATTAGTGCGAAGAGGTATATTGAGCCTTCGACCTGGTGCATGTGTCAGTGACGCGATATATAGAAGTGGAATGGTAATGGCTTACTGTGCCCATGAACGCGCGAGGAACGACCACCGCGTCCGGCGCCGTCGCGACATCTATCCTGCGTATCCTGTTGACCATCTCGCCCAGAAGCATCTCGCTCGAGACATTCAACCTCCTCTTGTCATCATCCGTAACGCCCTTGGGGTCGCGATATAGCACGAGGAGATTGCCTTCCGCATCGCTCTCAAGGTATGTGTTCTCGTCGACTTCTGCCACAGCGGTGGCCCAAGTCACTTGGAAATGGCGCGCTACTTCAACGAGCTTATCAGGCAGGCCAGTCTCGCCGCGCTGATATTCCACCACGACCATGGACTTCATCAGATCTGCGATTGCTATCTGCGTACCGTTGACCGTGATGTCGATTGGGGCAGTTGAGCATCGGAACGTCGCTGCTTTGACGAGATCGGGCTTGCTTTGCGTTCTGTACTCGATGTCGTACACTACGATGGTCTTGATGAGCGCCGCAACGATCTTGCCCTCGCACATGGCGAGACATCTGCAGCCGCCTTTGACTGCAATTTCCGTAACGAGTTTGAGGACGCGTTCGGGTGTGACTTCCAGTATGAGGATGCGTCCTCGTTCTACAGTAGAGTTTTGGTCGTCCAGGTATGCTGTGCCGATAACGAAGCGCTCAGCGGTGCCACCGGAGCCGTCCGCCAGGTCACAGCGCATGACGCATTCCACAAGCTCCTCTTCGTTGAGAGCATATGTATCGAGCTCCTTGAACTGTATCTCATCCACCAGCTTGAAGTGACTTAGCATGATTTCCTCGCCGGCCTTTAGTATGCGCTTGACCGTGCCGAGACCGAACGCCTTCAGGCCTGGGGAGTAAGCTATCCGTCGAACAGTCTCATCGACCTTCAGAGTCTGCACGTGCGTTGTCCGTTCGGTGTCTACGAGCGCTATGCGGAGGTCATCCGAAGTAGCAATGGCTACCGAGCCCGGGTATGCTTCAGAATCAAATGGACAAACCGTTGTGGCGTTCTCTGCTGTGACGGCAGAGTAGACAAGGCGACCTTCTGAAGCATAGATGAGAGATGGATGTTCGCAAGTCGCAAAGACGTTGAAAAGGCCATTGCCTCTTGGTAGCGCGCGGAAGGTGGCTTCACGAGTACCGAGAACGATGCTCTTTCTTCCAGATAGCTCTCCATTTGATGTATCAAATGAGTAGGTCACCACATTGCCATCTGCCATCGCAGCAAATAGTGTTGGCGGCTGGTCTGGGAAGATCTGGGTAAGTAACAATGAGCGCGGAACTGAGTCTTCCGATACCTGTACTGTCTTGACAGCTTCCAAGGTGTCGAGTGAGCAAATCGCTAACTGAGAATTCTTCCAGAACCCAATGAAGCACATTGAGCTTGATGTAGATGGCAGCGCAATGCATGCGACCTGACTTTCGACACCAAACTTCTTCTCTGTAAGCACTTTCAAGCCGTCCATGTTGAGAGTGATGACTGAGACACCCCCGAGCGAAAGCAAAACATGACTGTCGTTAACCGATGCAGCCGTGATCGTCTCGCCGCTAGGTGGTACCCACTCGGATGTGATCATGCCACCGTCAAGATCGGATACGCGAACTCGACCACCTGTGACTTGAACAACTCGTCCTTGCGAGATGTTTGCTGCAGCTAGCGTGGTTTCATCCAGGGCCACAGAAGCAAACTCGTCTACTTCTTCAACTTCACCTTGAGGATCGAAGCGGAAGATTCTGGTCTCGTTGACAAAGGTCACTAAGAGGGTATCCGCATACTCTGCAGACGCGTTCGACTTCAGCCCAAACAGGTCAGAGATGTGCTCCATCTCGCCTAGAACACCAAGGTCTTCTAAGCCAACGCCGCTTCTCACGCTTCGAAGACTTCCGTCCTGGTAAGCGCCACTTCCTGTGACAATGCGGGCCTGGCCGGAGGAGTACTCGTTCGTTTGACCTTCGCCAGAACGATTACCCATGTCCATGATGGTGAAGTCTAGTACAGGTGCAATGTTTGCGAACGTTTGCACAATCTCCATCGATTGCTCCGTGATCCTGATGACTTGCGAATCGCCTTGATGTGAGCCGACAAAGACGTATCCAGCATCGAGGTACACAAGCACCGAAGCTCGAGAAGTCTGGCCAATGATATCCAGTTTCCAGGACTGCACTTTCTTCTTCTCATCGAGTATAAGCATGAAGAGGTATAACCGGCCATAGTCGTCTGCTAGCACAAAGCGTTGTGCATCTATGCGCTCCCAGGCTACGAAAATAGTTGCTTCATCTAGAGGTTCAGTCTGCAAATCGTTGCTCTCTTCATCGTAGTAAGCAATCGATGTCTCTCCAATCACGATCAGGCCGTGTGAGGGTGCCTCGATCGGGATCAAGTGGCTAGCGCCCAGTTCCAGCTCTGCTCGGCAGGCCTCGCCGTCTTCGAGCTCGACTGAATCCCCGCCTGCGAATAGGATCTCGCGCAACCTCAGCTTGACCTGGGAATGTGTGTCTTCGAATAGCAGCGCGATCTTGGGTTTGTCGTCAAAAGCTTTTGGTCGTAGGAAGGCAGAGGAGCGAACGAACATTTCCGGCAGCCTTACGGGCTGGGGCTCACCGAGATGGGCAATGTCCGGTTCCTGCTTTCTCTTCTTCCCCCTTTGTACCAGTGGAATAACTGTGATTATGCCCTCATACACTTCCACGGTCATGAATCGTCCACTCGGATCCACATGGCACCTCTCTCCCGTTTGTGATTCTCGTGCGGCATTATCGGCTACGCTGTCAAACGATTTCTCCGTCTGAAGCTGCTTCTTCTCGGCGTTCCAGGACAGCGTAAAGTACATGAACCGATCTGTCCCAACGAAGAGGTGGTCGGTCGGTGATAGGGCTGGGCGCAGCTTCTGGAGCATTGTGACCTTGCCATAGATGGATTTCTGGTGTTGCAGTGCCAATCCATCGGCAGTTTGTGTATAGAACTCGAGTCTGTTCGCCTTGCTATTCTGTTTGTTAGCATCTGATCGGCCGTCGACTACGTTCTGCTTACGCAACGACTAGACAGTCCTCATCCTGAGCGAGGAAGTTCAACTTGAGCGCATGGCGGACGCTGCTCGGACGGTGGATGGGTGCAATGTACGCCATAATCAACTCCGGACACCTTCACAGCTTCACGATTGTTGACTCGGGTGGGAACGGAGAGAGTGAAGGTCGAATGGCTGGCTGCCGGACGTATCGTCGTCATGGCCATATCGCCGTAGCTGCACTGACCGACCCACCACCCACGCGAGCGCGTTTGTGCCCCACCAACTTTAACTTTTTGGCCGCGGTCACCTTGTCCCGCCCAACTCCTTCGACAACAACACCATGGCTCGTAAGAAATAGCCTTTGATCGGCACACGACATTGATACCGCAACTAACAGTCACGACTGAAGTAGCAGTAATGGACATAGACGACGATCCTGTCGTGGCCGAGTACGATGTCTACATCACCCCCGAGGCGGAGGAGGGACAGCTCTATGTGCTGCAGTACCTGAATCGCCCGCCCGACCAACCATTCACGAAAGCCACCCAGAGCCATCCTACCGAATTGCGCGTCAAGAAAGAGTCCGGATTCATTGAAGTCGACATCCCTATGGACATCCACAACAACTACAACCGCCCCGCAGGTGTGCGCTGGGGCGAGGCGATGCGCAAAACCAAAGGGTTTGGACAGAAAGCGTTCGGCATTGCATCCGGCTTCGAGCGCACAATGCCACGCGCAGCTAACCGGGCTGGCGCCGGTGAGGGAGGACCAGCGGCACCGACTACAGCCGAGGACGACGACAACTTCGAGGAATATGTTACAAACTTTGAGGATGCAAACGAGAAAGGCCACGTCTTGAACGTGCAGACTTTCGGTGGACAGATCCTCAAGGACGACGGCAAAGGTCCCAGCTACATGCTCGGCACGTTCCGCGATGGTACCATCTCCGGCCACATGAGGTAGAGGCAACACGCTGATTTGACTAGATCAGCTACACCTCACCAGATTGAATGGACTCGTACAGCTCCGAACCCAGTTCCACCATGTCGACGCATCGGCTCAACTTGAGGCAGTCCAGCGTCGCCGCGAAAAAGAGTCGCAAGAAGGCGCAAAGCCTGTGGAACCCAAGGCCTTCCTTCCCACCCTGAAGAAGAGTGGTGGCGATACTGCTGCGGAGATGACGCAGGCCTTCATGAAGTCGGCGCACCAGGAGCCCTGGCACAAGTTGAACTACCATGACGAAGACGTACATCTACCTTTCCCAACATATACCTCCGAAGCTAACTTCGTTTCACAGGCGTCTGAGGCCTACGGCACATACGCCGAGCGCCTGTTCCTACCTGATGTTGCCGACGCGCCAAAGCTCCATTCGAACCTCGACAACGACCAATTCCTCGATGCTATTAGCGCACCTTCCGCCAGCAAAGGAGGTCGCAAGAAGACGTCCAAACGCACTGCAGATGAGCTGATCGAGATATCGGATGAGTCGGACGAGGAAGACGTAAAACAAAGCGCTCCGATCGTGAGTTGAAGAGCATGGAATTTGGCGTTTGTGATGCAAGCTCGCAGTATGCGTGGTCAGATACTACTACATTTAGCACGATACCCATAGATCTCGTACAACATCAACAGACATATTCACTGGTCAAGGATCATGGGCGGTGGACTGGTGTATCGCGACTAGTGGGCAGATTACTGACACAAATATCGTAGAACGCAGGTGAGTTCGGCTTTGAGTCCGATATCCCACTGCCAAATACCATATACTATGACCGGTGGACACGGATTGTTTGGCGAAAGCTACTCAAGCCGCAGCACAGGGTCCGGGTCAAATACAGCTACATCTGAACCGTTTTGTTCGAGATTGGCGCTGGGCCTTGCTGCTTCTTACTGGGTCACTCAAAGGTTAGGTTGCGGTTTTATGTTGCAAGAGAGACTAGTTTGAGCGCGAATTCTGCGCCTGAGCAAAGAATTGGTAACGTGCATCCATGGATCACGCAAACCCCGCCGTGCTGCAAGATCTAAGAGGTACTTCGACTTTACTAACCTGAACTTCCACGCACGCGTTATTATTTCGCTGGATTATATACGATTCGTGTTCTTTAACCTTTTCTTTAGATGTAGGGCCTTCTCTCTACGAAAGTTACGTAGTCGTTATCCTGTACGCGCTTATCTGGGAAGTGTCTTTCCGAAAGCGCAAAATATGCTATCGCTATTAGACCATCTAAGCTACAGCTTCGTCACTTCTTATACTTATAGGTAGCCTTATATAAGTCTAGCAAGCCTTTGGCAAGGCTGAAAAGTCAATGCTAGCTCTAAGACTGATGCGGTGTTCAGATCCATGCGTGATCGCTACCCCACCCGGTACTTCTCTGGGGAGTACCTTCTGTATATAGCTATTTCGATACAGCTACTATCTGACGTAATCTTCGGGATGTCGTTAAGCACACCAAGTCTGTGGCTCCAACGGACTGTGGCTGATACAATCAGCCAAAACTTAGGTCACGTGAGGCCAGTCACTGCGTGGCAAGACACTTCTTCGTCTGGACCTCCGGACTCCTTACCTCGCGCCTGTACACATAGACAAGCTTAATGCACATTGATTCTGCAGCTTTTGTTCTCTCATTAAAGTTCATTCTTTCATGAGCTTTCCGCGTTCGAATGTGCAAATTTTTGCGCGATTAGTGTTACCAGCGGTACACCAGGCTCGTGTCGCGGGTGAATAATACTCTGGAAAAGGTTCCAATCTGGAGTTTGGTTGAGGAACGACCGTGGCCATGAAACAATCGGATGCCAGTCCGGGTTGAGTTTTTCGAAGCATGCTTTCATCAGCTGCTCGCCCCATCCTTCCATAAAAAAAAATCGTGATTGCGATGCAAATAATATCGTGGTATAATACATTACTATTGCAAGCGCTCCAGCACTTCTTTGTCGTACAAGATTGAGAAAATCTGGATGTAGGGACATCGGCCAAAAGAATAAGAAACGAAGCTCACGATTGTCCACGCAAGGCGATTGGGCCATCTGAAGGCATGGCCGCATACTTGCGATGGCAACAAGATAGACAGATCTTTCTAGCTCGGACAGATCTGATTTGGATTCAACAAACGATGTCAATGCCGGCAATCGCTGCAGTACTTCGTCCAACATGGGTTGCGAAGGAATGGGGTCCGCTAGCTCTCGATATATTGGCGCGATAAACGAATTGACGATATGAGCCTTAGTTACTGCAAGCACATTGCTCATGCCCTGCATCAGATTAAAGACGTTTAGGATACCATCGATGGCGCCTTGCGAACTGGGAATCTCGGGATAGTTCATGATTCAAATCCTGTAGAGGCGAAAACACTCAACGTGAGTAGTGTCGACGTCGTCGCGACGATGGATGGAGCTTCATAAGGCGTGACGTCTCGAAGTTTTTCTCCTTACGCCTCGAATGCTTAGGTCCTGGTGATGGATGCCATAGGCGTAGTACTGTGCCCGCTGCTCAGGCGGAGACATGCGGCTTTGTGTAGTGCAGAGAAGGCAAGTATTTCATGTATGAAGAAAGGATGAGCAATTGCATGTTGTGGAGCAAGATCTCGCCAGACATGTCTTATATCCTCTCGCGGCGATAACTCTTCGAAGGCCTTAACAGTCCAGTGATGCCTATTCAAGTTTTAGTGCTTGAAACCAATATTGATGCTACTATCACTAGGTGTAGAAGCCGAAGACAGTTGCGGTGCGCTAGGATCCCACGTGACTAAGCTGCACGGTACGCTATGGCGAGCGCAATTCGAGCACGGGTTCAGTTCGTCGCACTGTCCAATGTTAGTAGGGTGTTTTCGCACACTAGAAATGCTTACCTTTACGTGACGAGCTTTACATTGTCTACAGCCCAATCGTGACCTGTGGTCATAGTTAGGGCCTGAGATACAGATCGAGGGCGGAGTTACACGATCAACGAGAAATGCGATCTCTTTTAAGGGCTAAGATTGGCTGCATACGGGTTCAAAATGCAGATTCACGTACTTTTTGTGGCCTAAACGCGGCATCGAGGCTTGTCACTGGAGAGCCAAGTGGTAGGGCTGATAGTAGGTATGCGGCTAATTAGCTGGGTTATCCTCTCGCGGATGGTACGACGCTGGTATCGCGTCGCCGTAGCCTGGTAAACTGTAGTAGAAAGCGAACGCGAGCGTGGGAAGAGAATCAGCTGTCCTCTGTGGGCCGTGACAATCTCTTCAAGCGCGGAAAGGATGGCGCTATACTCGGCGCTATACTCGAGTCGTAGAAGCATATACCGAATGCAAGGCCCGTATTGGTGCAGCAGGTCTCGCATTCGCATTGAGAGAGTCAGCGCACCTGGTCGGCGCCGGAGGCACTCAAATTACGCACCTGCCGATGGCAGCAACAGCACGGTGTGGCCGTCCACCCGGCGTAACCATCCACCCGAACACTGAGCCATGACAACGACACAACTTCAACACGATATAACTCTATTAACATGGGAGCAATTGAGGATGCGATTAAAGCGATTGAATTGCTTGAGCCAGGAGAATATTTCTTACATAGAAAAGTAGCTGCTATCTATGGTTACAGCCACTCAGCGCTCAGCCAAAGACACTAGGGCGTCACAACCTCATACAGCACGGCTTAACACTATGTATATTTTTGTCGCAAGCCCTCATCCGATAGAGGAAAGCCTAAAGGATAAGTGTATAGTATTATAGAGCGATAGAAGCAATACAGGAATATTTAAGATATCAAATGTGTAGAATACTTGCGGCACGGGGGTGTTTGCGTGACACATGGATGTACATTAAGCATAGCTACAGCTTTTGGCTGTACCGGTAGTGGACGGTGGAGGAAACCATAAAGTCAGACAGATTTTTACCTGCCTTGCCATGATAGTGACATTGGTGATACTGTATCTACATTGAGTGAAATCGACATGCAAGCTATCAAGACTTCGAGAAAAACATGTGTTTGCTTGCTCTACTAAGATCAATGAAAAATACATCTTTGTGTTGCTGCGTATAAGGTTGTCGCAAGCACGGTGACATCTGTATTGGGTTAGCCCCGGCCGGAATTACTTTTCCCTGCTTAAAAAACTTCGGCTTTCGATCCTCCGTTCTCAGCTACAATTTTCCAACTCCAGAGCTCCATCGGAAAGCTCACGGCAGCATAACGCCAGCATTGCGACCTTGGCAACAATCTCGTGAAGATGTCCTGATTGATCTCCCCAATGATGGTTGGGTGACGGGCCTGCCCTCCATCCTCATGCATTAACCAACCACGACCTCGGCTAAGCAGCCGGACCCAAGAGCAGAGACCGTCGCCAACCGCATCCCGCAGCACAATTCGATCTTCTACGTTTCCTTTAGGAGTCACATCTACACCAAGAACGACAACATGCGGACGGTATCGGCAGTAGCTTCACCTCTGCGGAGGCTCTCTCCAGTAGCAGCACGACAGGGTTCACGGAGATGCTTCTCAAGCTCGCGGGATTTGCAAGCCACTTGGGGTTTCATAGGCCTGGGCCGAATGGGTTAGTCTTGCGTTGGCTCACATAATTGTGCCTCTACTTACACATCTGGCAGGCTATCCCATGGCACGAAACCTGCGAGCGAAGATCCCTGCAGAAGACATACTCTTCGTGCAGGATGTGAACACCGCCGCTTCTAAGAAGTTCCTCGATGAACATCCACAAGGTGTTCGAGTCGCTGCAAACGTTCGAGAGGTTGCTGAAAAAGCGGTATGTGTGATCACTTCTCTATTCCCCTCAAATGATGAATTAATTTTCCTATCAATGATCTAAGTTGGGGGTCACTTTTTGTGGCTCTTCATCCTGATTACACAAACATTATAGCCAATCCTCTGATATCTATTCTCACCATTGTCACTACTCATTACACTGAAGTGCCTAGACTGACATGGTACAGGAAGTCATTATCACATCTCTCCCAGAACCGCAACATGTGAAGGGCGTGTTCAAGGAGATGCTTGAGCCAGCTACGCTCCTGACAGAAGGTCTCAACAAGGAGCGTCTTTTCATCGACTGCTCTACCATTGATCCTATGACCTCTGGCGAGGTAGCGAAAGCTGCACAGTCGTCTGGCCAAGGCACTTTCATCGACGCGCCTATGTCTGGAGGTGTTGTCGGCGCTCAAGCTGGCACACTTACTTTCATGATCGGTGCTGCACCGGACAAAGTTGAGAGAGCAACTGAAGTACTCTCTCTGATAGGAAAGAAAGTGTTGCATCTTGGTGAACAGGGTGCAGGTCTGAAGGGCAAGCTAGCAAACAACTACTTGCTAGCACTCAACAATGTTGCAACCGCAGAAGCCATGAGCATGGGCATCAAGTGGGGTCTTGATCCGAAAGCGCTCGCTGGCATGATCAACATCAGCACTGGCAAGTGTTGGCCAAGTGAGGTCAACAACCCGGTGCCTGGTGTCATTCCGGGTTCGCCAGCAAGCAGGGGCTACGAAGGCGGTTTCGGGGTATCTCTCGCCAACAAGGACTTGAAGCTCGCCCTCAAAGCTGCTGCGGAGGCAGATGTGAAGCTTGCGCTTGGCGAATCTGCTCGAGCGATCTATGATGCGGCGGAGAAAGACGAAAACTGCAAAGGAAAGGACTTTTCCGTAGTCTACAGATATCTAGGCGGCAAAGAATAAGCCTAATAATGACACGAATCGCTTGATGATCCAGTACGTTCTTTTCGTTGCGTGGTCATGCTGTGCTTGACTGCGGCTGCCGCTAGCGTGAACCGAGGAAGGCGCGCGCCTCTGTGGCAGTGCAGTTGCGTCATCAGCAGACTGTACCTTGCGACCCATCAGGCGACACTGAACTCTCCACCACTTTCGCGCACCAACAGCCTTTGTCGCCCATACCGACTCACCAAACTACCCAACGTCCGCTTCACCAACTATCGCCAACATGTGCGGCACCGACTGCTTCCTGATGCTCCTCAGCGTCCTCTTCCCACCCATTGGAGGTACGTCCCCACTCCGCACCCGCGCACCAGGCACCCGTCTCGCGCTTCCCGCCACATCATCACTAACAACATACACAGTCTGGGTAAAGAAAGGCATCTGCGGCGCCGACTCGCTCATCAACCTCGCGCTCTGCTGTCTCGGCTTCCTCCCTGGCCTCCTCCACGCCTGGTACATCATCCTGCAGAACCCGGAGAACCTCGAGCAATACCACCAAATACCCGATGGCGAGCGCGGGACTACGTACTACGTTATCACGCACGAGCAGCCGGGGCGACAGAGCTACGGCACTGTTGGAAGTCAGCCTGCGGGTGGCCAGTTTCCGGGACAGCAGAGTGGAGGTGTTGGAAGCTTTGCGGGTCAGCAGCAGAAGAATGTTAAGGGTGCGAAGACAGTGACGACGCCGCAGCAGGGTGGAGAGGGCAGCTCGAGTCAGCCCGAGGGACCACCGCCGACGTATGCAGATGTTATCAAGGGCGATCATAAGGTGCAGAGCCCGTAGACGATGGTGGTTCGTGAAGGACGCTGGGAACTTTAATGCTGCTATAGCACAGGGTGTATGTGTACAATTGCCAGGCGCTGGGGTGTCTGTTGGAATATGCGTAGCCGAGTGGCGCATTGCTCTTTATTGGGTCTGCATTTGACAGTCTGGAGTGATTCACGTGGCGACACTTAGGGTAGCTACTCTTTCAGGTCAACATGATATCGGTCCATTACTTTTGTAGTTAATCTGTCAAGATCATAACTTCTCTTCTCTACCAAGTGACTATTGATAGGTAAGTTACCCAAAGTTCGCTGATAACAATTTAAATACTTAAACATGATGCAGGTTTTGGACTATGAAGGGACGCATTGTGTAAAAAGGGTCGTTTCAAAGTTGCCGGTGCTATAATAGCCTTGAGCTATACCTAGACTTTTAAAGCGACGGCAAGGTCCAATGTATGACTTCAGGCTATTGGATTGGCTTCTACCTGCAGCACCCTAGTCACTTCCGTCGTGATTGACATTGACAACACGCAGTATATCTGCTACAAAGAAGACTGCACCGAGCGAGATGGACAACCACCATTTCGACTTCTACGGCCTCCAAAACGCCATGTATGCATCAACACGTCATTGTGCGGAATCGCGAGTCAATGGCTGCAGGGACCAAACCACCGTCTGCAAAGTGCCTTGCAGCATACCTGTTCCGGTTTGCTGCAAGGGTTCATCTGCGAGGAGTCTGTTTGCAAGATCGCAGCCGATTACGGCTGATGTTGTTGGTACAGGAGTGTTCTTCGCTGTGCCACGAAAGGGTATATGATGCAAGGCGCATGCGGATACGCCTTCGTACAAACCTCATCGTTGAAACTGCCGCATGGGCCCATTCTCTCACGGTACGATGCAACGAGGCGGTGACGGGCGATGATCCAGCTTCTACGTGTGCCTAACGACGATACCGTCAGTCTTGCGCGGCATCCGAAGACCCGATATGCTGCATGCAGTCGAGTGTAATGTGGAAAAGAAGGGTCGCTCGTAGCGTGAGAAAGCAAGGAAATCAGGCTGAACATAAACCATACAGCTGTCGCGGGGACAACTCGACGATGCTCTGGCGCGAATCACCGCCGTTGGTTTCATCGCGGGAACCAATCAAGCTTTGGCCCAAGCCCTGTCCAAGCAGCGCATCGTCATCGCCCAGCTCCTGAATGGCGGTAGATCATGACCAAGCCTTCCAAGCTTCGCCTTCGCTGTGACGTGGTGAGCTTGACTCCGAGGAATAGTTGCGAGCATCTAAAGACCTTGTGAACGCGATTTGCATTTCACTGAATTATTTGCCTCCCTCTACACTGGTTTGCGACATTCTTCGACGATCGCCTGTGGCTGAGCACTCTACGCGCCACAGCTACCCCCGTATCGAAACTGAGCTTCTTTAATTACCTTCCACGGCTGTCCGCTCTCCTTTCTTAAATACACCGCCATCCTTGACAGGGTCTCACCAAAGCACAACAAGGCAACCCGCAAGGCAACGGTATCTCGAATCGACACAGCCACTCCCTTGTGCCCCTGGTCTCCGCTACTCAAGTACAACAAATCGCGCTTCCTCGACCAAACACTGGCTCACACGAACGATTTGCGCCCCCAAACGACGACATTCCGAACGACGTAGCCCCCATTCCGATTGCTTGTGTACAAACACATCCCGCGTGGATTGTCTTTGCAAATATAGCGGTCCCAGGTCCTCTGCAGCTCCGAACTATCACCACTAAGACGGCCCAGTTGCCGACCACACCGGCCCCATGCGTAAGTGGATCATTTATTTCCGAACCATGACATCTTCCATCACCTGTGTGGCCAATGTTTCAATCTCTTCATGCGACATGGACTAATCCACCATGATGTCTATAGACTCAATACGACGACATGCGCATCGTGTCGCATCCTCCCAAGGCGGCGAAGGCACCTTGAACTACAACCCATTCGCGCGACAACGCTCGAGAGATCAGCCAGTAGGCGATGCTGAGAACCAGTATCCCGTTCGATGGACCGTCTCAGGTGCAGCTGCTCCCACGATTGAAGAGCAACAGAGGCTAGAGAGCCGGGAGGCACAGAAGGAATTTGGTGACCAACATCACCACAACACCGAGCCAACACCGACTTCAACAACTTCGCCCAACGGTTTCGCCGGGTCTTCAGCAGACAGAGAACTACCCCCGATCGACGGAGAGAAGCAGTCCAATGAAAGCACCATTATTGGCTCACCTCGTCAAAACAGCAATGCAGTCACCAAAAGAGGCAAATTCAAGGGCATCTTCCGCAAACACGAAAAAGAAAATGATATGGGCGAGAGTGAGCTCACGCGTGTGGACTCCGACCAACTGTCAATGGAAGAGCGTAAGAAGAGAGCACTCAAGAGGAAGATTCCCGTCATGGACCAGGTCAAATTCGTGCTGTTTGGTGCATGGATCAACGTGCTCCTCATCATGGTGCCTGTCGGCTTTGCAGTAAATTACGCCCACATCGGTCCTGTCCCAGTTTTCGTCGTCAACTTCGTCGCCATTATTCCTCTGGCAGCTATGCTAAGTTCTGCAACGGAGGAGCTGGCTATCCGTGTTGGCGAGACACTCGGAGGATTGCTCAACGCCACCTTTGGTAACGCTGTCGAGCTTATCGTTTCCGTACAGGCTTTGATTAAGAACGAGATCACAATTGTCAAGACTTCGCTTATCGGCAGTATGTTGTCCAACTTGCTGCTTGTCTTGGGCATGTCGTTCTTCCTCGGAGGTGTCAATCGCCTGGAGCAATTCTTCAACGTCACTGTTGCGCAGACTGCCGCGTCTTTGCTCGCACTCTGTATTGCGTCTCTCATCATTCCAACGGTCTTCCACAACATGATTGCGGAGGACAGTGTGCAAGATGGCGATGCTAAGAAGAACCAAGAGCTGTCGCGCGGCACTGCTGTCATTCTTCTATTCGTTTATGGCTGTTACCTCACCTTCCAGCTCAAGACCCACGCCACCATGTACAACGCCCCGAGTCAAAAGGTTGAGAAGCGCAAGTCTTCGAAGAGGCAAGAGGGCGATGCGGCGCGCGGTATCGCTGCCATCGGAGCTGGCACTGCCGCTGCATCTGGAGGCGGTGTCAACGCTAAGACTATCTTCAAGAACCCTGACGAGAACCACGCGGACAATGCGGAGGAAGAGGACGAGTTCGAGACACCTTCCCTTTCTGTCGTCGGTGCGCTTGTTACCCTCGCTATTTCTACCACACTTGTGGCATTCTGCTCCGAGTTCATGGTCGACAGCATTAACGGTCTCACCGAGACTGGTGCCATCTCCACCACGTTCGTCGGACTGATCCTCTTGCCAATTGTTGGTAACGCAGCCGAGCACGCCACTGCTGTCACTGTCGCCATCAAGGACAAGATGGATCTGTCTATCGGTGTAGCTGTCGGCTCTAGTATGCAAATCGCTCTGCTCGTCTTCCCACTCATCGTCATTCTCGGCTGGATCTTGGGCAAGGACTGCATGACCCTCTACTTCGACACTTTCCAGATTGCCACGCTATTCGTGTCGGTCTTGCTTGTCAACTACCTTATCCAGGACGGCAAATCTCGTAAGTCGTCCCGCTTTGACACATATGCAGAGAAGTTGCTAACATGTCTACAGATTGGCTCGAAGGCGTATTACTTATGGCGTCGTATATCATCATAGCTCTCGCAGCTTGGTTCTACCCCAATATTGAGGAGAATCAGTGCTAGAGGTCATGATTTCCCTATGTCTTTTCGGACGGTATCACGATTTGCTTAATCCGTCTCTTTTTGGTCATTGCCGATACCCAGTTTGCACATCAGGTCTTTAATGCTGTACATAAAACAGAATACATTGTAATCTTTAGTTCGACATCTTTTACCTTATCTTGGCTTCCGTGAAAACATGTGTTGAGCTCGCGCAGAATTACGGAGCTGCTTCGTTGCGATTGTACCGCGCCTTCCTCACTCTCAAAAATGACGTGGCTCCTTCCGTTTCGGCTGTAAGTGTCAAGTCAACGTCGGGTTTGCGACACAATCTAACAAACTGCACTCATCTCACAGCTTCGTGGCGACTACATCACACTGCCTCACAGCAATCGTCGAGCTCATTCGTGCGCCAGGAGGACGTCAGCGTACTCCATAGCGCTGCAGATGGTTGAAACGCCCATCTGCTCAGCAGCATTTCCCTCACCTCGCACGCTCACCTCGGCCGCGCCTCGCGCAATCTCACCATCCAATATCACCATGTCTTTTACCTGCAAACCCGCGGTGCACACTGCCGCCAGCCTCAGAGGGCCATATAAAAGTCTACTGCTTCGCTTCCTCCGTCCTTCTTACACTACTCTTCTTCTACCACAACAGTGGTTATTCTCTTTACTACTTCGACCTTTGATTACGTACTACTCCACTCAACCTTCTTGATAGCTTCCCGGTTTACTCCGTGCAGTGCCTCACCTTCGAGCTCCGCGAAGGTGGGAGTCGAAGACTGCGCTGAACCTTGAGCCTCCTCAAGTAACGCATACATACAACCTCCACTCATCTTTCCCGTAAGATCCTATCTTACAAGCCTCCCCATCAATCGCCTTCTGGCTCAAGTGGCCTACCATCAGGTATGAAGCGCACACACCCAATGTCAACTCGCAGCTAACAATCACAGTAGCCAGCGATGAGCGATCAAGACATCATGAGCGACAGTGTCGAAGTTCAGCAGCCCGCAGATCAGGACATGGAGTTTCAAGACAGCGATTCACTGTTCGGCGACGATGACCCGGATACGACCATGCCAGAACAGCCGAACAACGAAGAAACCGAGGTCTCTCAAGACTCTAAGAGTACTCAGGTTCCTGCGCCTGAGAATGCCGAGGACGACGCTGCAGACAGCACTGTTCATGAGCTGGACGGAGATGAGGAACCCGAGACGCAACACACCGAGAGCTCGCAGGGTAACGAGGAACCCGAGACGCAACACACCGAGAGCTCGCAGGGCACTGCGGCTCGCGAGGAGCATATGGGCAACCCTGATGACTACACGAACCCGAAACCTGTTCAACAGGAAGTCTCTCAGACCTTCGAGGAGGAGCTTGGACTTGAACCGGGATCCTTCGACCCTCCGCAGGCGGACTCCAACATGGGCGATCCAGGCCAAGAATCGCAAGAAAGCAACGATATCCCCATGGAAGACGCCAACGCGGGTCATCCTTCAGTCGATTCCAGCAGTGTTACACATGGCCATGGTCATGATGAAGTGCTCCAGGATGAGCAATCAGATGCCCAGCAGCAGAAGAATTCCAACTTCCAACAGGCTCATGTCCAAGATGAGCCACTCGAAAACGACTCCAATTCCCTTTTCGTCCCAGAACGCTCTTCTCCGGCACCAATTGCACCAGGAAGCCGAGATCATCCGATGAATATGCCACCTCCATCCCACCCATCAGTACATCCCTCTAAGCCGGTCATGTCGGTGTTCGATAAGATTGTCCGCATGCAGAAGGCCAATTTAGCAAAGAAGAATGCGGCACAGAAACAGGCAGCCACACGTCACTTACCTACTGATGTTACACCTGAAGGCTATCTGGAAGGCATCATGTCGTCCATCACGCCCCCTGCTTCGACACCGAGACCCGTGGTAGACGAGGCTGAAATGGAAGATCGTCAAGCGTTGGCCGAGTACCAGCGGCAGATGCGACACTACAACGAGTTGAAGCGCAAGAACGGAGTCCTCAGTTTCAGGCAAGATGTCGAGTTATTGAAGATCAGGTCGGCCGAGACAGCACGTAAGAGGAAACGTGCACGTGACATTGAGAAATCGAATGAAGATGCGGAGGAGGAGCCAGCGCTATTCCCTGAAGCTTTCCCTACGCCCAATGTGGACGACGGTGACAAGGACGACGCTTCAGAGGATGAGTTCGACCTCGAGACGACAGCTACACGCAAACGTCCGCGTCAACAGATGCCGCACAAGGCACCAAAGGAGCAGACCATGCAAGAAGCTGAGTTGCAGAGTATGAAGGTTGCTTTGGACGCGCATGAAGACCTGCCGAAGAAGAAAAGGAAGATCCAACCTACTGATGACAACTCGCAAGACTCGCGTGCTAGCACAAAAGGCAAAGGCTCCAAGGCTAAGGCTAAACCAAAGGCGACAAAGGCGGCTCCCAAGTCTGCTGCCCGGGGCCCTCGAAAGACAGCGAAGAGCAAAAAGGAAGCTGATCATGCTATCAAACAAGCCTCATCTCTGTTCCATGCCAACGTCTTCGTGCAACAAGCCGGCGCGGACGAACCCGACCAGCCTGGTTTCAATTCCAGAAGGAAGGGAGACGCTCTCAAGGAGCTCATCGCAAGTGTGCCACTCGCGGACAAGAAACAAGCTCGCTCCGAGATGGCTTTACTTCTTCAAGCCACCAAGGACTTCGACGGTCATGGGTCAGTAAAAGCTGCTGGAGGTAATTGGCTCGTGAAGGGCATGTCAACTTCGTTGAAGGGGTACCAGCTCATGGGCGGCGCCTTCATGCGACGACGTGAGAACGCAGTCGATGAGCCTCGTGGAGGTTTGCTTGCGGATCAGATGGGGTTGGGAAAGACGCTAATGTACGTCGATATGTCCTGAATATCCTCAAGCCATTAATACTGCTATGAATGTAGGCTAACAGTTACTCCAGGATGCTTGCAAATATTGTCAACGGACAGCCGCGAAAGGGCCATCATCCTCGCACGACTCTCCTTGTTGCTAGCCCATCTCTTCTGGCGCAATGGGGCAGGGAGATTACACAGCACACCGCATGTGGTCTTAAAGTGATGCGATATGGATCCGGAAACCGCCTCGACTCTACTAATGCCAGCGACATCCTGAGAAGTCACGACATTGTCCTAACCACATATAGCGAAGTGATGAAGTCTTATCCCAAGAACGAACCACCGATTGAATGCCAGACAGCAGAGCAGAAGATCGCGTGGTGGAAGGATGTGTACGAAAAAGAGAGAGGAATGCTTCACAAGACGCAGTTCCTGCGCATTGTGCTGGATGAAGCTCAAGCGATCAAGAACCACCAAGGTCGTACTTCCATCGCCTGTCGGGCCCTGATAGCCCGTCACAAATGGGCATTGAGCGGTACACCAATCCTGAACAGCCTGACGGAGCTTTATCCCTACTTCAAATTCCTCGGCGTTCCACATACCGGCAGTTTCAAAATCTTCAAGAACAACTACTGCAACAGCAAGAATGCTGAGAACACGGAGCGACTGCTTGTTCGCCTTTCCCAGTTTATGCTTCGCCGAACCCACGCCGACAGGATGTTCAATGCTCCAATTTTGAAACTTCCGATGGCTGGTCAGGGTACGTACTACTGCGAGTTCAATCCTATCGAGCGGTGCATCTACGACATTGTTCAACAGCGCTTCGCCAAGAGGATCAACATGTGGCAAGCCAAAGATCAACTGAACAAGTCGTATAGCAACGTCTTGGTGATGCTGTTGCGACTCCGTCAGCTCACTGCCCACGTGCTCATGTTGCAATTTGTCATGCGAGACCTCTTGGAGATTGAAGACATCCAGGCCATCAAGAACGTCGTCGCAGAGCAGTCAGTGGACGGTACCACGCCCCGTGGTCGCACCATCATCGCCGTGCGAAAGCAGCTAGAGAAGCATGCAATCGATGTGAAGAAGAAGGCTGCTGCCGACGCGAAGAAGAAGGCTACTGCTGCAGCAGCCAGAACAGCTGCTGAAGCCGCCGGGAAGGTGTATGAAGTGGAAGAAGACGAGACCGAAGAAGAAGAATTATCAGAACCTGAAGAGGCTTCCGGACAACCCACTGCACAAGAGGGGGCAGGCCTAGGCGGCAGCGGCAGAGATTTTGGCAAATCTTACAACTTCAAGCCATATCTGAGCAGCCTCAAAGTGGGCGAAAGCTGGGATACAGCCAAGAAAAGGGCTAAGTGTAGCTGGTGCGACAAAACACCGAAGGACCCCTGGATCACAGATTGCGGCCATCTGATCTGCTTGAAATGCAACGATCTTTCCAACCTCGCGGCAGCTGAACAAGGCAATGAACATGCGCCATGCAAGACGTGCGGGTCAACACCAAAGACGTGCCAGCCGTGCGACATGGACGACATGAATCCGGTAGAGGCGGTAGCCGAAGGGACTCGATCCAAGAAGAGCAAAGCAAAGAAGCGTGAGCAGCCCCAGGACCGTGAAGACATCTCGGAAGACTGGCTTTCTATGGCTGGTGCGGAGGTGCTGCCTTCAGCGAAGACGCTTGCCATCAAGGCTCAGATTTTGAACTGGATGAAGGAGGACCCGAAGGTCAAGATCATCATCTATACGCAGTTTCTGGCCATGTAAGTCGATCTACTTTTTGAGACGCTTTTCTTCTAACAGCAACAGGGTGAAGATTCTTGGCAAGATTTGTTCACACGAGGGCTGGGAAGCTGAACAAGTAAGTCTACTATTCCCGTTAGTGGTGCAAGTTGGTTCTGCGAAGGCATCCAGGCTCGACGATGGCGTCGCCCAATTTGTATCTTGGAATGAGCATTACTAACCAAATTGTAGTACGTTGGCACTATGAGCTTCGGTGCTCGAGACAAGGCCATCAACACGTTTGCGAGCAACGACAAGTGCAACATCCTCTTGGCATCTCTGCGGTGTGGTGGCTGTAAGTTTTTGCTGAAGCGCTGTTGTGCGTGTATATACTGACACAGCAACAGTGGGCCTCAACCTCACCATGGCATCACGCGTGATCATGGTCGACCCCTGGTGGAACGAAGCCTCGGAGCAGCAAGCCTTCTGCCGCGTCTTCCGCATCGGGCAGAAGGAAGAGACGTTCATGTCTCGGCTCTGTGTCAAGAACACAGTCGACTCCAAGTTGATTGAGATGCAGGAGCGCAAGACGAAGGAGATTGGCGAGATCATGGAGGACAATGGCGATCGGATGAAGAAGTGAGTTCATATTCGTCGAGCTGTGGGGGACGAGGTGAGCTAACACGGTGGTAGGATGGGCACGCGAGATCTCATGCGTCTCTTTGGCAATACCAACGAGGATGCCGAGGGCAAGCCGTTCATTCTGGTCGACGACCCGGACCCGCGTGGTGGTTTCAGGGCTGACCAGGACGACGAGGGCTACGCTGATGAGTTCTGAGGTGGTGGAACGAGAGTGCGTGGGGTTTTGGGGCCGCGAAGGGCTCCAGGAGGAGGTATCAGGTGTGCTTTTTCGTCATGGGCTCAGTGGTAGCTGGAATACTTCACGACACTTTGGGGCCCCAATGTTTCCTTTTTCTTGACAGTCGCTGTACTATATACCCGATAATCCGAAAGTCTTTCTTAGATGTCAGCCGATTCGAGACTGCGCTACCCTCGGGTGTAAGACGATGGTCGCTAGGTTCAGGTCCAGGATGCCAGACGTGGGATATGTGAAGGCATCCGGCATGCATCTTGGTTGCTTGTTTAGGCAGATGCTGCAGCTATCGATGCAGTGAGCGAGCATGTTCATGCGGGAGAGCAGAGGGACCGATAAGGGCTAAGCAGCGGGCCAATCAGACATGGGCTGATAGCGAGCCGGAACGCGTGGGCGTTCTGTCGTGATGGGCTTCTCACTCCGGTGCGATGGCAGCAACGGGCGACTGCTATCGAGCCTGGGCAGCCATGTTCCCGTCTCGCGCAGGACACTCGAAACACGACCGACTGTTCGCTCTGGCCGCTGATTAACGGGGCGCTGTACTGGAGGCTGCCGTCCGCCGTCCGCCGTTGGCCGTTCACTGTTCACTGTTCACTGTTCACCTGTCAAAGCGCGCCCCGCCATCTCTCACCCCACATTCTGTGTACCGCGACCCTCGACGCCGCCATGGAGCAGCACACCAGCAGCGCGGCGGATCTGCCCCCGGGCGCGCCTGCCAAGAAGGGACGCCGGAGCAAGAGGGACGACGGCAACGGCGACGACGGCAAGAAGCGCAGGTGCATCTCGAGCGCGTGCGTGCCGTGCAGGAAGAGGAAGTCCAAGGTACGTAACGCGAACTGCCTTTCTCCGGCGGACGGGCGCACCATCTCCGCGTCGCGACGTTGAACCGCCTATCGCAGCACGGCATCGCTGACATGTGAGCGCGAGCAGTGCGACGGCACCACGCCCGCGTGCTCAGCCTGCGCCGCCGTCTACAACACCGAGTGCGTCTACGACCTCAACTCGGACCACCGCCGCAAGGGCGTCTACAAAAAGGACATTGACAATCTCAAGACGCGCAACTCGACCCTGCAGACGCTGATCCAGGCCATCCTCAACTACCCGGAGGACGACGTGGCCGACCTGGTCCACCAGATCCGCACCTGCGAGAGCCTCGACACCGTCGCCGAGAACATCCTCGCCAAGGAGAATGGCGACCTCGACGACGACGACCAGATCAGCCCCGCGTCCACGCCGCCCCTGGGCCCGGGACAGCCCACCTTTGAGAGCCAGCTGAGCGGCAAGATGGGCGAGCTGCGCCTGGAGGACGGGTCGACGCGCTACATTGGCGGCACGTCGCACCTGATCTACCTCGACAAGGCCAACGACGACGCAGACTCGCCCGACACGTACACGGACGAGTACCAGTCCAACGAGGACACCTTCTGCTCGTGGACCTCGGCCACCTCGGACCCGGAGCTCGTGCAGCACCTCATCAGCATGTACTTTTGCTGGCACTACAGCTTCTTTACCACCCTGTCCAAGAGCCTGTTCCTCCAGGAGTTCAAGCTCGGCCGCCCGCCGCCAGGATCGAACCGCCGGATGCAGTACTGCACCCCGCTGCTGGTCAACGCCATGCTGGCCTTGGGCTGTCACTTCTCTTCGTGGCCGGGGGCGCGTGCTGTCCGCGACGACTCTGCCACTGCCGGCGACCATTTCTTCAAGGAGGCCAAGAGGCTGATCATGGAGGGCGACCTGCACGAGGTTCCGACACTCCCTACGGTGCAAGCACTCGCCCTCATGTCCGTGCGAGAAGCTGGGTGCGGCAGAGAGGCCAAGGGCTGGGTGTACAGCGGCATGAGCTTCCGCATGGCGTGCGACCTTGGCCTCAATCTCGGCATGCACAGCAACGGCAACATGGACGAGAACGAGGAAGACGCCCGGCGCATCACATTCTGGGGCTGCTTCCTGTTCGACAAGTGCTGGAGTAACTACCTCGGCCGGTTGCCGCAGCTGCACAACACCATCGTCACGGTCCCGAAGTTTGAAGTCTTTCCCAACGAAGATGCCGAGACTTGGAGTGCCGTCACAGACTCTGGAATCAGTCAAGCACATTCTCAACCCACCAGGACGCGCGCAATCGCCCTGCAGATCACGAAGCTGTGCGAGATCTCCAGCGATCTCATGAACTTTTTCTACAATCCCATCGACATGGACAAGGCGAAAGGGAAGCAGGCTGAGCTCAAAAGACTTAGTGAGATACATATGCGGCTGGAGACGTGGAGGAGAGAATTGCCAAAGGAACTGGAGCCCAAGGAAGGCGGTCTGCCACATATGCTCGTGATGCAGTGAGTACAACTCTCCATCTCTTCGACAGCCCTACTGACCTTGTTGCAGCATGTTCTTCCAACTACTATACATCCACCTCTTCCGACCCTTTCTCAAGTACAATCCGAACAACTCACCACTACCTGCACATGTGTCGCCTCGTAAGCTCTGCACCCAAGCTGCCGCTATGATCTCAAAGTTACTCCGTCTGTACAAGCGGTCGCATGGACTCCGTCAGATCTGCAACATATGCGTCTATATCGCCCACTCAGCCTGTACGATACACTTGCTTAACCTGCCAGAGAAGAATGCGAAACGTGACATCATCCACGGAGTCAAGCATCTAGAGGAAATTGCAGAAGGATGGTTGTGCGCCCGGCGAACTCTCGGCATTCTGAGCGTTCTATCCAAACGCTGGAAGGTCGAGCTACCTGAAGAGGCTGAAGCAGTACTCAAACGAACCGATTCCAAGTTTGGCCCTTGGAACGAGGTCAGCACACCGAAGACGAGCAACCGGGACCCAACACAATTAATGGATCAGCATCCGTCTCCTGCCGATCAGGCCTCACCATCCCTGCAACCGTACAGCATGAACATCACATCTGTAACAACACCACAGTATCTGAACCGGATGCCTCAGAACAACACTTCCGTAAGCATGAACCCCTACGCGCGTTCTTCTGAGTCTTTACCTCCAAACGACCCCAACGCACTGGCTTACACGCGTACCCAGCGACACCACGCAACCCCCTCCAACACAAGCTTCACCGCACCGACACCTGCATCAACCCAAGGACGGCATTCCATCGATGGCCAGAGCACTGCTGGAAACTCGCCCAGCCAGCTATTCGGAGGCGTCGACCAGCTTATCCGAGAAGGCCAGGACTGGATCTTCCGGGATCAAACTCAGCTGGCGACTGGATTCGAGAACTGGAATCCTAGCAGTATCGATGACATTGCCTCGTGGTTTGCAAGCACACAATCTCCGACCGGTGTGTTTCCTGCCAATAATCCTGCAACTGGTCCACAGATGAATGGAGGTCCTGTTGGTGGTGGTATCAACGGATATCCAAACCTGAATGGGAATGGTGGTAATCCACCGCCGAATGCGAATGGCGCGAATGGCGTCAACAACATCACTGGCATTCAGGGATTCACGTATGATGAGGGGACTTGGTATGATTATCAATAACGATGCAAGGTGACATTGATTCTTGTGTAGAAGTTGCTTTATCGGAAGCGTTTGGGATGGGATACCCCTATATTGTTGTACCTTTTTTTTTAAACCGCGGCGTGTACGAACAGGCGTTTTGGGCGAATTAGGAAAAACTATCACGCAGTCTAGAGAAGAATACACGAGGTAATATGAATTTACGAAAGCATCGCTTTTTTATTATTCGAATTTTATCAAGACTTGAAATTCCTGCGTATGTGCTTAGAGCGGAGTATCACGAAATGGATGAATGAGAGAGTCTCACAACAGCAATCGATCCAACCTCACAACACAGGTGGACTCCTCACAACGCCCGTGGACTAGCCACCTCACACGTCCCACTCTCCTCCACCTTGCTCCTCAGAAAACACGCCATCTTGATCCACCTGTTTCTAACACCCTTCCACCTCCACCACTTCCTCTTCTTCTCCGTCTCCCTTCCCCCCTCCTGCTGTTCCTCCTCATCCTCCTTCTCCCCTTCTCCATCTCTACCACCACCCTCTCGATACCCCCGCAAATCCCGCACCCTCGCCCCTTCCAAGTTGGCGCCACTAGCCCACATCGCCTCGCCGCTGACATCAAAGTGCTCCGTGAAGTGCGACGTGCGCCTGAGCACAGGGAACGTGAGCTGCGACGACGACACAGACACGGTGCGCATAGACACGGGCTGCGCGGTGAGCAGCGCGGGGCTTTCATCAGCAGCGAGGACGAGGGAGAGCGGGGAGGGCGCGATGCACGGCAGCGAAGAAGGCGTTGTAGTGCAAGAGTCGTGGGATTCAAAAGCAAACGGCGGCAGCGACGGCGACCACGTCGAAGAGGTATATGCACGACATCTGCGTCTTTCCTCAAGATCATCTTCTTCTTCAAAGGCATTCTCATTCTCTCTCCCCCATCGGTTCCACACCCGCGGCGCTAGAAACGTCCGGTCGGGCGTCTTCCGCGCCCGCTCTAGGTCCTGCAGCTGCGGCGCGGAGGTATAGGAACGATATGCGGGTACCGTGCTGAGCGGCTTGCGCGCGATGTGCACGGGAGGAGGGCGCAGGGACTCGTTGCTGATGGCGGTGTGGCGCAGGGAGCCGTGGCGGAGGGAGGGGTGCGTGTGGGATGTTGGGGTGGGCGGGAGGGAGATGCGAGATGTGCTGGGGGGAGGTGAGGTGAGGGGTGTGTAGGGGGGTGTGAGGGTGGACATTCTGGTGGGGGAGATGGAGTGGCTTGGAAGAGAGAAGGAGGGTGGTGTGAATATAGCGTGGTGGGTGTGAAGGGCTGGATAGCTTCAGTGGCGTTTGGGAGAGAGGAGGTGGAGTGTGATGACGATGTGAAGGTATACAGAATTCCCTGAGAAGGAAATATTGTAATTCAGAGAGCTGGTGTGCTTCAATATGCCGTGGAAATGCAAAAGTGTCTTGAAAGTGAAATGAAAATATCTAGCAAGGCGCAGATTTTATACAGCCAAAAAAAAAAAAAGGATATGGCCATCGCTAGATAAATTTTGAATATTTCCTATCCACGGTTCACACAAACCAAACCGATCCTACTGAACCGCGCCGGAACTATCAATATCCCGCACAGGCTGCTCCGGCAGCGCAAACATAGGGACCTTGCGTGCTGGACTGCCCAGCGGGTTGCGCATCCCGAGTTCTGCACTTGGAGGTGTGCCTTCCGGCTGTGATGGCTCAGAAGGCAGAGTCGCTAGCGTGGAGCCCGTCTCATTCGCCGCGGCGACTTTGGCGCGGATGGTAGAAAGTGCGGATTCATTGTTTTCATATGGGCATTGAGCACTGGGTGACTCCCCATGGCTGTCCTGTGGAAACAAGGCTGTTCCGTTTTGCGTGGTCGATTCGATATCCCGCGACCCTTCGGGATTCGCGGTTGGCTGGTTGGCCTCGGCATTCTCTCGCGACTCTTCCCCTGCTTCTGGTTTCGGGACGGTCCGTTTAGCCCGGGCTTTGGCAATCAAGTCGTCGAAGTCGGTTTTGTGCGACTTAGCGTACCCGCTACCGTCAAAGTCCTTTTTCATGATCTTGCTCTCTTTGGTATCTGCTCTCCCGCCTTGGGTATTTTCCCACTCTTCCAACTCTCTGACTAATTGCCGTTTATTCTTACGTACGCTTTCGTGTGCGTCGCAGTTCGAATTATAGATATTGAGCCACTCGATATGTCGTCTCTTCAGCAGCTCTTTAGTGCCCCAGTTCGGTATGCCGATCTCTTGTAACTTTTTCCGTAGCGCGCCCTCCTTTAGCATAGCATAGTTGAGTTGCGATAATCGGGTCGGAGGAGGTGAGGGATCCTTTTGTCGTCTTTGGAGTGGATTCGGAAATGCGGTTTTGGTTCTAGAGAGCAACTTGGTCAACCGAGGTTTCAGGCGAGTGATGTCATGCGTATACAAACCTTGATCGAGTACTGCGCCCCTGCGACGCGCTTGGCCCATCGCAAACGTCCAAGTGGTTGTATACCAGCTCTGCCTTCATAGATGTGTTGCAGATCGGGCATTTGGCCATACCCTCGGGTAGGAAGTCATCGTCACCGTCCCCTTCACTGTCTGCAACTTCAATGGGCACATCGTCTGAACTCTCGATGCGACGGCCTCTACTCCGCGTCTGTCTTGATCTCGTCTGTCTCGTAGGTTCGCCGTCTTCGATGTCTGTCTCGTCCAGTTTTCTCTTCTTATTGCTGGCAGAGTGCGCCTGCTCTTCTTTGTCCACACGCGCCATTTCCAATGCCTTTGGTCTCGCCTCTTGAAACCTCATGACGACCTCGCGCACCGCAATGTTTGGGGCCAATTTGTCGCTCGAGCACGCAGTCTTGCAGCTCGGGCATTTTCCGTCCGTGGCTATGCATCTTCGTATGCATATCGAGCAAAATGTATGCGAGCAGGAGGTGATGACGGGGTTCGACAGAAATTCCTTGCAGACTTCGCAGCGCAGTGCGGCCTCGAGCGATTCGAATTGGGGCAGAGACGTCGCTATCCAGTCCGTGGAGTCTGGTAAGTCAAACGTAGAGTCCATGTGGCTTTGCGAAGGTGTGGTGGGCGGATCCGGCGTGCTGGCTCGTTGCGGTGACCAAGTCGCGTCGGACGCGTTGATCGTTGTTTCGCGATCACGTGCAGTCTTTGGTGCATTATTTGCTTTGTCAGCAACATAGGGCTGCCGCTCCTGAATTTTCAACGAAAAAATTATCTTAGTCTGCTTGGGCATTGTGAGAAACATGAGGGAGCTTTTGGTTTGGTCACGGCTGCAAGGAGTTGAATGGGTGGTGTTGGGTCAAGTGAGTGGGGAGGAAGGAGCGATCAAGTCTTGCACAGGATTATTCACATGAGTGAAGGGCCGAAGTTTGAGCAGAGCGGGCATGGATTGTTGCGGCATCTGGCAAAATCTTGCTCAATCTCGCGTCGCATGAGATGGTCTTTGCGACCATATTCGGTCTCCTTGAGCTACCTATGCTCTACGTTGCACTCAGTCCATGGACCGTCTGAAACACTTCGCGCAGTCCTCACTTCTGCGAATCGCTCGGTGCGGCGTTGGATGGCGGTACAGACACCTTCTTGTTTGTTGTTCACCATTTCGTTTGCAGTATTTCAGAGCCACTCGAGGCATCAATTTGTCCCAACCTTGGTCATAGGGGACCATCACTTCAAACCTTGATGACCATGCTCTTGCTCTTGATCCCGTCGAAGACGCACGTATTGTCGACAGGTACATACTGCTCAGTGATGACCTTGATCACCTCTTGTGACACCATTCCGCCAGTCAATGCCCCGATGTTATGCAGTTCGGCGCCGCCAGCTCGCACACTATCATCTCATTAGCTTCAAGCTCGTGTCCAGATGATTCATCGTCAACCTACAGCTCACTGGCAAATTCTCCTATCTGCGTCTTGACCGCTGCATACTCATCCTCATCGATTGTGGCACTAGCTTCCTTGACAAGATCGTTTGCAATCTTGAAGGCAATACCTGTAAGCTTCTCCGTATCGGTGTCGGGATCTGTCTCGCCAGGTACTTGAGGAGCACCGCCCAGGCCATCTTTCAAGTGCGTTGCAGTGAACTCGTCCCATGCTAGAAAAGCAATGTACAACGGTATGAGCGAGTCAGGGAACGTAAGTGTTTGAGCTGAATCATGTCAGTCGATCACAACTTTCTTCCTTGTAGCCACTCACCAATAGACTTTGCGCGATCTCCCCACTTGACCGGTTCGCCAGCTTGGACGACTTGGAATGGTCGGCCCCGCACCAGCTTGATGTGAGCTGCGTTCTTACAGAACGCTTCAATGTCCTTCTCGTCGATGGGGTTGCTCCGATTTGTGTTTCGCTCCAAGAATCGCACACTCTCAACCACCTCTGCCAGATCTTTCCGCGCTTTTGACTTGTACACATTCTGCAGCTGGATGTAGTCGGCTGAACGCGCCTTCATGTCCGGTACTGAACCTGGCACGGGGAGGACATTGTACTTCGTGTAAAATAAGCCAATCGCATTAGCGATGACCCAAAAGGTGGGCGAATCTTCGCGCACTAGGAGGCACTCTGGGGCTGTAAATATCTCCTTAACAGCACTGCTCGGTTGTGGCGGGTTGAGCGACTTCAATACCGCAGCAACAGCTTCGTCAAAGTTCTCCTCGCCACCCTCAGGATTGTTTGTCCGCGCAGCTTTCGAGACGATGCTCCTGAGTTCAGTCTTGTCCTTGTAGTTGTCTGGTACTTTCCCATCATGGTTCTTCCTCCACTCCTCAAGATAGTGCAGTAACAGCGCAAGGTATGGGATGTGGCCGTGGTCCTCTGGCGCCATGTCGTCCATGTTGGCCGTCTTTTCTTGGGCGAACTGTAAAAGCTCTGGCCACGGTCTTAGTAGGCGAAGGTCTTGTGTCGATTCAGGGCTCGGATGTGTATCTACTATTGGAAATGCGGGCGGTAGATGTACGGAGAAGTGGGAATAGAAGCCGATCGAGTGGACGTAGAAGAGGGGTATAGATGCGACGCTCGCGTGGTCGGAGAGTTTGGCAAGGAGCTCGGGTCGGATAGGCGCAGTCGCGATTATCAGCGTGTATGGGCGCAAGGCATCGGGTTGAAGCAGCCATGATTCGGCAGGCTAGATGCTTGTCAGTAACGTTCTCAAAAGGGTAACGGGCGCGCAGTACCTCTGTGATGAAATGCCCGTCTACATCTGGGTTCAACTCCTTAAGCAGATTGCGCGTGACTTGGGCCCGGTAGCTTCCCAGATGTTCCTCTTCCAAAAAGAAGTTCACTCCGAGGTCTGCTTCGCTCACAATGGCCGAATCTTGAATCGTAAAGTTGCCAATGCCGGGGAGGACGAGGTTCTTCAGCGTCTCAACGCCGACAACACCAGGCCCGGAGTTTATGAGGAGGATGTGGGAGTTTTCAAGCGCGATCTGGCCGGTAGCTCCCCAAAGTCGCAATTGGCGATCGTACCTGCCGTGCTTAGTTGACGTGGAGCATGCAGGGTTGTGGTACGCTTACTTCTTCTCCTTGGCAGTCGGGCCCTGGACGGGGGGAGGTAGATCCGCCATCTTGTCCTGTTTCTAGTCGATGTTGAGGAAAAGAGGCAAACAAGTCGAATTGTTTGTACAATTGGCAGCGTAGGCAGCATCACGGATTCTGCCGGGCGGTAGGAGCTGTCACGAAAACGCGCTAAGGCGGTCGCGGGGTATCCTGGACGCAGCATGGTGGGGCCAACAAGCGTCATAATTCGGCCATGCATTGCGTCTCATCAGACTGCAGTCTAAGCTAAGATGCCGTTATGAATTGATATAGCTTCCCAACACGTTACCCGTTTTACGTTTTACCCAATTCATGCGGCTGGTCTCAACCTCGTTGCGACGACCACGCAATATAAATCAGCACGTCGGCATCATCCGTCATCATAAGCTCCAAGTGCCCCTCCAAACTTTTGTTACAACCACCGGCACCGGCACAAAGTCGACGCCTTACACTTCTTTCGTGTTACGAACAGCCACATTTCGCCATATCAATTCCTCGCCGAGCAACTTCCTCCCTTCTCTGTCACCCCACAGGTACAGTTCCACTATGACCGACACCGCCGTCGAAGCCGCAAAGCGCGCCGCCGCCCAACAAGCTGTGAAAGACCACTTCGACCCGTCAAGCACACATGTCGGCATTGGCTCGGGTACTACCATTGTCTACGTCGTCGAAGCCATAAAAGAGCGCTCTACCAACCCCAACATCCTCTTCGTGCCCACGGGTTACCAGTCGCGCCAACTCGTCATCAACGCCGGTCTCACGCCCATCAGCTTCGATTCCCTACCCGACCACATCATGCTAGATGTCGCTTTCGATGGCGCAGATGAAGTCGACGCCGAGCTGAACTGTATAAAGGGCGGAGGCGCGTGTCTATTCCAGGAAAAGCTAGTCGCCGAGAGAGCGAAGAAATTCGTCTGTGTTGCGGACTACAGGAAGAGGCAGGACCGTTTGCTCACCATCTGGCCCACCATTCCCATCGAGGTCGCACCCCTGTCGCAAAGAAAAGTCGTGGCTGCACTTAAACTGCTCGGTTCACCAAACCCGACGCTGAGGACCACGCTGCTGGAGAAGTCGGGACCCCTTAAGACGGACCAGGACTTCTACATTGTCGATGCGCCGTTCAAGACGCTGCTTACTGCGGCGGATGTTAAGGCAGGAAAAGGCAAGGGTGATGGAACGGACGGCACTTGGGAGGTCAAGGCGATTAGCAAGGCGATCAAGGGCTTGACTGGTGTGTTGGAGGTGGGCATTTTTGCTGGGCTGAATGGTGTTGAGGCGCAAGAGCTGCGCGCGCAAGACAAGTCCGTCAGTGCAGTCATGGGTGGCCAGAAGCCCATTGCCGTATACTTTGGCATGGCAGATGGCTCCGTCAAGCTACGAACGGCAGAGGGCGAACAATGAGGCAGTAAAACTAATTTTACTAAACACATCCCTAAGAGACTTTGCGTTTATTGAGTAGAAAAGCAAAACTGAGTATGCAATCAGCTGCCAAAACCTCGCATCCGATTGGGTTAGCGCTAATGTTAGCCAACATTAGTGACCATCGTGTTTGCTCCTTCCTGTAGCATTTGCGTTGTATCAACTTCATCTACTAGCGCTTGATTCACATTTTTAGCAAGTACGTTTAGCTTCTACTGCCTCGTAGCGAAAAGCGACCTAGGAGCCATGATTCTCCATTCCGATAGCAGCTGTGTCTCCAGGAACGATATAGACTGACACGGAGAAGTCGGCTTGTGCAAAGTGGATTGTAAGTCAATCGATGTTCGCGATGAACAGAACTTGTACAGACAATGTCTCGTCTCTCATCTGTCTCTAAATTCGGCCCCCAAATGGCGCTCAGCCCCCAGATTGCGCCCAGCCCCCAAATCGTGCTAAGCCACCACGAACCTCAACGAGTGCCGCCTTACTCCCCTGACGGAACTTCGCGACTGGTGCAATATCATATAGCTACTTTGCATCTTACTGCAATTATCGTTCATCGAGACATCGATTTCACCAATCCATATCAAACTCATGGCCGCCGTAAATCCTGACTCAGTCTCTACAACGCAATGAAATTGTGAGCAGTACTTGGTTCTCTATTTCGGATAAATCTGCGTCTTTGCAGGCAACTTCTTTCCTCGCTTTCCACATGGACTTCGTTGAGCCACCCCTTGGCGGAGAGGCTGTGGAGGTTCCCTTGGTCACTTCGACCGTGATGGGGCCAGACGACGATGAATGGCTGAAGTTTCGCAACCAGTGTCCTTTCCTCGATGATTTCGGCACATTGGATATTATCAGCTCGCAAGGAAAGATTGCGGAATTCATTCAGTCATGGCTCTATTTCGGGCTTCTTGCTGTGCTCAGCAACAAGGTTATTACTGGACGCGACTTTTCCACTTCTGGAAAACACTGGTCCAAGGTAGTCAGCTCAGATCTGGTCGCCTCTACCCTGGTCGATATGAAGCTCACTGTCCTACGGATGCCCCGAGACGAATGTATGAACGCACTCCGGCGGCACAAGACGCTACTCGTGGAAGCAGAAGTAGCCGCTCGTTGGGTCGAGAGCCACTTCTTTCGAAGCTCTAGTGAGCTTATAGACTTGATAATATTGTCGGTCAAAGTGCTCATCGAGACTATATCCACTTCTTACGATTGCGCACATAATAACATGTTCGAACACCTGTGTGGGACTTCTCTACAGTGGTATGACACCGCCAAAAGTGGGGGCGATCATTCAAAGGCTGCGGATCGAGCTCTGGAAAGCAAAATGATGGAAAATGGATGGTGCCTTCACCAGACATATAAAGTGCTTTCCACTTTCAGTTATCAGACCGCCTACTACTTTGCAAGACTTCCACGCCCGCGGAGTGCGGGATTGGGGCATGAGCTCTGCACCGAGAAGTCGTGCAAGGGTTGGGACTCCAAACCTAATCACACAAATGCGCGTCATGCGACAGAAACATGCACTTGTCCAACCATCAGCATCTCATCCGTAGATGTAGCGAAAGTGATACGAAGCGGCCAGATCCCTCTCGTGTCTATTGAGGAGGATGCACATGGGAGCCTGACGCTCAAACTTCATACAAGGAAAAGGTACGTGTAGCCCCGCTTGCGAGATTTGAATGTTTTGTTGAATTATGTTCTAAAATTCCTGATGATGTTTTAGGTCTTCGAAATATGTCGCCATATCTCACGTGTGGGCCGATGGTCTAGGAAATGCTTTCGAGAACGGTCTGCCAGCTTGTCAGCTTCGTATGCTCCAAACATACCTCGGACAAATTTCGAGTGATCGTTCGCCTTGGTCCGCATTTGCGAAATCCAAAGGCAGTACTCTATTCTGGATGGACACATTGTGCATTCCGGTGCAATTGGCGCCGCCAGCTGTCCCTTTCTCCAATGAAGACTTGAAAGACATCAAAGGAAAAGCTATTGATAAGATGAGCATGGTCTATTCGTCCAGTAGCCATACACTAGTTCTGGACGCAGAGATGAGAACGATACCCGTGTCAGCCGATCATGCAACTAAGCTCGCATACAGCCAGTGTTGTGGGTGGACAACTCGATCGTGGACACTACAAGAGGGTTGTCTTCCTCCACTGACTGTGTACGCCCTGGCAGACGGTGTGTACTCTGAAGAAGCTAGACGCTTTGGACAGCAATTCAGTTTCAAAGTCAACTATGCCATTCGTATCGCATTCCTTCTTCTAGGAAAGAGGTTTGCCACGCCAAGTCTCGTAATGGCCTCTCGCGGATTAACTCCGGATGCAGTGGCACGCTGCTTTGACTTCTCAGTACATCGCAACATTTGGACATCATTCTCAACCCGCTACTTCAGCATTTGGGACACGTACAATCGATACACGTCTGGGCGCCAAACAATCCAAGACCGAAACAAATATGCTCTAATTTGGAATGAGCTACTTGACCGTTCTTCGAGCCAACCAGCTGACACACCTGCAATATTTGCCAACCTGTTAGGCACAAGTGCCTACGAGGTCCTAAAGAGAGAAACAGAACAAGAAAGAGTGGCTCTCATTATCCGACAGCAAAAGGTGTTGCCAGTTGAGATACTTTTCAATACAGGACCGCGGCTACAAGAAAGACTGCACGAGCAGGGCTCCAGGCTATCCGCTAGCTCGCAACCACAACATCTCACAAGTCTCGGAAATGCACCTGAGGAATCGATAGGATTGTTGAACTTGTCAGATCCACAAACGAAATCTTTCAGGAACGGATGGGTACCTGCGGTCATAGGAGGTGACAGGATCTCAGAACCGCTCCTAGGCCAGCACTTCCTGCAGGTCCTTAACAATTGTCTCCAAGTCTATGAAACCGGCGAGGAACGACATGCCTACATGTACACAACTGCAGGATACTACCTTCCAACATCGAAATTTGTATTGAACTTCAAATGTCAAACAACGGACGACGAACTTACGGCGTGTGCACGAGACATGCTGATAGCCGTCGACAGAGTAGACGATCTTACGATGCGTAGCGATCCTGAAGAATCAGGGGAGACTGTAATGGGGCACTGCTTCATGTACGACCCCGGCTCGCTGTTGGCAATGTCCGCAGGCCTTGTCGAGTTTGCCCAAGGCTCGCATCTTGTCATTTTAAGCCGGTCTGAAGGACGTGCTACGACACTTTATAGCAGCCCGATACGCTTTTTTTCAATCTCAAAGAAGCAACAAAGCTCAGAAGGTATTCCCACGATAAAGTGCGAGTGCAATATCCACAGTAGCAAAGAATTTGTTGATATCCTGTACGGTAAGTACCGCCCTCTTGAGCTTACGATCCCAAATCGAATCCAGCAATTAATCTATCATACAGATGCCGAAGACCTAGGCCCACTCCTGACACCCTCATCAAAGTCGCCCGGCCAAATTTTCTTGGACCATTGGATCGATCCAATCGCCATCTTCCTAGCACACAGCTACATATCCAGTGGCCTGAGACCATATATCGGTACCCTGCGTCCAAAATTAGACACACTCGCATGGTTCATCATGCCTCTGCTCGTGTACCTATATCAGAAGAAGATTGTGAAAAGAGCAGCAAAACAACTGTTCCTCGAGCCACTCAACGACCGAGGACAACAAAACCTGGCTATCTCTGGATCCTGGACAAGGAGAATCCGACGTCAAATTGACGCTGCCATCGTGTCATACTGGTCTATCATCCTCGTCGGCCCCATCATCGACGGCCTATTCTTCCTGGCACTCAAAGGCTCAGAAGGCAAAAACTGCGTCATACGCTCCAAGTTAAATCTGTTCGTTTCAGTCACCTACGTGTCATATTGGTATCTACTCGTCGGCTTCTCGGGCACGAAGGGCTGGGGAAGGAAGTTCACGGGATGGTATTTCTACGTTCTTGTAGCGCTGCTCTGTGCAAGTGCGACACACGATTTAGTTGTTTTTGGGCCGACGACAAATGTGCTTACAAAGTACGCTATGCTGTGTCTGAACATGTTTGGCGTCGTGTGGATTAGCAGATATCTGGGGAAAGGGGAAAGAAGACAGAAACCTGCTGGTACTTAGGAGTGTGGTTGTTATGCTGTATATTCACATATAGTGAGAAACCTTTGCTCTCGGGAACCACACTGTATATTTCCATCACTGTCAGTCTCAAGCCACCACGCACAGAAAACAAACAGAATTCATCACATGATCAAGTTTCATTCATCAAGTTATGCAAAGTAGCTATCGTTATGAAAAGACCAAACAAGAAAGAGCCCTCCAGGCTCGCGACATCGTCGCAGAAAGTAATTTTTCGTTCTCCCATGCCATCTGCCCGCATGTCTTCATGTATCCACACTATCCATCGTCTAAGCGCGATGAGCAGCCCACCTTCTCCTGGAGCGGAAGCTCTGGATGCCCCTCTTGAAGTCCACCGCCGCAGTAACATACACCGTCTGCGTAACAACCTCGACCTCAGTGACAGTGATGCAAACGCCGCCCGGCACGCACGCTGGGCCCTTGGTAGGCTTAGGCGCGGAGGGCGCGGCGGTGATGGTAGAGGAGGGCTTGTCGGCGGGCTTCTCTGGCGCAGGGGCGGGGGCGGGAGCTGGCTTATCTTCCTTCTCCGGTGCAGGAGCGGGAGCAGGGGCGGGCTTGACGGGGTACGAGTCCTGCTGGTCCGGCTTGGGGGCCGCGAGAGTGGGCTTAGGAGCCTGAGGCTGGGGTTGAGGTTGAGCAGCCGGCTTCTCAGCAGCGGGGGTTTCCTTAGCCGGGGGCTGTGCCGGGTAGTCAGGCTTCTCAGCAACAGGTGTTTCCTTCGCAGGGACCTGAGCTTGCGTCTTGCTCTCAGGGGCCTTTTCTGGCTCGGGTGCAGGTGCGGGAGCATCGACAATACCTCCGCCAACGGTCGCCATGATCTTGCCGACGTCGATGGCCTTCTTCTCCGCAGTCATGACCTTGCCCTTGTTAGGCGGGCCGTTGAAGTCCTTCGCGTTGCACGCATCCTGGATGCTGGTGCACTTTGTCTCCCACTGCTTGCAGCCCGAACCGCCCGTCGGCGGCGTAGAGGACCAGCACGTCTTGCTCTGCGCCCAGCAATCCTCTGACGCAGCCCAGCAGCCCTTCTCGTCGGAGTAGGATTGGACTTCCTTGCCACACCAGTTGGCGTTCTCCATGATGCAGTCGGCGGGCTTGAAGCCGGAGGCCTGGTTGACGGATGCGATGTTGGCCTTGGCGACGAGTTTGGCGACAGCGGGGCCGGGGATCGGGTATTTGGAATTGTCTTGGTTGTAGATGTCCCAGCTGGTGCTGGGCTCGCCGGCCTTCATGTGTCCTGGGATGGAGACGGTAGACTCAGGACCAAGAGAGCCGCTGCTCTTGAGGAAGATCTGGGCACAGCCAGTGTAGGGCTGGGGGTCTCCGATGTTGGCACTGTGCAGAGCGAGGATCTCGGGACGGGCGAGGTAGTCGCCGCCTTCGAGGCCCTTGGGGAGCTTGACGTTGAAAAGACCCTTGTTGTCGATAATCTCGTCAGTGCACCAGCGCTTGGTGGAGGCGTCATAGCCATGGTCGAAGATCTTGAACCATCCGTCTCCAGCGGCCTTGTCGTCCGACGGTCAGGAGGAGACCTTCTTCAGGTAGACGGCACATGGTCCGTAGTGGCCACGGTCGATGCTTCCCATGGATGCATCGTCTGCCCACTCACGGATCTCGAATGTTAGGAGTGCGCCGTCGTTGACGGGCTGGGTACGAGATACACCCTTGGTGCCACCAACATCTGTCGTGCGTCAGTAATTTGATAAAGAGGTTTGGAAGGGTGTGACTTACTGCAAGCCATGTCATCGCTGTCAAGGCTAGCAATGGGGCTGCCGGCGGTCTCAGCGTTGGGGTTCATACGCATGGCAACGCCATCACCCTGCTTTAGTTAGAAAAAGTAGTCATCCATTGAAGTGTGTGTCATACCTGGGGCACTCCGTCGACGTAAAAGTCTGTAAAGACAGTGTGGGCAAGCACAGCAGGCACAGAGGCCATAGCTGCGAGAAGCATAGACTGAGTCTTCATCGTGATGGTATTTCCGATATCGTGTTCGTGAAGATCGTTGTCGAATGTAGCAATGCTAGTATGCACACAGGAAGAGAATCTCTAGGACTCAAGCAGTGAATTCAGCTTATCAAAAAATGAATGGACAGTCGACTGGCGACGTGAAAGGAATGACAATGGCAGCAAAGCGCCGAAAAGAAAGACTGAAGTTGGTAGCTGAAGCTTTGCCGTGCAAGAGACCAAAGGTGAAGAGAACCACACGGTGTCTGCGGGCACACCGCAGGTTTTGATCCTATACACAATGGGGGCCTAGAGCAGACATCCCCTCCTCGCATCCCTGTGACGAGCCGTTCTTCAGCCGCTGCGCCGGCGTTAGTCCTTGAGACACATCTCTTGGAGGTGCGCCTCTCCTGCCCAATCTTACGGGGAGTGACGAGCTATCCCGAAGGGCCTTGTAAGCCTTGGAGAACACTCGTCCAATCACCACGTCGCACCAAAAGCTTCGTGGGAACTTGAAACACAAACGGATTCTCTAGCGAGGCCCCTACGTCGAAGAGCGGCAAGGTCACCCGCTGACGGCGCTATCTCAGACTGCACTAATTCAGGTACCGCGCCTTAATTTATCTTCGTTGTTTGCTTGGCAAATCCGATCGCCCACGAACAGCGTGTGAGTAAATGGGGCCTTGAAACACTAAAGGCGGAGTTTGTATATTAAAAATGACATCCCACGGCGAAGAATTCCCTTCTTCGCGGGCGCCGAGTATATTCGACGATGCAAGCTTACTCAGGAGGTTGCTATTCCTATGCACCCAAATGCCGACGCCAATGCGGATGATCCTCCACAAAAGCTGACTCTTCCTTTTACCGACCCGAATTGCGAATCTTCGCCCTGAAGCCAAGATCGCGCCTCGTCTCTGGGATCCCCGTTCCCGAGCCGTATAGCGATCATTGGATGATCTGAGCGGCAGAGCAAATGCCTTCGAGGCAAAAGGACGACAATTGTTTGCGAAAACCTAATTCGGTCTTGTTTCATGACGTTGTGCAGCATGTCGTAGCAGTTGCCCCTCGCGCAAAAGATGTGCGGCTGCAGGCTGTGCCACGCGCTCCTGATCACTGCATCAGAACAGCATGATCTGGGCCATATTCCGAGCCTCCCCTTGCACCAGTTGGCCGATGCCACCGGTTGCACAAGCATCGCAGCAGTTTCTTTTCGTTGAGCCCAAAACAATCAAAGTTTTGTGGGAAGACCTTGCTTGTCATGACTAGCTCGCACGTGGATATTGCTGCACATGGCCCAAGTCACTAGCGAGTCGGTTATTTGGCTATGACAAGCCAGCACCTCCCGAGCTCTGGGAGACGGGGTGAACCTAGACGACTGCACATACAATTTCGACGACGATCTTGAAGAGCGACAGTGATCGCGTCCATGATCGGTAAATCCGAATTTCAACCGTAAGTTTGGAAACCATTCTGGCTCAGCGCAGTGGATGTGTTCGCAGTGTGTTGTGATGCGCTCGCCGCCTCGTTCTCCGCTCGCTCCAATATGCTTTTGAGTATATCGCGGAAGTCGGAAGTGTCTTTTTCCTGCCCGGGTCCAAATGATCTCGTCGACCACTTCACATCGCTGATCCTTAGGCCGTAGATGCTGCGAAACTGTAGCTTCCTGAAGGAAATTTCCACTCCTTCAGAGAATGCATACCCATCCCGATGCTGGTTTAGGGTACAGTAAATTGCTTCTGTATTTGGACTTTCGGCGTGCTCTATACACATTTCCTGGAGGCCTTGCTTGACCGTCTCTATCAGCCATCGACTGCCCCTCTTGGTAACATAGTGGAGTTTCTTCGAATCGCCCAAGGTCAGCGATTGCAGATTGTGTTCGACTAGCGGCTTGATGTAGCTGACGGTTCTAATGGTGTTCATATGGCGGTCCAACTGGACAGCGTGGACAGCATTGAATGTAGGGTCCCAGGGGAGAGGCCATGCACCAAGGGATATCAGAGGGCTGAGCAAGAAGCCTTCCGAGATAGATGTCTCGACCTTGGGCCTGGCGGAAATCATGAACGAAGGTGAAAACGCAGGATTGACAGGCGGCGAGGGGCGGGGTCCTGGAAAACCTCCGGCCTCGTAAAGGTGTATCTTCAAGGTTGCGATGAGGTTGCTCTTCTCGACGGCGTGTGTCTGGCGAAAGATGTCTGTCGGGTCCATGTTACTTTGGAACGAGTTTTCGATCCTCCGAAACACGAACAGCCAGTGATCGAGCAGGCGAAGCTCGTCACAAATGCGCCGAGTTCGATCTCTCACAGCCCCATAGCGACCAGCAGAGCCCTCAAGAGCGACACCCCATGCCAGAGCAGCATTACAATGTTCCCGGAGATGTAGACACACGTCGCCTAGCCATCGTGCTGCAGCAATATCACCGTCATCCAGGTTGGTGCGGTTGAGATATATGCCATTGAAAACACTTTCGAACGACTGCTTTGCTTTAACGAAGTTGCCCGCGAACGAGTGACAGACGCCAATGAGATGGCGCAGAATCCTGCGATCTGGCTGTGTACCAGTGCTGATAACAGTATGCCCTCGCTCAACAGCTGCCAACTGCTCCTCGAGGTGCCTGGACGCGGTCACGAAGTCGCGCCTACTCCACGCTGCAATTGCTTGTTGAGCAGTCCAGTATAGATCCGCTGTTTCTGTGCCATGTTTATCATAATAAGATGGGGGTACAGGGAGTATCAACGGTTCTACATGTGGTTGAACTGGTCGAGCAGATGTTTGTAACAGTGCGTCCGGAAATGCCAAAGGCGGCTCAAGAGATGGCAATACCTCTGGAGCTGTAGGCGTCGCGGGAATCGGAGGCATTGTGTCTGCCGCGAGAATCGGGGGCGTCGCATCTATCTGCGGTATCGATGGAGGTGCTCGTGCAGGTGGCGCCGGTACTGTAAATGCTGCTAGGGATGATGCTGGAGAAGACGAGGACGTAGCCGTGATGACTGGGCTTGGTGCTGTAGGCGTGACCTGAGGCAGCCCCAGAGATGGGACAGGAACGCGTTTTATTTGATGCTCAACTGAGGAATGAGTTGAGGCTACTTTTGACACAGATTCCGGCCAGGCATAAAGCGAAGACGTATCTGTATCCGGAGAATGTGATACGGCATATGATGATACCGCTGAACGTTCAGGGACCGACACAGATGTCGTGGACGGAGACGGAATTGATCGCGTCCTCTGATAATCCTCCGTTGGCGGGGTCATCAATGGAGATGGAGGCCGTACTGGCGTCGATTGACTCCTTGGTTGAGACGGCCATAGGTTAGGGACATCTAGATGATGCGTTCCAGGTATATCTCCAAAGTCTAACACGGAAAGAGCTTCGCCGAAGTCGACAGACAAGGTCTGAAAAGCGTCTGGCTCGGCACGTTGCTCTAGAAGACGACCCTCGTTGACGGCCTGCACCAGCCAGTCTATGATCACATCGCGATAACTCAATGCGTCCTGTTTGGCTACGCCAACGTCTTCGAGGTCGCGCAGTACTTGGGTCCACGCTGCCTCGTCCTCTTCATCTTCGTCCGTGGCGGCCCCAGATGTAATCCTTTCGAGCGACGCGATGCTCTCTTCTCTGTGTCCACCCCTGTAGTCGTGCTCAAGCCTTTCTAGCGCTTCTAGTATAAGGACTTGGTTGTCATGTATGAGTGAAGTGTAGAAGCTGTTCAGTATCGTCACGCTTGACGTGATTCGTTCGCGCAGGATTCTCGATTTCTCAGGATCATACGTGATGCGATCCCACGTTCTTTTGGTTTTGGTATCAAGACCATTGTAGTGTGTAAGGAGCGTGTCCAGCTCCTGGAGCACTTCGATGCATGGCTCGTATGCATCTTGAAGCTGCTGCCTCTTGTTGTCGGGTATCTTATCGAACTTGTCCGTAATGTCTTCGAGGAGGTTTGAAAGGCTACGTGCTTCAGTCGTCAGACGCTTGTATTCGCCCGTGCAGTCGCGACCTAGGAAGTGGGTTGTTAGTTGGGCGACTCGGGCCGGGCCTGGAATGACGTACAATTCCGGTAGCAACGCCTCGCTATCTCGCAGAGTTTGAGCACATCACCGACACTAATGACACTCATTGTGAATGTCTCACAAGCATGTTCCAGTTGACGCGTCTATGTGGCGCATACAGACGCGCAATGTGTGTAAACGAGTGTTGTAGGTTGCAGGCAGGATTTCCTGCAGCTGAGCGGCGGGATGGCGCATTGGGGGCCGAAATCAAGGTGCGGCGCCTCGAGGTCTGGCAGACCACCTGCTCGATCGCAGGCGTTGCACGTCTGAAGACTGGCGAATATCCTCTTCAACCCACGAGAAGAATGATGTTTGATTATTCATTCATCAGGTACAAGATGGGGACGAGCACTTTCCTTTCAATGTACTCGGGGTCATCGCTTGCCCAAGCTCAGGCACCATGGCCAATCAGATGCCAGTCGATCCAAGACAACTCTGCGCCGTACTGCACACTGGCAACTTTTGCTGAGTCACTTCAATCTTCCTTAGCCATTTGAATATGATTTAAACTTCAACTTTTCTGTACCATATCAAATCTCTTACGCATACTTCGCCCCCGCCAACAACCTCTCCGTACTCTCCTCACTCGGCGCCACCTCACTCAACCGCCCTTCACTCTCTGTCTCCATTCCCGTTTCTATCTCCGTCTCAGTTTCCACGTCGACCTGCCTAACTGTCTCCCTCTCCTTCTCCCTCTTCTCCCCCGTCGCTTTCACCGCCATCTCCATCAACCTGATCTCCTCCTGCCTCTGTACCTCCTTCTGCAATTCCATCGCATCCTCCAGCGCCCTGATCCTCTCCCTCTCCCTCTCCTTCTTCGCCGCTGCTCTTTTCGCCCGGTTGGAGACTTTCTTGGGGATGAAATCTGAGTCCCAGAATGCCCTAGTGATATAGCATATTAGTTTCAAATTTCACCTCCATGTCCTCACGGGTATTTTGTTTGTAAGCCAGGGGCTACTTACTCCCAGCATCCAACTCCAATGATTCCCGCAAGAGTCAGCACGAAGACGAGACTCATGCAGCCGATGAATAGCTCGTTCATTTGTTTTGTCTTGTCGAGGTTCTTGGCCGCCCATGCGTCAGGGATTTCGCTTTCGGCGACGACGGTGCCGACTCGAGTGGGATGCCAGATGTGGCTCAAGGATGGGGATGGGGATGGATGTATGGAAGCCTTGATGGATGATGTAGACATGGAGTTTGTTGATAGCGGATCTGATTGTGTTGGATCTGGCGTCGGCGTAGTCACATCAGATTGACGTGGACGCGAGATAAATGAGGTCACGAAGCTGGTGAAAGGTGTCGAGGATTCGTCGGGGTCTGAACTTGGTGACAGTGTTTTTGAGGATTCTGCTGCTTCTTCGCCGTCTTCAGCTTCGGCTCGAGGAAGCTTTTCCAATGTTGCCCATTTCTTTGTCTGGTGGCGTGGTGTCATCTTGCAAAGGAAATATGTGGTAAAATGCCAGCGCATGCGACCAGTTCAAAGACAGCAACGACTGAAAGAAAGACACACGACATTGACTGATATACGCAACCTTTGGAGAGGGAGTTCGGAGTATTGGGGCCGTACTTGCATGAAGTACCATATTTCGTGGTTCGCACCCCGCCGCGTGACGATGAACCATATACTACAAGCCACTTCGCCCAATGATGTTGAGCATCGTCGCGCCCAGCAACGTACCACGTTCGAAAGGGGCGACGATCGTGGGAGGATGCACGAGCGAAGCGAGTAAAGCGTCCGTAGTGTAGTTAGGTCTAGAGATCAAGCTGGATGGACATAGCACGTCGCGATGAAGGCGTACTCGCGGAACGTAGGACTTTAGTTTTGCTTGCTAAGGACAGTTGCACAAATGGAGTGAGCAACATTGAGGCGAACGCTCTATCTGCGTTCGGTGGAAGCGCAACTTCTTTCATTTGACAGGATCTAGCACAATATTATCGATCAAACGCACAGGAATCTGACCTCCGCCGACCCCCAGCTCTTCGCCCTCTTGAGGCTCCTCAAGTGGCAACATTTTCACGGCACCACTAAGCACAGCGCCCCTTGTATCATCTACCTCATCCACCTCTTCCATGGTGTCAGGGTCAGCCAGGCTGATGTAGTCGACCTGAAACTTGGCACGACGACTCGGCGCCAGTGCCTCCTGTTCGAGTAAGGTAGTGTCACCGTGATCAGCTGCAGGCCATAGTATGTCGCCCCTTAGCCGCTTCCCGGCTTTGTACTGTGCCTCAGCCTTCCGCAGCGCTTGGTTTAGCACGATACCAACTGCACGGCGACGAGCACCGAGATAAACATTGCGAGACGATAGGGCCAGTCCGTCTGCCTCTCGCGACGTAGGAATGATGCGTAAGTCCATGTTTAGGTGAAAATCCTTGATCAGCTTTCTGATCACAGCAGTCTGCTGCACGTCTTTTTGGCCAAAGTAGACTCGTTCTGGCGCGCAGATGTTGAACAACTTCATGCAAACTGTTGCTACACCGCGAAAGAATACAGGTCTTGACGCTCCCTCAAGAAGCTGCCCGAGTGGGCGCATCTCTATGAAGCTTCCGACACCAGGTATGCTACTATCGGGCGGTTGCGTAGGGTACATGATCTTCGTGCTGGGTGCGAACACGGCGGATACACGTCCTTTACTCGCGCTCGCCAACTCTTGATCCAGCTTGCGTAGCATTTGCATGTCCGCATCCCACGTCTTTGGATATGAAGCCAGATCCTCATTCAGTCCGAACTGTGTCGGATTGACATATACTGTCACGAAGACGTCGGTGTTCTCGGCTGCTGCGTGACGTATGAGGGAAAGGTGCCCCTCGTGCAATGCGCCCATGGTCGGCACGAGGCCAACTGTACGATCCTTGAGAAGTAGACCCCTCCGGAATTGGCGCAAAGGAGCTACATCGTGGAAGACTTGTGTGCCGGGCTGGGTCGACGCGTTTCGCAAGGGGAGGGTCGTGGAAAGGCAACGCGCGCCGAATCGCTTGGAAGGAGCTGTCGGCAGGCGCGCGACGTTGGAGAATGCTGCCCTATATGGCACAGACACTGCGCTGATTAGTCACGCGATGTCATGGCTCAGCGTGAGGCTATTCACCAGCTGTTTGTCGGAAAAGTGCCATAGCGGTGTGACGCGCCGTGGTGCTGAGGACTATAGCTTCCTACTGGACTTTAGATCATGGGGGAGAGGTGGTGATGTGAAGTTTGCCATGCAATGCGGATGAGCGGAACACGCATGCAAACTGTGCCATGTCGGTGGTCAGTTGAGAAGGGCATGGAAGCCTCGTAACTACGACGCAGCTTCAGGTACGATCACGATCACGTGTCTCTGCGGCTCGTATTGTGCACATACTACGACGAAACATGGGGCCTTTCAAATTCATCCAGCCTTATAGTACTGATGCGCTATGAAGCAATCGGCTTTTATCATAGCAAAGTTCCGAGGCACATCTTGTGGTGATTTGGGAACTAGTGCCGGAGGAGAGTGAATCGCCGCAAATGTCTGTGCTCATTCTGCTCCACCAAAAAGTTCCGTTCGAGATTTCGAAGGTCACTTTCCCCACCAAAAAGCGCTGCGCGAACAGCCCAAACGACACATAGCAAACATGGCCGACGATGGCATGCTCCTCAACTTTTCGATACCCGAGACGGGTATTCTTTCCAGGCCCAGTTTGAAGGGCGGTAATTGGAGAGATCGCGCGGCAGCGAAGAAGGCAGCGCAAAACTGGCACACCAAAGCCTCGGCTCGATTGACCGGAGAGAAGGTGGATAAGGTCGCGAAGAAGACCGTCGAAAATGCAACAGATGTGAACCGCACACAGCTTGGTCAAAGAACAAGGCGGGCTTCTAAGAGTCCTGAGGTGCACGAGGACATAGACAGGCCGGCAAAGAGAGCGCGTGTCAGTGGTGACTTCAGGCCCAAGTCAAATGAGAAGTCGGCGGCTGAGGCGGGCGACTACAGGCCGCAGATCAATCCGGGTGCGACGCAAAAACCGAGTGAACGACAGAGTGCACCAAAAGGTGCGAAAGGTGGAAAGCAGGTCATCTCATCGCTCTTCACCTACAATCCCACATCAACGACAAAGACGCAAGCTCCCGAGAAGCGGCACGACGAAGAGCCCATCGAACCTTCAAATGCACCGCTGAGCAGCGAGCTTGACACTTTTACGTCCCTCGGGATATCCACAACTCTGGCAGCACATTTACTGAAGAAGATGGACCTAAAAGCACCAACGGCCATTCAGAAAGCAGCGATAACTCAACTGGTCAAAGACGACTCGGACGCATTCATACAGGCAGAAACAGGTTCAGGAAAGACGCTGGCATATCTACTGCCAATCGTACAGAGGCTGATGGAGCTTTCGGCAAACATGAAAAAGCACAAGGACGACGATGCCGTCCAAAGGAATTCTGGACTTTTTGCCATCATAATGGCGCCCACACGAGAATTGAGCAAGCAAATTGCGCTAGTCTTGGAAAAGCTATTGGGTTGCGCACATTGGCTGGTCGCTACCACAGTCATTGGTGGTGAGAAAAAGAAGTCTGAAAAAGCGCGGCTGCGGAAAGGCATCAACATTCTGGTCGCAACACCAGGTCGTCTGGCGGATCATTTGGAGCATACAGAAGCTTTGGACGTGAGCAATGTCAGGTGGCTAGTACTCGACGAAGGAGATCGCCTGATGGAGCTTGGATTTGAGCAGGAAATCCAGAAGATCGTTGGCGCTCTGAACTTGCGAATGCGCGGCAATAAGACGAGGATACCCGGCCTGCCAGACAAAAGAACGACCGTGTTGTGTTCAGCGACTATGAAGATGGACGTAGAACGTTTGGGTCAGATCAGTCTGAAGGATGCTGTGCACCTCCGAGCGGATCCCACCGAGAGAGAACAGGAAGGCGACGAACCGCAAGATGAGCGCTCGTACGCGCCTGCGCAATTGAAGCAATCGTACGCCGTAGTCGCACCCAAGCTCAGACTGGTATCCTTAATCGCCTATTTGAAACGAGCCTTCACACGGAAAGGATCGGTTATGAAAGCCATCGTCTTCGTGTCCTGCGCTGACTCTGTCGACTTCCACTTCGACATTCTTACCAGCAACCTCGAGGAAAAAAACGAAAAGGCAGAGGGCACGAAAGACGATACAGAAGAAAAGGCTGACGATGATGAGCCCAAAAAGTCCACGAAAAAGCCAAAAGCCATACCTCAAGCTGATCCTACAAAGCTATCAGTCACACATGCCGAATCGCCAGTACTCTCACCAAAGTCGCATGCTGTCACAGCGTATCGTCTCCACGGATCGCTTCAACAATCTCTTCGTACATCCACCTTGGCCCATTTCACAAAGAACAACGACGCCGCTGTCCTCATCGCTACGGACGTCGCATCCCGTGGTCTGGATCTCCCCAACGTCGATCTCGTCGTCGAATTCGATCCCGCCTTCGCACGCGAAGACCATCTGCACCGAATTGGACGAACAGCCCGAGCCGGCCGCGACGGCCGCGCCTGCATCTTTCTGATGCCCGGCCCCGAAGAAGGCTACGTCGACATCCTCAAAACCGACCGCAAAGACAACGAAGCCGGCATAACCATCACCCGACAGGACGCCGACGACATCCTCACCCGCGGCCTCGTCACCAGCGGCATCGCCACCAAAAACGCCTACATGGACATCGCCCAGGACTTACAGCTCAACGTCGAGCGCTGGGCCCTCGCCTCGCCCGCACGCCTCGAGTCCGCCCGCCGCGCTTTCCAGAGCCACATCCGCGCCTACGCTACCCACGTGGCCGACGAGCGCAAGTACTTCGACATTAAATCGTTGCACCTCGGGCACTTGGCCAAAGCATTTGCGCTGCGCGAGCGCCCATCAGGGATGAAAGCTCCCGGACTGCGCACGGGAGCTGGTCGGAATGATCGCACGCCGGCGAAGATTCGCGGGGCAAATGCAGCAAAGATCGGTTCAGCGCCTGCTGCGAAGAAGGCGGTCGATTTGGATATTCCCGACGCGAAGGATACGGAGGAGGCGGCGAAGATGCGCAAGGCGGTCAGGGCGAGGGAGAAGTTTATGAGGCATGCTGGTATGGCGGATGAGTTTAATTTGGGTTGAGGATAGCGGCTGATCCAGTAATAATGTTATGTGCATGTTCGTCACGCAATGGTGTGGAGAGTTGATACCTAGTGAAGTGATGTTTAAGCACTAGTCTACTTGTTTGACATAAAAAGATAGTGCATATTGGCGCGAAGTGTATTCGAACCCAGGCCCCTCTCTGCAACCTGATTAGTAGACTGGAGCAGAAGGCAAAAAGGAAAGGTGGACTTTGTCCAGTGCAGGTAGTAAAGTGTTTTGCAGCTACTTTCCTGCTGATAATGCAGGATAATACGGTACATATACTCGATGATCTCGTTTTTGAAATGCTCAGGTGCCATGTAGGTGCAATACATCGTTAGACACGGGTTTGCATATGAGCGCTGCTGCCTGGGCTAAGATGCAGTAGTGAGTTGGGCTAAAGGGGCGAAGAATGATTTGGTCATGTGATTTCGGTTGTCAGGATGTGAGCTACCCTCCCAACCGGCCAAGGTCTCCGACCTCGAGATGCGCGGGCGAGGATGCCTGCTTCGTCTCCTTCTCATATGCAGAAATTACATGGATCGTCGTTGGTACATGCCATGCTTGTCGGGACATTTGTGTCCTTCAACTCAGCTTGGAGACCACATATTGTTGCTTTGAAGATATTGGTAGTCTGATGTAACGCTCAAATCCTGAATCCTATATTGGGAAGAATGTGTGTAGAAAAGACCGGTTTCTGACCACACACGGTCATTACTTGACCGAGGACGACTTGTAGTGAGCTTTAGCTTTTCGTCTGTTGTAGATCTCCCTTACACTATCGTTTACTCACCCTCTAGCCCCTTCTCACCCCAGTCTCCGTCTCTGCAGAAACGCAACATACGGTTCGCCTCGACCCGCGTCAGGCCTCGAGAGATCTTGCGGGAGACATTGCTGTCAGCCCAGCACACACGGATGCGCTTGCCGAAGCATCATCAGTGCGCGTATTCAAATGCACCCATCAAGCACGGTCCATAGGCTATAAAAAGCTTTATGTGGCTTGATGAGGGTTGAAGGTGCAGAAGTGGTGGTGGTGCTGTCGTGTTATTGGCGGATAAATGAGATGCTCAATGCGTGTGGCGTCGGGAGCGTGGGGAATGCCGAGGTTTGTGAAGCACATGAAAGCGCCGGGTGGACACAAATTATGGGCTTGTCCCTGCCATGCTGTTGCTAGGATGCCTTGGTGTCGAAATGGGGATAGAACCGCGGCGAGAGACGGAAGGGAAACCCTCGAAACGGGGCACATCTGAGGCGATGCGGACTGTTTGAGGGAAGAGGAGCGAGAGAAGGACTTAGGTTGAAAGTAAAGAATTTGATGGCGAATAACTTCTAGAAGACAGAAACGTAACCGCCACGCAATGTACAAATGAGAAGGAGATAAAAAGGCAGACTGAGTGGAAGCAATTTAGAAGGCATGGGAAGGACAGTCGATGTAGATATCTGTCGACCAAGCTCCCTATCATCATGCAGTGTACATCCGGCGACTACCACCTGGACTGGTTTGCGAAGCGCTTGCGCAGCTTGTTGTACCTAGGAATCTTCTTTTACCTCACCGTAAGCGTAAGACTGGACGATCAAGATTCTGGAGGCTCGTGGAACCAGACGAAGTTCTTTTGAAATCTTACCAACAGTCCCCAAGAACGAAGAGATGATTGAGTAAAGTTGATCGGGACAAGGTGCATGGGAAGAAGCGAACATGATGTTAGAAAAGACAAGAGCTGGTACTTGTGGCGCGAGGAAGGAATTGACGTCATATCTGGAATTTGGCCCAAGCTTCCCGTCATCTACACGACGACCTCGCATCGACTTTCATAACATCAACGCATCGGCTCTTATGCTCGCGCAAACTTCACGCCACCCGGAGGATTGAACATGTGTCTGAACTACACAGTATACACCTTGAGGAGCTGTGGAAAACAAGAGCCAACGTATAAATCATGTCTCGACACCAGAAAAAGGGGTACTGACAGCACATGGTCGTCGGTGCTATCGTTCTCATATCGACTCTTACGGCCACTGTTACTTTCGTGAAAGACACGCATGTGTGTGCAAGAGCTAGTGACTCGGTTTGTGACGTTCGGGTTCCGGTATTCTTTTCTCGAGCTTGCTTGGGCTGTTCAGGGCACTTCAGGCCTAAGTGGTGAAGCATATGCTTAGCGTGCGGTACGCAAGCCATCGCAAATGGTGGGGAAATCCTCCGTAGGATTATCCAAACCGCTCCGTATAATCATGGATTTGTGATGCTCCCGATATCAGCCCTCCAATCAGTCAAATCGATCAGGGGCATCACTGTTTCGACACCGAGCGGGCTTTGCCAATTTAGCGCAGCGTACGGAGACGTCGCATCTTGCCACCATGAGGATCTACTGTTGCATTCCCAGGGACCACCGCTCGAAACGACGTGATACGGCACGTCGCGAAGCTATGCAGCCCAAGGACGTCAGCTATGTAGAGACCGGCGGGGCATGGTTGAGACTTCTGCAGAAGCTGGTTACATTCAAGCAGCAACCATGTACGATGATACTCCTACAAAAGATATGCACCAGGAGTCACAGGGACTCAAGTCACCGGCAGTTCTCAAGACAGTCTCAGCATATGCAGCACCCCCCCTTTTCCGACCCGACTACTGTATCATTGAGGCTGCTGCAGCTGCTATTAACCACTCCCTGGAGTTACAATGAGCCATCAATGAAGCATGAGGTCAAACTGGCATACACTTAGCGATTTCGTTGGATCTGGATCTCTGACCGTACTCTCGGCCTTCCAGGAACTTGACGAAAGCAGGCACATGAACTGTAGGATCCATGTTCATCTGAGTATCAAATAATGGACCGAGGAATGCAAAGATGTAGTTATCGAGCGATGGCGTCCAGTCGCACACTCTCCGTATGGTCCTCAGAGAACGCCCTTCGGCTTGTGGACATATGAGGGCAGCGCCCCGAACAATGCTCTACCGATGTACCACCGTTCGTACTCAGTACGGCTTATACCTGCCAGCATTGTCTTACAGACTAATGCAGATATAAGGACTCTTCCTGTGCCGCAGAGCAAACAAAAGATTACACAATCGACACGTTGGGACGTTGGTCTCCGTCTTAGTGAAGGCCTATTTGGGTTAACAGATGATGGTGAGCAGCAGAATTTCATGGTCTTATTGCTTATTTGCTCACATATACACCTATAGCTGTGTTGCTAAAGGATCTTAGTTGAGGCATCTGCGCTGGACTGAGGACTACGGCTGTTATCTAGTCGTCGGACCGAGCGTAACAGTCACGTTGCAGTTGCTGCACCTCATGCATACAGAATGCGGAGAAACTATACTATGCATATTGCGGTAAACTTGCGATACTTACCAGGAACAGATTCACCTTTTCCCGGAACATGGAGATCCCCCGGAATCATCCCCTTGTCATGCCGATGCGAGCTAAGGCCTCGTATGCTCCGCATGCGAATCTCTGCCACCATTGCAATCGACGCTATTGACGCATTGCGCAGCCGGCGCGACCCCTTCGCTAGCATGTTCATGCGGTAGTCGAACGATACGTGGCCAAGTCTACCGTAGAAGGCAGACTTGTTTCACGACTCCTTGCTCATACCGGTGCTGTCGAAAGTACCCTTGTGCTTCGGCAGACTACATCAGGCACGACGCTTGTTGCATACTGCCTGGTGCCGCTTGTATGCACAGCACTAAGCGGATTAGCTACCGCCATTCTGTCTCGGCTCTTAGGATGCTGGCCTGTTGCCGTTTTGTGTGCGAGGATTACGAATTCAATAAAAGTCCCGGACGAGATGAAACACTTCTTTCGAGACCCTGAGGTATAATCAGCCCACAAAACAAGCACGAACTCAAGGTTGCGGTTTGTGCTTAACACCTTGACCAGAGGAGCCAAGCGGTAATAACAGCAGAAACTATCAATGCGGAAGGCTTCTCGAATGTCTTAGATTGCCTAGGGCTCTTAGGGCCGGTGCTCCAATATCCTGCCCGCTTATTGCAGCGCTTTTATGATGCCCATGAGGATATGCCCACGTGGCAACTTCGGAACCAGACAAAGCGGTTGGCTCAGCACGAACCACACGAGCCGTTGGAATTCGGAATGCAGCGGATACCTTCAAATTTCCGCAATGTGTTCCTGTCTTCACGCTGTCAAACACATGACACTAGCCGTGCACTGACCCTTGGCGGCCATGGACTGTGGCAGCAATTACTTGCGACAGGTATAAACTTAGCCGACCTCTTTTCAAAACTTTTGACTTATGAAAAATGTATGCTGGTGTTTGACATGTCATGCGAGTAGACCGTCCAGATGCTGTCTGACTTGCATGTACACGTACGTAACAGGTCTCATATCGCTAGAGTGACCCGATGTCCAAGAAGGTATGGTCTATGTACAGAGAGACCTGCCAGATTTGCCGCAGCTCCTATCCAAAGTCTGGTAGTCACGCGTCACCCATTCATGGATATCACATACCTTCAGTACTTGGTACATGATTAGGCTGTGCGCTATCAAGTTCTTTTGAAGCTAGCACGTATACCGCACTAGTGAGTGCTTTCTGAGATCCAGGACTTGGGGTGGAGGAGAGCATGGGCAAGGTTCAGGATCGTATATTTTCAGGGTCTCAAGTACCGTGTGGTACCTACTGTATTCAAACCGCGATTGCGTGTTGTGCTAACCGCAACCCTAGCTTCTACCCCAGGTACCCCAGACAGGGTGTTATCCGGGGTAGCGACCGTGTTTCTTCCTGGCCATCTCAGCTCGATGGCTCGAACACCCTTCACCCTGATCATGTCTCGGAAATCTAGCCGGTGGGAGCGAATCCAACGACCATGCGTTAGCTTGCGTTTCTTTTGAAAGGCCGGCTTGTCATGGCGCTCCTGTCGGTTCAACTATGACGGCTGTTACGCACCCGGATTAATAGTCAGTCCGCACCGCACAGGCGCCTTACATTCGTGATTCCACGCCATGACGCTGTCAGATAGTTTTTGCGTCCAGTAATGCGACAATATAAAGATGTGTGCTCAGCGTTTACAGGCGCCACAGAGTTTGCAAGCCTTAAACGAATTACACGTCCACACCGGTTTCTGGGCTGACATCACAGAGTAAGCCACGTCTCAACGGAACGGCCCTCCAGCCATGGCGACGGACTTGCGCTCTTGTCCGTGAACTGCAGCCACTTCGACTACGTTAACCTCAACATCACGCCAGCCGAACCTCGATTATGTTCTGTTCGCCCCGGCGCGCCTATGCGGGAAAGGCACCTACCTATATCAGAGTCTATTATATCATCGTGGCTGACGCCTTTCATCTACACCAAGACCTGCTCCGCGGCTTATTAGGCTAAACAAAGGCGCAGCCCGAAGCGGTCAGTCAGTCTACGCTTCGGTCGATTTGTGAAGCTGTCCTTTCTTGGACTGTCAATCTCGATCATGTACTTGATCGACGTTTGGCGAATAATATGCGAGCGCGTAACCTTCGACAGGTACTTATCGGTACAACATGCGGGTGCGGGCAACGTTGAGGATGGCAACCCTGGTAGTTCCCCACATTCTCCAGTCGCGGATCCCGCATGCAGTCGGCTGGACATGCGTTTTGTCCTCGTGTCGGCCCCAACTTGTATTGCGTCGCTTATTTTTGAGCGTGGCAGCCGTCATATGTCCCAGCTTTCGGGTTTGACTTACGGATGTCTGCCCACCACCAAGTCCACCACGAACTTAGATCAGCCATCGAATGCACAGACTTCCGTGAATTTGCATTACGAAGGTAGCCGATATCGCAACTATCTTGGGGGCTGATCGATGTGACGAAATAACGAGTGCCATACGATCTTTCACAGGCTTCCCTTGACTCGATCGTACTTAAATCCGTTCTAGAAGTTGAAATATCGTTGGCCTCAGCCTTTAGCAGAAGCTCTCAGATCGATACACACACCCAACGGCAGACGCCCACAGCGACCCGCACATGTATGATACACGCTCTTCTACTACCCGGCTCCCTCAGCTTCTGTTCGCTCATACTGTGCCCCGTTGCCCTTGTGCAGGGATGTTGTGGGGTCAATCTATCTCATCCAGGGACGAGTCGTCTCCTTCATCTAAGGAGATGAGCCCCTCAATTTGTCGAAGGCTTTTGGAAGCCCCAAAATGTGGAGAGGCTTTGTTGAGGTTGTGGCGGCGGTCACAGATACACACTGCAGGCCTGCTGGTGGGTGGACCAGGTAGACCGGTAGCTGATGGGACCACTGCCGCCAGGACCTGCTGTGGCACCACGAGAAGCGTGTTGAACCTGGATCTCTCTCTTGGTAGGATGTCCCCTGCGTCTTTGTAGCGGAAAATAGGGAGCTCATTCCGGCGCTATGATGCTACACTGCTGCTGGATGTGCTGTAGCGTGCAATGCACATGCGCACGGCGTTGTCACTGTGATCTTCAGGAGCATGTCATGCTGGTCATGAACCTTAATGGTTTTGCTAAGATGGATCCAATGTTGCTGACAGCACTGGCAACCCCTCTCCTCATGATCGTCCCGCCCCCATGTTCATGAGCTCACCTTCCCGCAAAGACCTTGACACCCTGAAAGGAACTATTGGAATAGGCAGGTAAGCTGCATTGGCAGTCGCTACCTCGAATGGCTAGCGTTTACCACCATTGTGTAGTGAAGCTGGCATATAACCCCGTTTTTTTGCAGCTGTGACATTGAAGCGTGCTTGCAGTCTGCGGTCCAGGCTGCGTAAAAATGATCTGAACAAGCGAAATAACCGATAGCCTGAAGACCTTGAAGATCCCGACGTGATGTCTGGCGTTACCATCCCTGCCTGGTAGTGTCGGTGCTGCTTGATCTGGACTCCTGCGTCCTAAGTGGGCGGAGACTGTTGTCTCAGTGAGGAAACAACCAACAGCAGCGCCCTCTAGGCCTCAACAGATCTGGGGTGCATAGCGAACCAAGCTTTTTGCATCCATTCCTCATGCATCGCTTCTGAGTTTGCTGCCAGCCGCTACTTTAAGCATGGCTCCGTGCAGATGCTCGCTTTTCGACAGTGCTTAGTCTCGACCAGACAGCGCGCTGTCGGAGAATTTCATGTGTAGGCTCAATTTTGGCCTAGGTTGCATCCTGGACCACCGAAACCTTTGCTTTGACTTGGAGTGAAGCCGGGGGATCGAGAACAATACCAACGTTGGTATCGAGCGGCCCACAGGACTCCAGATCCAGATAAAAAAAATCGTTTGAGAAGCAACAGGGCAACCGGGCTGTCGTGTCTGCCATAAGATAGCGATACAATTCAGGAGTAACGGCCCCATGCTGATTCGGGGAAGTCAGCCATGTAGCAACACTGGAAGAGCTGACATGTGCCAGTACTTCATGGACCCCTGTTGTATGCGCCTCTCACGTGTTGTAAGATAGGCCTTGTGATGTAAGGAAAAAATCGCATAAAACCCTGCCCCTTTGGATTCTGTCGAGCTCCGAATGCGCGTCATTGCAGCGATGGGAAAGCCGTTGGCTGGAAAGACGATGGCAATCCGGAGTCAAGGTACCGAACAGGTAACAGATGTAAATCTCCCCGGCCCTACGCATATCGCTAAGCCCACCATATCAATAATTCCCCTCATTATCAGCGGCCAGCTATCACTAAGGCACAGACGCAAGCACGCAATGTGTGCATGCACCTTGCGCCCATCCACCAATCCATGTGCGTGCTCACAACTTCGCCCTCAACGAAGCAGCGCGCACGTTTTGCGCCTCGATCATGCGGTAAAATATTGTACCGTCATACAGCATTGCGGCTGAGGTGCCGTCACGTAGACAAGCTAACAGAGACTGAACGAAGACTCGATCGCAATAAAAAAGGAGGAGGAGATGCCTGAAACTTTGACCCTAGGGTATATTACTGTGGTAACGCGGCGCTGAAGCAAAAGTGGCAATGTTGGCGGCGGATGCTACGCGATCATGTACTGCAGCCTTCGGGACGGACGGTTCGCGCACTTACTCGTGGCGCTATTTCTTCACGCGTTGGTGCTTATGCTAAGAGAGAATAAAAATGTAACCTCATCTTATTGGCTTACTTGCCACATTATTGGATGAAAATGGCTTGTTTTGGTGCTACGACCGTGTAGCCGAGGTGGAGGCTTCGCCCCGAGCCATGTCGTCTCCACTCTTTCATAATGTCCGTCTAGAACAGTAGAGGAGCCCAGATGAATATATTACGCGACTGATATAGTTGTACCGGAGATTGCCGGTTCGCTTTTTAACGCAATATGCTCGCTAAGAAAGACCTTTGCTCAAAACATTACTTGGTGATAGCGACACATAGATGTAGATCGGAAGATACATGTCGGAAAGACTTTTAAATCGGAAAGCCACTTCGCGACAGGCGCGCCGGCAAGCCGGGGGAGCCGTCCACGGGTGGTGACACGGGAGACATGGTATGTGGAGAAACGCCCGGAACATATGTGGGAACCGCACACCCATGCGTGCATATCGAGCGCCCAACATCGAGAACGCCAAGACATCATCCCACCAAAGATAATCATGACTTGTGGAACCTGCAGAAAGGGAAAGATGCGATGCCCTAGAGAGGGGAAAGAACTAGAAAACTTCGACGTGGCGTGGTGTAAGCAGCTATTCAGTGGTTCGCGGTCTTGCTGCGTGCATGCCATCTGGATGGAGGCGAAGCATTACCAGGTGATTTGCCAACAGGCGTGCTTATAGCGCAAGACCACAGCCGTCACCACTCCAGCGGTAAAGGCTTAGCATTTCGCGGCGGTGTTGTTGTGCCACATGCTCGTCGACGCCGCGACCACGCACTTGTTGTAATGCTGAGCGCATGACTTTCCGAAAATTCCGCTACAATATGCTGTTAGCATAATCGTTTCAACTGGATGAGAGAAAACATCCGAGACAAAGGGAGCTTACTTACCTGATATTCTGTGTTGAGAGTGACGATGCAGGCTTCATGCGCCCTAACGATAACTTCACATGCTCTTACAATGTTCGGGTTTGCTTCTCCTTGCAATTTGTCGGCGATAAGAAGTAAAAGGAAGCTTCCCTGCAGAAGGTATATGCCGAAGAAGAATGGCATGAAACTCAGGTCGGGGTCATATTCCAGAATTTCGTTCAGTGCTTCAGCAGCGGAAACTGCGTGACCCGTTGCATTCACAAAACTTTGCGAAGATATCCAGAGGTCATTGTCATCTAGGAGTGAGATGGGATCCCATTTTCCGTTCAAGAGGATGTGTAGCGTATGCATCAGATGCGTACCATAGGCCTCTACAATCTTAGCATGCATCAAAGACTCTTGCGCCCTTGATATACTGGAAGCAACCGACCTAGCAGACGGTGTACCGGGGTGCACTGGCTCGAGAGTTTCCGCATTTGCCTCGTTGACGGCGCGATTCCGAAGCTCTTGTAAGGACTGTCCATATAAGACTAGTTGTCGACTGATCTCGCGAGCGTGCTCGTCCCAATCAGTCTTTGTGCCAAATCTTGGGTGATTTCTTGCGTAGTTCAGATCGACGATCTCTCCGAGTATAGTCATCAGAGGAAGGAAAAATCCGAAAATGGAGTGCCCGGTGCACTCAAAGGGAGGACCTCTTCGGCGAAGTGTGGAATCTGGCAACGGTTGAGCGGAGTCCACGAAGAAATCGCCAGCTTGCCATACGTTATCGTCAAGAGGCTGCAAAAGGCCAGCGCATTCTACATCTAGCAACGAGAGAGGTCGGTTGTAACAAAGGGCGAGGTGACTAGGCATGGCTCAGTGTCTGCGTAGCTTGCTGTGCGAAATAAACAGACACGGGACTTACCGGTCGACGGTGTACAGGAGCCACCATATGCGTCGGCGCTCTTCACGTTGCTCTTCGGTAAAATCCACAGGGCTACTAGGACAATTCGGGTGTCCACCCATATGTTCCATGTCGAGCTCTCCTTGGGCATCGTCATCATTTGCCTCGGGTGGAGGTGTCACAGGCACTTCCTTGCCGAGCTTGAGTTCCCTGGCGAGTGACCATGCAGCGTTCCACCATCGTAGGGAAGCGGCCTTGTACTCGCTAGCCGAAATTACAATGGCTAGATGCATGTATGTTGCCACATCGTCGAGGCCTCCGGGTGCTCCCGCTAGTCACCGAAGTTAGTTGAAGATGTCAAGTGCGTGTTGTACATAAATATGAACACTTACGTAGGCCGATTTCGGAGTCTTGGGCTGGCATACCAAAGCCGCCCATTGTTACGCCATTGACCAGTCCGCTGTCAGCGAAGCTTGCGGCATTTGGATCTATGTCGCCATGCGTCTGGTGCACGAGAGGCTTGAGAAGGCTAATGGTTAGGTTGATGAGCTTCTCTGATAGCTGGCTCCTGGCTGATGGTGAGGAGGACAGATATGGTGACTCGCTGGTCAGACACCCGATCCACAGCATACTAGCCAAAAGTGCCGGGCTGCACATGCGTGGGTTGTGTGATCGTAGAAACGAACGCTTTCGGAACACGTAACCGAGCACATAAGGGGAGACAGGTTGCATAAACGCGGAGGAAGAGCTTTGGAAGTACAGCTCCAAGAGATCGCATGCTAGCGATACCGGCATGATACTTGCGAGATGTGGTACCAGTGGTTGCAGAACTGGATACCTCAATTGTTGAGAAGGATTATGTTGCGGTGCACCTGAGTACATAGTGGTCGATGGGGAGGGCAGCATCCACCCCGGAGATCCTGGAACCGGGGATTGGCTAATGTAACCAATATTAGCGGCTTCGTCAGATAGTCGAAACGGATTGGGTGGCGCTTGAGCATGTGCACTCTGCGGACTCATCATGCTATACGGGCTTCCAGAGTACTCCATGCCGTGAGATGGGACGATTGGATGCATACCACTCCGCATTATTGGGTGAGGAGAATGGTACGTAAGGTTACGATGATAGTCGTCCATCGATGTATATTCTGGGCCAGCGCTGTGCATCGCTAGTCCCTGGGTTTGTATCCGTGGCGGTTGCATGGGATGCATAGGATGCATGCCGTCTACCAGTTGGTGGTGAGAGTCATGTTCAGCAATAGTATCGACGGCGCTCATGCTCATTGTTCTGCTCTGGTAGGATGGGTTCGGTTCCATTTCTCTTCCCATTGTCATGCTAGCTGAGCGGCTTGGTAGATCCGGAAGTGGCCGCTGTCCTTCTGGCAGTCGCGGACTACTGTTTGGAAGAGATTCGGCCGTCTTGCTCTGTGATTGAGGAGATCCAGCGGTGGAGTCTTCTGATGGTTGGCTGCCTTTGCCGGCTGCAGCAGCTTGTTGTTGCGCAATGTCTTTCCTTGACGCCTTTCCGCGCTTCTTTCGTTCGCGAATATATTCACACGTCAGACCAAATTCTAGGGTAATGTTAGCTTTTCTGTCATGCAAGGTCACACGTGGATGACAAAGGACGACAAGCGGGTTTGACCCAGCCTCGGGCGGCCGGCCCCTCCAGGTTCAACAACAAGAGCTGATGTAACGAAAGAGCCAACCGAATGCATTCCGAGATGAAGTCTTGGGCCTCTCCTCGATAGAACTTGATAAACGTACCTATACAATGCGCGCAGCTGCCCCTGTTAGTACCAAAGCTCATGCTAAAGTTCCCAGCGGGAAATACTAACCTTTGTCGTCCGTCACATTTAGTCCTCAATTGGTTACATTGGTCGCAAGCTCGGCTGATTCTACGTCGTACTGGTCCCGAGGTGGCACTGCTGCGACTCGACCGCTCGTGGAGCATGTCGCGTTGGTTGCGCGGCGCTATTGGACCAGTGGCGTACGGCAAGCGATGAGTCTTGACAATCGCCTTGCCATTCGGCAATACATGTCGATTTTGATGATATTGTAGTGCCGCGTATTGAGATGTATGGGCGAGAGCTTCGAGTGGAGATGGCCCTAAATGCTGGGAAGCAAGATGGTGGTGATGTTGCTGGTGATCGACCATGTTCGGCGCGGGGAGATGACTGAATCCCGACGGATACTGGTGCAGACTTGTCGACATCATGGCTGTGACTGGTGGAATTTGGATCGGATGCCCGCGGTCGTCGTCTCCACCGCAGAACACTCTTTCAACAGCAGATACAGAAGCTCAACAGCGGCAGAGGAGTCGCAACTGAAGCGAGGGCCTTGGGAAAATGTGTCAGGCGGTGGCAAAAGGCAAGGTTGGCACGTCGAAGATGCTCAACACTGGGATGGAGATATGTCGTCGAAGATGTCAAAAAGTTATGCAGGTCAGTTGTCCAACGGTCTTCTTTTGACCACTGCGGTGCACCAGGGTACCCATATAGCTGGCGGCAGCTGCTGTCTTCGCCTCGACACTGGATCTTAGTGGATGTCCGCGGGGTATAGCACAGAGGGTGGCCCAATACCGGAAGGGCAGACATGGGGAGACAGTCCTGCCTCCGGGTCGAGCTGCATCGTGCGTCAGGACAGTCTCTGGACCACATGCTGCAAACGAGATGGGCAGCAGGCCCTGCAGGTTCGTGCGTGCGCAGGAGTCGAGGTGCCTTCCGTTCCCCCCAGTCACCATTTCACCCCCTGCGCGACCCGGGATGCTGCAGCACACCCAAGCATACCACGTTGAGCACAGTCCACGAAGCCGCTGGATCGTCAGTGCCATGAGCTTGAACGGACGCACCGCAAGCTGCTCGCCGCAAGTCGAACCGCAATCAAAAACGATATTGGCTGATCGGTGCCATCCTAGCCCTATATCCGGCCCACGTTAAGATTGGCGCCGTACCGATGCCGGCTCACAAGTATCTTTTTGTACCCCAACGTCCAGGGCCTACCACACAACCCTGCTGCCCGTTCGGCGTTGCTGAGCGATCACAGAACCCTGCTTGATTGGCGACCGCCGCCCGCTACTAGCAGCTGACAACACGGGTGACGGGACCTGAATCCACCCGCCATCATACAGTACACAACTTTACGCGACTAGCCAGGCATGTCGAGTCCCTGATGCGTTAACCTGGCTTTTGACACTCAGCATGTCACGCTGTTGGCCGCTACACTGGCCGTCATATCCAACCCGGGTGCATAACGGCTAACCACAATGGCCTGCCTTCCGTTGTCCGCCTGTGACGATCCGCAGCCAGCCCATACTTTACCAGATGTTCAGCCGGGTGGCATGAATTATGCTGTAATTATCTGGTCTTCGGAATTCCGAAACACATCGATCCTGAAACTGGCTGATCAGTTTGGTACCAAACATCAATCGGCTACCCCAGAAACAATCGCTTGCGTCAATCCCAGATCTGGACGACCCTCACATATTAAATGTCCCAATATGAAGCTCGTTAATTCGTGTTACGAAATCCTACTGACGTGTGTGTGGACTATTGTCTATAAAACACGATGTTATGATAGTCAATCCATAATACCAGGCTACAGCATGAAAGGAGGCAGGTCAGCGGACCTAGAAAGGCGATTGGCGCCGACGCCAGCGCAGAGGACTGTGTTGTGTGCGATGTATGAAAGGATTGTCCCTATCATTTTTACAACGGACAGCTTGCTCCGCACTCCCAGAAAGATGGTCAGCGATCATGGTCGACCAGCGCAAGATGCTCGGTTCGCTGCCTTGTTGTGGGCCTCGATCGAATCGATAGCGCAAAGCCACCTACGCCTCTAGATTCGAGGCCGTTAACCGATCTCAACCGTCAAAAGCAAAGTCGCGCTGCAGCCGACATCTGCGTTCCTCAAGGGCTAGCCACTTGCGTCTTTTGCTCGTTACAACGTTCCGACAGGTCAATCCAACTCTCTATCGTTGTTACAGAATATTCAGCAGTCTTTTGCAGAGGAGCTTCAAATGTGCCGAATACACCGCGGTCGGTGATGAGATTGTTGTCAACCCTAGTCAATGAGCGATAAGCTAATTGAATGATGAGACATTAGGACATCTCTCTACGATTACGCATAGGGGAGGAATGGGCATGCTCGGGTTAACAGTTGCCAAGAATATTAGCACGGTGCAAGCCAGGGTTCGGAGCGTTGATCTCGAGCTCCACATGCGGGAGACTCCGCGACAACACGCGGCTCGAGGACCAAGAAGAGCACCTGAATCCTCAATAGGTCCATCCCGACTTTCTGCTCCTGGCTTTTCAGCGCCTGTAAGATGGGTGTTTTATGACGTGGGAATGGCTCACGATGCTTTAGGCGCCACCGCATCGCACGATGTACGTTTTAGTCTTCCTCGCCGCGAGATGTCGTGGCGTGGACGCAGGCGCCTGGTCTCGAGTCTGTTAGGTATGCACTGCAACTGAAAATGTGGAGGCGCGACAGGGCTGCGCGTCTAGCAGCGGCAGTAGTTTGTCATGAATATGTCTTAAGTATGTACTGCATTAATTGTGAGCCAATGGCAATTTTGGAATAATGGTCGGTGTCTGGAATTGTTTTTGCCTATTCCAGCTCGTTTCAAGCAACTCATCGTGTTTGAACCATCATCTCACTCAGCGAAACTAATGTTTGAGCAGTACGACCGAATATGACGGCTCATTAGATCACTCCAGGGACTGTGGACGCTGCCCGGGTGCCGATTGACGCAGACCCGAAGTGGAGAGTGAGCCCGACTGACAGCTTGTCGGGGCCATTGCCTTGCACCGACTCCTGATCAATACCACATTAAAAGCTCCTTTGGATAGGTCGTTCGGTGGACCCGGGAAGGCTGTGCAAGGAGCTAAGGCTGTGGGGCGGGATTGACATTAATAGCTCTCTTAAGATCATGGGGAAAGCCCCGAATTGCTGGAAGACACTGAGCTCCTGAATATGTACAGTCTCACGTGTCGTGAGAGAATTGCATTGATGCAGAAGAGCCTATGTACACTGCACTGCTGAGACGACGTACTTGGTATTTAGCTCCAGGGGCTGCATTGCCCTTGCAGTATGCTTCATCATCGTCTCTCGTGTCAGGCGTGACGTGTTGGTGGAGAAGAGCCGGAACAGGAATGATGAGTCGGTCGAATACACAATGTCAACTGCAAAGTCCAAGCTAGCGCGGCGATATTGCGAGCTCGAACCACAGCTTAATGTATCAGTAACATCGCTGTTGACAGTGGATGGAGACGTCGCTGAGCATTGTATCGGCACTTGCTAGGCAGCGCCAGCTGCCGTGGATCATGCGAGTTTGGCTACACAAGGGAGACGCGCTCATGACTGTCCACGGCTCGTCAGGCCCGACTCAAACTTGGTTCGGTGAATATCCACAAATTGCTCGTGCAGTGATGAGTGCCGTTATGTGGATTGACATGTGGATCTATGCAGACGGAAGGAGGCATAAGGACAAGATGTGCATATGTGGTCCTCCAGGGCGCAACGCAGAGTGAGCTGACTTGCGTGTCCTTATTTTAGCTTGAGGCCTCAGACCTATATGCGGCGAGAACGATGGACGAGCGTATTTTCAGAGGCGCTGGGTAGACGCAAAGGTGGATCGAAAGCAGCCTTCTTCGGAAGCCCTGCCCAAACAACCCGTCCGCACTTGTGGCACATACAGCGAGAGATGGGGCCAAGCGCGCGCACTCAGATAGCGATCCCTTACGCCCCTTCATGAGACGGGTCCCAAATGCAACGGTCTAGATTTATATACAGGTCAGAAGCCATAGTGGACATGCTTGAGCAGTCTGGATAGTAAGATGTATGAAGAGAAAGGAAGTGTCATCCAGTGCGGCCTTGTGTCCGCCTTCGGATTGCCATGTGACCTGTGAGTTATACCCATTCTCGCGTATGGATTACAAAATCAAGGTGATCCGTGCCATCGAGCTCAACACGCGTGTGTCGAGGAGGAGTGCACGAGACTGGCGACCAATAGCAACAGTGCGAATTTTGCGTTGGTAGTTTCGATGCTTCACTGCGAGAACCCGCAAGCAATATAAAAGTACCATACTTCAGAGATGATCCTAATGCAGCTCTCAATGCGCAATTTCAAGTCGCTGGCAGCATCGAGACTGCCTTTGTTGCTTGCGGGAAGCTGCTTGGGCTGGCCTGGTTTTGGGGACAAGGATTGCCAACCTCATTCAACCTAGGCCGCCATTTGGGTGTTGGCAATCTCTGCCCAGTGACAAAGTCTGGTACCGATGTAGCTATCGGGTGGACCCAACTCCAGGGCTTGTGTGGTGTACGGCAAGGAACGAACAGCCCGGTCTGTGCCTAGAAACGTACATTGCCACATCCTTGGATGAGCGTTTCATCAACAGCTACCGAGATTCGACTACAGTGCTAATCGTTATGCGAATAGGAGTTGTTCTGAATGGTGTAGTTGTCTGCAAGATGTGAAGGATGTTGCACGTGCAAAAAAAAACAGATTGCCAAGCCATCTGCGCTAGCGTGCCGGATACGTCATAGGTTGCCCGCCCGCCTCAAAAATTGACTATCCCATCAAGACGGCAACGACGATTTGGTGGCGCACTATAATCAGCGTACATTTCAATTAATCTATTCACGAGGTCACACCACTGCTCCACTCGCCATCATGTCGCTGGAGAAGATCACTACTATCTCGCCCATTACCAACAAGCCAGTCCTAACTCGCAACGGTCTCTCCGATGCGGATCTCCAGACCATACCGGAGACGGCTGTCAAAGCCTTCGAATCTTTCAGACGCACATCGCTTTCTGATAGACAGAAGATCGTCAAGAAAGCCTTGAAGCTGCTTGATGAGCGTCAGGATGCCTTGGGCAAGGAAATCACTGAGCAGATGGGTCGGCCCATTGCATACACGCCAAAAGAGGTCACAACGGCTGTCATGCGTGGCGAGTACTTGCTAAAGATAAGCGAAGAAACACTCAAAGATACGGCAGGCGAGCCAGAGAAGGGCTTCAAGCGATACATCAAGAAGGTTCCACTTGGGCCAGTCTTGATTCTCTTCCCATGGAACGTGCGTATGGCCAACGGCTGGACTACTTGCTTACATACTAAAATCACATGCAGTACCCGTACTTGACACTCGTCAACTCGCTTGTGCCGGCTCTGCTTTCTGGCAACTCGGTGATCTTGAAGCCTTCTCCGCAGACGCCTACCAGTGCCGAGCAGATTCAACAAATCTTCAAGGAAGCCGGACTGCCTGATGGTGTGCTTCAAATATTTCATAGTGGGTCCATCACTCAGATTGAGGCCATAGCTCGATCGCCGCACATTCAATTGGTCTGCTTTACTGGATCGGTAGCCAATGGCCTGGCCGTTCAGAATGCGGCGAACGACCGAGTCCCTCTCCGCATTGGTCTTGAATTGGGTGGCAAGGATCCCGCATATGTACGTGCAGACGTGGATATCAAATGGGCCGCGGAGGAGATCGTGGATGGCTCTGTCTTCAACTCAGGCCAAAGCTGCTGTAGCGTGGAGCGCGTGTACGTCGACGAGAAAATACACGATGAGTTCGTATCGGCTGTCCAGGATGTCCTCAAAGGTTACAAGCTTGGCGATCCTCTCGATAAGGATACGAACATCGGTCCCGTGGTCTCCAAGCGCTCCGTCGAGACTATCCAGTCCCATATCAAGGATGCTCTGGACAAGGGAGCCAAGAACGCCACGCCAGACAACGATACGTTCAAGAACCCGCCCGCCGATGGCAATTACGTAGCTCCCACTCTTCTGACTGGTGTCACGCATGACATGGCAGTCATGACTGAAGAAACGTTCGGTCCAGTCATCCCAGTGATGAAGGTCAAGAACGACGAGGAGGCGATCAAACTAATGAACGACAGCCAATTTGGCTTGACGGCCAGCATCTGGACCAAGGATGTCGGCAAGGGTCACGAGCTGATTGACGATGTCGAGGCAGGTACCGTCTTTGTCAATCGCTGCGACTATCCAGCACCAGTAAGTTAGCCACTATAATATCGATGAGGACATTACTGATTAGGAATAGGATCTGGCGTGGGTTGGATGGAAGGACTCTGGACGAGGACAGACTTTGAGCAAATTTGGGTTCGACCAGTTCGTCAAGCTCAAGAGCTACCACGTCAAGGACTATCCGAAATAGATAGTGTCGTACAAGACAGGTCAGTACGACTCGTAATATGACGGTCATTGAACAGGTTTCTCCTTGCAAAGATGTTCACTTCGTATTTGTCGAGCCATGCATGGACCGGAGGGAATTTGCTGCAGTACAAAGGTACGCCTGACTTGGCGTGTTCAGATGTGTACTACGAATCCGTGCAACATCATCACGACATGTCGATCGTTCATTCGCAGACGTGAAACATGCTACCTCGCGATATGAGACCCGAAATAGGCACTTGCTGGTACCTGAACCAGAAATGCGCGCTGCAAGCTCTGCAAGGTCTGTGGTACAAGACGCGAGGATGCCGCGAGTCCGTTTTCGGTAATACGTGTTTCGAAGTTCAACGTCACGTACTCACTTTCGTACTCGTCGTTTTGTTCTCGAAGTATTTAACAAGCACAACGTCTCCTGACGATGGTTTCTGGTGCTTTGAAAAGGCCGCTGACCAGAGGCTGTCGCTTTGTTCTTCAACGTCTTCCTCTTTCAAGCAAGGCCCGTTTATACAGTACGCATTCCAGCGCAATCGGCTCGACGTTCCGCACCGCAAATTTGGGTGGATGGAATGCCATTACGGACAATGAAAGGCAACTGCAAGGGATGAGCCAGCCATACGCCACGCGGTATTCTCAGGAACAACTTCGCAAGGAGAGTCGCTTAGGAAACGGTTTCGTCTTGCCCGGACCTTTATTAGTTTGCATTGCCCGGACTCCCTACCCGCCAGTCACCACCTTCATGCCCACCCAACTTTGTGGTCTTGCACTCCCACTTGTTTCGGTCATTTTGCTCTGTTAGCGTTGTTCCTTTCACGCCGTTGTCTTGCGCGTGATTCGTGCGTTGTGTATGTTGGGAAAGAATCATTCTCGCTATTTGCTTCACATATATTGTTTTACATTCATTTCCATCGTCGCTCCAACGAAACCTTGTTCTCAACACTCTCTCAACCAACCACATACCACCTCCATACGCCTCTAATCATGGTCTTCAACACATTCATCATGAAGGTCCGACGGACACTGCTCTGCTGCAACGAGCACAAGCAACTGGACATCGTAAGTATCACACGCCCCATTCAACCACCCTCCAAACCCACTCCTAACCTCCCTAGGGCTCCCCTACCAACGTCCGCAAAGTCTCCATCTCCTCGGCCCTCCCCAACCTCACCGACTCCCAACGCAAATTCCTCCGCGAAAAAGCCTCCAGCGACACCATCCGCCTACTCAGTATCCCCCACACCTCACCGCCCTCGCCCACAGGATCACATACCCCAACACACTCCACGCCCCGGACATCCCACGAACCCTCGTCCCCCCTGCTAAACGCCGCCTCCAAAGACCTGCCCAGCATCCTCCCAACACCGCCCCGCCACAAGCACGCCGACTCCTCTCCGCCCGCCGCGCGCATGCCGGGCATGAAACACACGTCCCGCTCCCGCTCTCCCGCGCGCAGACTCAGTTTCAGCAGCGCGAGCAGCCAGACGACGGAGCATTCCGCGCTGTTCGACCGCCTGCCGCCGCGCGGGCGCGAGAGCATGATGACGCTGAATCTCGAGTTTGCGTGGGAGGCTGGGGTCGAGACGCCGCGGACGATGAGCTTGAGCGAGGGGTTTCGCGAGGTCAAGACTGTTGGGGGCGCGGAGCGCACGGCGGTTGGACAGCGTGGAGTGCGGGGGGAGGAATTTGGCAAGGGCGGGGATGGGGCTAGTGATAGCGAGGAGGAGTTTGGGGTGGGCGAGAGGAGTCCGTTTGTGAAGATTTGAGTGTGGCGCGGCTGGTGGATATATGATTTTGTACTTGTACGGGATAGAGTAGGGATCAAGGATAAAGAGATTATAGGAGTTGTTTGGGCTTGTATTACTGCCAATTTCGGGGCTGCACACATAGAATCAAAAGCTGTTGGGTTATACCATCATGCATTCCTTGGGTTGCGTGACTTCAAGTCATCTAAATTTATATCATACCATCTACATCTGCTGTTTAGATCAAGGTGGCCCAGTTGCTGTAATGACTTTCGCTATTCTCACGCCAGTCGTCAGGTCAAAAACATCACAAGACAAGGCAAATAGTGTAGCTTAGTAAGATATGCTGCGTAAATGCTAGGTATATCAATGTGCACATCCATGATAGTGCACAGTAAACTACGTGTCGGTTCCCAAAAATCCAGCTTAAAGGCTCTCACAAAGAGTGCCATGAAGCATGCGCCTGCCCTGCCCGTGACGCTAAGGGGTATCTTTGCACTAAATTCCCACCATAACTCCATAAAATGCTGAGAAAATGTACACGCTTTTGACTTCGGTTGCGTCGCACTGGCGTAACGGATAGTGATGTGTGCAGTGTCACATCAAGTTAACACGTTCGCTTCCTCACGCGTCCCGAGGTTGATGCAATCAGGGCTTCTAGTCCGAATCGCCATCAGCATCAGGAGTTTTCGAGCTCCTCTTCTTGTTCTTCCCGCCCGTGGGCCTACCGCGTGCCTTTTTTGGTGTGTTGCCGAGGCTCATGTTGCTCTTCCTCTTGCGGCCACGTCCACTGGTTGGGAAAGGGGTCGTGACATCACCTTCATCTGGAGTCTCGTAGCCGGCCCCAAGATCGTCGTCTTCTCCGTCCTCGCCGATCTGGGCTTCCCGATCTACGTCCAGGATGTCGGCAAAATCGTAGCATGCCTTGATCATGGTCTCGCGACTGTCGAGTGCATGCATAACAGGTAAGAGACTCTCCCAGAGTTCCTTACCAGATACAAAATTGTTGCGTTGCGCGGGTTTGATGTAATCTTTCTGCGGAATACCGCCCTTGGTCTTCTGCACATTGTAGCAGCGGCGGATGAAGGCTCGTGTCTCCCATACCATCCTCAGGATCATACAAGCTGCCGTGATCTGACGTAGACGAGTGTCGTTGATTGTAGGCTGTTCGAGTTGTGACATGGTAATCGGTGCTTGGAACCCAGCGGCATCTCCCAATCCCAAGTGCTGCTGGAAGTCTCCATGCCCGGATTGTTGCTGCACATTGACAAAACGCTTGGGCATCTCCGTCTCTATTGCCAATGCCACAGTGGGTCCGGTATTTTTGAGCACGATAGCTTCCAAAGCACTCAAACACATGGCCACTTCTTCAAGAGTTGCCAAGTCGATAAGGGCCAGGTTCTCAAGACAGAAGCGAGCGAACAGTACTGATGAAGGCGGTTCACCACTCGCATCAAGCTTGGCAAAGTTGAAGTCCACCTGCTTGCAGAGGTTGTTGATAAACTTCTTGAAAGTGACTTTCTTTCCACTCTTCAATGCCTCGAAGAGCTTGCCGAGCTTAGCACCGTAAGTGGCCTCGCGCATTCCGTGAGAGTCACCAAAGACGTCCACCTGATAATCATAAGCCATGCGTACCGACTGCATGTACTCTTTCTCTAGATATGACTCCTGCTTCTCGTGGATTCGCTTGTGTTCAACTGAAGCCGTCTGTGATATGATGTCGATGGGAGAAGTGCCCAGAGCAACAAGCGCAGCGCCACATTCTTTGGGATGGACTAAACCTTGGCGACTGATGCTGGCAATGACAAAGGTCGCCGAAACCCCCAGGTCATTGTTGTACTTGAGTGCAGTGTCCACAAAGTTCTGCAAGAACCTCTGAGCTATATGAAGGGTCGCACTGTCGTTTTCGTTGGCGACGAATGACGTCTCTAGTCGTGCGTTGCCAGTCACAGCTCCTTTGCCAACGGCAATTTCTGCGCCCGATTCTGACCGACGCTCTGCGAAAGTGAAGTACTCTCTGAATGAAACCAGGGCTGCCTGTCGCAAGAGATCGTTGTCGCCATTGATGAAGACAAGCTTGAAGACTTTCTCGATCTCGGCGCGCATGAAGAGGCTCGGTGAACCTTGACATATGTCCCCCACACTCTTCAAAGCTTGTACACGTACACTCATATCCCAAGCTTGCGATGTGAATGGTCGGACTGTGTTGAGCAAAAGAAGGGAAACGGCAGTCTTGGAATCTCCCGAGAGCTTGATTGTCTGTGCAACCCGGTTTTTGCGTGCTTGTTCTTTAAGGGTCTCTCGGAAGACCTCTATGTTCTTGTCGAAGCTGCAGACTTTGCCGAACGTTCCAAGCAGTATTGCGTACGACTGGATTTTCTTCTGGTTCTTGGTCGCTTCTTCCTTCGTGCATTCTGAAAGTGGCCGCAATTGACAAATGACGGACAAGATGAGGGTGCAGAGCTTTTTCAGACCTTGATCAGCCATTGGCGTCAAGGCCCACAAGCAGTGAGCAATGTCAACAAGCGTTTCTCGACTTTCAGGCTTTTGGACTGCCAAAGTTGCCAGCTTTGATACGTTGCTCATTAGGCTTGCGCGTACTTCTTCCGCAAAAGTCACCTGTAGGGTGCTCAGGGTCGTAAATACATAGCGGAAAATGATGACTGTTGGCCGCACAAGGGCGAGGTCCTCCGTGGTAGTGAGTACTTTTATGTACAATTTGAGCAGTTGCAGCTGATCAACGGTAAATAGGCTGGGTTCGACTTTGGCAAATATGCTCAACGCTGTCATGATACGTGCCTGCGATTGCGTGTCGGAGCCGGTTTCGGGGCTGATGATTTGATCGACCATGTCTGCAACGAGTTCTTTGCAGATCTCAATGTTTGCGGATCCGGGTGATAGCGCGTGCGCAAAAAGCTTTTCGAAAGCTTCCACGGTCTTTGGAGTAGCATGGATATGCTGGACAGTGTTGATGATGAGCAAAGATCGCTTAGAGCGTTCTAATTTAAGCTGGCTCTCATCCAGTCTCGCATTCGGCTTATTGTGCACCAGTATGATCTCTTCAAGTACGTTGCGCGCAAGCTCGGAGATTGTCTTCTCGTCGTCCTGGGAAGGTAGGAGCAGGGCAGCAATAATTCTCAGTTTGTCATCCATAGAGGACGGACCGTTATAGATGTCCTTCAAAAGCTTGATTGCCTTCTTCTTCGGTCCATTCGAAGGGTCGTTGGCCAATTGCAGAATGCTAGACAGGAAGTGTTGCTGAAGCGAGGGTTGATGCTCCAGGCAGGTCGATACCAGCGAAAGTGTAGACTCCCGGACCATAGGCGATGTATCGGAGAAGGCTGATATCATATCCTTGACGTTCCTCTCCGTGAAGACACGAGGGTCTTTGTGAATAAGCTGTTCCAGACCCGTCATTCCTCGAGAGCGAAGCTTGGATGAGTTCTTGTCGAGTGTCTTTTCCAGCATCAACGCCACGATATAGGGGACATACTTGCAGACGTTATTCTGCATGGTTATAATTCCGGCCGCAAGTTTGCTCTGGACTTCAGATATGGATTGAAATTTGCTAAGAATATGTTAGCAAAGAAGAAGAACAAGTAGCAGTTATTATTTACGTACAACTTCTGAGAAAGCCACTTGTGATCCATGATCATGAGGTCCAGACGCTCACGAAGTTGCGCGACAGCGAGAGGGCGAGCATCAGCATCACCCGCATCGGCTGGAAAGGCTCGTAGGAATGCAGCTAGCCACAAAGTGACATGGCAACCACTGACGGACTGCAGACGCGGATCATCCTGACTTGAATGCAAATCAAGGTAGTCGGGTAACGATTCGATCACCATCCGATAAGGGCCGTCGAAAGCGAGTAGGTCTAGGTCGTTAACTCCTTCTTTGGCGTTATCGCTCATCGCCTCGTCAAGGAGTCGGTCTAATTTGGAAGAGATGTTGGACTGGGAGACATCTAGCTTCTCGCGCTTCAGCTTCTTCAGTCGATGCTTGAAATCGAGGATCCCACAGCCTATGCGGGACATGACTGAGAGGGCCATATCCTTGTCGTTAACGGTTGTCTTTGCCGTCTGCTCGGCTTGTAGCAACGCGTTCATCTTTCTCATTACCTGCTCCAGAAGCAACTCTGCACCGGGCCATTCGGGTGAGCCAAGAACATTACAAAAGTCCTCAATGAATAGATCAAGAAGATTGCGAAAAGGCTTATCGCTAGTCTTGGATACATTGGATGCCCGGTCGACGAGAAACGCGGCGATTGTGTACGCTATGGTTTTCGCTCTTTTGAAAAGAAGCTGCGCAGTCTGAGCTGGGGCATCGTTGCGCTTCTTCCTCTTCTTCGTACTGCTGGTTCCTGGATCATAATCGCTCGCGTCCTCATCGGAAGAATTCTCGTTGTTGTTCGAGGCAGCAGTCTTGGTCTGCGACTCTCTGTTCGTTGCAGCTACCTGAACAAAGCGCATGAATAGCGCAGAAATGGTCATGATGGGCACGTCTCTCGCTGACTTGAACTGCCGCGCGCTGGCCTTCTTGTCAGGCAGCTTTTCCAGATTGCTCAGAACACCGTTTAGGATAGAGTTCTGCTGTTCCGCATGTCGAGCAAAAATCTCGGCCAGAACGTCCACAGCCTTTTGACGAAACTGCTCAAATTTCTGAATCGTGAAGATAGAGTCCTTTTCAGAGTCGCTGTTCTGTTCCATGACAAGCTCTAATGCCAGATATTCCAGACCATTGAGTGCCCTGTCGGAGAGATTGTACTTGCCAATCAGCATCGCACATCGAGACATGACGCTCCCGCAAAGCCGGAGAACAGTCTGCAGCTCTCTCTTTTGGCCGGTGGCGGAGATGAAGACATCTTCTGTGGAGCCAGAACGACGAGCTTGAAGGATAGGGACGATGCAGGCATCCTTGATGAATTTGATGAGGTCGATGATGGTATCAATCATCTCTTCGCGTCGCATGCGGTAATCGTCACGACCTTCGATCATGGTGTCCAGAATCATCTTAGCGGCCTTGAGTGCGAACTTGGCTGCCTCTATGCTGTCGGACCATTCGATGGTCTCTTCTGCTTGCTTGAACAGATCATTTTTGATAGTTGAAGTAACGCCAGGCTGCAAAAGGGATTGAATGTCCATGACCATGTCTACAGGCAAGGCGGAGAAGCGGCCGAGGTTGATGATATTGGACATCTTGTCGGAGAGATTGTCCATTGCTCTGGATCGCATGACTGTGAAATCAGCGTCGAGCGTTGACACGGTCCGGAAGCTGTCTGATCCTTCAAGGTCGTCCTTGTCATCAGTCAACGATGCAACGAGATCCCGAAGCTCTTCAATCTTTCGGTCGGCAATCTCCCGCTCGTGTGGTTTGAGAGCCGCAAGGCCTCGGTCGGTCTGTTCTTGCCTCTTCTGCGGCAAGCTTGGCGTGGCGTCGACGACGTCGTCGTAGCGTTGGTACTCTTCACGGCGACCACTGATGGGCTTGACCACTACAGCCGGACCAGGTCGAGGTGGCGTGCTATTTGGAACAGAGGAAAGAGCGCTGGAGGGAAACGGAAGGTGGCCGGTTTGTGCGTGTGCGGTGCCATTAGGCGTTTCGACCTGAGGAAGCGAGGGCGTCCTCGTCTGGGAAGGGGTCGCAGCTGGCCGTGCTGGAGTTGCGAGCTGGCGTGGCTCAGGCGGGAGGACTCCGTTTGCTGGCTTTGTCAGTAGGGTAGCAAAGACGGCGGACAAAGAGACGTACGCGTGAAGCTCACGTCCGTCTGCCGCAGGAGCATGCTCGCAAAGGGGCTAAGAGCCGGTGTATCGCTCGCAGCAGTTCCATTGTGTTCTTTGGCGGGGCTGTCTGGAGGGGGCGTTGCGAGTTGTGGCATTGGCTTGAAGTTGCTGTACTTTGTCAGTCTCCGCGGTCAGTGTGGAAGGGGCCGGGCTCTACTATTCGGGGAGCTTGTCGCGATGCAATAAACGCTGGAGCTGGCGGAGCGTGTCGTGCAGGTGCTGTGCGGTGGTTTGGCCCTTGATTTCGTCGTTCAATATGCCCACTGCTCGCTTCGCAGCGTTGTGTTGGTCTGGAGTGAGGGTTGAGGGCGGCGTGGGCGGTTCGGCTGCGGGAAAGGGAATGACTTCTGTGGGCAGTTAGGCTACTACTCTGAGGCAAGTGATAGAGCGCAGCGTGGGCGCTCGTCTGCAGGTGAAGGCGGGCCACTGACCGGGCGAGAATGGGATGATGGAGACAAACGGCGAGTACATGGCCGCTTCATCCACCGTGGGCGGCGGCCGGTATGCCAGACCCCCTCCATTGGCATTGTGCCAGTTGCTGCCATTTGCGTGTCCAGCCATGGTGGCCGCCGGGAGCGTGCAGCGCTGGCGGGGCGGATGTGGACGTGTGTGCTGCTGGGGGATGCGATGAGGTTTGCCCGGGATGGGGTTGAGGGCTCACTATGGCGGCCGGGACTGGCGCATGGTCGCAGGTTGTAGGCCCCGCGAATGTAGGTAACGCGCTCTTCGGATAGGCAGCTCCTTCCCCGTTGTAGTACAGTGAATGCGATACGTTTGGCTTCACGTACTGGCTGCATGGCACAATTCTGACGCGTCTGACCGCCTTCCGCTTGCATCTAGCGCCGCAGCCGCGGGAGTGCCTGCTCTCCGCAACCCGAAAGTTCGCGATTCCCTGTCACTTTTTTTCTGAACCCAGCCAGCTTACCTTCACATCACACGGCGACAATCAAATCTCCCACCATGTCCGCAATCGGCTCCCTCATCTTCTGCAACGACTGCGGCAACCTGCTCGACGGCAGCGCTGGGAAGAAAAATGTGACCTTGACGTGCGCCATCTGTGGTGCTACATGCAAAGGTGCGCCCTCTCAGAGTGGTCGCATAGACATGTACTAATCTGATGTGCATACAGACACGTCCTCCAAAACCGTCGTCACGCACTCCAAGCCCACAGCCTTTCCATCCTCCTTGCGCACAAAGCGATCTGAAGTGCAGGCCATCAACGACGACGATGTGCAGACGAGCGTCGTCATTCGGCAGACATGCGAAAAGTGCGGTCGCGAGGAAGTTCGCTACTACACGCAGCAGCTGCGGAGCGCAGACGAAGGCACCACTGTCTTCTACGAGTGCGATTGCGGTCACAAGTACGTTGGCCTCGGCACATACACCATCAGACTTCTGCTAAAACTATTCTACAGGTGGAATACGAACAACTGAAGGGGAGATAGGAGGACTTCTATTGAAACCAAAACGCCGTGTACATGCGATTGTCCTTCAACCTTAGGCCGCGATTGCCTGCGCCTGTGGCACAATGGCATACTCCACCTCGCCGTTCTTCTCGAACTCGGCCATGTCAAGCGCAACAATCACGCTATCCCGTACCACCTGCTCCGGGTCATTCAAGAACTTTTTGAGCGTCTCTTCAACACCCTCCTCGTCTCCTAGACTTCCAAGTGCTTCTGCGGCCTCGTGTCGAACCATGCTCGCCTCCTTTGTGTTGCTCAGTGCCTCCGTCAGGCTGGGAATCGATGCGGGATGCGATAGTTGACCGAAGACGAATGCGATTTCGTGGCGGAACAGGGCAGATGGATCGCCGAAGCCACGGGCAAGCGCATGCACAGCCGGAACAGCCGTTGGCAGATCAGGCGGTGAGGAGAGATCGCGGAGCGCGAACATGGCCCGGTAGCGCTGGAAGAGGGGCAGAGTTGTGTCGAGGAGCGTCTTCTCAAGGGCTGGGATAGAGGGCGCTTCGTTGCTCTCGGGCATTGGCGGTGCAGGATCAACGGAGGTGAAGTCGCTGTGCTTTGTGAGCCCGGCATCCAGATATCACCTGTAGTTTTGAAGCATACCTCTTCTTCAGCTTCTCCGTGCCCTTCTGCAGCCCATGCTCCCACTCGATGCGATCGACGGCAATGTCGCACGTCTCCCGTACAACATCCACCTCGTTCGCGTCATCCCTCATCTTCTTCAGTAGCTCCAGGCTGCCTTTATCGCTCAAGGCGCCCAGTGCTTCAGCAGCTTCATGTCTGCACATGGAATCCTCATCCTTGTCCTCTAGCACACCGCGCAGAGGCGCAATGGCTGCGTCATGCCCTGACTGGCCCAGACAGTAAGCCAACTCATGCTTGAGCAGAGCGGATGGGGAGCTGAATGCTGCAGCAATGGCCTCGATCGCAGGCACGGTCTGCTCGGTGGGTGGTTGGAGGGAAGCAAGGTGCTTCAGCGAGAAGAGGGCGCGAAAACGGCGCGCAAGAGGCTCCGACTCGGAGGTGACGATCTTGCGAAGGGTGGGGACCTGAGTGTCCTGCTCGGTGACTGCCATTTTGGTGATAGAAAAAATTTGAGGTTTGTGACTTCACGGCTGCACAATGGATGACCCGGACTCTTGCCTGAACTTTTTTGGCGCGGGGATTAGTGGGGTGCTGATCTAATCTAATCAGATTGAATCCTGCGCTAACCGCATACTCTCTGACTCACACGTGAATGCGTGACGGCGTACCAGCCACTTCCGTCAAGGGTCCAGGCTTGCGTAACAACAATGACTCCGCGACCTCGACTTCTTTGATGCTCGAGCGCTCAAAGACGGCCCACTTTAACAAAGCCGGCCCACTGCACATGGTGAGGGGCGCCCTATGCCACGTCCACCTTCACCTTCACCGCCTCGACCCACTTGGAGGGTTCCCCTGCAGCACTACGCCTAGAACGCTTATCCTTTCGTACCTGCATCTACCAAACCAATCGACGCACCACTCTCCACGAACCTGCGTTCCTCTGCGAACCACAACAACATGGCGTTCCTCCGCGACGTTTCCGACCGCTTTTGGAACTATGTGAGCCCGCGCAAAACACAACAACGGCGAGACAAGGAGTTCAAGGTCCCCGCTGTTCCAATCAGACCCACGCCGCTGAAGAAGCAGGTCGCGACACCAGAGTCGCGCGACATGAGCCCAAAGTCGCGCGTCAAGGTCTGGACCGTACGCACCCCGAGTCCGCAGAGCGAGTTCGACGGCAACATGGATATCGACCAGACGCTGCTGCCGCCGTCGCCCCCTGCCTCGACAAAACAGATGGACGATCTCGAGGGCGACACAATGGTCGCTTCCCCGGGTGCCGAAAACACAAAGGCAGCGTCATCGGACGATGAGGTGGATGCAAATGAGGATACGATACTTGTCGAGGACGGAAACTACATGGGCCAGTCCATCGATGTCGACAAGGAGAGGGAGAGGCGAGAGAACCAAGGCCGTCAGCTCCGAGCTGCTGGCTGGTCTGAGGACGCCGTATTCCTGTTCCAAAAGCTGGGGATGCGCGGCTTCGAACCACTGCTGCCAATCGAGTGGATCGATGACCTCGAGACGCTACCAGAGGATCTCTTCACTGCAAGGGTAGATAAGGCTTTCTTGCGCCCCGCACACGGCAGTGGCTTCCGTGGTGAGTACTCGGTATCAAACGGCACGCCTGTGCAAAGCTAATGAACCAACAGCCCAACAAGCGCTCAGCAACCTCTTTGATCTTGGCGGCCGTGTCCGCGATGCGAAAGTCACCAAGGCGCAGAAGCGCAGACCAGAATACCACGTCAAGCGCGCCGTGCAAAAATACACCACCTGGGCTATCAAAGACGGCGGGGTTGACCAACTCTGGCCTGAACTGCCACTTTTCAAGACAGTCACATGGCCCAAGAAAGTCCACTCCAGCGTCGGTGAGCGCATGATGCTACAGAAACTCGGCGATCTCTACAACCAATGGCACCATGCCCTCGGCATCGATCAAGCCGAAGAGCGCGGGGACATGGTCGTGCCCGAGGTCCCTACTCTCTACGGAGTGACCGCGTCGCACACCGTCATGGCTTTCGTCAGCTATGCGCCTCCGACAGAAGAGCAAGAGCAGCCGCAGCTCAGGCTGATCGCCATGTTCAACTTCAAGCACGAAGGTTACGACGTCTGGCACGCTCTCGCCATGGCCATCTTCGTCACGCACTGCCGCAACCGCATGATGCAGCTCAAGGAGATGATTCCCGAGCCGGACCTCCTGACAGAGACGGACCCAGACCTATGAGCATTTTGAGAATCTCACGTAGACACAACGATGAATGGATACGATGAAGAATGAGCATGATGAAGGATGGACACGACAAACGACATAATGAAGAGGAGGAATAACACGAGAGGCACGACACGATTATTTGACGATTCGAAGAGAGCACGGAGTTGCGTAATTTTGCGATTATACCCACGATACCCACAGAATGCTTCACTGCCTTGCGCTTCGGTAGGGTTCAGATTGTAGCGATGGCCTTTTTTCCTTTGTTTTTGAGATGGTGGGCGAGGATGGACAGTGCCTTGCGCTGCTGCTATTGATAGAGAAGATCAAGGCGATAGGTTGAGTCGCATGAAACGCATAGTTGGCTGAATCAAATCAAATGAATCAAGTGAATTCGTAATAAATAAAATTCGCAATGCGAGACTTGCACATTCCTCAAATCTTTCGAGACTAATCAGCTACAACGGACACCCACTTTACTTATTACTCGATCTACCGCGCGCAATCATCTCCTCCATCCACAACGACCACGAACGTTCTCTAGCTACTCCAATCTCTCATTCCTTCTCCCTCTTCCTACTGGTTAAATCTACCTTGTCTCCAGCGTTCATCTCCGCCTCCGATCCAACTCGAAACGTCGTCTCCTCCAGCTCGTATTGATGTACACTACCCCAAAGCCCACATTAATGTTCAATTTTCTCGCTAGCCCCAGAATTCTCACAACCCAATACTCCTTCCACACCTCCTCCCAAGCCTTTCGCGCTTGCCCGTCGTCAGCCAGAGCACGCCATCCTTGTGGATTTTCACAGCAGCCGTTTACAGTCACGCTCATTCTGGCCGCTGCGCGTGATTGGGGTGGCAGTCCTGCAGACACCGGTAGCATGAGCACGGTACGTCTAGTGACTTACAAACACGTGTGCAGAGTCAGGGCTGCTCGTTCAAAGCCCGAGTGGGCGGGTATCTCTTACGGTCATCGCTCGACGATAGTGAAAAGGTATCGTTTTGGACGTATCTCTTTGGCGCATTGAGACGGTGACTCGCCATTTCAGCAAATATGGTGTTCTTGTGAGGGCTTATGTTATAACTGACACGTCCTTACTGAATCTAACGAAAGTAGACTATAGTTGATACTCAATTACAACGAATGACTATCCACCTCAAGGGATCTGGAGGCACACAGGACCCCATGTGCATATGACACCTGCGCCTAAACAACTCACACACACACCTTCCCCCTAAAAAAGAATGCGCAAAAAAGATGCAAAAGAAAACCCCGCTTTCGCAGGCGCGAAGAAACATCTTAATTTTCTTCTATTAAACATTGCCTGACCCCAATCTTTACTCCTCCATCCAGCCTCTTTCACTTCTCCTCCTAGGCTAATGGCCACCTGAGGAGAGCTTTGAGAAGTATTCGAACCCCGGCCTAGCTAAACCTCAATACCCGCTGTGGGGTGAGAGGGTAGATCCACGGTAAGCCGTGAATCTGAGCCATTGGGTGTTTGATGTTTGTTCGATGGGATGATGGGGAATTAGAGGGGATATATAGTATAGTCTGTGGTGAGTTTGGGGGATATCAGTTTTGTAGTGTTTTGTGCGCCGCGTGCAAAATGGGCTTTGGTGGAATGTTGCAGAAGTGAAAGAGTTCTTTTTTCTTCGACTGCCATAATTCTCAGACGCATTTTAAAAGACTCATACAGATCCGACTACTCTACCAAGCCACAAGCTCCACCCCCCATACAACTCCTCTCCTCCAGTCACTCCCTCTCTTAACCCAATAGCGCCGCCGCCTTCCAAATCTGCCACCCCGCCAACCCCGACCCCACCGCATACAACGTACTCCTAATAAAACTCTTCTCATGATCCGCAATAGCCACATACGCCACATCATACGCCGCCCTGACCGCAAACCATGCCGCAACAAACGTCGTCAGACCCGTGGCATCTCCATCGACCACCGCGCGCCCCAAACCCGTGACAGTGCTGCGCTCCGCCATGATCGACGCCAGAATCGCCACAGCGAATAAGGGCATTTGCTCGATGTTGTTGGATTGCGCGTTCTCGGCGCGTTGATATTTTTGGAAGCTGGGTTGGGAGTTAGATTGAGTGATGGCTTGGGGGGTTGAGGGACGTACACGGCATCTGGCACCTTGCCCTTCACGGAATCAGGCGAGAGAGAAGCTTTGGGATTGGCATTGTTGACTTTGTAGCCTGATGCTGTGAGGATGGATTGGGCGTAGATGTGCGGGGCGATGGAGAAGATGTAGTAGGCTGGGATGGCGAGGAGGTGGTAGTTTGTTGAGGAAGTGGACATGGTTGCTGGTTGTTATGTTTATTATAGAAGGTGAGTGAGGTTGTGCTGTTGAATTGGATGATGATAGTGCAGAGTTGCAGATTATGTATGACAACGATGGTGGACCAACGCGTACAGATGACGTAGGTCACTTCGGTGTTAGATGCATGCCGAATGACAATTCCTCCTGACACATTTTACAAACTCTCGTACATGCTGGAAGTATACATTTAGCTATAGTACTTTATGGTACTGTAGTAAAGGCGTAAATTATGTAAGACGTTCAGGTGGAGTATCCACTTGACGTTGGTCAGCGCAGCCAAGACACACGTCCCGGATTTAAGGAAAATCGCGACTGGCGAGATGTCAAATAAGCAATGCAGCTCGGAACGTGATATGAGCGTTGCTTCCGAGAGAACCTAGCATCGCTCAAAGACCCTGTACAATCCCTTGAGGTTCGCAATTTCCATCACTCCTTTGAGGAGACCTTTCGTCGCCGCAAGCCTTGCTTTACAAGCCGGAAAGATGACATGCTCGACTGCTTTCCTCACTTTAGCTCTCCTTGCAGCGATCTCTGCATCATCCTCTTCTGCTACCCTTCCTTTACCCTTTCCGTTAGCATCCGGGGTCGCAGTTGGTGGAAGCGGTAAACTTTCTGGCACGTAGAACGATGCAAGCTCGCGCAACAAGGTCTGGAAACACCCCTTCTCTTCGTTCCAGTTGACATGGGGTCCGAGGCGTAATAAGAACTGAGGCAGCTTCGCCATAGAAGGTGTGTAACCCTTCAGCAGCAGCGGGATTGAGCACAATTCTCCTTCAGGTGTAATCTCCATAGAGAAGTATTCTTGAAGTAGGGCGGCTTTGCCAATGAGTGTCTCTTTGACGGTTTCTACGACTTCGTCCCAATCCAGTTCGTCAGCTTCATCGCCAGCATTCTTGCGCTCCTGCTCTGCTCCCACTTTGAGGAGGTCTTCCAGCGGCAATGGAGGGTTGAAGCGAATTGTTCCGTAGTTTGCAAAGTCTGTGAGGCCGACTTGGTAGAAGTACTCGTTACAAAGCATGCCATAATCGACAAGAAAGAGTTTGACACCACCTTGTATGGCTGCTATTCTCTTCTGCTCATCAACAATACCAACGAAGGTATGCGTTGAAAAGATGTCTGTCAGCTCGTTGTGCATGGCATCTCGAACCTCGGCACGAAGCTCTTTCACGGATGTGAGTCGACATGCCATAGGCTCTTTCTCCGTAAACTCATACTCTATCTCCTCGTCTTCATTTGCAGCTTCCTCCACGGAGCGCTGTGGCTGTAGCATTGACGTGATCTTGCGTGCAGACGCATCGGTCCGAACCAGATTGTTCTCCCTTCTTGTGGCAGTCTTGGGAGCTCTTGATGCACTGCGATCAGACACATCGTCTGTGGCAGGTGTAGTCGTGGCGAGAGGTATTTGCTTCATAGGCGTGGCAAAGGGGACCTTGGGGTTTGAGAGCAGTGATTGTGTCATGAACGATCTGCTCGTATCGACCTTGCTCAAGCTGCTTCGAATCTCATCGCAAATCATTGCAACGATCTCATCTTCATTCAGGAAGTGGACCTCGCGCTTGGTAGGATGGACATTCACATCTACTCGTGCTGGCTCGATCTCCAGGCTCAAATAGAAGAATGGATGGTTGCCCTTGGGTAAGAAGGCTGCATACGTCTGCTCGACGCTCTTCTTAATTATCGCAGAATCGACGGCGCGATGGTTTATGAAGAGCAGCATGGATGTGCGTTTCGCGCTGTAGTTTGCACTGCTGATCCATCCTTCGCACTTGAAGCCCCATCGATCGTCTTCAGACTTGAGCTCCACAAGCTCGTTTGCTACCGCGCCACCGTGTATCTGCCGGATACGGTCTTTGACAGTCGCAGATGCAGGCACGGAGACACTACTTCCAGAGTTGTCACCGGCCTTCTTGCACGAGAAGGATACGCCCAGGCAATGTACGGCATACTTTCCAACGAGCTCGAGGATCTTGGCGTATTCCTCACTCGCGGATCGAAAGGCCCGACGTCGTGAAGGCACGTTGTAGAATAGGTCCTCCACAGTGATTTGAGTTCCCTGTCGACCAGCTTTTGGTTTTGGCTCTGCAGTCTGGCCGGGCTTGGGGCTCGCCAGTTTGCCGCCCGCATAGTGCGCTTCCCATGCACAGCTCGACTCTTTCGTTCGCGTAGTGACCCTGAGATGGGCGATGTGACTGATACTTGCCAGCGCCTCACCACGGAAGCCATAAGTACCGATAGAGGTCAGATCTTCAAAAGCTTTTAGCTTTGACGTCGTGAAACGCTCGCAAAGAATTGGCAAGTCTTCTTTCTGGGCCTTGTCAGCAGGTTGCGAAGAACATTTTATGGTGATGCTCACGTCGATGCCATGACCGTTATCCGTGATCTGGAGTAGCTTCAGACCACCATCTTTGACCACCACTTCCAACGCGGTCGATCCTGCATCGACAGCATTCTCGATCAACTCTTTCAGTGCGTGCACTGGTGCGACAATGATTTCCCCAGCGGCGATTTTGTTCACAACATCTTGCGCAAGCGCTTTGATTCGGCGTGGTGCAGGAAGCAGGAGGCTATCATCGCCTTTTCGCTTCGTACCACGGGGCGGTGACGAGGGTGAGATGTCCATCTCCTGAACCATTGCTAGGTGGATAGCTGAGCACCAACGTCGTGGTGGCGTTGCTTGCGCTGAGATGCAGCGCTTTCGGAACACAGAAGGACGATGACGCGCCCCACTTGCGCGTGTTCACGTGCTCAACTACTTTCCCATCCAACTTCGTCAGTCTTGACATCGCATCTGCACTCCTTCTCCTCGCATACAATTTCGGACGACACAAAAGGACAAGAAATCCTCAATCTTATGCAAACGCATAAGCAATGCCCACTCCCTCGTACGCCCGCGCAACAACCTCATCATCCTCGAAAGCCACGAGCACCCCCAATTCACCACTCGCATCAAAATCTAAAGACAACTCTTCATCACCATCAACTCCGAGAAGATTGAAACGCCCCTCCACACTGACCCCCTCCCACCGCCTCAGCATATCCTACAAGTCCGACCTGTACCCCATCCTCCCCCTCAACCCCAACAAACCAAGCCCTCTCGCCCTCCTCCCCTCCGAGCTGCGCACTACCATCTACCAATACATCCTTGCTCCAGACCTCGCAGTCCAACAGCCACGCTACATACATAATCCACGTCTGCGCAAAACATGCTACATATTCCCTCCCCTCCTGCACATCAGCCGCGCAATCCGCATCGAAGCCGCGTACGAATTCTACACCACCACGCCCTTCACATTCAGTGTTCGGAATTTAGATTTCGGCACGAGTGTGGTCGCGTGGTTAACCCAGCTACCAGCAGGGCATCGCGCGCTCCTAACCCGCAATCGAAACTTGAGGATTAGGATGATGCCAGGGTTGCGGCCGAGTCACACGTATCCGCCGCCGGGCTGGGTGTTGGATGGGTGGCTGCAAGATCATTGGGGGGCGTGTGCGGGACTGGGGAATTTGTATGCAGTGAAGGGGGAGGGGGCGAGGGTGAAGTTTTTGCTGTTTTGTAGGCTGCTGGGGTGGTTTCATTGTAATGCGATGATGTATAGGGGCATGAGGTGGAGGTATGAAGTGGATTGTGGGGCGCAGAGGAGTATTTGGGATCAGTGCGGGCAGGCAGAGACGGTATGGAGATTTTTGAGCGAGGAGGTGGGGGTGTTGGGGATGGGGGGTGTGGCAAGGGCGTGGAAGAGGGATAAAGTGAAGGGGAAGGGTAGGGAAGAAGCGTTGAAGTTTTTGGATGATTTGGATAATGCTTTTGCGCGGGCGGCAGTTGATGGTTCGGAAGATCTGGCAAAGATGTGGGCATCTGAGATGACTAAATTGAAGGAAGTTGTGAACAGATGGTAGAGCTTTGCCCGAGTTAATTCAATGTCATTGTAGACTGTGGGTGACCTTGTGACTGCTTGTAATGATCCAAAGGCCAAAAAGATGTCTCAAATGCAGAGCTATGGGTATCATGTGACAGGGAGCACATCCAGTGATGGTCGTTTAGCACGCATTACCCAACCTCGCCTCTCGTGAATCTCATACGAAATCCGTAAACGCCAAAAGTAAACGTTCTACCTCCACTCTCCTGTCGTAAAATCATGATGTTTTCTCAAAAGAGTTGCGATGGGTAATCGTGTGTTGATCCGGTGACGAACATTTGTCCCTAACGAACGCCATTGAACGAAGGATCAAAGCCATACAGCTGGCGACCTTGCTATCATGAGTATTAGAATTTGCCATTGCGTGACAGAGACAGTGTATAGCTTACCCTGTTGAGCACGAAGATAATGTCTGTTACGCTGATTGTCTTGCGCCCACTGCACTCGACGACAGCGATGGCGTCTTTGAGGATCTAATCATCGTCAGCTTTTATCTGCCTAGCAAGAAAGGGAACTTACAGATCGGAGGCGGTCATTCAGAGCTTGTCGAATGTCGTCGTAGATGGTCGCTGCTATGCGCTTAACACCGCCACGGCGGGCTAGACGTCTGGAGAAGGATGTTGGTAAGATGTAACGCTGAATTATGCGCGCATATTGCAGCGCAGGAATGCTGCTCTTGCCACAGTTTGTATGTAGCGGAATGACTTACCTGATGTCTCCCTTCGTAACTCCGTAAATGGTATCTCGTTGAATCTTCCTACATGCATGTTAGCCCGCCTGACATTGAACCTCGCACAGAACTTACATATGTCTCTTCAGTCCCTTGCCCTTCCCTTTGCCGAGCCCGCCACTGCCCTTGCCTAAACCCAAGCCTAAAACCTTCGCCCGGCTTTGGTTTGGCGTGCCCGAAAGAGATGCTGTTGCGGATGATGACGGATGCGGAACACCGGGTCGCGAAGGCCCGGCAAAGCGACTAACACCGCTGAACTGGCGTGGTCGCTCGTTGACCATACTTGCGCGGTGCAGCTTGGTAGTAGTTTCGGTGATGGTGCAAAGGTGTGGCGACAGTGTAAGACGCACCTGTGCACGGGCCAGTGTGATGCAGCTTACCGGCGCGTAGACGCGTTTGCGCTTCGCGGTGTCAGGTGAGGTGAATAGCGGGGCAACGTAAGACAATCGACCATGCCAAGCTGTGGCTTGTTGCTCGTACAAACTCCGGTCTATGCGTCTTGGAAGCCAAATCATAGCAATCGAAAAACCAATGTAGTAAACGTTATTCATTAGGCTCAGGTTCCTGTCCTGAGCTTGATTATTAGGGCTAGGGTAGTCATGATTGAGAGGAGAGTCGTATCCAAGCACTTAGGAGATGAAGGTTGCCTCTGTGTAGAGAGTGCCCTCCTCCTCCTTGACCTCATCGCCCACCTTTACCTTGATCGTCATCTTCGGTGCGTACTGGTAAATGTAGGGCTTCGTGCCCGCCGCACTGGCGACAATAGCCTTGACGAAACCCGGCACTTCCGCCATCACATCGACACGATCGAACTTCTCTCCCAAAGAACCAGAGAGCTCGGCCGTAACGTCCTGGCCGTCCGCTGTCTTGCCCACCCAGTGGTAGCTAGCTGCGGTCGGCTCCGGCCAATCGTTGTCCGAATCCTGCTTGGTCGCGGTGTGCTTGGCTTCTCCGTCGGTGCCCGCGATAAGCAGCTTATCATCCGTAGCGATGCCGCTGACTCGTACGACAGTAGAGGCGTATGAGGCGGGCGTGGTGAACTCCATCAGGATGGCGGAGTAGGAGGGTGACTGGAAGTTTACGAAATTCCAACGAGCAGCTGGAGATGTTAGTGTGGAATGTATCGTGCAGGTGTCGGTACTGACCAGCATGGTGTGGCTTCATTCCCTGCAGCGCATGGCTGAACATGCCCCGGCCGTTGACATTGATCTCGCCATCCTTTGTGATGATACTGCCCTCCACCTTGGCTCTGGGCCAGAAGTGGTGGTACATGGAACCCCACGGAGCCTTCGGGTCTGTGCCAAAGTTGCTTGTGCCGTTCTTTCCTCCCATGAAGCCAGGTGCAGTCCTCGAGAACTTGACGTTGACCATGCTGTTCTCATTTACCGCCGCTTTGATTGTGTAGTACGAGCCATCTTCGGAGAGCTCGATGGAAACGCCGTCGGCATAGAAAGAATGCTGTTCCTCGTCGAAGCCGTAGTTGCTGAGGGGGTCCGTAGCCCAAAGGCCGGGCTTGGAGTTGTTGGGGTAGAAGAGCCTGCAGGTAAATTGGACAGTGACACGCATGCCACTATTTGATGTCAGCATTCCGAACAGCATTATGCTCAAGGACAAACATACGCTACGTTGCTGTAGATAAGCTGGAGGAACCCCACGTGGCCCTCGTCTGTAAACAGATAAAAGGTCTGCGACTCGACATTGGTGTAGTCCAGTGTAGCCCACTTGAGGTCCTTCTTGGTCAACTCGGTGAATGCGGGATCGCCGGCGTTCTTTCCAACAGGCTGGATGGCATCTGGGCCATATTCAGGCTCCTGGGTGCCGGCAACAGCGGCCAACCTGTGCTTGTGTGAGTATGCTGCTATCAAGCGCGTACCGCTGTCGCGCGAGCACGTGAAGGCGGCGAAACGGGAGGACTCACGTCGACTTTGCCCAGTTGAACATTTTCCGCGTGGGTCTGCGCACTAACCAAAATTATGCGTAAGTCAAAGCGGTAGTAGGGTCTTGGGGACGGCAGAGAAAAACTCTTGAATTTTCTTCTTCAACAAATTCGAGATTTTCTGGTGATAGTCACAAGGTCGCGCAAGTTCAGCAACGCGGGACTGGCGGTCAGATGCGAGGTGCAGCGGCGACAGATGCGGTTGGCTGGAGGTAGCGTGTTGTGGCTGACGTCGAGAGTCGGCGGGGTGTCTTGTAGGATTGCACAAGCCCAACACTGCTGAGACGTGAGGATGGTTGAGATGTTTGTTTGTCAGTCCAGCAGCGAGTCCACGGCACGATGGACATAGCTCGGCATCCTGCGGCGACGAGAGGCGCGCCTGCTCTCGCCGGGAATAGTCTAGCCACCAGCGAAACGAGTAATCCGAGTCTTCAATCGCCCACCAGCACCCCTCCCGCAGATCCCGATCACTCACAAGCAAATCTTGGTGTGCCTCAAAGCCGTCCTGCCGCCACACTCCCGGGGGGCTTTCTGCTCGTATCTTACATGTCTGCGCACTTCACCAGCCTCTCGTCTCTCTTCCGCTTCCGTATGCTCTGCACCAACGTCGACGTCATATGCCATCGGTGAAAAGAAGCCCCGCGCATCCGCCGAGCTGGGCTGCAACTATCGCAGTGCTTTCTTAGCAACAAACTTCGTCCGCGCCGTTTGCGCTCAGTTTGCGGACTGCCTTTCGTCCCTTATCCGCGCACTCCGAGGGTCTCGATCGGAGCTAGTGTGCCTATGACGGGATCAGAGGCCTGACTAATATACAACCACCAAGCATCGTAAGCTATTCGAGCTAACATCGTCATCCACTCATTCACTTTCCCTCACCCCACCATGGCGTCGCCGGCCCAGGAACAGTCGCAGTCGGTACGCTTCAGCGATGTCAACCAAGAAATCGAGCCTGAGAAGGCCGTTGAACCGCTATGCGACCTCACAGGGTCCGGAAAAGGTGCCCGCGATGGCCCAATGAGCCCTGAGGCCGAAGAAGAGCTGCGTAATCTGTCGACAACACTGCAGAAGTCCCGCTGCCAGGCCAAACGCATGGAGAACTTTTCGTTTGAGCCCGTCTCACTGCCGCCATCAAGAGTATGTAGAGTGCCAGACGCATAACCAATGGCAAACAGCTAACTCCCACAAGGCTCCCTCGCCGTCTCCTGCCTCTCGCACAACTTCTGGCCATTCTTACCAACCATCGTCTCTTGGCACGACTCCCTCGTCTCCTGCCTCCGCAATGCACTCGCCGCCTCTGACACCTGCGGGCACATCGTCGCGTGAAGACAAGGCGGGAGGGGCGGATAGCCACAGGAAGCAGTCGAGCGACCCCGCCATGATGACTCCGCAGGTGTCTCCCCCACACGAAACTCCTCCAACATCGATGGACTCATCGGTGCAAAGTGCCGAAGCCAGTCAACAATCGCTCGCTGTTCCGCGTTCTCCGAGACTATCTTCACGACCTCAGCCAGCATCTGCAACTGATCTTCCGGGAGTAGTTCAGCCTCATCCGAAGCATGGACCATCCTTCACCGTCGGTCCGGCTGGAGATTCTCTACCCGTCTCAAGAGATGTTAGCCCTTCCGGATCTGGCGGCCATCGCGGTTCCGGTACCTCCACACCAACTTCAGGTAGCCGGCCTCACACGCCAGCCGGCGACAACCCATACACTCGCTCGAAACGTGCGGCGCAGGCCAGGAATCTAGATTCGGTGGAAGCTAGATATATTTTTGGTGGCCCCGAGGGTCGACATGGTCAATCATCGTCATCTGCTTCTCTTCTGCCACGATCGCGGGGTGGTGCCGAGAAGGAGGAAAGCAAGAGATCGAGCTTCTTTGGCGGCAACGGAAAATCCTCTAGCCGCCACAACTCCAATGATGGGACCAGCGAGGCAAAGGCCGCCGCTGGCAAGCAGGGTCATGGATCCATGTCTGAACTCAAGCGCTTCTTCAAGATCGGGCACAGAAACAAGGACAAAGACAAGGAAAAGCGCAAGGAGTCTCCCGCCCCATCCATCAAGCGTGAGAAGCAAAGCAAGTCTAGCAAATCCGGCACCATGACCCCACCTCTGACTGGTGGCGGTTCTTTCCACATTCCCTTCGCGGACGACCACGGTCTCCAAAGCAAGTATGGAAAGTTCGGAAAAGTTCTTGGGTCTGGTGCTGGAGGCTCAGTCCGATTGATGAAGCGGAGCAGTGATGGAGTGACGTTCGCCGTGAAGCAATTCCGAGCAAGACATTCGTACGAATCTGAGAAGGACTACAACAAGAAAGTCACGGCCGAGTTCTGCATAGGATCAACACTGCACCATGGCAACATCATCGAAACCATGGATCTGGTAAATGAGAAAGGCAGCTATTTTGTAGTCATGGAGTACGCTCCGTATGACCTCTTTGCCATTGTTATGACTGCGGAAGATGAGCCGCGAGGAAGTCAGCTGCTGCACACTTCAAATATTGAACGGAGTGACTTACCTCCACAACATGGGTCTGGCTCACCGCGATCTGAAGTTGGACAATGTGGTCGTGAACGAGCATGGCATCATGAAGATTATCGACTTTGGAAGTGCTGCTGTCTTCCGATATCCGTTCGAGGATGAAACTGTCCTAGCAAGTGGTATGTACCAGTTCAACGGTTTAATCCCGCACGCAGTAAGCGGCTAACACCATCTAGGCATTGTCGGCTCCGATCCCTACCTTGCTCCAGAGGTATACGATCTCTCCAAGTACGATCCGCAACCCACAGATATCTGGTCCCTCGCAATTATATTCTGCTGCATGACGCTGCGAAGATTCCCGTGGAAAGCTCCAAGGGTATCTGACAATTCATACAAGCTGTTTGTATCACCTCCAAATGACGGACCGAAATCAATCACGGGTCCGTCCAAATCAGCCACCGATCTTCAGCATGAAGGCGACGATCGACGTCAGCCCGGCGCACAGTCGGAGCCTGTCTCCCGACATCAGAGTGGCGATCATCAGAACGACCATCGCAACTCCACGACTTCCACCAGTCAAACGCCGCAAGTGATTAAGGGTCCATGGCGATTGTTGCGCTTGCTCCCCCGAGAGAGTAGGCGCATATCATCGGGAGAATGCTAGAGGTCGACCCAAAGAAGCGAGCCACGCTTGATGAGATCATTGAGGACAAATGGGTGACTGGTAGCTACGTTTGCTCGCAAGAAGAGGGTGGCCAGGTGCTTCGGGCTGGTTCCCACGAACATACGCTCGAGCCTGGTGCCGGCACCGCTTCCGCCCCCAATACGCAACAGAAGAAATGAGCTGGACGCAATGTATAGAAGATACGGGACGTTGAAGAACAAGCCATAGGCGTTCGGCTCCAAAGCCTTAGCCAATAGCGGCCAGTAGGTCGCCTTGCTGAGCCGTGGGAGCTGAAATTGGCCAGGCAAGACGGACTGTTTGACTCTCTTCACGACTTGACGCTCACTGCATCGTGCGGTGTTGGTCATCTGCTTTCTCTCATCTCATTTACATGCGGCAGATCGGCGTTCAGGCATAATCGCTTCTCACGTCATGGAGCGGCTTCGGATAGACTGTGGGGTAACCGCTTCTTATTTTTTCCCTTACTTATCCTCCCTTGCGTAAATGCCCCATATTCTTCTTGTAATGTAGATTGACTCTGGAAATGCGAAACGATTGGAAAAGCGGCATTCGTCCAGGCGACGGCCGGGTTGTTGTTGGATGTAGATACCTTTGTCGGCGCACGTGCGGCGCCTTCACTATATAAAAGCATGCAATTGTTGCGACGAAATTGATTGCTTGGTGCAATAAGGTATAAAGTGACCATCGTAATCATGCGCATGGGAGATCGTCGATTTACCTTCGGAGAATTCAAGGACATCCCTCCTGCTTTATACCATTTACTATCGACCTCAATGCCACCTCGGTCACGGGGAAACATGATCCCAACCAGATTTTATATTCCACACTTGGCGTACATATCCCATCCTTGACGTTTTCCATGGATGAGACCACCTCGGTAGGTGCAAGCTTCGGAAGTTCGCCAGATGTTCGCTTGTACAAATCCCCGCATCCACCTTTGAAACAAGCGACATCTGGGCATCGTTTCAACTATTTGCCTGTGTGCATTTTGCTCAAACATGCCAGATCAGCCATTGCGACGCGTGTCTACTACCGCATTTGTGCTCTGGGGCCGGACGTGAGAAGTGAGGGGAAGGAAGCTGGGTGCAAGTGCATCGGTGGATTTAGGGTATGGACCGATTGTCGCATGCAAATGCTCGTCATAGAGTGGAGATGGGTACACGTAAGATGGGGTTGGCGCGAAAGCTGACAGGGTTTCTGGTTCACTGGGAACAAAAACGTTTGGAAGCAGTCGGGTCAGGCAACTTACGAGGCGCATCTACGGAGAGATGGATAGGTTTGGGAGATGCGGCGTTGTTTTGCAAGACCAAGCCTCATCTCCGTTGCACGCGACTCGCCGCACCGGAAACCGAAATTGAGGCACAATGCCTATACACAGCGGTAGCGGTTTCTTGGAATGTGGCTGAGAGTTCTCGATACACGGGATGTTTTTGGGACGGCGTCAATCGCTGCTTCGATGCTCACGCAGGGAGAGGCAAGCGTGAGACAGAGAACGTGTGGCCTGGTGTTTGTACAGTAGTTCGTTTCACGTCCCAGCCAGTCGCGTGCGTGCAAGACCAGGCGCAAGTTTGAGGTTAATCGTACAGGGATGGCAGGGTGCAAAAAGGCTTGTCGGAAAAGTGTCGCTTGCGCTTGCTTGTACGGCGCATCACGCATGATGGGTGCATGTTTGTGGATTTGAAGGCGCTGCGACGGACTGGTTAGGATGACAGGTCGTTGACGAATGTGGAGGGTCTAGTCGCCGATCCAGACTGTTTTGCACGTCCGCATGATGTGTGTAACTATGAGCTGGACGACACCGCTTGCACTTGCCAACCATCTCTTCGTTGCTGCGAATCCATGCGATTCGGGACTCCGCTGTCGTGCTGGAGAGGCATGTGAATGGATCGGTCTGGGTGGTCGTTGAGTGAGCACAAGCTCTTATCTCAGCGGCGGCGCAGCCAATGAGACTATCCAGCTTGCCAACTGCAGCACAACCTTAGCTGGCGGCACGGGATGCAGAAAAAAGGGCCTGTGAAGATCGCGCCCCCCGGGAAAAGCCTTGACGGACAAGAGAACAAGACAGGCCCCTAGTCCCAAGCGTAGCCCGCTCCATTATTGTGGCATCCTTCAAGGGCTTGGCCGAGAGCCAATACTTAGACGCACGTTCTCCCACCGCTGCATCATATTCTTCCCTGCTGCTCTGTGCTGAGCTACTCTTTTTCCCTTCCTAAGCACTACCAGTCCCATTCTCCCCATCAAGGCTACCTGAATTTGTTTTATTTAATATTTCCCGTGTTACGCACCCTACGCTTCTTTGGATCAGTGGCTGGACCGGACCCTATTCCGTTTATGTAATTAGGATTTTTACTTCTTTATAAAGAGTTAGCCATGCGTCGCCAACTTCCTCCGAGCAAGTTGCTTGTTCCACCAGGTCCCCAGGCCTTTCCGCAACGACATTTTCTGGGTGAATCGACGGTGATTGTAAATCATTATTCGGGATTTGAAAAAGCGATTCCGGCGATTCCTTCTTTGCCTGGATTCAGGACAAGCGCTGGTAAGTTTTTTTCTACTCTTGTTTAGGTTGGTGGTCGTGTGACCCGTACTTTTAACGCGATACTACGCGAACTTACACCACGACTCGACGACTTCATTTCTCCACGAGAACTGTTCGCTGATAATTCATTACAGCATTCTTCACAAGTTTGAGCGCAAACCTTAGAATTGATCCTGACCTGCCTTCGCCATTGGGCACACCAACCACCTTCCGCCATACCAGCTATTCTCACCAGCCCCTCCCACCAACACCACTATCCTTCTCCTCGCTTCCTGCACCGCACAACCCATACCCATCGCCTGCCGAGACCAAGATCATGTCGTCCACCGAACCCATTGCGCCCCTCAAGCCAGCCGCGGATGAGATACCGCAATTGGCTACTTACACAGCCGAATCTGAAGATGACCGCATTGAAGGATTGCGCCTGGTTGCCGACTCTGTTGCGCAGCAGCGCCAGGTCTCCAGCAAGATGCTGATCTTCCATCCCATCACCCTCGCCGTGTTTGGTCTGATCAGCGCCGTTGCTACTCAATGGATGCTCAAGTCTTACAACGACTGGCTTATGGTTGGCACTACCGTCGGAGGCATTGCCATGACCTTCTTGATCTTCATCCGCTGGATGACGGGCGAATACATTGGCATTGCGGAAGACATCGATATGAACTGGCTGGGCGATGACAGGCTCATTGTGGTGAAGTGGGGTGAAGACATTATTGGTGCATTGGTGTTGGGGTGGGCAGACAATGATGCCGCAAAGAAGCGTGGCAGGAGAAGACGCGGCAAGGCAGTCATTCGTGCATGGACTGTCAAGCTGAAGTACCGTGGCAAGGGCGTTGGCGAAGGTCTATTGGAAGAGGCGGTCAAGGTTGCTGGAGAGAGGGGCGCAGACGGTATCGTCTTTGACGCCGACCATGCCAGTAAGTCACGATCACAGCAGCATTCAATTTCACAATCTAACTATCCTCGAGACTCAAAACGCATTCTTCCCACCATCTTCAACAGCTTCCTCGACAAGCAAGAAGCGAAAGCTGAAAAGGCACTCAAGAAGGTCGCCGACGACAAAGGCAACTTTAGACAACGTCAGAGCTCTCCCACTTGGGGCAGCCGATAAGACATAGAACATTTCTTCTACAGGAGGGGGGCGGCGTTCAGGTTTCCATTCGAAACAAACTTCCTTTGGACGATACCCAAATCCCTTCGTTTGTTCACACTCAAAGATACCCCACGCATCGATCCAATCGCTATCGATGCTCATGTAGCCAAAGATTTTCTTATCTCACAAGCGGCAGGCTTGCTGCATGTATTTTCCTTGTTTCTCATCTTCGATCTACGGGCTGAAGTGTCGTACTGTCCCATGACGATATCACCAAGCGACTAGTCGTGCTTAGTATGCAGATATACCCGGTGACCTGGTGATGTGCCACACAGCTCGTCAAGCTCCGGCACTCGCTACCAACGCTCACATAGATTAATCTTTAATATCGTTGCCCGTGTAGCCGCGCTGTTATGCCTAACATTCCGTCATACTAGACGACTATTTCCCTAACTTGACACTACACCCCAACGCATGCGTCCATCCTGGGACTGTTGGGTAACTCTACGATGACGCGATAAGGTGTCTTGTTGCCATCCTGGATTATACTGATAACGCTGCATGAAGAACTGATATCAGCAGCTTGGCGCGTGAATGCGACAGGTCGGAATGCCCCGCGTATGTTGTACCCCTCATGCATGCAGCATCGGATACAGTAAGCTTCGTGTGCCAAGGGGGCATGTCGTCGCGGGCTGCCAATGTCGCCGGAACGCCGTCTTACACCCAAAAAAAAGTCCGAGGCGCCAAGTTTGCCTGTCACAGCGTCTGTGTAACTCTGACGGGAAAAGTCCATGATCGTCGTCCTACCCCCTTTGCTCTCAAGATAGACCGCCGTGCCACAGACAGATTCAGTACGCGCCCGCACAACGCATCTTCGGTCGGTCTCCGTCAGCGCGCGCCTGCGCCTGCATCATCTGCATCGCCATCGACCGACTCCGCCGGATATTCTTCCCTCAACTGCTGGATGACTTTCTGTGCCACACAAACCATAATTAGCATTCCGAACATCCCAACATTTTCTTAATCAAACCAAACTCAAAAACTGCCTTGCGAACCGCGCGTGAGGTGCGGAACCGCCTGAGCTGAGCTGTGCCTCACTGCAACATGAAAGTAAAGTTCGAGCGGGAACGTACGGCTAGAGCTTCGGGATTCGCGCCGTTCTCGATCAGAGACACGCAGTAAGAAAGTTGTTGGCGGTCTAGGTGGGTGTTCTGGACATATTAGATTGGCGGTTGTGTTGGGTTTAGATGGTGGTGGTGTATACCAGCAATGTTGCGATTTCGTGGAGGATGTCGATGACTTCGCGGGCGGCGCGGCGGCGCGCATCGGCGGAGGTGGATTCTGCTGGCATGTTTGGGAGATGTGCTGATTCTGGATGTTTAGTTGTCTTCTTCGAGTCGCGTTGGGACGCGTTGGTTGCACGTGTTTGGTGCTTGGCTGCTGCCCAGGTGCCCCTCCATGTGGCCCGTGTGAGACCCTGAATAGATGACTTCTCGATTTGGACGTGAGGTGTGAAATGTTTCTTGTGATACCTAGGTACATCACGAGGGTTGTCATCACGCTTGAGAAACATCAACGACAATAAGGATCATAGTGTGCGGTGATCATACCGTAAATTCGCTCGCGAGCTTGCGGCAGAGTTTGTCTTCGTCAAATCAAAGCTACATTACTCGCTGATACTTAGAGACTTTTATACATTGATCTTTTAGCATATCACAGTGACGCCAGACACACTTCGGGAAGTCTTGAAGAAATGACGACCACAGTCAGCACAATACCTGGCGACACTGGAGTGCAGCGTATAGTAAGTCATTTGAGAATAGAGGACTAAATGAGTATGTTGAGCCTATCAAGAACACAGATAAGATTTATCAACCGTATGAAGACGTTCGATAGTCCTAGTTTACTCCATCTTTTGAAGTCTTACTTCATCCTTTTGGGTCAATCATGGTGATGTTGTCATTCGTGAACCCTGAGGCTGTACGCCAACTGTGGCTTTACCCCGCTAACCCCACACGTGCTCTTCAATTTCACCTCCAACATCTCGCTTTGCCCAATTACATCCCTGCATAAGCCTCCCATCTCCTCAACCCAGCACTCAAAATGGTGTACTATTTCACGTCCAACACGACGTCGCCATCCGCCTATATCTACATGGGCAAAGACAAAGTCGAGAGTCAGTAAAAACAATAAAATTGTCGCGTCGCAACCCCCAAAAACTTACTAGCATGCTAGATGAGGACTTGATCAAACATGGCTGGGACGAAGACATCTGGTTCCACGTCGACAACTTGTCGTCCGCTCACGTCTACGTGCGCCTCCCCGAGGGCGAGGATTGGGAGAAGATGACGAAAGAGCTATTAGTGGACTGTGCGCAATTGACCAAGGCGAACAGTATCGAGGGGAACAAGAAAGATAACGTCACAATTGTTTACACGCCTTGGGCCAATTTGAAGAAGGATGGGAGCATGGCTGTTGGGCAGGTGGGGTTCAAGGATCAGCGGAAGGTATGTGATGGGTTTGTGGGCGTGTTGGTTTGGGGGGTTTGCTGATTATGGTGTAGGTCAAGCGCATACATGTTGAGAAGAGGGAGAACCCGATTGTTAATCGGCTGAACAAGACGAAGACGGAGAAGTATCCTGATCTGAGGGAGGAGAAGGAGGCGAGGTTGAAGGAGCTGAGGAAGAGGGATCAGGGCGAATTACAGGCACGAGTAAGTTTTGAATATCTGTTTCTATGCTCTGTTCTTTTGTCTTTGGTTCATGCTTCCTCCTCTGGAAGGCGGTGTATCATCTCTTCGTATCCTATGGCCCTTCTTCTTCTGTCCGATTTTCATTTCTCCAAATCCCAATTCTATCGACCAGGGAATCACCCGGCTCGTGCCTTGGTCATAACACACGTACAATCGAGCTAACAAGATCTTAGCGAAAGGAGGAAGCTCGCATTGCCAAGGAGCGTAAAGAGCTTGCATACCGCAGAGATCATGCGTACGACGACATCATGACTGAGGACAACCTTGCGGAGTCGAGCAACCAGGATCGCGATGAAGACTTCTTGGACGACTTTATGTAATCCATGTCCACCACAAGTCCGACTTCAGTCTTCATGGTTGTCGCAAGGCTAGGGCATGTCTAGGCCTACCCATCATGTGCCATTGTTTCTCATAGCGAACGGCGTTCAGGAACAGCTTCGGTTCGAAGTGCGGAGCTTAGTTGGGATCGCGGACGGTCATAGCTGGAAGACACAGACCCATGCTCTCGTTCAGCATGCGAATATTATGATTGAAGGTATCATAAGCTGTCGTTTTAATCTCGAGCTCTTCACGAGTACTGCAAGTCATTAGCAGACGAAGGGTGGAAGTGCAGCTTGTGGGCTACTCACGGAGCTTTGTGTCTAGGCTTTCCACGACCTCCCTTTGCCTGCATCCACCATACGAACAGAAGGTTCTTTACAATTCTATGCTCTATGCCATTCTCGCGTGTTGCATAATGCAGGAACTCGACTGTGTTCTTGATCTTGAGTGGCTCGAAGTCAGTTACCGAGCCTTTGCGGAACGCCAGGCGCAAACGATCGCGAAGAGTGTAGCGCGCAGGCTTCGAGAATTGAATGGCCCGCAGGCTATGGCGAAGGACGTGCCTGTACGCGTGAATCACAGCTTCTCTTGACATTGTCGCGAATTGTGAATGTCGCGCGTCGCGATGACATGATTGGGTCTCCGGAGAATCGTTCAGCCGGCCCCAAGCGCGCGACGCCATCGATCACCTCCGGCCATCCCATCACCGTCACCTCACACCAACACCCCACTTGCTCGTTTTGCAGCGACCAGGGCTTGTAGAATCCTCATCAGCAGCGCGCAACGGTTGCGCATCTTTATAGAGCACTGCGATTTGTGAATAATCACTAACTATTTGTTGGACAAAGCGACCACGCAGTTACCCCCCTCAGCTCAACTCTGGATCTATGAGAGCAGGATACTTGCACTATGACACGAGTACATCACGCGCGCCCACAGCACGCGACAAATCGCAGTACGATACTTGATCAGCCGAGAGCAGTCGCCAAGAAGAAAAAGCCGTACAAGATCGTGCTTGAAGCCGTTACGCAGGAGAAGAAGAAGCTGCACTCTATTGTCCGTCGCCAACTATTCGCTCCATGGGATTTGTACTAACCCTCCCCTAGCTCACCTACGCTTCCAATGCGCCCAAAGGATTTGGTTTCATCCCAGCTGGACACCCGGAATTCACAGAATGGTGCAAGGAGCAGTGCCGCCAGCGCAATCTCGATGTCCACATTGTTTCGGTCCGCAACCATCGATCCAACACCGCGAGCACTATACTGACTCTTCCATAGGCCAAGCCGAAGAACAAGATGCACGCTGACCCCGAAAAGTTGTCACACCACGTCCACCGAGTCGGGCACCACTTTCCCATCGAAATCGTAAACTTGGCGTGTAGCAAATTCGGCTATATGTACGACGAAGCACATGGGCTCCAAAAGGATAACTCGCGTGACCGGACAAATTGGATTGCTCGCGGTATCGAGGACTACTCGTCGCGGCAACAACTCCACGGGCGCCCTAGCACCGAGAAGGAGTCCAAGGAGCACACTCGTGGGGCTGTCCGCGAGATGTTTCCAAAAATACCAGAGGCAGATCTTAACTCGATTGTCAACCATGCTTTCGAAGAGGTAAAATCATGACATTGAATCATAAAAGTATTACTCACACCTGGTAGGGAACCAACCGTGTAGGTAACGCAAAGGAGCTGTCCTTGGCTCGTCGCGTACAGCTAGCTGTCGTCGCTCATATCCGTCATGTGTACACAGACTACGACAAGATGCTTAAGACTGGATCCTGGATGCAGGCCCGACAGAGTGTCGAGCACGTTTCCCTTGCCAAGCTCAAAGAGTGGCGAGATGAAGCCGGCGAAGCGAGTAATGAAATCGAGGATACGTTCCGAGAGGTCATTGTTTTAGACGACGATGACGATGAATCAAGTGACGCAGGATCACAGGCAACACCTGATGAGCGTGAACAGTCCATGGAAATAGTGTCTAGCCGCGCGACCGCAAGAGATCTTCAGCCTGAGAGATATGCCGGTCCTCGCATGGATATTCATGGCATGCGAAGAGCGCCGAGACGGACAATTGTGGTCCAGCCGTATCATCCTCAATATTCTGCTCCTCCACCACCTTCACATCAACAGCCACGACACTATGCTCCAATGTCAGACAATCGCCCACCATCCCGAAACCAGGCATTCGCAGCAGCACACAGCCGACCTATCGAGGCGTAAGTGAGCGCGCACTCGTAACACAACACATCGCTGACCTGCGCAGACGAAGCAGACCCCCAACCACTCATCCTGTCCCAAGAGCCCAACCTCTTGTGCAGGAAATAGACGGGCAATTGTATCATGTGAGTGTAGATTTTGTCGAGCCACATGAGCTCGGCACAGAGGTATTTCCTTTCCCCTCCTTGTTTGGAACTAACATTTGTAGCTCGAGCCCATCAGAGAATCTCCACCACCTCCAAGGCCTCAGCGCCACCCACCAGTTCAGGCTCCGCCTCGTTATTCACAAGATGAGTACATGCACATTCCCCCAGCAGCCAACGCATCAGCAGGACGACGACCGGTGCATTCTCGACGCCCGTCAGAACAAGATGTCGTACTACCGTCCGTTGAGCGTGAGCAAGTGGATTTGACGTCCCCGCGACGCCACCCCACTGACCAATATTTGCATTCGGAACCCCGCCCAGTCGGAGACTATACGACCATGCCACCAAAGCGTAGATCTTTTCCTTATGTTCCAGACGACAGAGATTATACTGGGCCAGATCACAAACGTGTCAGACCCACATGCTTTGATGAGGGTATGGCCCATCGTGCTGAACATGCGCATCTGTCGCGTCCGCCACCTCCACCACCAAGCAACCATCAATCCATGGAGTCGCGAACCCGGCCTAGGGCGCAACCACCACAGGAGTATATTGATCTAACATCTAGTCCTCATCGACCCGTCACCAACGGAGAGCACAGGTACAATGTACCTCATACAATTGCAGATTCAGACTCTCGCAGGATGTCGTATGTTCCCGTTCCTACCCACCAAGTGCCGGTGCGCGACGAGAGGAATCAATACCAGATGCACCCGGGTGAACCGCCTCGCGCCTTCAATACTGGCAGTGGCGTGTTCGCGGGTCGGGCTCCACCAGTTCGTGACTACGTGCCTTTGAGAGCTGAACAGCACCACCGACCTGTTGATGGGACTGGTGTCAGATACGCGAGAAGTGGGCTGCATTATGGTGGCCCTGACCTGCATTGAAAGGCGTCTTCACTCTTGCTTGCGGAGTTTTACGGTTTCCTTTTGGACGATACCCTTTTCATTGTGTTTGTTTGCATCAGAAGAACACCCGTTCTTCGGTCTCATACGCTTTGCATAGCTGCTTTGCACATCTGACATGTTTCATTGTGTCGCATCGCTCGGATCGGCTTTACGAAGACATATGAAAGTTGGAGGTTTACGGTCTTGAGAAATGGAGGTAGAAATTGGCATACGAGAACATGTCAACTGTGGAGATACCGTAGCAGCATGTCGACTTCTGGCTTATTTCGATGTCACTGGCATTGATTTGTCCAAATACAAGTCACTATTTGCACATTGCTTGTTTGCGTTATTGAACCTCGAATGCTGCCCAGGTGGGCATCTTCTCAGTGCCACCCTCGGAAGCTCATGTGCACCCAGTCTAGATTCGCCCATGAGTACGCTAACGGGCATGAATTAGGTGTTCCTGAGTAATCGCAGTCGATCTACAAAGCCGGGCGGTCCGCCGCCGCTCTAGCGCCAACGACAAAGCCATGACGCTTAGATTTCGACGTTTATTTACGTCATGTTCGATCGCGCTAAACAATGCGTCGTCGTGAAATGAAATTAATTGAAAAGCATATACGCCATGCATGCCCAGTAAATGCCGTTCTTCCTTTCAGTCAATCCCAAATCTCTTGCAAAGCTTAGTAATCTCTAGCGTAATTTTTTGCATTGTTTCATTATGAAAATCCCCCAGCGGCTACGCCGTCCGTTTTACAATAAAAGCGAAATACACCCTGATGGCCCGGCGGAGAAGGTCAAGATAAGACCCAACGAGCCGGAGAGTGGCACGACAATTCATCCGGACCATGAGACGCATAATACTCCCGTCGGATTCTGGCATCCTGAGCTTCGCAAAGTCAGGAATCGCGCCTTTGCAAAATGGATTGTAACGACCGCGTTCCTGATGGCATTCATCCTGGCTGTTCTTTCGATATACTGGGGAGTATTCTTCAAGGTCGAAAACCGCTTGAACCATTTGTTCGTCTATGTGGTAGACATGGATGGCGCTGCACCCTATGCCAACACTGGAGCTCGGCCTTTCGTTGGACCAACTATCACCGAGCTCGTTGAAATGCAGTTGAACAGCGGCAAGCCCACACTTGGATGGAGTGTCCGATCTGGATCCGAGTTCAATAACGATCCGGTGGAGGTGCGACAAGCTGTGTATGATTGGGACGCCTGGGCTGCCATCATCATCAACCCCAACGCGACGGCGCTATTGTACCAAGCTGTAGCTACTGGAAACACGAGCTATGATCCGCTCGGTGCATGCCAGCTGGTGTACCAAGATTCCAGGGACAGCACCAATTGGAACGACTTCATGTCCCCCTTCATCAACTCGTTCATGACGCAGGCGCAAAGTCAGGTCGGCCAGCGATGGGCGCGCATGGTGTTGCAAAACGCGAGCGACCCTGCTGCCTTGACGAATATTCAGGCCGTTCCACAGGCGATTAACCCGGCCATCGGGTTCTCAGAGTTCAACTTGCGCCCATTTTTTCCTTACACTAGCATTCCCGCTGTGTCTATTGGTCTTATCTGTAAGTTGTGATGTTCAACTTTGACAATGTTGACCACTAGAGCTGACAAAACCTTTTAGACCTGATCATTATTTCTTTCTTCAGCTTCTCCTTCTACATGCCCATCCACATGCAGTACATGTCGCCCAAGGGGCATCCTCCGCTCAAATTCCCGCAACTCATTGCGTGGCGCTGGGCTGCGACTATTACCGCTTACGTTTTCTTGTCGCTTGCGTATAGCTTCGTGTCTATGGCATTCCAGATCAATTTCTTCGGCACGAACCCCGTCACGTCCGAGACTCAGGTTACTATGATAGAATACCGTACGAGGCACGAGTCCATCTTGAATTTTTTACATGCTCACACTTTTTCAGGTAACCCCGTCGCCTACGGCCACGGCACATTCCCCGTATACTGGATGCTCAACTTCGTCGGCATGATCGCTCTCGGCCTCGCATGCGAAAACATGGCAATGGTCGTCGGACAGCCCTGGATGGGCCTGTTCCTGATTTTCTGGGTTATTACCAATGTATCAACATCTTTCTACGACATCGAGATCGCGCCCACTTTCTACAGGTGGGGGTATGCTTGGCCGTTGCATTCGATTGTGGAGGGCAGCCGGCAGATATTGTTCGGTCTGCATTCGAGGATTGGACTTGATTTTGGTATTTTGTTCGCGTGGGCAGGGGTTAATACTGCGTTCTTTCCCGTCTGTTGTTGGTTCCAGAGGTGGAAAACGCAGAGGGAGGTGCATGAGTATTGGCCGATGCATTAGACTTGGGTCGGAGAAGATAGTTGGTTGGAGGAGATAATAATCGACGAGCTGCTATATTTTAGCACACTAGCGTACGTGTATATTTTAGTAGCGTACCTAATGTAGTTCATTGACTTTATCGCTCGCTGTACCTGGCGAAGCTTACTCTACTTGTGCATCGTCCTGTACCTTTCCTTCACGTGCTCGACGATCTTCCTGACCTCAGTCGAGTCGAGCTTCTCCTTCCTGTCTAGCGTGTACAGCCCATTCACCTCTTGCTCAATATCCGTCAATTGTGTGTAAACAAAGCCGCCAATATGTCCTCCATCGACGATGCCCATCATCATCTTCTCAATCCTCTTCAGCAAGTCCTTCGGATCTGTCGCAGTCGTATACCCCCAGTCTCGCTGTCCACCCGCTTCTACCGCCGAGCGCGCAATGTTGATACCACCAAACTCCGTGCAAATGACCGGCGCATTGCTCATATGCGACGAGCCCGGATCGTCACCAGTCGCATCTAAGAATAGCGGGCGCCCACCATGCGCTCCCAAAATCCCATCCATGGTCTTACACGTCTCCATCAGCGCATCCGCATCCGCATAGTCATGGAATGTCGTCAAATCCGTCTTCACATGCTCCCATCCACAATTATCATTCACAGGCCTCGTCGGATCCATCGTCTTCGTCGCATAATACAAGCTGCGAATATGATTGCGCTGCCGCACGTCTCCTTGCAGATCCGTATATGCCCAGCTCTCATTCACCGGCGTCCATGCAATCACACTCGGATGGTTGATATCGCGCATAACCGCCTCGCGCCACTCTTGGTCGAAGCGCTCGACATACTCCGCGCTAAACGCATATGCATTTGCCATCTCGCCCCACACAAGGAAGCCGAGCCGATCGGCCCAGTAGAGGAAGCGCGGGTCTTCGACTTTTTGGTGCTTGCGGCAGCCGTTGAAGCCCATCTTCTTGCTGAGCTCGATGTCGATTTTAAGTGCGGAGGTGGATGGGGGCGTCATGAATGTGTCGGGCCAGTAGCCTTGGTCGAGGAAGAGGGCTTGGAAGTAGGGCTGGTTGTTGAGGCGGAACGTGCCATCGGCGGTGGACCAGGAGAGGGAGCGCATGCCAGTTGTTGTGTGGATGGTGTCTATGAGGGCGGAGGAGGAGGAGTAGAGGCGGATGGTGATGTCGTAGAGCGTGGGATGCTCGGGAGACCACAAGGCCACACCGTTGTGCCAGCACTTGCCGCTGGCAAGATACGGTGCTGATTTCGTTACTTCTTCTTGCTGGGTTTTGGACAGCTTCATGTTTGTTTCGATGGAGACTATATCCGAGTCACGTGGTAGCTCTAGTCTCTCTGTCTTGCCAATTGCAACACCCTCTAGACTGGCTTCGATCTCGACACCGAACGCATGGCCAGCTGGACGACCTAGTACCTTGATTTCCCCCACAAGCTTGCCACTTTCGATGTCGTTGCTCTTTAAGACTGTCCCCGTGCTCGCATCTCCAATTCTGACTGTGGGCACACTTTCCAGCCACACAGTCTGCCAGATACCTCCGCTTGGTGTGTAAAAGATGCTTTCAGGCTGTGCCTTCCAATATTGCTTTCCTCTTGGCTGAGTCAGATCGTGTGCTGAGTCGAAGACTCGCAGCGCAAGCCTCTGGGTCTTGCCAGATACAAAAGCATCTGTGATATCGATATCGAATGGTACATGACCGCCTCGATGTCCGCCAAAGAATTGTCCGCCAACCCACACTTTGGCCTCATAATCGACGGCTCCAAATCTGATGACAACACGATGACCGGCGAGCTTCTGTTCTTCGGATCTCAAGTCTTCAACCTCTCTCTCGTACCACAAAACCTCGTGCACCCCTAACTCATTAATGCCAGATGCAGGACATTGGAAAACATAGGGAACTTGGATGTCTCGCTTCTTGTTGACGACAGCTTCATGACCCTTAAAGATGTTGTCTTTCAATAGCTCTTGTGTTCCCGCAGCAATCTTGGCGACAATGTCTGGTGCTCCGGACTTGTCCGAACTGTTTGTGTTGGTGGGGTTCACCGTGATTTCTTGCGGGAGACCTTTGAGGTGCCAGGACTGCGACAATCCGACATCGTTATCATCGAAGAGAAAGGACCACGGGCCGTCGAGAGAACGCCATTGGACGCTCTCGCGAACGAAGTCTGGACGTGGGTAGTCGTCGGCCATTGTTCAGAGTTGCTGTGGGGTTGACGGAGTATGTGGTTCTATAAGACTCAAAGGAAGGTGTCGTTGGAACTATTGAGTCTGATTGCTGATCTTCATCAGGCACACACGGCACGTGTGATGTAAGTTGAGGTGGGGAGGTGGAGTAGTAGACTGGGTCCTGTTGAAATTAGGCCGAGACAAGCCTAGCGTCTTCTGCCTGATGCTGCGTGCGCGTACTGGATGCCACCTTCAACGTACATGGCCCCTCTCGCTCCCTAAACTGATACTCTACTGCATCAGCCCGAGATACAGTCTGATGAACAGCAAGTTTCGAATGCTTGATGGCCTTTCCCTTTTTGATACATTGTTTCCTTGATGATGCTTGCGTTTTCCCCGTAGAGGCAAGGCAGTATGAGCAATTAATGTTGTATTGAAGATTTAATTCACAATTAATTGTTGCGTCTAGATAACTTACTATTCAATACTGGTACAATGTGAGAGACAGAATCAGGTCTCATGTACAGCCTCAAAATTCACTTCATACTTCTTCTCAGTGTCCCAAGATCTCCTTTGCAACTCGCTCACCACTACGAATAGCACCATCCATATACCCGGTCCAGTAAACGCTCGTCTCAGTTCCCGCAAAGTGAATGCCATCAACTGCCTCGCGCAGTGCATGCCCATTCTTGCTCAGCACACCACCTGGCGGTGCGACCGCAACCGGTCCACCCTTGCTGAATTCCTCCAAGTCCCAGCGCTGCAGCACAAACTCAGTTGTGTCTGCTGCCTGTGAGCCAAAGTATCTGACGTAGTCTGAGGTAATCATCTTTTGCGCTTGCTCAGCAGGTAGTTTGTCAAGCGCACGCATCTCGTCACCGAGAATGAATCCCAGGATGGCGCCAAATTTGCCGTCGGATTCTGAGCTATCGAATGTGACCTTGACGGAGCCGCTATCTGATACGACTTGGCCATCAAGCTTCTCGGTGGTGCGCCAGAAAGGGGTCTTGTAAACTGCGATTCCCTTGCCGATTGCAGGAAGCTTGAGACCGTCGATGAGGTTTTGTCGAGCTTGGGGAAGGGCAGGAGAGAAAGCGATACGCTTGAGTAGTGGCGGAGGCATGGCGACGACCACCCTGTTGGCCTGCACACTACCCGCGCATGATTCGACAACATAGCCTGTGGGCGTCTTCTTGATGCTGGAGACTGCAGCGTTGAGTGTGATATGTTTGCTGCCGACCTTTTCAGCGAGACGCTCGGGAATCAGTCCTGTGCCGCCCACAACACGAGACTCTTGAGCACCATTTTGGACAGCGATAACCGATGCGAGGGTTCCCCTTGTGGTCTCATTACCACCAGATGCAATGTAGGCGATGAGATAAAGTAGGGAAATGTCGCGAGGTTCGGCGGAGAAGATGCCTTTGCATGCGGAAGTCAGGACCAGTTGTGCATCCGGATGAGGTGCGTTTGCGTTGAGGAAGTCTTGGAAGGACATCTTGTCCCATTCGGCGGCATTGGAATCGTTCCATGGAGCATTGACATCGATCTTGCCGGTCCATTCGTTGAGTTTTTGCTGCACACCCGCGATCTGGATTAGTGCCTCTTGTGCAACAGGCGGTGAGCCGCCAAGAGCTGGGTCTGGTGTGTATACCAGTCGCGTGCCATTGCGCCACAAGACCGAATCACCCTCACTGTAAGTCTTGAACGTCTCCAGACCCAAGTCTGAGATCATCTTGAAAACATGATCCTGGGTGGGACCAACAAATTCTGCACCAACTTCAGTGACACCACCATTCTTCAACTTTGCGTTGTGGACTTTGCCGCCGACTCGATCGCGAGCTTCGAGGACCCTCACCGTCTTGCCTGCAGCCAGGAGATCTCGTGCCGCGGTGAGGCCAGCAAGACCAGCGCCTACGACGACGACATCGACAGACTCTGGGACGGCTGCTGCTGAGACGATAGAGGGGGAAGCAATTAGAAGAGTAATGGCGGTCCGAACGGCAAGGAAGCCGGTGATGCGAGCCATACTGGAAGTGAACGATAGGAAGGTATAGTAGATACGGCTAATGTTCTAAGTGAAGAGCTGATGGCCGCTGAGAGCATCTGCAAATGTCTCCTCTTATATACACCCTAAGGACAGACGTCAGATATCTAGGGTATACCTCGGTCGTATTGCCATGATAACCATGGTCCTTGACGGAATTGTTGATCTATGTTTAGCCCCCAAAGGCCTCGTGTACAATGTTCCTCATCGGGAATGTGGTGCACACCATGGACAATCTCAGGTACCACTCGCATATAGAACCTAGCACAGAGGCGGGTCGGCCGATGTAAGTAGTCTACGCGCGATGTTTCGTGGGGATGTTCCGTGTCCGCCGTTTACCGGTTAGTCTGTGGCTAGATGTTTGGGAGATCCCGGCTGGCAACAATATTATGATTGGGATGGTGAATGTCCGATCAAGCTGTCAACTCGCAACCCTAACGCGTTGGAGCGTTAGACTGGGAGTGTCCAAAGGAGCGTGGAGTGGTCTCGCAAGGCTGACGACACTCCCGTGATCGAAGCGGTTAGGCTGCGAGACTTGCGCATTAGCTACGATGGCAGCATGCTATAAGGCTATCAAGGCAGGGTAAAGCCATGTAGAATACTGAAAGTAGATCAGCTTGCGAGATGTCGAAGGAGATCGGAAATGCCAAGGACACCGAACGGTTCCGAGAAAGCTTGAGAAGGCGTCGCGCTAGATGCCACTAGAACGCTGGCATCGGCCCTTCCTGTGCACTCTCATTTCAATTGGGATGAACTCAGCGACAATAGTGGGAGACATCGTGGAAATAATAGAGAGTATGAGTGCTTCAGATATAGGTAGTTGTGAGGGGTCCACAGCAGTGACCGACCTTGAGTAGTCAATTGAAGCACAATATTCCCCATAATTTTCTTTCATCGCACTGCGATTACATGTTATGAAGCGCGTATTCATTTGCAAATTCGCGATCCAGATCATATAGCAACATTCTGTCAATGGTGCCTATAATGTGTTTTGATCCTCTTTCTCAACAACCTGGGAACAAACTAGCACGTGTATGTCAACGCTCCTCAGATTCCAATATGGCAGCCTGATTGTCCTCATGAATTTTGAGCTTCCAGTTTCCTGAAACGAAACATTTTGTAGCCTACAGGCTTATCCATCAAAAATCACTCATCCAACCCAAAAAGATCCACTAGTCGTCGCTCCTCTCCCTCTTGATCCTCAACATCGTCTTGGCTCGACGATACCTTTCCTTCAGTCTGCCATATTTTCCGATCATATTCTGAGACTTGGTCTCCTGTACTGAAGACCTATCCTTCAATTCCTTGTTCTCTTGCTTGACAGCTTTGAGTTTCTTCTTCGATCCAACTGTCTTGGCTTTCGCGGCCTTGGTCTTATTATCCTGCGCAGTGAGCTGGGCTTGAAGATTCTTCATCTCTTCTTGGTGAGCAGCTCGAACTTGTGCGAGTTCGACATCGACATCGGATTGGAAACGTAGGACTTGGCCCTAGTCATCGTTAGTGAATAGGATAGAAGATGAGGAGGGTAATCGGGACTGGTCTCACCTTCATGGATGCAGGCTGCGTGCCATCTGAAATGTTGAGTCAATTTGAGATACAGCTGAGGGGTAAAAGGTGACTTACACCTCGCTTGAACACGAAAAGAGGTGCTGTTCACGACTGTGCGTGGGAGCTTCGTAGGTGTGATCTCAGCTGTGGAACTTTCACATGCTTCACTGAGTCTGACGCCGCGCAGGGCGAGCTCGGATGAGCGCTGGGTGTGCTGATTGCCGGAATGCTCTTGGAAAGACAGTCTGTTCTCCTGGAATGCAAGCTTCCCAGCTTCCTCAGCATTGTGGTTCTTCTCGAAGGCGAGGCATGCAAACTGCAGTTTCCCGGCCATATCTATTCCCCGAGAATTGTGGGCGTGATCAAGTCGACCAGTGAGAAGAAGAACGAAGTTGACAACCGTCTCAAATACCTCCGCCTCGAAATTGAAAGTTGTATGACGCGTGCGCTTGGACTTTGAGGAGCCCTGTGTCGATCCCATCAGGCGGAATGGTGTAAAGTAGTAGATTCGTGATATGTGGTTCTCCAGAACCGGCTCGCACATGTCGGTAGGCTGACCCATGTAGTATTCGATGTGATGTCCGTTGCCATGCGCCCATACAGGTGGTCCAGGATTCAGGTAGTAGCGGCCGATGAGAAGCATATCGGCTTGATGCCTTTGCTTGTTCACATTCGTGTATGTTATACTCTCGACTGTGTAGAGACCGCTGTTGGCCATGATGCTGAACTGAGCTTGATACCGGGATTCTGCATGGCTGTTGAAGTCGTTCAATACGTATTGCTCTGGGTACACCATGGCAACTGGAAGGTTGGAAGAGCTAGATGATTTTAGCGTGATCTCACTAGATGGAGGAGTGTCGTACTCGACTTGCGCAGCGCCGCGTAGGAGTCGAACAAGCGCGAAACAAACTCAGTCGATGTTTGAAAATTAGAAAAGGTGGTGTCAAACGCGAAGCTAACGCGCAAAGACGCGAGTTGAACGTGAGTGTGCTAGTGTTAAGAAGTGAAGACAGAGAGAACTTGTCTTCACAACACCACGGTACTGGAGCTACGATACACCGAGGACAAACGCTCGTGGCGGTGAAGGCAACCGTACAGCACGTGGATAGCAAGAGCAGAGCTGCAAACGAAAGCACTCGCTAAAAATCAGCGAAATGAGTATATATAGATACCTTCATACACACTTCCCCCATCCTAAGCCCCAACCCGGCTAACCTTATACTCCACCACCGTCCCCTCGCCCTCCCCGACAACAAACCTGCCCGCCGCCACATACGTCCCATTCTGCAAATCTTTGTACTTCTCACTCCCCGTCTCAAAGCTAAATGTCACAAAGCTATCTCCAAACTCCGTAGTCTTGGCGTCAGGGGAGGCAGACAAGATGGCTTTGACGCCCTCAGTCAGCTTGACATTGCCTTTGTAGTACATTGCCAGGATGGTGTTGTCATCGGTTCTGGGGCCGGGTTAGTTGGTGAGGCAAAGGATGTGCTGCTCCAACAATGTGTCAATGACAAACTGGCGCTATACTTACTTGACCTGAGATCGCACGTCGAGACGCATGTGTGAGCCCGATGCGTCGTTCTGGATGTAATCGTATCCTACGCCGTGTCTGGGTGGGGGTTAACAACTACTTTCCCTCTCACACTGAATGACGTACAATTCTCCGTTCAGTTTCGGCTCGAAGCCATCTTCGCTCTTGACTGTCCCGCTGACCATCGGCACGATGACAAGCTGGGAGCCAGCTTGTCCGCCCACAGACATGGGCGCGTCGATGGTGACGCGGACTGTGAAGGCGGGCTGGAGGGTGGGGAAATCTGATGGCATGGTGAAGGATTGTGTGATGGGATTGAGATTTTGAAAGATTGGGTTGAGATATATGTGTCTTGATCCGATAGTTGGTATTTGATATTCGCGGTGAGGTTCCGCATCCGCAATTCCAAGCTCGAAGCTGTAACTAACAGTGAAGCTACCCCGCCTCGCGCCCCACCCGTTCCTTCCTCCCGTTCCGATGACGACTACAAAGATTACACAGCTCGTCGCATTGCTGGCGCAACATATCGTAAACCGCTGCTAGAAGCCACTGACTCTCCCATTTTTCTTCTTCTTCTTCTTGTCTAGTCTTCCGCCAAATTTGCCTGGCTCCACCTGACTCTGCATTGGAAACGGAAACGTGCCAAATCCTTGACTCTGAGAACTTGCACCTGGGAGCGGAACATGCTGACTTGTGGCTTCGCGCATGGGGCCTGGAGAGCTTTTAGAAAATACAGTGGGCTTGACAAAGGTGAACGGCTGGCTGAAGGGTTGACTTGAGACCTGCGCCTGTGCGAGCTCATTTTGACGCTTCTGCATTCTTTCGCGACGTTCTTTCCTCCTTCGTGCTTTTTCTAGTTGTTCTGGGTCGTCACCATCAGCTGTCTCGAGGCGAGTTGCGCGTTCAGAGGCGTCCCAGTCGTATGTTCGTGGGTCGGCACCGGGCTGCCATTGGGACAACAAGCGATTCACGCCGTCTGGCATGGCATCTTCTGGGATTGCATCCGCATTGAACTTCAGATGCTTGCGCAAGCGGTTTAGCGGATCAGCCACGGTGGAAATTGTAAAAGAAGAAGGATTTTGCGAAGCCAAGTGTTGAGAAGATGGCGTGGTTGTTTGCGACTGCGAAGGCTGCGGTTGTGAGGGTGGTGGTGTAAGCAGTGGTTGCGAAGATGCCCACTCTTGAGAGCTGCCTCCAACAGGTTGGGAGGACAGTATTGGTAGGGCTAGTCCATTGTCTAGGTTGAGAGCTGGTTGGGTTTCTTCGGCCGTAGTCTCTGTCTCTCGTTGAAAAGTGCGCGTGCTAGCTAGCATCACCTCCGCCGCGACGCGTCGGGCGAGTCGTTCTTTATGTTGGCGCACGCGCTTAGGCACGTGTGGAGGCAGCGGTGCGATCCAATTCTGGAGGATCACATCATATAAGGTTGAGATAGTAGGCTGTTGACCCTCACCAAGCTGTAGCAGGTGGGTACTGGCGACGAAGCGCACTTCGACTTCGGCACCAGGCGCTTCTATGTCCAGGTACTGCTGTAACGATGAGGAAGCCTCATCAACATCGGACACGTTGAGCTTGTTGTCAGCAATCTCGAGGCTATGTCATGTTAGCTTCCGTGGCGCAGCATGCGTGCTCTCGGAATACTTACAGAGTCCCAAGTGGCACTTGTGGAATATTAGTGGAGCTTATGACCATTCCCTGATGTTGAATGACCACGCTCGGAACGTCCACAGCCCCTCCGTTCTCCTCCTCACCAATGTCGTTCCCAGTCAACGCATCGTAAAGTGATCTGTGATCCACTGCACGATTGGCGAAATCTGCTTGCTTGCCATTGTTTAAGGTCGGTACCTGTAATCGAAGTTTTGACACAGGCTCCTCTGTTGCTTCAATGCCCTCGGGTTCAAGAAAATCGTCCATCTCTTGGATGCCTCCTATCGTCCGCACATCCTTCCTGGGCCGATAGATTCTAGTCCAGATCAGATCTTCCACAGTATGATCATTCTCAACCGTGCTACTGCCTGCCGATGATGCAGCATATATGATCGACTCATGCACGCTCAGGTCAGATCGAAGCATGAACAATTTGTAGAATGTGAAGCCTTGAGCAAGGTATGTGCGCCCTTGACCTTGTGTGCTCGAAGAAATATCACCTTGAAACCGACAAGGCTCCATAGTAACTTGTAGAGTATGACCGGGTCCGTCCACGGCAAGGTCAAGATAGGTGGGATCAAAGCTCGAGCCAAGCACTCCAGAGCTAGAGGTCGCATTGTCGACGATGTATGTCTGTGTAAGATCATTTAGTCGAGAATGCAAGAGCACACACAAATCTGCAACACTGTTATTCTGGGCTGACCCAAAGAGAGACAACACACGAACCGTCATCATTCAGCATTGAGAGGCTGATATTGAGTGTAAAATCCTCAGCCCCTCTGTAATGCCGCCAAGAGAGAAGGACGCGGGCGCCCACTGGACCAACAGCCAAATCTACTGCTTCGCTTGGTGTGGTCACTGCCATCAGGCACAATTCGGTTGATGTGAGGATGAAGAAGCGACCACGTAACAATGGGTGTTTCTTGGCGTCCAATATCCAGTCATTTGATCGTGGAGAGATCACGGAAGGGCACGGAAGGTATGCGAAAGAAGTGCCCTCGATTCCAATTATGCTGAGTTGCCTTCGATTGCACACCAGGACGGTATTAACATCTCCAACCCAGAGTATCCTTGCCCAGCCATCCTCTGCTACCATCTCTTCGTCGTCTGCCGGTGCGATAGTGCCCTGTATTAAGCATGATAGCTTGTATTCGGTGCTTTTCCGCTTCTGATCAATGTCCCAGACGCTCCAGACGTGGTTCTGGTCGACGACAGCGAACTGCAGCTGAAAGTCGGGATTGAATGTAACATCCACATGGGGTGTACCCCCTGTCTCTTCGTTCTCCAGAGTCAAGATTGGATGCGCGTTGATGAGCGAGGGTGGGAGGTGGTAGTATTGTGAATTCGCAGCAGGCTGGGGTCGTTGCGAATAGAAGGGTCGGAAGATGATCGTTTTGGTGAGCATTCGGACAGCAAGCAACGTGCTTCTGTCTTCTGACTGCGAAAAGCAAACCTGCTGTATCGGCGCTGCTTGCTCGTTCCAGTACCCGGTTTCGGTATTCCTCAGCGTGTCGCCTCTAATCCAGACACTTTTGTCGTTTCCCCAGCCCATTGCCTCCTGATAGAGGAAAGCGATGCGCAAGATGTTTCCAGCCTCACCAGAGACTGTGGCTGCGATGCGACGAGGATTGTCCCATTTGTACGATCTACTGTCGGTATAGGTGATCGAGCCCGTGGAGTACAGACTGCCAACCAGTGGGTCGTACTTGTATGTCGCGGATAGTACAGCAGCCGAGGTAGCAGCAAGGTCTGGTAGCAGGTCATTTGCTGGGGTGAGCTGAGGGTAGTTGCGAAAGAGGGCTTTCGCATTGTGTTTGGCGTCAGTCTGCCGAGTCGTGGTTCCAGTATTCGCAAGCTGCACAGGTGCCCGTATGGCGTCGATGGAGTTTCGATCACGTATTCCGATCTGCTTCAGTGTTGTCGCAGTGAACTGACGAGCAAACGCCCAGTTTTGTGTATCGATATCAAATGTAGATGTTCCAGCATGGCCATAGTTGAGATGGCTCAACGTGCTGTCAGCCATCTGGGTAAAGAAAAAGTTCGCGATAGTTCGTTGCGTGTTTGCGGTGAAGCATAGTTCGAGCAGTGTTTGCTACGCGGCTATGTTTGTGCTGCGACGCGTCTTCGGCTGCAAAACGGTGAACGTGAAGACGCAGGCAGGCACAAGCAAAAGTTCCGCTAGCGCATAACGCATGTTCACGTGCTTTGGCGCCCCGCATCAGGTCCATTGAGGCTAGCGCGGAGTGTTTGTTTACAGAGCAACCATCAACAACACCAGCACCACTCGTCGCAAACCACGTCACACGGACACAACACGCACCGCACAACCAAACCCTATCATATACTGTCGCTGCCCCAGATTTCGCCATGACTACCTTCGAGCCGTCACTTAGCACCACGATGCGCGCTTCCTCCCACGATGCGCCGTCCATGGCCGATCAGCTGCCCTCCATCAACTTCGGATTCGACGACCTGCGCAGTCGCATGAACCAGTTCACCGCGCGCTTCGATGCTTTTATTGAGAATGGGCGACGCCGAGTGCTGGAAGAGCGCAACCAGTTCCACATGAACGTCGCAGAGCTTCACGGTAAGCTGTCGCATGTCCCATCCACACAGCATAGCATACTAACGGCACCCCAGAGGACCAGCGCATGAAGAAGCGCGACATTGAGATCCTCGAACTCAAACAACAACAACACAGCCAGAGCATCGCCAAGGAGTCGCAAGAGACAAGCGAAATGCAGGAAGCCATCAGCGCCCTCACCCTCCAGCGTGACGAGCGCCTTGCGCACCGCGACACCCTTCGTTCCCAGATTGCCGAAGTGCAGAAATCCATCTCTGCCCGCAGGGAGGCGCAACTCAAGCATCGCCGCTATCTCGATGGCCAGTCTCGGTACAACGAGCCGGAGCTGGACTTTTGGGAGAACTACCTTGGCCTGCGCATTGAAGGCCTGGGCAAGGACGACAGACTGAAGTTTGTATACACCAACGTGGATGAGCGCGAGTGGGAGCGCGAGGCCTGGTTCGAGTTGGACACGAGCGAGCGCGACTACAAGGTGCTGGAAGTCAGGCCGAAGGTGGAGCGGGAAGAGGTTGAGAGGGTCGTCGAGAGGCTGAACGAGTCGAGAGACCTGGCGAGCTTCTTGAAAGGCATGCGCGAGTTATTTGTCGAGGCATGCAAATAGGCGACGACTTCTCTAGATACCCATGTTCAGTAGAACCTTGTATTCAGTGCGATTTGCTCTTCTTCTCAGAAGTACTTTGGCATTTTCCATACCTCGATCTTAGCACAGTGCAACTTTCTCATCTCATCACCTCCTCCCTTCCTTCACCCTATAATACCCCGGCGCATACTCCACCAACCAATCCATCTCCACCGCACTCAAATCCCGAATAAACACCTTCCCCTTCGTCTCCATAATCTCCGTATACACAACCCACTCCACCTTCCTATGGAAAAACACACTACTCGGATGCGCCCATAACGTCGTCTTCCCATCTACCGTCGCAAAACTCCCATCGCTCTTCATCCTCGCCACATGGGCGAAGAACCCCGTCGCCAGACACCGACATATACGTTCTGAAAGCGGCTTACCACCCACGCGCAGGATGTCCGAGGATGCGAGCGGCGACACGCCGATGCCGAACCGCTCGAGATAGGCAGCGAGTTGTTTCCGCACACTCACGGCTTTGACCAGCGATTTGTGGTTGAGGCTGTTTTCACGGCAGAACTGCACGCTCATGCCCGCTTTGAGAAACGCCTCGTACACATTGTACAACGTCAGATGATCGCCCTCGCTGACGGCGAAGCGGCGGCGCGCAGCGTCGAGCGCTTTCTTGCCGCCGTCGTGCGAGATGAAGGCTGCGCCTTGCAGCGTCAGCATAGCGGCGATGCTGAGCATTTCGTTCAGGCAGTTGAAATCGGGGTTTGCGGAGGAGAGCAGCGCGCGGGAGAGCATGGGCTCGAGGGGGAGTTCGGCCATGCGTGTGCCGAGGGGTTTTGTGAGGCGCGCATGTTCGTCGAGGGCGCCGAGGGAGAAGAGTAGGTCTAGGGCGCGTGTCACGAGGGATGACGGCGGAGGCGAGAGGTAGTCGAAGCGCACGATGTTGGTTATGCCTAAGTTGAGGAGTTGGAGGATCACGGGTGCCAGGTTCGAGCGCTGGATCTCGGGGAATGTGGCCTCTTCGAGTGATTTGTATGCGTCTTCGGTGTAGAGGCGAAAGCATTTTCCTGGCCGGGTGCGGCCTGCGCGGCCTGCGCGTTGGGTTGCGCTGGCTTTGGAGACGGGCAGGACGTTGAGTGTTTCGATGCCTAGACGGGCGTCGTATGTTCGTAGCTTGACATAGCCGCTGTCGATAACGTATACAATGTGGTCGATCGTGACGCTGGCTTCGGCGATGTTGGTGCTCAGAATGACCTTGCGCGTGTTTGTGGGTGCTTTTTGAAAGACGAACATCTGCTCCTCGGTTGACAATCCAGCATATAGCGGCAAGGTAAGGAGCTTCTGTTGCTTCGAAGACATGTCAGCTATGCGATCCCCCAGCAAATCGATTGCGTCGTCGATTTCCTCACGACCGGTGAGGAACACAAGAATATCGCCGTCAGACTCGGAGGTGTGGATGTCCATGATTGCCTCCACAGCAGCTTCGACGTAATTGTTGGTTGGTTCTGCAATGTACTGTATCTCAACTGGATATGTTCGTCCTTCAATACCCACAATCTGGCCAAACTCTTCCTTACTCTTCCCATGGACTTTCTCGCCCTCATCAGGCGCAAAGAAGTCGAGAAACCGCTCAGCCTCCAAGGTCGCCGAGCTCACGACCACTCGAAGATCAGACCTCTTGCGCAGCACCTTCTTAAGTAGTGATAGCAGTATATCAGACGACAAACTCCGCTCATGCGCCTCATCGACCATGATAATGGAATATCGATTGAGCAGCGGATCAACCAACATCTCCCGCAACAACAATCCATCCGTCACGAACTTTACCTGCGTATTCGCGCTCGTCACATCTTCAAATCTGATACTGTATCCAACTCTTTGACCCAATGGCGTCCCTAGCTCTTCTGCAACTCGCGCTGCGACACTCGTAGCGGCAATTCGTCGGGGTTGCGTGACCGCGATTTGCTTGCCATCTGCGCACCATCCTGCATCGAGGCAGAATCTTGGGATTTGAGTTGTTTTACCGCTGCCTGTTGCGCCGACGACTATGGTCACAGGGAATGTCTCAATGGTGTAAAGAAGTTGATCTTTGAGCTGTGCAATAGGCAGGAGAGCTGGTGGTTTGTAGAGATCCGGAATTACTGGCGTGTCAGCATCTTCTTCGTCGGCCATGATGCAGTTACATCCATAGAGGAGCCCAGGAATTATATTGCTCTAAGTTGATGTTGACAAGGACTGCCTGGGTGTTAATGAAGATGGAACATGGAAAGACACTAGCGATGACAGCGCTAGCTTCTTCGGTCACTAGCGTGCACCATTTGTTGACTTTTCGACCAGCTGTCCTCCTGTACTCTGAACTCGTCTCCTTGATGATCGTCTTGAGTCCCTTGTAATGCTCATCATAAACTCCTACATGTCCTATCCTATCCTGCAGTCTTTGTGTGCTCTATCCCTGGCCCTCCTGTTCTGTCTTCTCAGTTGTCATGATGCAATAAAAATGAGATACAAAGCGAGGGTAAGATTTATCGCAGTGAAAGGGCAAAAGAGGTGCAAAAAAGATGCAAAATAATTATCCCAGGAGTTAACTCCACAGGGACCCGCCAAACACCTCCGTCACTGAGACTCGAACGCCGGCTGGTTTGATCCTAGGAGTTAACTCACAGAGATCGCCGACGCCAATCTACCAATGATGCTTGAACTGTGAATTATCTGAAATACATACTAGCCTAGATCTATCTACAGCAGTATTAGTAGTTGACAGGTAAGTCATGCATACTAATTTTGGAGCACTCCATGTGCTGACGTGGGCCACAACAACGTCATGGCGATGATAGGTTCAATGGTATACGCGGGCGCAAAGCAACTGCTGTCTGAGACTACTACTGTGTACACGGGTATCTCAGGCGCTGTCCAGTGCATAGGCACAGTAAGTCAATCTCCGGGGTGCGTTAAGAACTGTCGTACACGCGGCTGTCATTCCTCACTACTCTACCACACCACCCATCTCCTCACTTCCTCCAGTGCTTCTTCATCCCCGGCCACGCACCCTTCAACTCCCGCTCAACATGCGCCGCCCAATCCCCATTCACCCTCTTCGCCATACCCACAAGGCGCTGCACAATCCGTGCGCTCTTGCCCACCTGCATCCCAGGTGCCGCTCCCTCGTCACCACCCTCATACCCTCCATCCCCAATCTCCCTCAGCACGATCTCTCCACCGCCCAGTATCCCCATGCCCTCACCCACCAATTCACAGCCAACCTCCATCGTCCTGAACCACCCCTTCTTCGCCATCACACCCCCAATAACCCCGCTCGCGGCGAAGAAGAACTGCAACATAGTCACCAAATTGACGAGCTGCGGGCGTGCTATGCCAGGCTCCGCAAGGTATGCCCACGGCGCCACGAGCTGCATTGAGCCTCTATCCCCGCGCGACAGCTTCGAGCCGCTGTTGGTGAAGAAGCTCACCGCGCCGTCTACTGCCGCCATACAGGCCAGCACCTTGTGCAGGGCCCAGTCGATCTTGATGTACCCGACGAACAGCGCGTCGTAGTAGAACCCGGGGATGTTCGTGGTGTCCCAGACGAGCGAGGAGGGGTCGAGGAGCGCATTGTAGACGCCTGGGAAGTGCGCCGTCGCGAGGTTGATGATGGCGGCGGTGGTGTAGTAGCCCGGAGGCACGTTAATAGCGGTGTTGTACATGGTGTTGTGGTATTGTATGTGTCCTTTGTATGTATGGGAAGGTAGGTATTAGGAGTGGGACTGGAGGGAAGACGGGGGAGTGCCTGAAAAGATTTGATTTCGTGGTTGACAATCTGGTGGCTTTCATTTTCACTGTGAAGGTGCGTTTGCCACTCATCTGCATTCCAATGTCCTCGAGATATCACAAAATCGACATGACATCTCACACACATCTCCCTATTCATTTCTGATCCCTCATCCCTTCCCATCCTTCCCTCAAACCCACATAGAATCCCTCACACAATCCTCATCACCACCCCAACTCCCTCCTCATTGCCTCCACTAGCACACCCGCGCCAATCTTATTCGTCCCCGGCGTCGGATGATAATCACATCCCAAATCACTCCCCTGAGCCGGCCAATCCACGACAACCGCCCTCGTCCCATTCAACAACCCCACCGCATCCTTCAGCGCATTGCGCTGCTTGCTCTTCTCCATCTCGCCCGTGGGATTACCGTCACTCAACATGGGACTCGTCACGAGGAAGAACGCCGGGTCATTCTTATAACTTGCCTTGACGGACTCGACGAACTTGACTACCGCGGCAGTGTAGTTTGATGCAGGAAGGATGGGCCGCCCGTCTCCGTGGCCGAAGTCGTTGGTTCCGAGATTGAAAACTACGGCGTCCGGGGCGTCGGTGCTGGGGAACGTGTAGGTGTTGTCTGCGTCGTTGGCGCCGTAGCGTGTGTAGCGCACTGGCATGATGGGATCGGGGTCGGGTTTGCCAGATGCGTAGTTGCGGATGATGCCGATGCCGCTCCAGGAGATGAGGGAGTAGTCTGCGTTCAACGCGCTGGCGGTCAGGATGCTATATCCTTCTGAGATGATCTCGAGCGCGGCGCTGTTGGTGCAGGGGAGTGTGCCGCCAATGCCATATGCAGAAGTGATGGAGTCACCGATGACTTCTATTTTGCGGTTTGAGACGGGGATGTCAGGGCCAAAGGTGCCATCGGTGGTGATGTTGCCGATGAAGATGGAGCCCCATAATGCCTCGGAGCTTTTGCGGAATTCGACGGTGTGGTTGCCGTAGGTGAGATTTGCTGGGGTCGAGATGGAAGGGCCTTTGACGTCGGCGATGTATGTCGATTTCCCGTCGATGATCAAATCTGCACTGCTTGTGCCAGTCACTCCTTCTAGACCGATGGACGCTGACGCTCCTGTAAACGTGAAGGACACACCAGTGGCCGACCACGTCAACTCTTTTGTCGCTGGATTCACACGTCCTAGATATCTCACAGCACGAGCTGTCTCGAAAATGGCCAGTACCGGTATCCATGAAGTGAAGGGAATCATCTTGAACATGTGAAGTTGACCTTCCGAAGTGGCATAGTGGCCGTTGTAGGTCCTTTATGTGCATCCGTCAATTCGCCTCTTGCGTACTACCTAACAAAATAAGCATTAATTTAGTGCATCAAGCATATTACTAAGATCGATCGTAAAGACACCATGTGGACAGATTTAGTGCCCGGAGCGCTGACTTCCCTGCATTGTGCCTTTTTGGAAACGGAATTTAGCCGTCCGCAATACGCTACCGGGAAGATGTCTTTCTACACTGCAACGGCCCCCCTGCTCGCCCAATGGGAAGAATTGTCACTCTAAATGTTCAGCATGACAGAGTTTCCGAAGTTCTGTTAAACCAGGTTCATGGATGATCGGTGGTAACATCAATTGTAGGATCCCGGCACTCCATGACCCCGCGCACGCACGACAATACATCGACCGTGCGTATGATGCAGCATAAAGCATAGTTGTGGGAAGAGAGCTGTCACTCACCTTTATTTTATCATAGTTGAGGTATGGAGGTTGGATAGACATCATTGTCGAGATTGAATTCGTCTCTTGAGTCTTGATACTTCACGAAGCTATCCACCAGATTGAAAGTTTCTGACATTCGAATCGTAGGACCATGGAGGCTAGACTCAATCGTGAGTGGTGATATAGTGAGTGTCAGCTATCTTGAATCATAGCTGATAAGTCAATTGTGACTGTGAAGAATCATGTTTACCACACCTTGGAGTTAGCAGAAAGCTCCTACCTTCAACCTCGTGCTACATACTTACCTCCAACTAGACCTACAATATGTTTGAAACACAAGCTCTCAGACCATACATTTCCAGTTCTACCCCAAGCTTTGATAGCCTACCTCCCGAAACTAGGAATGCAATCTACACGGTCATCTTTGACTCTCCTTCCCCATTCTTCGTTAAGGCAACACAGGGTCCGAGACGGAGATTCAAACTTCGCGAAAGGAGTGAGAAATCTCAGTACGACGCCGTAAGCGCACTCCAGGCACTTGAACTATTCAGTTGTACTATACGCCAGGAAGTTCGAACTCTCTTCTACGGCACCAGACAGTTCATCGTCCTGCCCTGTGGATACGAGTATCTCACAGTATTCTTGCAGTGGCTCGATTCGATTAGACCACAGTGCCGCGGAGTCCTGCGCGACGTTTATTTGGCGGGTTTTATGTGGTACCAGGGCTCTTTTCCGTTGACTGAACAGTTCCATAACTTTCTTCGAAGTTGTACAGGCATGCGCAAGCTTGGGATCCAGATCCATGGCTGGCACTTGCGCGAAGCTAGGGGCAGAAGTTTGAACGCACACCTCGAAATCCATGGTCGGGGTCCCAAAAACGGGCTAATGTCTGGATTCGTCGTGTCGGCTTGGGCGGAGACCATTGTGCGGTTGCCTGCATTGCAGACATTCAGGCTCGATCTGATCTAGACTATGGACAATATTAAAGAGGCTTGTGGAGAGGTAACAACATATTTTTACCCCAACAAGAAAAGGGGAGAAATGTTAGCGGAGGACGTGGAGAGCCAGTTGCACGAAATGATAGTGGAATTGGGCATTGGTAGTGGGGCTGAGGTGGAGGTCAGATACATGGGCATCGACAAGAGACGGTATGAAGACTCACCGTGGTGGTGGTAATTTACGATACCTTCTAGACGACTCTACTGGGCAACACATGTGAAACTTGATTGATGTTGCCGGCCAACCCGGCCGAGGATTCCGCAATGAATATTTGTTGAACCAACGCAAACTCTAAACAGCCGAGAACGTGTGCATTGCGTTAGTGTAATACCTGGCGTTCGTTGTACATGACAGATGTCATGGCCATTGCGCGTTGTAGAAAAAGCCATGACCCCTCGATGACAGGCCGTCCTCGACGCGGGGAACGGGGGTCATCGCCATGACATGCAGGGGAATGCACCGGCATCACAGCCATATGCAGGACCCGCCCAGTTAGCACACCGCGGTTGAGGTCGAGGCAGTTCTCGACTCGACAGTGCGGGGGAAGAGTGGTTCTCGTGATTTTAGTCCAAGTGCCCATTGCAGTGACAGAAGGGCGGAGCGAAACTGAAAAATGTACACGACTCAGAAGGGTAAGCGCGATTGGTTGGTGAGGTTTGGGGTAAAGCCATCAAAACTTTGAGTCTTTGGAATAGATAAAGGTGAGGCGATTGATCGTACCATCTCACTCTACGCGAAGTGATATGCCGCAAAAGCAATGCCCCAACGCCTGACATTTGGTTTTGTGGAGAAGGTGTGGTGAGAGAGGCGGAGGGGGAGTGCTGGCACCAATGACGTAGCGCGACTACCTCCGGGATCGCCCCGCCTTCCCCCATGCTGTAGCGCTCCTGCCAGCTCAGTGCACGCTACTGAGTTGCTTTATTTACCTTGGGCCCCAACAAGTCCGAGATACCACCCACTTACCATCTCTACCACTCTTCTCTGCCTCCTCTGCACCGTCAATTGACATCACTGTACCAAACAAACACCCCACCAACCTACATTCCCCCACCGACCGCAACCATGGGCAAGGTACGTACCAAAACACTCCCCCACCTACCCCGCTAACACACATGGCAGGCGAAGTACATCATGCTCGACTGCGACAACACGCTTGTCCAGTCGGAGCGTTTCGCCTTTGAGGCGTGCGCCGACCTCACCAACATTGTCATGGAGAAGCACAACATCAAGGAGCGCTACACAGCCGACTCGCTGCTCGAGGACTTTGTTGGCCACAACTTCCGTGGCATGCTCAAGGGCCTCCAGAAGAAGCACAACTTCACCATGGCCGACGACGAGATGGACGACTTTGTCCAGCAGGAGCTCGGCGCCGTCACCCGCAAGCTAAGCGAGAAGGCGGTCGAGTGCCCTGGTGTCACCGCGGAGCTTAACAAGCTGAAGGAGCAGGGCTACCCAATGTCCGTTGTCAGCACCTCCGCCAAGAGCCGTGTCGTTGCTTCCATCGAGAAGGCCGGCATCGCCCACTTCTTCCCCCCAGAGCACGTCTACTCGGCTGCCACCTCCCTGAGCCCTCCCAGCTCCAAGCCTGACCCCGCCATCTACCTCTACGCGGCTGAGCAGCTCCATGTCAAGCCTTCTGAGGCTATCACCGTCGAGGACAGCAAGAGCGGTGCCACTGCTGCCATGCGCGCTGGCATCCCCTGCATCGGTTACGTCGGCATCTACGGCATCGAGGAGGGCAAGGAGAAGATGGAGCAGATGGCCAAGCTTCTCACCGAGGAGACCAAGTGTGCTGCCATCATGTACGACTGGAAGGAGTTCCAGGACTGCCTGAAGAAGGTTGAGGCCACCATGTCCTAGATGGCTACTGACAGTCTGTTGAGACTCTCGGGGACGGACATTTGACGAGCTTGCTTGCGGCAGCGGTAAGCATAACGAGACATGTGGAACGACCTATACAATGGCATGAGTAAGCAGATAGAAACTAGAATCAAATCCTTCTGGCCCTGTCCGATCACAACGTTTCCTCCCGATCGCGCTTTCCTTGTGCTTCTCTCTGTTTGTTGTGGTTGATGTCATGGGTCCACTTGGGCTGGAACGGCTTTGGCCGGGCGGGGCACAATGGGCGACTCCACCGCGCGCGCCCTCACACCAAACTCCGCGTCCGTGTCGACGAACGCATCGTCGCGAATCACAACGAAAATTCGACATGCGTGCAACGCCAGGTATGATTGCGATGCCACAAAGACATGGACCCGTACACCACACCTGTAAGGGCGTCTGACAGCTACCGCTCTACAAGCAAACGACACCAGAATTCGCGACTCACGTGTTTTACCATGCCCAGTACATGTACACCGGGTGTCCAATATCGTGCCATCGCTGGCTACTCAGGAACAAAGTCTTGTGGCTGCGGCTGAGTCTTGTAAGTGCAACGCTGCCGTTCGGACCGGCCACGGGTGCCACAATCGCCAAACAGCCCTGCAATGATGTTATCCGACGCATGAATTCATCGATATTGGACCTCCCTACTGGGCCTGATAAGGCCTGGATGGCAAAATCGCGCTTTCGGGATGCCAATGGGCAATTTTTGTCCTATCGTGTCGATGCGACATCTAAGAGCTGGATCATGCCGGGTCACACAGCACGACTCTGGCAATAAAGTTGACAGATGCAGAAGCTGCCAACGATGCGAATGCACCCAGGAGTGCTTATCATCCTCACCATTTCCCTTGATGTATTTGTTTGCCCGTCGATCAGGCTTGGCGATGTGTTGGCAGTCGAATTAAAACCTCCTTCCGCCGATGCCAAGTAGGCTTAATGTAGCCGCCGAAGCCTCCTGCCTATCCGGTGGCCTACTCCATCGGTCATCGCATTTGATTAATTTAGTATACCCAGTCTCCCGTATCCACGGCAGTCGGCTTCTACATACACATGCCCAGAGTACCAATCAATGCATTGAGTGATGGAGCACCGCGTGGAGCATGCAGGCAAGAAGGGGAAGGTACCGTGACGACCTGCCAGGTTGAGCCGTAGGGCGAATCCGACACCAGCGAGCATCTCTTATGTCTCAAAATGGGTATAAAGAGATCACCTCAGGAGCGTGTTGAAGGTTACGCGACCTCCCAAGTACCTCGCCACGTCTGTCAACATGTTCATCCGAAGTGCCCTTTTGTCGCTTTCCGCCCTTGCGGCGGCGAAGGAAATGCCAAAGGATGAGTTCAGGGCCGCTGAGTTGTACGACTCAGGCATCCGACACGCCAACAACATGGCCATCAAGCATGAGCATTGGGCCATCCAGGAGGCTGCCGGTGCTTACAGGTCCGAGCAGTACAGGGAGGTGAAGGACAAGGTCGAATGTATCAACGGCACTGCTATTACCAGCACGGATACGTTCAAGTGCAGCAACCTCGATCTCCTCCACTTCCTGTCGCACGCGGAACTTGGTAGCACTCGTGGTGTTGGCTCTTCGTCATGGGGTATGTGTGCGCCGATAGTGCTATGGAACTTTTCGGGCTAATCTATCAACAGGATGGACCTCTGATGATGGGCGCGAATTTGTTGCCATCGGCCAGCAGGACGGAGCTGCATTTGCTGAGATCACCAAGGAAGGCAAGCTGTCGTACTTGGGACGCTTGCCTCAGTACTCCACGCCCAGCACGTGGCGCGAAATCCGTGGTCAGAACAACCTCATGATCATTGGAAGTGAGGCCGTCGACCACGGTATCCAGATCTTTGACATGAAGGTTTGTATGCGAGCCCAGTTGCTGTTTGCCATTTCTAATGCCCAACAGAAACTGCTTACCGTCGATCCGGCAAAGCCTGTGACATTCAGTAACCAGAGGGATCTTGCGGGTCATTACAAGGGCCTTCCCAACGGCCGTACCCACAACGTTGTCACCAATCCGGAGACAAACTTCATCTACTCAGTTGGAGCGGTGCCTAGGACTTCGGCCTGCAAGTCTGGAATCATCTTCATTGACATCTCCGACCCAGCTAACCCTACGAGCCCTGGATGGTAAGCTTACAATGCCCCAGGACGAATTATTTTGCAGCTGCTAACGTAGTGCAGTGCTTCCCAGGATGGTTACGTGCACGATGCTCAGTGCCTGATCTACCGCGGACCTGACAAGGAGTTCGAGGGACGTGAGATCTGCTACGGCTACAACGAGGACACACTCACAATCTATGATGTGACCGACAAGAAGGCATCGAAGGTCCTCTCAATTACCTCCTACGAGGGCGCAGCCTACACTCACCAAGGTGTTGTCTTGGACCCAATGAACCAGAAGTACTTGCTCCTCGATGACGAGTACGATGAGTATGACAAGGTTGGCCCTGGAATTCCAGGTAACCCCATCACCTACATTTGGGACATTTCTTCGCTCCGAGCACCCAAGCAAACTGGACTTTACAAATCGGGCGCCAAGGGTGTTGACCACAACCAATACGTCGCCAACGGACTTGCATACCAATCCAACTATGGCACCGGTCTTCGCATATTGGACGTACGATCCATCCCGAGTGACCCCACTGGTAACGGTGTGAAGGAAATTGGATTTTTCGACGTCTACCCTGAAGATGACGACCTGCCCGGTGGTGGCGCTGTTGACTTTGTTGGCACTTGGTCGAGCTATGGTCTCTTCAAGAGTGGCCACATTCTGATCAACACCATGGAGCGTGGCGCATTCGTCGTCAAGTTCCAGGAGGGCAAGGGCATCTAGAAGTTTGGTTTAACAGCGATGGCATCGTACCCGGAACCTTTCTGCGCCTCTTTTCTGCATAATTGCAGTCACCTAATACACATAATTGATGCTTGACCACGACCACGAAAATTCCCCACTCTCATCTGTGATAGCCATTAATCTTTTCTATGTGTTTATTTCACTTTGAATGGATCCTGGATATCCTCGAGCCTTTTTCAAATCAGCAATTTGAAACAAAACTCAACTGAGACAGTACAGGCCTCCACTTAAGAACATGTGGAATTACACCGAAAAGCAGTGGTCCTAAGGCTAATCACAGCAAGCATTTCGTCTACCAACACCTTTCATAACTATTCAGTTTGTTTTTCTTGGCCCTACTCGCAGCTTTTGTAACGTCGATGAATACAGACGAGTGGTCCGACCAAGCAGTCCGCGGAACGTTCGGCCTATGCAGACTGTGCCTGCCTCTTCCAGCGATGAATTCCTATCAAGCTCGCGATGCATAACTTGGCCATCACCTACCCCACCTGCGGCTCTTCAGTGCGATCTGGCATAAGTGGCGAACGAAGCACAAATGAAGTTGCTCTGTCCACATTGTGGCGCATTTCCGCCAAGCGGCGGATGAGTCTTGGGCCAATATAAATTTGTCCGCCTGCCCAATGAGGACTCGCCCGAAGACACCAAATAACCTCCTGCCCCATGTATCACAGTGCAGAACCTCGCCAAGATGCTTTCTATCTGTCGCCGCACCTAACACCCGGATAGCGGTCGACTGCATAGTGATCCCCGTGTTCTCTGTGGTTCCTGAATTTCGTTTCGACATTGCCAGCTGCCTTTATGGGCTAAGACCAACCAGTGCGCGATCGATGATCAGCAAGGGACCTTTCTGGTTGCACTGCTGCAAGGATACGAGGTAAAGTATATATCATGCTCATCCTCTGAGTTTTTTGAATTCAGCAGCAGTCTCCTCGCTCATAAATCTCAACCGCCAATATGAGATACGCTTTTCTTGCCGCTGCGCTTGTTGCGCCATCTCTTGCACAGTATGGTGTCGCTCCCAACCCACCAGTCGTCTCTCCCCCAAGTGAGAAGCCGTTGATCTCCGAGGCCGCTTTGATCAAGGACGTCAAGCTTGAGGACTTGCTTGCTGGATCTCAGAAGCTCCAGGATATTGCCGATGCCAACGGCGGAAACCGTGCTTTCGGCGGTGGCGGCCACAACGCTACCACTGAGTGGCTCTACCAGACTCTGCTCGCAACTGGCGCCTACGATGTCTACAAGCAGCCATTCGTAGAGCTCTTTACGGCTGCCACCACCACGTTTTCTGCAAACGGCGAGGCGGTCCCGGTTGAGTACCTCACATATGGACCTTCTGGCACCGTGAATGGTACTCTTGTCAAAGTTAGCAGCCTTGGATGCACTGCTGCAGACTACCCATCGGCCGTCTCTGGAAACATTGCCGTAATTTCTCGTGGCGAATGCACTTTCGCCATCAAGGCCGCCAACGCGAAGACTGCCGGAGCTGCTGGAGCTGTCATATACAACAACGTAGCTGCCACCCCTCTTTCTGGTACCCTTGGTGGTGACGGCGACTATGCACCCGTCGTTGGTATGACTCAGGAGGCAGGAAACGCTCTCCTCTCTCAGATTGGCAACGGTACTGTCCAAGCAAACCTTTTCGTTGATGCCATCCGCGAGAACCGCACCAACTACAACGTCATCGCCGAAACCAAGGAAGGTGACCACGAGAACGTCCTCATGATTGGAGGCCACTCCGACTCTGTCTACGCTGGCCCTGGCATCAACGACGACGGCTCCGGCACCATCGGCTCCCTTGTCGTCGGCCTCGCCCTCGCAAAGTACAAGATCAAGAACGCTGTTCGCCTCGGTTTCTGGGGCGCCGAAGAATTCGGCAAACTCGGCTCCTTCTACTACCTCAAGACGCTCAACGGCACTCTCTCCGGCAACAGCACCGAAGCTAGCAAGATCCGTGCATACCTCAACTTCGACATGATCGCCTCGCCCAACTACGTCCTCGGCATCTACGACGGCGACGGCAGCGCCTTCAACTTCTCCGGCCCCACGGGCTCGGACAAGATCGAGAAGGACTTTGAGCAGTTCTACGAGAACCGTGGCCAAGCTCACGTGCCCTCGCTCTTCTCCCTGCGCTCCGACTACGCCGCTTTCCTCGAGAACGGCATTCCATCCGGTGGCCTGTTCACCGGCGCTGAGGTCCTCAAGACGGAACAGGAGGCGGTTATGTTTGGCGGCGAGGCCGGCGCACCGCTCGATGCGTGCTACCACCAGAAGTGTGACGACATTAACAATCTTGCGGAAGACGCTTATCTGCTTAACACCCAAAGCATTGCGAACAGTGTGGCTAAGTATGCGCTGAGCTTTGAGGGTATTCCGAGGGCGAATGCGACAATCAGGAAGAGGAATGCTGAGAGTTCGCGATTCATGGCACGATTTGACGACGGTGGTCATGCACACCACGGACAGAACTGTGGTGCGGGCAAGAACTTGGAATAAAAGTGTAAAAGGAGGTGGGAGTGGGGGATGATGAAGATATGAGATGATACCTTGATGACTTGTTATGATGTTGTAGTTGTAAGAAGACGCAGAAATGCATGAAGAGTTTAATCGTTACTTTTGCTGGGAACGATGTGGCATGTGATTTTGTGGTGTCCGCAACCATGTGCCAGAATAAATAGATCTTTGGATTTCGACTCGTATTATAGCTCTTCCATTTGAGCGTTTAATGAATTTGGTTTGAACGTGCGAGGTAGTGCTCCTCCGAGTTGAACAAATATACGTGTTCCCAAGGTGTTGTAGTCCCTCAAGTCTTTCTGGCCTATGTCTAGAGTTTGTCATCAATGTGATGTCTTTTCCCCGGTCGTCTCAGACACTGGGAAACAACTTTTAACAAGTTCTCGAATGATGTCAGGATATGGTATTTGACTTCTTGGGTCTGGTATCGTGATATTGTGCCAAATCACTCTCTGGATGTATGTACGTTGCTTCCGTTATATTGAGCATTTCATTTTGAAAGCTTGATTTGCCTCCTGGACTATTACAATTTGGAATTGAGTTCTTGGGGTTTGGAAACATCTATATTGATCCTGCCGGTCGTCACTTGCAGTCGCACATTGTGTGATGTTTTGATTTGAATTCTACGTTAACATGGCGTTGTCATTAGAGGCAGCGCTCCTGTCGGGGCATCGATCCCACACAAGATGCAGTGAAAGACTGGGGAAATATGCCATTACTCATGAACAATGTAACGTCAGCCTCACTGCTCGCGTTGACTCTACCCAAGCCAATTCAATTCACTTCTGGAGGCTTAACCTGCGTTCAAACATAAGCGAGCTCTTGCCCTTAGATATACATATTGCCCTTCTCCAACCTCCGACAACTCACCACCGCCACTCATTACATCAACTCAATCAACTCCTACTAAACTCAATTCAATCGCAAAAATTCTTTCGAATTAATTCAGTCTCTTCTTGACTCACTCTTTAACCTCCGACGAAACTGGCAGCTACCATGTCCGAACATTTGGAGTCAATGGACATTGACGATCACCGCCTGGGAGACCGCTCCCCGAAGGTATCCGCTGGCGGAGAAAAGAACCCCATGCTAGACATCGTACGACTCATACGCCCTATGCCTCGCTCATTCAAAGAAACTACTGCATCTGAGGCACCTAAAGTACCTGAAGTAAAGCCCCAGCGCAGACAACGGAAGTATGGATCCCCTGTCGTCCGTCTAAATGGAACTCTGCACCACGCGCGCTTCAATGGCTCAGTGGGCAGTCTCGACGTCGAGTGGTCCGAGCGATCGTGGCGTTCGAAAGTTAACAAGGCGGATATGCTTTATCTCCTAGACCATGCTGGAGAGGACATCAGCATAGTCAAGACGTGGAATTCAGATGCTATATGCCAGTATATGGTTGCAGTGCGGAAGGATCGGGATGATAGGCGGCAGAATGGAACAGACGGGAAAGTGCATGCATTGACACTTCTCGCGAGTATGGCCACTACCTGGGCAGCTACGGAAGTTGATGCTGTCGGCGCCGATGCAGATGAGAACGATGGAGACGAAGAAGGAGTTGATGCAGGTATCATTGCAGTCGACCAGCTTGATACCGATGCAGAAGGCGACTCTGACGATGACATGACCGGTTCCTCTATCGAGGCGTACTTTACAGTTGACAACGGAAAACCAACGATTGGCGAGGAAGAGGAAGTTTTCGACGGAGACGGGCTCACTCTCATTGAAGACGAAGTGCTTTCGCCCACCGTCGAGACGCCTATCATTTCCGAAGTCACCGTCGAGGCCGACTCCCAACCCAAGGCCTCTAGCAAGCCTCATTTTCGGCGAACCATGACCCTCAGCCGCGCCCGCGAGTCCCTCCTCGCCATCCAACAACAAGCCTACAACGACGCCCGAAACTCTTTGTTCAAAGACTACGATAGCTACGTTATGGCCCACGTTTTCGCGCCTGTCCGCAACACCACTCTCATACACGATCACAACGGTAGTGTTGTGTTTTCACATCATACTCAAATGCTGGTGCGCGATGTTATACAGGCTCGCGACACTGCGCGGATATGGCGCGATAGATTGCACATGGAACAAGGCAATCAGGTTGCCAATTTGCATAGTGTGAAGGCTGGGCGTGAGGAGCTTTGTGAGCGGCTCATCGCGGTCTTGACTGATTGGCTTGAGGTTGAGGATGTAGATGCTAAGGAACAGGCCAAGAACATGGTTGAGGAGCTCTTGGATATGTAAAGGTCATACGTGCACAGCTAGAGCGAGTAGCGTTCGATGGTTGTTCGGAATGTTTGGTCGATGAACGAGTCTAGGGCGTTAAGCTATCATGTCGGGATACAGCAGCAAGAAGTAGCGCAACAATTGATGCTTTCACAGCCACCTGAAATCCCCTCTTAGAACCAGTCAACATGGTAATGTGGCATAGTAGCATAGTGTCGAGAGTAAAAAGACTAATCTCTCGCTACCCGGGCTAGTAACTATATAAACGCTGCCACACACGGTAATGGCTAAAGCTCCATAATGACAAGCCTTTTTTATTACCTTTTTAGCCTTTAAATATATGCATGCTCACACAAGATATCAAGGTACGTTCTTACACTATGCGTACCTAGGTAGTACTCTGGATTCAGAAGTAGTGTGCATAACTTATTGCCTAATGGAAGATTCCAAGTCCGCATCACCGTGATACTGCGGGGTAGCGCAATCAATCCTTTTAGTCGACGAACATAAGCGTGTCGATCTGTAGCAATCCTCACCTCGTGGATCTAGCTTCGTGTTCCACAACCTGTACGCGGATCATTGATCGGCAGCAGGACAGTCTGCTAGTGGTAAGCACTATGTACAGATCAGAACTTAGCACTCAGGTAGCCAATCCAGTCAGCCTAGATATAAATAGGGTGAGATTACCACACATGTGAATTACAGGAACGTAATCCTGTCAACTCACATATGCATGATTCATTAGTCAGTAATCTCCGAGCTTGGACATCCAGCCACAGAATTTATATCATGACGTTCTCTCTCCTGTATCCTCGAGTCCATATCTTCCCACTGTGTTCTACACACTGCAATAGAATGACGAACTTTGAAATCCAGCACTGCACCGAGGAAGACATCCCCCGCGTCTTTGAACTCGTTTCGCTGTCATTCGGCCACGATCATGAGTACATGGACGCAATCTTCCCGCACCACGACACACCAGCTGGACGCAAAGCAGGAAGTGAGCGCTTGCTGAAATCGTTCCATGAGGATCAACACGGTGTCTTCCTCAAACTAGTCGAGACCAAAAGCGAGAAAATAGTCGCTGCGGCGAAATGGAATATCTACAACGGCGGTCCGGTGCCTCAACAGCCTGAGCTCGATGGTGATTATTGGCAGACTGAAGATGACAAAGAATTCGCAAAAGGGATGTTCAAAGAATTCTTCACTGCGAGACAGCGCTTAATCGAAGAGACTGAAGCTCATCTGGCTGGTATGTTGCGATGCCAACCTTGGAAATCGAATGCCTTAAGTGATTACTAGCTTACCCATCCAGCGCTCGATATGTTAATGGTAGATCCAGCTTACCAAAGAATGGGAGCTGGGCGAGCATTGGTGAGATGGGGCCTTGCGGAGGCAGACAAGTTAGGTATAGAGGTGAGTCTCCCAGCAAAGTGACAGGACCATCTGCTGAATAGTGACCTCAGGCTGTTGTTGAGGGATCAGATCAGGCTCAAAGATTATACGAATCAGAGGGATTCGACGGAACACGGCTTGTGTGCCCAGTCCCTGAGAAATTTGCGGCTAGGCGCAAGCAGGCGTATTGGTGGATGAGGCGTCCACTGCGACACACAGCTTGACAGATGGATTTTTAGGTATGGTAATGCGGCGATAGCGAAGTAACAAGGCTGTGCCTCAGAGCGATGCCTTGTCACCGAGATCTCGGGAGCCTTGTAAGTGAAAGAAATTTGGTCCTGGTCCAGAGCAACGCCACATCCACATGGCGTTTTCCGTGTACCCAAAGATTGTATCTATTCGGACTCCAAGTGCCGGCTGGTCGACATATGTTTTCCTCCTGTTTGAGACAGCCCGAGAGCACTTTGAAGTCTCTTCTTGTCTCTTTGAACTAACTTAAAGCTACTGGCCCGTCCGATGTCTCATCTTTGAAACCATAGTTTGACACGACCTGTGTGCAGTATGAACTATGCTGGTAGCCTTTTGCTACTGTTGCAGAGAACTTTGGAAGGTTTCTGTGTGAACTGGGGTATTTGGCATTTCACATTTTGAATGCTTTCTGATAGCAATTCATTGCAGCAGTGCGCAGCGCATCTTCCCATAACAAAGGGTTCTACGACATGCTGAGCACGCCGTGATCAATCCATTTGCTAGGGTAGTGATCTCATACATCGCCAAAAGTGAATGAACGTGGCACGGTTTGATTCCATCTCCAAAAATAGCGGCCCATCAGTGACGTTCTGGACCGAATGGGAATCGGACCGAGACAAGACGAGACTTGAGATGGCTCGAAGAAGTAAGATGTCCCATCGTCGCGGGTGCCACGTCGCTATCGACACGTGACGTGCCAGTTGGGTGGCCCAACCCTTGTGCAAATCACACACCGCTCAATGGCCAAAATCAAGGCACAGCCTGTCCAACATGTGAATCATAACAAGAGAGCCAACATTCACTATCCGTCGCGCAGTACATTACAACCCCTCGTCATGTGCATCGATCGTTCACCTGCACCAGCAAACTTCCTACGTTATCTAGCCCCAGGGTCTTCTTGCGCAACCACAGCATCCCTGCATTAGCCTCAACAGCAACTGCCGCTATCCGAACATTACGTCATCGTCACGCTACAAACACTGCCCATGTGCTACCACAACTACACTTCGCATAACGGCTGCGGCCACCTGGGAGAGTCGCATAAGCAGCCGTGGACACTTTGCCCTAAAGCGATCGCGAGACTCAATGAACATCGCGGCGGTCCCAGCTCTCCGCCACTGTCTCCCCCAGCGACAGACGCCTTTGCAGCACCGCCAAAACGCTCCTCATCCGTGCGCGGCTTCTTCTCGCTGTCGCGCTCCAACACAACTGCATCGCGGCGCACAATCTCGGGGTCGTCGATAGGGACGGCACGTGATTCGTCCTCCAGCAATGGCTCCTACACCTATGCGCCGAGCGTTGAGCTGAACTATGCGAACTTGCCAGACCATCAACTCGCGGCCGCGAAATGCGCGCAGCCAATCAAGCGCACGCATGTTAGTCGTGAAATGGATGTCTGTAAGATCTGCAAGCGCTGGATCAGTGACATGCGATCCATGATTATCCGCTACGACAAGACTGGTAGTATCAGGGGAACTGTCGCCTTCGATAAGTTCTTGAAACCCGAGGGAGACGGGCTAGGTGAGCAAGAGGATGATGTGACCATTCCGCTCGATGACCGTGATGATCATGGACATGTTCTGGGCGCCAGGCAAGCTATCGTCATGGGTCACCCAGCCGGGATGCTAGATGGAGATGGAGGATTGTTGGCGCTGGAGAAGGAGTTGAATGCGCAGAAAGGTTTTTATTGACCAATGCCGGAATACCACCCAGTAGTGTGCGAGGAAGTTTGTATTGTTAGAATGTTGATCTAGTCCGAATCGTATATTTTTCGTCAGTATTACAGTCCCCACTCCGCGGATTGGATCTCTCGCATGTTAGTGGTGCGGCGGCCTATGCCTTCGCCACGCATGCTTTCCACGCATGAGACGCAAACTTCCTCATCGAGACAACCCAAAGTGGCCTGATTTACTTTGCCGGCATAAATTATCTCCACAATCAAGTTCGCCCACAAGCGAAGATGTCGAGTTAGAATCCTGCCGGCGACATGCGGCTCCTCTGATATGGTCCTGTCCATTATGCCAAACTTCTTCATGACTTGAAATCTGGAACGAGGAAAAATAATCACATACACTAAGAGCTTCTACGTTGTTTCGACCATCTCATGTCCTATTTCCAGAAATGTGGATGAGGCTGATGGTGGCGCACTGTTCCTTAAACTCGACACTTGCGCACGCCTTGCATGCGCGGTGATGATGCCCGGCGACAAAACTCACGGTGTGACTGGTGCGGCGTCAATGTCCACTGTTAGCACAGTGATCAATACATGTTATCAAAAGTTGCTGAAAAAGGAATGAGCATGCTCCTTGCATATAACAGTACGGTATTAATGCATCGTTCCATGCATAGCCCAAGAGATTGCGTCGATCAGTCGTGAGGTTCGCATCTGACTGGTGCGGCATGTATGTCCTCAACTAGTGCAGCTATCGATACTTACTCACAATAGTTGCTGGAAGAGGTATGTATGTGCTGCTTGGACGCAATTGTGCTGTGATGTGCTACTATTCAAGGCATGACGTCCGCGGAATGCCGACGGTCGAAAATAACCATCACATATGACTGGTGCGGTGTTCATGTCCATGATTAGTGCAGTGAACGACAGCATCTTACAGAATCTACTAAAAGAGGTAGGAGGGCGCATGGGCATAATGCAAAGGGGTATAGTGCAGCGAAAATACTGATGAGGTCTTCGTAACGAGTTTTGATCCGAGGAGCACCAAGGGGCACACACATTCAATGTTTAGATCCTTGACTAGATCCACAAGTAACGGACATGATGTAGCCAATGGAGATGGCTTTTAATCTCTAAGCCTCTTTCCGCGATCGACGAATCGACAACGGAGTGAATGAACGCTTAGCAGGCAGCGCAACGAGCATTTTTGCTGCTCTCTACCTACCCGACCAGCGAGGAAACGCGAACCTTCCGATCCCATAAATATGACCAAAAGCTTTAACCGCTCACTATATCATGCCCACCATCACCCTCACTCCTCCCTTTCACACCCAACAACATCAACGCAAACTCCCGTCAGCCATAATCAATACTGCCAAGAAACAACCGCAGCACTCCCCCAAAACCAACAATGTGCACAGAAATCCTTCACCGCCCGCGCACCTGCCAACACACAAGCTTTCTGCGCTGGGACTACTGCAGCGTCATCATCCCCTCCGACCGCGAGCCGGAAGTAGGCCGCGCGTGTCGGCTGTACAAGGTCAAGTACAAGCGCAGCCACGACGGACACAACTGCTTTGAGTGTGCGCGGGAGAACATAATGCGGAATACTGAAGAAAAGGATAAGAATGTAAAGAACAGGCGGATGAGGAAGATAGCGGTGAGGCTGGGCTGGGTATTTGGCAGGAAATAGGAGGGGGCGCGAGGATGTATGTTCGCCATGTAGTTCCATGATATTGAGATGGAGGAGGCTGGCTACCTTCAACCCATCCCCAGCATTCCTCCGAACCCCAATACTCCCGTGAATCTATTCACGCCTACTCATCAGACTACCACGTCCTCGTCTCAAACCGCTCCCTCAACACCTCGTATTTCCTAACATCCCCCACGCTAGGCTGGATCTCATGCACGCCAGCCGCAAAATCCGCCTCTTCGACTACATCGCTCTTGCGCCTGAGCGCAATCTGTCCCGCGCGCCTGAGCAGCGCCTCCAGATCCGCGCCCGAGAAATTCGTGCACTCGTCCCTCTCCCCGAATAGCGCTAGCTCGGCACTCAACACGCCCCTCTGCCTGATCAACGCCCTCAAAATATCCACGCGCTCTTTCGGACTCGGCAGGCCGACGTACAATCTCGTTTCCAGGCGCCCAGGGCGCAATATGGCCTCGTCGATCATCTCGGGGCGGTTGGTGGCGGCGATGAGATAGATGCCTTGGCGCATGGAGAGGCCGTCAAGTTCAGTGAGGAGAGTGTTTACGACGCGGGCGGAGGCTTCGTGAAGCTCGGTGCTGCGTTTGGGGGCGAGGGCATCGAATTCGTCGAAGAAGACGACGCAGGGTGCGGAGGAGCGAGCGCGTTGGAAGACTTGACGGATGGCGCGTTCGGATTCGCCGACATACTGGGGTGGGTTAGTGAGGGTATTATGATACAATGGCTTTTGATGTGGGCAGAGGGGGCTGGTGAAGGAGATGTAGTCGCTAGGCTGGTTATTCGCATGCGGGATAGTGACTTACCTTGTTCAATAATTCGGGACCCTTGACGCTTATGAAGTTTGCTTTGGACTCTGCCGCCACCGCCTTTGCCAGCAATGTCTTACCACATCCTGGCGGGCCCCATAGTAATACACCAGTCGCAGCTGTGATGCCGACCTTTGCAAAGCGTTCCGGACTTTTGATGGGTTCCACAATGGCCATTTCGAGCTCTTCGCGTACTGCTGAAAGAGCGCCAACGTCACTCCAGGTCGTATCGGGCACAGTTGCAAAGCCTTCTCGTTTCGATGACGGTACAATGGCTGGAAGAACGGCGTCAAATGCTTCCATGGAGATTGCGGTGTCTTCGAACCCTGGCGGGCGCAAAGCATCTGGATTTCGTACACGCGTGACGAGGCGCCGGATCTCTTGGTTGACGCTGAAGTCCTCTGAAGGGTCAGCCTCATCTACCTCCATTTCAGATTCCTCTAACGCCGCCTGCTTTTCCAGCGCTTCTCGATATCGATCCATTGACCAGGTACCTGCCTTACTGACAAGATCTTTGAGATCGGCACCAACGAATCCTGCCGTCTTCTTCGCCAGGGATGGAAAATCAACGTCGTCCGACAGTTTCGGTTTGCGAGTGAGAGCCCTGAGGATCATTTCTCGCATATTTTCGTTGGGTACGCCCATATTGATCTCGGTATCAAACCGACCACCGCGTCTGAGGGCCGGATCTAAGCTGTCCGGACGATTACTTGCCGCGAGCACAATAACCGGCTTGCCATCATTCCCTTCCATGGCTAGACTATCCATGGAGATAAGTAGCTGGGCGACAATCCTTTTCTCCATTTGGCTTTGTGCACTGTCACGTTTTGGTGCAATGACATCGATCTCGTCAATGAAGATCAAGCATGGCGCCACCTCTTTCGCTTTATCAAAGTGTTCGCGAATCTGCTTCTCAGATTCGCCCGACATTCCGGAAACAACAGACGGTCCAAGGATCTCGATGAAGGGAACGCCAAGTTCTGCCGCGAATGCTCGACTGATGACAGTCTTACCACAGCCTGGCGGTCCATGGAGCAAGATGCCACGTGGTATTGGAATTTCCCGACTAGTGTATTCTTGAGGACAGAGCAATGGCATGACAAGGTGCTCTTTCAGCTGCCTTTTGATCTTGGACACACCGCCGAGGTCGGCAAGACTTAGGCCTGTTGGTGGTGCAGTATCGATCTTCGATTCCGGAGCCGCAGCCTTCTTCTGCCTCTTGCTCTCCCTCTCGCCATCCGCCCTCTTCCCATCTCTCTTCTTGCTCTTCTTTTCCTCCCCATTCATCGCAGCCGGCTCCTTACTGGCCCAAGTATTAACAATCTGCTTATTCATCCAATCCCCGCTTTTACTACCCTTCACTTCAATCTTCTCGTCCCCAAACTCGCCCTCGACTTCAAGCAATTCGTCTTCGTCGTCTCCGCTCTCGTCTTCACGGATCACGTCGATTACGCGCTCGATGCTGTCTTCAATCTGCTTCTTTGGCCGCCGTTTTAGGCTCGAATTGGACCGTTGAATCCATTCATAGATGGTAATGAGCCGCAGTTTCAACGGTGACTCATTTTTGTCGTCCAGATATTTTCGCACGATTTGGTACACTTCCTTGTCCAGGCCGGCTTGGAGGGTGGGCCGGGAGCGGGGAGCCATGGCGGTTGTGATTTCAGGAGTAAGTCAGGAGGTTGTCGCACAGAAGGTCCCCTTTTTTCGTCGAATTTTTGCACTTTTTGGCGACGTCTGTCTGGAACGACGTTGCCCATGTGATGTCGAATTGCATCCACAAAAAAGTTCGATACGCCACTTATCGATAAGACTAGCGTCGGCGCGCCGTCGGCTAGATCCGTGCATACGTCAATCAAGGCAGAGCATGCGAGACACCAAGTCTCATGCGCATCACTGGGAGCTCATGGAGTCTGTAACACCATGGGGAACTCTAGTAGCTCGAACAAGATCTCTGCCCAGGACAAGTATGCAACCACCCGGTGAATGATGCGCTGCGTGTACTGATGGTGACTGCACAGGGCGATCCTGGATATGAAGAACCAGCGTGATAAGCTACGACAGTACCAGAAGCGGATAACCGTTCTTACCGACCGCGAAAAGGAGATCGCGAAGGAGTGTCTAGCTAAGGGGCAGACGGATAAGGCGAAGCTGGCGCTGCGGCGGAAGAAGTACCAAGAATCGCTGTTATCGAAGACGGACTCGCAACTGGCGCAACTGGAGATACTCACCAGCGACGTCGAGTTCGCGCTGGTGCAGAAGGATGTCCTGTACGGGCTGCAGCAAGGCACCGCCGTATTGAAGGAGATTCATCGCGAGATGGGGGGCATCGAGAACGTGGAGAAGCTGCTTGCCGATAACGAGGAGGCAAGAGCATACCAAGAGGTTGTCTCGCACTTTGATCGTAATCGCCACTCAACGCTGACACATCTTAGGAAATCTCTGAACTTCTTGCGAACAAGATGTCCAACCAAGACGAAGACGAGGTGGAAGACGAGCTCGAAGCTCTCGAAGCCGAGGTCAACGGCGTCCCAGAGCTGCCCACCGCACCTATCGCGCAACCACAATTCACAGCAGAGGAGAAGGCCCAGATGGCGAAGGACAGGGCTGCGAGAAGAGCACGTGAGAGAGCTGCTGAGCAGGCATCGCAGCCCATGTTGGCATGATCAAGCATCTAGACGGCATATAGAGTGCATTCAAGCGTGGCGTTGGGGTTTCTTCTGCACAACACGATCGTCCAACACGTTGCTTTCGGCGTGGTGGCGCATAGCGAGAGGTTGTCATGTATCTCAAACTCGACCTATGAGTACCTGACGATGCTGTCCACGTGCATCATGTGAGGGCAACGATCGATTTGCGGGGAAGTGAAGTCAGTCTTGGACTGCAAGTGGCAATGTTTCACCTGCGTGATCTTCGGCATCACGTCATAGCTCTCGCACCTGATATCGACGCTTTTCTTCCTACTTCCACTCCAAGCCTCTTCCTTCCACCGATCGTACCTGACAGTATTGAACCCTGCCGATCCCAAAGCTCAAAGCTACCCCGCCCCCACCATCAACACCAACACCACCTAAACAACCCCCCCACAATGTCTCACGACCACTCCCACTGCCACGACGAGCACCACGACCACGGCGGCGACGGCCACGACCACACCGATGACATAACGCCAGCCCTGCAAAATCTTCTCTACGAACAAATCGACTTCAGCAAACTCGTCACGCTCAACGAAGATGAATCCAACAGCGGCCGCGCCATCTGCCAGAAAACATGGGCGCAACGCCTCGACCCCGAACCTGAAATCAAGAGTAGCGCCGACGAACAACTCCTGATGATCGTCCCCTTCACGGGCCAAGTGCGCCTGCACTCAATCCTCATCCGCACCTCGCCCTCGCCCTCCTGCCCCAAAACGCTAAAAGTCTTCCTCAACGCCGACGCCATGGACTTCGACACCGCCTCGGACGCCACGCCCACACAAGAACTCTCAATCTCCCAAACCTCAGAGGTCCAGGAGATACCCGTCAAGCGGGCGCATTTCAACACGACGCGCAGCCTGGCGCTGTTCTTTGAGGACAATTGGAGTGCGGGCGAGGAGGAGGAGACTAGGATAAGTTATCTTGCGTTCAAGGGCGATTTTATGAAATTGAACAAGGAACCGGTTAGTGTCATGTACGAGGCGGCGGCGAACCCAAGTGACCATAAGAGTATTGTGGGGATTGGGGAGGGGGTAGGGAGGAGCATTCAGTAGGTGATGGGGAAGATGATCGGTGCATGAAGTCAGGGATTGATGTGCATGGATGGCGTTAGGTATAGCGTTGATGTGTTGATAACTTCCTGTCGCTCTCGAGTAAATTCATCATGGGTATAGGCAAACATTTCGTCGTCTGCAAGGTCAGCATAGGCGCTTGATCCATGATTCAAGTGAACATACTCTGTGTCTTTCTTCCAGTATCTTGGGTATCACGTCCCTGCAAACCATCCTCCGTATGCATCTCCAACCAAACATCATCCCTCCCTCCGTATGCAAATCCAACCAAACAGCATCCCTCCCCTCCCTCCTCACGCGCCCTGTGTCCAGCAATTTCCCACCCTCCACGATCATGAATGTCTCGTACTCCCCAGAACCTCCCCATGCACCTTTGTCCAATCAATCGTCTTGTCCAGCTCCTCGTCCAGCCGGCCGACTACAGCCACACTATCGCCGCGCACAATGTAAAGTCCCAGGGGTACTTCTTCTGACGGCACTTCTTCTTCTCGCGGCCGGATGATGCGCTCCACGGCTTCTTGCAGGACTAGGTTCATGCTGCCGTCGCAGGAGAAGAGGGTGCCGATCATGGTGCGCCCGTCGAGGGTTAGGACGGTTACGCGCTCTAGTTTGGGTTAGCTGGGGTGTTGAGGGGAGGGGAAGGTAGAGGCCGGACTGTTTAGGTAGGCATTTAACGACATGGTGTGTGGGTGGAGATTTGGTTGTTGCGCAATTAAAGCGCGTTGCGTGGAGTTTCCGCTTCCGAGGGATCAGGTCTTGTACTGGGGAAAGACGTGGAGCTTTTCGTAGCGGATTGGGAGTCCGGAGCGCGGTATGATAAAGCTTTGTTTTAAGTGTTGATCATGCTTGAAGAGCTCGCGATGCTTTGCGGTCGACCTTCAACTTTCGACGGTCTGTGCGGGGCCAATCAGAGCGGACTTCCTCCGCAGCACTCGCAGCTGCCTTGGGATGGCGGTAACTTCCGAAAACACTGTGTTGACGACTTGTCTCATACAGATTCTTCCATGGCAGCCGTCACGTTTCCAATTATGTAGTCTACCTTTGAATATCCACTTGGCTGAGCCTACGTCTTCCACGATGGACCCAGTGCCGCTGGAGCCTAGCATCTTCTTCTCCAAACTCCCGAGAGAGCTTCGCGACCAAGTCTACGAGTACGCCTTCTGGTGCTCATCGAGTCGGGACTCAACGGGCATCCTTCCTTCATACGAGCTCGCTGCCCCTCTCCTCACGTGCCGCCAATTCTACAACGAAGCCAACGTCATTGCATTTGCGAACATCGATTGGTGCATCAACTGGGCTCGAGTGCATCGTAAATACTACGATTGCAACATTTGCACGACATGGCTTTGCAAACAATCTCACACAGGGGAGTCCGCATGCTCGCAACACTTGTCTGATTCTTGTGATGTCGGTGGGATAGCTTCGCTCCGTAGCCCAATGGATCTGACGGTCAACAAGATGATTGAACGCGCCGGACTATTCAGCGAGCAGCGCACTGCTTTGCGCTACTTGACGATTGCAGACTTTTGGTTCGACTTCACGGTTGCATTGCAAGCATTGCGGCCAGAAAACCCCGTCCTCTATCATCTCTTGCATAATTTTGGCAGGCCAGCACGCGGGATTGTCACTTAGACGGCCTTAATATGACACTTCTAGAGCCAGTGTGCGATGCAGGGTTCTATGGTCATCACGCATTGAGATCCCATCGAGCCGACGTCAAGATCGCGAGAGTAAACACCGCCCAATTCCAGAGCATGCAATCCGCCAAGTCTGTTATACTTGAACACTCTTCTCACTTTAGTTCACCATCCCAATCCGGATTTTATAGAGGCTGGCTTGGGCACTGGCCCTGGCACTGTTTTACTCTGGTTGGGGAGAAAAGAGGCAGAAAAGAGGAGGGTATCCACCATCGCCCTGATCCTGAGAAAAACAAGCGGGAGTACTACCTTTCCGATGACTATTCAAGTTTAGACTGGGTGTGACTCAGCAGCTTGAACCTTGAGCGACTTGGTTGGTCTGAATGCATCAGCCCACAGGATGACCCCATTGTTATTGTACGTGCCGTGGCGTAAGCTATGATCACGCAGTGACGCGGCCTTCCGGCTCTCATCCATGGCTGCTTTGGCTTTCGTGGTGTACTAAAAAATGAGTGAAGAAGTTGGATTGGTACCGAGAAGCACAGTTCGCACACAACATCTGGATCTCCAAGCTTGCAGCCCGACTCAAAGCCTCTCGTTCTGAGAATCCTTCCACCAAATGACTGCATCCCAGTCAGGCTCCCCTACAATCCAAACAAAGTGGCCACGAAGATAAACTTTAGCGCCGAGCCTGTCTTACCTCATAGGCCAGACTACTTCATCAGCGAGCGGCACACGTATTTCCAGCGCGTGGAGATGCTGATCGATTATACCCCTTCACCACAAGTCGGCTGGGAGGAAAGTATTGCTAACGTGCCTTTCAGGAAGAGAGGAGGATGTAATCAGGCACTGGGACCTTTGGCTACGAGATCTAGCTACTTTAGGCCCATTGAGAGACCGGTTTGGAAGTGGGAGTTTTGTATTTGTGGGGAATGGGTGGAGGCCTTAAGAGTAATTGAACAGTACCTAGAGTACGTATGTTCCCATCTGTAGCAAGCGGCCGCTGAAACGCCAATCACCAGGCCGAGATTTCTCGCACTTTTCACTCTGCGTCTCGGTCTGCCGAACTTTTCGAGCCTGCTTTTTCTACCTGTTTGCCGCTTGTCCGCAGCCACAACCTATCGAGCAAATTCTCAACCAGGAGACCCAGTGCTACTGAGCATTACACTACTTGAATCATGAGTAGATACGAGTGGATCAAGTCGCAGACGAACCGCGCGGTGTCATGGCTAGTAGACACTGCGAGCGCCCAGGGAAGCGTAGTACGCACGGCCCAAGATACTGCGACAGTACAGAATATCACGACGCACACTACCCCCGCACCCAAACAAGGCAGACTCAAAGGAAAAGCGCGGACAGAAGCGCGGGAGAAAGCGCGAAAAGCCAAAGAAGCCGAAGCCCTTCGCGTCGCCAACGAAGCTGCAAAGCAGGTCTCAAAACCACGTCAAGTCTCAACCGATGAGCTCCTCCGACAGGGAAGATATCTACGAAATCTTCAGGGGACGATCATAATGCCAAAGAATATCTGGCGCGCATACAAGGACGCTATTCGAGGCCGCCAGAAGTACGTGGAAAAGTTCGCCGCCGAGGAGCCCGAGCACCAGGGCAACGCGGGACATGTGTACTTCCTAGATATACTACGGCAGATCGTCAGCATGCTCGAAGGGCGCATCCTGGTGCAAGCTTCCGCTTCGACGGCGACTTCCAAGAATCAGGATCGGGATTTCACCAATCTTTTCTCTCAGCTCAGCATCGATCCTGCTGAAGATGCGATTGAGCAGGAAGAAAACCCCAACTCTGAAGAGAAAGACGATATGGCGATTGTTAATGTTGCACCTGTTCGTTACGAACCGAAAGTCGACCCTGCTGAGGAGGCTAAGCTATTGTGGTTCTGTTTCGTGGATGACGCTGTCGAACTACGTGATTACGTGATCCTCATCTGGCTCCGCTTCTTCGAAGGAGGCGACATTGCTCCGAGTCTCCCAGTAGCCACGTTCCTGACAGAAGCTGCGATGGCGCAAATCACTATGCTGGAGAAAACAATGAAGCCACACTCCATGAGTGAGATGGGAAAACTCTCAAAGGTACTCCAAGACCAACAGGACTGGACGCTTGCGGCTATAACGATTATGAGTGCGAGAGCAGCAATGAATGAGGATACAACGTACCCAATCTCGGTACCCCTGAGTTTACCACGACTGTTGAAGCTCAGCCCTCAGATGGCCGTCGATCCGATTGTCATAGAGAAGGACACGTTTCTTATACAGTATCTCATGGATCTATCATTGGAGGTAAGCAGCTCATCTTCGCTACTGTATCTAGACCTGGACACGGCAATTCAAAACTACTCCGATCTGGGAAACTTCACTGACTTCCTCTAGCGCAACGGTTCCGTAAAGGTTGAACGCGAATCAAGCGATGGTGTCTCTTCTCTCATTAACAATAAGCTGGATATAATTTCGCGGCTTCTTTTGTCCGTCTGGACTGGCACTTACCCATCTGTCGCTGTATTCTGTGTCGCGACTGCCCTCCAACACATATGGGAGAGCAACCGGGGTCAACTACGAAAGCCTATGCAGGAACTGGAAAGATACTTGAACAAACACCAGGAATTCGCCGGGACCCTCTTCGACGAGCAGGTTTCCATATATAGATCCTCTACGACCGAAGAGCTCAATACACTTATGCGGTTTGTCCAGGTTAATCCTGTGCAACTGGATCGTTACCGTCATATTCGCGAAATTTCACCTAAACATCCAAAGGGTGCACTTTGCGGCCTGCATCGCAACATGTGGAAAGACCTGACTCTGTCATACGAATACAAGGAGATGATGATGGATCGTATTGAAGAGCTTGAAGACCACCCAGGCAACAGTGAAGCGATCCACAAGTACATGGAGAAGTTCATCATCCCCAATCCAGATCCAAACTTCCTACGCTCATCGAATCCTGCCCTGTGTGGCAAACTACTTCTCAACGCCCAGATGCGTAGAGAAGAGATCAATCTCAATTTCGTCAACATGAACCAGGACCTCCACGCAATGTGCCACATGTACAACGCACTCCGCCAATTCGGCTATCTCGACGAGCCCTGGCACGCGCTCGAAACCTACATCGACCTCCACATCAAGACAATCTTCATGGGCGAGCGCCCTACAGCCTCCGCTCATGTCATGGTAAACCGGGTATTCCTCAGCTCAGGCCTGCACTCCGAGGCCCTGCGCCAACTCAACAATCCCGATAAGCGCACCAAGGACCCACGCTTTTTGGCGAAACAGAAGACGAATCGCACGGGTAATGTCACACTGTCACCGTTCATGGGTATACTGTCGGACTATCTACACGATAAAGATACCATCCAGCGCACGCTCTACCGCATGGACGACGAAATGGTCGCCCAAGCCAAGCGCGAACTCGTAGGCTTCAAAGGCCCAAAATCCAGAAGCCCCGTCAAATCCTACCTCAAAGACTCTGGCCACATTGCTTTCCTCCAAGCGCTTGAAGTGCAAATGAACCAGATCGATCGCATCTTTGCGACTGACGGTATCGGGCTGAGTCGCACTTGCACTGCTCTCTTTGAGGAGATTACTTTAAATGCCGAGTTTCAATTGTCCACATTGGCGGGACGGAAAGACGATGGGTTCTCATGCTTGGCCATGATGTTGAGACGGTTTGTGGATGCGGATCAAGGAGTGATGGGGGCGAGGGAGGTGGCGGAGAGTGTGGCGGGGACGGCGGCCGCGGTGTTGAGGGGGTATATCCGAAAGGGCGGTAAGGGTATGCCGCAGTAAGAGGTATGCTGATGCTGATAATGAAGATGCATTGCTAGATCTTAATCACACGCTGATTAGGTGCATTAAATCTCGGATCAAAGCTTGAAAGTCAATCGATGCAACACAATCACTGTATTGACAATCCTGTGTCTAGTTACTGTGTTGCACTTTCTCTCCAGCTTATTCACGTCAACGACTCTGCTAATACCATTCCTGATTCCTCGCCTTCCGCCCTGCTTCTGCCGGTCGATATGCCCCACCCTTCGCAGTCCCGAGTCCTTCACGTACCAGGCCGATCAGGAATTGCACGCCAACACCTACACCGTCCACAACCATAGCTTGGTTCTGATGTTTGCCAACGGCATCTTCGCAGGCCTCCTTAGCTCCAGTCATCCCGGCACAGCCCAGACAAATACAATCTGCGCCCCTTCCATCAACGAGTTCCTTCGCCGCCTTGACAACCCCCGCAAAGACCTCTTCCTTCGGCTTCCTCTCGAGATCTAGCACGGAGATCCTGCAAGCCGCACATCCAGCGGAAAATTTACCAAATCCGTACTCTGCGATGGACTGCTGGTGGATTATCTCGGACCGCTCGCTTGTGGTGACGATGCCCAGTTTATTCCCGCACATCCTCGAGGCATAGAGTGCTGATTCCATGATGCCAAGTACAGGCTGAGTAACTTCCTCACGGAGCGCAGTTATGAGGGGATGGTTGCTAAAGCAGCACACAAGGAATGCGTCGAAGCGATGCTTGATAGGCACGATGTTGCGCAGACACTCGGCGGCTGAGAGAACGCCGTCGACTCGGCCTTCAATGGCGCTGGGTGCTGGTGGGGGAGCAGTGAAGCCATAGACTGTCACTCCAGGCGGGATCTTGGTCGAAACGGTTTTGAGGCAGGCGTCGGTCATGTGCGCCGAGGAGTTTGGATTTATCAAGAGAATTGAGATGGGAGGTTGTTCGATCCCAACGACGGTTGGGAATGTTTTTGGATCCATTTTATAGAGTCTGTGAGGTACCACGTAGCGTATTCTAAGGCTGTTTCTTTCTGCTTTGTTGAGAGCTGCGTAAAGTGGGAAGGAGAAGCGAGAGAAGGTGACTTCCTTATATGTCCCCTCACCAAAACCCCACACACATTTGTTCGGATTAGGGAAAGCGTAGACTAGTTAGTAAGCAGTAGATAGCGTCACTTTCGACCACGAGCATCATTTTCTGAGATGTCATCCACCTGAACAAATCGGGTTTTGGATTTACCGCGACTATCCGCGTGCATAGAAGCCTCGAAAGCACAGCTGCAACGCTAAAGGTAGGTCTCGCTTTCACGCACTATTGATGGGAGAACTGAGATGACAGTTTCTCCGTCTAAAGCCAAAGGTCTCGTTCTCCAGGTAGCATGCCTCTTCCTTGTTGGCCCATCTTGCCCGTGACTAGCTTTCCCTTATTGCGATGCAAGAACTTTCCATACCCCTTTTCTCCGACGATGCCGGCTCCATCATGCTGCCACACCACCTTTCCTCTGAGAATGGTGTATCTCGGCCAGTTTTGGACAGAGATGCCTTCAAAAGGCGTGTAGTCAACGCCGTGATGAAGTTGCTCCTGTGTGATGGTCACTTTACCCCTAGGATCGCCAGGAGGATACCAGATAACTAGGTCTGCATCGAACCCTACCATCAGAGTTCCCTTTCTATCGTCCATACCGTATAGTCTGGCGGCATTGCTGGCTGTGAGTCGGACGAATTGTGGCAGAGTGATACGTGCCTTCTCGGGTGTTAAGCACCCCTCCGATTGATTGAACAAAAGCGGCATCCTAGTTTCAAGTCCTGGGAGACCATTGGGCACCTTGGAGAAACGAATGACACCGTCGACAGTGCCTGCTTTTTTGCCCTTTGGGTGGTCGAATTTTGACGCAGCATGGTCTGAGGACCAGACGGTGAAGGCGCCGTTGGCCAGACCACGCCACAGCCCTTCAAGATCCGATGCGTGATGTCGCAAAGGCGGCGCACATATGAACTTGGCGCCATGAGAATTATCGCCGTGGTGACACTGTTTGATCTCCTCGGAAAGAAGAAATAGATAATGAGGACAAGTCTCCGCATGCACTGGTAACAGCCGCGCTTGGGCTGCCCTGACATGCTCAACAGCCGCCTCAGAAGACATGTGCACTATGAGAATGGGTGCATCCACAAGTTCAGCTAATGAGATAGCTCGATATGACGCCTCGTCCTCTGCAAGTCGCGGCCTGGCAATTGCGTGAAAAAACGGATCTGTGTTGCCTCTCCGTTCAAGACGCTCGATTACCAAGGCGATCATGTCCGAGTTTTCAGCATGGATCATTGTGGTCATGCCTAACTCGCGACAAGTCAGCATGACATCGAGCAATTGCCTGTCGCCGAGCTTGTAAGGCTCGTATGTCATGTACAACTTGACGGACGTGATGCCATCCTCAACCAGTTTGGGCAGTTCGTTGTCGAGGATTTCGGCGGTAGGGTTTGTCATGACAAGATGAAACCCGTAGTCACAGTACGCTTGGTCATTTGCCTTGGCATGGTAGTTTTGCACAGGTTCGAGGACAGAGCTGTCCTGACGTTGTTGGCTGGCAAAGGCCAACACAGTGGTGGTTCCGCCGGCAATGGCACTTCGAGAAGCAGTCTCCCAAGTATCGCCGGTTGGCATACTATCTTGTTGAATGTGCGTGTGGGAATCTATCCCGCCCGGGGTGATGAAGGCACCTTGCGCATCTATGACTTCGGCGTTTGACCGAGCAGCAAGATCGAATCCAAGCGTGGCGATTTTTCCATCTCGAATACCGATGTCAAGACCAGCAGGCAAGACTTCGTTTGCCGTCACCTTTGAGCGACCATTTGTCAGTTCTAATTCCGCTTCTGGTAACAGGCTTTACATACGAGGATGCCATTCGTGACGATGAGGTCATACTGGTCGTATTGCTGTTGAGACATGACTCGATTGCGATATTGCAACAGAAACCGATGAACGAGTGGTTCCGCTATGGTAAATAACGTCTGGCTGGTGCTTTCCTGTACTCCAATTCTTATCTGCCGATACCGCTGAAATAGTCGGGTCGGCCGGCAACCTAGGTCGCCATCGGATCGGCATCTGCGAAGCTCCGTCACTTACCGTAGGTACCTAGGTAGCCATCACCGGGGTACGCCTCAGCACGATGATCTATCTCTCATTCTCTCTCTATCGTTTGATACGTTGTGGCCGAGACCTGCCCAGGTGGAGCCTCGGCTGCTTAGCCTTGGAGCCATTCCAGAAACGGCCATCCGAGCCTTCCAAGGCTTACACACTTACAGGTATCAGCTCTTCTCAATAGCGGATCTTCGGATCAATTTTTTAAATTATTGTCACTTGGTCCGCCCGCTTCACATCGTTTGTATCTAGACAGACAAGAAAATGATGAAGTACTTGTAATAATTCTAGTTCATGGGCGTTTGAGATGCATTTGAAATGTTATTGAGCAAGCTAATACATACATACGGGGTCATGCAAAAGCTTGTTCTAATCTAGAAGGGCTGGCTCTTCGACACCGACCTGACTGAGTAGCCTGTGATAACGTTCGGGCCTCCTGTGCTTGGCAAAATCAAAGACTCTATCTTTGCCTTTGCGACACATGGCTAGATCAATGGTGGCGCAGACCAGCTCATCACCCTCGGTCTTTGATTCAGCAATGATGTGTCCATTGGGATCTACAATGCTGCTGCCGGCGATGAGCGAGCCGTGGTCTTCCTTACCAGCCTTCCCTGCGTGGATACTGAAGCATGCATTCGTATAGCTTCCAGACTGGTTAGATAGATGATGATGGAAGAGAGCTTCCTGCTTTTGCCATTCATTCGTTCCTGGATATTGAGGCGCGAAAGCAGTGGTATTGTAGCCCTCCTATATCCATAGTAGTCAGTGCGTGATGCCTTTTACACGGTACCGGGGTAGAACTCAGTTTGTCTGAGGCGACTTACCAGCACGATTTCGACGCCTTGTAGTCCATACGATCTCCAACCCTCCGCCCAACGCCTGTCGTTACAGAGCAGCATACCCATGATTGGGTCACCCTGGCCCTGCGTGCTTTCTGTCGATATCGCGTCCTTGGATTTGACCGCACCAGGGATGAGATCCGGTACGCGGAAGGCCTCGAACCCCAGATCTCCAACCGTAAAAAAACGTTTCTCCAATTGCTGCGTGACTCCGGGGCGAGTGTCGGGTTCATAGCGGCCAGGTAGATGGACCTTCCTGTATTTGGCGATAGCACGCTTCTGAGTTGCCGAATAGTATATTGCCGTGTTGTAATATGTTACTTTCTCATCCTCTGCCGTCCAACGCTCGCCATAGCCAATGTAGATGTCGATACCCAGCTCCGTCGCTTTGTCAAAGAGAGATTTGCCATTGGGTGAGTGAATGATAGCGGAAGGGTCCTTGGGAGAAGCTGGCTCGAAGAACTTGTCAATGTCTTCCTGCTTCTCAATGATGTATCCCGGGAAGAAAGTTGTAAAGGCAAGCTCTGGAAATACAAGAAGCCTCACATTCTTTTCTGCTGCTTCCGAGCACAGATTAATCATTCGAGTGAGGGCATCTGAGCGCGGGCTATCCAAACTTGTAATGGGCCCCAACTGCGCGGCAGCTACCGTCAGCAGTCTTTGGCCTGAGGGTGTGCTCATTGTGACGTATTCCTGGTGTTTCTGCGGGACAATTGTTTCTTAGCTGTGTGCAGGTGGATGAATGCGACCGGCGTTCAAGGCGTGTAAAGTCTTATGCGCATCTTGACACGCGGTTCGTACTCGTGAAGCTCTCGCGTCAGGTCTCCACGCTCGGCAAGAACGAGCCGACCCTGCGGCGGCTATCAACGGAAAGTTTGCGCTGCACCAGCTGCCAGCCGATAACACTCTATCATCGGTTTGGGTAAGTGAAAACTTACCACATGGTCCTGTTTGGTTTTGTCTAATGATAACAATTCAAGTTCCTGGCCGACTATGACACCACCTAGGTTGGTGCTGCAATAATTCGTGCTCGCTGTCTAAACAGTATCCAGTACTATCCTAGGGTGATGTGAGCCGTCTCTTTCCAAATTCTTTCTGATAATTTCCTACGTACTAGTAAGAAATGAAGTCTGCTCAGGCTTGTATTTGGGACACCAGCTACTCATTGACAGCAAATTGAGTATGGACAGAGTTGTGGCATCTGCGCAATTACTAGAATAGTCATTATGGCCAATGGAATAATTATGCTCACTGTGTGATGTGCATATCACCGACGGCTCTCAGCTAGATGCAGAAGCTGACGTTGGGTTTCCGTTCCGCGTATCATGACAGACTACATTCTTCCATCTATGATTTCGAAATCAGACATGGTACAAGTGGTGATGTTTTTTCCATTGCGATAAGAATTGACCTAAGATTGGCTAAAGCTTCTGCTACATGCTTTATAAGCGCGCCAGGCGGTTGGGGACCAGATTCGCCGCATACTGTGCTAGCCCCCTAAGGTACATGTCAGCGCGATGTTTGCATTTTCAAAGTATAGAGAGCAAAGTCTTACCATCCTGCTTGGAATCCAGTTCCTCCTGCGCCATAGTTGTGAATCACTAGATTGCCCTCAATTGCCTCAGCCTCAACTCGAGACCCACCTTCTCTCCCAGCTACATGGTTTTCGTTAGCTTAGTGCTCGTAACATGTGTCTAAAACATTGTACGTTCTCGGAATACTTACGTCTTAGCCCTACTCCATGCTTGATCACCTTCAAATCTTCAGGGCGGCCCAGCTCGGGGACCAGGGCACAGCAACGCTGTTTGATAAGTTCCGCGAAATCCATCTCAGGCTCGCCATCCCATCGACCTTTCTGTCGGCAACCTCCAAGTATTATGCCTCCGCGCTCTCCTCTCGGAAAGATATGTGTGGCTTCACCGTCGCGATGAGGTGCGCGGAAGTACATTTTGCGAACTGGCTTCTCAGGACCTTCTACTAGTACGATTTGACCCTGATATATCATAGCCACGTCAGCATCAAGATCGGGAAATGATTAATACGAGACGGAAAGTGATGGGATTGAAGTAAACGAAATGAAGAAAATGTTATGCATTCGACTCCCAGAGAAGTGATGGAAAGCACGTACCCTAGCAGAAAATATCTTCTTGTCTTCCACTCCACCTAGCGTCAGAGCTCCGAGGCCTGTACAATTGAAAATCGCTGTGGTATTTGGATACGCTCGGAATGCATCACGAATGTGGTCAAAAACCCTTCGATGAACCTCGATGCCCAATCTCGTACACTCAGTCTGCAGCCTGCAATGTGTCAGCAGGGCTTCTATCCTCCAGGAAATTCGATGGACATTGTCTAGCGATTAATGAAAAGTATACATACCATGGCAAATACTTTTGGACATCGATAACAAAGCTGGCCATCTCGTAGCCAAAGGCACAGCCGTCAGGCAGCTCTTCTTTCGGGATTTCGGTCAATCCGCCTACAAGCTCCTCGAACCACAACTTTCCCGTAGCCGGTGTCTTGATTCCAACTTCATCAATTGCCTGCTCGTAATGCCATCGGATGTTCATGGGTTTGATGCCGCACTCGGGTCGCGTAGCACTGAGTTCTCCAAACTTTCGGTATGTGATAGCCTCCATATCTTCATGTGGTCCATTGTCTCTCGCAGCAGGGAACCAGTTTGCGCCTCCCCAAGCAGAAGTGTACTCGGGCGCTGAGTCTCCAGGCAGAAATTTTCCAGCCACCACAATTTTGGCATTGGGATATCTCGCGCGCAGTTCAAGGGCTTGGGCGAGGCCTACGACACCGGCACCAATGACCACGAAATATGCTGCAACAAGATTCTCATGTTTAGCTGAGAATCGATATATCGCTCAAAGGAACGGAATGGGAATGGATGAAAATGTACAACTTACCCATCATGTGAAGCTTTTGAACCCTACGTCGCTGAGCACAGATGAGGAGCCTGCTTTTGTCGTAATGAGTACAGCGGATAGCCACCACACGCACCGAAGTTGAAGTGAATCGGATGCCAGACCCTAGCGGGTAATGTTGCGTTGCAGTGGGTCCGCTAAAGTAAGTGACCGACTTCCCTGCCTAGGTGTTCACCGCCGATATCCGACCCGAAATGTGCGAGCACGGGCCTAGCTACACGTGATACAGGATGAGGTTTTGGTACTGCAACAGGCAAACACTAAAGAGACTATACAATTACGGTTATTGCTAGCGCCATTTGAATCATATGTGGATTTTAGAGACATTTGTCCAAATAATCTAGCTAACGCTGTTGACTGGCGTGATTGGCTTGCCTGCATCAAAGAAAGCTTCGACATTGTCCAGATTGATTCTGTCAAAGTTCTCCCAGCTGCTGCTTGAACAAACACCAATATGCGGCAGAACAGTGACGCGCCAATTGTCCTTGAGCTTTGGGTTGATGCCTGGTTCGTTCGCATGTACGTCTAGCCCAACACCAACGACCTTGCCGCTTTCCAAAGCTTCCAACAAGGCGTCCTCATCGATCATTTGACCCCGTGCAATGTTGACAACTCGCAAACCATTCTTTCTAGCGAGTGAAAATTGCCTCGAGGAAAGCAGATGGTGGGTGGAGGCCGTGTAAGGGGCGGCTATCATGATGCAATCCACATGCGGAATCATCTCGTCCACCGAGGAGTAGTAGGTAGCTGGTTGTTTGAAAAGCTTCTCCATATCCAATTTGCGTCGTGGGCCTTGATAGTGAATCCTCATGTCAAAAGCTGCCTCGCATTTGCGCGCGACGGCTAGACCAATATCGCCCAGGCCTACAATACCCAAGGATTTGTGAGTCGGGTCCACGGCCTCAAGTCCCAGGTCCCGGCTCTTGTACCAGTCATACCTCGCGCACCATTGCGCATAAGTGAGGTATCTGAATGAGTCTAGCACCAGAGAGAGAGCTGTGTTTGCGACGGCCTCGGTGCATGCATTAGGTGTATTGCAGTACCAGATGCCTCTGGCCGTGATGGCATCAGTGTCAGCTGCGTCATATCCGTGACCACTGCAGCAGATGAGCTTGAGAGTGTCAGGATAATATGGAACGACATCTGTGGCAAATGGTCGCTGATAGGCGAGCGGGCCAGCCTTCAACCAGCCATTACGGACAATGGCAACGATTTTGTCATAGGCGCCTCCGTGTTTTAGGCGTTCTTTGAACTCCTCCGTGGATTCGCAGTCGTAGCGAATGAGATTCAAGTTGAACTTCTCGGCCACTGCTTTCCAACGCGCATGGTCGGAAGCTTGAACAGTTGATTCGATCAGCAAAACATCTTGTTTGGGCGGCATGGCTGTTGTCTGGCACTATGGTATGTTTTGCAGCATAATCTATAAGCTGGACGAAGAAGAAGAAGAAGAAATGAAAAGCTCCAACCAATGAAGCAGCTCGGTTCAAACTGCGACGACAACGGAACCAGCTGCTAAGGCCACGACCTGGACGTGACCGGTCTGAACGGCCGGCCAGGTCGGTAATAGCGGAACGTGAAACAGCGTGATGGATGGATATTGCCTAAGCTAAATGATATTGAGGCACTTTGCTGGCGTCCGTCGTACGTAAAGATTAGTATGTCAGTCTAGTGAATCAACGCCTTTCGCGCCTGGCTCGGTCTGGACATGGTGTAAGACTTGATGGTGTGATGAATGTCGGCAGCGGCAAGTGGCGGGGACAAGTACCGTTATCGCACTTGTTACCGTTATCGCACTCGTCATTAGGCTTGGCACCGGCATCGGCCGACATATACACGGGCCCAACGGGAAAATGTCGGCTTCTTATCGACCGATGGTCTCCTACTCCTCTCCCCTTCAGCCGTCAATAATGGACATCGGTCTCCCGTCCCGATTAGATCAAACATCAGCCTTCGTCATGCCCGAACCACCGTCCCCCGAATCCTCGGGAGCGTCAGAGAATAGGACTAACAATCGACGTGGTAACAAGCGGTCATATGTCGCGTACGTGTTCTCCCCACTTGCAATATGCGCATCGTCGTCTCGCTACAGTAAAGATCAAATTTGGCTAGACAATTTGCTTTAAAAATATTGTTCCCCGTATGGTGAAGTACTGATGAGATCGTGCCTAGATGTCAACGCTGCCACTCACTTAAGGTGAAATGCTCTGGCGGCACACCATGCCTTCGTTGTTCAAAAGCGCGTAAAGAGGCAGTGTGCCAGTATCCGTCGCGAGAGAAGCGAGTCACCGTACCAGAGAGGTAAATCCGTGTCCTGTCTCCGGCAAAGATGAGACAAATTGGTATTGACAATATGTATCTAGCTACCTTCAGCAGTTACAGAGACAACGTGAACATGCGAATGTAGATCAGACAATAGCGGAAAACGGTGACTACGCTATCGAAAATGCCAGCATCCATAGAGAAGAGCTCTCCACGAGGCTCCCTTCGCAGGCGAATGTCCATCCCTCGTCCACTACCACTACTCCGACATCTGTACCTCCTCCCGCACCCACACCCGCACCTGCACCTGCGTCTGCGCCTTCTGCTCGTCCATCTTCTAGCGCTGACGTCTGCATGTCCAACGTCGATGCAAACGTCGGCATTCCCACTCATGTGCTAGGTCAAATCTTCGCCTCAGACCATGATTTGCAACAACAATTCATAGGAGAGTCCACCTGCTCAGCATTCAGCGATCGCATACTACAATGTCTTGATCCAGAAGGAACTGCTACACACCGGCTTCCTGATCGCCATTATGTGCGCAACGCGGCATTTTCTCGTCAAATGAGTAGTGTGGCTAGTTGTAAATTCCCCGATCGCATCCGAGCGACCCTGCTGGTGCGAGTAGCTTTCCGATTCGTTGGTCAAGACTACCATATGTTCATGCAGCAGCACTGCTTGCAGCATTTGGAGCAGATGTACGGATCGACACAAGGGCTTGCACAGGAGACCGATAGCATTTGGGTCTGCAAGTTCTTCGTCATCCTGGCTTTGGGCGAGCTGTATTCTACGACGCTGACAGCTGCCAAAGAGGCGAGGTCATCGACCGTTGCCGGGACTGAGTATTTCCTGACCGCCGTTGGGCTCTTGCAAGATCTATTCGAAGAGCCTTCAATTGATCAAATCGAGACACTGCTCCTATTTGTCAGTTCCCGCTCCCCTTCCTACTTCAATTGACTCATAGTCTCTTCTCCTCCTTCACAGCGGGCAAGTTGCAGATGAACCTTCTCACCTGACCATCTTTGCAGTCTTTCTACTCAAACGCGCTCGGCCGCGTTAAGTCGGCACATATGTATAGCGGTATGGCATTGCGCTCAAGCACTGTTATCGGCCTTCATCGCCCTGCTGCAGAATCTCCTGCCCTCACTGCCATAGAGCGTGAGCACCGCCGACGATTGTGGTGGACTGTTTACATCTTTGACCGTTCAACATGCTCCAAACTTGGTCAGCCCGTCACGATTCAAGACTCGGATATCGATGTGGCTGTGCCTTCTACAGACGGACTATCTCCTGCAGACCAGAAATCTTTGGGAAGCTCTGCAGATCACCTCATTGCGTTCATAAATTTGGCAAAGATCACAGGGTACATCATGAATGACGTTCATGTTCCCTCAGCCAAGGTCAGCGGAGAGAAACTTGTGAAGAACGTCCGGTCGATCTTGGGAAAACTACGAAATTGGGACAGTCATGTTCCAGCTCGGCTGCGATGGGACCCCGTTGGCGGTGTCCCTCGATCAGTGGCGTCTTTGCAACTGCACTTCAACCAATGCATCATTCTGACAACGAGGCCCATCCTTCTATACGTCTTTAAGCTCAAGAACCCTTTCACAGACGATGGTATCGACCTCCGTGGCAGCGGCGGCGGAACTAATACACCGCCGATCTCAGACACTATAAGATCGCTGGCTGATTCCTGCGTTACCGCTGCCCGGACATCGAATGCCATTATTGTACAGCTTTTTGTTGAAAACGCCCTGGCCACTTGTGGCTTTTTCGACGCGCATCATCTGTTTTCTTCAACAATTGTGCTGATAGTATCAGCCATCTCTTACCCAAATGCGAGCGATTCAGATGCCGTTCAAACAGCGTTTCAGCTTCTCGTAATGATGCGCGATAACGGAAACGCTATCGCGGGGGACTACTTTGCCCGTCTACTTCAGATCCAGGGGAGAGTCAGCCATCTATTTGCCCGGGCGACAGCCGATCAGGGAACTACTCCGCCTCTTAATAGAATGAGGGCGGAGCCGGGAGGAGCAATGGGAGAAGATGGTGATAGTGGAGGTGGCCAAGAGAGGTTTCCGAGCCATCTGAATCCGCTCGGAATGCCTTCCGCGGGTTCGGCAACTCTAGATGAATACGACTGGAGCAGATTCATAATTCCTTCGAACTTTTACACAAGCTTTGAGGACGCAGGCGGGGGTAATCTCACTGTTGATCCTCTAGATCACCCTCTCTTGCAAACATTCCTCAATAATACCGATGGCAGTCAGGACGAAAATAATCTTGTAGGCGCGGAGCACATGGAATTCGTGCTGTAGCTTTTAACTGGGGTTGCCAGCCTATTGGGCTATGATGTGTCCCTCACTTCCTTGTCAAGTGTCGAATTAAAGACATAAATGGAACTGATCCCTTGTTTTCGCGGTCAGGATTGTATTTTGCTTAAAGTAAATGATAGACCAGGCCTGCGCTAATTGCCCAAGCTTTACAATAATCCATCACGATGGAACCCTGAAAGCCTGAATAGCCTCAGCAATTGAATCCGCCACATATTCAACGTTGCCATCGTTGACACCACTCAAACTGGCCCGTCCATTGCGCATCAAATAGATGTGATGAACATCCCTGAGTCTCTGGATGTGTAGCTCGGTCAGGCCTGTGAAGCTAAACATGCCAATCTGTGACTCAAGATGGCTCCAGTCCCCAACATCATTGTGCTTTTCGATTTGCTCCCGTAATTTCCCTCGGACGCTCTTGATACGGTTGGACATGGTCTTCAAGTCTCTCTTCCACGCTTTGGTGAGTTCTGGGTTGGAAAGCACAGTATGAACTATGCGGCAGCCAAAGAGAGGACAATTCGAGATCTCTGCTCTGATGAGGCGATATAATTGGCTTTGTGCCCCCGCAGCAGTTGCCTGCGCAGAGAGGACGAGATGGAATGCACCTACTCTCTCGCCATAAAGTCCGAAATTCTTCGCAAATGACTGGGCGATACACATACCGGCTGGACCAGGGTGATGAACCAATGGAGAAGCATTAGTACTTCCGAAGAGTGTCTTATGGAAGAAACGAATTGCCCATGCATCAGCGTCCACGTCACCGGTCGCGAAGCCTTGGTAAGCCGAGTCGAAGAAAGCAAACAGCTTCTTGCGCAGAAAGAGCTGTGCCAACTCCTGCCATTGATCTTGTGTGGGATCAATGCCTGTGGGATTGTGAGCGCATGCATGCAAGATGACAACGTCGCCCTCCTCGGTCTCGTTCTCCAAAGTCGACACCATTCCCTCGAAGTCCAGCGACCGCGTCGATGCTTTGTAATAAGGGTATTTCTTCCGTGTCACGTTCGGGGCCGCGACTTCCCAGATAAGATGATGATTACCCCATGTCGGGTCGGAGATGAAGACGTTCCGAGGTTTCAATTGCTCAGCCAGGAATAAAGCACCGAGATGGTTAGCGCCTGTGCCGGAGATAGTTTGAACAGATACAACACGACTGGACAGGTTTTCATCATCTCCCAAAACAAGGTCCCTCGCGACATTCAAGTACGGTTCATATCCACCTATTCCTAGATACTCATGGTACAAGGAGGAGTCGCTATGAAGAATATCCTTGGCCTATACTATTGGGTTAGACACTGAAAAAGGAAGTAGAGATGGGAATGCGATCTGATAGACATACTGCTTTAACGCTTGGGAGAACCCATGGGTTGGATTTATCGTCACGATAAACCCCGGCTCCCAAGCTCACTTTTCTCGCATCCTTGTCGGCTACGAAGTCAGCGGTGATGGCAAAAGCCTCATCTCGCTCCAGGATAGGGACGTCTTTCAAATTTGGTGGCATAGCTCTCCTGTAGACTTTTGACTTGGTTCTTTGGTAGCAAGATCTTTCTTGGCAGGTAAAATGAAATATTCAGCTCGGTATATTTGCTCTCCACAGACAACAAACAGGAGCTGGGAAAGTTCTGTCTCGGTCAATATCTAGCCTTTTCGACCGATCATAGTGCTTTAGCCTATGTTATCAGCAGTAGTCGGTCTTCGTGCCGTCCACTCAAAATGCCGACCTTTCTTGCCGACCTTCCTATTTGGGTTCGGGACCCAACAAATCTCCGGGTCCACATCCCACGACATGTCTCTTTATACCAGAATTCTTTACTAAATGGAATTTAAGCTAGGATGTATTTGTGCCGATAGTCAGGAGGGCCTTCAGGACGCCCAAGTATACGCCAGCTCTAGAAGAATACATTGGGCGATCATTCATGACTCACAAGGATTATATTCCATGTAAACTCTTCTTTCATTTTCACTACTGGAGAGCTGCCAACGTGAGACGCTTATAGACAGCTACGCATTTGATCAGGTCGGGTATGGCAACCTGCTCGTTTTCTCCATGGGCATGCAAAATTGACCCAGGCCCGTAGAGGTATTTCTTGTGCGTTCCTGTCAACCGTTGAATATCAGTGCCGAACGACACAGGCTTATGCTCGATACCTGTCAGAAAGCATGGTGTTAGCTAGCAGGTATGTGGTTGAAGCGCTTCCCTCAGGGAAAGCCTGGCAAATAAATGTCTTACCTTCAAATTCATGGTCGAGCTTTGTCTCAGGATACGAAAAAGACTTCTTCAACTCGACGTCAGGATACTTGCTGACAACCCCTGCAACTTGCTTCACAATCTTTTCGAGATCGGCAGCGACCCGAACACCACATAGCGCGTAAGCATCCGCAGCTACAACGTTATAAGCCACGCCCCCCTGAAGCTTGCCGCAGTGGTATGTCGTGGGACCAAGGAGTTCCGACGTCGGTAGTTCCAAAGACTTCAATTCGTCTAATACAGAAATAAGCGCATCCGTTGCGCTCTTTCCCTGATGAGGATTTCCCTAGTGACACGAAACGCCTTTTGCAAAGAGCTCGAAAACGTAGTGGCCCTTGTGTCCAGTAGCTAGAGTTCCCTCTGTTGGCTCTCCAAAAATAACAGTTTCCCATGTGAGATCCATGTCGTTTGCCGCGAGCATTCCTGGTCCGCCCTTCTCCTCGCCAACAACAAAGAGCAGTGAGACGTCGCCATCCTTGACCTTGTTTTCTGCCTTCATTTCCTCCAGGGCAATAATTTGCGCTGCTAGCGGGCCTTTGTCATCGCAAGCGCCGCGGCCGTAAATGATGTCGCCTTTGATGCTCAATGGAATATGAGGTGGTACCGTATCCATGTGCGAGGTGAGCATGGTCCGAGCCTTGCGATTCTTACCCATGTAAGCGTACACATTGCGGCGAGTCGATCCTGGTGCAATGGGAATGAGCTCAACAGTGTAACCTCGATCCTTTAGGTAATTTTCAAGAAACAGGCCAATCTGTTCCTCTTCTTCACTAATAGATGGAATTTCCATCAATTCCTTGAGTAGCGTGACCACTGGAGTATCAGCCATGTTTTGAGATGGGCGAGAATTTTTGGCCCTTTCCGATTGAGTGGCAAGACGAGAGATATAAGTGTTCAGAGCTTGCGATGTCCACTGTGTGTTATTAGGTGTCAATGTGGAGAATCCAGGCAGTGTTCGCAAGCGGTTTGTGAATGCCACGATTGTTGTATCGAGAAATCGAGCTACACTATGCAGGGCGTCGGCGACTGTCACCGATCCGATCACCTGGATAGACATGGTCATAGCACTGATGGATAGATATGCGTAGGTCTGTAAGCACGACAGTCGGTCGATACGATCCGGCGCACCGAAGCAGCGAAGCCTCATAAGCCTTCGTGCACGCGACTAACACTGAGTCAATATTGGGACGGAAATATGACAGATTTGATAGTGATTACTAGGAAGCATTCATTATGCCAAATTCAGCGTGTCAGTGTGTCAGTGTGTCAGTGAATAATGTAGATCCTGAATATTGAGCCACTCTACTGGGATGAATGTGCAAATATAATGTATGTAGCATTTTTATCTGATGAAAGCAAAGAATTCGATACTCCCTGGAGACATGGTTTCGACCAGCAATCTCTATCGACTTGGGGCAGCACGTAACCATTACTTGGTTGATGCAGTTTTACATACAATGGAATTACCTGAACATCGCAGTTATTTACATGACAATGTCTGCCCACACGACTCCGAACGTAAGACCTGTCCACATCAGATGGAGTATCGGAAATGAAGGTCGTAGTCTCCGAGAGCAGCATTCGGTTCGATTTGGGTTCCAGCCTGCTCAGCCGCCAGCAGCTTAGCCGCTCGCGTTCTATTGACCCACATGAAGGCAAACATGATGCAACAGACATCAAACAGGGCAAAGCAGGCTAGCCCTAACGCAATACGAAGGCCAGGCAAGTACTTTGGCGCGCTCTTCGAGGTAAAAATTTGTCCGACTGCGACACCCGCGGTGTTTCCAAGGGTGAGCGTGAAGCCAACCATGGTGGCTCGCTTGTAATGCCGCGAGACGTTGTCTTGCAACCACATGATGGAGAGACCGGTTGTCGGGTAGATGCCCAAAGCCGCGACTGAAGTAAGTATCAGCAAAAGGTACCATGTGAGAGAACTAACAGGAGGATTAATGCGAAATCTGAACTCACCAAAACATGCGAAGAATTTGACCTTCAAATTATCGACCGTAATCAAGATCGAGTAGCCAGTGATCAAGCAAACAAGACCAACAATGAGGAACGGCCCTCGGAGCCCCGTTCGATCTGACGCCCAAGCAAGCGCCAGGAAGAATATTAGAGCAACGAAGAAGATTGGCGCAGTCATTAGGTTTGCGCGGACTGACGTATATCCTAGTCCGCGTACAATGACAGGCATAAAAGTCGTTAAGCCGTAAAGGCTGATGTTGATGGAAAACTGATACGCGAAAAACGCATACCACTTCGGATCGACGAACGCCTTCAGACACTCGCTCCAAGTGAATTCATCGTCATATCCCCAAGACGGATCGGAATCATAACGAAGCTTCATCATCCGCTTCTCTTCTTCAGTAAGGAACCATGCCTCGGTAGGTGTAGTAGGAAAGATGAACCAGAAGAGGGGCACAAATATGACGGTGATGGCTCCTTCGACCGCAAATAGCCATCTCCATCCCGAGAAGTTGGAAGTGCGGATCTGCGTGAGGCCAAACGCCAACAGCCCGCCGAAGGCACTAGAAAGGGCACTGAATGCGAAGATGAAGGAAGATCGTTGACCTCGTTCAGACTTCTTGTACACCAATCCGATATAGACGTTGACACAGGGAATGAGTCCAGCTTCGAAAAACCCGATGAGAAGCCGACAAGCGTAAAGTCCGTAATGATTCTTGATGAAGGCTACACCATCGTATTCGTGTCAGCATTCATACTTCGATATTCAACATTGTTAAATGTGGATTGCGCATGCCATTTGAACTTACACATTCCAATACAGACAATTCCCCAGCAGAAAGCGCATGTTGTCATGAGGGGTTTAGGCCCAACGACTTTGAGTAGAATAGCAACTGGCCCTTCGAACGGAACATATGTAGCGAATCTGGAAATAGGGGCGTCAGATACAAGTTGAAGCTGAGAGAGATTGGCAAAGTTGATGCTTACAGAAGCGTGGTGGCAATGCCGAATTGATTGCCAATGAGACCAATTTCTTCTGGCATACCAGCGATATTGGCGTTACCCAGGTTGCTTCTGTCGAGATTGGACATCATGTACAAAATACCCATTCCTACTATAGCGTACAGCTGTGCATTGTCAACATCGCAATCGATCAGCTGGCCATGAGTATGTCCAGGTTCACATACATCGAACTTTCTCATCATCCTGCGCTCCTTTACCGGATCAATGTGGTACAACTCGTTCGCCGCTTCTCCAAGGGTCCCATTGGATTCAGTTGTGTGTAAGCCCATCTCGTCTCCTTTTCTGGGCGACTCGTCTGGGCTGCCCATGGTCATGAAGCGCAATGTTCCTTGTATCTCAAGCTTTTTCGATATCTATGGATGGTTTTTAATTCGACAGAAATTATGTGAGCCAGAGTCTGATGGAGGCCGAGTGGAGATAGCAAGTCACAAACGTCCTAAAGCGACAGCTTGCCTGCAGACAGGATGTAGACGCTGTGGGCCTTATGTGCGGCTGGGAGCCTATGGCCAAACCTGGGGTAACGCTATTGGACTTATCAGAAAAGGTATAAGCTTCTCGGAAGATAAGATACACAGATAGGCTGACCGACCTGCGAATTCAAAGATGATGCGCAATGTTGGTCCAGGCGGCTATCTCCTGCATCAGCGCTGCCCATCCTGCTTGATTACATACCTAGATACGGTATGAATGCACGTGATCTACATATCTCAAGTTACCATAAGTGACCCTAGCTGACGATGGTTCGGATGCGAAAGTCGGCCAGTGCCAGTGGGTTCATTTTGTCTTATCTTATCTAGCTACTAGCTAGACTAGCGTGGTGGGTCGGTTGCGATAGGCCGACATAACGCCATGGACATTAGGGCATGTTCCAGTACCACCGGGGCTCTAGGACTATCGGCGCGAGCTTTCAAGAGATATCAGATCTATAAAGTGGCGTAGTTTCTGCACGCGGCATGTATTCGGTTCAAGTTATCCGCTAGTAAGTCGGCTCTCATAATCTTTGTCGGTCTTTACTCTAACGGTCAGTCGGGCCAATCAGCCGACCAAACATTCTTCACGCAGCAGTGCAAGGTTGAATGTAGGTTGAACGCTACACACGTACTCCACCAATAGACTTACACCCGGTAACTGGGGGAGTTCAAAGATATAAGAAAATATATAACTTATAAATCGGCTGCTTATCCCACATCCTATATCAAAAATCTCTTTCCGTCTCATTCTCGAAATATCAATGCTTCTTGTCGAAGCACTTGCGGTTTCTCAAACATGACAGACGCCAAGCCGTCAGGAATTCGCATTGCCATTGATCGTGGTGGTACCTTCACAGACGCCTGGGCATGGATACCCGATTCTGATGAGAAGCTGGTGATCAAAGTGCTCTCACAAAGCCCTGATGATTACCCAGACGCGCCGACAGAATGTATTCGCCAGATCCTGGAGATAGCCAGTGGCAAGCCGATTCCAAGAGGAACACTTCTCAATCTGGACGCCGTTGAGTCCATCCGAATGGGCACTACTGTGGCAACAAATGCTCTCCTGGAACGAAAAGGAGAGCCTACGGCCTTGGTGATAACCAAGGGATTCCGTGATGTTTTGGAGATCGGAAACCAAGCTCGGCCTCACATCTTCGACTTGTCAGTCCGCCGAATGGGCAAGCTGTATGAGACAGTGGTTGAAGTCGATGAACGTGTCACCATCGAGGAGTTCACTGAGCACCCTAATCCTAAGCCTGTCATTGATGTTGCAAGCGATCCTGCTTTGGTGAAGGGGCTGTCGGGAGAGGCCGTCCGCATTATCAAAGCGCCAAATTACGACGAAGTCCGGAAAGACCTGTCAGCGTTATCGGATCGCGGTTATCGCAGTGTGGCGGTTGCCATGATGCATTCATACACTTTCCAAGACCACGAGCAGGGCGTGGCCGAAATCGCTCGAAAACTCGGCTTCCGCGTCTCTGCATCTTCCGATCTCCAAAAAATGGCCAAAATCGTACCGCGTAGTCAATCGGCGGTGGCAGACGCCTACCTATCGCCTGTGACTGACGCATATCTCGCTAGTTTTCGCAAGGGCTTCGAAGGCCAATTAGAGGATCAAAATGGAAAGAAACTGTTCTTGAACCAGTCAGACGGTGGCCTGACGGCGTACTCAAGTTTCACTGGCTTACGCGGCGTGCTCAGTGGCCCTGCCGGTGGTGTCATTGGCCTCTCAAAGACTTGCTACGATTCCAACGACGGCACTCCTGTGTTGGGTTTCGATATGGGTGGCACGAGCACGGATGTCGCTCGCTATGCTGGATCTCTGGAACACATATTTGAAAGCACCATCGCGGAGGTCACTATTCAGACGCCACAGTTGGATATCAACACAGTGGCAGCTGGTGGTGGCTCCATTCTGAGATGGGAAAATGGTCTGCTCAAAGTTGGCCCGGGCAGTGCTGGTGCCAACCCTGGTCCTGCTTGCTACGGAAGAGGCGGGCCTCTCACAGTCACAGACGCCAACTTCTTCCTTGGCAGAATTGTCCCCGACCTCTTCCCTCGGCCTCTAGATAAAGATGTCGTCAAGGAAAAGTTTGAAGCCTTGACCATGCAAATAAACGAGGAAAAGGCTGGAGCGACCAGTTTTACCTCTGAAGAGGTGGCGATGGGATTTCTCAACGTCGCTAATGCAACTATGACAAGGCCCATCAGAACGTTAAGTGAAGGCCGCGGCTTCGAAGCAGGAGCCCACAATCTCGGATGCTTTGGTGGTGCTGGAGGACAACACGCCGTCGCTGTGGCTCGAGACCTCGGCATCCAGCGTGTTATCATTCCTCGGTACTCCAGTATCCTATCCGCATATGGAATGGCACTCGCAGACGTTGTCATTGAGAACCAGGAGCCAGAAACAATCAACTTCTCCGGACAAGCGTTGGACCATTTGCAAAGCCGCTTTGACAGGTTGTGTGCTCAGGGTGTTCGGTCACTCCAGTCTCAAGGATTCTCTCCTGACCAGGTCAAACATGAATTATTTCTCAGCATGCGATACCAGGGCAGTGATACATCATTGATGATCTCTCACCCTGGTTCACTCGCCAACTTCGAGGATGCTTTTGTTGCTCGCCACCAACAAGAGTTTGGCTTCACGCAAACGCGAAGTACCATTGTGGATGATGTAAGAGTGCGCAGCATCGGCCAGGGTGCTGACTTCAAACTCTCCAACCCGTTCGAGGAGCTACGTAAAGCCCGCTTAACTCCACCAGCCACTCCAAGTAAGCCGCGAGCTTCCACTAAGGTATATTTCGAGGGCAATGGGTGGACAGAGACTGCTTTGCTTTATCTCGACGACCTTGCAGTCGGCAGTACCGTCCGTGGACCTGCCATGGTGGTTGACAAGACCCAGACCATTGTGCTTGATCCATCAAGTGCTGCCACGGTCCTGCCCGAACATTTAGTCTTGGAAATCCTGGACGTTGATGCACCCGAAGTCACCACAGATGCGGTAGACCCAGTGCAGCTTTCCATATTTGGTCATCGGTTCATGAGTGTCGCTGAACAGATGGGACACACTATGCAAAAAACATCCATCTCCGTCAACATCAAGGAACGTCTGGACTTTTCTTGCGCTGTGTTTTCGGCGACTGGTGGCTTGGTCGCTAATGCTCCACATATTCCAGGTCATCTTGGCTCCATGAGTTATGCTGTTGCGTACCAAGCTAAGCTATATGGACATGGTGAGCTCAAGCCCGGGGATGTTTTGCTCAGCAACCATCCTTGCGCAGGAGGTACGCATTTGCCCGACCTAACCGTAACTACGCCAGTCTTCAGCGAAGAGGACCCCACCAAGATTCTATTCTTTGTGGCCAATCGCGGCCATCACGCTGATATTGGTGGCATCCAGCCGGGATCAATGCCTCCCCATTCCACTGAGCTGTGGCAGGAAGGTGTCGCTGTCGAAACTTTCAAAATTGTAAAGGAAGGCGTATTCGATGATGCGGGGCTTCACAAGATTTTAGTTGATATTCCGGCTTCATACCCAGGGTGCAGTGGGACTAGAACTCTCAAGGACAATATTGCAGATCTCAAGGCCGCTATTGCATCTAATAACAGAGGCATCCAGCTCATCAATGCTTTAGTGAAAGATTACTCCTGGCCAGTCGTCGAGTTTTACATGGAAGCTATCCAGAAAAACGCTGCACAGTCTGTACGAGATTTGCTGAAGACGTTCAGCCAACGATTTGAAGGACAGTATCTGCAGGCAACTGACTATCTCGACGATGGAACGGTTTTGTCACTTCAGATCAACATAGACCCTGAAAGCGGTGATGCTGTGTTCGACTTTGAGGGTACTGGACCTGAACACTTTGGTAACCTGAATTGCCCACCCGCGGTCATGCTCTCTGGAATCATGGTAAGACACAAGCATCTTGCATCCGAATTCTGGAACCACGTGTGGCTAATCTGTATTCCAGTATTGCCTGCGATCCATGGTCGCAACTGAGATGCCTTTGAACCAAGGCTGTCTCGATCCTATCAAGTTGAAACTTCCAGAACACAGCATCCTATCACCTTCGCTCAAAGCTGCGACTGTCGGATCCAATGTCGAGACATCGCAACGAATTGTGGACTTGGTCTTCAAAGCGTTCCAAGCCTGTGCTGCATCTCAAGGTACTTGCAACAACCTGACCTTCGGGTACGGAGGTACAGACAGTACCACAAAAGAGGTAGTTAAGGGCTTTGGATACTATGAGACGATCGCTGGTGGCTCTGGTGCTGGGGCAGACTGGCAGGGTGAGAGTGGTGTACATACCCACGTCACAAACACCAGAATGTCTGATCCAGAAATCTTCGAGAAGAGATATCCTGTCTTGTTACACGAATTTTCAATCCGCCAAGGCAGTGGTGGCGATGGTCTCAATCGTGGTGGTGACGGCTGTGTACGGGATATCGAGTTTCGCATGCCGCTCCAGGTCTCTATTCTCTCAGAGCGCAGAGTCATTGCGCCGTACGGCATGGCAGGGGGTGAGGAAGGCAAGCGCGGTCTGAATCTCTGGGTTCGGAAAGACCCCATCGACGGCACCATCAGGACAATCAGTCTGGGTGGCAAGGCGACGACGACAATGAATGCCGGCGATAGGATCATCGTGATGACACCAGGTGGTGGCGGTTACGGACCCAGTCCTAGTAAGTCAAGGAAGGAACAAAGATTTGGGGTTTTCAAGATTGGAGATAAATTTGCGAATCACGCGCCGTCAAGAGCGGGCGGCAGTGTGACACAAAGAGCTGCGACAGCCGAAGGGAATTAGAGCATCTTCCGCGATTTTGTAGTTGATACCCTTTCCAGACAGCACTTTCACCCATGTTGCTCTCCCTTCCTTCAACTCGACATCAACATTTAAGAACGCCACCAGCTCCGGACGCAGATTGCGCTCGCACTGTTAGAGCCCAGCAGCTTTTTGAGGGCTATCTTGAAATTCACGTACTATCTAAGCAGCCTGAACCAGAAAGGCAATAAATATAATACCTAAGAACATCTGCATGAAGCACTTTCAGACCCTGGCACGGTGCATGCAACCATAACGCGAGAAAATCATCTTTCGACTATGTTTGCCAATCAGTTGATATTGTCGGGATGGAGAAGGTAAAGTCGATTAGCCTATCAGCGCATACTCCATTCGGATTCCCCTTTCCCGCCTTCAGCATCACCGTCAATACTGCGCAAACTCGCACATTCATACGCACACTGATCTACAGCTCTATGGGCACTTTTTTCGCGCTCCAGGGACATTCAAAATTCTGCGCGTTTGTGCAAGTGTCCTCTAGCCCCGTTCACCGGACAAAGATATATTAAATAGGAGAGGCAGTCTGAAGAGTTTCGCGACCGAACAGTTTTATGCTGTATGCAATCTTGTTGGTGGAACTGCTCTGTACTCGATGGTTGCCTGGCGCGAGGGGCATCTGCACCGCCCAAACAGACCCAAGTTCGTAGAAAATGATTCGTTCAACATACTTTTGCGTGATATCTCATAGTCAAAACTTCTGAACTAACTGGTAGGTCGTTGCAATCAAGGATATTACCATGTGCGGTCAACCATTCCATTATGCGCCCGAGATGTCACTCACTGAATCCTATTCGTCTCTCCCACCTCAACCCATTCCACAACATGTTCACCGAGAAAGATGAAGACGACAAAAGCAAAGGGTAAATGAACATTCCAAAATGCAATATGACTGACACAGCTGACACCAACTCAGATGAATCTCGACGGCAGCGACACTGAGTCCGAGTTGCACGCGCCCTTGGCGGCTGGGGATCCTGGAATGCAAAATCAAGGGGAGTTGTCACAAGCAGTGGAGAAGGGCAGTCGCTGCGACACAAAAGACCTGTATCGGCTTCCGCGTGCCGACAATCCTGAGAGGTTCTACTGGGCGGACGAGAAGCCAGCTAACTTCGGTTATGAAGAGAAGGAGAAAACAAAGAAGGCGCGGGAAGCCTTTGCCGTCAACATCTTGCATCGTTTCAATGATGATCTTGATGAATGGGCTATTCACAAAGTGCGTATCAACAGCACCAAGCTCCATAAGGTGCTTGAGAAAGTTCTCGAGGGGTACCCTGGACTCACCCAGCACGAGCTCAAGTCATTCTCGCCTCCATTCCTACCGTTTGTGCATCGATGGAAAGACTTGATTATGTACAATGACACAGTCGAACGCGATTCGGTAACGCTTGAACATCTGCAGCTGTTGCGCAGCGTCCTGGAGCCTCTCCTCGAAAAGTCGTTTGAAAAGGTGAAGAAGCGCTTCGGCTGCGTCTGGCAAGATCGACTTGTCGCCGTTGACTGAAGACCAATGTCTGCTTACGCAGCCCAAAGCAAGATGCTTCAACATCGAGAAAAAGCTATGGGAGTTCCTCGATATTACTAAACTGCACGACATACCCTGGGCGGAACGCGCGTTCGACAACCTCGTTCTGGCGCAGGATGAGAAAGACCTTCTGCTTGCTCTGGTGGACCGCGATCAATTCAGCGACGGCAAGACCTTTGACGACTTCATTGGTGGAAAGGGTCAAGGAATGATTATGTTGTTATGCGGACCGCCAGGTGTTGGCAAGACCCTCACTGCCGAAAGCGTAGCAGAGCACTTGCGCCGCCCACTGTACAAGCTCGGCGGAGGCGATTTGGGCATTGCTGCCAACGTAGTTGAGTCAAATCTCGGCAAGGCTTTGGCACTCAGCGGGCACTTCGGGGCAGTGCTTCTCATAGATGAGGCGGACGTATTCATGGAAGCGCGATCTTCCAATAACCTCCAACGCAATGAGCTTGTGTCCGTCTTTCTGCGGCTACTCGAATAGTACAGTGGCATCACGATTCTGACAACGAACCGTATGCGCAGCATCGACACGGCTTTCGAGTCGCGCGTTGACATTACACTCTCGTATAACTCTTTTACAGAAGCCGATCGCAAGAAAGTTTGGGAGAACTTCATGGCCAATTTCGAACCTGATGCTGTCGAGGTTGGTCAGGCTGATCTCGTCAAGCTCGCCAAGTGGCAATTCAACAGCCGACAGATCAAGAGTGCGATCAAGACAGCCCGCGTCCTGGCGACAAAGAAGCAGGAGCCATTGAATGCGCATCATCTCGGCGCCGTATGGAATTTGCGGAGCAAGGCGCTAGGCATGATGAATGAAGATGAGGAGATGAGTGGCAATATGAGCTAAGCAAGAACGAATAAGCAAAGTTGCTTTAAGAACCTCGGGACGCAGAACGCCTAGCTGAAACCAACCCTGCAACAAGGCCTCATGATCAAGCGAAGCGGAGTACAACGTTACTACGTGAACAGAAGACTCTCATTGCAGTGAATTTATTGACGATCTCATGAGGATTGGCAAAGCAACCAGAAGCTGAGCAGGGCCGCAGAAATGACGGCGGTAAACCTACATAGAACTCCTTTAAGTACCGTGCTGCCATCAACCGGGACACACTGATTACATCAATACAGTTGCTCAGAACAATGTTCTTTTGAACTTTTTGCGACTTGCTTGTCGTCTGTAATGCTAATCTATTATTTCTCACCCTCGCCTGCTCGGTTCGCGTGCGCAAATATCGTGCAGGGTGGGCTTGGGCTCGCTTGTGTGTGCGTGATGACAGTGTGTGGTGGCTCAAGGTGCTCTCAACTAGGCTGGCGCTGTGTTACCGGAAGGAAGCGTTGATCATATCCGTGTCGCTTACCATCGCGTAACAGTAGACATGGTACGTCACTTGAAAATTAAACAAGTTTTTTGACAACTGAAAAACACTACAGTTACATCTAAGGTTCATCAGCAAAGTCATGGCCCAAGCGTTTTTCAGTGTTATACGAAGCGGCTTGACCATAGGATGTCGCCACAATACTTGCGTAGGCTTTTCTCCGAACATCCCGAGATGAAGAGCCTTGTCACAAGCCATATGTGATCTGCTGTTGTATGGCGGCTAAGTCAGCTTCAAGCTGAACATCATCCAGAATGGACCCGTCTTCAGCCTGAGAGACAATTCGCCCACGACATGCGCCTTGCTTTTCGTTCGCCCAGAAGGGATGAAGGCGCCTTCTAGACGCTCACAAGGAACTCGGGCTCTTATCGCCTTGGACTCGAGCAACGAATCAGATCTGATGAAGCGTTCCTACACTACCGGAAACCCATTTATCGACTGATATGGAGGAGGGAGGAGAATTCCGGGTCTGGTATTTGACACCGAGATGGCTTGAAAGTGGTCACGCATTTTGTGCCGTGTCTGCTGCGGGAAGACTCAGCTTCCGTCTAGACTCGCACCTGGTACCCTTGTTATCTTCAGCCTCGTGGTGACCGCTGACAGTAAGCTGCATCGCCACACATAAATACGTAGATGACGACTTTCGTGAGACGCCTATACTTCTGTTCTCTGCATACTCATTTCCTGATTCGGTGCACGTATTTATAAGTCCTTACTCATCTTTCACATCTAAAGTAGGCTCCCCCAATCTCTCGCAACAAATCTCGTATCCTATTCAGCTCCATCCAATTCTCAATATTGTCATTTCAATAAAATGACAGACGAATCTGAAACTTGTCACAAAGAAAGTTCATTTCTGAACGATGAGAGGGCTGAAAGATCAAAGCTTATGAGATTCGATGATGATGCCCTTAAAGACATGAAGGAGTATAGGTATAAACCGCTGTCACATTCCAAGAAACGGATACGTCTTCTTCAACTGAGCGCCGGCACAATTCACAACTCTTCTATCGACTGCGAGCTCGTCGAAGCTGATTACGACAACGATTTTCATATTCCGACTGAAGTAACTCATGATGAGTACGGAAACTCTAAGGGGAAAGATGTCGAAGCTGGGGCCGCACCGGAGGCTAAGGAGGATGAAAAGAGCAAAGAATGGATGAGGGTGAAGGGCATTGAAATCAAGTACCAAGCATTATCGTGGTGCTGGGGATCCGGAAACGCAGACTACTGTGTGACAATCAGAGACGGCAAACACTATTACAAGAAGGCAGTGCGCAGGGACCTGGCTCTCGCTTTGAAGAATCTCCGCAAACCTACGAAAATCCGGACGCTCTGGATTGACGCAATATGCATAAATCAGGCAGATTCCAATGAGAGAAATCAACAGGTGCAAATGATGGCAAGAATCTACACAAGAGCAGAGAAGGTCTGCATTTGGCTTGGAGAAGACAACCAAGAAAGCGCGCTTGCGATTAAATTTATTAAAGAGGAAATTACCCAGCTGAACGACTTCGATAAAATAAGCTCGGATAAGAAATACAGCGACAAGTGGCGAGCCTTGTTAATGCTCATGCAGCGGGAGTGGTTTTCTCGCCGATGGGTTGTTCAAGAGATCTCTCTAGCTAAGGACGCTCGGATCTACTGCGGCCCTGATTCAATTCGATGGAAAGAATTCGCAGTCGCTGTAGAACTTTTCGTTGAGGTAGAATCTGCTACCCATGGGCTCTCGGAAGTCATGCAGAAGGACGCAAAATTTGAGCATATTCCTGGCTGGTTCGAACATGTTTCTGAACTTGGAGCTAGTCTCTTAGTGCATGCAACTGGCAAGGTTTTCCGAGCTCATGGGACACCTATGGATGACCACTACGATGATGGTCTTGATGACCCCATCAAAGCAGCACAATACTTCAAGGAAGTTCATACAATCGATCCTCTCGACCGGAAAAGCCTCCTGAGCCTGGAGTATCTGGTAACGACCATGTTCATCTTCAAGGCAACCGAATGCAGAGACTCGATCTACTCCATGCTAGCGATCGCAAGAGATGCTGCGCCATATGCTGAGCAGAGCAGCACATTTGACGATACCAATCAGTCCCACACAATTGACATGTCTTTCAATAAGATAATATATGATTGTTTTCTTGCAGAGAAACCATTTGTAGTCGATTATGCCAGGCCGTATTCAGATGTCTGCCGAGACTTTGTCGAGTTTTGCATCCAGCGTAGTAATGCCTTGGACCCAGTACAAGCATTGGATATTCTTTGTCGTCCATGGGCGTTGGATCCACCAAGGAAAAAATCTGTCCGACTCTCGACTGAAGATGCAGGAGGAGGTTCAGATCAGAACAAGCGGATACAAACACAAAGATCGTGGCTTGTTCGAGAATGCAGGGTGCGTGTCGAGTTTGGTTGGGTACGACCACATAAATGGAAATACGAAAAGTCTGACAAGGACGTTTGGCACGAAGACGTTCGTACATTAGACGAATACCTGAAGCACAATGAGGCCAAAGAAAGTGGGGAGATGGTGCAATCTTTCGGTTGCTCGTGGAGCACTTCCTTCTATGGGGGCCTACGGAAAGCCTCGTGGAAGAAACCTGAGGGATGGGACAGAGTAAAAGACTTCCTGCAAGGGCCAAGCAAGCATATCTCAGGACTGAAACGCAAAATGAAAACTATGAAAGGAAACTCAGTCGCAGACGAGGTAAGTGCAGATTTAGATTTGCCGTCCTGGGTCGCTCGTGCCAAGAATGCCCCCTTCGAACTTCACGCTCACCCAGGATTTGAGGCCGAGAAAACGGGACGAGCGCACGCAGAACCTCTCGTTGGGTCGCCTAAGGATGGTCATAGGAACTACAGCGCTGCCCAAACATGGAAAGTAGACCTCCAAAAGCTTAAGTTCAAGAAGAGGCCTTACTTGGGACACTATAGTCTTTACGTTGAAGGTTTCGTTATCGACGAAGTAGCAGAGGTGGCGGCTGCATCTCAAGGAGGTAATATTCCGGCATCATGGCTTGACATGACCGGCTGGAATCCACCGTATAATGATGACCCACCGGCCGAATTCTGGCGGACAATCGTTGCTGACAGAGGATCTGATGATCGGAACCCTCCAGCTTACTACGCGCGAGCTTGTAAGGAGTCTGTTAAGAAAGGAGGCATTGCCAGCGGAAGAGTGAACACCACGGCTCTAATCAATAATGAGCGGAATTCGATTATTGCAGCGTTCTGTCGCCGAGTACAAGCTGTAATCTGGGGTCGCTCGTTGTTTCGGACAAAGAAAGGAAGGCTAGGAATCGCGGCTGAAAGCGTGCAGCCAGGTGACAAGATTTGTATCCTTTATGGATGTACAGTCCCAGTTATCCTAAATCAGCAAATGAAGACGCCGAACGAGCAAAGGGACGAAGCGCTAGAGGATCGGATCCAAGCTTTCAAATCCTGCGTTCAAAGGTTGAAGATCATTCGGGAGAGAAAAGCAAGATACAGGGGAATATCAAACGAAAATCCAGGTTGGGAGGAAGAGGTCAAAGTAAAGACAGCTGAGGTCAACAAAATCTTGGAAATGTTGAAAGGCCAACGAGAGGAAAATGAGGAGCGGACGAAAAGGCAGATGAAGGCTATGCAGGCAATGAAGGAGAAGGACCATGGAAGCCCTTGGGGCGTATCTACTCCGTGGAACTGGTGGTGGGGGGACAGCAAGGAAAATTTGAAACGAGAACAAAAGCAGATGAAGGAAGCCGAGAAAGAGATGGACGACACGCTTCACTACATATTTCGGGGAGGAGCTTATGTGAATGGCTGTATGGATGGAGAAGCACTGCGAGCAAAGTTTTATGAGGAAAGTGAGGACCGGCTCTTTGAGTTGAGGTAATCAGGGTGTTGTTTCAATCGAATGTAATTTTGAACCTGAGCCGTGGGGAGCATCAGATCACATTTTATGGACGCAAGTTTCCCTTTAAGGCCCTGTCACTGGCTTGGTGTGATCTAATGATATGATGTTGTGGCCCCTGTGCTGGAACTTTATTGACACATCCCCGCATATGACTTTCATTTTACTTTACTACTGTCACTCATCAAACAGCTTGAAGATCATATAAGCAAAAGCTTTCGTGGTGCCGACATCATTCGTTGATTCAAATTTGTCTGTCTAAGGTTACATATTTATGATAGCCCTCAATACCTCCAACGCTATCCATCGGCCGCAGTCTCATGCTCAACGTCGACGTCGACTGGCATAGATCAGGTCGTCCTCGCAATCACCACACAAGTAGTCGAGGGTATGTTTTCTCGTATCCCAAGGTTTTTTGCATTGCCACCCTCGGGCTAAAGATTGGTTGCACAGAACAGGAAAATACGCTCCCCAATGGCTACATAGCTTAAATCACTCGTGGGCAGTGTAGCACATGGTGTATGATTGCGGTTTCCGATGTAGGATGGTGAGAAGTTTGTATTGTTGATCGTGGAAGTCTGATAACCGAGGAGTAATGTATTGGATGTGTGGATTCGATGGATTTGTGCTTGTGTAGTTGTTGTACCAAGGAGATCAAAATTTTATCAATTTATATGCCAATTTGGTGACCCGTGGCAGTTGAATATGTGTGCAGTCAATCCATCAATTCACGCCAAAAGCGACGCAAGCCGTTGAGCACCGTGCAACGACATCCCTTCAATGCCCCGTCGGAGAGGCTTCAATAGCATAGCTCAGTGCGAAATGAAGAGTGATCGACTTTGAGTACGGACCATGGAGCACAATGTTGATGGCGGCTCTTGCGGACGCCGCTACTTCATTGACAGCCGGAGCACGGCATTCAAAGCTTACCAGGTCACGATATATGCAGGCTGAGCTGCAGCTTGGAAGACCATTACGTGACACATTCGATTCATTTCTCGTTCTCCCTGTGCCCGCACTTCTTCAAGTGATACCTAGCACCATCCTCCCTTTCTTGTCCCTTTCTCCTCTTCCACCATCTCCCATATGTACATTTCCCTCCGCCCCATACTGCTGCAGCATCTCAATCATGCGACTCCTCTCCCTCCCCTCGACGGCTTTCCCCGTGAGCGCAAGATACAGCGGCGTCTCGCCATCTTCCGTTTCATGATTGACATCCGCGCCCTGATCCAGCAGATACTTCGCCACCTCGAAGCACCCGGGCGTCTTCGTCGCCAAAACCAACGGTGTCTCGCCCACAGCGTTCAGCATGTCAATCGAATGGCCCAGAGACAAAAGGTACTCCAGAGTCGGTAGTTGTGCTCCCAGAGTTGCTGCGTGCATAACGGAGTGGTAGATGTTCGGCAAAGGCATAGTTTTCGTGATGTCCGCGCCAAAGTCAAGCAACACTCTGAGAATGTCTGGCGACATCTCGTATGCAGCGCGGATGAAGAAATATCCAAATTCGGCATGGGCTACCATTGGATTTGCACCTTCCCAAAGTATCCTTTCGACATCGCTGGCTGTGGCCTCGGCGGGCACATTGGCGAGTATGCGATCTACGCCCACCCGTGAGCTGACATCGAGGTTCTTTCGGTTTTCCTTCGCTACAGCGACCTTGTCGCACGTGATCTTTTTGTGGATAACGGAAACGTTAGAGCTGGTGATTGACTGTGAGTATTTTGACGGCGAGTATTTCGACGGCACTTTCGTTGTTGAGGAATCATGGGTTGCGTATTGCGCTGTGATGCCAGAACTCCAACTGCGTGTCTTCTTTAGGCGAGATTCGGGCGCTGTAGTCAAAGTGGGGCTCGTCAAGCCATCGTCCGTGTAAAATGTGCCACGTGACAGTGTAAGTGTTTCGCGGAGAGACGCTCTCGATCTGCTTCTTCGACTCGTCTTTGGTATGGACATTTCCACAATCCTCGAGTGCCGCAGTGGTTGAGCATCATCTGAGACCGGTATGCCTGCCAGCCATGAGCCAATACCCTTTTTGCCAGACGACGATGATGACATCGTATTTTCGTGCAATGGGGCATGCCTTAGACTGCGGCGCGAGTCGCCCAAGGACGGCTCCAAGGAATCTGGTCGTGGAGTCGTTGTGCGTGGCACAACTGCTTTTTTCTTCCTGGACATGGCCGTAATGCATGACCTAAGTAGACGAATCGCTTGGAGAAGCGAAGGTAATCGTTCTCGTGCAATGTGATTGACTTGGATCTCTTCGATGTCGGTCTTCTTCAAGAGCTCATCGGTAGCTGTGGTGATGCTGCTAACATATCCCCCAAGAAATGAATCGATAGTCGTTTCCTGTCCTGGTATCTGTACGTACAAAGCCAGGTAGTCAAGAGATAAGTCCAGCACCATTCTTGAGCCCTCGAGGTCTTGTCGCATGCTGGCGAGGACACCATTCTTTGAAGTTTGCCAGTCATCTTGTGGCAGTAAGCTGCAATTGAGTCTTAAAAAGGTCTTGTGGAGACGCTCGCTGGTATTGTCACAAGAGTCCAGTATCTGCGTGAAAGCATCCAGAAGTGCTTCTGGATACGCTGAACGGGAGCTTGAAAAGTCGTCCTGTGCAATGCCAAGACCTGTCCGGATAATCAACAGATCATTGTTGATCACATTCAGATCATGTCGCGCATCTCGCACTTTGCGCGCGAATTGACTGATATCTGGTATGACCTGTCGTCATGGGTATTAGCTGTTGCGCAGAAGGGGGTCGAGAAGAGGACTCGCTTGGGCAATCGAGGTGTTTAAGGCAGCGCACCTGGCGCTTACGGTACTGGACTGAAGCATCGCGGGGCCGCTACTGGAACGCAAAACACATGATCTTGGCCGAATGCTGGCGAAAATTGGTCGCTCTGGGTTCTCGGGCTCCTGCGATAGATTGGATGATGTCGGATCCAATGGTTGTGCAGTGGTGAGCTGGTGATCACCGTGATTGATGTTCGCGACCCCTTTGGCAGAGAGCGGAGAGGGCCCGTTCACAGGCAAGATGGGCCAAGGATGTCAACTACACCTCAAACTGTTGGCGTCGAACGAAGCGCCGGATACGGAGCCGCAGCTGACTCCGCTCCTCCCGCAAGCATGACCATGTCAATCAAATGCGACACCAGAGCACAATGTGTGGCTTGCTGTTTAACACGCGGTTTGATGCGAAGGCGTTACAGTTAGCTCAGGCACAGGCAGGTGTGGCGATATTATGTGGGTAAAAAGGCACCAATCGTTCGAGAGTATGCGGCTTGCGCACGGATGCAGATATTGTTTGCGGTTAGATGAAGTGGAGACAGGCGACGGGTTAAAATGAAATCGTCACAGGGGCGTTTGGACGCCGTCGAACACGAAAACACAGATTTGTTTTTGCTGTATGTGGAAAAAAACTACGGTAATTGAGTCGATTTCCGCTCAACACATTAGTCGACTACGCCTGGAGGGAGGAATGATATGTAGTCGAGCGGCGCTGGCTCGATACCGTCCGCTTGACCGATAATGCGTACCTCGTCTCCTTGCTGAACGGTCACGTTACTGAAAGTAATACGCGTCGCTGAATGGCCATCAAGATAAACTGAGGGCGCATGTCCCAGGGTATCTTCGTGATTGCCGACCCACTGACCAACAGTTTTATTACCGACTTCGAGCCAGTACTTTGCTTTCCCACCGATAAGGTCGAAGTAATTTACGGCGACATCGTACACGCCCGACGCGAAAGTCACATTGGCACAAGCAGTGCCTGTCGTGCTGTTCGAAGTAGTAACGATAGCATGATATCCAGATGCAGTCTCGAATGGGCTGACAGCATACGGCTTGTAGCCAGAAAGTGTCATCTGCTCGGCTTCGATGCGGTACGGATGGTTGTTAACGCGGTCAAGGTCGTCGGGGATTCCAGAGAGGTTGTAGTAGAACATATTGATGGCGTCGCGCCAGACCAAAGAATGGCCTGCTTGGAACTTTTGCTTGAACAGCACGTGCTCGTAACGTTGGGTATCGATCTTGCCCTTGAGAGATTCCCATTGCTTAACAAAGCGTTGTGCGGTCGCAGCACCTTCGTAGTGCGCGTCGTAGAAGTGCTGGATGACCGTCTTGCCGGATCTCAGGCGATGTGTATAAGGCAAATGATGGAACCACAATAACAGCTTATCTGGCGTCGTCTCCACGTTTTCATACATGTCGGCGATCAACGGCGGATATTGAGCTGAATTTCCGGTGCCATTCCTGACAGTACGATCCATGCCAATGCTCAGATTATCGGCGCGGGTCCACTGGCCCCAGCCATTGTTGTCCTGAGAGGCAGGATTTGCTCCGAAATGCGTGTAGAGGATATCGGTCAAGGTTTGGACACCGAGGTTGCCGCTATAACTCTCATACGCCGGCCATGACCTCATCGACATATCGACAATAGTGTCCATAACTTGCTCGTCAGCTCCAAAAGTCAAACGAATCCAATCCTGGAGAATATCTACAGAATCTTCAGAAGCGTTCCATGCCAGTCTTCCATATGCGTACAAGTTGGAGGGCGCAAGAAAGCTTCCAAGCCAGGTAGCATTGGATCCTGCACCCGGAACACCAGCATAACCGCCAAGTGGCCGGTTGAAGCGCTCACCGGAGATGATGTCTTTGACCTTTGAGGAGCGGTTGTCTGCCATAAGATCGAACTCGAGGATTTCTTTCCAGAGTGGACCAAGGTAAACCAGATGATCGTTTTGGCCAAGATACTCTGGAGTGACTTGAAGCTCAATAGCGGTACTGGTATTTCGCAGGGTAGAGAACAGCGGGCTTACTGGCTCGCGTACCTGGAAGTCGATTGGTCCGTATTTGATCTGCACAATGACATTATCGTCGAATTTGCCGTCCAACTCTTTAAAGAAGTCGACTGCTGCGTTGGCTCGATCCGCCTTCCAGTCTGAGTACTTGATGTGGTTATCGTAGACAAACGCACGGAACATGATGATTCCCCCATGTGGTTTTGCGGCTCGTGCGAACATATTCGCACCGTCAGCAAGTGTACGATTATAAGTCAACGGCCCGGGTTGACCTTCGCTGTTTGCCTTTACGAGGTAGCCAACCATGTCAGGAACTCTCTGGTAAATCACATCTGTTATGTTCGCCCACCAGGCATCCACTTTCGGATCAAGAGGATCGAAGGTTTTGAGACCTCCGAAAGTTTGCGGTGATGCAAAGTTTAACGAAATTCCCAATTGTACGCCATAAGGTCGCATGGCATCTGCCAGTCTCCCTAATCCTTCGATGTTTCTATCGCTAAGCAGAGTCGCATTGGCATTAACGTTGTTAACGATCATTCCGTTGATGCGGATGGACGCAAGCAGACGAGCGTACTGAGCCGCACGAGTAACATTAGTGACAACAAAGCCATCCCGGAAGAAGAATGACGGTCCAGCATAACCACGCTCAATACTTCCGTCCATGTTGTCCCACTCATTCGTCCATCGGATTGGTACCTGAGGATTGTAGACGGTGGAAGCAGGCTGGAATTTGCCTTGAGCTAGTTGCGAGAGATACTCAAAGGCTCCATACAAGGCACCGCGCTCGTTGGACCCAACGATGGTGACATTACCGCCCTCAGTGCTCAAGTAGAATCCGTCCTGCTCCAGATCACGTGCTTCTTCTGGCAGACTGGACATGCTTCGGTAAGCCTCCACCGTACCGACGTAGATGGCTGAAGAGCCACTACTAGTCGAATTCACCGATTCCAGTTGCTTTCCGAAAATGCCATGAAAACCTTTCACCAACTCTTGCTGGGCGGTATACACCGGACTGCCTTTTGTCGCGTTCAAGGCGAGGATCTGTGATGGAAGTGCCGTGTAATTGCCGGCGCCACGGAAAGGCGCGTATCGTAGCCACATGTTTGAGCCATCTTCTGCAAGAACAAGGCCTATGGCCAGGAGGAAGCCGAGAAATATTCGCATAGTAGAGTCCGGTCAAGATGTACAACACTTGGCAGCAGCAATAGCGATTGAGAAGGGCAGTCTCCGGTTATTTATCTCTCTCGATGTTTGAACTTGCCGATTCTCCAGATGCACGCACTTGTAGAGCACTGCAATGCTCCGCACGTCTGACACTTGCGATTGGAGGAACCTCGCGGTCCGACCTGTTCAACGGGGCTGCACTGCAGAAGTCACGCGCATCTTCATCGTAACGAGTCACTGACAGACGATGATTAACAGCGGTTTGAGGTCAAGCCTTTCAGTATTCAGCCTAAAAGCTTGTAATGACACGATGGCGATCGAATCGAAATGCTTCTAGTGTAGGTAGGGTGGCGCTATGCAGGTAAAGCTTGTGACGGAATATCCGAAATGCGGAGAGGCTTCCAATGTCGGTGGGGAAAGTCCCGGCATTTTGAGTCAATAACCCGGGGTTGCTTGTTCTCTCTCCTTCCGTGCGGGGTTAGGCTCGCCCTCATCAATGGTTCGTCGTGCACCTCTGGACATGTTTGTAAAATGACTAGATGAAGAATACGTTGTCAGATGCAGTAAGAGACGTAAGGACTTAGAGTAGTAGTGCTCTGAATATGTGTTTGAGATGTAAGCGGGGAACAGGATCTCCGCGTCGCGCTAGTCCTTAAGGTATTAACGTGCCTGTGCGCGCAATGCCTAGATTCGCGCAACGCTCTACTAACACTATATTAATTATCTTAAAAATAAGGCTATAACTCTACTACTACTTAGTACTATTATAAGAAAAGTTAGTAGTTTAGTAAATAAGACTTTATAATTATTTTATACTATTTAAATTTACTTAGAAGCTTAACGTTACGTCTCTATAATATTATCTTTAGTAGAGAAGCTTAAAAGCGCATAATAGCTTACTTAGCAGCTATATTATTACTAGAATATTTCTAATGCTTCTCTTTAGAGAAGACTACTTATAAGGCTTTACGCTTACCTCTTTAAGATAATTATATAGCTTTCTTAGCGTTATGCTACTATTTCTAACGCTTATATTTAGCTTATTTCTTAGTCTTCTCTTTCTCTCTTACTATCTTAAGTCTCTCTTATTCTACATACTTATTCTTTAGCTTAATTTAATACTAGAATTTAGTAACGTATTTTATAACTAAAGCGCGCACCTAACTAAGTTACGCACTTTATCTTACTAAAATGCCTGCATAGCAGTAATGCATAATATCTTAATAACGCTAAGCTTAAAATTTCTATACTAAAGTAGATATATAGATTGCTATCCTTAATATATAAAATTAGCAAATTTAGAGCGTTAGACGCGCTATAGCTATCTATAATATCTCTAAAATAACTATCTAAGACTATTATAATAGAAAGCATTCTTAACGTAACTATAAACTAAATATAAAGCGCCTAATAAAACTAGAAGAGGAAGTAATTATAGAGCGTATACTTAAGTATTCTATATGCAGTCTATCTATCTTAAAGGCTAATATATAAGATATAGCTAATAGACTGCTTAGAGAGCACGCTAGCAAGCCTATTAGTAAGAACTAAGTTAATAACTTTATTAAGCGTACTCTTAAGCTATATAAGCGCTAGAGCTATCTATATAATTACTAGTAAGCTACTTATAAGGACTTAGCAATTATCTAGCTCTAGTTTACACTTATTTAGAGTATAAAGGAGAAGTATAGAGTTATAGATAAGAATATATATAACTTTAATAAGTTTAGCTTCTTAATAGGTAAGATATTCTCTTAGCTTATAGTAATAGGTTTAGAGAAGCTTAAGAAAGCAAAGAAGCTCTAGCTTAGCAATTATAAGTAAGTTACGCTAGTATAAGATATTAGCGCAATAGAGAAGATAATTCTACTCTTCTTTATCTTTATAGGCAAAGTTCTTATCTTAAACTAGTTCTATAACCTTCTATATAACTAAGTTATCTAAGTTAGCTCTACTAGCTAGATAAATAATAATCTAGCGCTTACTTAGCTTAAACACTTTAACTCTTATATGCGTTTTATTAAAGTATATAAGCTGCTTATTATTAATAGCTATAAGAGCTATTATATAGTAGTATTCTAGAAATACTATAAGAAGAAGAAGATTATTACTCTCTATATACTTGCGTACTTATTACACTTTTTATAGCTACTTAATATTATATATTTCTTACTATTAAAGCGCATATATAGTAATAGTATCTTAGCTTTAGCATATAGTTATATCTATTATATTAATAAAGAAACCTTTCTACTAACCTTTAAAGCTACTTTTAAGAAGACGTTTATAGCAGAGAATATTTATATAGAGTTTTAAGGCGCTAGACTAGTTCTATATAGCCTAGAGGCAGTATTATTAAAGCTTAACGTATATCTCTATACTCTACTATTAATAACTATTAAGAATAGTACTTAGTAAGTAAAGATACTATATAACGCCTATAAGATAGAGGCATAGAGTATACTTATTTAATAGAGAATATAAAATTATATAAGTTCTATAGTAAGGTTAATAGATAAAAAGATTATATAGCTAACTAAAGGCACTTAGTAGATAGCGTATAATATAGTATTAGTATAAAAAGAAATAACTTACTTTTAAGATACTATAAAAGTAATAATAAAGCGTAAGGCGTATAAATAATAATATATATAAGCAGAGAAGACCTTAATAGTTAGAGAGGTATTAGACTTAATTACTGCAATAGCAGAGAACTATTATAATAATAGTAATAGACTATTAAAAAGAGTATACGTAGAGAGGCGCTGCAGTACTTATAGTAAGACTAGATATAATGCCTATATTTATAAAGTAGAGATAGAGAATATAGAAGATAATAACGCTTCTAATAAATAATATATTTATATTTATAGTATATAAATTTATTATAGTATTGCGCTACATTACTGCGCAGGTGTTTTAGTAGAGTAAAGTGCATAACTTAGTTAGGTGCGCGCTTTAGTTATAAAACATATTAGCCTTATATACCTTCTTATAATAAGCTTTTTAGAGTTTCTCTTCTATCTTATTATTAGCTCTAACTTTCTCTCTTATATAAGCCTCTCTAACTTTTTAAGAAGACTAGAGCATAGCTCTACTATAGTACTCTTAACGCTATTAAAGGTTAAAAGCTTTGCTCTTCTTTTTATACTTCTTTTTATATTATAAAGCCTCTTATATACTCTTAAGCTTATGCTATAAAAGCTAATTTTAAATAAAGAGTTAATAAAAAGTATAGCTTAACTTTTTAGCCTTATTCTAGTAAATATTCTTTACTATAGCATATACTAAATGCTATATTTATAGCTAATTAGATAATAAGAGTCTTAATAAGCTAGATAATTATTTAGGTATTTAAGTAAACCTTTTAAGCATAACGTTAGAGTTTTTTAGCTATATTTCTATTATTTTAAATACCTTTAAGATAAGCATCTCTCTACTAAAAATAGATATTTAGGCATTCTAAAATAGACTAAAAAAGTTACCTTTAGTAATAGAGATAAGCTCTTAAGTCTTATAGAGATAAGTAGTAAGGCGTTAGATATAAGCCTATAAGAGTAGCTTAAAAAGTATAACGTTAAGCAATTGCAGTATATAAGTTAAATAAGATAGAAATACTATAAGAAGTATATAATTATAATTGCAGTAGTCTATAAAAGCTATTATTATATAGCTTCTATAGCTATCTAGAATAAGCAATTAGTAGTCTATTCTATAGTAAGCTTTCTACTTTATATAGCAGTTAAATACCTACTTAAGCTAGGCTAAACTAACGTTATTATTGCTCTATTCTATTAGTATAGAGATTATAAAAACTTAGTATTTCTTAATGCTTATATTCTCTACCTAGAATAATTATATTGCACTATTTTTAGCTAGATAGATAAGACTTAGTAGTAAGTAGCTCTTATCTGCATAATAATAAGCTAGCACTATTAGAAACTTATATAATCTATTCTAGAGAGGTACTCTAATCTCTTTCTTCTTCTATTAATACTAAGAAAAGATCCTTTTGCTTCTGCTAATAAGGCTTATTAAGAAGCTTTTCTTATCTATATTATAAGTATTACTTAGCTTAATATTATACTTCTTTATCTTTCTATATAGCAGCTTAAAGTAGAGTCTATATTTAACCTTAGAGTTAGCTAAGACGTATATATAATTAAGCTTAGTAGCCTATTTTAAGATAAGATAGATATTATAGTAATAGATAAAATAGATAACTTAGCTATTAGAGATAAGCTTCTAGGTAATCTCTAATAAGAAATTTTATATTATCTGCCTTATAGAAGGAAGGCTTCTTTTAGTAAAGCTCTTTATATAGCATATAAGCTTTAACTCCTATTATAAGTTAATTTTAAGCTAGTTTTATACCTAAGTCTTCTTTAGTGCTTATAGCTCTTAGTATCTTTAGCTTAGCATTAATTAGTTAATATTATATTTAGCAGTAAGCTTTATATATAAGAGTTATTCTCTTTTATCTTATAATTCTAATTCTTTAATTATAGCTTAAATTAGATCTATATTTATAGAGTTATAGCGCGTTAAAGTTAGCGTTAGTTACGTATTTCAGTAGTAGGCAGGGCGTTGCGCGAATCCAGGCGTTGCGCGCACGGGCACGTTAGTGCGCGAGCTCAGCTCTAATACGTCATCCTATCGGAAGATTTGAACATGTCGAACAATTGTACCGCATCTGCAAGTCTGAGCACGAGTCATATTGTCAGATTATCCGTGGACCTGGGTCCCGAACCCTTTTGCATCGACCCGACAAAACTGGAGTACTCATGGTTTCTTCTTCCTAGCTTGTCACGAACAGTAACCCACGGTTGCTATGGGCCGATTGCAAGCAAGGACTTCGGCTCTATTGATTGGTGCGAACTCATCTTCTTACCGCATGCAAGATTAAAATAACCGTGCATTTCCTCGCGCTAGCTTCACCTCTTCTCTAGTTCTTCAAGAGCTTCCCGAGGTTCTGCCATGGCAAACTCATTGGACTCCGTTTTCAAACCATCCACTTGCGCACGGATCACCTCGCAGCAGTCGTACATACTGCATAGCCTGCAAAAGCGATTCAAGGGAGGTACTTGAGAGTTTTCTTTTAGCAGCCGCACCACAATGGCCACTACTTCAATTGCATGCTCGAAACTTGCACACGACATAACCGAGCTCCTCTATCGGTCGATATCGCGCTGGATAGATCCAGGAGTGAACCAAGACAATAGAACACGCGTTCGCACACTGCGTCAAAGGCCCCGATATGGAGGCTACTGAATGCTACTTGGGCCGTCTTATTGAGTTGGAGGAGATGCGCTCGGAAGTTTGCTGGATCAGCAGTATCACTGGTCAAGTAAAGGCTGTTTGTCTCGCCAAAGAGTACATGTCGCCGCAAGTTGATCCTAAGGTGAAGGTTAGGACTAACTTGGTGTTGGAAAGAATGTTGAAGGAGATCATGGATATTAGGAGAACATGAAGTTCTGATCAGGCTCACTGAATCGGACGACGGGTTACGTTCACATTTCCATTGCTTCTACACGCCTCATAGAGCAAAACGATTCTATCGTGTGTCTGATGGAATATGCGGGGCCCATGTCTGAAATTTCCACGCCATCATGTGCGGATGTACCAAATGGTAACTATCTTCACGCAAGAGCTTCACCTTATGCCGATGCTTTGCTCCTGGCCTTTGGGTCTTTTAGCGCCTTTTCGATGCCGAGGCCATCGCGGCCTGTAGTTCGTTAAGCTTCGCAACGCTCTCGTCTGAACCCAACAGGCGACACTTGTCCATCTCCGTGTGGATGGGGCGAAGTGCCTCATGTGCCGTCACCAAGTGTTCGGCGGCACCCTCCTTGGCCTCAACCAGTTCGATTTTCAGGTGTCGAAGAATGTCGCAAGAAGATCCTCCAGCACAACGCCGGATGATCTGTTCCTGGATATCCGCGATCTTGATCTTGAGCTCCTCGTGCTTGTTGATGCTAAGATAATGGGTGGCAATCAGAGCTTGTTCTTCAACCGTGATAGAAATGCTGAGAAGGGCGTAGGAGAAGAGATGTCGGAGTTGTCTGAGGCGCGAGACTGAATTGGTTGTTGATAGCACAGACCGAGTAGGTGTCGTTGATATTGTGTGCAGCTGATGAAGGAGCCGACAGTCGTGTGGAGAGCTTGTAGCGCGCAAAATAGAATATTTAGGTTCTCGAGGTGCTCATTAGATGAATCTTTTGACAGTTCACGATCGGTGGCGGAGATCATCGCAAGCTCGTGTCGATGCGCGCGCAAGGAACACCAAAAGTTCACTTTCACAGTGAATGCTTCGTTGTATCGACTGGATGGTTCGTAAAGAGATCCTTACCACGTGCTCTTGCGAACAAAGGTGAGAGTGGGTGTCTTTCAAGCCAGCGCTGTGCACGTGGGGATACTATTTGACTGAAAGCGCTTACTACATGTGGATCGAAGCAGAATTGAAATGGCTAATTTGATCTTACATGCAGTTCTCCTAACATGGACCATAGGAGTGCCGTATATTGTTCTTGTCTTTGTTGGCGTCCTCCGTTGGCTTTTCTTCTCATTTTAGAATTTACACCTCATCTCATCATGTCTATACCCTTCCCAGTCATCCTGAATACCATCTTGAAGATCTTCTTGATCAAGCGAGAGGGTCTCATGGAATTTTAACTACAGCTGTGGTTAGCCTTGGCATGAGAGTAAAAAATCTCACAACCGCGACCCACGATAAGTGCAATAACCCTGAGCTCAGCATCAATAGAATCCAGAGATTCCGGCATTTAGGCTTGACCTTCAGCAAGTTGCGAGTGCTTTGTATGCCCATGTCCAACCAGGTATGCTTGCCGTGTGCGTGGTCGACCTCACTGCGGGTTGGGGCAATGAGCAGTTGAGCGCAGTAGTACTCGCACCCAAGAGAACAGTAGTAAGTGCATTGACACCGAAATGCATCCATATATTATACTGTCGCACATCTTCGCATGCCGATTCCCCAGTTAGTGTGAGAATGTCGACGGAATTCCGTTGTACACTGTTGCGTTTGCGTATGGCGAACATTGTAATGCGCAAGTTCATGATGAGCACTAGAATAGAGGAATAGCAAGGCAGGTGGCACTGGGCGAGGATAGTGAGATAAAAGGACACAAACACAAGAACAACAACAACAATGGATGAAAGAGCAGTGGCCCATGATTTATATCATCAAATTAGGTAGGTATCATCGCCTCGTCTCCATGTCGTACACATCGGTCCTTCAACCGATCCATATATCCCACATCTTGCCAACCGCCTAAGCATGCCTGGCACTCTCCTCGGCAACACTGTGCCTGCGGTCCTTGCCCATATACGTGGAGTCGGGAAGCATGTTGAGGCTGTCCTCCTGCTTGTCCGTTGGGCGCTGATGGAACCAAAACAAGACACCTCCAATGAACGCCAGAATAGCAACGGTAGTGTAGTTCCACACCAACAACGGGTCCTCGGATAGCGAGACAAACGCCTGGCCAAGCGCGTTGGAAAACGCAGACATGAAGTGCCAGTACGAAGTAACAAGCGATCGCATGTTCTTGGGGGCCTTGGTGAAGGCGAATTCCAGACCGGTGATGGATGTGAAGATCTCGGAGAACCCGACGAGCACGTAGGGAACGGCTTGCGTCCACACGTTGACGGGCGCGAAGTTGTCGCACGAGTTCATGTACTTGCCGCACTCGCCGGTTGCGTAGATGTAGTGCTGGATGACGGCGGCACCGACCATGGCGAGGGAGGCGAGCAGGAAACCGAACGCGATACGCTTGATAGGCGTGAACTTGATGCCGGCCTTGCGGAGCGCGGGGTACAGGAAGTTGTCGACAATGGGGATGAAGATGACGAGGGAGATGGGGTTGAGGTTGGTGATGATGTCGTTGGGGACACCGTTACGCTCCATGGTGGCGGCCTGAGAAGTCAGGTTGTTGTTCATCTGGTTGTAAGACAGCCCTGAATTTACGATTAGCCGCGAGTCATGCGAAAGAGACCGGACGAGAACTTACAGTACAGAGGGATCCATGTGAAGCAAGAGCAAGCACGTAGACCACGAGCGACCTGGTCGACCCACGCGTCATCAAACTGCATCCAGTGAGGCTTGCTGGCACCGAGATGGCTAGGCTTGACATCCTCCCAGAAGCGCTCGCTCTTGAAGTTCTTGCGAGTCTGAGCGGGGTTAAGCGACCATTTGCCCTTGCATGCCAATTTGAGGAGCTTGATAGCACGGATAAGGACAGAGCCCGTAGGTGGGTTGAGATGGTATTTGCCCTTGCAGAACCAGAGGACGATGGGGCAGAAGCAGAACATGATGGTAGGAAGCAACCATGCGCACCAGAAGCCCTGGAATGAGGTCAGTCTACAACTTCCAGCGTTCAAAGGTCCGTATAGTGCTTACCACATACTTCTCCACGTATACCATGGAGATTTGTCCAGTGAGAGATCCAATGTTGATAAACATGTAGAAGTACTGATTGAACGTTAGTGGGCGTTCTTCGGTGGCGTATACTACCATCAGGCGATCAACTTACCAAGAAGATTCGTGAAATGGTAATGTTGGGGTCCGTGATAACCCTCTCGCCTGTCTTAGCCTCAACAATAACCCTAGGCTTACTCTGCCTGTATTGCTCCGCAATCAAGGGACTGATGTTGGCCTTGAAAGCACCGGTTCCGAAACCGAGTAGAATAACACCCAGGATGAATGGCGCAATCGCATTGCCGCTGGTCAACACTGTGGGAATCGCCGAAACGATGAGCAAAATGTGACCGAGAATGGAAAATGCAATGGCAATGAAGATGGTGTTGAAACGTCCAAGGTACTCGTCGGCAATGATGGCGCCGATGATGGGCGTGGTGTAGGACCAGAAAGAGTTGAACTGGCCAATACCGAAGGAGGCGCGCTGCCCCATGCCGAGGGCACCGGGTTGACCATCAGATCGAGGGTCGCGGCCGGTGCTTTGCACGACACCATCGATGACAGGAAGGTCCTGTTGGATGAAGTTTGTGTCTAGGAGAGTTAATATGCAGTCATGTGATTAATTATTGGTGAAGACGTACAAAGCACTTGACAACCATAGTATCCGAATCGCTCGCACAACTCGACGAAGGCGATGGTAAATGCAGTCCAGGGAATCTTTCCAGATACACGACGGAGTGTTGCCAGCTCTTCCTCGGTTGGCTCTTCGCCCTCAAGGTCGGCTTCGAACTCGACTACAGGGGCGAGGTGCTGGCTGCCAGCGGTGCTTGACGCGACATCCTTTCCAGACAACGCCTGCTTCTCAGTGACTTCGTACATGGGTGTCGCGACCTTGGGCTCGTGGCTCATGGCCATATCGACCGCATTCTGGGCGGTAGTTGAAGTCATAGTGACAACGAAAGGAACTCACGCTTCGATACGAAAGATCGAAAGCCGCGAGAAAAGATCACGATTGAGCGGATGAGATCGAGCTACCAGCGCACAGGAAGTGGGTGGTCGCGTGCAATTAATACCCATGCCAGCATATGCTACGGCAAACACATCTTGGCCGGGCATGCTTCATCGAGCAGGTGGGTATCCGCTGGTGAGACTACAGCATCTTGGCCTGCTATCCGTCGCGCATGCTGAAAGGCTTGTCGTTATCGTCCCAACCAACACCGCCGCAGCCACTGATATCTGCTAAGACGATGGAAGCAGCATCCCAAGAACATCCCAAGAAGTGACCCACAAGGTCCGACATTGCTTCAGACCTTGGCGAAGGGATGATCAGAAAGATAGCCAATTGGATCTTGGCTCCAACTTCGGTCTTATCTGAACCTTGGGATCGCATCCTGTAGCTTTGAGGTGAAGGAGAACGCCCCATCGGCGCATGCAGCATTGTGAACCTCTGTCGTCAGGACCTTATCCGAGTAGCAGATGCGAAAAGAGACTCGATGCTCGCAATCAGCAGTGCCGGCTAGCTTGCGTGTTAAAGCCAATTTCCGTTCACACGACTGCCCCTCCGCCTGGGCGCCGAGCGGAGAACTTGGCATTCTTGGGTGGAGGCAAAAATACGCACTGCAAGCCTCCTCGGCAGCGACCCCACATCACCCGTGTGCCACAAAGCTGCATCCTCCTTCGCTACTCCAGATAAGGAAGGTTGACACAACGATTATAGGTGGCATCCAATAGCATGTTGTTTCACTCATTCCTGAAGGCTCAGGGCTTTCGGAAACGTGCCGGGCGTTCTGCTTGGCTTCGAGAAGACACGGCGCATGTGCTTATCTCTTGACAATTCGAGACAAGTCGACCGACGAGAGGTCTGCGGTGATTGGCGCAGTGCTTCGATATTATTGCACCGTCTTGTCGCTGTCCATAAACGTTGTTGTGTTTGGCAAGACCGCTGATTTCCGCCCGCTTGGCAGCTCCTTGCAATTGTCCTTGCCTCGCTGTTTTTGGTTTCGCGGTCGACGTTGGTTTGGCCGTCGTTGTGGTCTGGTGGCGAGGTCCGATCTCTGGGCTACCGAGGCTGCACAACAGACGCTTATCAGTGGAGTCAAATTTCTTGAGCGGCGAAGGAAAAAATTCTGGAAGCTTGTTGATGTGGACATCTCACTTACCTTGAGATAGCGGAGCCGCCGAATCGTGCCGACGCAGCCGCTGCGCGCAATCGAATCATGTTCGGGCATGTCCGCTGCTTCTGGACAATGCGCTCACGCAATCAGGGGTGGGGAATGTTACATGCCCAACTCGCTGGAAATGCCATGCAGCGGGCTACATGGTAGTCGCCGTTGCCCCACTCCCATGCTCCAGGTTGCTGGTCGTTAGATGTGCTGATGCGATTAGCAGGCGCGCCGTGCAGCGATAGGAGTTTGTCGACACGTTGGAAATGGAGTTTTGTGTAGAATTATTTCATTTATCATTAAGCACTGCCTAATAGTGCTATTGATGCGATGTCATTATGGTCTGACAATCATGCTAGTTGCCAATTGGCAAGTCGTCCAGAGGAGTACCCTTGGAGTAGTGGTTGATCCAGTTGTAAATTTCCGTGTGCCAGACCAAGCTGTTCTCCTGCTTCAGCACCCAGTGGTTCTCGTCTGGGAAGTTGAGGAAGCGCGAAGGAATGCCCTTAGCCTGGAGAACGTTGAATAGACCAAGACCGTCGGACTCGGGCAGACGGTAGTCGAGGGTGTTGTGGATGACGAAGTGGGGCGTAGACCAGTTTGCAATGTGGTTGAAAGGGTTCCACTTGTCGTAACTGTCAGACTCCCATACAGAGCCGTTGTAGTCGTGGCGAATAAACCATAACTCTTCAGTGCTCCACGCAGCCTTGGTCTGCGAGATACCGTCGTGTGTGACAAGTGCCTTGAACTTCTTACCCAGGTCATTCGACTGAATCCAGTTGGTCATGTATCCTCCGTAAGAAGCACCGGCACAGATACCGTTCTCGGTGTCGATCCACTTCATCTCCGTGTTGACATAGTTCCAAGCGTTGACAAGGTCAGTGTAAGGAGTTCCGCCCCAGTTGCCTTGGATAGCATCAGTGAGGTACTGTCCGAAACCAGTTGAACCAGTTGGGTTGGGTGCAACGACAATATATCCTTGGTCGGCCCAGGTCTGCGGGTTCCAGCGGTTACTCCAGTTGTTGGCGTTGGCGCCCTGAGGACCACCGTGCACGATAAATGCAAGAGGGTAAGTCTTGTTGGCGACATAGTTGGTAGGCTTAACAACCATAGCGTGAAGCTGCTGCTTGAGGTTGGGGTCGGATCCATTGTAGAAGATCTCAGACACGGTGGCAGAGCTCAGGCCGGCGAGGTTGGGATCAACAGTGGAGGCATCAAAGAGAGTGCTCTTAGTACCGTTCGCAAGGATGTAGTACTCAGTGGGCGTCCAGATGGCGGTTGCAGTGACCAAGAGAGACGAGTCGGGAAGCAGAGAATAAGACGAAACCGAAGTATTGGAAGTCAAAGGCTTGATGTCGCCGTCCGCGGTGATGGGGAAGTTGAAAACCTTGACGCGAGCGTAATCTTCGGCCGTTCCGTAGATAGACTTCTGGTCATGAGCCCAGATCAGAGGTCCCTGTACCCAGCGGTCGAAGTCAGCGCTCAAGGCCTTCCAGTTGCTCGTTGCAACCTTTCCACTCTGTACGGCAACATCGACAGTGTACAGCTGCCACCTGTCGGACTCGTAGTAGTCCTCATCCTGCTGGACGTAGGCAAGCTTGCAGCTGTCAGGCGAGAACGAGGGCTGGCCAGAAGCACCCTGGTGGCCGGCCTTGAAGGCTTCAGTCTCAGGGCCATTGAAGGCTACTGCGACTTCTGAGCTGTTGAAAGCACCGAGGTAAATATAGCTGGCAGTGAAATTGGCCTTGTTCAGTTGCGGCGCCTTGCTCAGGAAAGCATACATGGATCCATCGGGGCTAATCTCGTAGTCGCCGGAGTCTCCAAAAGGCTGAACGGGCGTCTCCGACTGTGTGGTAGTGAAGTTGACACCGTGGTTGAGGTTGCGAAGCCCGGTGCCTGCAAGGCTGTAGCTGCCATTGGAGGACAACACTCCAGCAAACACGTTGTAGCGCTCCTTGGTCAGCCATGTGTCCCAGTGGCGAACATATATGTCCGAGTAGAAGCGCGCGCTGCTTTTAGCCTTCACAGCAGTTTCGGGGTTGTAAGCCGTGCCATTGGGGTACGCGAGAGAGTTGACCATGAAGTGAATATCGCCAGTGGAGGTCTTAGCCATTTTGAGCCCAGAGTATGGCGCATCCAATTCAGCAACCTTGGTGCTTCCATTAGGGCTCTTGACGTCGCCGATCCAGAGCGACACACCGCCCGGGGTCTCACCAGTACCGTTGATGTAGACGATACCAGAGCTCGTGCCAGGAATCCATTGGAATTCGTTGACCTCAGAGGCATTCCAACCAGAGTCAGAAACAGCACCCGTCTTGAGGTCGATCATTTGGATGCCATGGCTTGTTGATCCTTCCTCGAAAGAGTACTGGGAGACCGTGAATAAAGCAAAAGTGCCATCCGGACTTGGACTAGCTGCACTCCGACGGGGATTGCTCAGAAGCTTCCTGTTGACGACTTAGCAATAGGTTGTAAATGATGCGAAAGACTGAACTTACTCCGGAGTGATCGCAAAGGCGCCGGAGGCGGCCAATGCCGTGATGAAGCCCAAGAAACGTGCCATTATCAACGCGACCAGCTTGTGCAAAGCTTATTGACTGAGGTCGATGTTGAACAAGAGCAAGCAGACAGGGTAGCAGGCTTGAGTATTTGTATGCCGGAGCGTTGGGTTTTCAAGCGTCCCGACCCTGCAGGATTTCACTAGAGGCAGCGGGGTTCACGTCGTACCTGGCAACCAACCGAGCGGTTGGTGGTCTGCATCGCCATCGAACGTCCTCTAATCCCGGTAATGCTTCCATCAAATGTAGTGACTGAATGCTGCTCGACAATTCTCCTGCCTGTTAGGGCATACCACGGCGGGTGCACAAACAAGCTCGGCCTAGACAGACGCTTAAAAGCATGATTCTGGGTCGTCGTATCGTAAGCCCGGCCCCGCAATATAAAGCCGCTTGGCTTCTTGTGTGATTGTAACCTCACGTGTGTGGACGCACAGTTCAAGGCGTCCGATTGCCAAGTGCGCCGGTTGCAAAATCAAAGTGGCGGGTCACACCGAAAGAGGCAGGTACGAAAGTCGTATCTTGACGCTTGGACTACTGCGTGAAATTTGTCCCGACAATCAGTTGCCTGGCATGTTTTCCAACATTTAATGTGCTCAAAGGACTTAGCCGTGGCTCTGGGCTTTTATTGCCTGCATCAACTCGTTCAAGGTTGGCCGAAGAAGTGCGACCGAAGGATTTTGGGATCTTGGAGCACGTTCTGGGGTTGAGTGCATGGCGTGTGCATCTGCAGCGTGTCACTCGATGCTCGCATCGATGATCCAAGTACCAAGGTAAGGAGCTGCGTCGTTGAGCGCGACCTGGGGTAACTCTATCCTCGCTCGATCTTTTCGCATATCTCGGCCGTCGAAGATTCATAACGGCTTTCGGCTATCCTGGCGTCCCAATGTCGTCGCCAGTCCTGGCGAGGGTTTCGAGCTTCTAAGGTTATCCTTTGCTTGCCACACGTGGTTGGGTTGATGCCCGTGAGATTTACAGTGCTTGATTACCATGCAAGACGGGGCGCGATACAGGTCAGGGTAGACCAAGACCAAAAGATGATGCTTGACTATACCCAACAACCAGCAGTCGTGCGCGGTGAGCGTTACCTATCTTGGACAAGACCAGATGCGTTCGATCGTAGAGGAATTTCGCAACCGATCGTGCTCAATGAGATGCAGCGAAAGAGGTGCTATGAGCTGCGTAGATAGACACTGGTGAGCCAGCCCAAGTTCATGTCGGTCAAGGAAGCCACGATACGAACGCTCATGATGCACTTTGAAGCACTATTTTTGAGATCCAAGGAAAGCAAAAGAATGTAAAGTTGTGATGTAGGGGATGTGAGGTCAATGAAGTCGGATGGATGTCTGTGAAAGTGAGGTTGAGTCTTCGGCTACTTTCTCGGGTCATCTTCAATGCGTCGTCACGTGTACGCTAACAGTCCAGTGTCCCGACCTTGGGAAGCTATCAACAGGTCTCGGGCTTCGCCGCGTACCAACAATAAGACCAAAATACAATTAGCATTGTTCAATAATAAGTTTTGATATATGAAATTACTGCACAGACCGATTTCAGAGCTACACGTACTATATAAATCTTCCATTGCATACCGTGATAAGTACCTTCACAATGTTTTTCGTAGCCCTACAATGATGGCACTGGAGATTCCGTACATTTCATCGAGTGCCACAAATAAAGATGATACCTTGCGAACCAATGTTGCTGTTCGTCCTCTCGCGCGTCGGCAGCGTCGTTGCCACACTCTTTAACCTTAATTAGACTGTAGTAGCTTGCCCAGGTACATCCGTCATGAAACCAGAGCAGCTTGGATTAGTTGAGATATCGACACTATATGCGTGTTTCAGTGGCTGCAGATGTATCTCAGAAGAGTCGTCGTTGTCATCTACCGTCTCAATGAAGGAGCCCTGGTATCTGCCAGCGCCTCTACCTTTCTTTGCCGAAAATACGCCGCTGGACTTGTCACTATTGTAGCCATAAGTGGAGCGACATCCTCCTGATTTGGCTTTTCTGAATAGAGGTCTCATGAGAGGGATACAGGCTAGGGCGATGGCCACAGAAGGTTCGAGACCAGAAAGGATTGTAGCGAGCACGCCAGTGTAAGTCACATCTGTGAAGTCCAAACCGGGAAGCAAGGTTTGTCGATAGACTGTGATCAGCCACGTCCTGATCTTCCTGTCAGCACCGATCAAGGGGTTTTCACGGAAGCTCACCCGATGCCAACGCTGAACAATGCGATGGCCAATATCTTCTTCCTTGTAGCCATTTTGAGGCGGAGAAGATGAGGTATAGGCAATGCAATCATGACAGCGTCAGTTACCAGATTAATGATACCCATGGCGAGGTAAAAGCTGGGCTGACTGCCGCAAGTTCCCTCAAGCGTGAAATCCCAGTTCCGCGCCAGTGGCCGGCAGATCAAAAACCCGGCGAGGATATCGCCTAAATTCCAGCATACTATAAGACCGCCGACAGTCCAAGCAGATCTTATCATCGATTGAGTCGGCATGATCGCAGTGTACATCAGTAACACCGAGAGTTTACTGAAGCACACTGTATTGTTCCAAAGTATCGCAAAGGACATGATGCCTTTGAAGAAGAAAGTTGCTGTGTCGGTATCGAATCGCTCGCAGATTTCGACTGTGTGAAACCCAAATCCGCCATGAGTAACCAGCAGAATGCAGCAAGTGTGCAAAGTGGTATTGAAAAGCCGTTCAGAAGGTTGACAATAGTACAGAACATCACGAAAAAGGTTTTGGCCGTACCAATGCTGTTAAGATACATAGGTCACTCCAGTCAAACCCAAATCCAATGCACTTTCCGATAATGCGCAACGTAACTACAGCTGTAGCTATCATGATGGAAACAGACGACGTGATGAGGATGCCGACCTGGATTCCATTCTCGATCGAAACTTTCATGATAGCGCGCGTCAAACTGGCGGCACTGTAGTGGACTTTGGGAATTGCTTGAGACACTGAGTCGTAGTACGGGCCTAGCAAAAGATTGTTCATCCAGGCCCTCATGTACACTGCAAAGAAGCAGCAACAAGATACTGATGATGACCCGTACGGCGTAGCTACGTGGTAACATTAGGTGGCAGGACATCCCTTCCGCTGCAAGGATTGAAGAGGCACAGCAAGTACCCGTCGTTGATCGCACACCTTCTGTATCTGACTAAAGCATTTGCGGAGCCACAGGCGCGACTTGCAATCTTTCATCCGTCATGATATCTCGTTCCACTGCTCTCATCCTGAGTGTAATGGATCAGACTGACAGGCCAGACGGAATAGACATGAGCCAGGAATTGGGTCGCTCACGTCCGACTCCTTACCTGAACAGGTCTCTTTTAAGGGTACTGACGTTACTGCGTCTAGTTGGGCACCAAGGAATCCTGCACGAAATATTGCGGTTGCTTTGCTCGTAACTGAGACCTCGGGATGGGGTAATGAAGCGATGAAGCTAACCGCATTCGCTAACGTTGACCCGCTTTGGCCGGGACGGCTCACGCCCGATCCTTCACAGCGATACATACCGCATCTTCGTATCTATCAACTCGGATTCACATCTCATATTCAGCTCGAAATCTTTTGAAGTGGTCACTCTTTGTAAGCAATCCAAAATGTCATCACAAGACCCATATGCCTGCCAGTACCACGTAACGCCACGGGCCACGTTGCCGTCCGCGCCGCAATCCCGCAGCCCTCGCATTCCGTGGTTCAACCGGCTTTCCTTGCATTGCGGGACATTCAAGGCTAGTCAGGGCCTCTATTGGACTGCACCGAGGAGATTGTGGCATGGGCTCTTCATGAAGTTATTCCACCAAAGTTGGTAGAATGCTTGCTCATGCAGCAAGCGACGCCGGCATCACGCTCTCTCGGGTTCGATCACCGCTCAAATGTCGTATGGCTATACACAGCATGTCACATGCGGTGGAACTGTGGTGTCCGGCTGCTGCCTGTTTCCTAACTTCCCCGCGGTCCGACAATCCTTTCTAATCTTGACTTTGTTCGCCGTGCAAAGCTCCCCTTTTTCGCCTCATGTAGACAGATCACTTGTATTACATAGAGTTTCAAGATGAGTCTAAGCTTCGATAGTGGGATGAAGGTAGCTATCGTTACTGGCGCCACTGTAAGTCATCTAGATGTTGTCTGTGAAATGTTCTTCCTGATCCCTCCTAATAGAGCGGTATTGGCTTCCGTGTGGCAAGACATCTCCATGCACGTGGCTTTTGCGTTGCTCTTTGCGGACGCCGTGGAAAGGAGGGACATGAACATGCTAGTGCTCTCGACCCTTCGGGCAAGACCGCGATGTTTGTGCAGTGTGACGTCAAATCATATGCCTCGCAAGCCAATCTCTTCCAGACCGTATGGACAAAGTGGGCTCGTCTCGATGTTCTCATCGCAAATGCCGGCTGTGTGGATCGCGACTCAAAATACAATTTCCATCGCCGCAATACTTCCGTCGAGGACTTACCTGCAGAACCCAATACTGAATGCACAGACATCGACCTGAAGGGCACCATTTACGGCACTACGTTAGCAACACACTTTGTGCGACATAATCCACGCGGCAAGGGGGGAAAGATTCTCGTTACCGGAAGCATGGTTGGCATATATCCCTGCCAGACCTTCCCTGAGTATTGTGCGGCAAAAGCAGCCGTACACCAATGGGTAAAGACAATGGGTCCCATTACCAAACTGAAAGAGAACATCACGATCAATTGCATAATGCCTGGTGGTATGGATACACCTGCTATGCCCGATTTCAACGATGCTTTCTTGCCGGATCAAATGACCACATGGGAGACTCTCTTCACCGGTTTTGACTTATTCCTCGATGACCACGCGAATGTCAAGACCGGACAGACCGCAGAAGCCGCGCATGATACAATCATCGAATGGGGACATCCACCTTACAAAAGTGGCGCTTTTGCGAAGCGTACTGAGGCAGTTTTTGAGCCCTGGTTCAAGGCTATGCATAGCGAGAAGAGTGATCTGCCTGGAGCTATCACTGATTACCCAAACCATGGCGACAAGATCATTGCCGTAACCGGAGCAACAGGCAGTCAAGGTGGCGGCGTGGTCAATGTGATGAAGAAGACACCAGGTTGGAAGGTCAGAGCTATCACAAGAAACCCCGGAAGTGATGCCGCAAAGAAGCTTGCCGCTGAAGGCATCGAGGTAGTCCAAGCTGACTTTGATGATGAAGCGTCGCTAGCGAAAGCCTTTAAGGTGTGTCAATATTATGAACTAAAGACGTATGCATGTCTGATTACTACTAGGGCGTGCACGCCATATTCGCCGTCACCAACTGGTGGGAGCACCTCTTCCGCGGTAAGACTCAAGACGAAGCTGGCGTCGTCGAAGAAGAGCAAGGGATGAAGCTAGCTCGAGCAGCCTCGCTCATACCAACTTTGACTCACTACATCTTCTCGACAACACCCAGTCCCAAGCGGATGTTCAAAGGCAAGATGCGCGCACCACACATGGACTGCAAAGCGAACATCGACGCACGCATAAAAAAGGAATTGCCATGACTGGCTACGATCACCGTATATCTTTGCTTCGGCTACTACCCGCAGAACATGGCTTTCTTCCCGCTGTGCAAGCCGTTCGAGATCCCTGGTACTGGTCAGTACATCCAAACGATGCCTACGAATCCTCACGCGAAGGTGCTTCTTTCTGGCGATATGACCGTAAACCCTGGTATTTGGGTACGTCAGTCCATCCTCAGTGGATCTAAAGCGCACGGAAAGTATGCGAACGTTGCGCTCGAGAAATGGTCGTTCCAGGAGATGGTCGATGTGTGGTCCGAGGTCACCGGTAAGAGGTGCGTCTTCACCGAGATCTCCACAATGCGACAAAGCTGTATGGCGATGTTGGCAATGAGCTTGCCCTGCAGTTCAAGTATGGCGAGGCTTGTAATCCGTGGGAAGAGACCGACGAGCATATCAGCCCAGAGGAGCTCGGTATTGACAGGAATGAGGTTGTAGGATTCCGAGGCACGATTGAGGGGTTCAAGAAGATGGGGTTCTGGGCATAGGAGATCAGAGTGACTTGTCCGCAAAGCTTAGCAAAGTTCATAAATTAGGTAATTGAGTTTCTATGACGATTTTGTACAATATCTTCTTACACGTAATAGTACAAATGGACTGGAGCCGATGCTTGCGGAGTGAGAGATCTTTCCAGTGATCCGGAAGACAAGTAGGCGTCCATATAGGTTCGGTATTGTCACTTTCAGAGTGATTTGGGTCGATAGATGGAGCCTTCGTCAGTTCCGGACTGTGTCGTCGATCATAGAACCTTCATCATCATCATGGGCTACCTCGTCGGCGATTTCACCCCAGCACCAAAGACACGCAATGCGACATGCCTCAGAGCCGCAGCGGCACAATCCAGAGTTCTTTGATGACCCTGTTCCTGCACACTTCTCGATAGTGCGCTCTTCCTTTTGGTAGCAACGCAAACATAGCCATCTATCGAGGAAACGCCTCCTCATGGTGCAATGGCATGGGCCGCGCCTGGCGGCCTCCCGAGGTGGTATGACTTCTGGATTTGTTGTTGGTAGATCATGTGGACCTTTGTGATCGAAGCAGTCGTCGCATAAAGCAATTCTACGCGATTCTGATACCTCGCACAGTGATGCTAGAGCGGGTGATGGGCGGCCGTACCGGGAGTCTTCGTGAAAGGTCATCAAGGACTGCTCGCCGAGATCGAGGTCCAGCACATCCTCGATGCTCTCGGGTGGCGCAGGGATGAGAGACACCAGTGGAGCGTCAAGGTAACCTTGGTCATGGTAGGGTTTTGAGCAGCCCATTAATGGATCTTGCCAGCGTTCTATCAACTGCTTTTGCGGCTCCGCGACTAGGTGGTGAGGGCTGAGAATAGGGTGCTCGTGTGGCTTGAGCATAACGAAACCGCTGAAGTTCGGTAGCTCTGAAGTATCGTCCGGGTCGTTTGAGGCTTGAAAGATGCTCTGGTATACGCAGTGCACTCGACATTCATCGCAAGTTGCTACTTTGCAAGTGACGCAAGGCTTGGTCTCAACTTCGCGATTGGTGTTTGTACTGCCACACTGTACATACTCCGTACAATCGTATTCGTAAAAAAACTTTGACTTTTGATGACATCTGTTGCGAATGGCGATTCCCCTCCCAGAACACCTCAGTCGACCGAGGAGATTTCGCAAGCTGACGGAACGCGGCATAATGGCTCCATGAAGCGCTTTTGCTGTCAGCGCTAGCGCCAATAGATCGTCAGCACAGAGATTTGAGACGACTAAAGCGAGCAGTTCATATTCTCGGAGCACTTTGATCAGAAGACTCAAACGTGGAGCAATCGCGTTTGAATTATCGATTTGCCGTTTTTGAGATGGAGCGGAAGCCAGATCCGCAGATCGCCTGCGCTTCATCCTTGGTCTTTGGATTGCGCCGTTCTGGTTGAGGGGAACCATATCCGAGTCTTGGTCGACTTGACCTGGTCGAGCTCGGTGGGGGGAGCTGCTTCTGAGAGAGTAGGCAACTATACTTTAGCGTCGCACTAGCTTACACGGTTGCGGAGTCGCGCTAATGCCTGGAATACAGAAGGTGACGGAAAGGGAATAGGGAAAGTAAAGCGAGGAAATCGCACAGCGTTTGCTCTACGTATGTAGCTCATGACGGCGCTGTAATCAACATTTCAGCAGCAATGGATGAGATGCAATTGCTTGAATGGTGATAGCGATGGACACAATAATGACCACACTCACTTTGAGTATATGCGCCGTCGCAGCGCAACCCTCATAAGCTCTTCATGTCTAGATCCATTGTGTAATGTAAAGTTCTGTAGGGAAAATTCTTCAGTTCTGGTCTGGAGATCAGTGGGCCTAGGCAGTGGGTGAAATCTGGTAGTATGAGAGCTGACAGTAGGTCGGCGATCGAAACAGCGACAGCCGCTAGTTATTTGAAGGTGAATAATGAGTATCGAGATTTTGTTGTCGTGAATCACTCAGACCGAATTTTTGCTCCGGGAGAACGCGGATCACACTCCGGTGATGTCCGATTTGCCGTTGCCCCATTGAGGTGCGCTTATGTAAGTCAGCCTCGGCTGCTATCTCTAGCCTCTCCTGTCACCCTCGACCGCTCGTGTCTTTCATCAGCCAGCTGTATTGTCTCATCTCACCCATCATCCTCTTCATTCCATCGGTGATTGTTTCCCATAAGACATGCCCATCTCCAGTGCGCAGGTGGATATCATCATTGAGTTGGCTATGGCAGCAATTTGCCGCTCACTGGGAACCGGTCTTCCCACCACATCCCGAGCTTCGCAGTGCTCGTCATACTTTGGGACTATCAGACTGCGAGCTGAAGTTGGAAGCTCGACGGTTGAGGCTCTAAGATCGCAATCGATAGCACGCAATACATTGAACACTAACATTCGACATGAAAACGTCAGTAACGCTCATGCGTCAACGGCGCAAATACACGAGGTGTGAGGAGGCTGATGTTAATGACGACGGATTGCCACGCACTGTATGAAAGGGTAAAGTACATGCTTGGAGATTACACGAAGCTTCTCCATACGTCCCTATGCTACCAAACTTTCGATAACGTCACTTCACAAGTCCGCCATTCGCCCAGCTTTCTCCAGTAGTTTTGGTTTCCATCTTACCGGTGTCTTCCTCTACTCTTTCTTCCCCGGGATGTCATAGCAGCAGCCGATGTCCAGGACATTGTAAACTAGATGACATTAGCCTCTGTTGAACATCTGTTCATACTCAAGATACTAACAGGTACAATCACGCTGGACCCAGAAGCCTCCTTGCTTGTAGCAGCTTGTCTTGGTCGCACAGATACCCGAGGGATCAGAACGACCACAAGGAGCTGGGTACGGATCTTTTGGGGCAGCGAGTGCAACGGATACGATCGTAGCGGCGGCAATGAAGAACCTCATTGTAAAATTTGGGTTGAAGATTTTAGTGAACTGATGTTATGATTGACTGGCTTGAGCTTCACTGGCAGCATACCCTTAGCGATAATCCGACTCTTTATATACCTACAGCAAGCCGTATTCTCAACGCCGCTGACATAGTTACACGCTTGAGGTAGTGCTCTGACTCCTGTAGCTAGAAGCAAGAATAGCTCAGCTCCGATAATGCACCTGGACGACCCACCCAATCTACAGCAGCGGTGCACCACCGAAGCCGTACCAAATGCTTTGGATATATGCTGCACCTCCATTGACCCCAAGCCTTTTGCTCGATACAAATGTCATTGGCGCGTTGACACTTTCTATGATAGTGTTCATATGCGGATATTAGGGGGCGGCAGTTAGCGAGGTCATTTAATCTGCGATCCCCAGATCTTCGTATCTTCCGCATCGACATCCTGGCTTAGCACTGTACTAACGCTTTTGTGAGGCTAAACATAACTTTGAGTATTACCATTGGGGCAACTGATACTAAAATGACGTACCATGACGTGTCGGGGCTGCTCAATCTCAACCTACTCGTTTAGTCTTTTCAGGTGAGACCATCGACCATGCAATTTTCGCTCCAGTCTAATCAGATATCACAGATGTACAGCATAATGCTCTCCCTAATACTGCTAGTATAGTCCAATATATGAATTTCCTGCGAATTTCGTTCTTGTGTCCGCAGCGCTCTACTGATCGCGCGATTTGAAGACGTCCATAACAGAACGCATGAGTAGGTCATCATTATAAGGCTATGGAAAATGTGAAAAAGCTCTTCTATTCTTACATATGCTCCGGTGGTCCTGTGATGGAAACGAGACGTTGCTAAGAGCCGAGTGAAAGTGAAAAGAGCTCAACTCCAAACCTTTCACAGCATTAAAAGAAGAAGGTAAGAAAACCAACAACAACCAATTGGGGAGCTGGCCTAAAGTAACCCAATAAAGCTACGATCCAGGTGGATAATGCTGAAGGTCTTTTGTCGGACCTGTACAGAAGGCTCCCACTATCCTGTACCAACTGATGGAGGAATTGAACTTACAAATTTCAACTCCACATGAGATTCTATTGTAAACCTATCGAATGGACCATATTCAAAGAAGAGACCAGACACATACTAGGAAAAGAAAACCGAGACAAGTTGAACACTTAGGCTTACTACACTACAATCTTCATTCAATATCCCTGGTTTACGATCTTCGCACTGCAGGACTAGGAGGATTCCCAAACAAATAATGCCTCTAGTTTATAAAGTCACTCTATACAGTGATCGGCACCTGCTTTGCAAGTTTCAAGTGAATCAGCATGCAGGCACTTTGTGCACTGAGGGGTGTGTAATGAGACCGTCTCGGATTGTCTGAGACACGATGTTACAATCGCTTTGATCTCACCATATCACGAGTCATAGCTTTGACTCACTTCCTTTGTTCACGGTTGTTCTTGAGTGATCTTGATACCCACAATGCCTTTGTTCCAACAAAAGCTCAACTCCCAGACTCAACACTTCGGCTAGATGTCAATCACCAGCTGTACACCAATCATTACAACAAGAAATATTACGTCGGAGCGCATCAAGTATACAAAGAAGACAGGTTCACGCACCGTGGAGCAAGCACAAATTTATCGATTCCGCCGCGAGACTCTCGAAGCCCGTTTAGCAGACAAAGCAACTCTTAGAGATATTCCCCAAGACATTGCCAGGGCATTAATAGCTGGGCGTGTGATAGAGTTGCGAGACGACGGCGAATTCTTCGTCCACGCGGCTGATCAAGACGAAACCGAGACCATCAAAATGCATCACGACCTGGAAATGGCAGACGCACCAGCCGATTGGTCAACAGAACATGCAAGTTCCTGTACATCACCACATTCACACACAAGCGCAATATGTCCCATCGACTGGGACCCACATCATGGCAGGGTAGAAATCCTCCGACATCACCTACGAATCGTGCACGCGCATCAGCCAAGTCCGAACCGGTTCCGGGCCTTCCATGGTATTAAGAACAAGACAAAATCAGCTTTCGGCAATGGCAGTTCGCCTCTTGCCCACGAACATAGGCGTAGAGTTACTTTCGCTGGACACGATGCAGAAAAGAGCTGTGGAGGAGGAGTTATGCTAGACTCATGGAAGGTTGCGCCAGTGTGGCAAAGGTTGAACATTGTTGACCTTCAGGGAGTCTCTTGCGAGAAGGATGCTGTGACAGGTACGCCTGTCCTCGTGTACGTGGAAGATGGCTTGACATGAATCGCTGTATAGCGACCTTGTCTTGGTTGTTTAAAGCAACTGATGGCCACTTTAACACTAGTGAGAACATCATGCTATTCTTCAAGCACTGACAGGTGCCAGGCTGAGAACAATTTTAGCATGGCCAGTTGGTCTTCCAAGGAGCGAAAATATCATTGTCCTTGTCGTCAAGATATCTCAAGTATAAAGTAAGCTTTTATTCTCTTACGGTATTGTTTAATGCCATAGTCTAGCTTGTCCCTTATGCTTCTAAGTCTGACCGAGTTGGTTTATATGAGCCGATCGTAGTACATGCCGTATACCCTTTTTCAAATGCCGAGGAAATTTCCATCTTCTCCTCTGCACCTTCAATGGATTGATGTTCCACGCCACAGTAACGCTCGGGGCCCTGATTGCTGTGAGAAGGCTCCTGGCTCAAAGCCGTGGCCATTCTGGTCCGTAGCAATGGTGTACTTGGTGGACTTGCCGCACAAAAAACCGTCTGCACTACCATCCTTCTTGTCAAGCCATCTCTAAACACAAATGCTGTCTCACATTTGATGACGGGATACTACTTGGACATCTGAACAACCTCCAACACCGTCTCAAGTACACACAGCCGGCGGGTCAGAAGAGGAGGCATAAGTTGCGCAACCTTGGTCGTATAAGTGAGATAGATCATGGCAAGTCTTCTCTGCGACAGGAGTCGAAGCCCGAAGATTTTTGAGATGACATGGCAGTTCCTGGCCACAGGTTTTGACCCACACTCCGCGTAGAATTATATTGACACTTGATTCTTAAATCTATCATGCCACTGGCAGAACTTTTGTTTCCATCAAATCCTTTAGCATCATTGCACTTGTAGAGGTAATTACTCTATACATCTTCCTGATGGTTTCTCAGCGAGTTGCGCCCGTGGGCATTCTCTCTTTGAGCCGAACCAGAGAAACTGGCGGCTTTTCCCCCATGGGCTGTACTTTTAGCTCAACAATGCCCGAAGCCTCAGCAAACTCTCGTAGCCGCTGGTAACCATAATTCCGTGGATGAACATCTGGCGAGAGTTTGCTAAGATGAAAGCCGACGACAGCCAGGTTGACCCAATCATCGTCATCGCTCCTGGAGTCGGTTATCGCCCTCGCAAGAGCTTGTATAGCGGCTTGATTAAGAGGTCTCTTCTCTAGTTGAGACGTGACAACTCCAGTGGCTATATCTAGCGAGCCTTTTGACATGCGCTCGCGAAAAGGTAGAGAAACACCTGCTTGGGACTGTCTATCGGCTGTAGCCGGCTCTTCGAACGTCATGTTCAGCACGTCAAAGTATGTGAACTTGTTACACGCAGCAACGAATGCATGGGGTGTCTTGCGCTCGCCAAAGCCATAGACCGTGACTGCCTGCTCTCGGATACGAGATGCTAATCGCGTGAAATCGCTGTCGCTCGAGACTATGCAGAAAGCGGTGTATCTGCCAGTGTACAGTAGATCCATGGCATCGATGATCATGGCTCCGTCGGTGGCGTTCTTTCCTGATGTGTACGCAAATTGCTGGATAGGAGTGATCGAATGATTGAGTAGGCACGCTTTCCAAGGACCAAGCGCTGGGCTTGTCCAGTCGCCATATATTCTCCTCACACTGGCCGTGCCGTAGTTGGCAATCTCAGCCATGAGGCCAACAATGATCTTGGCCGAAACATTGTCCGCGTCGATCAACAACGCCAGATTAGAATTGGTCGCCATGCGTGCTACCATTGAATTAACAGAGTCATAGACAGTTCTGAGAAGCTATAACGTACTGTTGGTAGACTGATATGTTGCTTAAATAGTGGTTATAGATTGCTCCTGCCGTTCTTTGCCTCACGTCTGCGAGAAAGCCAAACCGCGCTAAGCTTGACAGGGTTTAGTACCCCCACATCATTCACCGGCACCGAAACCTTGAAATGTCGGCAGCCAGAATTTAAAGTATCTCCATGTACAATGCGAACTAAACCTCACTGTGGTAGGCTTACATAGCGCTGTTGAGACTCGAATCATCACCGCGCTTGATGAGGAGATGTAAAACGTTACGCGACACGTGTGAACAGAACGAGCACTGTCCAAACAACAATGGCCAGTTTCTTAACAATGTATGGTGCATATAGGGATAAATCAAGCCGATAGTTTTCCATCTATAGGAAACAATCTCTATGACTCTAGCTTCTCTCGACTACGAAACGCTAGGACTTGTCAAGGCGGCTATCTTCATCAACGTCTGCGCTCTCGCGATAACTATCATCATGATGACTCTACCGCAACTAGTTGCTTGGATAGAACGAGAGGATATGAAGAACTATTGGAAGGTATCGCATCCAGTAGCTGAACATGAATGTGGCGTTGTTCGCGACCATGATTGCCTTGACAAGAACTATAACAGACATCAAGGACAGATGATCACCCTATGGCACTATATGCAGTATCCAGAGGATCGAGCTAGGGAGGATCGCTCTAATGTCCTGCGGTTTCAGCAAGCTAAAGCCTTCTCTTCTTCAGGAATGGGTCACGGCTCTTCACCATTGAAGCACGAAGTCCGAGCTGAGGACATGTAGAGTGACGTCAACCGCTATCCAGTCCTGTAAGAAGCTGATAGAGATGGCTCAAGATCCATATTTCGTCGTGTTGTGTGAAAGAAGCGCAGGCACTTTAGGTACCGTAGCTGCTGACTAGACTGCTAGTGAGCTCCCATAGTGAATGATTCCAATCCTCAGCGCACATAGCCAATAAAGTACCATCTTCTGCTTGTACACTCTGAATTTTCTGCACCAACATCTCTGCTACCCTTAGCAATCAACTAAACTTTGCTACACGACCGCAAACCATCACCACGTGTTCTTCCTGCATCAAGTCGGCATGGCATCGGATCCGCTTAGACCTCCGACCACACCGCCCGGATCTAAAGCCTCCATAGTCGACACATTCTACTCAGCGGATATACCAATCTGTGAAGAACAGAATCTGTTTGTGCCATCTTCGATGGAGGAGTACGAAGTTCCCACAGCTCCACCTTCTCCGTGTTCAGCACCAAAGTTACCCGACCGTCCATCGCCAAGTTTCCCGGACAAATTTCACGAATCAGGCGTGGAAATGGATACAGATGACTCCGATCATTATATTATCGAAGCGGATCAGGGCAAATGTGCGCTGTGCTTCCTCAATTGCTCCGACTTCAGCGCATACAGTCGAGTTGCACATATGAACAGGTGCTGGGGTGGCCTACTCCAACGCGTGAAAGAGCACAAAGATCGACAGGAAAAGCTAGCAGATCTCCAGAAAAGGCTGGAGATACTTATCGGAAAGCACAAGACGAAAGTTCAAAGCGCTTCATCACTCTCAGACGGTTCAAGCGTCGTGGACAAAGCTGTGCCTCCATCTCTCTCGATCGAACCTGTCATTGCGTCCTCTCCAGCAGGGGACGCAAATTCAAACCCAGACCCGGAACCTTCCACAACGCCTCCCTCATCTCCTCTCTCCTCATCTATCCACACAACATCCTGCCTTCTTTGCACACTCTCTTTGGCGCGCCTCTCCCCCCCTCAACGCGCTCGCCCACCGCATCTACTGCCTAACCTTAACCGACAAATGCCCAACATCTTGCCCCATCTGCGCCGCCAACTTCCACTATCCCGCACTCTGGGACAAACCAGAAATCATATGGCATCTGCACAACTGTCAAAATGGCGGAGACCTGTCGCTCATTGATCGCGATGGCTTCGACGCGCTCGTTGCTGCATGGATGGGATGCATGGAAGTCGTTGAGCGAGCGGTAGTGGGGAAGATGGATGGTCGGGCGGGGGTAAGGGTGAATGACTATAAAAAGAAGAGGGATAAGGGATGGGGTAGGGGGGAAGGTTGGTATGCAGCTGAGCCGAGTAAATTGCGGGGGGGAGAGACGTTAGTGGAGGACGGAGTGGAGATTGCGAGAGTTATTGAGACTTGGACGCCAACGTGGTTTCGAGAGCAGCAATTTAGGCGGCACAAGTTCTGCGTATTGCTTGTGCCGAAGGATGGGAGGGTCTTTTCTCGGTTTAGGATGCAACGCATGGAGACGGAATTGGTGTATGACGACGGTGAAGAAGAAGAGGAGGAGGAGGTTGAAGATTACGTTTCACGAGAACGTGCGGTACCAACGTGGTCACTGCCATCGATCTTCGATATCGGCAGACCCCCAGGGCCTCGGAGGATGTCAGTCGACTCAGCGATGTTCAACGACACTTCAGACAAGGAAAATTATGTGAAGCCTCGTATCCTCTCCATCCCAGGAACAACCGCGTCGCGCCCTTCGATATTCGATGTAGAGGACCTGGAAGAGTTAGACGAGATTATCCGACCGACCGCAACCAGAGTGAGCTCAACCCCAATCAGCGGCGTTGCCACTGACGGCATCAAGACTCCGTCACTACTTTCTCTCCGCCCACCACCAGGCCTTTACCGCCCACTCTTTTCCTCCGCAGACTTTGACCACATTTTCGATGCTCCACAAGACTCCCTTGAGTCTGTATATACCGCCTGCATCGAGGCAAAGATGCAAGACGAAGATATCGCAGATCATGATGTGGTCTCTAACAGCTCGGGCTCAGCCGTCAGTGACCACGGAATGTCCGATTACTACGCGGCCAAAGGCGCCACAGCCCGAGAAGCTGCGAATGCTGCTTTATCAGATGAAGCTGAGCCGGTATACGAGGAATTTCAAAACTTTCCGTCGGATCGATTGGAGGAATTGCCGATCGTCCATCTACCCCCAGATATCGCATCGACACAGCAACAAAATGCCCATCATCCCGCCTCACCAAAACCACTAGAGCATGAGGACAGATTGGTTTCGGATATCGATGTCGATACTGCGACAGATTTCTTCAGTGGGTGCGAGGACAAAACCACTGTTGTGTTGCCGCACACGAAACTCGAAGTTGAAGCACAAGCGCAGACTGTCAATGCGGAGCAGAGCGCCGTGCCTGACGAGGCGAGGATTGCAGATGTGGTGGAAGAAAACGATGAAGATGACACAGACGCCCATGAGGACTGGCTAGTGTCTCGTGCGCGCACCCAAGCTGTTCTTGTTGGTAGGATATCTCCTGGGTTCTCCGCTTCCTTTCCAATGACACCTGCACATCCAACTCTTCCGCCTTCTCGCGTCCCGAACTTCCTATGCGCATCGGAACCCGAGGACGATGACTCTGACGACATGGACACTTTCTATTATTACCCGCCGCGCAGGTACTTGAACGAGAATTTACCCTCGAGTGTAGTCACTGATGTCACGGAGGATATGGCGGTGGAGGAAGTAAGGGAGCGGAATAAGGGATTGTGTGTATTCGGTGGGGTGGATGAGTTACATGAGTAAACGGAAAGGCTCTTGACAACAATGAGAAACATGGATTGTCGAAGGTAGTGTACACAGGGCGCTAATTGGCCGAAAGTTGCAGCAACATCATGCATATGACTATTCAACTGGATTTCTATCAAACCAATGCGAAAGCAAAGCCGAACTTCCAAGCTGCCAAACATTACTCATCTACCTCCTCCCCCTCCTCCTCTTCAACCCTCAACCCCTCGACACTATCCGCCAAACTCACTCCGGTACTCCCTCTCTTCCCCAGCCCCGGGGCTCTCTTTCCCTTACCCTTCGTGCGCCTCTTCTTCGTACCGCTGCCCTCAACCACACTGGGCGCGTCACGCACCCAGCGCGAAATCGCCTCCGCGCGCTCCGTACTAATCGGATACTCTCTCCCATCATCCTGGGCCCAGCGTTTCGGTGGCGCGCCATTCGTCCCGGGACTCCCCGGTTCTTTCTCCGCCGCCTCGTCTTCCGCGAACCTCCTCTCGCGGGCGCGAACAGCTCGCTGAAAGCTTTCTTCGTCAACGACACGTTCATCCGCCAGCGCTTCGAGGACAGCTTCGTGTTTTCTGCGCTCGGTTTTCTGCTTCTCGGACTCTTCTTTCTTGGCGGTCTCGTTGTTGCCGGGGAGTGGGGCGGGACGGCAGAGTGATTCCCAGGACGTGCTGAGGTTGATCCAGTTCCCAGCGCGGCGGAGGACTTCGATCCAGTCTGCGCGTGCGGGCGAGCGGGCGGCGAGGAAGATCGGGTAGCCGTCGCAGATGCGGGCGAGGCGGGCGGCGTTGTGGGCATGGCGGAGATGTTCTTTGCTGGGCGTTTGGAGGAGCGCGTGGCATAGTAGGAGAGAGTGCAGGGCGTCGGTGAGGAGTGGGTGGTAGGTGATCGATTCGTGGGAGTCGGCAAAGGCGGATGCGGCGGCCGAGGCGGGAGTTGTTGGAGTTGGCGGTGGGTAAGGAGGTAATGTTGATGGCGGTACAGCGTCGAAAAGTTGGGAGACTTTGAAGATCTCAGGGGGAGGGAGCTTTGGCCACGATGCGCGATCGTTGTTTCGGCGAGAGTGTGTGACTAGAGCTTCGGATATAGGTGATGATGGCGAGGTTGAATTTTGGGCTTCGATGAGGCGGTTAAGTGGGGGCTTGTAGACTTCCTTGGGGACGTTGCCATTTGTGGGATGTCCGAGTCTTCGCAGAAATTCCTCTGCCAGCTCGGCGGAGATGCCTGGGGTATAATCGAAATGGGAGAGGAAGGCATTATAGTCGCGAAGCGCTCGTTTGGCATTTTGGCGGACTTGCTTGCGGGCCTCGGCACGTCTTCTTATTCCCTCATCTTCGTCTTCAGACAATGGGAGTGGCTCTTCGCCCGCGGCAACTTGAATGTCTCTTTTGGATTTTGCTTCTTCTGCTTCTCGTAACCCGTCCAGCGCAGGGTGAACATAACCACATGCTATGGTAAAATAAACACCGGCACGGTGGAACAATAGTTGCGTCTCCAGCGAGCTTGGCTGATCTTCTTCTGGAATTTTGACCTCTTGTCTCCAATCTCTTCCATACTGCTCCTGATACGTCTTTGCCAGCACCAACTGATCTTTTCCTGCTCTATGTTGCTGCATCATATATCGCGCCGTGCTCAATGCTTCGCTCAAGTCTTTCGCCGAATTCACATAGTCTTCTTTGAAGATGCGCGTCAGTGCGCGCGTCCGTAACGGGCTCCCATCGCTCGGTCTTTCCGCTATGATCTCGTTCAAAGTGGCTAGCGGCGTGCACTGCGCCATCATCCGACTTGGAATCTTCTCATGGAAGAAGTGGACGTACTTCGCGTCGACATCGTTGGGATTCCTCTGCAACACAAGATGCGCAACGTCTTCCAGTGTACTGGCGCTCTGCATTGTCGCAACGCTTGCGGCTATCTCGTCCAAATGATATGCTTGGGAAAGCTTGTTTGTGGCCAATTCTCTCATTCGATGTTTTCTTTCTCGACTCAGTTTACCACTGCCACCCCCGCCATAGCCTATCCCCAGCGCTGCAGCGCCCCCTAGCATATTGTTGCCTCCATTGAGGCTGTTGTTCAATGCCGCAGACGTGAGGCCTGAGGTTGCGCGCACCGCAAGATTGGTCGCTTCATCCACGGCTTTTCGAATCTTGACGAGGTCGTAGAAGACGGCAGGGTCGATGGGGTGGGGGCGCGGGGAGAGATAGTTTGAATGCGCGAGGCTCTCGAGGACCTCAGGTGGTAATTGCAACCACGGTCCATGAAAGGAAGATATGTACCGCCAATGTCTTTTGTTTCAGTGTTAGTAGAGGCTGCAGCAAGGCGAACTGGGACGTGCCTGGCAGTAAAACTCACTTGTTGCGACAGATGATGAGCGCCGACGTCGAGGGCTCATGCGCCGGCTTCTTGCTTCCCCCGTTGCTTGTCGCGGGCGGGGGCGTGCTGGACGCGCTCTCGCCGTCGGCCGCGGCACTCTTCTTCTTGCGCGCCATTATCTTCAATTCACTATCAATGTTGACAGCAACATGTGGGGTTGGCGACGCCGTAACTGCCAAAAATTCGTTCTTGGCGTTAGCGCGGAGAAGCTTGTGTCATGCATCGCGTCCGAACACCGAACTCTCTTTGAACCCTCCCTCGACATCACTGTCGCCGTCTCGGCCATGACTTGCGGCCCCTTTCGTAGCCTCATCCCTTGCTTCCACCCTCAAAAAAAAAAGTTCTTCACTCTGACCCTACTAATCTGTATCGGAAGGATGCAGCGACAGCAACGGGTACGCGCCTGCATGGACGTTGGCGCTAACCTCGAACTTTCCGAGGTGGGACCTGCATCAACCCGTGAACCATCACCGCATCACACCTTCTTGGCAAGAAAAAGCTATGATGGTGTCACAAACATTCACCCAGAAGTGCACACATGTTGCAGGATTGGCCAAATTGATCCAGCCGGAGATGAAATTTGTCCCCAGAGTTGACCCTGATTTACAGAGAGACAAGACATCAAGGCCGGGCACATGTCTGTCATTATTGTCTTGACCGCGCATGTCTCCGGCTTCCGGCCTAGAAACTGACCATAGCATCTTCCTCCTTCGATTGCAGAATCTTCGAACCGGATAGCTCCCCAAGTTTTCGCCTTACGCTCGGCATCTGCAACGCCAGCGCGAGGAAGATTCTGGTTTACTAATTCCTGCCCTGTTTCAGTACGAAGTTTGGGTCCAGAGATGATTTACGTCCACCGGTATCCAAGCATCGTGTTGCGAGGCGCCGAGGAATTTTTGAAACACATCACAGGCTCGCTAAGGCCTCTATCAACTTCAAGGTTTCTGATCAACCGTCTGTATATACGTGAATATAGATCTCCACTACTGTCGCAAGGATCAGAGTGGGAGAGCTGCGGCCGCGGCACATCGATCACGTTGTCAAGGACCTACCCACTGTACCCAGCTACTTTCATGGCAACGTCAGACATCTACCATGCGATACCAAGACAATGTTACTTGAGGTCAGGAGCTGTTGGGCATATTAGCGAAGAACACTAGTCGGTGCTGCTCATCGCAATGCTCTTCCGACCACAACTAATGCTAGAATCACGCCACCAAAGATCATCATGGAACAAGCATGACGACGATGTCCACCTCAAGCGAAGGGGAAACAGCCGTTCAGCGGCTTCCTTCCCGCAGCAGTCTCCACACCCACAGGAATGACTCGGATGAGCTCGAGTTGTAGAGATACAGTGGGCCGCAAATGCCACCATCTCACAATCAACGCAAGGGAATGACATGGTGCTCACGTCCCCTGGTTTCATTCGTCGCTATTCCCGTAAACCCAGTACTGCACACGCAGCGACGCACTGTTGGGACTCGAGTTAAGCCGAACTGCCGAGATGGATGTGACCCGCACACCTTGATCAGCGACAATTATGTGGCGTGCTTATTGTGTCTAAACGGGCACATTCGGCACGGGAGATAATCGACCAGGATGATCAGCCAATCATTCCAGGAGCTTATTTTAAAGCTTGTTTCGAGCGGCTTCACGGACGGCGTACGGAAGCTAATCTCGTTGCTGATGCAAACTGCGGGGTAAATACCTCTCCACGGCGACATCTTCAGTCGAGACTGTCACTTTCGATGTTTGAAAAGCAGCAACTGTTCGACCGAGTACTGATGTAATGGACCAAATAGTCGGATCTTGTTTCAGCCAAGCTTGTGCAACTCGATGATCTTGACACCACCTCAACGGTCGGTCGAATTGCTGACGAACGACCATGATAGCGCTGCGACATGGGAAGCCAGCAAGCACCGTGTACTGTAATCACTATCCCTAGCTTGACACCTATACCTGCATGCGCCACTCGTCGCTCAGCATCAGGTATTGGTCTCCACCTCTTTTCCGAGCTTGCGCCTCTGGTTCTTGACTTGGAAGGTCCGTCCCCATGTCGTGTATTATCACATGTAGCTCCCTACTAAATCTATTGCAGCCTACCCATCGCGTTGGTAACTGTCATCCATCATTGGCCGAAGATTACCGGGTTAACAATCTCCATGCTCCAGGCATGTTTCCATGCCTGTCTGGACACTTAAGGGTGTACTGCCTGTTGGTCTGGTAGGCGCAAGATACCTCGTTTCGCGCAGAACATACAACACATCGGTGTACAGCCTCGCTGCAGTTTCCGTCTTGGGACATCAGAGCTGGATATATCTCGCACGGGAATTATTTCGGTTGCCGTCGACATCGATCAGTCAGGTCCTCATGGTCTAGGTTACTGCCTTTCGCGCATGCCTCTGTTGTCTACACACTCGACTCTTTGATTGCAGTCCAAACTGCCTCACACAATGGATCATTTCCGCAAAGTGCCAGGTCTTGTAAAAGACGCCGTCGTCAACGACATTACGCTTCAACGAACTGTGCGGTACGGCGCCAAAGCAATTCGCGCCGCTCCGTCAGTGGCCAGTCAATATATTCAGGAGAGAGTACCCATCATCCACTGTTAGCAAATTCGAACGACCTTATACCGAGGAGAAGCGCTGATCAACTTCAAGGGCTGCCCAAATACAATCCACGATGGCTATTGAACGACACTCTCGCCGGCATTACTGTTGGTGTACTATTGATCCCGCAGTCGTTAGCATATGCGAAAATCGCCACCATTCCTGGTCAATATGGGCTCATGTCTAGCTGGTTGCCAAACTTCCTCTACTTCATCATGGGCACATCGAAAGGTACGAATGGACGGCGTCAGATGAGAGTGCATAGTAACAATCTTGCCAGACATGTCGACTGGCCCCACTTCTCTTATGGGTCTCTTGACAGCTGAGATTATTCGCGATGTCCAAAAAGAAGGCTACACGCCCCAAGCCATCGCCTCCGCCGTCGCACTCTCGGTCGGTATCTACGCCCTGGTCATTGGTGCTCTAAAGTTGGGCTTTCTGCTCGAGTTCATCTCCATCCCTGTTCTCAGTGGTTTCATCAGCGCAGCAGCCATCGTCATTATGCTCGGTCAGATCCCCTCACTCTTTGGTGTGACCGTCGGCACTGGCACCGCAAACATCATCCGCGATCTCTTCCGCCAGATCCCTGACTTCGACGGTCCTACAACTGGCATTGGTCTCGGTGGTATCGTGATCCTCGTCCTCATGCAAAAGATGGGGCAACGCTGGGGCAAGAAGAACAAAGCAATCTGGCTCCTCGCCCTCGGTCGCAGTGCCGTCGTCCTAATCCTTTTCACCGGCATCTCCTACGCCGTCAACAAAAACCGCGTCAAGGACCCCATCTGGGCGCTCTCAAAAGTCCAATCCAACGGCATCCTACCGCCAAAAATCCCTTCCTCCCCACTAATCTCCAAGGTCTTCCCTCGCTCCATCGCCCCTTTCATCGCCGCCGCCATCGAACACCTCGCCATCGCCAAAGCCTTCGGCAGAAAGAATAATTACACTATCGATCCCGCACAAGAACTGGTCTACTTAGGCACAACCAACTTCTTCAACTCCTTCTTTTCCTCAATGGCCGTCGGTGGCGCTATGTCGCGCACCGCCGTGAATTCCGACAGCGGCGTCAAATCGCCCACATACGGGCTCGTCGCCGGCGGCGTCGTTATCCTGAGCATATACAAACTCAGCCCGGCCCTCTACTGGATCCCCAAAGCCACACTCGCCGCCATCATTGTCACGGCAGTCTGGCACATCCTCGTCCCGCTCCGAACATTCTACCTGTACTGGAAAACCAGTCTCGTGGATTTCATCGCATCCATGCTCGCCTTCTGGCTCACATTATTCGTAAGCAGCGAAGTCGGCATCGGCGCAGCCGTGGGCTGGGGAATCGCATATCATCTCGTCTTCCTCGCCTTCCACCGCGTGCGACGAGTCACTTCCCTCCCTCTCCCCCTTCCCACCTCCTCCTCCTCCTCCTCCCCACACAAAAACTCCATCCCACCCGACACACAAATCTTCGCCCTGCACCAACCCCTCCTCTTCCCCAACGCCTACCACGTCAAGTCCCAAATCCTCGACGCCATCACCACACACAACACAGGCGACCCCTCCACCCTCGCCACCGCGCGCGCCAATCGCAACTGGAGCGTCGCCGGCGAGCGCCGCGCAGCCCGTCTGCGCAGCCGCGCTGGCATCTCCGACGCCAACGAGCCCGTGCAGATCCGCCTTGTCGTCCTGGATCTCAGCGGCATGCACAACATCGACACGACGGGGCTCACCGCGCTGGCGGATCTCGTGGCCGATGTGAGCAAGTTTGGCGGGAAAGGCACGGCGGTGCGATTTGTGGGGATGAATGAGAGGGTTAGGGCCAGATTTGGGAGGTTTGGGTGGGGCGTGTATGATGCGGGGGCGGGGCGGGATGAGAGGGGCGAGGGGAAGACGGGGGTGTATGGGAGTGTCGGGGAGGCGGTGTTTCGGAGGGGGAGGGGCACGAGTGTTGATGAGGGGGAGGATGGGATTGAGGCGATGGAGGTTATGGTTGTTGGGGGGGATAAGGAGAAGGTTTAGAGATCTGGCTTGGTGTTAGTGTGAGTGGGATGAAAGTTACGATTTATGTTATACAAAGCAAAGAATATACACAGTCTCGGTCTGACTTGATTGAGTCATCATTATTATAACGGTTCCTCGATAATGTCCATCCTTTCGACTTCAAACTTGGCATGCCTGCGCGGCCCTGGGGTATAATAACATTCGTCGAAAGCCGTCACGTTACACCCATCCATGCAATCCAATCCCATCGTCGCAATCCAACACCCACAAATTGAGATCCTCACAAGTTATCCACCTCCGTGCTTCCGATGAAAACATGCTCAAACCTCGCCCCGCCATCAAGCACATCTCCAATCTCCTCGTTCTTCTCCAACACCGCATTCCACGCGTCTTGACTCTGCTCCTCCGTCCTATTCCAATCCTTCTCACTACGCAAATCCTTCTCGCTGACTTCGAACCCATCATCGTACATCTCGACTAGCATCTCACCAGTCTCCATGCCACTGTGATGCAGCAAGTCCTTGGTCGGCTGCATCCTCGCCGACAGCCAATACGCTCTGTGAAAGCGACGCTCCGAGGCTTTCGGATTGTCAAACTTCCAAGTCTGCTTGACGCTGATTCCGCCCATATGCTGGCAATAATCAAGCAGCGAGGAAAAGCCAGGCGCGAAGGTCCTCCAAATCATCTCATCTCGGTCCTGCCAAAAGCGACCATACACACCGATTGAAGTCGTAGACGTCGGCGACAAACCCCACTCAAACGGATCGGCAGCGTTATGGAGCGCGATAAAAGATAGAGCATCGCCATCCTGAATGAAGCCGCGCGAGCTGTGGGCGTGCCATCTGTGACTAGGCGGTCCAAGGTTGTTGGTTTGGACCAGGTTGTCGAGCCAGGACTCTGCAAATTCGAAGCCGCATGCTTTGTGTAGCTGGAACAGGATGACAGACCACTTGTAGTCAGCATAGTTGGCAGTGATGTCTTGAGGCTGAGTGTCCCAATCGATGCGTGCGGGCGGTGCAGGCTCTGGAGGAGACAAGAGCCGCTGGTTCCGAGGTACATCAAAAATTGATGTGTTGAAAATCGGTGCGTATGAGGGCATGAAGTTTGTGGGGCCTGCTTGAGGTTGGTGGACTGGGTACAGAATTCCGAAGCCCGAGTTGTCCTGATCATGAGTAGGCGCATGAGCAAGCCCGCCATGATGAGGTGCGTACATCTCATCGGCATCAGGGAGCCCATGTTGCATCACAAGAGGCTTACGGCGCTTTGGACCAGGTGTAGACGTGGAGCCTGTTGACTTCTTGGTGGACCGCTTGCGCTTGGTGCTCAAAACGGCTTGCGGTGGTGCCATCGAACCCGCCTTAGAACTGGCGCTGGACAGCTTCTTTTGTCGTCGCCTCTCAGCGCTTCTCTGGGCGTTTTTCACGTACTCTTGTTGCTTGCGGATCGTCTCCTCGTCTATTGGCGTTATGCCGTCGTGCCCAGGGGATGGGCCAATCGCAGCATTGGCAAGTGTGGGGGCATAGTGATGAGGAGGTGTGACTGGACGAGGCTGTTGACTCAAGGTATGCGTCGGCGACTGTTGAATCGGGGGCTGGGGGGATGTCACCTCATGTAGGAGTGCAAGAGTGGAAGGAGACATATCAATATGATCGGGATCTGCGGTATACGAAAAGGATCGCCGATCGTCCAGGTTTGGCATCTTTGGGTTGTCCAATGCCTGTTGTCGTAATTGTTCAAGTGAAGCTCGAGCTTGTTGCAGATCAGGCGATGGTGGTCGTTGATACTGGTGTTGTCCGAAGCCATATGGCTTAGCTTGCCGCATTGGTATTCCAAAGGTATTACTGTACCGATATGCTGGAGCTGCGTCTGGCAGCGGTGCCTGAGGCGGGTTGAAAGATCCGGCATAGTTGTGACGATTGGCATAGCCATTGGGGTCAATGGTGCGAGGGACCTGCTCCGAAGCTTGGTGCTGCGCATGCTGCTGTGCATGCCAGTCCAACAGCTTCTGGACGTCATCTTCGTGCCCGGGTGGAGTTGGTGGCTGGTGATGGTATCCGGGCTGAGACGAGACGGCAGCGTCAGGATAACCACTGAACGCTCCTACCTGGCCATAATGAGGCAGGGGGGTGGCAGGATGGGGTTGATATCCATCCAGTTGAGGAAGGCGTGAAGGCCCAGGTTGAGCAGTGGCGTTGTTGTTTGCTTGCTGTTCATCCGAACTCTGCAGGTACGTATAGCGTGCGGCAGGGTTGCCAGCGTCGTTTGGGGTGTAGTCCATGTGGGTCTGATCTGCTGGTCTCGCGCTCTCTCATTATTGGGTGCGGGTGGCGAGTGGAGAAAGGCGGAGGAAGGGTTTTATACACGAGGGAGCGCGGGGAAGGCGCGAGCAAGTAAAGGAAGTGCCTAGCAACGCGCTCACAACAAAACAACGCGCCCGAGGCAGTCGCGACGTGTCAACGTTGTCACCGACTGATGGCATGCTCGTTTGTTGCGTGGGCTTCCGTGTACTGCGCGCCGCCCTGATAGACGAGATGAGACGGGTAGCTGCAGTGAAGAGAGATAAGCACGTGACAAAGCGGAAATGACCGAGACCAATCAAGGTCGCGAAAATGCCCCAAGGTGTGGCATATATAGGAACGACAAACGAAATGCATGTGAATGAAGGAAACGTGTCAAACAGTCGCGCATGCGTTGAGCACGATACGAAATAGCTTCGGTGAGGATGCCTGCATCGTGAATTGCCAGGCTGGCCGGCCCATGCAGCTAGCCGTCCCGGACCAAAGTACGGGAGTCAAGTGCAACGAACAGTTGTTTCAGGATATGGTTGAACCGGAATAAGATGAAGTGATGCCATAGTTACCCGTGGAAGGGCTCAAGATAAGGGAGCCTCCAGTGTCAAGTAGTGTGATTCTAGCGAACTCCGCCCTTTTCTTCCGCTCCAATGCCATGCGCTCCAACGCCAGATAAGCAAGACTGCCAGAATACATGCAAACCGCTCTTAGACCACGCGCTTGACCTGCACAACCATTAGCTTCCCAAATCACTCATCACCTCAGTGTCATGAACTCACCTCAAAGAACCGCTTCAACCACCAAACCTGAAAGAAGCCCTGCCCTGTCAAGAAGCACAGCTGAAAAATGCTCCACCACTTGATCCTGCTGTTCGTGCTCTCGGCAGTATTCCTGTGCGTCCTCTCCCTCACCACAATGTAGCTCTGCTCGTCCTTGACCTGCGACACCAGCTCGCTCATCTGGCGCACCTCCTTCTCCAGCGGGTCCTGGGGCGCCTCGGACTCGGGTACGTAGACGATGCCGTGGACGTTGAAGCTGACTTCCTTGGTGTTAGCGCCCCAGTACTCGTTGTTGAAGCAGTATGTGTATTTGCCGTCTTCGGTCGCGGTGAAGGAATGGTCGCCGGATGAGACGCCGCGCTCGTGGATTTGGTAGCTGCGGGAGGGGGTTTCGATCTGGGGAGTGGATTGTTAGCATTGATTCTTGGAACGGACAAGTGGCTTTGCGCCCATGCGAGCAAGCCACGAGGCATTGGAGAGTGGATCGAGCCTAGAAGGCAATTCATACCCAGAAATCAATCTCCAGGTTTCCGCTTCCTCCAAACTCCCTGTCGCCAACCTGGAACGTGACCGTCATCTTGTCGTCCTTGTGCAGGGCCTCGTGGAAGCATTCGCGCTGGTGCGCCTTCATTTGGATGTTGTGCGAGGCGGCGAGGCTGAAGAAGCTCGTCGCCGCAGCGAGAGCGGCGATTGAAGGGAACAGCATTGTGGAGAGTGGCTGTCGTGTGCTGTTGTTCTGGGAGTCAAACAAGTTCCACGATGCGGAAATGGCCAGGTTGCCCGCAAGGGTCGCGGACGCGGTGCTGAGGCCCGTGCAGCCGACTAGTAGGGGTTCGTCTGAACTTCCTTCCGAGGGCGTAGAAGACATCACACTTTCAATCACTTTCTCGTTTTGTGTCGATGAATTTAATTGCAGTCATACATTTTCACCACGAATATGGAACGGCCTCCAGCTAGCCAACTGAATATGTACATCGTTGACCACTAAAATCAGCACTCATTGTTTTACTCAGTCCACCTATGTATCGGCGGGGACTGAGTTAAGACGACGCCTTCATCAGCCACTCGACTATCTCTTCCCTTGACGCGTTCTGAATCATCTTCTCGATTCGTGCATCAATCTCCTCAGCATTCTTCTCCAGCACGGCCGCTTCGGCATCAAGCTTAAGCTTCTTTTCCCTCAGCGTGCCCTTCGATTTGACAACTTCCTTTCGCTCCTTCACCAGACGCGTGTATGTCGCAGACCTTTCAGCTTTCTCCGAGTCATCAGTCCATCTATTCGCGTTGTCGTTCCTAGCTCGCTTGTTGCTCTGCATCATCGGAGCAGGTCCGGCCCTCTTTATGGGCACTGCCGGCTGATGGTGCAAGTTCGCTCCATCCTTGGCCGTGTTTGAAGTGTCAGGCTTGACGTTGTTGTTTTTGTTGTATGAAGGCTTCATAGGCTGAGTAATAAGGTGAAATCCATTGTTGACACGCACACCCCACGAGTCTTCCTTCAAGATCCAGTCCTTAGTCTCGGCCTGCTGATCGTTTGGAGAGGGATCGGTGACTCTCTTCTCGCGGGTGGCTATGGCAGCTGCTACTCTGGTAAGTACTGGTACCTGCTGATGATTTCATCATTTGACTCACCTGCCGCCTTGCCAATCTTGAATACTACGGACGATCCATTGACGCTGGTGTCTCGCGAAGATCTTCTGATGTCGACCATCTCGCGGGTGTTTCTGCTATTCGGCCTTTTTTAGATTGGTAGGTTATGAATGTCTGTAGGGCACTGGCATTCTCCACTTGCGCAAGAGCTGGATCAGCGGGTTTCTCGTATTTGACCGCCACAGAACGAAACGCCTGCTTTGTAGCTTGGCACTCGCCGCACGCCGCTAGTAAGATCACTAGTGAGGATTTTTTGGGTGATTGTTTGTGTGCACTAATTGCAGAGGAGAGGTGTCATGAGATATGAGCCTCGATCGCAGTGCGGGATTTTCTCGATTACGTTTGTATGGTGGCCATCTGGAGCTCTTCCTCGTCGCCAAGACAACGTGAGCTGGTAGCACCACTCACCTCACTGTTCAAACACCATCTAGTTTCCACTCGATTCTTCCGCTGTCATGCGCACGTCTCTACCGACGGCTCAATTCCGCATTGCCAAACCGCCTGTCTGTGCATTGCGTAACTAGAAAGTCGCGGACCAATTTCAAGTCCCATACTGCACCTACACCACAGCTCACGAGCACGCGACTGGTACAGCATGGCAGCACCGAACGAAACTCCCCGCCGAATTTCTATGGCCTACGTTCTTGGGTTCAGCAACAAGCCGTTCAAGGACCCGCCGCCGCCGCCTAAGCCGCGCCCACGGCAGCCGAGCGGCTTGAACGAAATAGTAAGTTGTTCAACATCACAACTCTGATAGTACGATTGCTCATTGTGGTCAGCTAAGTAAGCCGATTGGCATCGTGGAGTGGGCTGCTAGCGATGGTCGCAAGGGTAAACTATCGGGTCGCGGCCAAAGTCGCTCGCACGGTGAACAGGGCAGGAAGGCGTCATCGGAGAAAGGCGACGATGACACGAAAGGCTGGAAGAGCAAGGGAGACAAGAAGGAGAAGGCTACCAACGACGATGCAGCAGAAGGCCAGAATCAGCACGGCTTCACTAAAGACGAAGATGAGAAACTGCTCGCCTGGAAGAACGAAAACAAGAACAAGCCTTGGGCCGAGTTTGCCAATGAGATCGACAAACCAGTGCATCAGTGCAAAGACCGCTACAAAGAGCTGAACGCGAAGGGCGGTAATAATTCTGCCGGCAAAGAGCAGGGCGGCAAAGGTGGCAGTGGTGGAGTTGCAGGCAATCAGGAGAAAGACCCATCCCAAATGACTAAGAAGGAAAAGGCTGCCTGGTACAAAGAAAAGAACGCGTCAGGTGGAGGGAACAACAAAGGACATCAGAAGGGCAACAAGAAAGATCAGAACTCTGGGGGTAACGACAACAATACTGATGGTGACGACCCATGGGGTGGCGGTGGGCTCGCAATGTTCGGCGAAAACGATGATGACAAGAAGAGCAAAGCTGGCAGTACGACTGAAAACAAGGCAGCCGAAAACACCTGGGGTGGATGGGGAGGGGCAGCAGACACATCCGGCCGAAACAATGCAGAAACAACTGCCTGGGATAATTCAGGTGGTTGGGGAGACACGCCAGCAGCGTGTGGTGGGAAGAACAGCGGAGGAAGCAAGAAGGGTACAAGCAACAAAGCTACGAGCAACAAAGGCGGCAATAGTTGGGAGAACCCTGTCGGCAACACTACCGAAGCTTGGAACGCGGCACCAGACACTTCAGGTCCAAGCTGGAGTGGAGGAAACGACAACAAAAGTAAGAGCGGAAGCAAGAAAAGCGCTTCCAGTAACAAAGGTGACGACCAATGGGGAGGAGGTGATACTTCTGGTGGAGGCGGCTGGGATAACACCGGCGGCAACAACGACACTCCTGGCTTCGATGCGACAGCTAATACATGGGGCGGTGTAGGTGGAAGTGGAGGGGGAGGACCGGGAAGTAACAAGGACGCCTGGGCAGGTGGTGGAAGCCAAAAGTCAGCATCCAACAACGGAGCCCCAGACGCCTGGACCGCGCAGGTTGATGGTGCGAACGACACCACCAACGCGGGATGGGGTGGCGCAGCCAACGATGCGACCAACACCAACAATGGTGGAGGATGGGACACCAGCGCTCAAACCAACACCAACGTCAACGCCAACAATAACACCGGCTTCGAAGCTTCTGGTTGGGGTACCGCACCCGCTCCCGCAAAACCCGCATCAAAAGCCAACTCCCACAAGTCTGCTCATCACCACTCGCACCATCACTCTAGCAAGGACCGCACCAACACGCCTCTAGAGCTCGAAGTCAAGCCCGATGGAACCTTCTCCGCAGAGGATTTGAGGGTCGTTGCGCGTATATTACAGCAGGACTATCAGATGGTGTGGAATCGGGTCAGTTGGCGGTTTAGGGATAAGACGGGACGCACGATACAGCCGGATGTGTTTGAGCGGAAGATTACTGGAAAGGTGGAGGGAGAGAGGAAGTGAGCAGAATTACGAGAGCGGATGGATAAGAAGTTTGAAGGACAAGTGGGGGGGGGGATGACACCCCATCGCGAGATATGCGTATACTCATCATAATATCCCACACTTGCACTTTACCAACCTACTTACTTACCACACCCAATAACCCCTCCCAAGCCCTCAACTCCACCTTTACCCCCTTCCCAACCTCCCGTCCCTCCAGTTCCCTCTCATCATAATTCCCCGCCACCCCACTTCTGCACCTCCACACCCCCCAGTCCCTCCCAACTCACTCCCTCCCCACTAAAATTCAACACCGTAACAAACTCCTCTCCCTCACTCCACCGCCTGTACGCCACCACCCTGGGATCCGCCACATCCAGCATCTCAAAATCCCCATACACAAACACATCCGCGTGTTTCTTGCGGTTGGCGAGTGCGCGGCGCCAGAACGCGTGGACGGACAGATGGCCCGGGGAGGGCGTGGGGTTTGCGATTTGCGAAGCGGCGTTTACGGTGGGATAATCTGTGTTTACGCGCATCCAGGGGGTTGCAGTGGGTTCTGTGAAGCCAGCGTGCGGGGCGGAGGAGGTCCATTGTACGGGAGTGCGGGCGTTGTCGCGGGATTTCTTCTGCATGATTTTGCGAGCGAGGGCCTGTTTGGCTTCATCTCCGGGGTATAAATCGCGGTATCTAGTTGCGTTAGTGGGAAGTGAGGGGGAAAGGGGGGTGGGGGTGATATACGCACTTCTTGAAGAAATTGATACTCTCAATATCTTTGTATTCTTCCTCGGGCCAGTCGGTGGGGACGTTGCGCATGCCGATTTCCTCGCCTTGGTAGACGTACAGCGTGCCTGCGAGGGTTGACTGCATCAGCGCGAGTAGCTTCGCGCCGTACGAGCGCCACTGGTCGCTATCATCTGTGTATCGCGACACGCTGCGTGGCTGATCGTGATTCTCGACGAATAGCGTGTTCCAGCCATCGCGCTCGAGCATCAGGCGCTGCAGCCTATTGACGATACGCTTGAGGTCACGAGCATCCCAGGGGTGTAGCGTGTACTTGAAATCGCCGGGCACGTTATCAATATCCACAAGATCGAAGCTAAATATCATGTTAAGCTCCTCGCGGTCCGCGCCCACGACGCGGATGATTTCGTCTTCGTCGCGGACGAAGGGCATTTCGCCGACCGTTAGTGTGTCATACTTGGACAACACCTTGCGGTTAATTTCCTGGAGGTATTCGTGCAGCCGCGGGCCGTTGGCGTAGAATTTGTCGCCCGGCTGGTATTTGTTGGTGGGCACGGATACAGCGGCGTCGGAGAAGGACTGCACTTTAGAAATCAGGTTGATCACGTCCATGCGGAAGCCCGAGCAGCCGCGGTCGAGCCAGAAGCGCAGGACGTCGTGGACGGCAGCGCGGACGGCGGGGTTTTCCCAATTCAAGTCAGGTTGCTCGGGGGTGAAGAGGGAGAGGTAGTATTCTTGGGTTTTCTCGTCCCATGTCCAGGCGGAGTTCGCTTCACCAAGAATCTGCGCCCAATTGTTTGGGGGTTGGCGATTTCCATCAGCATCGTACTTTGCAGGCTTCCATATGTACCAGTCGCGCTTTGAGGAGGTTTTCGAGGAGCGGGAGTCGAGGAACCAGGCGTGCTCTTCGGAGGTGTGGTTTACGACTAGGTCCATGACGAGCTTCATGTCGCGCTTTTTGAGCTCGGCGATTAAGTTGTCGACATCGGCGAGAGTGCCGTAGGATGGATCAATGTCTTCGTAGTCGGCAATGTCGTATCCCATGTCTGCTTGGGGAGATTTGTAGATTGGGCTGACCCAGACAACGTCCACTCCGAGGTCTTTGAGGTAGTCTAGCTTCGAAGTGATGCCGGGAACATCTCCCCAGCCATCACCATTTGTGTCCAGGAACGAAGCTGGGTAAACCTGTCATTATTAGTGAAAAAGGGTTCATGTTCAACATTTTGTCAGGCTTTACTTGATAAACAACAGCTTCCTTCCACCATTTGTGTTTGTCGGTACCGACGTAAAGATCTTTTCTTGTCGTTGCCATGTTTGCTGTTGGATGTGTAGACGAGAAATTCGGGTTCTGAATTTGTTGAGTTGCTGGTGAAGTCTGCTTTATGTATTGTTAGACGTCATTGCTAGTCTTGGTGTCTCCATAAACGGCGCGACGTGGGGTAGCTACGGTACGCGCTATCCCGAATGCCGACTACACTACCCTCCTCCTCATTTGTACTACATAAGCAACCACTCGCCTACTAAACGATTTTCCCGGGATTCTGCCGCTCTTACCTATACTATCCCCCTGTTCCCTTGCCCCGCATGGCTTCGTTGAGTCCATTTTCACAGGGCTTGCAAGTCTGGTGGTATACGATAATTTCTGGCCATGACATCATCACCTCCGAATTGCACTCTCTCCAGATCGTGAGACATCTCCGCAAGTGGGTAACAACTTACTAACCATAAATATACAATGGGTCAAATGGTCTGCATCTCCATCAAGGTTCATACTGGGCTCCACTCCTAATCTATGCCGGTCCGACATACACTCAACCACAATCTTACCGAGAATCTCTCCGATTTTTTAGGTAAGAGGGGTCGTCTTTCCCAGCATGACAGCCTTGTCAGCTAGACCATCTCGAATTCATGCAGGTTTGCCGAGGTCATATAATATTCGTGAATGGCAACATAACATCTAATCAAGGGACGAGTCCCAAGACTTTCCCGACGCTTCACAACTCTCGATGGAAGGTGATGATACGATGAGTCCCAGCTTCCTCAAGCCGGAATGATCCCCAGCAGACATCTACCAAGACAACTCAGTAGTTCGGTGGTCTTTGACTTCTCGGTGAAGCTCTATACGGGTAATCTTGGATGAATTTTGACGCAGATGATAGTTGATATACTTGAATACTGACCGGAAAAGTATACCGAGCGTCTCAAACTTTGACAGCTTAAGAAAGCAATCTTGGAACAGCTAGGATGATCAGATCGTCACTATCTGTGACTCTCTCGTGTCAGCTTCTGGAACGTTTTTCAGCTGCTGCAGCTAAGAGATTGGGAATTATGGACTCATGTCCAAGCATGATCGCAGCTTACTGTGGAATTGCTCGGTGCACTGCTTCTGATCGTGCGAATGCTGTCCCGATCGGAATGTAACGTTTAGAAGCCTACATCCCACTTGACAGCAATTACACAAGAACAAGGGTTGTACTCAGCTCCTCACCGATCGCCGACGTAGATGCCGCATTTCATACGATGAATGTGTTCGGAAGAGCGCGTATCTCAGTTCCACGGCTCCCCGCAGTATAAGAAATCAGCACATGCATGTCAAGAGCTGACTTCGTACTTCGGCGCTTTCCAGCCAAGCCAATCATTTCATAGCTTCTCAAATGTGGCTTACAAAAATCACGACGCCACTGGAAATGCTCGCATCTGGACGGTGATCAGCTTCGTATATCGCGACGATGAAGGGTTCTTACTTCGGCATGGTTCGGTCAGCCTGTGCATCATGCAGATTATTTTGAAAAGGATAAGAACAAAGGTTTGGGTGCACTGAGATGAACCTCATGAACTTGTTCTAACAATGAAGTTTTCAAGACTTGCTCTCCTCTTCGCTTTTTCTTTGGACCTCACCAGGGCTGACAATACCACGCAAAATACAATATGCCATGAACTCGTATTAAAGCTTCCAGATCAGGTCTTCTTCCCAGACGCCCCCGTCTACAATGCTTCAATCTCATCCTATCCATTCATCCAGCTTCGTCTTCGCCCAAACTGCATCGTTCGACCAAAATCAGCGGAAAATGTTTCAGTAGCACTTGGCGTGCTAGAAAAGAGTAACAACACGCGCTTTGCTGTGAAGGGCGGTGGCCATAATGCTAATGCTGGCTTCAACAATATCGACAACGGTGTTACCATCGACATGCAAAGCATGAAGGCCGTTGAAGTCGCACGAGGGGATCAAGTCGTCCGAGTCGAAGCAGGTGCGCTGTCCCAAGATGCGTACAATGCAGCAGAGAAAAGAAACCTGACTGTTCTTGCTGGTCGCATTGGTGTTGTGGGCACGGCTGGCTTTCTTACTGGAGGTACTCGAATCTATCAAGAATTCTTTGCTCAAGAGCTTATTGATTGATACTAGGTGGTATCTCGTTCTTCTCACCCCAGTTCGGCTGGGCGTGCGACTCGATCCTAAACTTCAAGATCGTCCTTGCAAGCGGGGATATTGTGAACGCCAATGCAACATCACGGCAGGATCTCTTCGCAGCTCTCAAAGGCGGTCAGAATAACTTCGGTCTAGTCACTCGCTTCGATCTCAAAGCATACCCAGCGACTCGTATCTGGGGCGGCAGAATTGTATACGCACCAGCCGCAGCTACCGACTTTTTGACCGCTTTCACCAATCTGAAGACCGCGGCAACAACTGACAAATACGTTGCTGGCTGGGCTACTATTCAGATACAACCACTCCGTAGCGACGTTCAACCCAGTCGCGATTTATGTGGTACACCAAACCTGAGCTCAGACCTGGCGGTTTGAAGGAGATCACGGGAAGTCAAGCCACAAGTATCAAACGGCATGGTAGAAGCACCAATCAGCGAGCATACAAGGAATGCATCGATGCAGGTCATCGCCTCACCAAGACGGTATACAACCAGTCTTTTTCTCGCAGTATTGAGCTCATGCTGAATTATTTCCAATAGCACAATATGGGCAACAACCTCATTTCATGTCGACTCTACGATCGTCCACAAAGTTCACAGGCTGTGGAGAAGCCGCGTACCCAGCATCTGCGATGAACATGCATCGGCCAACCCCTCAGCTGAATTGACCTTTCAAGCTCTTCCATCGCCTCCCAAGAACGGCTCATCTCCCAACAGCTTAGGATTTGCGCCCAACGAACGAACAGACGACATGGTGTTCCTGCAGATTGTGTTCACTTTCGACGGTGTGCAAGCGACTGAAAGCTTTAACAAGGGTCTGAAGGAATTGATTGCAGCCATCGAGCAGCTCACCTATGCGGAAGGTGTTTATCATCCATACAAGTACCTCAATTTTGCTGCTGGGTTCCAAGACCCAATTGGTGGCTACGGAGCCGAACAAAAGATGAAATTGAAACAGGTGGCGCGAAAGTACGACCCCACTGGCATGTTTCAAAGGCAAGTGCCTGGTGGGTTCAAGTTATTCTGAGTACTACCTGTTGTACTTGGTCATGGATAATAAGATCTCATTGTACTATCTACCATACACCCGGCGCCGTAGTTCGATTACAACAATAGACCAGGACTTTCCGCCGCATTTTCTACAGGCGGCTGCGCGGGTACAGCGGCCTTGCTCTCCTTCATTGCCGACTTGGGTTGAACCTGGTTTAGAAACTCGTACGCATGTCTGAACGCGACCATCGCAGGTCTTACCAACAGCAGACTCCGTGAGATTTCGTGGCTAATTGTAGCTGTCTCGTGGTCAAACCGTTTTGCCAGGTCGTGGGTCGGATCGAAAAAGTGTGCGATCCAGCACTCCTTACCAGGGATCAGTATGAAATCTCCATTGTCATACGCCTTGGCGAGATCACTCCTCAGGTAGATTCCGTTCATGGGATGGTGCATATCTGTGGCCTCATCGTAGGGGACATTTAGCCGTTGTCTCTTGGCAGTAGATTGGATGGCGGCCTTGAGGAGTGTGTTGGCGCCGCTCGTGAAGGACCAGTCGCCGAACAACTTGCTCATTCTCTCTGCTATCCACAGATTGCGTAGTCGTAGAGGCACTATGTATGCGCGCTCGCATTTTGATTCATATGCGCCGGAAAGAATGCATTTCCAATCGCGATTACTAACTGCATCATTGCAGAAAGTGATCAAGTCAAGATCGGCATTCGTCTTGAGGCCAGAAAACTTGAGGTTACTTTGCGTCTTTGCCATACTCTTTCTTGCATCATTCCAATGTGTCGGCCGGCCCCGAGGAACCTGCCACATCGCGAAGCTGGGGAGAAGCGGGTACTGCCAAAACTTGTCGGTTGGATCGTCGGGATTCGGGCAATGGAGGTATAAGTCGCTGTCCCACAAGATCGTGGTCGCCCTCAAGTCCAGTGGATGTCCTCCCCGTGTGCGCGAAATGAAAAGCAGTTTAGATGTGTCGTCGTCGGTGAGCAAGTAGAAAAACAGATGCGCCAAACTGGCCATTACACCACCATCGTAGTGTTTCGATCCTTTGAGACGGAATATGACCGTGTTGAACGACTTTGGGTCGTAGCCGGCATGGTGGAAAGCAATGTCGGCCAGTTTGATCTCACTGTTGCGCTGGGGCTCTTTCCCTGTTATTCGGTTGACAATACTCTGCATTGCAGACAGCTTGTCGGGCTTGTCGGGCTTGTTGTCCATTTTGTTAGCCTTTTCGGCCTCCTGCTCGAGCTTTGTAGCACGTCGGGATTTACGAATATCGTTCAGAACGTCGCAGTCAATGCCGGACATCAAAGCGAAAGTAGTTGAGAGAGTAGTTGAGCGAAAGGTTAAAGATGAAAAACTAAGGATAATATGCACAACAAGAATGGTGTGTTAACATGTTCGCAACAAGTGTGAGGAAATGTGCTGGATGCGTTGCGTGTGAAGCGACGGCTGCACGAGTGCATCTCAGGAACGGCACTGCCAACGTGGAAGTGACGGTGGTGTTCCCACGCTTGGGACCGTCATGCACTTACCTCCACCGATAATATTCAATGCAGGTAACCACACCTGGGCAGAAGCCCTAACTGACAAAACTAAAGTTTTCTTAACCATCGCACATTGCTCCTCATCACTTGTGTTCACTTCAAGCTATGGAAATCCCAGCTTCACGCGCACACATGCGACAGAGGCTCCATGGAAGTTCAACCGTGAGCTATCAAGAGAACAGAGCTTTTTGTGTTCTTCACTTCAACTTTGAATGCTTAGGTCATTCAGTTGACCATAAGGCATGAGTCTTCTTACATGACCGAGACCACTGCAAGAGTCAGCATATGAACCTCAAACCTCCCAAACCTCGAATTCAATATCTTGTACTATCAATCAGCCAATGTCTACCTGTTTGGTGTTTCCATTCCTGGCGGTTGCGTTTTTTCCGCACTGACCCATGTACTGTCTTTGACTGACTTTTATGCAGGCCACATTCGTTCTCTTGATCGACTCAGCATTAGCCATGCCTATGTCCAAGCTAACCTTCGTCAACCCTACAAAGCGCGGCCCCTCTGCGCAAGCCACAGGGAAGATGACGCCGTCCACCATCATACTACTCGTGTTTGGATTTATCTTCGAGCTTTGGATTGTGTTCGCACTTGTGTATGCACTTTTTACCAGGAAGAGTGGACGCCCATACTTGGCTCGGGTTAAGAATGCTCTCATGTTTCAGCTGCGCTGATATTGCGGGTGGTGGTTGAGATCAGGGATTTGGGGAGTAGCAGCGATGAACGTGATGCAGACATTAATGAAGCACTTTGAGATAAGTTTGGGTGGGCGATGAAAGGAAAAACAACTACATATCTATCATGACATGTTCTGAGTAATAATATGTACTCCGCAGTGACCAGACGAGACTCTACAATGTAATTCGAAGTCCGCAACCCCCGATAACCACCCCCGTCACATTTTCTACGCGAAACTCGTCCTCTAAGACTTCCTTACCAGATATACTCAGGTGTTTTCCAACAAACTGTCGTCTCGCGTCCCTTTCTTACCCATGGTGTACCGATCAAATAAGCCATCTCCCCGCTCTTTTCAAATGCAGTGGCCTTGGGCACGAACTATGAGTCACGCTGCCACATCACATGGCGAACAGTGTTTAGTGTTACCAAAAAATGCGTTGAATATAGACCAACTCGGCAACTCCGATGCTCAGACATTTCGCAGCTCAAGCTACTCCCTCTTTCTTCTACACTATTCGCGCAGCTTTCCGGGCCAAGGGCGATGTGTTGCGGCAATCAGAGAATGTATCATAGAAAGCTTAAGGGTTGTTTGAGGTATAATCATTGTTATGGGTATGAGAGGGGGAGGTGTGGGTTTGGTTGGAGCGATGATGGATTAGGGGTTTCCAATGAGTGCTTCTAGTTGGATGTCATTTATATCTCAAATTCAGTTGCGAAGTGATCGCAAACAAGATCACGATCGATTCCTCGGAAAGTCTGTTATAATCGATAAATTTCACAACCGAACACCTCTGGCTCAACAATTACAGTCCCCACAACCACCCTTACAATTTCCACAGCACTTCTGAAACGGACATAACCAATCAGAAAATCTTCCACAATACTTCTCGTCCTCTTCCTTCCCTCTGGCAAACGCAGCCACGGCTAGCGCGAACAGGATCCAAGCTCCAACAACGCACCCAACGACGAGGCCGACTTTTTTACCATCAATCTTGCGCCCTACACTTGAGATATTGTGATTTTGACCTACGCGTGAGCCAGGATTGAACTTGACCCTTGCAGGGACTGGACCTGCGTCGACTATGACGATGAGTTGAAGAACTATAGCCTACAGGCAGATGTCAACGGTAGATCGGGACTTTGCGTAAACCATGAAGCGTGGCTTACAAGAACTTGAGAGAAACGATAGATTCCGCCATGCGAGATGTTCGGAGATTCCATGAACGTAATGGCGAGCCGTGTGGAGGGTCAAATTTGTAAGTTGTTGTTTGGGAGGTCTGGTGGTAGATTTTGCTCTGTCTGAGTCTCTGGAGATGTTCGATGCCAGCATAGTCGCGGCATTCTGTCTAATTTTCGAGTCACGGTAAGTCTTTTTCCCCTTCGCGCGCCCGATCTCTTTGCGTGCTCAATATTGATGCCCAAATTCCATCACTAGGGATCTGTGAAGCGCGACGTGACAAACAATGTGAAGAGTGGGCGAAGGGATCGAGCACGTAGTCTATAGCAAACGCGTAACCTGGTACTTCACGATCGTGACTTCCCGAGCACTTTATAACCCCGCAAACTCAGCTCTTTGTGACACCAGAGCACACTCCATCTTCAAGCCACTGCTTCCACAGCATCATTCGTACGTGTCGCGCGCATTCGCAGTCACAAAGATTAATACTGATATCAGACAGTTTCCACCCGGCTATTCACACCTTCCAGTCAATTGTCGCCCCTCTACTCATTCCTTCATAACCAAAATGAACAAGACGGCGTGTTTTTGTCACTCCTCTGCCGCGCTCACTACCACCTTAAAAAACAACACTATCTGCCATAATATAACTACCTCGAGCATGCCATGCGAAGACGGCGATCGGGTCGCCAGCGTCGTCATCGGCCTCCTCTTCCTTATCTGGATAGGCTACGGCCTGGTACAAGCACACCGTGGAGTCGGATACGGCACCTTCTTCCAACGCTTCTTGCAGAATACCTTCTCGTGCTGCGCAATCGATCCACCGGAGGACATTGAGAGGGCTGCGGCGTTTACGGATAGCGATATGAGCGACGAGAAATCGAGGAGGATGTCGATGCAGTCGTGCAGATGGTTCATGGACAAGGAACTTGGCGGCATTGATCGCGGTAGGCCGGTGCAGCGAGAGAGGGCTAATCACCTGACTTCGGCCAAAAGAAGATACTCTCCGGCGCAGTGAGTTCGCCTTCGGAGCTGGTGGTGATGAAATCGGGAGACTGGTCTGGGGATGAGTTCACCTGTGTTGCTTTGGGCGTGGACGAGCTAATTTAACATCTTTACGACTTTTCCATTCCATATATAGTGTATCTCAATGTCACTCATTTCAACATTTTGGTGGTTGCGCACTAAAGTGGAAGGTTAGAGCGCCCAAAACCAATGGCACGATTTTTGTTGTAGTCACGTTCATCGTACGCTTACCACACCGACCCGCGCGGCACTCACCTGGTTTCGAAGGCAGGAGCTGTCGTTCAGGCCATTGTAAACAGTCTCTTCCACCGTCTCAGTTCTCTCCTCAACATCATCCTCCCATCACTTACCATCGCACCACTCAACAACAACTTTCGTCATCACTGATCGCACGCATCGTCAACGCATCCATCTCTATAATGGCTATCCCAATCATGGACTTGAACCGTGAAGAGGCAGATGACATGTTCTCACTGGAAGCTGCCAAAGAAGCACGCTTGCGAGCTTCAAGCGCGACTCAAGTAAGCTGCATCTGCTGCCACCATGTCAATGCTGACATTACCAAAGCCTCCTACAACGACCACAACACCTTTGCTACAGGCTCCGATTCTTCTCGTTTCCATTCTGCACCACCAGCAAGCCATGAACCTCTCGATGACGAGGCTTATACCAGCTTAAGAGAAAAGGTTCGATCTGTCGAAAGGGCTGCCTTTGTGAGGTCCGGGTACGGGCCTTGGTGGGAAGAGCATCGGTTGAGGCTTCGAGTAAGTTCCTTCATCCGACCTTTACACTGTTACTGGCATTCCACAGACGCGCAGGCCACAGCAACTTCGAGTTCCAGTCCTACGCTCACCATTCCTACGTCCACTTCGTACTCCACTAGTTCGTCAACGACTCAAAACTCAATATCAACCGCCGAACGCATGATGCTGGGGTCGTATTTTACAGCTCTGCAACCTCTGCTTCATGATTTTCGTCGACAATTGCTTGAAGATACAAGACGCGAAGAGAACATGTTTGTTGGCAGTTTCGAGTACCTTCCATTACTGTTACTATTTTCGGCTGTTTTCCTGTTCGGCTTTTCAATCCGCGGCATGGTGAAAGCTGTTCGACGCTGGGGTCTTCGACGCTGGGGTCTTCGACGCTGGGGTCTTCGACGCTGGGGTCTTCGACGCTGGGGTCTTCGACGCTGGGGTCTTCGACGCTGGGGTCTTCGACGCTGGGGTCTTCGACGCTGGGGTCTTCGACTACTGGGGTCTTCGACTACTGGAATGGTCTCAACCTCAGCCTCAGGGCGCAGCGCAGCCTCAGAACCCAGCGCCATCTCAAGTCACGACGCAGGGTCATAACTGACTACCAGCTCAGCTTCCAACGCTGTCCTAAGGCTCACTCTGATCTGGAGGTGCACTGCCAACACAATTATGGTGTGTGGGTTGGGAGCTGCGAGTGGAAGTACAAGGTCTGCAGAGTTGATAGAGTGAGCTTATGTGAGCACCTGGGCGACGGGTTCTCGTGGGAATTCTGGTATCCAAGTTTCGTTCGTTATTCTTGTAATCATCAACGATGCTCTTCGAAGCCTGGGGTATATATATCACAATCCAAAGCATTCGCAACTCGGACTCTATCTTTCCAGCCGAATACTCACCGGGTTGATGCCCTAGTGTAATCTAGAACAATTTTCAAACTCCATCGCTATGCTCGTGAATCGAATGCCGGCTGTCTGAATGTGGAAAGGCGCAGTGTAGTACGGGAAGGGAAATGCAACAAGGACTCAGCCCCTGCGCAACAAGTAGATCGACCCTCCTATTACAATGCTGGAAGTAATTGCACCAGCTATCGTCCAAGGCTGGCTAGCCATGTAGTACCAGCTCTTGACCGCCGCCCCGGAAAGATGAATCGAGATGTCGTCCAGCAGCCCACCATCACCGCCAACACCGGCCGACGCAATCTCCTGGCCCTCCTTGGCCACCTCGCCGTCATCGATCTCAATCTCGTTTTCCTTCTTGGTCTCCTTCAGCGCATACTGAGAGTCCACGCGAAGATGCCGCGTGAACTTCTTCAGCGTCGCAAGTCCAACCTGCGACGTCGAGATGGACACCTCGACGCCCTCCTCGCTCGCACCATCGGTCGGCGAAACAAGCGGCGAGTCGTCCGTGTAGTAGCCTTCATCTGGGATGCGCAAGGTCTTCAGCGCATCCGTGGTCGTGGTGATAGTAAGAGGCGTATCCATCCCAACCCCATCCGGAGCGGCATCCATCTCCTCGACGACCTCTTCCTCCTCTTCCACCATCTCAACATTCGCCAACAACGACCCCTTAAACATTGCCGTCCACCTACAATCCGCACCCACACCGACCTTCCAATTCCCCCAGTGCTGGCTGTATTGTACCCGGCTCCACTCACACCCCACTCCATTATCCCACCCGCTCATCTCCACGTACGCAGGCAGGCCAGGCGCCTTCTGTGTCGCGCGCCACGCGAGCATCGCCTTGCCGCAGCGCCAGTCGGTGGTTTTGAGCGGCTTGGGGGTGTCGGAGTTTGGTGGGGAATCGGCCCATGGTGCGCTGGTAGAGAAGGTAGATGTGAAAGGCATTTCGTCTTCGTCGGCAGCGGGGAGTTGGAGGGGAGGAAGCGAGGATGGGAGAGGGGCGGAGGTATCGGCGGTAGCGAGCCAGGTGTCGAAGTCGAATTCGTCATCGTCGTCGTCGGCCCAGGTGGACTTGGGGATGGGAGTGGTTGGTGCGTATGTCATTGTTGGTGACATTTTGAGTATGGTCATTGTGTATGTGGGAGTTCGTATAGTATTGAGTCTGTAGAGTAGCTTGAAGTTGCAGTTGTATACACAAGTCAATTCTAGGAAGTGATTTATATCAATTGCAGAATCAGCAGTTTGAGATGTGCTAGATATTGGTGTGGGCACAGTGTGTTGTAAGACTTGGCGCGTTGCTCCGCTACTGGTTGCTATGCGGACTAACAATGTTTGAGGGTCGGGGAGTGAGCTAAGATTTTTATTCGGGGGCTTGTTTGAAATGAGGCAATTGTTGTGTGTTTACAGAGAACTTTTCAGTAAGTGAAAAGTCGAACGGTGGCTGGTCTTTCACCCTTGGCACCGGCCTCGGAGAAGGGTTTTCGATCTGGCAGACGGTATCAAAATACTTCACATCATCACTAAAATATTAGTGCTTCTGCAAATTAGTCATAGTTTTAATTTGCTGGTATACTAAGGAATTTAAAAGATGTCAAGAGATTGCGTCCACATGCTGAAGCTGAAGACCTACTCCAGATAGCAACTGTAAGCAAAATGGGCAATACCTCCACAGTAATTCCCTCTATATTAGAAGACACCCTCAAACACTGACAAATGGACTCCGAGAACCCAATGCCGCAGGAACGAACCCAACAAGCGTGCGAGTGAACATCTTCGTCGACTTGACCGCAGCCTGCACCTGACCCGACATCTTCTCTGCCTCGATCTTCATCTTCCCTAGCCATTTTGCACGTCTCGATGGCTTTTTATCAGAAAGATCACCTAATGGTGTAGGATTATATTCGGCCTCGGAATCAGCGTCGTCGAGGTGCTCGACAAAGTGGGCTGGACGACCTGCGGAAGCGGTTGTTGAGCTTGCATCTTCGACGTTGGTTGGCGAGATGACATTCACAGCTGAGGTGGTAGATTTCAATGGATGGTTGATGTTCGAGGCAACGTGCTCTGGTTCATCAGTGGCCATCCACGTGCCCAGCGCGCATAGTGAACCGTCGTCGTCGCGTACCCGTGAGCGCAAGGAGATAACAGACACCTGACACGTTAGTGATGCAGACCCGCAACGCTTATGCGCCGAGAGATTATTGTCGCCAGCTGAGCGTGGTCGACTGAGTTCCGCAGCCAAAACTTCATTGAGGCTGACAAAGCCGTCTCGAGACTTGTGCTGCTTAACGCTGAGGTCAAGAGCTTCGATCAAGTTTGAGTGATCGATATGAATCGCAGTTACGCTGGTACGAGATGACTTCGTCGTGGCCATAGAGCGCTTGGAGAAGATCGATGTACGGACAGACGACAAGTCACCCCATACGTCGTTCATGGATGCGTTGCGGATGTGAATGGTTCGCGTTGCGGGTGTAATGACAGAGTTATGCGACCAGTGGGTACTGCCGTAGTGAAATTCGCCGTTGGTCTCCTGTTCCTATGTGTGGTCAGCGCTGTGCAGACATGATGTGTTGACATTGTGTACCTTGATGCTCAAATCATCATCCTCTCAATTACCCTCAGTGGCATCGCCCGTAAGGCTGTCCGTAGTTTCTCCAACGAGGGGAACATACAACCCGACCGTGTAATCGAAGGGGCTACTAGATTCCTAAAAACAAAATCAGTACATCGAAACCAAGATACAACGACCATGACTTACAAGAGAAACCTCTTCTTCAGACTGTAAATCATCCTCATCCAGCTCATACAAGAAGCTCGACTCATCGTAGTGCTCGTCGTTCTCCAACTCCTCCTCGTCCTCGCACATGATCTCGTAACGCAGCATACTCCCACCATGCATCAATGCCCCAGCAGGAATGCCGCTCTCGCCCTTCTCCACGATCCACTCGCGATACCACGCTCCATCGCCAGTGGCATCATGTTCCGCCTCAAAGCGTCGGCGAAGCAGCTTGATCGCGGCAATCGCTGATTTACCATATGCAAGCTGCTCGTGCGTAGCGCAAGGGGAATGGCCAGGAAAGGTCGGATCGTAGCAGGGACTACAGGATGCGGGCTCGGGCGTATTGATGTATTTGTACCTCACCAAGGGTGGGCAATCTTCGTTGGCATCGGACTCAGTGTCAGAGTCTTCTTGGCTGGATTCTGATAGATCGGCGGCAGCGATGAGAGCTGCGAGTGAAGGACTGGGATGATGATCTGTGTATTGGGATACACGAGCGACCTCGGGGCTTGTGTCGTTGTCTGGCGAGGCGTTTGTGGGTGGTGACGAACGTGTCTTGGTAGGTATTGCCGGTGATTTTGTGGTCGATTGCTTCGAAGTGATACCAGATGGCGGAGTAATGTGTACTGATGTAGTGTCGATTCTATCCTCACCAGCCAGAAAGTCGGACACAGAAGCACCAGCGATTAGCGCAGCGAGAGACGTGCCCTTGTGGCTGCGCATAAGTCGCATCTTGCGAGCAGCCTCAGAGACACTGTCACTGTCTGCTTCATCATCACGAAAAAGTATCTCCAAGTCTTCCTTATTCACATCGTCGAGCACTGTCTCGCCAACCTCTTGAACCAAACCCTTGGTCTGAAGCAACTCATTCGTATAATACTGGCCTGGCCAAAGATCCTCCTTTGTCAGCAGCCACGCGAACTTCGTGCCCGTGGGGTTGATCAGCTCTTGTCCAAATTTATCGATGGCTTCACAGTGACCAAGGATGAAGTGTTGGATGTCGGCCTCGGTGGCTGGGCTTTGGGCGACCAAGGCGATGGCAGTGCCGCGAAAAGGCTCGACAAAAGCGGTGGGTGAATGCGTACGGGAGGCTTCTCGCTGAAAGTTCTTGCGAGAGGTTGGCCTAGGGATTTGCGACATGCTACGGGCGGGCGGAGGTATGTTGTTTGCCATGTGGAAGGGCAAGTCCTCTGGTGTGGTTAATCGAGGGAGATGAGACATATCTTTGGAGCCCATTGCTCTGATCTTGAGATGTAGGTTCTGTAGATATACTCCTGAATACTACCAGAGTAATTGACCTGAGCAACCGGAAGTGTGCACAGGTATAACGTCGATGTTGCAGTGCGGTGTAGTTCAAGACGAGAACAGGTGGTGGAAAAGTGTTGGAGAAGATGGAGCAACTAGTCTAAGTACTGCTTGATGTGATTGTCTCCCACTGTTACAATGTCGATATCGAAGTAAACAGCAACAGATTGCTGCCTTTATTTTTTGTGAATTCTTTCATAGGGGAGGCAGAATACTGAGTTTGGGCCATTTTGTATGAGCATCGGCCTAGCAACCACTCTATTTGTAGGGGTTGTCCACCTGGGCAAACAATCCTTTCATAAGGAACTAATCTACACACTCTCGCTCAGTATACCGAGTCGGTCATTAGGAAGGTACAAAGGCTGCTCAATGAGCGACCCGAAATACGATCTGGCCCATGGAATAGCATTCTATACTCGTGATTGTTAGTTTGATCTCTAAATGTCTTCCTAATTATATCATGGCTGAAACGAGAGGGTTGTGTTGGTGCAGCCGACGAGGGCTCAGACTAAAGCTTGTAAACGACGTGTGATACTATCATCGCAACTTCTTTCTTAACGCTGCCTTGGACATATTTGCTCACGTTCCCAGACTTTGAATGCGACGATGATCACATTAGCATAATTCTTAAGAGCAACAGTTCACCCTAAACACATGTCATACCAGGACGCCTCATGTCAAGTGTAGATTCGCAAGTCAGACACGTTGTATGGAAAGGGCCGCATTGAGGCTCAACACCATGACCACCGCTCCACATAGAGCAACAAAGCCAATGTTGGAATGGACCAATGACGAAGTTTTTGCCTGAACCTCCCCGTGCTCAATGCGTTTGGTTTCCGAAAAATGGTGTCGTTTCCCCACAATGATCTCATCAATACGCGCCTACGTCATCGCTCAAATTCATCCTCCCCTCTATTAAAACGCCAGGCACACGACACAACAACACACAATCAGCACTCAAGCAAAGTTAATTCACGAATACTTCCTTTACTTTACCCAAACCAACTCCACATCACAAACTCATCATGTCTGGAAACTCATCCGTCGGAAACTCGGCCGTCTACCAGGCTGACGACCAGCGCACCGTCAGCGACGCGACTATCGAAGAGCAGAAGAAGGAGAACCGCTTCCACGAGGGCAAGGACAACTCACACAAGGCCAACGACCCCAGTATGTTCATCCTGCGCTTTTCGTACATCCAAAACCTGCCTGCTCTTGTTTCCAATCTCCATCTACGCTCACCATCTTTCCAACTCGTAACACAAGCTAATGCAACAACAGAGGACGAGCGCTCCATCAAGAACAAGCTCGAGCGCGAAGAGAAGCGCGAGAACGAGGACGAGGACGTGTCTCTCGATGAGCAGCGCCGCCAGCAAGACGCCACTCTGCCCGCACGCGCACACGGCAACGAGCCCAGCAAGGGAGCGAAGATTGACCAGCAGATTCGGGAAGAAGAGGAGGCTGAGCTCAAGCGCAAGGGCAAGGCTTAGATACCCCACTGCACAAGTTTGTGAGCATCTAATGAGCATAAAAATAAGCTGAAGCTCAAGTAATGAAGTAAATTGAAGATCAACGCCAAATGACTCGTTTACCATGTGCGTGAAGATGGGATTTTCAATGTCGCTCTGTGAGGAATTGACTTTTTGCGAGATGACGCGACATTTCTCTCCACAGTCGCGTCAACGCCATGGTGGGGTAAGTTAGGTGCATGACTCGCGCCACCTCGGATTGCCTCGATAAGCAACCCCACGACCTTCACCCCTCCACTTCATGACTCCTCATCTGCCTCTGTAACTGACATATAAGAGCGCCAATTGCACTACTGCGACGTACATGCATCTTCCCCGAGCTTTCTACCGCGCCACACACACCTCTCTCGCCTCTTCCATCCGACCCCGCATACCACCGTTCCCGCGTCTCATACGCCCCCAATCAGCGAGCATGTCGTCAAGCATGGCCCAACGCCTCAAGGGCAAGACGATTGTAATCACGGGCGCTTCGAGTGGAATTGGACGATCTACAGCCGTCGAATTCGCAAAGACGCAGCCAGACGATCTCAAGCTCATCCTCACTGCACGTCGGGAAGACACGCTCAAGGAAGTCGCCAAAGAAATTGAAAGTTTTGCCAAGGGCGTCAAGGTCCTGCCTGTGAAGCTGGATGTCAGCAATATATCCGAAGTTGAGGCTTTTGTTGGGAAGTTACCAGCGGAGTTCAAGGATGTGGATGTTCTGGTAAATAATGCGTGAGTTCCTCTCCTTCTCCTTCCAAGACCTCCAACGACCATCTGCTAACACATATTCAATTCCAGTGGCCTAGTCAAAGGCGTCGCCCAAGCCCCCTCCATCTCCCCCGCCGACATCAACACAATGTTCTCCACAAACGTCACCGGCCTAATCGCCATGACCCAAGCCATCCTGCCCATCCTCAAAGCCAAAGACGCCGGCGACATCATCAATATCGGTAGCATCGCCGGCCGCGAGCCCTACCAAGGCGGCTCCATCTACTGCGCAACAAAAGCCGCTGTCCGGTCCTTCACGGACGCCATGCGCCGCGAACTCATCGCCACGCGCGTCCGCGTCATCGAGATCGATCCGGGGCAGGTGGAGACGGAGTTTAGCGTCGTGCGGTTTGGCGGGGATAAGGACAAGGCGAAGAAGGTGTATGAGGGCGTGGAGCCGCTGACGCCCGAGGATATTGCCGAAATAGTGGTTTTTGCGGCGGGCAGAAGGGACAATGTCGTGCTCGCGGATACGCTGGTGTTTCCGAATCATCAGGTAAGTTGGGACTTTATGAGATGGTTGGGTGGTGGTGTGCTAATTTGGAGTAGGCGGCGGCGACAGTTATGCACAGGAAGACGCAGTGACTTCAAGAAAAGGGCAAGTTGTAGATATCGGATGGTAAATGGACAATTCTACGCCAAGGCAAGAATAAGCGATTTCATTGTCAATTTCCACTTCTGTCTCTTGCTTCATCTCAGAACTCCAAATCCGCAACATCAAACCCTACCAAATCATCATTCCCCTCAATTTCCCACCCCAATCCCTCCAAGAATGCTATCACTTCCGCCTTCACCTGCTCTGCATTCTCAAATCCCCCGTTCCAGCACTTGCGAACAATCTCGCCCATATGCTCCGTCTCCAAAACCGGCCACCTCTTACTCAGAATCAAGTTTGTAATCTCCCTTCCCCGCAGCCCTGAGTGATCCCCCGGCCAAGCTCCGGTCATGAGTTCATACACCACACATCCATACAAGAACAAGTCAGTCTGAAAACTCGGCTCGCGCTGATACTTCAGCGGATGAAAACTCTGGCCGCTAAGCGACTCGCCACGATACAAGCGGCCATACGCAACATTCCACTTGAACGTTGCGTCCAAGAAGCCGACGAGCGAAAGCGAGAGGTGCGAGTCTGCGGACAGCCAGCAGTTCAGAAGGCCAAAGTCGCTGAGGATGATTTCGTGGGAGTGGATGAACGACAATCCAGAGATGAAGTGCAGGGCCCATTGGTATATTAGGGGTCTATGGGAGGGCAGGACCCGACTCGATGCGGAATCTAGGGGGTGGGTATACATGACCTCTCTCGCCTCCTGCATGAACTTCTCCATACACGGGCCCGAAGGCTTCTCCAGCACGGGACACGCCGTCCACAAATCCCGGCGGATAAATCTACCCATCCCCATCACGTCAGCAAACATACAAAAGTCCCGGAACTAGATGAGTCGCCACTTACGGCACAACATGCGCATGCCCCTCCCCAATCTGCTCATACACGGCCGTCGTCTTCCAGCACCGATCTGCATTCAGCGTATCCATCCACACCGCGTCCGCATCTTCCCGGAGCTCAACGTCATCCTCGTCGTAGTACTCGGAGGGCAGCAGAACCACCGTGTCGGCGTCGAGTTGCTCCGCGTAAATATGGCCTAGGTCGGCGCCCCAGCCAGGCGCGTTGGGGTTGATGGGCGTGGGGCGTTTGGTGGTGGTGGTCGGGCGGATGCCCATGCGTTGGGCAGTTCGGGCCATGAGTTGTGAGGGATTTTACAGGAAGGGTACAAGGGATGCTGGGATACGAGATGCTGAATTGTTCACGAAGGGTATAAATATGTTTCTTCATCCAGGTTCAAGTCAAGTATCTCGCTTATTTTGCGGCGCGGGCGGCTTTTGCCTAGCCTGGAAATGGCGGGTTTTGGTCACGATACCAATAGCGGTGAGAGTTTTGATTGACCACAAGGTTGGATTAAGCTTTAGATATTGTACACTAACAACGCCTAAGCAAAGCTCCTCTTCCCCAACCACTTCTCCGTCAGATACAACGCCTCCTCGGGCTTGTCAAACGGCACCAAATGCCCTGCCCCATCCACGGTACCCATCGCAAAGGTCGTCTCCCTGCCGCTCGCTGTCTTGACCTTGACTTCCTTGAACCACCCAATCTCTTGTCCGTCTTCGAATCCCCAACTACGCTTTGATTGCGCAACGAAAGCTGGCTGACCCTTCCACTGCATCGAGTTCGCCCAGTTCAAGTTGCCCGCCGTGTTGCACGCGAGGTCGAGATTGCCTTGGTAGAACAAGACATCGATGCCGGCATCAAGTAGGTAGAGAACTTGTGGCTGCGTAGACACCGCGCCGTCGTTGGTCATGTCGAACGCCTCAGCAATGGCGTACGAATAAACGCTGTAGTTCCCCACGGCTTTAGGAACGCCCAGCGCTTCATAAACCCATGGTAAGTTCAGATACTCATTGATCCTGCCGATTTTGGGGTAGCAAAGATCGCCGCCGACTTCGCATGGACGCGTGATGTCAAATCTGTTGCGTCCGCCAGGAGCGCCGCCGGACTCGCCGTCGTAGTGCTCGATCACGCCTTCCCAGCAGATTTTGCTGGCGGCCTGGCAGATTTCAACGTCCGGGTGGTTGTAGCAGACTTTGGCGAGATTCATGCAGCGGGGTAGATGGGTGGCCATGATGTCGCAGCGTGTATGGTTGAAGATTGGCGCTTTGACGCCGGGGGTTGTTGAGCAGAGTGTCTCCCTGGACAGAAGTTAGCGAAGCGGTATTGGATTTGCCATGTGTTGCCAATACTTACCAATAGCCAAAAGCGGTGTCGAGAGGGGAGACATAGCCGTTGCCTACAAAGATGGATTGGAGATTGACTTGCGGTCTTTTGGGGTAAAGTAGGTTCTGGGAGACGATTTGCGCTCCCAGTGTTGGGACGTAGTGGCCCTGAGGATATCAGATTGGGTTGTTGATATGCAGAACAGTACTCACGGCATAGCTCTCGCCCGTGATATGAAAGTCTCGGCCTTTCAGGTCCGGGAAGATGTCAGTTGTAAACAGCTGCAAGAAATGATGCATATCCTCCGCAGCCGTAAAACTGTTCGACGGCAGCGGAATGTCCTTGTCAACGTAGCTGAATCCCACACCGGCCGGTTGGTCGACGTAGATGATGTTTGCGTTCTTGCTCCATCCGTATTCATTATGGACCGTGCCATTGGCATTCTTATTGATCAGACACGGCCCATTCTCTTGAAGCATGCCTATGAAACCGCTGCCTCCAGGACCGCCGGTAAGCCATAGCAGCAAAGGATCCTCAGATGGCTTGTTTTGCGACTCAAAGTACCAGAAGAAAATGTGCTTGTTGCCAACGTCTAGCCAGCCGGTGTACTGCTTCGATCGTGCATCACAGAGCGTGTCGTTCTGCTGCTGCCTGATGCGAATGGAGTGCTCCTCAGAGAATTGACTTTGGTAGATCGAGAAGCCCTCAACTTCCGGGGTCTGTTGGAATGGAATTTGAGAGTACTCAATTGCGAGCGCACTCGCTGCGAACAATGATGCTATGGCAAACTTCATGGCCGGATAGTCGTGTGAGGTCAATTGAGTTCAGATGGAACGCTGGCGATAGTTGTACAAAGTCAATGGAGTTGGGATGGGACAATGGCGGTACTTAAAGACGCGAGACTGGCAGCACGACGTCGGAATTAACTTGTGTCCGAGGGCGCAATGACTTCTAGTAGGGATGGCAAAGGGCGTCTAGCGTTGTCAGCACCATGGTGGTCCAAACATCCTTCCGCTTAAAGTAAGCTAAGCTTTCGGATGTGGTAAGCCGCGCGGGGACGCTGCCGTCGATGCGCGGACCCACAATGAACGCGTCTAAATGATGTCTAATAGGGCTGCAGCACTTTGACCACCCTCAACACCATGCACGACAGCCGCGATACTTCTTGATCACATACGCGACTTGACGTGTCACCTGACTCATCGCTTCAAGCCAGCTCAGGAACTACACTTTCCGGGACTAAGCAGACGCGCCTTTTGACCACACCTCAACCTTCACCACCCACTCACCCACTCACGCGCAAAGATGCCATACAACAACACCCCAATCGCGCCCTCCAAAGAAGTCACCGGCCATGTCTCCCTACCCCGTAAATCCCCCATCTCAATCCCCTTCCACCACCCACTAACCCCCTCCTAGTCGCGCGTGTCCAAAAAATCATACACGCAGACCCGGAGCGGCTCAATGTAACCAAAAACGCCGCCTTCGCCATCGCGCTCGCGACCGAGATGTTCATCCAGCACCTGGCGACCACCACACACAACGTCGTCAAGACGGAGCGCAAGCCGCGGCGCAACATCCAGTACCGCGACGTCAGCAGCGCGATTGCAAAGACGGATAATCTCGAGTTTGCGGTCGATGTTGTGCCCAAGACGATGCTTTGGAAGGAGGCGAAGAAGCGCAAGGAGGAGCGCGAGGAGAGGGAGAAAGTGGCGGAGGAGGGGAAGGGCAAGGGCAAGGGGAAAGAAGTTAATGGCAATGGCGATGCGAATGGGGATAGTGCAGATGGAGGGGCGGAGGAGAGTGGGCATGAGGCGAATGGGCATACCGAGGAGGCTGCGACAAATGGCGTTGGGGCGTCGGTATCGGCATCGCCTGTACCTGCGGCGAAACCAGACGCTGCGCCTGAAGCTATGGACGTCGATGAACGCGCCGAGGACAGCGAACCGGAGGAAGATGCCGCGGCTATGCAGCTGGAGATGGAGATGCGGGGACCACCAAGGCCGAAGACAGAGAGTCCAGAAGCAAAGACTGCGCCTGCGCCTGCGCCTGTGCCTGCGCCGGCACCGACTGTCACTACGAGGAGGTCCGCGGGCGGATTCACATCGATCAACGGGGCGCGGTAGACGATTTGGAGAGTTGCGACTGGGTTGGGAGTGCATTGCATTGCATCAGGAGTTTTGGACGATATCACACCAGAACAAAAATTTCTGAGTAGGAGAATTGAAGAACATGTTGCTCACACCCTCTAAGGGATTTCGTCGGAGTCAATGTCCGAAAGCGAACTACCTATTCCCCCTCCTATCCTCCAACTCCATCCCCCTCCCCGCACCATCCTCCTCATCCTCCCCAACATCAAACGTCTCCTCTCCCACCCTCTCCCTCTCTTCCCTCACCGGACTCCTTAACCTAACATCCCCCCCAACCCTCATCCCCACCTTGCCAAACACCCCATCTACCCACCCAGCCACATTCTTCAAATACCCAAACAACCTCTCCATACCTGCCTCATCCGCGCTGCCCCCACCACCCGCATGTCCCGCCTCGACCTTGAACTGGTACTTGAGACAATCCTTGATGGTCACCAGGCCCGTCAGGCGGCCGCGGTACTCGATGAGAATGACTCTGGGGCCCATTTTTTTGAAGAGTTCCATGACGGTCTCGAGAGGGAGGCGCGGGTGTACGGTGAGCGGCGTGGGATCGATGTACCTGCTGAAATCAAGTTCGCTGGTCGAAGAAGACAGACTAGACGACGGAGATGTGAAGCAGCACTTGGTCCCCCCACCCACGCCCTCCTCCCGCGCCTTCTCCACCGCGTACCGCAGCTCCGTGCGGCCGATGTAGCCGAGCAGCATCTTCTCGTCGTCGACGATGGGGTAGCCCTGGTAGCTTTGATCGGCTGCGAGGATGCGGTCGAGGTGTTTGAGGGTCAGGCCGGAAGAGGCGAGCGAGATGACGTGCGTGGACATGCACTGCGAGACGGGCACGCCGAAGGTGTGGTCTTCCTTGGAGTCGAGGAAGGGGTAGCCGTTGAGGTAGATCATGCGGTCGGCGATGCCACCATGACCGAAGCGCTCCGAGATGAATTTTGTTACGCCGACGACGATCTGGAACTCTGTTAGCATACTATTTTGGGGTGTGGAAGATGGAAGGAGTGTTACCATAGTCGGTAGGATATATGTCAACGCGCCGGTGATTTCAAACATGATGACCACCACGGAAATGCTGATGTGCATGATTCCGCTCAGACTGGCTGCGGCGCCGAGGAAGGCGTACGTCCCGGGTGTGATGCATGGCCCGTCGGGCGAGCAGGCGTTGAAGAATGCGGAGCCGGGGAAGGACTCGTGAATGTGCTGGACGAAGATGCCCACCATGCGGCCAAAAGCCGCTCCAACGGCCATTGACGGCACGAAGATTCCCGCGGGGACTTTGCAGCCGAAGGATATTATGACGAGGAGCGTGCGGATTACGGTGGCAATGGCTAGGCTACCGATCATGTGCCATCTCTGGTCGCGATCACAGAGTTTGTCGTAGTCGTGGCCGGTCTTGCATTCTTGGAAGAGAATCTCCATGCTCTCTGTCATATCGATTCGCAAGAACATGTTGGGGTAGCAGATGATGGCCGTGATTACCGCCAGGGTAACTGCCTCGGTGATCGGATATGCTGCGAGGTACTTCTTGCGGAAGACTTGCATCTTTAGATTCCACTTCATGACGAACGCGCCATACAAGCCACCAAAGATGCCGATGATGAGGTAGAAGAGGATTTCGAAAAAGTGCCAGCCTTGGTCGTACTTCACCTGGAACATGACGAGTTGGCCGGTTCGAAAGGGGTTCATTGCCTACATGACTATCAGTACAAAGCACTTGTCCCACCAGAGTGCGTAGACTCACAGCAAGCACCGCAGTAGCCACCAACGCGCAAAAATAACTCCTCCAAAGCGTCTTAAGCGGGAAGTAATTACTCATCTCCTCGAGCGAAAACAGCACACCTCCAATCGGACTTCCAAACGCCACGCCCACGCCCGCCGCCGCACTCGCGCTCAATATCTCCCTTGTCTTCGCCGCATTGCGCCTATACTTGTCGAAAAACCTGCTAATCACATTCCCCGTGCAGACCGCATAATGCACACTTGGACCCTCCTTGCCCACACTCAACCCGCTCGCAATCGCCAACGGCAGCCCGATGCTCTTAATCCCCAACGTCGTCGCCCCAAGAAATCCCTTCATAACAAACCCCGCGATAATGCACTTCATCTCACTAATCCCACTCCCCGCCGCATACGGAGCGAAACTCTTCACCAGCCTTGCCGCCGTGAAACTAAACAGTGCCGCGAACCCAATGTACAGCACGTAACTAACCGGCCAGAAATCGCCGCCCCACGTCTTCCACTCCGCACATCCAGCCTCGCTGCCCCAGCAGCAGAAACTCTCGTTCAGGTAGAACGCCGTGGTGCAGTGTCCGAGCTTAATATCCGACAGCCATTCCGTCACGATATTGAGTATCGCAGCATTAAGCCCAATCGCAGCGCCAACCAGCGTGACTACAATCCACGCCTGGCCCGCATCATACGCCTCGGCCACGATCCTCCGCACGCGATTCCTCTTGCCCGTATCGCGGGATCCAAGCGCTCGCCGGTTGCGCCGCGCTTTGCGGCGCAATTGCTCGCGCGCGGCGTCTTGCACCCAGTCGATGGTGGTGAAATCCTCATAGCGCTTGATCTCGGCAATTTCCTCGACAATTACGTGGTCGGTGTGTGTGGCGTTGGCGACTTCGGGGTCATCAGGGGGGTCGAGGGAGGCGGAGGGGGTGCGCCGGCGCAGCGAGGGAGTGAAGGATGTTGAGCGGGTGGGGCGTGGGGTGGGCGAATTGCGCGCTCGGGAGCGCGAGGTGGACGGGCGAGTCATCGCATTGTTTGATTTCGGGGGAGCTCGCGGAGAGAGCTTGGGGTGGTGCTGTTTGGAGCTGCAGATGGCTGGATGAGAGCTATGGTGGAGGCTCGGAGGTCCGATGCGAGGTGAACGCGTGGTCTGTGCCTGAGAATTCGGGAAGACGACTTAGCTATCTTGAACCACAATAGCGGAGCGTACGTATCTTTTGTAGAGACAGGAGTATATCGAGGAGAGATCTATGAGATCTGGTAGCAATATGCATAGCTCCTGGCTCAAGAGTTTTCGACATTCGGAGTCCTGTCTTTGATTTATTTTCATCCACGACATGTGTCGACTAAAACGGGAGAAAAATGATTGCACTTCTTCGCGCAAAGGAATTCGAATGAAACTTTCAAAACCTGATGTGCAGTACAGTAGGTACATGATGAGCCACTTTTTAGAGCAAATTCTCAACACAGCACAACATTGTGGTAGCACCTCATCCGGCAGCACTTTGTCCTAATTGTAAATGCTTGTATTGTGACACGTATGTCATGCAGGGTATCATCAAAGTCTATCGTCTATTTCATGTGCACATCCAACCGCATCGTTTTGTGTGATCTATCACCATATCCACAGTACCAAATCCAAACCGCCTGTACACCGAATACATGTGTAAGGTCTACTCCATCTCGATCGTGCCAGGAGGCTTACTAGTAACTGCACGAGAATTAGAACATGTACGTTTGATAAGTGAAGGATCGGAAACTTACTGTCATAAACCACCCTGCAAACTCCATTAACCTCATTCACAATTCTCCTGCTGACCCTCTTCAAGAACTCGCCATCAAATGGATACCAATCCGCAGTCATGAAATCAGTAGTCTCAACCGCCCTCAGAGCAATAACCTGGTCGTGCACGCGCTTGTCACCCATAACACCAACTGCCTTGACGGGCAACAGCGCCGCAAACGCCTGACTAATGTTTCGGTACAGACCCGCGGCCTTGATCTCCTCGATGAAGATGTAGTCGGCTTCACGAGCGATGCGGACCTGCTCGCGAGTGACTTCTCCGAGAATACGGATGGCGATGCCTGGGCCGGGGAAGGGGTGGCGCCACACAAGGTCCTCTGGAATACCGAGCTCGACACCGAGGGCGCGGACCTCGTCCTTGAAGAGCTCGCGGAGAGGCTCGATGAGCTTGAGGTTCATGTTGGCTGGCAGACCACCGACATTGTGGTGGGTCTTGATAGTTTGCGAAGGACCCTTGAAGGACAACGACTCGATGACATCTGGGTACAGAGTTCCTTGGAGCAACCACTCAATTTCACCAGCATTGCTGGAGTTTTTAGCCGCAGCCGCAATCTCCTTGGCCTTTTCCTGGAAGATCTCAATGAAGGTGTTGCCGATGACCTTGCGCTTCTGCTCTGGGTTATCGGTGATGCCCTTGAGCCGGTCGAGGAACATGTCGGACGCGTCGATGACTGTGAGGTTGATGCCGAGGCCCTTCTCGAGTGTCTCCTTGACCTGCTTGGCCTCGTTGAGGCGGAGCACACCATTGTCGACCATGACGGCGTGGAAGCGGTCGCCAATGGCCTCCTTCATCAGCTTGGCTGCGACAGTGGAGTCGACACCACCGCTGACGGCGCCGATGACTTGTCCCTTCTCGCCAACCAACTTCCTGATGCGCGTAATCTCCTGGTCGACAAACTTGCCCATGGTCCAGTCCGTCGTCGACTGGCAAATGTCGACAGCAAAGTTCTTGAGCACAGTCTTGCCCATCTTCGTGTGCGTCACCTCTGGGTGGAACTGGATACCGTAATACTTCTTCTCCTTGTGCGCAATGCCCGCAAATGGCGCATTCGTAGTCGTCGCAACCGTGGTGAAATTCTCAGGCATGTTGGAGAGCTTGTCGCCGTGACTCATCCACACCTCGAGCTCATTGCCCACGTCCTTGAACAGCTCGTCCATGTGTCCGCCATGGCTCTCAACCTTCAGGTTGGCGTGTCCGTATTCCCTCTTCTCGCCAGCAGCAACACCGGCATTCTTGCCAAAGTGCCATGCCATCTCTTGCAGACCATAGCATATTCCGAGAATTGGTACGCCGAGGTCGAAGACTGCGTGATCGACGTGTGGTGCGCCCTCTTCGTAGACAGAGTACGGGCCACCGGAAAGGATGATACCTTTGGGTGTGAAAGGAAGGTCGGCAAGCTTGGTGTTGCATGGAAGCATCTCTGAGTAGACATTGAGCTCGCGAAGTCGTCGTGTGATGAGATGAGTGTATTGCGAGCCAAAGTCGAGCACGAGGATAGTGTCGAACGTCTTGTGAGGAGGAATGGGGTCTGAGCCGTCGGTCGCCATCTTGAAGTATGTGTCTCCTCGCGGGTCAATTGAAGGGTGAAAGAGAGTTTTAAGGAAAAGAAGTGAGAGTATGGTGGGGGAAAGAGTCCGTGAGTCGGCCTGACTGACAGAAAAATTAGTGGGGTTGCTAACGTATCGATAAGAAAAGTAGGAAGGCGCGACGCGACTTTTACTACTCCAGACGACACTACTACAACATCAGTAACAATGGCGAAACGAAAGTCAATAGCAGATCCTGAACAGCTCCCAGATGCTGCAGACAAGAGCAGGCAGCAAAATGACGACGACTCTGGCAGCGACGAGGTATGCGACAATTTGACCTCCCCGCTATGCGACATGCGCTCACACTCTGCAGGACATGGACATGGTCAACGTCGACTTCGAATGGTTCGACCCGCAACCCGCCGTAGACTTCCACGGCCTCAAAACCCTCCTGCGCCAACTCCTCGACGTCGACGCGCAACTCTTCGACCTGAGTGAACTCACAGACCTCATCCTCTCCCAGCCCACCCTCGGCAGCACCGTGAAAGTCGACGGCAACGAGACAGACCCCTACGCTTTCCTCACCGTCCTGAATCTGCAAACACACAAGGTGCGCTACTCCCTTACCTCCACGACCTATCCAAACTAACAGCCCCCACAGGAGAAAAAAGTAATCCAAGACCTAACATCCTACCTAGTCAAAAAATCATCCTCCATCCCTTCTCTCCCCGCCCTCCTCGACCCCTCCACACCCTCCTCCCAAATCGGCCTCATTCTCACCGAGCGCTTCATAAACATGCCTCACGAAATCGTGCCCCCAATGTACACCATGCTGCTCGAAGAAATCACCTGGGCGCTGCAAGAATCCGAGCCGTATAATTTCACACACTATTTGGTGTTGTCCAAGTGCTATGAGGAGATCCAGAGCGCATTGACGGGCGAGGATGGGCCGCGGGGCAAGAAGGCGAAGAAGGGCGAGGGCGAGACTTTCTACTTTCACCCGGAGGATGAGGTGTTGCATAAACATGCCGTGGGGCATGTGAGCTTCGAGTATGACACGCCCGTGGATGAGGGGGCGAGTGATGCGAAGAGGGCGTTTCAGGAGTTGGGGGTGAAGCCGAAGGGGCATTTGGTGCTGATTGAGGCGGGGAAGTTTGAGGCGGCGGTGGAGGGTGTCAAGACATTCTTGGGTGGGCAATAAATGCGCCCAGAATCTGTTGCTTGGAAGCTGTAGATGGTCGATAGATGTCACGAAATGAAGGATGACTCTAACTGGTGTTACATTTGCTACTGCACACATCTATCAAGTCTCAAAAGCAATCAAACCATAGGAAAAAGATGCATAAGATTTCGCTCTCTCCACCTATTCACACTCCCTTCTCTCTTCATCACTCCATCTAACCAATGACGACCTTGCCCTCCTCAGGGAAGTCGTATGCCGGAATCTCCAAGTTGAGTGGCGCCGGTCCCTTTCTTATGCGGCCAGAGATGTCGTAGTGGGAACCGTGGCACGGGCAGAACCAGCCTCCAAAGTCACCAGCCTCGCCAATGGGCACGCATCCCAAATGTGTGCAGACACCCAACATGATGAGCCATTCGGGCTTCTGGACGCGGTCCTTGTCGGACTGGGGGTCGCGCAGGGATTCCCACTTGGTGTCTTCGGCTTCCTTGATTTCGTCCTCGGTGCGGTGGCGGATGAAGACGGGCTTGCCTCGCCATTTGATAATGACCTGGTGGTGTGTTAGTTGTGGGGTGGGAGATGGGGTCGAATTGACGTACATTCTTGCCCTCGGGGATGGCGGCGAGATCGATTTCGACCTTGGCTTGGGCGAGGACGTCGGCGGAGGCGGACATGTTGACGAGGAAGTCTGTAGGGGGGCTAGTTAGCGGGTGTCCTCCATCAATTGCAAAGCCCATATCATCCGCAAAACAGCCAATGGCACTCCCAGAGCCCCAAAGGACCCTCCTCTCGCGGGGTTCCTCCTTTCAAGTTCCACAAGCTGTGTTCTCCTCTCGGGGTGGCTTACCCTGTACAGTCGCCTTCGCGCCAAGCGCAGACAGCGCACCCATGGTTCCAACCATGAAGTACTGGAAGACCTTGGGACCAGTCTCATCGCCCTTGTTCCTGTATGCCGCAAACGACGGGATCTTGGTGGTGTCGGCGGAGCCCTTGAAGGGGCTGTCAAAGGACGAAGCCGAGGCGTTGCGGGTCTGCAGCGCGGTGCAGCCGGCCCTGGCGACAGGCAATTGGTGGGCGGTCCATGAGCGTGCGATCGCACGGGTGGTGTTGGCGAGGGCGGGCATCGTGGACGCGGATGCGGGTGTTGTGCGAGATGGATGGAGCTGTGGGCGAGGTTCGTCGTCGGAATCGAAGATTTGGGCAAGAGCGCGGGCCGCACGACTGATTGTTACGAGAACGTGTGGTCTCATTGGTCGGCGGATCTCGGGTGGCCTTTTGGCAGAACATCAAGGGGCAGCGTCATCATCTGAACATCATCATCAACATCGCAATGCCCTCTCACAACCATTTCACCTCATTGCCGATTTGCTCGTCGAGTTCAGTACCTGGAAAAGATTCTCATCGTAATTTGTAGAGACATGACTGTCGCCAAACAATCACGCTATGCAGCTGCTTGCCCTTTGAGAGAGCTGGATTGTACGAGAGCGTAGAATAATTACTGCTGCTAACAGACATCTCCGATCCGTTAAACAGTCTTGAGCCCTTTTTCAGTGGTCCAAGAGCGCATTTCGTTCGGGCACCTAGGTATCAGTAACTAAGTGACGTTGTCTTGGCGCTTGCCTGTCTGGCGCTGCTTCATGCCGCCAACACCTACAGGAACAACTATCACTCGGCACCTCGATCGTGTTACAAGTTGAATTCATTCCTGGTAGGTGCGGGATCAGTGCGGCAAGCGCGCTTTTGGAGCTGTACGCCTACGTTCACCTTGTGCGCTACGCACCCAGCACCAGCAACATCTCTTTACTGGACCGCGAAGTTCCCTTACTCCACAACATTGTCGCGAATTTGCTTCATTCTGGTACCATGTCTTCGAGCCCTGACGCAAACGTCAAATCCTACTTCCAGCCGACGGGGAAGTTCAAGGGCAAGAGGAAGACAGAAACCGACACATCAAGCGTGAGCAAGCCAGAGTCTGCTGCATCACGGGTTGCAACACAATCGCAGACCAAAGTGAGCTATAAGCGGGTACTCTCTACCTCACCTCCAGCACCTGCACCCAAGAAGCGCAACACGGATACTGTCCGTGACGCCAAGCAGCACAATCATCTGGCCTATAACGACCTTTCCAAAGACTGGATGGATGCTCAGTCTACGAAAGACCAAGGCCCCGAAGGTGCTGACGCAGGAACACTATCCTTTACTTACCACATCGGTGACATGTTCGAAGACGCACCCGAAAACTGTCTACTAATCCACGCCTGCAACTCTCAAGGCCATTGGGGCGCCGGCATAGCCAAAGCATTCAAACAGAAGTACCCAAAAGCTTACACTGCACACAATAAGTTTTGCGCCAAGGAACACAGCAAAACACAGCCAGTGCCAACTGGATCAGCACAGCTACTCGCACCGGTTGATAGTGGCTCTCAGCACTGGATTGGTTGTCTGTTCACGAGTGCCAAATACGGGAAGGCGAAGGACAAGCCGGATGCCATCGTCAAGAACACCACTGCGTCCATGAGTATGTTACTGGAGCTGGTGAGGATGGCAGATGGTGAAGTCAGTGAGATCAGAATGTGCAAGATTAATAGCGGGAAGTTTGGCGTGCCTTGGGAGAAGACGGAAGAGGCCTTGAAGAGCATCATATTGCAAGAGGGATGGCGAGAGAAGATTGAGATATGGGAGCCGTGAGCCGGGTCATGTGTGGACTGCTCCCAAGCTGCGCCAGATTGGTCTGAGACAGTAGCTGCATCTTATGATAATATTGTATCAGCCTCAACTAATGCTGCTCATCGAAATCACGACATGTTTGCTTGTCTCTAGTCCGAGCCTTCGTGGCGTTGCAATCACTAAAGTATACGTCGACATGTCTGAGCTCACAGCCTTGCGTAGATGAGACGGATTGACAGGGTCTCAACCGAACGTCTGTGGAAGCGAGATGACAACCACGTGTCTACCGAAGCGGTCGCAAATCGCACCGTCCTCCGCTGAAACCTGTAACATCTGTCAACTGCAAGTCAACAAACACCACTAACGTCGAAAATCCCCGCAAACGCGTCAACAAGACGGGCATCAGCTTGCGCACGTTGTGTAAGCGTTTGTGCCTGTTTCAAAGCCGGCGCACCAATCACATCGCATTCCAGCCGATCCCCTGCGGTAGTGCCAAGTGCGGGAGTGAGCCAGTCGGGTAAGGCGTGCACATGCCGCGTCGACGCGACTCAAGCTCCGTAGTCAACTTTCGCAGTCTGGAGAGACAAGTCATCGCCATCACCGCCGTGCGCCTCCTACGATCCTTACACCATAGTACATAATACCCGGCCATCCATCCTGTTTCTGCCATCACCGGAAACAAGGAATCACATGTCTCCGCGCCGATAAACCCACTCAACGAACAACATGGAGGGACCGCTGGCCCCAGGGGCGGCCAACGGCAGCATACGCACGCCCAGTCCCACACCACCCGCATTCGACCCCAATACGATTGTCGAGCACCTGGAAAAGGTCCTTGACATCAGTTTGGGCGCCACACCCCAAGATCTTTATGCTCCAGGCAGTCTGCTCCACTCCGCCCGGAAAGAAGATACCCTGCAGCGATGCTCGCGCTTTGCTTCCGAGGGGCAGCAGGCGCTGTACCTTGCGAAGAACATCGTCGAGGAGCCCCGCATCGACGCAACTGATGGAACCAATGGCAAGTGTCATCTCAAAGTGGAAGGCACGATAGACTAACAATATCCCCAGGCGTCACTGAGCACTACACCTACACCATTGCGTCCGAGCTCACTGCTTCCCGTACCTGCGCCGCCTTTGTTGTTATTTCGAAGCGATCGATACCCTTAGACCCAGCGATACCCCTTAACGCGCAAGTTCATATTTCGACACTTCCCGGTTACACATTTTCTAATAATGCCGCTTCGCAAGATGGCACTCCCTACGAGTTTCTTCAGTCCCATATTCAGTCTACGGTTGAGCCGTATTTCGACAATTACACCAAGAGCCAGCGCACCTCGACTTCGGCTTACAGCAAAGGAGATAATGATGCTAGGACGGGCATTTCGGCAGCAAAGAAGAAGATGGCTGAGTTGGCGCTGAGCTTCAGTCATCTACAACAGAACGCAGAAATCCCGGAGCTTCTGCTTCCCTTGCACCCTCTCATTCAGAGTGCCCTTGAGGATGCTGAGCACAAGAACAACAAGCCGTCTCCCGACCAGATCCCACCCGCCATTCTACAAGACAGCAGCTTTCTGAATGGCCTGCAAGCCACTGTCAACGGCTGGATCAAGTCGATCCAAACCATCACCAAGACCTCGCGCGATGTGTCGACAGGAACAGCCGGACAGGAGATCAACTTTTGGCTTTCCATGGAGAACAGGCTGCAGGATATCGAGAGGCAGCTTGGCAGTCCCGGTGTCAGGCTGACTCTGGATGTGTTGAAGAACGCAAAGCGCTTCCAGGCCACAGTGAGCTTCAGCGCTGACACTGGCCTGAAAGAGAGCACGGACTTGGTGCAGAAGTACAACCAGCTGATGCGCGACTTTCCGCTGGACCATCTGCTATCTGCTACATCTCTACAAGCTGTGCAGGAAGCCGTCAACTCCATCTTCGGCCATATGAACAAGAAGCTCCGCATCTGTCCATACCCCGTTCGCCGCGCGCTCCCTCTCGTAGAGGCCATCTCTGGCGATCTCAATGTTCAGATCCACAAGCTACTCCATGGCAAGACGCTCATGCACATGGACTACCCCGAGTTTCAGGCGATCATGGAAGTAGCAGAGAGCATTTGGCGGAGCTGGGAAGAGAACGTCAAGGAGTTCACCAACGTTGCTCGCGAGGTGACCAGGCGCAGGAACGAGAAGTTCATCCCCATCAAGATCGCAGCAAAGCACAAGGAGACCGAGGAGCGCATCCGATACATCGCCACATTCCGCAAGAACCACGAGCAGCTTCAGCGCACCATTGTCCAACGTACTCGGCTCACAGTCGTCGTTGTCTGACAGCTCGCAAGGCAAAGGAGACTGTCATCATCGAGGAGATTGGCGACGTTGATGCTGTCAAGGAAGTCAAGGAAGCCTATGACGTTCTCAAGGATGTCGACGTGCTCGATGTTTCTGCAGAGGGTACGAGGCTGTTTGAGCAGGCTGAGCAGAAGTACAACGAGCGCACCTCGCGTGTCGAGAACTCGATCATTGCGAGACTCCGAGATCGTCTGGGAACTGCCAAGACCGCCAGCGAGATGTTCCGCGTCTTCTCCAAATTCAACCCGCTCTTCGTGCGGCCCAAGATCCGAGGAGCTATCTCTGAGTACCAGTCTCAGCTCATAGAGAATGTCAAGCAGGACATTTCGGCTCTCCACGAGCGCTTCAAGCGCCAATACGGCAACTCGGAGGCGCACGCGATGGCGCAACTTCGCGATTTCCCTCCCGTGTCCGGCGCGGTCATATGGGCTCGCCAAATCGAAACCCAGCTCGAAAACTACATGGGCAAGGTTGAAGACATTCTGGGCAAGGACTGGGCGCTTCACTCTGAGGGTCAGAAAACTCCAAGCTGAGAGCAGCATGTTCAAGAAGAAGCTCGACACCCGTCCCATCTTCGAGTCGTGGCTGCAAGAAGTCGCGCGAAGGAAGCTCTCCATTTCCGGACGCCTTTTCCTTGTCAGCAAAAACCGTGCTGCAGGCAACATTCTTGAACTGAATGTCAATTTCGATGGACAAGTCATCGCACTCTTCAAGGAGGTTCGTAACTTGACATGGCGCGGATACCAAGTTCCTCACGGCATCAACAATATCTCGAAAGAAGCCAAGCGTGTGTACCCATACGCCGTCAGCCTAATGGAGAGCGTACGCACCTACACCCAAACCGTGCGCTCAATCTCAGAGATGGCTGGTGTAGCTTTACTGCTGAACAACTATGTCAATGACGTACAAGCGCTTGTTGGCAAGGGTGTGCCGCTGAAGTGGGAGTCCTTCGTACACGCATACGACTTGCATGTGCGCCAGTCCGGTTTCCCCGCTGGAGCTGGAAGTGTTCGTAGCGAGAGCAAGCATGTTCAATTCGTGCGCGACTTTGGCGCTGCAACCTCGCTGCTTCAGACCAAGGTTGCTGGACTTGTCACCATCAACTCGACCATTGAGAAAGCTCTCAAGGACCTGGAGACATGCCCGTATAGCAAGGACGCCTTTCAACGTAACCTCGAGACGATTCAGAAACAGATCGATCAGCTGAACTTGGAGAACTATGCCAATCTTGCCACATGGGTCGCCGAGATGAATGCACGCATCGAAGCTATCCTGCTTACACGTCTGAGCCGCGCGATCACACTCTGGATTGAGGTGTTCACTAATGTTGACGATGAAGAGGACTCAAGACGACCCGTCAGCCAACCTGCTCCTGCCGAGGTCTCCGAAGTGAAGCCTACACTGTCTCGATTGACTCTCGAGATCACCATGCGCAATCAGGTCATCTACCTCAGCCCGCCTGTTGAGTATGCTCGAGCAAGCTGGCTTGAGCAGTTGCAGCAATGGCTCGCAGTTATCTGCACTCTTCAAAAGATCAAGGCTTCACGTTACGAGATCCGACTTGAAGCTAGCGACGACGCATCACTTAACCAGTTCTCTGACCTCCCAAGCCGCTGCACCGCTTCTCTGATAGAAGTGTATGGCGCAGTCGAGGGCAAGCTACGAGACATCTCTTCATATGTGGATGAGTGGCTGCAATTCCAATCATTGTGGGACCTGCAATCCGAGCATGTCTACGACATCCTGGGTGAAGATCTCTCGAGATGGCTCCAACTACTCCAAGAGATCCGCAAAACCCGCGCCACCTTCGACAACTCCGATATCAGCCGCCGATTCGGTTATGTTACTGTCGACTATGATCAAGTTCAGGTCAAGGTCAACGCCAAATACGACCAGTGGCAGCAAGAAATCCTGACCAAATTTGCCACCAGACTCGGACAGCGCATGGCTGATGTCTATGTCCAAATCGAGAAGGCACGTAAGGATCTCGAAGTACAGACCTTGGAAGCCTCGTCTACCGCGCAAGCAGTATCGTTCATCACCACTGTCCAACAATGCAAGAGGAAGGTCATGGAATGGGAACCGGAGATTGTCACTTTCCGTCAAGGCCAGGCGACATTGGCTCGTCAGCGCTACCAATTCCCCTCGGACTGGCTGCAAATGGACCAGATTGACCACGAGTGGCAGACCCTTACTGAGGTGCTCGAGCGCAAGACCAAGATTGCCAACGATCAGGCCGATGCACTACGAGCAAAGATTGCTGCGGAGGACAAGGTCGTCAACCAGAAGATCGCGGACATCACAGCCGAATGGACCGAGGACAAGCCCGTCGCTGGCAACCTTCCACCGGAAGAGGCGTCACAGATTCTTGCGAGGTTCGACCAGAAGCTGAGCCAACTGCAAACCGAATCTGGAAACATTTCGAAGGCTAAGGAGGCTCTCGGCTTACCGCCATCTCCCGAGAACACTCTTGAAACACTGCTTGAGGAAGTTCAAGACTTCAAGGGTGTATGGTCAGCTCTTGGCATAATTTGGAAGAGTGTCAACGATCTCCGAGAAGTCCTCTGGAGCAGCATCCAGCCCCGCAAGCTGCGCCAAAACATCGACAACCTCCTGAAGATGACCAAGGATATGCCCAGCCGCATGCGACAATACCAGGCCTTCGAGTATGTTCAGAGCACGTTGAAACAGCTTCTGAAAGACAACGTTGTTCTCGCCGAGCTTCGATCTGATGCTGTGCGTGAGCGACATTGGTCTAAGATCTTCAAGCAGTTGAAGCCGCAGAAGCGATACTCTGCCATCTCCATGACCCTAGGCGACGTGTGGGACCTTAAGCTCGGTCCGAGTGAGAAGATCATCCGGGATGTCATTACTCAAGCGCAGGGCGAGATGGCTCTCGAAGAATTCCTTAAGCAGGTCCGCGAGACATGGCAGAACTACGCCCTGGAATTGGTCAACTACCAGAACAAGTGCCGCCTCATCCGTGGTTGGGACGACCTTTTCGCAAAGTGCAGCGAGAACCTCAACTCCCTGCAGGCTATGCGGCATTCGCCCTACTACAAGGAGTTTGAAGAGGAAGCCTCATCCTGGGAGGACAAGTTGAACCGTGTTCACGTCCTTTTCGATGTCTGGATCGATGTACAGCGTCAATGGGTATACCTTGAGGGTGTATTCACTGGTAACGCAGACATCAAACATCTTCTGCCCATGGAGTCCGCTCGTTTCCAGAACATCAACTCAGAGTTCTTGTCTGTCATGAAGAAGGTCTCCCGAACGCCATTCGTGCTCGAGGTTCTCAACATAACCGGCGTACAGAAGTCTCTAGAGCGTCTCGCCGAGCTGCTCAACAAGATCCAGAAAGCTCTTGGCGAGTATCTTGAGCGCGAACGTGTCTCCTTCCCTCGTTTCTACTTTGTCGGTGATGAAGACTTGCTGGAAATTATTGGCAACAGCAACGACGTCATGCGCATTGCCAAGCATCTTCGAAAGATGTTTGCTGGTATCTCAGGGCTGATCACTGACGAGGACGGTGTCATCAAAGGCTTCACTTCCAAGGAAGGCGAAGAGGTCACCCTACGCAAGGACATATCGCTCATCAAGACTCCGCGAATCAACGAATGGCTCGGGGCACTCGAGCTCAATATGAAGACAACGCTGGCTGAGCTGGCTTACGAGGCTTACGAAGAGTTTGCTGAAATTGTTTCGGACGACGAGATAGACGCACAGCGCTTCGATGGCTATCTCAGGAAGTACCCCGCCCAGGTGGTTGTCCTTGGTACACAGATGGCTTGGACTGCTGTTGTCGAGAAGTCACTCGTGGAAGAGGGCAGCTCGCTACCCCAACTATACGAGAAGCAAGTCAAGCTGCTGCAGCTCCTCGCCACTGTCGTCCTGGGTGATCTCGAGCCCATCCAGCGCAGGAAGTACGAGGATCTCATTACTGAATTCGTCCATCAGCGCGATGTCATTCACAAGTTGCACAAAGTTGGTGCGCGCTCACCGACTCACCACATGTGGCTTCTTTGTATGCGCTATGTATACGAACCCAACAACGACCTGTTGCTGCGTCTCAAGATCAAGATGGCCAATGCAACTCTCGACTACGGATTTGAATACTTGGGTGTCCCAGACCGCCTGGTCCGTACGCCACTTACCGATCGCTGCTTTCTTACTCTCACCCAAGCGCTTTGCCAGCGTCTTGGTGGATCACCTTATGGACCTGCCGGTACAGGAAAGACTGAGTCGGTGAAGGCACTCGGTGTGCAACTTGGTCGCTTTACTCTCGTCTTCTGCTGTGACGACACGTTTGATTTCCAAGCCATGGGTCGCATCTTCCTTGGTATCTGTCAGGTTGGTGCATGGGGTTGCTTCGACGAGTTCAATCGTCTTGAAGAGCGCATCCTCTCAGCCGTATCACAACAAATTCAGAACATTCAGCTTGGCCTGAAGAAGGGCGCTGAGGACGACAAGTCTCAGATCGAGCTCATCGGACGTCAACTCAAGGTCAACGGTAACACTGGAGTATTCATTACCATGAATCCTGGCTATGCTGGACGTTCAAACTTGCCCGACAATCTCAAGAAGCTGTTCCGAAGCGTTGCTATGTCCAAACCGGACAAGGAGCTCATTGCCGAAGTCATGCTTTACTCCCAGGGTTTCACGCAAGCGAAGGAACTTTCGAAACAGGTTGTACCATTCTTCGACAAGTGTGCCGCTGGTCTTTCCAAGCAAGCTCATTATGACTTTGGCTTGCGTGCGCTTAAGAGTGTTCTCGTTAGTTCCGGTGGACTCAAACGTGCGCGCATCGCTATCCAGGAAGAATCGCAAACACCAGATGAAGCTGTCATGGAGCCTCAGATCATCATCCAGAGTCTGCGCGAGACTATGGCTCCTAAGTTGATCCGCTCGGATGTCGAGATCATGAAGACTATCCAGGAAGACTCGTTCCCGGGTGTTGAGTACATCCCTGCACCTCTAGACAAGCTGAGCGAAGCTATTCGCAAGTGTGCCGCAGAATCTAAGCTTGTTGTTAGCGAGGGCTGGATGACCAAGATCTTGCAACTCTACCAGATTCAGAACCTGCACCACGGTGTCATGATGGTCGGCTCCTCAGGTTCCGGAAAGTCTGCGGCTTGGCGAACCCTTCTATCCGCATTGCAAGCGGTAGAAGGTGTTGAAGGCGTTTGTCACGTCATCGATCCTAAAGTCATGAGCAAGGAGCAGCTATACGGAACATTGGACAGCACAACTCGAGAGTGGACCGACGGTCTGTTCACCAGTATCCTTCGTAAGATCGTCGACAACCTTCGTGGCGAGGACAGTAAGCGACACTGGATTGTTTTCGACGGCGATGTCGACCCAGAATGGGTAGAGAACTTGAACTCCGTCTTGGACGACAACAAGCTTCTCACGTTGCCTAATGGAGAACGTCTCAATCTTCCATCGAACGTTCGCATTATGTTCGAAGTAGAGACACTCAAGTACGCCACTCTTGCTACTGTCTCCCGCTGTGGTATGGTCTGGTTCAGCGACGACACTGTGGAAGTCGACATGATGATTAAGCACTACATTGAGCATCTCAAGGCAACACCGTTCGAGGATATTGAGGACGATTCTGTAGCCCCAGGGCAGATGTCTCAGAAGACTCTCGCCACACAAGGCTTGGTAGCAGACTTCCTTCACATCAAACTTACCCAGGACTGCTTCATCGAAAAAGCTTTGAGCATGGCGCGCAAGTTCAAGCATATCATGGAATACACCGATATTCGGGCCCTCAACACACTCTTCTCTTTGCTTAACAAAGCATGCCGCAACGTCTTGGAGTACAACGTGCAACACCAGGACTTCCCACTCGAAGACGACAAGATGGAGACCTACCTCGCCAAGAAGTTGCTCGTTGCACTGGTATGGGCTCTAGTGGGTGACTGTCCCCTTTCGGACCGCAAGCAATTCGGAGACCTTATCGCCGGTCTTACCGATGTCGAACTCCCGCTCCTCAACGAGTCCACGTCCCTCATTGACTACGATGTCAAGCCAGATAAGCCAGACTGGGACATGTGGCAGAACCAGGTCCCGAATGTGGAGGTCAACACGCACTCCGTCATCCAGACCGATGTAGTCATTCCCACGCTGGACACGGTGCGCCACGAAGACGTGCTATACTCATGGCTTGCGGAGCACAAGCCTCTCTTGTTGTGCGGTCCACCTGGTTCCGGAAAGACCATGACCCTGTTCAGCGCACTTCGCAAACTGCCAAACATGCAAGTCGTCGGTCTCAATTTCTCCAGCGCGACCACACCGGATCTGCTCATCAAGACTTTCGAACAGTACTGCGAGTACAAGAAGACACTGAATGGCGTCCAGCTTACGCCAACTCAGGTTGGCCGATGGCTCATCATCTTCTGCGATGAGATCAACTTGCCAGCACCAGACAAATACGGCACACAGCGCGCCATCTCGTTCCTGCGACAGCTTGTTGAGCATAACGGCTTCTGGAGGACATCTGACAAGACTTGGGTTACGCTTGATCGCATTCAATTCGTTGGTGCTTGTAACCCTCCAACAGATGCTGGCCGTACGCCAATGGGACTCCGCTTCTTGCGCCATGCACCACTCATCATGGTTGACTATCCTGGCGAGCAGTCTCTTCTCCAGATTTACGGCACCTTTAACAGCGCTGTCCTGAAGATCATCCCAACCCTCCGCGGCTACTCCGAAGCCTTGACCAAAGGCAATGGTACAGCTTTACGCAGAGTCGCAGAAGAGATTCACGCCAGACATTCAGCCACACTACGTCTACTCTCCCCGTGAGCTTACGCGTTGGGTCCGTGGTATTTATGAGGCCCTCCGACCACTGGAGACCTTGCCTATCGAAGGTCTTGTCCGTATCTGGGCACACGAAGCCTTGCGACTATTCCAGGATCGTCTTATTGGCGAGGATGAGAGGCAATGGACTGACGAATGCGTGCACCGCATTGCACTGGAGCACTTCCCTACCATTGACGAAGAGAAGGCCCTTGCTGGCCCTATCCTCTTCTCGAACTGGTTATCAAAGAACTACATTCCCGTTGAGCGCGATCAGCTCCGTGAGTTCGTGAAGGCTCGTCTCAAGACTTTCTGCGAGGAAGAAGTTGACGTACCGCTTATCCTTTTCAACGATGTCCTCGAACACGTTCTTCGCATCGATCGTGTGTTCCGCCCAGCCCCAAGGCCATCTTATCCTCATTGGTGTGAGTGGATCCGGAAAGACCCACACTATCTCGTTTTGTTGCTTGGATGAACGGTCTCAGCGTCTATCAGATCAAGGTTCACGGCAAATACTCTGGGGAGGACTTCGACGAAGACCTTCGAAATGTCTTGCGCCGCTGCGGTTGCAAGGGTGAGAAGATCTGCTTCATCATGGACGAAGCCAATGTTCTGGATTCTGGTTTCCTTGAGCGCATGAACACCCTCCTCGCCAATGCCGAGGTACCAGGTCTTTTCGAAGGCGACGAGTACGCAGCCTTGATGACCGCAATCAAGGAAGGGGCGCAGCGACAAGGCACCATCTTGGACTCACAGGAGGAGCTCTACAAGTGGTTCACGGATCAGATTGTCAAGAACCTTCACGTGGTCTTCACCATGAACCCTCCAGAGGAAGGCTTGTCTTCCAAGGCAGCGACCAGTCCTGCGCTCTTCAATCGTTGCGTGCTTAATTGGTTCGGAGACTGGTCTGACCAAGCTCTCTACCAAGTCAGCTCAGAGCTTACCCAGTCTATCGATCTTGACCGACCGCATTACATTGCACCAGATAGCATCCCAGTTGCTTATCGCGGTCTCAGTTTGCCACCATCACATCGCGAGAGTGTTGTCAACGCCATGGTGGCGGTTCACCACTCCCTACGGTCCAAGAACGAGAAGCTCCAGAAGACACAGAACCGGAAGATGTACCTTACCCCACGTCATTTCCTTGACTTCGTCGCACAGTACGTCACGCTGTACAGCGAGAAGCGCGAAGATCTTGAGGAACAGCAACGTCATCTCAACGTTGGTCTTGAGAAGCTACACGAGACATTCGACAAGGTCAAGGAACTGCGATCCAGTCTTGCGGAGAAGCAAACTCAACTGACGAAGAAGGACGCTGAAGCGAACGAGAAATTGCAGCACATGTTGGAGGATCAGCGCGAAGCTGAACAGAAGAAGGCTGGGTCTGAGCAGATTCAGAAGAGGCTTGAGAAGGATAAGGAAGAAATTCAGAAGAGACGACAGGTGGTGGACGAGGATTTGGCTGCCGCTGAGCCAGCTGTCATTGAGGCGGCGAAGAGCGTCCAGAATATCAAGCGACAGCATCTCACCGAAGTCCGATCTATGCAGAATCCTCCTGCTGGTGTCAAGCTAGCACTAGAGGCGGTCTGCACCCTGCTCGGTCATAAGCCAGACAGCTGGAAGACCATTGTTGGTATCGTTCGTCGCGATGACTTCATCGCCAGCATTGTGCAATTCGACAACGAGCGACAGATGACCGCACCTCTTCGAAGGAGGATGCTGAACGACTATCTTTCCAAAGAGGACTTCACTTTTGAGAAGGTCAACCGTGCCTCAAAGGCCTGTGGTCCGCTTGTGCAGTGGGTCACAGCTCAAGTCGCCTTCTCCGATATTTTGGACAGGGTCGGCCCACTTCGTGCTGAGGTAGACAGCTTGGGAGCCGAGTTGCAAAAGACAGAAGAGGGCGCCAAAGAGACACAAATCCTCATTCAGAATCTCGAGGACAGCATCATTCGTTACAAGGCAGAATACGCAACCTTGATCAGCGAGACCCAGGCCATCAAATTAGAGATGGCTACCGTGCAGTTCAAGGTGGACCGCAGTGTTAGACTGCTAGACAGCTTGTCTTCTGAGCGTCAGCGTTGGGAATCGAGCAGCAAGTCCTTTGACTCTCAGATCGACACCATTGTTGGCGATGTTCTGGTTGCCGCGGCGTTCATCGCTTATGCTGGATACTACGACCAACAGTACAGGAAGGCTCTCACCGAGGACTGGTTCGAGCACCTCAGGAATTCTGGCATCACCTACAAGACACCCAACCCGATTACTGAATATCTCTCATCTGCAGATGATCGTCTTACATGGCAGCACAACGGTCTACCGGTCGATGACCTGTGTACCGAGAATGCCATCGTTCTCAAGCGCTTCAACCGATACCCACTCATCATCGATCCTTCCGGTAGGACGACGGAGTTCTTGCAGAACGAATGCAAGGACCGCCGTCTCACAGTGACAAGCTTCCTTGACGACTCCTTCACTAAACAGCTCGAGAGTTCCCTGCGTTTTGGCAACCCAATCTTGATCCAGGATGCGGAACATTTGGATCCTATCCTCAATCACGTTCTCAACAAGGAATACCAGAAGACAGGAGGACGTGTGCTTATCCAGCTCGGCAAACAGGAGATCGACTTCTCGCCTTCGTTCCGCTTATACCTTTCGACCCGCGACCCCTCTGCCAACTTCCCGCCCGACATTTGCAGTCGTACCACCTTCGTCAATTTCACGGTCACACAGAGCAGTCTGCAGACTCAGACACTCAACGAAGTCCTCAAGTCGGAGAGGCCTGATGTCGATGAGCGCCGATCGAACCTCATCAAGATGCAGGGTGAATTCGCTGTGCATCTGCGTCAGCTTGAGAAGCGCCTCCTTCAAGCCCTCAACGAGTCTCGCGGCAATATCCTCGATGATGACCGCGTCATTGAGACACTGGAGACTCTCAAGAAGGAAGCCAAGGAGATCTCAGACAAGGTGTCCGAGACTGCAGGTGTCATGACTGAAGTGGAGAACATCACCAAGGAGTACACCGTCGTTGCTCGTTCATGCTCAGCTATCTTCGCTGTCTTGGAGCAACTGCACCACCTCAACCACTTCTACCAGTTCTCACTTCAGTACTTCACTCAGATCTTTGAGACTGTGCTAGCCAGGATCCGGAACTCGTCGATCACTGGCCACGCTGCTCGTATTGATCAGATCATCACCGAACTCTTCGTCGATGCTTATCGCCGGACGTCACTGTCGCTGCTCCAGAAGGACCGTGTCACGTTCGCAATGCTTCTTGTACAGGCTGCGCCTTACAAGATGGACAAGACTCTCATTGATAAGCTGCTTGACTCCGATCTAACCGAAGTCGATGTCTCCACACAGCCTGAGCGCAAGGATGAAGTCATGCAGCGAGCTGCAAAGCTTGCCATATTCAAGGAAGAGATCGAAAAGGTTGAGCCCACCGCATGGGACACCTTCCTCACTGAGGAACTTGGAGATCGACACGTGCCCCAGCTTTGGCCTGATGACCTCAACAAGTTTGACAAACAGCTCCGGGCTCTCCTTCTTGTCAAGCTTTTCCGCGTCGATCGCTTCGTGCCTGCCGTTGAGCGCTTTGTTACCGAAGTGTTTGGCAAGGGCATCTTGGACATTAGTGGCGATCTTGGTGATATCGTCAAGCAAGTCAACGCAGTCACACCAGTGGCACTGAGCTCGAGCCCTGGATTCGACGCCAGTTACAAGGTCGACAACTTGGTCCAGCGCGAAAATGTTACCTGCTCTAACATCGCCATGGGTTCGAATGAAGGTGCAGCTACAGCAGACAAGGCCATTGCCAACGCCGCAACGACTGGCAACTGGGTCCTGGTCAAGAATGTCCATCTTGCACCACAATGGCTGCAGTCACTCGAGAAGAGACTGGAGTCGCTTAAGCCAAACCCCGACTTCCGTCTATTCTTGTCCATGGAGTCGAGTCCCAAGATTCCTGTCAACCTTCTTCGTGCTTCCCGAGTGCTTTCATACGAGCAGCCTGCCGGTATCCGTGCCAACATGAAGGACTCCCTGTCTTCAATGGCAGAGAAGGCTGTCAAGGCACCTGTCGAGAAGGCGCGCATTTATCTTGTTCTATCCTTCCTTCACGCAGTGATCCAAGAGCGTCTCCGCTACGCGCCAACACTGGGCTGGAAGGGCTTCTGGGAGTTCAACGACAGCGACGTAAGTTCCTCCAACTCCTTCACACATATTACGTACTAATATTGCATCTAGTACGAATGCTGCAGCTTCATTATCGACACCTGGGTCGACACCGTTGCGCAAGGCCGCTCCAACATCGCTCCCTCCAAAATCCCATGGGAAATGATCCGCACCCTGATCACCGAAATGTACGGCGGCAAGATCGACGACGCCGAGGACTACGGCATCCTTTCCTCCCTCGTCGAGGACTGCATGACACCCGCCGCCTTCGAAGACAACTTCCAAATCGTCAAGTCTGAGGGTCTGATGCTGCCAAGCGCCACTGGCTGGAAGGACTTCATGGGCTGGGTCAATGATTTACCCGAGCGTGAGCCACCGACATATCTCGGCTTGCCGGCGAATGCGGAGAAGTTGCTGCTTGTCGGCCAGGCGAAGGAGATGGTTGGGAATCTGAAGCGTGTGGTGGAGATGCTGGATGAAGGAGAGCAGATTATGGCGGAGGCTGAGGGATAGAATGATATTTTTCTTCGCGATTGTTAGGGAGAGGCTTTCTTTGGAGTTTGTGTTTAGGTTTGGGATGGGCGTGGATGTGGACATGCGGCTTATACCCATATACCCTTTCTCGTATGTTTGATTGATTTTGTAGTTTTCAATGCGATTTTCCAATGTGCAAGACTGAACTTTCGTCTCTGACTAGGCTGGTGTTGTGCGGCAATGTTGACCGTGGAGGCTTTTCTCTCAACACTTACCTTCAGCGGCTTCAGCTGCCGATCGCTTGTTGCTAGCCCCATTCTGCCTCGCACCTACCTCATTGTCTTGAGCTTTACTAGGAACACTTCCATTCACTCACTGGAAATCCTCAGCTGACAGCTCGCTTCACATCATCCCGACAGAGACAAGCTTGTCAGGTTTGAGAACCGGGGACAGCAGTTTGGATCTCACTTCAGCGATGCAACGTGGTGACGGCGTCGCACTGCTTACACTGAGCCTACTTCTTCACAATAGCTAGGCATTACTTCACCATCACTCCTCCGAAGACCCACGAATCCCGTGATTTTGTCACTATCGGACCAGCATCTCCTACAAAACCTCTCACCCCACAACAGCTGACCATTGCTTCACCAGTCACGCCCTCTAGGTCGTAAAGTCCGTTACCTCATCACCACCACCCGGGCAGTTCAGCATCTCATTGTCGCAATTCGAGCAATGCCTCAACTCACCCCAAACACCCCGTCGGCAAAAGCAACACTAAACAGCCTGAAAACCGAACTGACCCACAAAGGCCTGAAACCCGCACTGGATAGCTTACCACACATCTCCGCCATCCTAATCTCACCCCAGCATTTCAGCGCCTCAGAACACCCGTTTAAACTCCATCTCGGCTCAGAAACCGGCTCACGCGTCTGGGCGACCCTCGGCCGCCGCCCGCGTAACCCCAACCAAGCTCCCTACCTACTCTTCTTCGCCGGCTCCTCTGACTTGTCAATGGTCCAGCTCCCCTCATTCCACAGCCTGGAAAAAGTGCATCTCGTCGAGCCGTTCCGTACGTTCTGGGACAAGAGCAGGGACATGGTGGGTTCGCAGGGGCAGGAAGATGAACGGCGGGGACAGTTTAAAGGGCTGGTTTATTGGTATTTTTTGGGGGATGCGGTGGGGAGGGACGGGGTGTTTAGGGTGCCGAAGCCGGTTGGGGGGTATGTGGAAAGGGCGGTGAGGAGGCTGGGGAGGGTAGGTGGTGGGATGAGGGATGGGATGGAGGATATTGCTGAGGTATGGGGGGAGGTGGAGAGATTGAAGGAGGGGCAGAGGGAGATTGAGATGTGTGGGGTGGAAGGGGATACGGAGGGATTGAAGTCGTCGGCAAAGACATCTCAAAAGCCTTGGGATGAAGACACGGGACAGAAGGGCTTTCGCGATTCGAGAGGGGAAGTTGGAAACACTGACGAGGTCATGCGTCTCTCTCCACCTCTGGGAAGATCAGCAGGGAGTCACGACACTGTTCACAAAGCGTCACCCTACAACCGGACTATCCCGGAAAACCCAGTCAGAGGTACGAAGCGGAAGAGACCTCCCATTGAAGAAGGAATCGAAAGCGAGGTTCAGTCCACCAATGATCAGAGTAGCGCATGGGAGCGTACCGAAAAGGAAGAGTGTGCAAAGACCACCAGAAGCCGTGGACATGTAATCTCCACGCCAACTTCGGATTCTACGAGCGATTTTGCAGACTACTTCGAGGAGCATGGACGGGGAACCGAATCTTTCCAGGCACCAAGGTCGAAAGAGAGACCAGATCGACACAGGACATTTCAAGATACCCGACGCTCGATGACCCGTTTGAAGACCGAGCCGCTCCCCTGGGACGAGGATATTGGTTGGAATACAGCGCTCCTAGCAAGCGACAACACAACATCCTCGAAATCACCTGAAACTACAACAGTGTTCAAACCAGACACCCCGCCGGCGGAAAAGCCGCTCGTATCTTCCGCCACTGATCTGGATCTCACATCCGCTCAGTACATCGACAGCATGAAGAAGGCTTTGCTGAAGACAGAACAGCTGGAAGTTGACCTCGCGAGTATTGAGCAAGAAGAGCGGAAGCTTATAAAAGAGAAGGAGATTCTTTATGAGAGGAGGAAGAGGGCTAGGGAGGCGCTGCAAGACAATCACGCTGCGATCCAGTATATTTCGGCGGGGATTGTAAGGGGTGGGAGGATTGAGAAGGCCTCGTAAGAAGTATGGAAGATGTTGGCCTCTGCGGTCGGTTCTCATGTGCAGAGATGGTTGGGGTTTGTATGAATGGTTGCAGCATAATGGAGTGATGCTGATTCCACATTTGGGCTCTGAACAAACGCTTACGGGATTATTTGCTGATTGTACCGCGGGAGTGTTTGTGTTACATGGCGAATGATGTTGGTCATTGGTAGCCTTTGTCTGACCGCCTATCGTCAATTGCTGATTTGATATGATGGGTTTCTACAGCACCTTATCCCGGGTTGGTGCAAACAAACATCGTCGACGGCCAGGATCGAGACGGGATTGCCATTGGTCTCGATCTACCGCTCTTTGAGCACATAAGACCTATCACAAACATCCATATCGCTGCAATGTATGAGACATACGAGGCGTTTGCTACTGTAGTGCATTGCGTTTCAAGCCTAGCAAATTCGCGTGCTGTATATAATTGACTAGCAGTCAAGGTTCTTCCCTAACACACACACTCGCGCATTACCTCAGTCTCTATCATAATTGTCAAATCGCCAGCCCGATCATGGCCCCTAGCCCCCAAGATAAGCGCTATGACAATGCACAAGACGTGCGCACCATCATCGACATCGTGAAGGGCGAGACTGGCATTGAGGAACTGCCGGGCTTTGGACTCTTACAATGGCATTATATGTCCCGCAACTCCGGAATCTTAGGCGACGAGAAGCTTGCAGTTGGTAAGTTAAATGGCCAGGATGTGTTTGCTTGCCTGCGAATGCCGCCCGTCGACGATAAGTACTCGCTCAGGGCAAACCTGATCAAGCTAATCACCGGCGACGGAGTCACCACGTCCCAGGTCGAGCCTTCAATGCTGGGTCAGATTGTCTACGCGCCTATTTTCAAGCATATCCGATGCGATACTGGCACGGCATCGCAGCCCGATTGCCCCATCAAGGCGTTCATGGTGGCATGTTTCGTCCTCCGAGGCCATACTCACGACAACCCACTCAAGCCCCGAGCATTGTTTCGTGTGGAACTGATCACTGCTTTAAAGCAGTACGAGCAAACGATCCTGCTAAAGGGCAAAAGGAAAGATCTCGCTGGAGCCACATCAGCTTCAAGTACAGCTTCAGCGTTCAACGGCAAAAGCGTTACGCCTGCAGTAGAATCCGACAAAGGGCATCATGTTGAAGACGTCCGAAGTCATTTACAAAAGAAGCTAGGAAGTGGGACATTGCCCTACATCAGCGACTTGGGATGGGAGCCCAGTAGTCTCGCTGGCGCCCCGGAAAAGTTGCGAATTGGCACGCGGTGCCATGCAGCCGTTTTCGCAATCTTCAACCCGCGGGCTCATCCCGCACAGCAGCTTAACATAATTCAAGCTGGCAAAGGTCGACTCAGGATCGAGATCCAGAGGGCTGGTATGGCGTCAGTCAAATATGACGAACCATACTCTCATCTTGGGCCTACAGGCAAGGATATGCCCGTTACGCAAATCAAGGCATTAGCGCAGACTCTAAGAACATATCTGAAGGGTCTATTTGCTCTTCGCGGCCACTCGGAGGGCCGACGGATTTGCATTGATTTGCAGTCACTCACCAGGACAATTTCGACGATTAGAATGGCGGGATATGGTATCGGGACAGGTTCCGGTAAAGACGCGGCAGACACAACCGAGCCTATGTTGGATGGCATTTTGGATACCATCGAGGTAAGTGTATCAGACCTGATGATCATGATCGTACTAAAAATGGGCAGGGCTCTCTGGCGAAAAACAAAAATGAAGGCTCATCGACTGCAACCGACACGCCCACTAGAGCCTTTTTGCAGGTCCGCAGCTCCTCCAGGTCGGCTTCCACAACGACGACTCCCAGGGCGAACATAGCTCGAAGCCATACGAAAGACACAAGCCAAGCGTCCGAGGATAACATGTTCGACATGGGTAACGGAGAGAGCAGCACTTCGCGATGGTCAGCAATAGACCTGCCCGCTCAGAAGTCAGGCACGGGACTCTATGGAATTTTCTCCAAAGCAAACTGGGCCTCCAACACTCCAAAGATTCTTCAAACTCCACTGGAGTCCGGTTCTAGGGCAGTCCATTTGACAAGCCCAAGCAGCTCTGACACAGAGTCTGTGACTCCAGACTGTCTTGCGGAGAGCGATGATCGACTCGAGATGAGCTCGTCCCATCTTATGATACCCGAACCCGACATTCTACCAGAGTTGAGGTCATCCAAGTCACCTACCCCTCAGATCGTTCCGAGCACAAACTCATCCATGTTCAAAGAGATAAGCACTATACCAATAGGCACCCAGGACCTTGACCAGGACTCAGTTATCGGAGACGACCCAAGCGAAGATACACCTAGCCAGAAGCTTACGCCTGGAGGACTCATTGATGTCATGACCGACGTAGCCAAGGACGGAAGCAATGACGCTCGATCTGACTGGCTGAAAGACTTCATCACCATCAGAACACACCAAACTATCATAGCTGTTTATCATCAACAAGTGCAAGCCTACGAGCAGCAGATCTCAGACCTCCACCTCAAAATTCTCAACGCCAAGTCTGTGGCGAAGCTAAAAGAAGATGATGCCTCCCAAGCCTGCAATGACACACTGAGAGATGCTATGAATGGCCCACGCCCAGACTGGACTACTTCTCTTGAAGTACTCTCGCGTGCTGTGGAAGCTGCTAAACTGAAGTCCAAAGACATCTCGGCAAGACTACAAGCCGAGATAACAGCGTTCGAGGGTGATATCTCCGCTATAGAGGCAAAGAAGGCGCAGGCGCAGACGCAAATCGAACATGCTGCTCTTGAACAGGCGAATGCGAAGAAGAGAAAGGCGGAGACTGACGACGATGACCTGATGGAGACGATCATGATGGACATGGTTGATGCTGGCAGGAACATGGGGAGGGCGGAGAAGAAGAGAAAAGTAACGTAAGAGAGAGGGCGGAAATGCGGATGCGCATGAGACTGAACTCGTACGGTTTGAGGGAGGATCGAAAGTGCTTTGTTTGCGACTTTCTCTTTTACAATTGTGCTGTTTGTTGTTTCTGATGTCAGGATTCCTAGCATGTACCTGGGATGTACGTGTAGTCATTGAGGGCCTTCACAGGCAAACTGATCGTCTGAGCCAGGGATAGTGCTGTTGTTGCTGTCTTGCTGAGTTGATCTACTCTCAGATCAACTTGCATGCGGAAAAGGACTTTTGCTCTAACCATGGAACTTTTTCATAATAAAATTAACTCCTTAAAATGCTCCCTCGGGTGATATCTTATATTACAGCATTTGCAAACTTGAAAACAGAAAATAACATAAATAGGGGGGCCAAGACAAAACCGAAAGATCCTCATGCAAACTCCCCTGTTTTTTAGAAGCCCATCTACTCACTCTTCCTGGCCTACTTCCAAGGTCAACCGTCTGAACTTATGCCTTACTCCGTGCCTCTCCTCGGCAATAGTCTCCCTCCTTCCAAGTATACTATCATGCTCCATCTCCCACTCGTCCACCCAATTCTGGCTTTTGAGCTCCCACTCGGCAAGCCATCGCTGCTTCTCAAGTTCCCACTTAGCAAGCCATTGCTGCTTGTCACGTTCCTGCTGCTCAGCGAAATTATTCTTCTTCATTTCGTGCGTCTCGAGCTCTTCGTCCACAATGTTGATGTCGGTAGTAAGCTTGCGCTCCTTACTGCTGAGGTCGCTGAGGGCTTCGAAGGTGGCGTCTTCAAAAGTGCGTTTAGTCCCGCGAGGAGAGGCTTGGGTTGCTGAGGAGGGCACAGCTGAGGCGAGGGAAGTCTGGATTTGGCTTTCATCTAGCGGGCGAGCGGGCGGTGTTTGCTTTGGGAATTTGTTTGTCGCTTGGTTTGAAGATGTGAGGGAATCCTCAGAAGGTCCTGGCACGGCAGCAGGACCCATACGCTGGGCAATGTATGCGAGAGCCTGTTTGAGGTATACAGCGAAAGTGGGACTTTCTTTTAGGACAAAGTCTTTGCCCGCACCTTCTGCGAGGAAGTACCACTTGATAATGGTGTCCAGCCGTATTTTAGCGTCTATGGTTGTGGTCTTGCTGTTCTTCTCATATGTTTTATTGAATGGATGGATAAGAGATTGCTTTGCAATTTCTTGCCACATCCGTTTCACATCTTTATGGCTCTTCGACTCGCGTGACCAGAATTCAACAAAGTGAAGGCCGCTATCCACGCGCAGGTGAGCATATATGTTGTCTCTGCGATCCGCAGTTCGGCCAATGTATAGCTTCTTTGGCACCGAACCTCTAGCATCAAAGAACTGATGTTCAGAGACTGCAGGCAGATTCCTGAGCAAGTAGTCGATGTTCTGATCCTCTAAACAACGGCGCACAGTCTCAAAGGCGGGATTTTCGGCTCCGAGAGTATGTGGTATTTGTTCATGTGGAGAATCTGCGGCGCCTTCCGTGGTATTGCCCTTCTCACCGCGCCGAGCCGAGCGCAAACCATAAGGACTGTTTGGCTCTTCGGCGTCTGGACTTTCCTCGACTATGGCGACTCCAGATGCTGGCCTTCGTGGATTAGCGAGACCTGACTCGTGAGGTTTCATGGCTGGTGTTGAAGGCTCGGACCCCAATGCTGCTGATCTTCGTGGCGCAACCGGCTTTCCCGCAGCATTCTTCTTCCCTTTTATGGCTCTTGGGTCAGGCTCAACATTCCGCAACGCATTGGCGAAGATTTTACACCAGTCCGCCAAATCGCCGCTGACTGCGTTCTCCAAAAGGCCTCTTGCCATGAAGTACCACTTGATGATGACGCTGAACTTCCGCTTCATTCCTTTGGCCGAATCCGCGTTGTACTTAAATGGTGCATCGAGTTTCATAGTCACCACTTCATCCTGCGTAAGCGTCTGGAGGGATGCTGAGGTGCTAGGTCGGCCTGCTGGAATAGAGCAGTAGCGCACTTCGCGCGGTTTCTCGCCCTTCTGCGTGACATACGCAAGGACATCCCTGCGTTCAACGGTGCCAATAATGAGTGCTTCTGGAAGATCGACAGTTGTGTTGACCGACCAAGGAATCCACCTGAGACGGTCATGTCCAGGTAGCGTGTCCAAAAGTTCTTGCGCATCGTACTCCTCGCGCATGAACTTCAGTATCTCGTTCATCGACGAGGTTGACATGGTCTTTGTAGAATGGTGATGATAGGAAGTCGAGCTGTTTTCGTCTGGTCGTATGCTAGGCCAGTAGGATGTGAATCTGGAATCTGTGTCGGCTGCTCGCTCACGTGCAGCCTCCCGTACACCTGGGCAGCGCGACCAGGACCAGGGTAAAGGTACGACCCATACAAGATGAACTGCTTGCGAAGATACTTCGAGTAATAGTTCGCAGGTATATTTCAGGCGATAGTAGGACTGCGACGCAGTAGGTGGCCCAGGGAGTGAAGCCGCAAAGTTTCTGGCGTGAAGTCGAGGTCGCGAGGCAGAATCCCGAAGTTTACTTGTTCGAACGTGGTTCGGGCGCGTCGGGTCGGCAGACACGTGCTCACGCGGCGCGCTAGTGCCGCATTTATCGATTCTGCAGGAGTCTCCTGCATCTCAAAGTTACCCCGCTTACACATTTAATCCTGCATTACAGCTTCCAAGAGCACCCGGAGTTATCTGACTAAACACAGTATAACTGCAACAACAATCGTATGGTAGGGACGAGATGCCAAAGAGGAAGCAGCAGATGTCCCTAACATAGGTCCAAGCTATTAAGATGAAAGGAAATGCAGAGCCTCAAGAAACTCACTAGGAACTATCATGAATACAGATGTGAGGACCCGTACTGTGTTTTGCAAATCTTCCTGTAAGCGCCATCGTCTTTCATCACGCTCATGCGATCTCCACGGTCCTCTCTAGCACTCTCCTTGATCTCATGGGCGATAATCTATTCCATGATGGGTACCAACGACATAGCATCCGGACCCGAAATTGTCGCAAACATGGAGCATATGAGCACGGCGGCGATTGCCTCTAGTCATGTGCGATAGCCCTTTGGCATTGCAACGCCTGCTTATTCAGCCCGAGCGGTCTACAACAGGCGCATAATCTTATCTGCAGGTCTGAAATCGATGAGGTCTTAGCGGTTGTAAACGTGTCTCCGTCTGACCATCTAGCCGACTTTGACAGTATCGACGTTACGCAGGCAAATATTGTGCTGAATATGTTTGTGCAATATGTTCTCATCTTCATTGGCGAACAGGCGGAGATTGTCGCAGAAAAGCAGCTTGAGGGTCGATCTCTGGAAACCACAGACGAAGTGGGGAATGAGTTCAAGGACGCTCCTCTGGTGCTCAAAGAACATTTTGCAGCTGAGCTTTGGCCAGAGATCCAGGGGACTGTCAGTGAGTCCCGGGAATAGCTCATACGTTTCTGGAACCTCGCACGGCACTGCATAGCTCACGTCTCTGCCTGCCTAGATATTGAGGGATTCATATGCGACTACAACAAATAACGAGCTACAAAGTTTGCTACCAAGGAGCTGTTGTGTCTCGCAGATCTTTACCAGGGTATCATCGCCAGCCGGCGAGCACGCAACATTATTGCAGATCGCAGGCGTATCAAAAACGCACAACAAAACCACAGAACACATTGCGCGCTTAACTGCGGTAAAGAGAAACGAGCGGATAAAGTTCTAGCCAACTTTGAGGCTTGAACCTACCGCAGAACGGGAGACGTGGATCGGCTTCTCTAGCCGTAAACTCGGGGTCACACAGCGCCAAGCAAGAACAACTACAGTCGCAGGCGCTAACAACCGGTGTCGCAATTCCTTTGAGACGAAATCATCAATTCGCAGCATTCCAGGTAAATTGCGCTGTGCAGTGTTGTCGCAACACTACCATGTCTCGACGCGTGCGCCATGCAGCTTACGCAAGCCCCCACAGCAGGAATGTTTCCGGCTGGACAGGCGAACCTAGGCTTGGCGGAATCCGTAACGGACCATCTCCTGAGCTACCCATGTGAACATCCACATACACCATGGCACCTTCTTGACGACAATAGGAACAGTACGTGTATTCAGTACTGGACTAACCGAAACATTTCTTCCTTCCGTATACAGATGCGGTAGCAGAGATGCTTGCCCGTGCATTATCGCGCCCGGGGCGCCTCCTCATTGTAGTCCTGGTCGTTTACGGCTTCATGTGGATCAAAGGATGGCCGCGATACTACGACGATGAAGAACTACCACCCAGCTTGCGACCGCAGAAAGGGAGTTCACTGGGCCCGCACCGCGTGGGCCACGACCACCTCGTCGTATCGATCTCGACGACCGCGACCGACGTATACACCAAACTTGCGCCGTCGTTGGGATACATGTTCCCGGAGGACTGGGACCCGACCCTTATATTTGGCGACTTGCAGATGAATGTGGGCGTATGGCCCATCTTCGATGTACTGTTTGGATACCCGAGAGACTTCCTTGTTGCAAACAAAGAGCTGGAGAGATACAGGCAGCAAATTGACTTTGCGCGGAGGAGCATACCGTTGCAGTATACAAGGAAGCGCGATCCGGCAGAGGAGGCAGAAGTGCAGTTGGCACTGAACAAGTACAAGATCCTGCAGGCCATGGGGCGAGCCTGGGACTACAGGCCGGACCGCAGCTGGTACGCATTCGTCGACGACGACACCTTTGTCGAGCGCGTCAACACGCTCGACTGGCTGGCCCAATACAATCCCAAGTCGAAATGGTTCTTCGGCAATCCCCCGGTATCAGGTGTACCAGACGGTTTTGCAGCAGGAGGCAACTCGTTCATCCTCTCCTTGGGCGCCATGAAAGAGCTCTTCAAGGAGCGAGGCCACGTCGTCAAGAGCTGGCAGTCACACATCATCACGTACCCATCGGCCTTCGATCTCATCACCGCCGTATTGAAGGCCGAGCTCAACCTCAGCCTAACAGCCGCCTGGCCCGGCATCTCCGGCTTTGATCCAAGCACCGTCCCATTCTCGCCCGCGCTATGGTGCGAGCGCGTCCTCATGATGCATCGCGTTCCGCACGACCTCAATTCCGATCTCTTCCTCATGCGCAAGAACAGAACGGATCATCATATTGATAAACCACTATTATACGCAGACTTGTGGGAACGTTTCATGGCTCCCGAAGACATGCGCGCCAACCGCTCGGACTGGGACAATCTATCCTCCGACTCCAGCAACGCGCGCTGGAACATACTCTTCGAGTCCGACGACCCCAATGACGGCCACGCACCCAACGGCGAAGCGAATCCCGAAGCCTGCGAGGCCAGCTGCGACAAGAGCGAATACTGCATGCAGTGGAGTTATTCGTCCATAAAGATGAAGAACTGGAATGAGAATGGAGAGACAAAGTGCCACTTGAGCAGCAGCATGAGATTTGGCAGGTTTGCACCACCCCAGGAGATTGAAATCGATGATGGGAAGGGCAGGGATACAGTGATGTGGAGGAGTGGGTGGAGGAAGGGGGTTTTCGCCGATTGGGCGAGACACCAGAGGTGCAAGAATCCGGCGCACTAATTTTGCAAAGTTGGACTTTCTTCGACATAACTCCCGACTGCGGATCTGCCTCTTGTATTTCAATATCGGTCTCCACCCAGGCTTCCAGGTTCCCCATACATTCTCCTCGTGTTGAGCGTTCTGCGACGACATTGGCCGAGACAATGCGCCGGTTGGATAGACGCTGGGCGGATCCGTTGACGGCCCAGCATCCGGCCCTGGAAGAAGACATTGCAGGGCCTGAAAAGCGCATTTTCCGCCTCGAACGCTACAGTGCTAGCTGTACAATGGGCCGAACATGGGCGCGAAGTTTGTTCGCCGCGCTTGAATTGGATTCCTTGCTCACAAGTCCGATGCGTCAGATTAAGCATGCCTGTATCGAGCAGCTTGCTCTTTGCGAGCATATAGACCACCTCTCCTGTGAATACGGAGAGCATGGGTTATCATTTCACTTTCTACTAGCGGAGGTCCGCCACGCCTTGCGCGTTCACACATTGTGAAAGACTTTTGTATAGACCCTGACAACGTCGAGTAAGGCTATGAAAAACAATCACTATTTTACAGTATGGCACTCGCCTTTAGCCCTTTATACCTTTCCTTGCCACTGCTTCTTCTTGTTCGTTACCTCTACCAACTCTGACCTTGATCACCTCGACTGCTCGACCTCAACTCTCCGAACCCTTAGCCCAGAAAACAATTACACCAAGGACGACTCTCTCAGGCTTGATCTAGAGAACCTATAGACGGATTGCTCCGGTCGACACTTACATTGCGCCATAGCAAGCAGCAAGCAGCACTCACACACTGTCCGAGTCCAGCTTCCGTCCAACAATCGTTCCAACAGCCCCCACTCGCCCTCTTCGTCTCTTATTACTCCGTGCCAGCAATGTCACGTCAAAACACAAACGACAACAATGACGGCCTTTTCTTCAAGTTTCCGGATTGGCAAGAGCTCGGCTTGCGCTCGCGTGAGGCGTGGCAGCAACGGCTAAATGTGCGCACGCGCCATTGGGAACTGTACGCGGACCCCGACGACATCAGGCATGAGATCGATTCTGGGGAGTACATTAACGTCGAGGAACGTGTCGAGTCTGAAGAACATGTCGAACCTGCGGGTGAAGACCAGGCACATGATGATGTTGACTCCGCGAATGGACATGACGCTGAGGACGCTGGTGCATACAAGGACGTCACTGATCAGCCGTATGAGCTCCTCGAGGAGGTATACGACCATCTTTTGGACCTTCCAGGACATGATGCTGAGAACGTTGTCGAATCTAGGGACTTTACAGATCGCCCATATGAGCTCCCCGAGGAAGTCTACGACCACCTTCTTGAGCTTCCGGGCGATAACATCGGTAACGGACTTTCCGAAGACTTTCCTGCTTCGCTGATCCGGGGAAATTGCCACCGAAATATTGACAAGTCTCCTTTGCATCACGGCATTGACGGCAATAGAGATGAGGAGGACAATCCAAAATCGGAATGTTCCAACAAGCGGGCAAAGGGATCAGCTTAGGCTAAAGCACCTTCGGACCTCAAGAGACACCCTACTGCTGTATATAATTGGTGACTTGCTCGGGTGTGTCTCGACACGGTGTGAGTCGCCTGGGGAAGATGAGGAGGAGCGTGCCGCTAGCGACGTGTTTCTTCCTTGTCTGGCAGCGCGACTACTAGCTGCGGGGAAGAAGGAAGGGGATGACGGCTGTTGGATTTGGGTTTGGGACTCGTCTTGCGCTTACGTTAACAACGAGAAACCGGTCCTTCCGCACAAGGACAAGAAGCGTGCTTGCGACGAGAAAACGATCATCGAATATGAACAATGGCCGCTTGATGTGATCATAGATGCACTTTGAGAGCTCTGGAAATTTCCGTCGACAAGCTGATGTGATGGCTTAATGTTTCCGTGTTTGTTCTGTCCATTGCCCAAGCAGTGAATGCATCCGCGATACTAGACCGAATTGGGACAGCTGAGCTTCGTCTTGCGCACATCCATGTCGCCAGCAGATGCGTAACTTCTCCAACTATTCCGAATTCTCTACACAATGTCACCGAAGAAGGTCAGTTGCATCTGCCGAGGCTTTAGGGCCCTACTCACAGGCTATAGATCAAAGACTTGGACGTCGAGAAAGGCGATAAAGTTCCAGGAAGAGTTCGCCAACTGGCCTCCCGCATATCGAATGTGTCTGTCTTCTCTCTCGCACCGGTTGGCGCCACGTCAACTCTGCCCCAGCGGCCAAAATCACATCAACGCTTTGCCAACGAGCCACTTGAGGGCTTTTCTGCGACAAGGCTGGATCATCGCCAACGCCGGCCTCGTGAGCCAGCTATAGGATTGGCCGCTCACAGACGGCTACCACAACCGCCAAGACAGTTGTACAGCTTACCAGCATCGCATCCGCCAGTTCCGAGTGCTCCGAAGCCTACTCCGATCATTCCAAATGTGCGCCATGGTCCTAAGTTTCCTTGTATCGAGTGGGTAGAAGAGAGAGAAAACAGCATCAAGAGCACAGCAAGACGGGGCGTAGCTGCATACTACCACAGGAGCTACCAGTTTAGGTCGATCAAGAGGAAGCGGGAGGAACAAGTTCCGGGCGGGAAGAGGGACACTGAGATCAAGCCGACTGAGCAGAGGCCGGACAAGCTGGTCATGATCTTGGGACTTACAAACGTGCGACGTGCAAACGCACAAACTAAAGTGAATGCGAGGCTGCAGAAGACCAATAAGCGCTCGTGAGTAGCGGCATTGGTAGGTTGATTAATATAACGGCTGATAAAAGATCAGGAAATTCATGCGGAGGACGCGAGGAGAGAGATCACTCTTTGAATGGGATTAAGATGTTGGAGTGATGGAACTGCCGGTCGGAAAGTAGCAGTCCTCCAATAGATGACTGATGCATCAAAGCGTACACCACTGTCTGGAGGTTTCGGAGCCTTTCATTGGCCAGCCATTGGCGTCGTCCGACTTAGCTTTCAGTTGTTGAGGTACGAACTCATCTTCACCTATCATTCAAAATGCCAAGGTATGACTGCACATGGACTCGCCACCACAAGTGAAACGTGACCTGCTCGATTGCGCGCTCCTACCTAGCTATCATCCTCCACTACCTATTAGCTGCTGGACCACACCCATGATACCAAATTCCGCTTGCCGACAAGCTGAATACACAAATCGCCAAACTTGGTTTCGTTGTACATAAGCCGACTCACGATGTACCGCTCTCTACTACCAACGCCTCCGCTTAAGGATCATCTGGTACCTTTGCGCAAATCAATAGAAGATACCAGGAGCATTGGTATTTCGCCTCCGAGTACCCTTGGATCTGATTCTTCGATGCCACAACTCAACACACCTGTCAAAAAGCCCATAAACACGATCATGGATTACACACCTCGTTTCAGCAAGTTTCTTGCGGACAGCACCACGACGCAGACTCCTTTTGTTCATAAACACGACATTGTGCCGGCTGAGGAAACCGCCATGAGACTGCGCGAAACTCAACGCCGCTTCTCACAAGGTGTCCCCCTTGGCGGCGATGAAAATTGTGCAGGGATCGACCGACAACTTGTGCTGGGCATCTACAATGAAGCCCTGTCTATACTATCCAAGCTTCCAGACAAGCACACACAGATAGCCGCCGAGTGTGCACGCAAAACTCGCGTTATTCTCGGCATCATTTCCGCCGATCCAGATGACACGGTCTTCACCCTAGCTGGTCAGCTTCTCAAGCCGCTTGAGCCACAGTACGCCAATCCGAGACTGGACACTGGGATGGATGGCTTCGGTGCTCTTGCGCAATGGAGGCTGAATGCTTGGCGAAAGGACGGTTGGCCTGAGCAGTACCCTGCGGGAGCAGTGAAGAAAGAAACACGGAGAGGAGACAGCCTAGTAGATCACGAGGGAAATCAGAGTATGAAAGATGGCAAAATGCTTGAAGTGGTTTACAACGACGAAGAGATGTGGGACGAAAACGGTTTGGATTCTCGCGAAGAAAACGCTGAAGGAAATAGGAAGAGCAATATGACGGCTCAAGTCAAGGGGAGGAGAGGGGAGGCGGCGACTCAAATGAAGGGCAAGAGAAGAGAAGCTACTTCCGCTTCTAGCAGCAGTCGTCGTCGTGGCCGCTCTGGTCATGTTATCATGGACTCGGAGGATGAAGACTGGACCAAGGAACCAGGTGACGATGTTGATAGGACCATGGAATCGGTTGATGAAGATGACTGGTCCTAGAAAATATTTGAAGACTCGTAATTTACAATATTGATTTCAAAGGCATCTCTATATAACTTTTGGAATGCCTGTATGCATCTTCGCCAGACCGATAGTCGAGTGTATGATTGGTATTACTCAGCATCCATGAAAACAGAGCTGGAGAATTTTGGCAGATCCTTTGTTAAGAGGTCGGATCTCATGCTGGGAGGAGCATCAAATTTGCCGCACCGGGTAGGTTAAATCCGCGAAGGTTAGCCAGGAAGCTTAAAAGTAAGGAGACGAAGATATCATAAACCAGGAAAGTCCTTAGTGCCTTGATGTGTCTCGGTGTACTTTGTTAAGCAAATTCATGTGACCAGATCACTTACGCTATTGAGATCGCCTAGCAGGGAAACCTTACCATCCTACAAGCACAAGCCATACCATATGAGCGGAAATTATTTTTAGAATAATCTAGTCACTGCAGTCGTCTAACTGAGACCCTGTCACTAACAGTCAGTGGCTTGCGTGCTCGTCGCATCGTGTAACCACAACGTCGCGCTCTTGGAGCTTTGTGAAATACAAAAACCACGTTATGAAATAAGCACTGTATAGCAGTAGTGAAGCAGCCCCATGATCATAAGTAGAGGTACATAAGCTTCCATTTTGAGGAACAAAAGCATTTCACAGACTTAGAGACTCAAATTTGCGTAGAATACAGGTCAACAGCATTGATTGCAACCAGGCTGATCAATCATAGCACATAGATCGCTCTGAACTCTACCAGAACTATTCAGGTATTGTAATCGGACATTATGTTCTCGCCAGATACCGCTGCCAGTCAGGAGACACCCCTCATCCAGCGTCTGGTGGTGTACTTTCAAGACTTGGAATCTCACTCCAGTCTATCAACCAGTACACCCGATATGGGCTCTGTAACCCCAAGCGTACAGCCTGCTATAGTCATAGACATGTCCGAGTCCCAGTACCCCGCTGCCGAAGACGCTCCTGCACCTCGACGGTCAGGTCGTGCCCGGAAGGTTGCACCATATGCGTACATTGAAGAATCTTCTAGTGACCCACTTGAAGGCAAGACCAATACCAAGTCACGTTGCAAGGCGAAGAAGACGGCCGTTGCTGCTCGCGCTAGGGCCTCCAAGCCAACTCCAAAGGTGTCACCTAAACTACCTCGGAAGAGAGGTTTGGGAAAGCCATCCAAAGCGGCCTCGAAGAATTCTACAGAGTCCATTGCCACCCATCAAAATTACACTGACTCGAGCCCGGAGCATGAGTTAGGGAATGCGGTGGTGGAGGAAACTAAAGATCATCGAAGCCAACATGACGCCGCGCTCGCGCTACTCATGCTCTCTCAGTCATCAGTAGCGAATGAACAGCTCATACTCGGCGGTCTGATTTCAGATCATGATACTATTGGCGATCTCACGCCGTCAGCCGCGAACGATTACAAATTCCAGACCACCGCTAAGTCTGAACTAACAACCAAGCAGCTCGATGCTTTATTGAAGGTGCCGGCTCGACCAAAGAAGTTTCCACTTGACCTTGCGAGCGGGCATTCCATAAAGTTGAGCTACTACCAAATTGGCAGCATGCCAAAAGCAGGCTTGACAGAGAAGTTAGTGCGGGAGGCAGAGGCGCGACATGCACTCGAGGTCAAAGGCTGGGACGATGATGGGGACGAGGCTTTACAGTGATCGTAAGGGCTCTCAACTCCTTGCAGAATGGTACATCTGATTTTGTGATGGAGTGAAGGTCCCTGCGCCGTCTTCTGCAGATTTTTGCGTAGCTACTATACATGTGTGTGACCGAGCAATATATTGTTTACCGTCCAACTATGTCCACCATGCAGATTGTCCTTCCCGAGGCCTAATGTCGGGATTGCTCAATGACCTGACTCTAGGTCCTGGCGATAAAGGTTTTGGAAGCTGGTTAGCACGTATGCGCAGGTGTCATCAGGGCGCGCACGATGTCTTTAGGTATCATAATGCCCTCACACGTGACTTTGGGGCCCGGTGCCCCACAAGTTCATCTTACTAACTTACCGAGGAAGTATATTAATCATGAGTTCCCAGGTGTGGTATCACAGTGCAGTTTTCACAATCCTGAAGAAGACGGGATGCTTAGCCTCCATGTCGTGGAATTTGGCACTAGGCAGTTTTGAGTACTCGCCGCTATTTTTCGCCGCATGGAGATTGTTAGCTCACATCGCCCCGACTGTGAATGCTAGTCCATTTCTGTGTGGTATACCAAACTCGGTCCTAAAACAAATCTTTTCCTACTATCGACAGCTCCGTCGCAACCTGAACACACTCCGCAGACACGAAAACCCTAACTCATCCATACAACAATCATGGTCAACTTCTACACGGGCAACGATCCAACTCCAGGCTTCTCCGAGCTAGAACTGTATCGCCAATACAAGGTGGAGCAAAAGAAGAAGCATGGTAGTGTGTCCAAGAAGCGACCAGACACAACTGTCAGTGTAGGCCAAGTTTCCAAACTCTACCGAGACCTGGCAATTACTGACAACGTATCTAAACAGGCTGATAACAGTTATGATCATTTGAACGACTATGACGACGACGAAGCTATGCTCGACGCAGACGCCCCTGTCTCCAACATCCTGGAAAAGCCTGCGCCCAGCAACCGAAAGATCACCATCCGCGATTATCATCTCTGGAAGGCAACTGGTATCAAGACCTTCGACGAGTACTTGAATCAGAAGCCGCACAAGGACGTTGAGCTCCCCAAAAGGCGACCGGTTAAGAATCTACCTGGCCTTCCGGGAGGTGCTGATGATCCAAATTACTTGGAGTCAGTGAAGGAGCAGGAGGAGGAGCATCTCCGACGTGTGAGGAAGTATGGTAGGCGAGAACTCATGTGGCCCTCGCATTTATTGTAGCCACAGTCGCATAAAGTGGGGTAGCGGCGGACCGCGAACGGGGACATTTATTCTGCGTGTGTGGTCCAAGTGATCATACTCTTCTGGGTCGAGCCAAGAATGGCTCTTACATAATTACACAACCATATCTACGATCAAGATACTTCGATTGTATTTGTGGTACTACATAACTGTGAACAACCCAAATTAATCACTCTGAGGGCATTCTTTGAATTGTCGGGGTTTTCTTCTTTCAAAACAGCCCACAGAACGCAATTGTCGGCTCGCAAGTGTTCCAGTGTAGTCTCGTCTGCCTCTTCTTGAACCCGAAGGTATCAGAACAGCGTAGTATCAGGAGCTGATCTATTTGTACACCGCAATTTGATCCCGTTGCTGATGGGTAAGTGACGCCTTAAAAAAATGCCTGTGTCAGTAGACTTGGAGCTTGCGTGTAAGTTACAATTAGCTTGCTTCATGTTTAATATCGTATTATTTCCTAGATATCCAGCACACCTTCTCTGGCAAGCAGGACATTTCGCCCTAGGGAGATAACCAATCAATCCTCCACCTGAACTGCCCTCCTATGTCTTCACAACGTCAAGTGTTTTTAGTCAAGTCAATGCCAAATCCAGCTAAGTCGAGGTTGGTGACACTACAAAGCAGGATTACATGATGCGCCTTTCACACGAACAACACCTCCCTTTCTGTTGCCTAGGCATTCTCCAGTCTACTTCTAGACCGATGGACCTACTCGCGAGTTACAATATTCATAATCACCAACACAACTCATCTTTCCATATCAATCCCACTTTTACATCCTTACACCGAGTCGGAAAACGTTCAACGATATAGACTATCATAATGACGAGTCCACTCTGGGAGTTCGACATCAACTCTCCAACCATCGTGTTAACTCACACCTTACTACGGGAGCACTATGTAGCATTCGCCTACGACTTACGCAGTAGAGCCATGGAGAGTTCAGAAGAGCATGATACAGCAAAGAATGATCGCTTTTGCGAGGCCCTCCTGATGGGCATACGGCTATGCGACGCAAGGATGGGCAAGCCTCACGAAATCAACGAGCTCGTCGATATCCGCTGGAAGGAGATCAATGATGAAGTACGTCCGTTTCTTCCCGATCCGCTTGCCCTCTTCGTCTTTGCACCGTCGCCTATCGAACCTATACCAATACACCGAGATCCTGGTGGCGGTGGAGGTCATCCTTATGCTATATCCGAGGAGTCGAGTCCACCAGTAAACGACGAAGACGAGTGGTCAGACATCGAAGACTTGGACTTGCCTGAACTTGCAAATCGCTATGGCGTCTCATACAGCCCGCTTGATATTCGCGGCACCGAGGAGCCTTGGCGAAAGCTCCAGACCAGGATTCTTTGTTCGATCGACGACTATCGAGACATCTATATGGATGGCGATTTGAAGCGGGAGTGGAATTATAACGAGATAATGCGGATATGGAGAGCGGCACTCAATCTCGCGTATAGGCGCCCGAAGGATGTCGATCCAGAAGAGATGTGGCATGAGACCGAGGAGATGGTGGAGCTGTTCCTCGAGATAGGTGGAAAGCTGAATCAAGGCCATATACCAGGGCAGAGTGGCCAGAACTCTGCAGTAGAGTCGCAAAATCGAGAGATTGACGATGGAGAAATCGTCGCTAGAATGCACCCTGTCCCAGATGTGCTCACTCGAGGCTCGAGTGGTGTGGTGAGCCTTTCCTCACCATCACATATACCAGTATTCAGTACGCGCTCGCTCGACCCGCGATCTCCACACACTACACGATCGATACCATACGTTGGGCGACGAGAGTTCACTGTCCGATCCCCAGCGCTCCTCAACGACATCATGCTGATGTTCCCACGAGCCATGGGACTCGATTCACGACAATTCCCATTCGCCACAGAGAACAATAATGCAGAGGCACATTCCAATCCAGCATCGCCTACAGGAAGTTCAACACCACCACCAGCACAGCCATCATCACCAGCACAATCACCATCCCTACACCCAACCTTCCCCTCAATCCTCCACTCCACCACCCCGATGTCCCTCATGCCCGCCATCGTACAGCGCAACTACCGCCAAAACGTCTTCCAAGTACTCAACGACCTGCGCAACGCGACTTCGTCCAATACGTTCCACGAATACCTAGATGCGTACTGGGAGCACGTGGAGAGCCAAGTACCGGAGCAAGCAAGCGAGGTTGGGGCGCATGATGTTTGGAGGTGGAGAAGTATGGGGGCGCCAGGGGGTGGGTTCAGGTAGGATTTCTCAAGGCGGACGGACACGGCGGAAGCAGGGGAGGATTGGGTGGGCTTGGCGGGCGGAAGGACGGACCGGGCAGTATCAGAGCGGATTATACGGGAATGATCCGTCAGCCTGGGCAAGAAAATAAGCTAGGTTGATGACGATCTCGACGATATAGCGGTTAGTCTGGCGGGTGTGATGTGCATTAGTTCGAGAGTATCATGTATGCTAGCGTCAGGCTGTCATATGGAGATTGTAGTACGAAGGGATAATGTCAATGGCGCTGTGAGATGTGTTGGAAGTGAGAACCGTCGTTCTTCGTGGATTGAAATATATTCATTTGATTCATTGAATAAACTAATTTCATGTTGTCTGTCGCGCTGTACACAACGCAACGAGCGCTGGCGCCTTTGGTGCGCTTAGATAGCGCGCTCAATAGTGGTGGTCTGGCCCTTGTCAGACACACCCTCGATCTCGCCGTTGTTGACAGTCTTCTCGACAGCCCTAGCCTGCTTCTCAGCAAGTTCCTTGTCCTCGAACACTGTTGTGGTGTTAGCGTCATTCTGCGAACATCAACATGGTGCAACTTACAGAAAGCCAACTCCTCAAGAGTACGGTTGTACGTCTCGGGGTACATGAAGTAAATGAACATGAACTCAAAAGTGATCCAGCCGCAGTAGATGGCCAGGTACTTCCAGTCGATAGCGGTGAGTGCAAGCGGGTTGACGTTGACGCTGAAGAAACCGGCAAGCTTGCCGAAGATCTGCTGGATACCGATACCCATGGTACGCTGGGCGTATGGGAAGAGTTCGACGAGGTAAGTGTAGGTGAGCGAGTTGTTTCCGATGTTGTAGCAGGGAGAGTAGGCGAAGAAGAAGAACAGTGAGGCGATCTGAGCCGAGGGGTTCTTTACGCCGTCTTGTTGTGCGACACGGAGACGCTGGAAGCAGATGGTCATGGCCATGAAGACCATGGTCATTGAGGCGGCGGAAAGCATGAACATGCGGCGACGGCGGAACCTGGTGACGACCAAGGCGATGACAATGGCGTTCATCAAACTCCAGCACTGGTTGGCAATGTTGATTCTGGTCTTTGCGTAGGTGGAAGTGTAACCCATCAGAGTAAACAACAAATTCTGGTAGTACGAGAGCAGGGTGTTGCCGCTCATTTGCGTGAAAAGACCAAGGAAGACGGTGATGAGGACACGACGGCGCATTCCCTTCGTGCGCAACATGTCCATCCATGATTGCTTAGAGTGCTCCATTTCGATTTTGATGGTGGATCGGATCTGCGCCATCTCGGCCTGTACGAGTAGCGAATTGTCGTCTCCCTCGGCGTGGTATTTGGTAAGGATAGCGTAAGCTTCGTCATCGCGATCCTTAGACACAAGCCAACGAGGACTCTCTGGCAGACAGCTGAGGACAATCAGAATCGGTCAAAACGACAGATTGGGGTGTACTTACTAGACAGTGGCGATTTGCAGCATGGACGGGCACATTTGCAGCAGGGAAGGCACGCGCCAACTCCAGTCGCCCACAATGTCTGTGGTGCGGATCGCGATAGCTGATGCAGTGATGGAACCGATGAAGTACGAGGCGTTGAACAGCGAAGTCAGATAGGGTCGTTCCTTGGGGTAACCAAGTTCACCGATAAGCGCTGCGCCGGAGATGATACAGAAAACGATACCGACACCCAGCAACATACGAGCAATGATGTACATAGCAACTGAAAGCTGTTAGAATTCAAAGATTCGGTCCGAGTGACTGGAGCCAACATACGATGCTGAGAGAAACCCTGCAAGATAGCGCCGATCACCATGATCACGGAGCCACACATGATGCATGACCTTCTTCCAAATTTCTGGTTGTACCATGGAGCGATGGGCACGGCGAGAATCGAACCGAGTTGGTAACAAGATGAGATGAAACCAAGGATTGATGGTCTGATGTCAGGCTTGCCTGTCTTGGGGTTCTTGTAGCCGTCGCCGAAATATTTATTGAAGGCCGGTGAAAATTGGAGAGTGTTGATAAGTTGCGAGTCGAATCCGGAGGTAATCTCGACACCCATACAGCAGACAAAGAGGTAGAGGTACATGATCCTCAGGTTACGCTTCTTGTACCACGGCACCTTGTCTTGCTCCACCATGCGGGTGACGATGGGGTCGGAGCCATGGCCGGTGTTTGGTGCTTTGAGGAGACCCATGATGGCGGTGTCAATGTAGACCAGAGGGTTGCCGTAACGTTCGCAAAGGCATGGGGGTTGAGACAATACTTATACGACCCCCATCGCATCCCTACCCCGGGTGTTTACCCCAGACACCCCGAGGACGGGATAGGCTAAGGCGGAGAGTGTGACCGTCTTACCGAATCACTACCTTACAGTAGACAAGCGTCTCGGCGCGCCTCTCGTGCGCTGCTTGGAACCGGCTAAATAGGAGTGATTCCGCCAATAACCGGGAAAATATCGCAGAACCATTGTTCAAGAAGTCCGAAAAGGCGCCTCAATCGCCGCGCTTGTAAGCTTTTGCGCCTCTCTTTAACCAGTCGCGAGTCTAAGCCATGTCAAAGAATTCGATGTTGTCGCATGAGCTCTAACTTAGGGCAATCCGACAGGGTTCGGCTTGAACGCACCCCATGGACCACCTCCCTGGGGTTGACGCGGGGCGGTACCGAAAGCCTGGTAACAGCACTATATTCCTGTTGGCCTTAGATACATACTGTCTGACAAGAACTTGTCAACGGACGTATGGGCATTGAGAACAGCGCGCCATCATCAGCTGAGAGGCATTCTACCGTAGTGACTTCGGCATTTGTCTGAGGCTTTGCCATGGCGATTGCAGACTTCCTACTGTGCTTGAGGTGGCTTAAATAGCTCGATGTATCTGATTCATGCTCTCGGAAATTCAGCATAGTTCAAGGCGGCAGGTAGTCATTAGCTGGATGCCGAGACGAGAGCGGGGTTTAATGTCGCCTAAACAAACTTCGCCTCTGCCTTGCACAGACCTTCCTCAGGCCGTCAGCGGCGCGGATTATCTCGTGATGTGATCACGCCCCGCGAAGAGGAATTTTGAGCTTGGTTGTCTATGCGACCAAGCTGCTTATATTCGGCAACGCCGTCGTTCTCATTGTGGCTGCTCGAGCGAAGGAGAGTTGATTGGTAGGTCAGATCATTCCCAGGATGAGATAGCCGCCGCTGCAGGTATATTAGTCGGCAAGGATCTGTACAGATTGCTCAAGTCCTTCTCGAAGCATGCATTCAACGTCTGACCGCATCAGGGTAGCTACCGAGTGGTCCCAAGAGCAAGGGCAATTTGATTGGGCGCTCTTTGCTTGACGCGGTACGGTGCGAGAGTGCTCGTGGTCTCAGGGAAGCTGACCGCCCGTATGTTGCCAAGATGAAAGGATGCACGCTCAGACATCGGAGGAGAAACATCACTTTCGTATCATTGGTCCGAAGCTTGTGTGCCGGCTCCGATGGAGATAGATGCCGAAGTGTTGATGGATGGAGGACTGTGCAGCATACGAGCATGCAGGTGTCCCTCTCAACAACACGGTCGAGCGTCAAAGTAGGGGTCGGCGACAGGTAGTCGACTGTCGCCCAGGGCTCGCACAGAAAAGCTAAATCATAGTCGGTGACAAGTTGCCGAAATACGAGGATTCTAGAATTTGGTGTTTGACTGGGACACAATTGGAAGCGCGTGTGTCGGCCATGAGCTCGGCGCTACTCGGAGTAACTCGGACCCGAAGCCGAGCAATTGGGCGCATCCAGGTCTGCGTGGGGAAGCGGAGGATATGGCGTGAACATGCATGGTACATGGTTTCGCCGCTCAATTTTGTTTAATTGCTCATATTCACTTCAGCTGTTCTTCAACAAAACTTTCGCAGACGCTCAAAGTGATCTCTCGTAGAATTTCACTGTTCTTATACACGCTATATGGTCGTGATAAAGGGTTGATGCGCATTAGGCCCACGAAATAAAACAACAACGAATAATTGACGCCGCGCTCGTACATGACATTCTGAAGTATTGCGTATAGTATGGGAAGGGTATCATAGGGTATTTGTTCCGTGTTCATTATTTCCGGTAGGTGCTTCTCGTAAAGTCTAAACACCAGCCATCGCTGGTGCAGGCGCAATGTCGTTACGGGAGCTTCCGCGAATATGCAGGGCGGCGAGGATAGTGGTAGCGACGAAGGTTAGCCTATCATTGTTAGCACAGGGACGACTTCGATACATGGCGATTGACGTACCAAAGGAAGGCTGAGAACACAATAGCAGCTACACCGCAGCTGTAGAATGTGTTGTCTCCAACATAGCCCCACCAGCTGTTGTTCCAGCGCACAGCCACAGCAACGAAGGCAGCGAACCAGAAGATCATGGTGATGAACTCAACGGCGCCAATAGCGAATTTGTGCGCGGCTTTTGGGAAGCGTGTAGGTGCGAGCAAGAGATATGCTACTGCCAGGAGCGTCCAGATGGAGCAGAACAGCATGAAGTTCACGCTGTGAGGCGACCAGTTATAGCCAGGGCCATTGTATGCATCAACGACTAAACATTGTTAGCATCTGTACAAAGAAGCTTCCAGGAAGAGCGGCATACGGTATGCAGTCAGACCCAGCACAATGATGGAGAACAGAGCCTGTACGCCGCGAAGGCCGAGAACGATGATTGGAGCGACCATATTTTCGACGCGATGTTGTTGATGAAGCGACACGGGTGTGGCTGAAGACTAGATGCAGGTCGCGGGAAGGCTGCAGGTATTGTTTTCGCTACCAACTCGTTGCGAGATTGAAGAGGAAGGTGGATAGCAGACTCACGACGCTCAGCTGCCCTTTATTATACACGCGCGCGCGATGCCGTCAGGGCTGTGAAGGCCTGCTACGTCACCCGTCCAGGATCTCCGCCCGAAAGCAAGTTGGCGGTGGCTCGTGACACCTTACCATTGGCTGTCAGGCGACTTGGCACGCCCTGATTCTTCGCGAGTGATGCGATGCGTTACTCAACAACCGCCCTGGAAACTCTTTCATGGGCGTCGCTTTGTCTTCACTCTACGAGGTTTGCGACGCGCTTTCTGGCTTCTTTTCGAGACGCGACGAGCTGCGACTGGACTATTGTTGCGGCCGCGGAGAATTTTCAAAGGACCCGAGATGATGTGGCGTTAGCTGCGCCTCTCGTCCCTGTTACGCGGCTCCCAAGAATGTCGGAAAGGACGGCACTACCGACATGCCTTAGTATCGTCATCTTTTCGTATGCCATCATCGTATCTCTGGAACAGTTTTCTTTGCGGTCATGGTTCTTGCGCGAGATAAGGTCTCAGCAGCAGCAATATGGCGATCTTCCAGGCGAGCTCCGACATTGGCAATCGCTCACTACGTCCAAGGCTGAGAGAACCACTATCGCTCGTGATATCGACGGTATCCGGTAGCATCACAATAACAGGCCACGATCCTTTGTAAGGCTTCACCACGTTGTTTTTTGTTTGCAAACATGGTGAAGGGCCTATTCCACCAACACTGTGTCGCGACTAGGAGTATATACAATACACGATGTGGGACGGTGAAGCCTCTACAAAAAAATCGCCTACTTCTACCCTTCACGCTTTTCTTCATTAGTTCTTTATCATTACATTCAAGAGGTATCATACATAGGCTTCGTTTGTTCTCTTGAAACGTCATTCACAGGAATTGGCTAAGTCAACTACACGTCGATAACCCGACATGTCAACTCAGTCTTCCAAGCGCCCTGATAGTGCTATTCCTGTACGACATATGGATATGGCTCAATTGACACAACAGGTTCTGCGACTGCAACAGGAGAATGCTGCCTTGAAGAAGGCATCGTCTGCAGATCCCGGTCACCATGCCACCAACGAGCTTGCTCTTGCTTACGCCCAGATTCAAACCCTCCGGGAAGAAAATTCTGAGCTGAGCAATCTGAGGAGTCTCCACGACGAGTATGGCTGCCCCGAGCTGATGCAGATCACACAGCGGGAAGTCGTACATGCTCAGCTACGACAACGGTCTGCTGAAGCCGAAAGTAAGGGATTTCGCCATTTACATCTCGCAAACAAGTCAATGGAAAAGCAAATACTCACTGCTCAAAAGCTGCTTGGTGATTCTACGCGCGAGCTTCGCCTCAGCGAAGCCGAGGTCACGTCGCTCAAGCTATCGATTGAAGTCTATCGTCAAGGCCAGATGGATGCCGAAGACAAGGTCGCCTTGCTTGAGGCCGAGCTCCTGCGGTGCAAACAACGGGAGGCCAACCAGTCAAGCATCACCATCCACATCGATTCTTCCCAGCCGAAGAAATGGAACCTGATCAAGCGTGCCCGCGCCGCCATGGCTCAAAACACGACACTTGACATTCAAGGACCTCCAGAGCTAGTAGCCTCTTTTGTGAGCGACATGCGCACTGTCGAGATTGATCATAAGAAGCAAACTGCAGCAGCCGAGCATTGGCAGAAGGTGGCCAATGATGCTCGCGTCAACACTGTCACGGGTCCGATCTGTACTGTGCCTGGCCATAGGAGCATGAAGGACGAGCTGGAAGCCAAAGATCAGCAACTCAAGATGCAGAACCAGCTCGTTGCAACCTGGCAGAAGAGGCATGCGGAGATCAAAGGCTTCATGGATCGGGCTGGGATCGAGATGAGGGCTCAAGGTGTTCGGGGTGTTTTATAGAGTGATGAGCGCTAGCAACTTGTCTTGTCCTGTCCTCCTTTCTTGATGTTTCATCCCAGCAGTTATAGTGCTCAATGTTCTACTAATTGAGCTGTTCATTGAAAACTTCGATTATCGTTCCAATTCATTTCCACTTCCAACTTTCCCAATTTTCAATATCGCTCGTTCTTCGTGATGCGTGATATCATCTTATTAGCGTGCCTTCTCATTGGCCCGTATACGCGGAGTACGACCGTACGATGTGGCTGCCTTCGGCGACCACGCGTCCTCCTAATAGACAACATTAAACAACGCGGCATTTGCCTAGCTCAATGCTGATATCACTTAGCCACAACACCTTGTCTAGGGACACAGCTAGGTTGCGTGACATTACTTGATCGCGCGACTGCGCTTGCAACGACACATCTCCATCACCGGCCGTCAATACTCACGACATCCCGCATCAGCCAGAAAATGGCCGCATACCCCTCAGAAAAAGAGCCGATGCGCAAAATCAATACCTCCAAGTTCTACTTCGAGTACAAGGGCCACCCCATAGAGGATCTTGAGCGCTTCAAAGAGATCACACTCGCGGAACGACCGGATAAGCCTATTGTCTACCTAGCTGGCGACTCTTCACTCGACAACAAGTTCTGGCTGCACAAGACCGTCGAAGAAATTGGCGTCGATGTCCCTAAAATCTACGAGAAGACGCTCGAGAAACCGCTGCCAAAGCCGGATGTCTCGTTCTGGCTAAACCATGTGCTGGGCGAGCGTGCAACGTGCATCAACACTGCAGTAGAGGAGTCAATGCTGCGCGAGCGCGATGAGAAGTTGTTAACTCACGATGAATTCATTCGCGACAACATCCGTGCCGAGGACGTCCTGATCGTGAGCATTGGCGCAAACGACATCGCTTTAAAACCACTGCCTTGCACAATGCGCCACATGCTCCAACTCGCCTGGCTCACACCCCGCAAATCCCTCGAGAACCATACCGCAAGTTCGCTACAGTACTTCAAGAACCTCTTCGGTACCAAGATTCAGGACTACGTCACTCGCGTTACTGCCAAAACCAAGCCGCGCGCCGTCATCGTGTGCATGATCTATTTCCCACTGGAAGCGCAATTCAACCAAAAGAGCTGGGCAGAGTGGCAACTTAAGGCGTTAGGGTATAATTGGTTTCCCGGACAGCTGCAGACGGCGATTAGGGCGATGTATGAGATTGCGACGAAGGAGATCAGGGTGGAGGGTACGGAGATTGTGCCGTGCGCGCTGCATGAGGTGCTAGACGGGAAGTGTGCGGACGATTACGAGGCAAGGGTAGAGCCTAATCATGAGGGGGGACGGAAGATGGCCGTGAGGTTCGAAGAGTTGTTGGAGGGGAGACTGGACACGACCAACGAATCTGTGGCGGGAAGTGACACGGTGGATAAGACACTGGACCTGATTGTTTGAGATGTAGCTCTTCATTTAAACACTGAAACTAAATCCTGAACACACACATAAACACAGTTTCTACATGCTGCGGAATTGCCAATTGTCCCGACCACCAAACTTTCTCCAAGACTGATCAGGGGTGACGATTACGAGCTGACGTGAATGAGACACTGATAGCTAACAGCGTAAACACGTGAAAAGGTCACAAAGAACAGTCTCTCGACATCGCACGTGAAAGCGACAATAGCGGGCGGTACCTACCTAGGTAGTAGGCACACAATCGCAGTGCTTGTATTCACCTCCGCTAAGTATCTCGACACGCACCGCCTCCACCCTTAAACAATCCTCACAATTCGAACAACGTCTTCTACATCTCTTGCACTACCAGCTCCCAAAGGTCTCAACCAACCGCAGGCGCAAGTGCTTTCTCCGCTCTTTCCACTTTCACCACACGCTAGCTTGGCGAGCCGCCCACAGCTATTGAGCACCTCGCTCACAAGGTCTCCTCTACAACATCTCTACTACCCAATCTCCACCTCAAACCATTGTTCTCGACCATAGCTTGGCCCAACTCCACCACCTCGCCCCCTACACTGCGCGCATCCTCGCCATGCTCGCCTTTACATACCGCGCCTTGGCGCCAGTCTTCCAGTTCCTGGCCACATGCTTTCGCATGCTGTTCCACTACCCTATCGTTGTCTTACAGACCCTCTACTGCTTCTTGGAAGCCATCTCTGTGAAGACGCACTTCATCATCGTGGAGTGCATCTTGGTCATGTTCGTTGTCTCGTTCTTTGCCATGGCGTTCATTTTCGCCATTGCAAACGATCGCCATGAGGCCGACGAGAAGAAAATGCGCAAAGATGGGATCCTCGCCCGGGAGGATCAACATAGCCGACACGTTGCCGAGAAGGAGAACCAGCATGATCGTCACATTGCTGACAAGAAGGCATGTCACCTTCGCCAAGTCGAAGAAATCGAGATGTGCGAGGAACTTATAGTTGGCATTGTGTTAAACAACACCAAGTCCGACCAGATTCACGCTGCGCTGCTGAAGAAGCTCAGCGAGCTGGTGACTCTCCAGGAGGTCGACCAGGCGATCGCGCAACATATGAAGGTTGTCTCTGGCTCTGCTGCGCCCTCACAGTGCCCATATCCCGCCATCTCCGACACCATGGCTGCTTTTTCAGTGGACATCGGTGTGCACATGCAACTCCAGATCAACGAGGCTGTCGCGCGTGGGTACGAGCGGCTGATGACTTCGCCTCCGCTGTCATACTCTCCCATCCAGTCTCAAGAGACTATGAGCACGCCGCCTACATGGCAGAAGCCGTCACTGAGCATATCTCCAGTGAGCAGCACGGAGACTACACCGATCTCTCCACCGAATGACACGCTGAGCATCTCAGATGTCGTGGCTCAGGATACTGCACCAGTTGCTTCCGCGAAGCCCGTCCTGTCGTTGTCTCTTGTCTCAAGCCAGGACACTGAGCCTCTCGACATCTGTCAGTCAAAGCTCTCGATTGGCCCCATCGTGTCGCAGAGCACGGCACCACTGCAGGCCCAGCCCCTGAAGCTGTCGATGAGCAAGATCGAAGCTGTCTCCACTTCTCCTCTTGAAGTGGCTCCTACTCCGCTGGCTATCTCCGAAGTCAAGACAGTTCTTGAGCAAGCCCCAGTCTCATGTCAAGCCATATCAGATGCAGCCGAAGCAAAGGAAGTCGTTGCACAGCTTCTTGCTGTCATCAACGGTTGGAAGACACGCTCTGGAAAGTACCAAGGTCTCACATTTCAATGCATTACCTTCGACGTCGATCGTTTGCAGAATGACGAAGCCGCTTCGGCACTCAAAGATTTCAAAAAGAAGGTCAACATGCTATTCTTTGGATACGCCCAGAACGAAGACGCAGCTCGCTCAGATCTACGCCTTGCGACATCGGAAAGCGATAGATTGAAGTCAGCGATCGATGGGTTGCAGTCCGATAACAACGAGTTGAAGTCGGCGATAATCCAACTGAAGTCAGAAATGGAGGGTTACGCTGGCGCCTTCGCTGCCATGCAGTGCGAGGACTATGACGAAGATCTCGATCAGTTCGAGCAGCAACTCGCGGAGCAGGGCGAGCAAGTTGTTGTGGCCGATGAGGCTATGACTCCTGTCATAACTGGCATTGTTGCGACTGCCGCCCCTCTCGCCCCAGTATCGTCTCTTCCCGACATCAGTGTGCCAACTCAGACACACGTCGCTGCCGCCGCCGAGGAACCCGTGAAGGCACTATCTCCTCCACCTTCATTCGAAAAGAAGGTTACGACGCCCCCTGCGACTGGCCTTTTCGCGAGTTCCTTCGCTTCTGAAGTGTCTTCGAAGCCTCCAAACTTTCCTGTACCAGTACACACGCCCATTAAAATTGTGGCGAAGGTTTTCACGCCACCTAAAGTTGAGCATGAAGTTGCGAGCTCCTCTGGGAATGGCCCTTTGGCGAGCGCTTTCGCTTCTGCAGTCTCTTCGAAGCCTGCTAACTCTCCTGCCCCCGTTCAGTCAAACGCCGAGACAAATACGAAGGCTGCCGCGGCACCTACAGTCAATCAGGCTGCGAGATCCACCGGGACCGATCTTTTCGCGAGCATTTTCGCCTCTGAGGTGTCTTCGAAGCCTCCGACCTTCCCTGTGCCAGTCCAGTCACACACTGGTACGGAGGCGAAAACTACCACGCCAACCCCCTCCGCCCCAAAGATCGAAGAGGTCACCGAAAATGCCGAGAATGGAATCCACTGCGATATCTGTGATTTGATGGTCACAGGCGGTATGAAGAAGCATGCAGAGAATCGCCATGGTTACTGTATGATATGCAAACAGATGGTCTCAGGAGACTGGACCAATGACCGCTTTACCTACGACAAGCACAAGGAGCAGTGTCGCACAATCTTCAAGCCAGAGTCAGCGGTGAAGGCCCCTGTTATACCAAAGCCTTCTGCGGCTACATCAAAGACGCTGGTACACACCCCCAAGCCACCAACCACCCCTACGACCAGCGGAACTACCAAAACCTTCGTCTGCAGACACTGCCACGAAGACGTGATCGCGCCCGTGATCACCGTTCGCGAAGGCCACCAGATCGGCGACTTCTCCAAGCACAATATCACCTGCCGCGGCGCGCGGACGTACGTGAAGTTCTACTGCGTCAACTGCGGCATGGGGGTCACCAACACCGACCAGTTCCACGCCGAGCATAGGCAGGCATGCCAGAAGGACGCGAGCAAGATTGGAAACTTCCGGGCTTTTGACAAGACGACTGGTTTACGGATTGGGGATTCGACTGAGGGACTGCCGCCGATGGCGCCGCGAGTGATGCTGGGACGAACGGATGGGAGTAGGTCCTCCAAGCCGCCGACGAAGGGTCGGGGGCCCATGCTTGGTTCGCGGCACTCGACGCCGGTGAAGATTGCGACGCCTGAGGGATCGCAGGCTGAGCGTGAGGCTCGTGGCCGTGGAGCTGCGTCATCCTCGCCGCTGCAGCCGCAATGGGAGGGTAACGTGATTAGGTACTAGGAGTGAAGAGTACGAGATCGATGGAGGAGACATGACCAATTGAAAATGATAGAGATATCAGGCTTAACGAATACAAAACCAATGAAATGGATACTTGAATGTCAATTCTCGCTCTTGTCTGCTCCATGATGTGAATATGTTCTTGTGCCCTCCGCTGCCAACATGAACTTCATGTCATTAGCTTTCAACTGTGTTGAACTAGACATACTCAGAGCGAGATCAATAATGTGCACCGGGTCTCATGACATGATAAAGTACCCAAGTGTCCGCAAAATGACGTTGACAAATGTGTTGCTGCCAATGCTGACATGCAGTGGTCGAAAGATCGCCGCGAACTATGCATCGGCAGACGATATAGATCATACATGTCGTTGCGACTGGCTGATGGCTACAAGGTATAGCACGCTGCCATATCGAAGCTCAAGTGTGGCTACTGAGAGTTTTTGATGTTGTGAGACGTCTGGACCCGCGAGTGGTTTTGCGGTATGGATGAGCGCATTTGTTCAGTAAGATAACCTACTTGTTTCGATTCTTGGAAGCTGTGTTAGGAAAAGGAGTCGGACCGGTAATAGTGGGAATGCGTAGATTGGGAGCGCGAGTGTTCGGGCGTGGGGACACGATGGATATGTGAAACAGAAGAAACGATAGTAGGAGAGTCGGGGAATCCGCTGGGAACACATAGACCTCAGCAGACAACAACAAAGGCATCATCATAAAAGTATTTTCGAAAGTGGTGAGGCGGGAGTGTTGTCCAGATGAAGACGACTGGGGTGAGCTCGGGGACGTGCGCTGATAACAAAAGGCTTGATTGGCTAGCGCAAGAAGCGGATCAATGTTTCCAAGGTTTCGGCTCTGCCCAGGGCGTACCTTGCAGAACAGCGACAAACCTCACCACCAGGCCTCATCCATCGCCCTTCCATGCATCCTTCTATCGTCACAATAATTTCCATCGTACCGAACATTCATGTATCGCCACTATCACCTTCCCAACTGATATAGAGGGGCCATTTGCAATCGGAGCGGAACCACTAAAATGCCTTGTTTAACCGGGAGGAGTACTTGGCGCAAGTCTTGACACCTGCTCAATGAGGCAACTGGTATGCTGGTATCATTTTAGATCGGTGCTGTGCCATCAGGCACACTGCATCAAGTGCACTGATGGCACACTACATAAATCCTCTTTCCGCCACAGATGTTGGGTTAGGAGCTCTTGTGCTTTCGTCTCATTCAGTTGCACGACGTCTTGTTGCTCTGCACCTACCTGTAGGGAACTCCACAATTTGATCTGAGCATCGGAGCACGTACTTGCACCGCAGCTCTATCAATACCTCGTACAGTCAATCGGACTCCAACAGCTCTGGTGTCTTTGTCAATATGCGCACTTTCGCTTTCTGCGCCGCGGCGCTGCCGTTGATCAGTGCCATTACGCCACCCCGCTTCCCGCATCAGCCGCTCGGAAACGGCACGAAGCGTCTTACCTACAACATCACTACCGACGCCCCTGGACAGCTGTCAGCCTCAGCCCGTTCATTCAGCTGGGTCGGAACCGGGGCTGATGGCGACTACATCTACACTGGCAGCAACGGAGATTTCTTGTTCGAAAACGTTGCGACCGGCCAATCGAGCACTTTCCTCTCCGCCGACAAAGTCCCGGCGGACTACCATGACTACTCTATTGCGCCAGATGCCGAGCACGTTCTCTGGTCTGTCAACTACACCAAGCAGTACCGCTACAGCTACTTCGCCGACTTCCTGATTCAGGATGTTGCAAGCGGAGAAACGCAGCCGCTGGACCCCACTCTTGCCGGCGACATCCAGTATGCTGAATGGAGCCCTGTGACACCCGGTCAGATTGCATTTGTCAAGGGTAACAACCTATACATGTGGAACAACGGTACAATCACCCAGATCACCACGAATGGTGGCCCAGACTGGTTCAGTAAGTTTTCATCAAAGCATATACAATGATCTCTCTAACATAATTTCAGATGCTGTGCCAGACTGGGTATACGAGGAGGAGATCTTCGGTGACCGTTACACCCTGTGGTTCTCCCCTGACGGCTCCAAGATTGCTTTCCTCACCTTCAACGAGACTGGCGTTGGCAACTTCCGCATCCCTTACTACATCGACGACGGTGCCGAGTATGTTCCAGTCTACCCCAACGATCTGGACCTCCGCTACCCCAAGGTCGGCACCAAGAACCCTGTCGTCGGCTTCAATATCCTTGATGTCGAGTCTGGAGAAGTCAGCAATGTCCCGATTGATGCCTTCCCAGAGGACGACCTGGTTATCGGCGAGGTTGCATGGCTTACCGAGGGTAACAGTCTTGTCACTTACCGCGCGTACAACCGTGTCCAGGATCTAGAGAAACTTGTCTTGGTAGATGTAGACTCCCTTTCTTCCAAGATCACCCACGAGCGCGACGGAACAGACGGTTGGCTCGAGAACAACATGCAGATCCGCTACATCGGCCCGGTCTCGCGAGCCAACTCGACATACCGCAATTCCAGCACCGAATACTACTTGGACGTCTCCGACGAGAGTGGCTGGAAGCACCTGTACCTCTTCCCAGTCGAGGGTGGTGACAAGATCGCGCTCACATCCGGAGATTGGGAAGTGCTAGATGTTTTGAAGGTCGACTACAAACGTGGCCTTGTCTACTTTACTTCCACTGAGCAGCACAGTACTGAGTCGCATCTCTACTCTGTCAGCATCACCACTGGTGAGAAGAAGGTGCTCGTTGACGACAGCGTGTCCGCGTCCTGGACCGGTTCTTTCTCGTCCGGTGGCTCTTACTATGTCACTCGCTACGCCGGCCCTGATGTTCCTTACCAGGAGCTATACTCTGTGAACTCAACCACCCCCATCCGCACCATTGTCGACAACAAGCAATTGGTCGATAGGCTCTCCGAGTACGCACTCCCCAACATTACCTACCTCGACATGGCTCATCCTTCCGGCTTCACTCTGGACGCCATGCTCCGCCTACCACCGAACTTTGACCCCAGCAAGAAGTACCCTCTTCTTCTCATCCCATACGGTGGCCCTAACGCTAAGGAAGTCACCAAGAACTTCAACCCTCTTAACTGGAAAGCCTACGTCGCGTCTGATTCCGAGCTTGAGTACGTGACTCTCACCGTCGATGGCCGCGGTACCGGACGTAAGGGCCGCAAATTCCGTGCTACTGTAACTTCCAACCTTGGCCAGCTCGAAGCTGAGGACCAGATCTGGGCCGCTAAGGAATTGGCCAAGAACTCATGGATCGATAGCGAGCACATTGGTATCTTCGGCTGGTCGTACGGTGGCTACCTCTCCGCCAAGGTCGTCGAAGTCGGCGACCCCATCATCTCTTTCGCATGCATCACCGCCCCCGTCTCCGACTGGCGCTTCTACGACTCCCTCTACACGGAGCGCTACATGAAGACCCCCACCATCAACCCCGAGGGCTACAACCGCTCCCGCGTGCACGACGCCACCGGCTTCAAGAAGATCGCTGGTGGTGTCGTCATCCAGCACGGCACTGGTGACGACAATGTGCATTTCCAGAACGGCGCTGCGCTCGTGGACTTGCTCATGGTCAACCGCGTTACTCCTGAGAAGATGATCAACACCTTCTTTACCGACAGCGACCACAGCATTAACTTCCACAACAATGGCAAGTTCTTGTACAGGCAGTTGAGCAAGAAGCTGTTTGATGAGAAGGCGAGGAAGGGAGATAGCAAGGGTGGACATCAGTGGAGTAAGAAGAGAGGGCTGAGGAGGTTTGAGGAATAGAAACTGTAAACGTAGTGTTTGAATGATAATGTTTTACTGTTGTAACCTCTTTCGATACATGTCCAAGTCGAAATGCGAAACAAATTACTGAATCTAGGATTTCTTATCGTACCCGTTACAACCATGACACAACACCGTTACTGACTTCTCAGCATCCTGATCTCCTCACTACTCCATAGCTGCTCCGTCAATCGCCATAGTTATATTGGACTCGAATACCCTACCCGCTCCGTAACAGTGTCCTCACCTGGTCTCAGATACTGATATTACCGATGAATTGCGTAACTGCCGCGCATTTCTTTTCACTCTAGCCCTCGATATGCTACATTAGTCGTCACCATCTCGCAGCTCCATCTTGTATTGTCACATACGGATACACACTCGCTGTCATTAATATTCTACTCGACTTTCTATAGCGGTGTATTTACCCTGTTGTGCTGATGATGGCGAAAGTGGTATGATACGCCGGTGTAGCTAGCGGCAGAGCGGCAAAGCGACAAAGTGAATGTCAGAATACATGTGGGACGCACGGACGATAACAAACGCCCGCTCTTGCGTAAGGCAAAGTACAAATTTCACATTAAAAAAAACTTTTCGCGAGCAAGTTGTGCGCTAAATAACAATCTGCGATGGATAACTTTTCTCCTCGCTCCGACACTGCGACCATCACCAGCACCTGCACCAGCAGCGACAGTCAGCCGTACCAAATCAAGTACTAAATCTCCTATCAGATCAAAAAACAAGATGTCAACCCCAACCGACATGTCATCACCCCCCATCAAAACTGAGACGTCGACGCCATCCTCGCTGTCAACACCAACCTCAACATCCACCCCACCCACCAAACCCCCTCGGCTCATCAACCCCCTAACATCCCTCCCGATCATCCATCCGGCCGAAGCCGAACTACTCTTCCACGCTGCCGCCATCCGCTACGCGCGCATCCCGCACGAAGGCCTGCGCCGCATCTGCGCCGATGCCGGCGTCGCTATGAGGGCGTGTGATCCGACGTTTGGGTTCCAGGAGTTACTGCAGGTGTGGATGGAAAAGTTGGAGGTCGAGAAGAAGATCTGGGAGGAGGAGAAGAGGGTGAATAGGGAGAAGGATCGAAGGGAGGGTGCGTGGGGGAGCGCGAGGGTTGTGTGGTTGGATGAGCAGTAAGATGGAGGAGAGGTGCGCAGTGAACGACTTAGTCCAGACCCGCCATGGCGTGGTCTCGTGCGACATTGAGACGTATTTCCAGAGACGGCAGACACAAGGACAATCTGCACGGCTTACAAACTCGATGTGGTAATGTCGTCGCAGCGAAAGGAGGGTGTTGAGCAAACTCATAATTGTACAACCAAACACCAAATAATTACACACAAACCATTCCCGAATCATAAATGCTCACTCCTAACCACTAACTTTGTCCTCACTAATCGTTCACCAATACATCTACGTACACCACCCACAACAAAATGTCTGCCCAACGCGCATCCCGTGGCATAATCAACCCACTAACCAACGCCTAGGTCTGTCACGTCAGAGAAGCCCAGCACTTCTTCCAAGCCGCAGACATATACTACAAGGGTCTCAAGAAGCAGGAGTACAGGTCGATTGCAAAGGTCTGCATGGATGCGTTCCAGGCACTGCAGAGAGTGCGGGATGAGGGGCCGGAGGTGCTGAGGGAGACGATGACGGAGTGGTTGGAGAAGTTGGAGGTGGAAAGGGACATGGTTGAGGGGGAGAGGGAGAATATTGAGGGAGAGGAGTAAGATTTGGGTGCGGATGGAAGCAGTGTTCGGCAGGAGTGTTTGAATGAATGCAAAGGAGAATGGACACGAGATGCAGATGGCAAAGGTCACAGAGGGATTTGAAGATCATGTGTGGTACTCGCAACCATTGTAGAATGGAAAGTCATGTGTGCTTGTCACAATCGTGCTTGGCATCAATCAGTATGTAGTTGATGGGTATATAAGTCTTCATTGGCCCCAGAATGCTGAATCATAATCTCTTCCATCGTTCGCCTCGAAACCTTTCCCGTCAATAAGGAACACACAACAAAATGGCAAATCGACTCATCAATCCCATCACCGGCACCCCTGTGATTAGCTACAACGAAGCGGCCTTGTTTTTCATGGCTACGCGTATCCATTATAGTATGAAAGCAGATAACAAGCTGTATGCAGAGATAAAGCAGGCTTGTGAAAAGGCTAGACAAGCGATCACCGCTGCGGGACCTGCAGGACCACCACCCTTGGATGAGCTGGTGGATGAGTGGATGTTTAAGCTGGACGTAGAGAAAGCAGTGATGGAGCAAGAGAAGGCGAAACAGGAGGCAGCAGAGGCGTAAATGAAGGGTGCATAGAGTATTGGAGCAGTGAATGGCGATGACATTGCAGTAGATGGACTGGCCGGAAGCAATGGCAGTTCAGACGTGTGGTCCGACTTGCTCGCGGAAGGAGAATATTGGTAAAAGAGGTCAAGTACACAAATAAAATGTTTCTACAATTGGCACTCTTTGAAGTAATATAGATTGTGTAAGCAACTATTAGCGCATCGTTCTAGGTCTTTATGCATCAGCAATGCAATGAATGTCATAAGTCGAAGCATTGAAGACGGTTCACACGTTAGATTACGCATACAGTCTGCGTTTTGAAGATAGGGATGAAGTTAATGTTAGATGTTCAACCCCGCAATAACCTCCTTCTCCAAACAGCCTAGCGTGGTTGAACCCCATGATGAACGTCATCGGTCCTTTTCTAGCCTATCTCACTCGTGTCCGCCTCCAATTCCATTATACGCACCCATTAATAACGCCACTTGCACCATTTGGCATCGATCTAGAGGAATGGCGGATGGTTGCTGCCGCCTTACACACGTTCGTTGGGGCGACGGATCTGGGGTTGGTTCGTCGAGACAGGGGTCGTGATAAGGATGTGTGGAACCGAGGATACGATAGGCAATCTTGCAGACGATGTCGGCAATGAATTGAGGGGCGAAGGGATGTATGATGGTTTAGGAAAAAGTACAAAAGATGCGCATCGTCGCGAAGGCTGTGTTGGCCATTTCTACGCAGCTACTTACAAGTCTCGTAACGATGAGTACCCAGGAAAAGCAAGCAACCCGTGATTCGAAATCAGGAGATCTATCTCCAATTCCTGATTCGGATGTCGAAGTTGGAAGCGTCGGCGCTGTCGATGAAACGCCCGACGGCGATGAGGCACTTCGCTTCCTCAAAAACCAGCATGCTGTTGGAGAAATGACAGCAGAGGAAGAGCGATCACTCGTGAGGAAGATTGACTGGATGATCATGCCATTGATGTGGGCATGTTATTGTTTACAATACCTTGACAAGACTTTGGGTATGAAGACACTCCCGATTGGAGGCCAACGACTGACTAAATTCAGTCAACTACGCGGCTGTCATGGGAATTTACGACGATGCCAACATCACTACAAGTCAATTTTCGAACCTTGCCCTTTTCTTCTATGTCTCCTACCTAGTGCTGGAGTTTCCTCACGGTTATGGCATGCAAAGATTTCCGACAGCAAAGTACCTCGGTACCTGTGTCAGTCTGTGGGGATTCATCACTGCGATAACCTGTGTCTGCAAGAACTACGGTGCTCTCGTAGCGACCCGTATCCTCTTGGGTTGCTTCGAATCAGCTGTCGCGCCGAGCTTGATCCTGATCACATCTATGTGGTACAAGAAGAACGAGCAGCCACTGAGGACCGGCATCTGGTATGTCGGGGTTGGAACTGGAACTATGATCGGCTCTTTGATCTCCTTCGGCTTCCAGCACTACTATAGCCCGACCTTCACTAGCTGGCAGATCATGTTCCTGGTAGTCGGTCTAATCACAGTGGGTGTTGGTATCACTGGCAAGTGTTCGCTTTCATTGCATAGAATACGCCACCCTAACATGACTAGTGATATTCTTACTCCCTGACAATCCTATGTCGTCCCGTCTTAGCCCTGCTCAGAAAGTGTGGGCTATCGAACGCCTACGAGAGAACATGACAGGGATCGAAAACAAGCGATTCAAGTGGTATCAGGTTGTCGAATGTCTAAGCGACCCACAAACTTGGATGCTGTCTCTCATTACCATCTCGTCCAATGTACCGAACGGAGCCGTCAGCTCCTTCCAATCCACGCTCATCCAATCGTTCGGCTTCGACTCGAAGACCACCGCGCTGCTTCAACTTCCTTCTGGCGTTGTAAGCATCATTTCGATCATCGCAGCTACTTATCTAGCTGGACGCTTCAACCAACGCGGACTCAACATTTGCACTCTCTTGGTCCCCGGTATCATTGGTGGCGCACTAATGGCTTTCCTACCTGGGCATAACAAGATTGCCAAATTAATCGGCAACTATCTCACCAACTGCATCGGATCCAGTCTTCCGTTACTGTATTCTTGGGTTGCGGCAAATGTTGCAGGCCATACCAAGAAAGTTACGATGAACGCGATCTTGCTCATGTCCTTCTGCCTCGGTAATATCGTCGGACCATTGACGTTCCGTCAAGCTGATCAGCCCGATTTTATCCCTGCGAAGATCACCATCATTGTTACATGTGCTTTTGCAGGATTTCTGACTATGGCACTGCGCGGGTACTATGTCTGGGAAAATAAGAGGAGAGATCGATTGACAGATGGAACACACGTGGCAAACGAGGAGTTCTTGGACATGACAGACAAAGAGAACAAAAACTTTAGATACAAGTTGTAGTTGCGCAACAGGTATGTGGCATGTGGCGAGCATTGGCAGTCACGCCCTTTCGTCTCTTTGTCGGCCATTACTGTTTTTCGTATCGAGCCAAACCGATACCGCCTTGTCAACCACCATAGCTACAATCCGAACATAGCTCGTGCACTATTGCGCAATCACCGTGCGTCTTCAGGAAGTGCTTTTTGGTCCTTGGCATTGAGCTATGATCCTGAATAAACGGGGCCTGGAATATGATCGCCAGAGTTACAACAGGGTTGAAAATGCTGCTTCTTTTCGCGGGACGGCTCTTCCCACAGTCGACTATGTTGGTCACCAGATCGTAGCTCGGGGATCTAATCGCGACACGACGTGGTCGGTGCACCACAACATTTCGATCTTTTTCGTACCAGCAGCAGTGCAGTCGAGAGTACGTTAAAAATGATTTGTTACTAGTCCGAAGCACGCTAAGAACGATGTATTATTTAGCTGGACGTCATATGCGGAGCAGGGGTGAGATGCGAATCTATGCATACGCGTCAAGAACAGCACTGCTTCTGACCTTCAACTTGCAAGACATCCTTCGCCAAAATGGAATTAGACTGGCTCAGCCGGTTTCTTGAGAGCGGCAGTTCTGCATTACTCGGCGTGGTGCATCTCCACCCTGAGAACCAAAGCTCAGTGGGCCGTTGATTGATCTGGGCGAGTAGACTGGATTGATGTCTGGACATGGCACAGCAGTCGCTCCTACGCAACGGTTCTTCTGCATATGCTGAACAGGCTGAAAGATACCGAACACGCCCGTTCTCATTCGAGCGATCCTTGGAAGTGAGCAGCTACGCCGCTTGTTGGAATTACTGTAGGGGTCATGAGTGCTTGCGTCGAAGACCGTACATTGGTTGATCCGTAAGCAAGAGATGCCAGAGAAAATCTGTGATTGGGAGGTCGTCAAATGTGAAGTGGTGTGGAGTGATTCTCAACTTGATCACAAGCGCGGTGGATCTACGAATGGAGTAGTTAATTTAGTGATAGTAGATCTGTGACGAATACGGTTATGTCGAATTGCCCGATTCGTACTTTTTTCTGCGCTACAATGTCGCACAGCATGAACGTGTGGAAAGAGCGCACCTGCCGGGCGTCATTGGTTACTATCGCAATTGCCGACATGATCGCTGCGCTGAAAGGCGACCCAGGAAAAAGGCTGCTAGTATTTGACACGCGTGATGAGGGCCTATCAATGCATGAACTCTGCGCCACAATGCACACTAAGTGGAGTTCCCAACCTTCAGGATGAACTGCGTTTACTTGGCGGGTGGAGCAGCACATGAACACCAGAATGGGACCAAACGTCTAGATCACGCTGGCTCAGAGGGCATGGCACAGGCAGCAGTGATCCTTCGCATAATAGCGCCTCTGAGAATTTGTTTTGGGAATCTGTCCACGTGGAGAACCGAGGCAAAGCAAATACGCGGCTTGCTTAGCGAGCGTTCAGTCTTGAGCTTCTGTCTTGACGCCCTTAGGTCTCATGTAATCGCATCTCGAATGATATTGTTAGTGGGTTCGGGCCGCAGCGCTGGGTCAGCACCTGCATCATCATCATGCGCAGGACGACTCAAGACTAAGCGCCCGCGACCGCCTTTAGCGAAAATCTGGTAATCCTACTGGCAATCCAATTTTCAATACAGCCAATGACATTTTTCGCTCAGGCGTCAGCTTCGGTAATCGGGATCACCTTCCCGGTACCTCGTCGATCAACTGGAGAAAACCAGGTTCGCAGGCCTGCAGTGTTACAAAAACGTCCAGCTGTCATAATATGGGGCTACTATATCTGGTCTGACTATAGCAGCCCCCATACACTACATGTCTGCGCCGCTTTCAGGCGTTACTGTATGCGGTCAGCAGGGCTGCCTGGACCCTCAAATCAATCATGTGGCTTGGTTGGATATGAAGCTGTCGTGGCAGGAGCTTGAGATGAGCGCAGCCCTTACTACACTGAACTTTAGATCTGTGCAGATCTTCTGTTTGAACCCTTCTTATACACGATGCTTCTTTCAATACGACAGCTACATTAGTCATGAAATGTTGAGCGAGCAGAGAGTAATCAGCATTCAAATGAGATATAGATAATAGCACAAACAGTCTATTACAAGTCCTTCCACTATCTGTTTGGAGCGTCAGGCTGGGACCCAATTGTGGAATTGGGTGTTGGATCCAATTTTATCATTGTCAGCCAGTCACAGTGCGATTAGACAGTGGCCTGCATCGGGGCGTATCAGGTAGGCAACCCTCACCACATCTGACAAGGCACTACTAGTGCGACGTGAATGGAGACATTCTCTTGTATTTGCCCCTTTCAGGTGTGCATGGGGACTATTGTGGCGCTTACCGAATGTGTTTCTCAGGCGGAGCAATGCGTGCTTGGAATGCGGCAAAGACTTCTACTAGGTGCTGAATCCAATGGGGCGATGATATCGCTAGCGCTCCTCTGTTGGCACACCTCGCCATCAGTACAATCAGCAACCTGGCCCGGACCCGCTACTCGGTAGTGATGTGCTTCCCGCTGATCACGCACTGGCGTTTTGCAGACGGCCTGAGGAGTATGCTATAATCGGCAATTGGCAGGCAAATCCCGACGGGATGATTATTATATATGTCTCAAATCACAGTGAATCATGGCCGCAGAGGACCGCTCACTGAAGAGTTGCCTCACCGATCGTGTATTCTTCTTCCAACACCCAAGCTTCGAGTGTCAGCATGCGTTTCTTTGACACTTGGAGAGATACTATGGCATCTAAGACGCTAGATGGTCAAAGACTAGCATATAATGACCGAGTTGCTCGTCTCAGGAAGTCAGAGTATCCTATGCTGAAAGGTTCCACACTTCACACCACCGATTACGCCGTGATACTAATTTTACTTTAGGCATCACGTACCTCGATCATGGAGGAACAACATTGACGAGCAAGACACTGCTCCATGTGTTTGCGAAGGAGATGCAAACCACTCTCTTAGCCAACCCTCATTCCGATGCCGCAAACCCAAGCGCTTCCAGCTCTATCATCGCAGAGACCCGGACAAAAGTTTTGCAATTTTTCAACGCCGATCCAGATCATTTCGATATTGTGTTCACAGCCAATGCCACAGCAGCTGTAAAGCTGGTGATGGATTGTCTCTCCGGATCCGAACACGGCTTCGACTATTATTACCATCTGAACTGCCATACCAGCCTTGTCGGTGTAAGAGAGCTTGCAAGGCGTAGCCACTGCTTTGCGACTGACGGTGAGACTCAAGAGTGGCTTGGTGGTCTACGGCAACCATTCGAGCCATGCGATGACGATCGGACGACACTGTTCGCTTATCCAGCCCAGTCGAACATGAACGGTCAAAGACTTCCCCTGCATTGGGGTCATCAGCCTCGAAAGTCTGGAATTCATCCAGACACATACACCCTTCTTGACGCTGCAGCCTTCGTGTCCACCAGTCCACTCGACCTAAGCGACCACGCCACTGCCCCTGACTTCGTCGCGCTGTCATTCTACAAGATCTTCGGTTTCCCAGATCTTGGTGCTTTGCTCGTACGCAAAGCATCAGCACACGTAATGGGAAATCGCAAATACTTTGGAGGAGGCACAACGGAAATGATGACATGTCTTGAGGAGAAGCCATGGGTAGTGAGAAAGGAAGCCAGTCTCCATGCCCGGTTGGAGGACGGGACCATCGCCATACGCAGTATCTTAGCGCTAAGGTGCGCGCTTGACAACCATCGTCGGCTATATGGTTCTATGGAGGATGTCTCGCAGCACACCGGCTGGCTTGGTAAAATACTGTACGAGCGCCTTGGTGCATTGAATCACTCCAACGGCATACCAGTGTGTCACTTCTACGTAAGTCACTGGTGAATACGCCATACGTGAGGCAATACTGATGGTCTGATAGAAAGCCACAGCATCGACATACGCCGATCCTAAGACGCAAGGTGCGACAATTGCAATGAACATTCGAAGAAGCGATGGCTCATGGATAGGCCCTTATGCTGTCGGAGCAATGCTCAGAAGATATGGTATACACGTTCGAAGCGGTAGTCTGTGCAATCCGGCCGGCATGGCTCTCGCTCTCAATTTGAGTCCATTTGACGTGAGAATGGCGTACGCGGAGGGCTTTCGTTGCAATCAACAAGACGATGTTCGTCAAGGAGAGGTCTTGTTTGGCATGGTCAGGGTGACCCTTGGTGCGATGAGTACTTTGGAAGATGTGGAAAAACTCGCCTCCTGCGTCGAAAGAGAACTCGTAGATCAAGATTGTGTAAGAAAAGATTCTTCCGTGATCAATGGCGACACAGAAACGGGAGAGGACAGCAAGCCAACGATCATGTCATATGAAGAGCAGAAGAAGTTGTCGATGACTCCCGCACCTAACAACCGGAGAAGGATGGCCAAGAAGTGGAAAGTAGTTGGTAATTGTTTTTTTCGATTCGGAAGTTCAGGTCGATGTTGATCGCACAGCAGAGGAGGATAGTCATAGCTTCGCTTGAAGGCCCTGTCCAGAAGCGCGCTGCCAATGACCTTGAGTAATTTCTTATGTAACATCTTATGTACTCAGTCAATATACTCCTTGCTTTCCTTGGTCGGTCTGATGAACTTCTCGATAGGCGTTGGTGTGGATAGGTCATCGGTGTAGGAATGAAGCAGTTGGATCCAGCAGTCCGCCAAAAGGTTGCTAACTTTACAACTCTTAGCTTGTTCGCATTTAGCAATCGCATTTAGCTGTCAGAAATGGGAGGCCTGATGACGTTCTTGGAATATAGCGCGCCATACCTGATGTGGTACAGCGCTAACCGCAGAGCTCTCTAGTGGTAAGGGGCGGCGCAACATCCCTCCGCTGCCGTCCTCACATTGCTCCGCAGCTCACATGGCCCATGAAACATTAAGTACATACGTGCGGTAGACTGCGCGACTAGGCCAGTGGCTGAATAGGTTTTCCCAGAAGTTCGTGTGTGCTTCACGCGAAGGTGGTGATCCTTGGCAGAGGTCGACTTCCCTGCTTTCGTTACTGGCTGTTGCTGCATCCACCGCTAATCGAGCTATCGCTAATTCTTACTTCATGCGCGGACTATCTTCTGCATCATGTACGCCCGGTGAGGATCTCATCCCATAGCCCCATACACTGCCTGACCTCGGGGGTCTTTCTCTCCATGATCTGACGGGCGATGATATCGAAGATCACACAATGTCCCGCTCGCTCAGCAAGTATAAGATGCATCACACTGTCACGCCCAGTTCCTTTTCATCAGTTCAAGCCACATTCTCCATCCACGAAGCACATCAGGTCATTTATCGCTTCAAATTCATCGCGTGAGCAAAGTCTCTATTCTCGGATACATACATCATCATGTCTACAACCATTCGCAAAGTTATCTACTCCGGCGCTGGAGGCCCAGAAGTTGTGTCCGTCGTCTCCGCCGAAATCCAGGCACCAGCAGCCAACGAAGTTCAAATGAAAGTCTTGTATGCGGGTATGGGCGGTGCAGACGTAGCAATGCGTGTTGGCTGCTACCCACAGCAAAAGAGTCCAGTAGGCTTGACTCCAGGCTATAGCCTCGTTGGAAGGGTTCACCAGAATGGCGCCAGCTGCTCCAAGTTCAACGACGGCGATTTGGTCGCATGCCTTACAAAGTACGATTCCGAGGCTGAACTTTGCAACTTCCCGGAGAAATACCTAGTTCCCGTGCCAGAGGGTGTGGATCTCAGACAGGCCGTCGCAATGGTGACCGACTGGACGACGGCATACGGCATGGCATATCGCGCCGCAAAGATCTCCAAGGGCACGCGAGTGTTCATCCATGGTCTTAGTGGATCAGTAGGCTTTGGCCTTCTTACATTTTGCAAGATGCAAGGCGCAGAGGTGTACGGAACCGCTTCGGAGAAGAACCATGCCAAAGTGCGTGAAAGCGGAGCAACACCATTTTTATACTCGGACAAGGAGTGGATGGTGGCTATGAAGAACATGGGGGGTGCTCATGTCGTCTTCGACCCGCTGGGTTTCGAGTCCTGGGACGAAAGCTGGAGCATCCTCGCACCAGAAGGCGGACATTTGATTGGATATGGAGGCAACACCGACATACTCAATGGCCGGAAACCACGAAGTCAGATTCCACAAGTTGCAAAGCTGATTGCCAAAGGATTGAATCCATTTTGCCCGAACAAATCGACCTTCTTTTACATCGACAAGGATCAGAAAACATTCGAACCTGAGCTGAGAACACTATTTGGGATGCTGGCCAAGGGTGAAGTCACCGTGCCGATCAGAAACGAGTGGACATTGGATGAGGTCCCCGAGGCTCATCGCACTTGGGCGCAAGGCGCTGGTGTCGGTGCCGTCGTCGTAAGAGTGGCTGAGGATGCAAGCATGATACACTTTGCTTGAATACAAAGCGCAGCGACTTGTAATTCTCCTATAGTGCTCACCAATCAGCTTTCCGATCTGTTCATTATATCCGTATTCAATGTGAATAATAGATGTTTCCCAGTCTTCATACTTTTATGTTCTATGCCGCAAACCTCATTAAAATTGATTGCTAATTACATTGGTATGTTGCGCACTAGTGCTTTTCTCATGATCAATTGAAAGCGAGCTACGTATAGCGTAGTTCTCCAATGTCAGTTTCACTGTTGGTCACATTCACATGCTACTGAAGTCACAACGTACTTGCGAGTAATACTTCTGGGTTATTTTTGTTTGTTATGGCGGTGCATATTGTATTGACACCAACACAATGGACTTCTCCACCAAAGGAATCATGAACTTATGGACATACAATAATACATATCAAGGGACGAGCACAGTCGAAACTGGACGCTATCTACTGAATGTCGGGATTCTCACTGCTCCACTTGAGTGCGCTCCGAATGTACGCCTCCTCATCTTCCAAATTGTCATCAGACCACATCCTGAATGCCTCGGATCTATCCTCTACCTCCCCAACACTTGTTTGGCCCATTGTCGACTCGAGTTTCGCAATCAGAGCTCGAGCCTTGTCTCGGCACGCCTTCGTCATAGTTGTCTGCAAATTTTTGACCGATTGCTTGCTAGTTGGAGCGGTAAGATAGTTGTCCACGCTGAGGGCAGTTATGAAGCGTTGACGCATGTTCTCAAGTCCGGCGCGATCGGCCTCGTATAATGCCAACATGGCTTTGCCTTCTTTTTCGCGAACAAGGGCGAGGCCCGCGTCCTCGATACTATCCATACCAGGGTGCGGTCCAGGAGAGGGCGGATGCACGACCGCACGCGCGTAGTTACAGTCATCGATGCCAGCTTGGGCGATGGGAACGAGGAAGGTCTTTACGAACTTGTCGTGGGCCGCGATGAGGTCAACGAGTTCTGAGATGCGGATTCTTAGACCTGAGGTTTCAGGTAGTGAGAAAGACATCTAAGGCAAGTTTGTCTCTATGTCTTGGACTGAAATGATGAGAGCTCGGAGTAACATTTGGAGTACGAACCAGCTTACCTTTGTAGTCAGAATGAGGCCATAGCAATCATGTAGCAAACCAATGATAGTCATGTATTAAGTCATGCGATAAGATCTCATCGTTTGATAGTCTGAATGGCCACGCGCAAGCGACGCGAAATGTTGTTGGCTCTCGAAAGTGTCTCGTGGTCTAGATGTATGAGTATGATGTGGATGGTAGATATTCTTAATACAAAGTGAGGAAGTCGATTGTATTAAGAGCAACACACCAAAATCACGGACCGAGCTCAAGGATGTAGTGGAAGACAGGTTGTGACAATCTCGTGATGATTATCAAAGACTGTAAGATGTTCTCAAGACGTACAAGATCCCGAAAAGCACCTCTCTGGGTCGCATTCACACGGCGCAAAACCTATCTATTGGAGCAGCTACTACATAGTTCCCTGCTACATTACATTTTCAATCGTGTTCTTGATGCTGGAACAGCCACAAAAACCCAAGACTCTGTCCTGATCGATTATTTCTGATCATCCTCCTCCTCCTCACCACTGCTACACTGCGTAGCCTCATACTCCAGCCGCTTCTCCTCATCAGCCACAACAGTCCAATCAATCGGGCCCTCTGCAATAATATTCTTTCGAAACACCGCACCAATCATAGCGTCGTCCGCCAACGCCATACCACGGGCCAGACCGCGCTTGTCATACAAACTCCAGTCCGCTGGCTTGATCAGTTCCGGAAATTTGCGACAGTGATGGCTCCACTGGAAGGTGCAACGATGAGTCTGGTGGCCATGGGTGCGATCGCGGCAGATCCTGTTCTTCTTTCCGATAGCGTTGACACACAATTTGCAGAGAATCGTACCACTCTCCTTCGAAGGGCAAGGCGACTCGTCGGTGCCATTGTGATCATCAGACGCATCGCAGTAAAAGCAGAAACGAGCGAAGCCTCGATCCACTGTTGAGGCGCTGTCCTTATTGTTCGCTACGTCGGCCCAGCTATCGTTGATCGAGAGGCCTGAAATGGAGCCATCGACGGGAAAGCCAATGGCTGTGTCCGGGTATCCGCTGTGACCTGGTTGTCAAAAACCTCTGAGAGAATGGTCTTGGCTTCATCTTCGGAGACAAAGCGTGTAGGACAGTACAACGGGTTCGTCTCTGTATCTTTGAGGAAGTACAGTTTGCTGCGCAAATGGCAGTTCTCGATCACACGGATGTAGTAGATGGCTGCCTTCTTGATCACAGCCAGAAATTCTGCAGGAGTGTGACACTATTTGAGGATCGACATGGGAAAGACAGTCCAGCCAACCTGGGTGATCTTGTCTTCGATTTTGTCACTGACCTTACTGTTTGGATCTGAAGTGTGCCACTCAAGATCTGGGGCGACACCGACTGCATCCTCGAGAATCTTGGGCGCATTTGGGAGAGGGTGGTTTGCCCAATGGTGAAGCACCTCCAACTCAGTGAAATTGGAAAGGAACTCGCGAGTGGTCTTGAAAACGGTCGGGTCTTCAATTGGTGTCACCGCCAACGTAGTCTGTACTGCTTGGGGAGGTGAAGCGGTTTCCATTGCTTCAAAGCACAGAGACTGGATTCGTCAATACGCCTTGTCCCGAAGCTCAAAGGAAATCATTAATCACTTGGTAGTGTGTCATAGAGACGAAGTGCTACAGGATGGACAATCTTTGGTTGAATTGCGAGCCTGATCTGTAGGGTCGCGAGTCGCAGTTGGTAGAAGAAAGTAGCACTGGCGGTACAGGACCATCGATTTATAGACGCAAGGGCGCTAGTTAGCGAAAGTGAAAGGCCCAGCCGACCATCAACCGCAAGTCATGTCGCCATGTTCACGATAGAAGATAATCACCTCCTTTCTTGAGTAGAGGGAGCCTTCCCATCATGACGCGGAGGCCGTCAGACGAGTCGGTGAGAAGTAATGACGGAAAAGAGTGGCTAGAGAACGGAGAGACAAAGGGCCAAGAGCATGTCGTTATGTATTCGACGACACCGAGTGGGCTTGCTCGAGGTCGCTTGACGGAGAACTTATGCTGTGGCCTAATTGCGCAAAGGGAAGTCCAGCAAGATTGACCGCACCGAATGGCTTGAGAATGTTAGACATCAGCACGGAGAAAAAAGTTCACCAGATCAGAAACACTCTAGATGTTGTAGCACAAGGCTATTCTTCCATTCATGCGTATCTACATCGTCTATCTCATATATTTACTTTCCATACTCTTGATATTTAAGCGTACACGGTCACGACCTCGACGGCCTGGACGCAGGTGCCGTACTCGACAGCGGGTGGGAAAGGAGCAGGAGTAACGGCCGGGGCGGAGCTAGTGCAAGGGGTCGACTCTGGGGCAACGGTGGAACCCTCAGCGGTAGCAGTAACAACGGGAGCACCGACAGATGAGCCGGATGCGGAAGCAGTGACAGCCGGTGCGCCAGAGGAAGCGGGCGCAGTGGCGGAGGGAAGGGGTGCGGAGCTGGCAGCAGGGCACAGGTCGGCGGTACCGTCGATCTTGCCAACGACCCACGACGAGGCGTCGTCGGTGTACAGCTCGAAGTAGTTCAAATGGTCGGCGACGTTGTTGCCACCAGCGCAGACTGGGTCACCGGCAGCACAGTAGGCGCGGAGGACACCAGCGTAGCGGTTGAGCAGGGCAAGGTCCTCAGCGGGACGGGGGTTCTTCTGCTTGTCCGCGCCATCGAGGACGTTGTAGGGCTGGTTGGCGGTGTGCATCACATCACCCCAGATGAGAGCGGCGGCAACTTGAACATATTAGTATGAAGCACTGAATCATTGGATGTAGTATGAACTTACTAGCCTTGCCAGCGGCAGAGTTGTTGTCAATACCATTGGAAACCTTGGTGCAACCACCGGGTCCTCCGAGGACATCTCCGACAACGTGAGCACCCTGGGAGTAGCCGTTGACGACAATGTGCGTGCAGGGGCACTTTGCCTGGAAAGCAGCGATCTGCGACTGTCCGTTGCGGGCACCCTCGGCGACCTGGGCGCAGTAGTCTCCACCAAGAGTCACGTCAAACTGGATGTCGATGTAGTCGCAGGACTTGCCCTGACCGTTGAGCTTGGCGCAGGTGGCATCGATGAAGGGGGTGGTGCGGCCATCGTGGTAAGGGGCATCGTTGCCACGAGCCATGAAGATGACTACATCAGCGCATTGAGCGTCGAGCTTGGGGGCAGTAGTCTGCGCAGCCGCGAGAGTGGAGATGGCGCCAAGGGCGATGGTGTTGCGGATGTTGAGCATGATGGAATTAAGTATTAGGTACGAAAGTCGTGGATAATTGACTATCGAAGGGTGATATATGAGGGACCGGTGGTAGGATTAGGATATAAGAACGAATGTATGGGTCCGATGAGGAGAAATTTCATGACAGCAGGTGCTGAGAGCTTTAATACAAGCCCTATACGAGGCTTGGGGTTTGGCGCATGCTCGGAGCATCCGTCGTCCACACGCTGTCGTTACCAACTAGGCAGGTACCCGCTTTCCAGGATGCGCTATGGCTGGAAAGAGAGGTAGCAGGGAGCTTTATCTTGTTCGCTTACGCCCGCTGTCTCTTGCGCATTTGATATGGTTAACGTCTTGCCTGATGCAGCACGTGAGGGTCTTGCTTCTCCACATTTGCTGCCCTCTACAGTTTTCCCTGCTCTTTTGGATGATCCTCATCTCGATCCCCATCTCGTTCCCGTGTCTGATTGTCTGTCACTTCTTTCCTACGTCAGCAAAGCCAGCTGGTCGGCAAAGAGAGCATTGACTCGTGGTCGAGAATCTTCCGTTGAAGTCCGCCATGCCGGACTGAAGCCGTCCGGCTGGTAAGCGGCTTTAATGGTGGTAGAAGCCAGGCCATATTTGCCTTAGCCGCGGCGAACTTGCCGGCTACATTCATCCGAACTCAACGCTAGACCCAACCAGATTCGCCTAGGATTTTCTCGTGACCCAACTCGAGTTCCAAGAGGTGGATACAAGGCTTTGATACAAGGACCGCAGCATGACATGGGTGGAAGTGCGCGAAATTAAGTGCGGAGAGCCCTGTAAGCACTATCATTAGAACATGGTTATTGAAAATGCACGAAATAATGGGTCTGCACATGTTCCATTGGTGCCATGCTGTGCCGTGTAGTTCTTTCTGGGGCTAGGGAACATGTGGGTTCAGTGTGGCCTGAGATAATTTGTGTGCACATATGCCGTGTTACCGTGCGTTCTCGTGTTTGCACCTGCTTGTAGGCTTGCAACTCGTGTTGTTGTTTTATCATCGGCCTGCGGCTCGCTCGTGATGACTGACTCCGCCAGTCACTCGGGTCTGACATAAGCAGTCAGCCATGGTATTCCGGGAACAAGCAAGGCGACAAAACGTGGAGATTGCATGCAGCATGCACTGCAAAGTTTAAAGTTCTGCATGGTCACGTATGCAAGCAGACGTCAGCGCACCCAACGGAATCCTGTGGCGTTTGGCCCAGATATCTACTGAATCTACAAGCGCTTCCTGCTGACTCGAAGTTATCGGGATTCGTGTTCCAGTAAACAGACATCGACTTCGGGACTCTGCGATTTTCTTTTCTCCGGTGTCCGCTCGTCTAGAAATGCTGCGCCATTTACTCTGGAATGTGGAAGCCTTACGAGCCGTTATCGACCGTTGTGGGCACGACGACGATCGCACAGCTCACAGCTGAGCAACGACGCGACGCGTAAGAATATCGAAAAGATCGTCAGACTCCTTGCAAGAGCGTGGGTAGCCAAGTCAACAGCACAGAAATTGTGGTTTTGCTCCCATGATGTAAGGCTGCGATCGTCAGGAGCCTCAACAACCCGAGCAACTGACCGTTCACAGCCCAAACTCGGCCATACCGTACACCGTACCCTTGGAAAGGAGCAAGCGCGCTCTCCATCGTGGGTCAACGCGTGTTGAACCATTTCGCTGCACGCGCAGAAACTTGTAGGGAATGCGAAGAATTGTTCGGGCCGGGCGCTTAAAGTTCAGCGATGACACACTAACTTAGTCGGCGAACGAAGATGACGAAATCATGAGTAACAGGATGTGCAAAGAAGCTGTATCGCAGTGAGCGAGAGTTATCATGATGGCTAAGTCTCGTCTGAAGTGTGCTCATGTAGAATTGCTGGAGCGGAAGCGCGCTTGAAGTCGTGTAGGTAGTGAAGCGTGAGGCTGCAAGGGCGTTGAATGCTGGGCGTTGAACGCTAGGCGTTCTTCTGCATGATTGCGCGGTAAAGGTGCGTAGAAATGCCTCTAAATCTTTAAACTATCCATTGTAGATGTCCTCTTCCTCATGACATTGTGAATACCGAAGCCGAACAGACCTCTGTTACTTTTCGAACAGGTACGAACGTATTGAAAGCGTAATTACCAGCACTAGGTAAGAGTCCTCATCGTCTGTCCAAAACGAGGAGTTACTTGGGTATCAAATGCTGTGCAGCGACGTACATTATGACATAATTCAGGGCAATCATCCTGACCTACATGATGCCACCAGATTCGCTGCGTTATTGAGTGACGCCACTTTTGGCGAAATATCACCTTGCAAATCGAAGGCTCTTTCACAAGTAGCAAATTGATTAGGGCCAGGCAACTTGTGGACAATCATGCGGGACATAATCTAATCTGACTACTGCTCAGTCTGTGAACGTTCCAGATACGGCCAAATTCTCCGAATCTCCTCTGGAGACTTGTTGTACTCGGTACTTCTGCGCATGAATTCTTGGAGTAACTCCTCGTTCTGCTGTTGTTTGGCCGCGAAATCAACTTGATGTGTAATCCAGCCCTCGAAATCGGTACCGAGTATCTTTCTGGCAAGCTCGTGGATCTTATGATAATCGCGATACTCTTGAAACTGCTGCTTATGACTTTTTAAATCATCCTCGTTGAAAGTGACTGGGCACTGTCCTGCAAAGCCTAGATCGTTCCACGCCTCAGAAAGCTCAATAAGACAGGCCTGTAGCGGGATCACGCCTTCTCCTGAGACCTCTCCACACCGGATAAAGAGTTCTCGTAAGAATGATGGTACGCGTAAGGCTTTATATGCCTGATTATTTTCAGATCCGCTGCTTAGTTCATAGACCTTTGCTAACTTAGCTTCCTTCAACTTATAGTCTGCATATTCTTGATCAGATACGTCCATCTCGTTGTAATTTGGCGGTAGCTTTGGAAGGTCAGTAGTGCCAAGTGTGTAGTCTTCTTCAACTGGCAGAAATTCTGGGAAGCGGGCCTGTAAAAACAAAGGCGACACTACAATTGTCTGCCAGTCAATAAGAGACACGATGTTGGCTGGGCTTTCTTCAGATACATAGATATTGCCCATGTGGAGATCGGTATGCCATAGAACTGGCTCAGAGACCTTGTCAATGAGTGAAACCTCGTCCAGCCTAGACATGATCTCTTTCGTCAATTTTAAAACGGCGGTTTGTTCCTCGAAGGATCCGCGCGGTGAATCAGAGGTTGCAGTAGTCGAGTCCTGTCTCAGGAGCGCAATCTCCCGTTCAACAAGCGCGATACCGAAAGAAGATCGATCTGGCCCTATTGAGAGGATTTAGCTGGGAAGTCCTGCTCAGGATGTCCTACTCACATGGTCCTCGGTTGAGACGAGATTGCACAGAAGCTATTTTGCCTGAAGGATGCCACCCTCGCTCGCAAGACGGTCCTATACAGAACCGCTCAGAAGGATCCAATTTATGATCCAATGCGACGTATTTGTCGTTTTCTGACATGGACTCGCGGAGGTAAAGACTTCCACTAGCAGGAAAGCGGATTTCAGTTATTTCGCCTTCAAGCTTTGTTAAGTGCTTCACGACGCATAACTGATCCCAATCACTCATCTCAGCCCATACCTTGTATAGCTGTATTCCAGGCGCCTTTTCCATTATGATGTATTCGGAACCGACAGGGTTCAATGGATCAGAATTCCAGGCTAGGACTTTCGGAACCGGGACCTGAGTATGCGCACGTACTGTCGACAACAATGTTAGTCTCAAGGAGAATCTTCAGGAGAATAGCAAACTTGGACATTGGGGGTCTTACGATATTGAAGCACTGCTACTTCAGACGCTGTTGTATACTTCGGCGGCCCGGCGATAGTAAACGGTAGTTTTGCAATGAGTTCACTCCTATCCTCCTTGCATAAGAGGAGTGCCTTGCTGAAACCTCCTTCTAGCTTTTCGATTGAGCGAACAGGCGAGGAACGCTGGCTGCCAGTAGATGCAGCTACCGCGCAGAGCCGATCGACGTCGAAATTTACGTATCTGCGATCAACAGCCTGTTTCTCATTGGCTAGGAAATGTCCGTTCGTGTATTTGAGTAATTCATCGCGATTGATGGATTTGCCTGTTAAGATCTAGCTTCGGTCGAGACTGGGTGTGCGCAGGTATTACCTCGACATGTGAGAGTAAGCGCTCGAGAGGGCTGAGATGACGCGGAACGTTCGCTGGTGCCCCAGCATCTTTTACCGATAGCCTTGAGCGAGAGCGCTAATGGCATAGTTGCCACTCTTTAGTGTATGGCGTTTGGGGTGGAAGAGGAGCGTGGAGAAGAGCCGTGCTTAATTTCGTGCACGCTAACTGGCACAGGCAGCTATGCCTTGGGATAAGGCCGATTCTACGGACTTCGCTACTGGGCATCTTCAAGTCCGGCCGAGTCCATTCATGCATCTTCTTGAATGTTGAAGAAAGAAGCGTGCTTCGGACAGCAGCAATACACTCTGGACCAATGTCAAGCTGACTGCTGTGAAGTAGACGGAGTGTGCTCCGACATGTTACCTGTTCATGAGTAATGGTGGACAGCGATGCAGGGCCGAATATCAGCCTTACCCGGTAGGAAGCAATATCGGCGGATAGGGCTGAGCTGAATATAGGAATGAAGGCCCGTGATGAGTAGCCGTTTGCTGGGCACGTGCAGCACGTGGTCTTCTGGCTGCGAAAGATCAAGAATGTGGAAGGGCGCCACAGCAAAGGGGCACGATATTGTGTTACACTGGCAGACAGGAGGCGTGTTACGCCGATTACAAGGGAGTGCGGGGTGGGCCACTCTGATGTTGCCAGGTTGCAGCTGTGGTATTGGAGTTGGAGGTCGTCAGACGAGAGAAGCAAGGCGCAAAGTCAAAGTATCGCCGCGAGTGAAGACGCGATGATTCGGGTGAATGCTCGGTGATGAGGACTCAGTGGCTGTTTGCAGCGGCAGCGTCTCCCGTAACGGCGTGGCGTGGCGTGGCGTGGGGGCGCTGATCGCGAACGAAAGCGGAAACATGGCGACCAGGGTCCGCGACTTTCTCGAAGCTGAGCCCTGAGCAGCCCTGAGCAGCCCTACCAAGGCCGACCAACTCTCTCCACGTCACTCGTTAGATCTATACAACCTGTTCAGTACATATCGCGCGCCGCTCTTTTCGCCCTTCACTCTCACCACGACAGACTTCTGGTGCATGCGCGACTGTTAACGGTGGTTTCGACCGACGCCATCTCACATGGGAAAGTGTATGCAGCCCCCCATTTCGAACACCCACGCCGCAAATTATATGGGATGCTGACAGACTTTGCGCGCAGGGAGATATGGTGTTGTCCTGGACGCTGGGTCCTCTGTAAGTCATCCTGTTCCTGGTAGTTGCACGTTGCCAGGTTGCTAACCAGCGTAAAGGGGACGCGCGTCCACATATACCGATGGCTAAACAACCACAAAGCGAAGGAGAAGGCGAGCCCGGAAAAACTACACAGCCTGCCAGTGATTGAGACGGACAAAAAGTGGACCAAGAAGATACATCCAGGTGCGTGGAGCCATACAATGAAGAGGGAGTCGGACTAATACGACGGTGCGCAGGCATATCAACCTTTGGCGAACACCCTCACGATGTCGGCCCAGAACACCTCGATAAGCTCCTCAGCCATGCGCTCAAGAAGATCCCGCTCGCCGACGTCCCGAACACGCCCCTCTTCCTGCTTGCGACAGCAGGCATGCGCATACTCCCCGAAGTGCAACGGCAATCCGTGCTGAAAGAAGTCTGCGACTTTGCGCGGAGTACGACACAATTCCAACTACCAGACTGCGATTTACACATTCAAGTGATACCGGGAGAGACGGAAGGCTTGTATGGGTGGATAGCGGCCAACTACTTGCTTGGAGGATTCGACCAGCCGGATAAACACGACCACGGCAAGGGGCACAACACATACGGATTCTTGGATATGGGCGGCGCATCGGCGCAGATTGCTTTCGCACCGAATGCGACCGAGGCCGAGAAACACGCAAACGATTTGACGCTGCTACGATTGCGGACGATTGATGGGACGCCCATGGAGTACAAAGTGTTTGTGACGACATGGCTGGGTTTCGGCGTCAATCAGGCGCGGCAACGATATGTGAAGGCACTACTGGAATCTACGAGTTCGGAAGAGCTCCCGGACCCCTGTCTGCCTGCTGGTCTGAAGGTCGAAGTTACAAAAGATGGCAAATTCATCGAGGGCAAGGTTGATGGGGATGAGAAGCAAGAGCCGGCAGCGGGGCATTTACTTGGAACTGGAAAGTTTTCAGAGTGTCTGCACCAGACATTCCCGCTTCTGGAGAAGGACAAGGCGTGTGCAGACGCGCCATGTCTGATCAACGGACAGCACGTCCCGGCCATCGATTTTGACATCAACCACTTTGTCGGAGTCTCGGAATACTGGCATACCACCCACGAGATCTTCGAGAAGGGACACAAGGACAAGGCATACGATTTCAAGACATACCAGGAACGGGTTGAAGAGTTCTGCAGCCAGGACTGGGACAAGATCCAGCAAGGCGTCGAGAAAGAGAAGTGGGGCGGCAAGGTCGACGAAGAGAAGGCACGTGAAGTATGCTTCAAGGCATCATGGATCATCAACATGCTCCACGACGGCATCGGCGTCCCACGCGTTGGCATAGAAGGCCTCCCCGACAGCAAAAACGGCACCAAAGCCGTCCTCGACAACGCCAAAGCCAAAGGCTTCCTCGACCCCTTCCAGGCCGTCAACAAAATCAACGACGTTGAACTCAGCTGGACGCTCGGCAAAATGATCCTGTACGCCTCCTCCGAAGTCCCCCTCGAATCCGACTCTGCCCTTGCTGTAGGCTTCGGCTCCAACGAACCTGGCATCCCCCCCGACTTCCAATACCCCGGTGGCACCATCCACCCCTACGAAAGCGACAGCAACTGGCACCGCCTCTTCATCGAAAACCCGCGCCGCATCCCCGCCTTCTTCCTCATCATCTTCATCTTCTGCTTCATCATCGGCATCATCATCGGCAAGGAGCGCCGCGCCCGCGTCAAGGTTTTCCTCATGAAGCCCTTCACCCCCGGCCAAGGCAAAGACCTGCACGGCCGCCGCGAACGCTCCTTCGCCGCTAAACTCCTCGGCCTCGGCCGCACGCAGGAATACGAGCGTGTCGACTTGGAAAACCCCGACGCGGCGAATGACTTCGAACTCGAGGAAAGAGACAACGATAGCGACAACGAGCACTCGGACTCGTCGAATGAGAGCAGGTTCGGCAGGACGAGCGGCTGGATGACGCCGACGAACAAGACGGATGTCGCAGGGTATTTTGCTGGTGGCGCGGCGGGTGCGGATGTGTTGGGAAAGGGTGTCGGGCTGGGGCTGAGTCCTAGGGGAGGCTTGTTGAGTCGCACGGATAGTAGGGAGAGGATGAGGAGTCGCGCGAGTAGTCCGAAGAGGAGAGCGAAGGGGAAGGTTGAGGATGATTGATTGTATGTTTATGAGAATGGGCTGAGCATTGGCTAACAGGCATTGGGAAGCGTGGTGGCGTTCTTTTTGGAGTTTAGGTTTTGGCGAGCTTGGTTTGGAAGGCAGATTCGATGCGATGCAACGCGATGATATCCTATGATTTGCGAATCTAAATCACGTCTTCTGTTCATTGCATGTTGAGTGCGTGGTGCTGTACCCGACGCTTATATTTTATGTTCAGTTTGTATAAACAGTCCGTGTGTCTATTTTATCACTGCTCCCTTTGCGACTTCTCACATCCAGCTTTCCCGTTCCCACTTCTTCTACTTGCTGATGTTGTCAAATTCCTGCGCTGAAACGGTGGATTTCCATGCTGGCTTTCTTTCGTACCGCACTTGCATGCTAAGTGGCATATATCCGAATTGGTCGGCGCACATGCACTACAAGGGCCGATTCTATATTTGCCACTGATGCTTTTGTGGACTGATGCAGGTTCGATATATCAGGGTGGAGAGCAGGCGCAGAAGTAAGTAAGGGGGCATGATCTAATTGCAAGTCCACACGAGTGAAGTAACCTTCCAATGCGCATTACCAGTCCACCTCAGCGTCCAAGCCAAGACCGCTTCCCGTCCTACCAAAAATGAGCCACGTCCAAGCCATATGCGCGCTGTGCAGCATGTGGAGTTTGCAGATCTACCTCTTCCACCAAATCCCCCTCCCAGTCTCATTCCAATGCCTCCACGTCCCATTACTCCAACTCCACCCCTCACCCACACTCGCGTTCCACTTTCCTACACGCCCATATCCCTGCGTTTCATTGAAGTGATGCTCTCTCGCCCAATGCGTGCCGTTCCACCCGCCCACCGTACCATTCCAGAGACTCACGCCGCGCACAATCGTGTCGTTGCGCGCCACGAGCGCGAGCGTCTTGGCCTTGCTGAGCTCCTGCGGACACCCCGTGTATGCGGCGTACAGCGTTGCGTTGAAGAAATTGCACATGGATTGGATAATGGGGCGGGCGGTGAGGAGGTCGGACATGGTGCAGGTGCCGTTGCCGTGCAGGGCGGCGGGGAAGGCGCAGGGTTCGATGATCTGGGTAGAGTTAAGTTCAGAGACGATTAGGGAATGTGACAGGGCTTCTAAGGCTACGTGGGATTGCAAGGGGGTGGACGTACGGAAGTGTAGTTGGCGTAGTTCACGCAGTGGCATGCTAGGTCGTCGAAGGCACAGCCGTCGTTTTTGTTGGCTTTGATGTGGCACTCGTGCAGGCATGAGGGGAGCCAGGTGTTTACTTTGGCGGTGTCACTGGCAAGACGAGTTAGTACAGCTTTGGAGAGCGTACTGGTGAAGCGACCTACGCGCAGTGATATTTCTGGAAATTGCCGGGCTGGAAAGCGTCGGTGATATTGTAGGTGTGCTGAGCGTGTGTGGGAGCGGGTCTCAGGATGCACAAGAGAAATAGAAGGGGGAGTTGGAGAAACATGGTGGCCGAAAGATGGCAAGGTTAGTAAATCGTTGGTTTGGCAGTGTCGGTACCATCAGACCCCAACCGGAGTTGGTCGATGTTTATATCGTCCACTGAGTTTCGGATTCATATCTATCATGACAAGCACACTATTCTGCGTATGCGAGACTAAAGCAGGACCAAACCTTCATCATGTTGAGGACCCAGATTTACGTGCAGATCGTGCTTCTTGGACACAGCAACCAAACTCGCGCTACATGCGAATAGCCTCATCCACAGAGAATGCTAGCTGTGCAGTAACGAATGTATGTGTAAGCTTGTATGCATCAGCCTTGATAGTCGTGATCCAGTTCACTGGAACGTACTGTTGGAGTCCGGCCCCACGTTCCGCACACCAATATCGCCCCGGCAACGATGCTCACAAATACTCTCGAGACCGCCGAACCTTGGTTCTGAGGCTGCAATCAGGCAAGATATGAGACATCATGACTTGAATGTGTCGATTTCGCGCATCTACGGTGTCTGTCTGTCCGGGAAGTTACGTTTGGCTCTTCCAAGCAAAGTTTTGACCGCATTAGTTCGCAAGGTCCAAAAACAAGAGTGGATATTCTGCATGAGATCGCAGATTTGTCGTAAGGCGGTTCTTACTGATACTTCGTGATCGGAAAGTGACAAGTCTGAATAAGCCGCTGTGTTTCTATGTGTCCGATTGCTTGGTATGGGATCAAAGATTGTATCGATGTACCGGACTTCGTTGGTTAAGATGCTTGAAGACGCCCATGAACATTGGAAATAATCGCTAGGCTGAATATGAAGGGAAGAAATTGCTACATGGCTGTGGAGAAGGAGGTGGTCGGTAAGTCGGAGCGAGATGGGCGCTAGCCTTCATGACGATCGACCTCCAGACTTCACTATGAAACATCATAAATCACGACATTTCTTCTTTCAATGAGAGCCGAGGGCACTTTTTGCCTAGGAAGTCTTTACGTTACACGTGTAATTTGAATGGCGTGTTAAAGACTACCACGAGGCATCGCTGTGCCGTGCACATCCTTGGAGTCGATCGAACAGCCTTCACATGACACAAGTCTCATCGTTCCTGGGCTTGTGCGCGTGTATGATGGACTTTCAATCTTTTCTGCGATGTTGACTGTATTCCAGATAGTAGGCGCTTCCAGTCATGCCTGGCGTTTTGGGGGCCAGATGAGCGGGGTCAAGAACACGCTTCTCCTACGGACAGACAACGGATGCTTCTACCTTGCGCAAATTCAATACTGCAATCTTTACTGTACATCATGACAGAAAATGCTCCAGTGGTCTCCGAGCTTTGCGACATCTGTCGCACAATCGACTTCGCCACCTATTTCCAGCCGCCCGTTGAAGGCGAACCTGCTACGAAGAACGGCGTTGGGGGCCTTCACTACAAGTCGCGGGAACTGGGTCTTCGTGCAGACCTAGGAGAGAAGAAGGCATCATGTGCCTTCTGTCGACTTGTCTATGCGGCTACGGATGTCTTTCCTCGTAGCGAGAGGGCTGCGATCACCGTCAGTAGTGTTCTCTGCGGCACAAGCAGAACAGAAGATGGCGTCAAATCGACCTCGGCGTATTACATGCACGTGTTGATAAACTTGAACGGGAGTCGCACCTCGACCTTCATACAACTCCTCGCAGATAGCGCGCATCTGTTAGGTCTTCGATCCGACTTCCTTGCTCGCATTCCGAGGCAGGACACGTTTGACATGCGCCAGGCGCTTGAGTGGATCGAAAAGTGTAAGATAGAACACGGCAGTCTCTGCGATACACTCGAAGGAGACACCGATGGAGCGATCCCGACTCCCCAGCCTGACGGTTTACTGGCCATTGATCTGCTCAACATGTGCATTTGCCATATGCCAGAAGGCTCGGAGTATGCTGCTTTAAGCTACTGTTGGCCAAAGAAAGCTTACCTTACCTTGTTGAAGGAGAATCGCGCGGCCCTGTTTGAACTCGGAGCACTTGAGGAGAACATGAGCAATTTGCCTGGCACCATTCAGGACGCGATCAGCTGTACAAAGGAGCTCAAAATTCGCTACCTATGGATAGATGCATTATGCATCGTTCAAGATGACGTCGATCAGAAGGGCGATCAACTTCGTCAAATGGACCGAGTGTACAACTGTGCATCGTTGACGTTAGTTTGCGCGTACCCAGTCCCTCATAATACAGACGACCCTTGCAGTGGTTTCCCTGGCTACAACAGGCCTGATGCTAGGAGAGTTCGCGAAGTGCAAACTGTTAAAGGGCTTCGTTTGATGGCAGCATCTCCGGACGTCGATGACTCTATACAGCGCACTAGATGGTATACGCGTTGCTGGTACGTCTTCTTCTTGTTACGTCATGCTACTTGCGCATCCTAACTGGGACCCCAGGACGTTTCAAGAGGGTCTGCTATCTCGTAGGCTCCTATATTTCACTCCTCGGCAAGTATACTTCCAATGCTCATGCAATGTCTACTGTGAAGACACTGTTGGGGAAGACATCAGTCCCAGCACACACGTGTCACCAGGCAATACTGTCTGGAACACAAAATCACGGAATCCGGCAAACACCGAGACAGGTCACTGGGGAGAATGGGCTCTCAGCAGAAAGCCACTAGGAGGTGTCATGTCTATGCTCCTCAACTATGAGTACGCTTTGTCAGCCTACACGTATCGAGAGGTGTCTTACGCATCCGACATGCTGAATGCTTTCGATGGAATCAAAGCTGTATTGTCTGATGCAATGCAGACAGACTTCTGGCAAGGCATACCTGAGAAGATATTCCCTCAAGCCCTATGCTGGCAATTACGTGGCTCGTACCGCAGGCGGAGGCTTTGGCCTGCCGATGGCCTTCCATCTGAACCGCTCTTTGCCAGCTGGACTTGGGCGGGCTGGGAATCGAGCGTGAATCTGAATGACTACATGTCCATCCAAATGTACCGTACCGAAGCCGAGTTTTACATCATCAACGATGACGCGATTGCAACTCGTCTTGCTGTAGAGCCGGAATGGGAGAGCATGCAGAATCAGCGAGCACATCCTCTAGTCATAAAAGCATTTCTGCCTAACATCGTTCCGCGACACATGGTCGATGCTTCCTCGAAGGCATGGCGAAATGCGCGTACTCTGGGCGTGTGGACAACATCGGCATCGTTCATTCTCGACGGCACCCACCACGTGCTGACTACTGCCTACAACCACGAAAAACTGTGGCGCGATAGCACCAACTTTGCCATCAAAGATCAATACGGCGACACGGCTGGATCGATGCTCTTGCCCAAGACTTACTTCGAGGACTTTGGTGCTGATTGGGTCAAGCGCGAGTTTATACTGATCTCAAGAAGTCTGCCACTTGAGAGTCAAATCACGCATTTCGATGAGAAGCTTTACGATAGGAAGAAAGGCTGGTGTTGCTTGAATGTAATGATGATTTCAAGAACTGGTGAGTACACGGCGTTCAGGGCGGGGATGGGTATTCTGCATAAGGAGGCTTGGGTAAAGGCAAAGCCGATGACGACGTTTGTTAAGCTCATGTAGGCTGCTGTAGTTGAAAGGCATGCTCATAATGAATCCAGAGGCTCATGTTTCCATCACACCAATTTCGAAGTGCTGGGAGTGATGGCCCGTATTTCCACCGTCGCTGATTGGCGGGTGCTTCGGGTCAATATCAACCGATGGTGTCTTGAAGATTCTCAGATCTCAACTCTGGAAATCTGAGAGCATAATCGAACAGATGAAAAGACTATCGCAATTGACGTCTCACATAGCTCAAGGTACCAGCCGAAGTAGCGCGAGCACAGCGACAGCTACCCCGCATCGAGCCGAAGACGGAGACACGACCACCAACATGGCGAAACCAAAAGTCGTGGTGACGCGCCAGTTGATCGACGAAGCTCAGACAATACTCGATGGAAAGAAAGAAGATCTCGAAATCGTACAATGGAGTTCAGAAAAGGTAGGCTACGTGTTCAAGACGCTGATGCAATGGCTAACCCGCATGCACAGCCATGCCCGCGCTCCTGGCTTCTCGAAAATGCTCAAGGAGCAACAGGAATACTAGTCATGCTTTCGGATCAAGTGAATGAGGAACTCGTACAAGCGGCTGGACACCAGCTCAAAGCCATCGCTTCCTTCTCAGTCGGCACAGATCACGTGGACCGCGAAGCGCTAAAGAAACGCAACATCCGTCTTGGATACACACCGACATGTCTTACCGATGCTGTCGCCGACCTCACTGTCATGCTCATCTTGATGGCGCAGCGACGAGGCGGCGAAGCAATCTCCAAAGTCACCAAGGGCGAATGGCCGCAAATGCCATGGCATCCTCTACTCATGACCGGCCCACAGATTCGGGGCGCGACGGTCGGTTTCCTTGGGTTCGGGCGAATTGCGCAGGCGAGTCTGGTCAGGTTGATGGGGTTCGGGATCAAGAAGGCTATTTACCTGACCTCAAAACCTGGAAAGTCGGTTAAGGAAGATCATTTCGGATTGCTAAAGGAGGGAAAGATTCCCATCGAGCCGGCGCAAAGTGCAGACCAACTGGCCAGCGAAAGCGATGTGGTGGTTGTTGGCTGTGCACTTACGCCATCTACGAAGCACATGATCAGCACCGACTTCTTCAGCAAAATGAAGAAGCTCGCCGTCATCGTCAACATCGCGCGAGGCCCCGTCATTGATACAGATGCGCTGGTCAAGGCGCTAGATGAACAGCAGATCTTTGGAGCTGGGCTAGATGTCATTGAGAACGAACCCAATATTCAGGCCGATCATCCGATTCTGAAGCAAGAAAGATGTGTGCTGGTACCCCATATTGGGAGCGCGACGATTGAGACGAGAGAGCAGATGGCGACTGAGTCGGTGAAGAACTTGCTAGCTGGGATTGAGGGAAGTGAGATGGTCAATGAGGTGGAGCTATAGGTAGAGTGGTAAAAGATTGAAGGATCAACTCTTCGATTTCTACTTGCGCAAGAGCCCGGAGCGATAGCATCACCCAAGGCCGACAAACCTCATGTCCGCCTTCACCCGACGAGAAAATTTAGGAGGCAGCTTGGATGCTTCCAGGATTGAAAAAGTGGATAGGATATTATATAGCACTAGAAATATTCAGGCATCTTTAAAAAATGTTAACTGCGTAAAGTATTCGTGCACGTTTAAGGCAGGCGCAAGTTTTGTAGCTGCCTAGCGGCATCGGTACATTGAATAAATGTGAGAGGCATGTATTACATATACCCTTTTGTATGGACTGATCTCAACTTCACTGCCTCGATGTTACTACTCCATCCACGTTCTACTCAAATACCTCAGACTCTTGAAACATTTCTATACTTGCCTGATCATATCATGCAACCTTCGATTTCATTCAATGTTGTTAGAGCGCCAATGTATTGGCCCTGTCATGCACGGAGCAATCGGAAGGATTATATCTGAGAGCCTGTAGCATGGTCACGATTTGAGCATCTATCCGTCTTATCAGGAATTTACCTCATGTCAGCCTTTTCACAGACAAGATCTTGGTAGCGTGTGTGGCTTCGGCTACGGACATGTGCGAGTTCATCTTGCAAATCCTTCGCGCTCTTCTCGATGTTACCGAGACAGCTGTTGATGTCGGTAAGGACCTTGACGGTGAGATTACCCTCTTGGACATCTGGCTTGTCGGCGAGGAGTCTGAGGTGAGCACTTGTCTCTACGAACGATGTGGCAAGTAGATAGAAAGCAAATCGGAAAGGGAATTGTATGTTGGTAGTTGCAAAATAAGGTTAGGTCTGATAGACATTGGAGTGGAATACTTGAATTCCGCGACCCCTGATATACAAATACGAGCGAGGCCATAAAACACATTCAGCTTTATAGCATATAAAACTGCTAGAGCAGTCGTCTGGTTTCCACTCAATGCAGTCGGCGCTAATCTAAAGCACCGTTGGGTCAAGAAGGATTTAGCAGAATGCACATTCTCAAAGATGTATATACGCGCAGCCCTGTCGTATGGAGCCATTACATTCTCTTCCGATGGCCTATCGTAGTTCTTGGTTAGTCTGGGGGTGTCCTACATCAGGTCATTACATTCGGAGCTTGGGAGCTCAGAGAGATCTCGAGTAAAGACTGGTCCGATCAAGCTTTTTGGCAGTCTGACCAAAGTCTTATGATGAGGCTACGGCGAATCTTGGGTGTTACCAGGTGCCGGTCTAATTCTTCTGCCATCCAAAAAGGGAAAAGTGAGTTGGCCCGGATATACCTGAAGAATCCTCTACAATTACCTAGAATATTTTGTAGCTACTTATGTATCCAGGCTCCTTCATTACGTTATCACTGTGCTCCTGAAAAGTATTAAGTCATGTTATGTAGGTGCATTGGGGACACAACTGTTGCAGCTGCCAGGTAAGGTCTGTATCTCAGGTTGGGATTACGACAGAGATTTCAAAAAACTCTACCATTGAAAGGGCTTGTCGAAAGTCAACTCTGTATGACTTGTATGTAGGCACGAATGTTGCCGCTGCCTGGTGGCATTCACTATGGTTCAGGAAACACCTTAGCGATTCACTTTCAGTAGGTGTCTGTAGATGATATCACAGCACTGTCATTTTGATATTAAAAAGAGAAAAAGAAAGCACCTCTAAATTTCAGTAAAAAGAAAGCACCTTTAAATTTCAGTACAACCGGGGCCACCCTCAGAGACTGAAATACCTTTCCGGGAGCACCCTCAGATTGGTAGATGGGAGATTCGAACTCTCGCACATTTGACAAACCAAGCTAATTTTAATTTCACTTGGACCATCTAGTGCTTTCTTATAAGTCCTTAATCTAATTCATATTTACCCTACACCTATACCTTAGGCACCTTAGTAGAGAGTGAGTTCCTAGGAGGATCACTGTTGATTCTGTGCATTTTGAATTTAGACTGGGTCACAAAATAAGGTTTTCAGATTATACATCTGTGCCATGTAGTGAAAGTGCGCGTTTGCTCTGCCGGCCTCGGGAGGTGAAAGGCAACTGTCGCAATTTCCGCACTCCGACCGCCCGTTTACACTGTTGAAATATCTTCCCACTTTCTCACTGCCCCAATAAACACCACACTACTACGAAGATTTTGTTTTGCTCTACCATTCTCCGATGGCGCCCCGCACTGTTCACAACGACAGCGACCAAAGCGACAGCGACAGCGACAGCGACAGCGATTTCGACACCGACTGGCCATTCTACAAGGCCCATTCGATACGCAAATTTGCGCGCAAGAGGTTTCCGTATGCGGTTCAGCTGTTACCAGGACCAGACGACATCAAGTATCATGTTCAGTCTGTAAAGCCGGGAACAAGCAACTACATGATCGGCATTACCATTGGTCATATCGGCGCAGCAGGAAGACGCGAGCCAGTCTCTGCTGTCATGGCGCTGACTGGAGAAGTCAACTTCTACCTGACAGAGGAAAAGAAGAGACTCTCGCGCCGTGAACGTTCCGACATTGAGTTGATCACACCTTGGGCCTACCTTGAGAGAGGCGAAAAACATAGCCGGTTGAGAGAGGTGTGCGCCTTGTCCGCATGGTACCTTATGATTCACAACTGCGGAGTGATTGAGGTAAGTCGCCGATGACAGATTGCAGTCCTGCGGCCTTACTGATTGTGCATCTCACCACTGCAGCCCGTTGCGCATTTTACACCTTGCGACACCCACAAGCTCATCGATCTGCACATCGCAGTCTTGATGGTTGGAAATGGAATAAGAAAGGCAGAAGGCATCCAGGAAAAGGATTTAAGCATCGAAGACGTTCGCCGGCTGTGCATCGATGAGATCTATGCCCCAGACGAGTTGGACACCGGAGCAGAAGAAGGCTTAGAAGAGGAGGCAACAAGCATTGTGGAAGACGGCAACGAGATCACTACGGGAGGAACAGAAGGGAGCAAGATCATGACTCAAGCTGAACTGTTCAAGGGTCTACTCGCACTCACAGATCCAGCGAAGAGGGGAGAGTCCGCTTCTCTTACAGCACACTGGGAGGAGAACTACGGTTCGCTCAATTGACCTAGTCCGTTCAGTGTGGCCATTCAGCTGGAAGCGGTCATCACGCAAATGTCGAACCTGGACCTCAATGGTTCGCCCGCGACACCTTCTCTGAATCCTGGAGATAAAAAAGCTGATCATTGAACCGCTTGTGCGCCCTTGAAGCACAGGTTTCGGAGCTCCTGGAGCATTCTGCTAGTTACCGCGCATCCATTCAAGACCTCTAGAAGTCTACAAGCGATCTGACTGAAGACTTTAACCGACATCACTGAAGAGCTGGATAGTTTGGAATGTTGGATGGGGCATTTGTATGACAATGTTCAGAGAAACATTTTGGAGGAACGGATGGGTTCACATGTAGCGATTTGCTGTCAGCAAACATTGTTGGGCGGTGGGAATTCGTATCGCAAATCATACCACGGTACGAAGTAAGGAATACCGTGCTAGGAAACAAACAAGTGATGAAGCGAGAGGTTCCATTGGCTACGTGGATATCGAGTAGTGAGAAACAACTCAATTTCGTGGAGTCGATACCAGTAATGAGTGCCCCTTCCGTACCATGATTGAAATTTCGTGCCCGTCACTAGCCATTGCGCCTTCCACAGTTCACCGAACGCTTTGCTGAGGCTTTCCCGCCAAAATTGCTGTACCTGAGAGCCTTCTGTAGCAGTTACGCTATCTGTTGTAGGGAAGTCACTGCGATGTCGTGAGTAACGTGCCACTCACACAAGTCAAGCATGCAACCATGCGACTCTTACCCATGATCGTGCTCGCTGCCGCATCGCCAGCGTGCTCATCCCGCCTGATCATGCTGCAAGACAGGTTGATGCTGCAGATTTTTTGATGCTCGAACGTCGCGGGCAACCTCTTGCATCTCACCGTCGCTTTGGTGCTTGCGCTCAGTTCTTGCGCCCATTGCCTGCGCTTGAGGGATGACGGCTGGCTTCCAAATCATCGCCAAAGCTTCTTCAATCAGATTCCAGGCGTAGTTCGCGGCGCCTTGAATCATTGGCCACAAAGGCTGGTCACGGTGGTCGTCCATTTTGAGTGTGTTCCGTCGAGTAAGCAGTGTGGGTGGGTGTTGCGAAGGCTTCCGTAAGCAATGTAGTTTTGATGCAGTGTGTAAGGCTTCAAAGAATTCTTGGGGTGAATTAGGACACGTTTTGGGGTATGGTAGAGGTCTTGGAGGTCGCACAAAAGGCCAAGAGATAAGGGTCCAGATAAGACAGGTGACATTTTGGGTCAAATTTGAATCGGACCCTGACACATTCAGATCCTAATAACATAGCAACCGACAGAATATTACGGAATCGTGTGGTGACTCAGCGCACTATAAAAGATTGGGT